AGTTCCTCGAAGACCCTCTTGCGAGGTTGGATGATCTTTCGGTATACTCCATATGGCGGACGTTTGCCGCTCGCAAGTATGCAACACACATTCCCCAGTTGTGTTGTAGAGGACGGGCCAGATCTGATTAGCGGGAGGATATGTCATTGAAGATACCAAGACTGGTATATTGAACTCAATATCTGGCTTTTGTAAGTAACAGGGACAATGATCGATCTGAAAGCAGGATGCGGAGATCTGCTGGTTCTTCAGATCCTGACATCGGGCCTGCCGACCGGCCCTGCCATGATGTCGGGAGTTGAACTCATTGGCAGCTCCAGGCCCTGCGATACCGGGCCAGGATCATCCTTACAAGACCTACGGGGTTTAAATCACAGCTGGAGTCTAGACTAGCTTATACGTTGTTTACAAGGCAATATACACACCGCTGAGTTCTGAATGATTTCCCGTGGCAATTTAATAAAACCTGAGCCCACCACACCCTTCCAAACCACAAGGTCTTGCATTCTACACTTCTGGTTATCCGCTCTTTAATTTGCTTCGGGAACGTACACTCGTTACAACATGCGCTTTTCAGCAAGCCTCAATGCTGTTGTCCTCATCGGCGCAGCAAATGCTATCCCTACTCATTCAACTGCTGGCTTCGACCAGGTTTTGGCCTCCGGGACAGAAGAGCACTCGGCAAGAGTCTCGAACGCCGGTCCGACTGTTGACTATCAGCAAATGAACCCCTTTGATGTCACCCCTCAGCCCGACAGCCACGAACGCCATTCTCACAAAATTTGCTGGCCAAAGGGTGTCTTACCTCACCAAGATTTCGTCGACTGGACTCTATTCAAGGCTAACGGTGCCAACCTTGGAGGTTGGCTAGAGAAGGAGAAGACCCACGACCCGATCTGGTGGAACAGCTTGGGTGATGCTGCTGCTGCTACTTCGGACGAGTGGAGCCTGTGCGAGGCTCTCGGAGATGCCTGTGGTTCAATCCTCGAGGAACGATACGAATCTTTCCTTAACAAGTCCACCATTGATGCATTGGCCAGCGTGGGTGTCAATACTCTGCGTATCCCTACCACGTATACACCTTGGGTTGTATACCCAGAGACGAAGTTATACCGAGGCAACCAGCTCCACTATCTTCGTGAGATTACCACGTATGCTATCGAGAATTACGGCATGCACATCATCATCGGCCTGCACTCCTTGCCCGGTGGCGTTAACAATCTCGACATTGGCGAGGGGTTTATGCACGATGCATGGTTCTACAACGAGACCCTGCTCGAGTACAGCTGGCAAGCCATTGACTCCATGCTTCACTTTATTCAAGAGAGCGGCCACATGAACGCTTTCACCATTGCCCCTATCAATGAAGCTAGCGACGACTTGTCAAATTTTGGTTCGTCCGCAGGTCTTTCCGACAACGCTACCAACTGGGTCATCAAGTATATGGACGGCGTATTGGAGAGGGTTGAGGCCGTGGACAAGCGCATTCCAGTCATGCTCCAGGACAATTTCAAGGGCGCATCCTTCTGGGCACCTCTGTTTGACAGCTCGCACAACCTTGTTATCGACTCCCATGTCTACTACTTTGCCGCTGCCGGCACGTATTCGAAGTACGTGTCGTACGCCATCTGTGGACAGGCTTCCTACCTCGCTGAGGAGACTAAGTTCCCAGTGTTCATCGGCGAGTGGTCACTCCAGGTCATGTACAACAACAGCCTAGATTATCGCAAGACCATGTTCGACACACAGCGATACGCATGGCAGAAGTATGTTTCTGGTGGCACTTTCTGGACCGCAGTGTCGTATTCCACAAGCGCGGTTGATGGCGAGGGTACGCAGAGGGACTACTGGAGCTACGTTGACTTGATCAATGCCGGTGTTATTACCACCGCGACTAACAGCAGCTACTGCTAAATTACCATGCCATGTACCTACTAATTGAAAAGAATCCACTTGATATTAATTTAGTTTCAATTCTTTCTTGTATTAGTCAAACTAAGCGCCAGCCGCTCGTTACATTCAAGAATATGTTAAATAATCCATGCCAATTCCCCAGATGATCCTTTCGATGTTGCAATGTAGCCAGTTCCTGTTCAATTCAATATACACACCCACTTAGTCCGACCCCGTGGAAAGGGGGCCAACATTCAGTCCTTGGAATCAACATTCCTACTGTGCACCTTACTTGTGTATTTAACATCTCCATTTGGTTACATCAATGGTCGATGTATTGAATAGTGGATGCCCCGTGGGTGTTACAACGTGATGGTAGCCATAAGCTTGTTGACTATAGTCGTGGCGGACTCATCCCGGGCCGGTAATGAACAGGACAACGGGAAGCAGACCTGAATCTTGTTATCCATGCTCGAGGAGCCTTTGGGGCAACTTTGAGGATTCAAGTGCTATTATCAATGCGCTGTATTGATTCACAGGTCTTTTTCACAATACATGACATCAGTCATGCTCTCCATCTTTTAATGTCTGGTTCAAAGCAGCAGCAGACGGACAAGGTTCGTTTGTGGTCCGAAATATTTGATGCGAAGTGGCATGCTTTGCCACACTATATCGCGTGACTGAGATGTTTTTGCCTGCTCACGGCTCGTATGGCCCTTTGGCCCTGACACCTGTGAGGAGTTCTGCCTCACCGTCTTCCTTGACTAGGTAGATATCTTCGTGACGAACACCAAATTTCCCTTCAAGATAGATGCCCGGCTCATTTGTAAAAGTCATTCCAGTTTGTAAAAGGACTCCCTTGTTCCATTTGTTGAGATATGGCGACTCGTGAGCCTTGATGCCAATTCCATGACCGAGTCGATGGGTGAATCCGTACCCATAACCTGCGTCCTCGATGACTTTCCGAGCTGCGATATCAACGCTTGCCGCCGTGTTATTTGGTCTGAAGGCATCTGCTGCAGCCGTCTGGGCTTCAAGCACGATATCCCAGACTTTGTATTTCTCGGCAAGAAGCTTCGATTGCTGGGAGCTGACGGGTTCAGCTAATCTCTCCGTGTCGCCCAAAACCGTGATCGATTTGAAAATTGAGAGTATGGAGGCACTGGCAGTTTTCGGCTGGTCAATGAAAAAACTGCGACAAATGTCGGAAGAATAACCCAGATAGTGCGCGCCGACGTCAATGACGATCATGCTGTCTGGGGTGGCCTTCTTACCGCCAGTGACGAATCCGCCATGTGGCAGGGCGCCGTGCTCCTCGAACAGCACAATGTTGAAGAAGAGCCCGAAACCAATCGAGAGTAGTGAGTTATCTAGTATGCTCGTCACCTCGTTTTCAGTAAGGCCTGGTACCAGGCAAGGTCTCATAGCCCTGACTGCAACGACAGTCCCCGTATTCACAGCCCGCAGCAACTCGACTTCAGCTGGGCTTTTGATTTGTCGGACCAACTCGGCCTCGGGGCTCAATCCAACAGTCTCGAATCCAACGGAATCGAGACCACGCACAATATAGTCTCGAATCTCCTCGTCCATCATAAGTTTTGGTGACCTGCTGGAGAAAAGTCCAGAATCGAGGAGCGTAGAGTAGGGATTCCAATGCTCCTCCCAGATAACAATATCCAGCTCGGCATCCCGCGACGGAATTCCCAGCATACGAACGCGTCCCTCCTCAAAGTGAGGCGACAGGAAGGCTGTCTTTGCCGTGATATCTCCTGACTCATTGACTTCCGGAAGAACGAGCATCAGGAAGGGTCGCTCCTCAGGCTCCCAAGGCTCCCAGTCATACTGTGATATATTTCCATAGTATCTGACATTCCGTGAGCAGGAGAGACAACTAGATCAAGAGGATGCATGGTTTTGACCCACTGAAAAGTGTATCCTGGCTCTAAGACGAAGGCGTCGACCTTGTTGGTGTACAAAGCTTGGGCGAGCCGGTCGCGACGCTGCAGGAACTCATCTGAACTGATAGGACGTGCGGCGTCCAGGAATGACAAGTCGGCGTGGAGATTTTCAATGGAGCACTGTTGTACTTTCGCAACATTTGGCGTTCTGTCGCTCACCGTGAAAAGTGTGCGGAAGCAGAGCCATATGGCCGCTAGAAATCCCAAGCCGACGACGATGCCGGGAGCTCTGGGACTTCTGCGGGACGGCAGGGGTGCCGTTGGGAACTCTTGATAGCCCATCACACCCAACTTCGTATTTGAGGGAGCGTGTGCGTGCTCATACACAGTTTCGGCCACTGAGATGTAGAGATGCGTCACCTCAAATGATAGTCAGCCAATAGAGAGATACCGAGGAGCAAGATTGACACAGCTCTACTGATGAAGATTTCATGCAGCCCGTGCAACGTTTCAGCATGCAGGCTAGGGTTAAAACAGCCAACGAGGGGAGGTGGCCCAACTGCATCCGATTGCCGGCGGCAATCTCCAACTTCAAGGAGCGGAGGGAATCCGAAGTACCGGCTCCGGAGCTTCGGGCGCAACCCGACTGTGGGTCGCCTAGCATCGTTCGGGCAGTACTACCCCGATCTTCTTGTGTAGAACACCCCGGCTATCAACATCATATCTCTAGTGCGCCAAGGGCTATGCCGGTTTCCGCTGTTGAATGGGAGGTGATAACGATATTGACGCGCAACCTCAGGCCCCCGTCATGTTTCGTCCGTACTCACTCAACTCCGGCGGGTGAAAGTCTACTACTTGGACACTCGATCCCACATCGCAGTGATGGCTTCCACGATGGATCGGGAGCTTGCGACTGGCCCACAACACAAATCTTTAGGGGTTGGCCGCGTCTCAGACGAGAAAAAGGATGCTCACCAAGTGACTATGGGTCCAGGGGATGTGGAGATCGCCCTGGCGGAACAACAGGTGAAGACATATTACAGCAAGCTCTCAGTTTGGTTGATGGTTTTATTTTCTGGTCTGGCGATAGGCTCTGATGGATAGTAAGGCTCCCCATGCTTCAGAGATGGTGAGGCATGAGAGTCGGCGCGCTGACAAGAATTGAACAGCAATGCTGCGGTCATCGGCAATGTTGAATTGCTCCTGGCGATTCTGTATCCTGATGCCCTGACCACGTCAATCTACCAGCGCCTCAGTAATGCTTTCCTGATCGGGATGATCGTTGGGATGTTGCTGTTTGGTGTTGTGGTGGACCAACTAGGTCGGAAGACTGGCGCTGTGGCCACGACGATCCTCCTGGTTCTTGGAATTGTCTTGTCTGCGGCAGCGAACGGTACGGACCCAACCGGGCTGTTCTGGATGATGATCATCGCCAGAGGCATCGCCGGAGTGGGAGCAGGAGGCGAATACCCGGTTTCTGGCGCCGGTGCTGCAGAGGCCACCGATGAAAACGGCACTATGCGAAAGCGTCGAGGCTTCATGTTTGCAATGCTCGCTGATCTGTCTGCCTCTCTTGGGTATGTTTGGGGTGGACTGGTCCCGCTGTTGCTACTTTTATGCGTAGGCCAGAAGGAAGAACACTACGACATCGTCTGGAGGACTTCGTTCGCACTTGGCCTCGTGCCTCCCGTTGTGATATTTTGGTTCCGTATGCGCATGGCCGTTTCTACGGCATACCGCAAGTCGTCGATGCGCAAGCAGCGTACCCCGTACTTGCTCGCCTTCAAACGATACTGGCGACCGTTCATTGGAGGCGCTGCAACGTGGTTTCTTTACAACTGGATCTCGATTCCGTTTGGCATCTTCAGCTCCACCATTATATCAAGAACCAATGCTGGAGATAGTCTGATAAAGAATTTGGGATGGGGTGTTGTTATCAACTGCTTCTACCTGCCAGGCCCTTTTCTGGGCGGCTATCTGTCCGACAAGATCGGACGCCGCAAGACAATGGCACTGGGATTTACTTTACAAGCGATTCTAGGCTTCGTCCTCGGAGGCGCCATTTGGCCTATCCAGCAAAATTTCGCTCTCTTCGTTGTATTATATGGCGTCTTCCTCACGCTGGGTGAAGTAGGACCAGGTAGCACCGTGGTTCTTGTGGCCTCTGAGTGCTTCCCTACCTCGATACGAGGACAAATGATGGGTCTCATTTCTGCTTTCTCCAAGGCCGGGGCTGCTATTGGAACTCAGGTCTTCACGGCGATACTGAAGGCCTACACCAATGACTCCGCAAAAGGTGATCAGGTGGCATTTCTCATTGGCTCTGGCTTTGCTGTTCTCGGCGCCTTAATCGCTTTCTTTGTGGTGCCTGAAGTCTCCCGACAGCTTGACGATGACGACGCAGCTTGGAAAATCTACCTTGCGGATCACGGGTGGATTGCTGATTGGGGCGACAACGTTACAAAAGATCCGGCCGGTGTCATTATGGATCAGCGTAGCTCATAGTTGCAGCACGAGGGTCGTGCCATCATTACCCATAGTCTTTGCAGCAGCCCGAAGATCCAGACGTTTCCTCAATTTGCGCTGCAGTGAATTCAACTTCCAACCAACTGTTCTGCCGCATTCGTTTCTCCCTTGATTGCTCGGAAGGCTTCCACATGAACCGCTGATCCCCATTCAGGAGGGAAAAAAAAGTCGACCTAAGAGAAACAAAGCCGAGAACGGGCTGCTTATTCAGTGTGAGACCCAATGATGATTGCCATCGACCAAGATTTCATGGGCCACCACAATGCGGCCGGCTTAGTAGCAGCACATGTACCGTTGTGGCGCATGGATTCGCAATAATACCCGAGCAACGAATTGTCAGCGTGATTGTAACTCAGCCACCAAGCGCTCCTTTGCCAATCAGCCGTGTGTTCATAACTCGCCAACACGTGACTACTTGTATTAACTGCTGATAGGATTGCTGCGCATACGATGCTAGAAAAAAGTCAAGCTGACTCAGGAACATGTTTCTAAGCCCTCTTGTCATCTATCTCAGCTGTTCATTCCTGATGAGATACGGTCGTGAGTCCTCAAGCCGGAGCCTTGCTTAATATAACCGCGGCAGTGATGCGAACGCCCCCTTGCAGCCACCTCAACAGATAGCAGACCCTAAACAGGTGACCATCACGGAGAATACTGACACTATGTGACTTACATCTCTTCGACTGAAACATAGTGCCAGGTTGCAGCACGTGAACGGGGGAGATCCCTCGAGGCCGTGTATAGTCATGCAGTAACTCCAGAAATAGAAACATTTGCTACTTGTTCACTCAACAAAAGAACAAGAGATAGTAGTTGGGACGACTTGAACGAGTATAAAACATATTCGATCCGCCCGAGTTGTCGAGTTAGGTCATCTTATCACCATTCAAAAATAATTGAGAACATTCTCCTAGAAATACTTAAACACTTATTCTTAACATCTTGATTCAAAATGCGCTCTACGCGGTTCCTCTCGTTGTTTATCTTGCTTGCCGCAGGCTTCGCATCTGCGCAGGACTCATCAATCGAAGAACAACTTCCTGGCGCTCGCATCACTAACGAGACTTCTTCTCTGGATGTCTCTGCCGGTTCGGTTGGTGTGGCTGCGGCACCTGGCCGTGCTACAGTGGTCAACAAGTGCAATGTACCCATGTATCTGTGGTCTGTGAGCGTCGACAAGACCTCGGCTGTACATGAGCTCCGTGCTAATGGAGGACAATACACCGAACGCATGTATTCTCCTAGGGTGGGTGGTGTCAGCATGAAAGTAACTAAGGAAAGGAACAACGGCATCATCCCAGCATGCGCACCAAACATTTGGGACTGCAAGCAGACGCAACTTGAATATACGCTAGCTCCTCAAGAGAGCAAGGTCTACTACGATATCTCGTGGGTAAACTGTGCCAAGGGCCAAGATGCTAGCCGATGCCCCGGCCATTCAGGGGGTGTCCGGGCCGGGTGCGTTGGAAACCAGTGGTAAGTTCTACTCCGATTATTATTAGACAAAGATGCTGAATCCTACTAGTCCTGTCCAGCATTGTGCCCCTGGCGCGTTCTGCCCGCACGAGGTTTACTATAGCTGCGGTGCTCCATGCAACACTCCCGACCCTACCGTAGCCACTGCTGAGTCCCGCGACCTCGTTTTCACCTTGTGCAGCGGTTAAACTGGTGCCTTTATCAGGCGACTAGAAATTGACGGCGATAGACAGTATAGACGGTATAGAACGGCAACGGCTGGAACACTCTTTTGTTACAATGATCATTGATTTTAATTATACTTTGCAAACCCTTAAATCTGACCGGGAATGGTGGTCCTGCAGAGTCCCTGACTGGTGCCCTTAAACTTCCACGAGGTTTTGAGCGAATTCACTCAGATAGTCCCTCTTCCCCAGTGGAACGCCCTGCTTCCGTAGAAGTGCATACGTGATGCTAAGGTGGAAATACATGTTGGGAACTATGAATCCGCGAATGTAATCCGGTGCTGTAGACTTCATTGTTTTGGCGCCCATTGGAAAGTTGACATCTGTTCCTTCCATTTCATCAACGGATCGCTTTTCAACAGCTGACAAGTCCTTCAGGGTGTCGTCCAATAATGTGAACAGCTCCTCCAGGGGTTTGTCCTCAAACTGGACCTCCGCAGGTGTAGCACCAGTCAGCGTTTTAATCGCTTGCCTGGACAGCTTGACAAGGATAAGGACTTGTGTTGTGAGCGGAAGCATGTCATCATATATGCGGGCGGTGAGAAGTTCCTTGGTCGAAATGCCGTTCTGATTCGCATATTCCTCGCCCTTCGTGAGAACAGAAACGGTGGTCCTGAGCACTTTGATGATTACTGGGAAGCTAATATCGTAGAGAGTAGCCATGATCAAGGTTTGGTAAAGAACTGGTAGTTCTAAGATAATTATGCAGCTGCGGGAGAATTGATTGAGTCGTAGAGAAAGAGAAGCCAAGACAGGCCGGGCAATCGCTTTTATACATAGGTTCATACGATGGGTCGAAGCTCTCTCCAAACATCGGAGCTAGTGGCACCTGCCCGCCTGCCACCGCGCACAAGCCTTGCCCCTTCATTTCATCTAGTTGAGTAGGTAAAACTTGAGACTGCCTTTGGACCAATGGACAGCCAAGGTATAACCGAAATCTTGTGAGACATTTGTCATCGGAGGGATGAGGAGATGCATTTCTAATCACTCGTGGACCGGGATTGAGACGTGTCCTACTCCGCTGACAAATGGCGTTAAATCAAGCTAGTTACTAGCCTAGTAGACAGAACTAAAGGCCAGGGATGTCTATACATATTGTCCTCCTCAAGATAATGTGGGAAATGCCGAGCAAGACAGGACAAACAACGGCGTCGAGGTGTCAGACAACCTGACTATAGGTGGCTATTGGGTAGCAGCGCTTCAGTACAGATATGCAGGTACCTATGCATTGTGGAGGTTAAGTGTTACCAAACCTATGGCGACAGTGTTGGCGTTTTTCTAGCGGCGGGCAGAGCCGCTTTCATCCCTGCTGGCGTAAGTGCTTATCAAATTCCCCCGCGGAGTAAAGTTTTCCCCACTGTCTCTCCCGGTGAAAAGCCTGCTTGACAACTACTCGACGTCTGACCAATATCCACAATTTGTCATTGGGACAATGCAGTCGACATTCTTCCCGGTAAATGGTCCCTGACCACTGCAGCTCTTGCGCCTCCGTCGTTATTGGTACCAGCCCATCCCGTTACCATCTGTTCAGAGTTCAAGTCGATGAGCGCAGCGCTCTGAAATCAGTGTGATCTGTTTAGTACCCGAGAATGGCGTTGGCCTTCTCAGTAACCTTCTTTGACCCGATCGGATCTGTATCACTGGGCACAAGTCTCTCGAATCCAGCAGCCCGTAGTCCTCGAGTATCCGTGTGTCTCTGAAGGAAGCCGAGCTCACACCGGTTGAGGTGCTGACTCTCTCCTTGACCGCCAGGAAAGTCTGGCCCTGGTGTCCCAGCAACGAAGGCCTCTCTTTGTCTCTTGAGATACTTCGCATTATTCTCGGTGACCGGGCAGACGGGGATGTAAAGCACGCTGGAATGTGCCTTGCCCATGTGAACCTTGTCGACTGCGTGTATTGCTGTAGAGCAATTAGCATTACGTCCCATCATTAGTCGCCCTGGGTAACTTACTGTCGCAATGCCAAACAACAAAATCACCGGGCTTCACCTGCGGCACATGTACCATGGCTTTTTCGAGCTCGAGATGAGGGTGCAATGCATCATTCAGCTCTTGCCCGTAGCCTGGAGTAGCGCCATGGAGCTCACTCGTCATCTTGTCACCGCAGAACTCCCAGTTGCCGTCGCTCAGGAACTCTGAGTATGAGGCATCCTTGGCAGACTTGATGGGTTGAAAGAATGGCCGCAATAGTAAGTAGGAAGTTGAAAGGCGCAAGAGCGGGTTGACTTGCAAAGTCCCTTCGTAAGGCCCAGTTCGGCTCATGCTGAGCCAACCCTGAAACATGCGGAACATTGAGCAGGCTCCCAGGCCATTATAATTGTCCATCACCGCAGAGACACGGGTACTGGCATCCCAGGGATCGTACTTCTCCCACTGCCCCTCGAAGACCCTATCATAGACGTTGCCCAGACCATAGCCATTGTGTTCCCATCGCTCAACGCTACCGCCGTCCATGTGAGGACCTAAAGCAAACTTTGCATCTCCGGGCTGACGGATCCGAAGGCGATCAGCATACGAGAGAGGCTGCGAGATGGAAATGTCACTTTCAGGGTTTGAGAGGTGCCACAGGCTCATGAGGGCCGTCTGGGCTTTTAATAGATTTGGGTGTGCTCTTGCCTTGAGCTGTGGTGCCGACCAGTACAGCTCAAAGACTTGAGGGTCGGTCTGTGGGAAAGCTGCAACTAGTCAGGACGTGCGGTTGTTAGGGTCTGCGTTTCGGACATACCTTTTGTGGAAGGATTCGCGTTGATATAGTCTTCCAGCTCCGCCTTGTATTGGCGCGCATCGTCTTCGGGGATGACGCCGCGAATCACGGCGACGCCCCTTTTCTTGATTTCATTTCGCAGGACTGCGAGGTCCGTGTCGAGAGTCTTGAATTCGATAGACGGGACGACATTAAATCCCTCTCTGGCTACGATGTCATTTTCAATCTTGAGCTGCAGCAATAGTCGCTTCCAGCTGTCTGTCACGGCTTGCTCGTGGCCCCGAGTAAGCTTCTGCTTCAGCTCTAGGAAACGTTGGGGCAAAGGCTCCTTGGCTGTGCCAGATAGCGAGGCAAAGGAGTCGGATATATCCCCTTCTCTCTTGGCTTGAGTCTGGGTCTGCGTTGCTGACATGGCTATACCTCTCGCGTGGATCAACTGGGGGCCGAGTCTCCTCAGTGCTGTCAAGGCCATACTGAGGATAAGCACCGAACAGTGGACGTCGTCTCAAATAACAGATCTGAACAATAGGATCACGCGAGTGAGGATGGCCAATAGGCGTTGATCTTGACGCCGTGAGCTCGCAAAGCACTGCTGATTTGGGGCGCTTGAATGCTACACGAGTGTTACGTTGTACGAACTTATATCGTGAACAAAACACGGAGGAGCCCCTTTGGGCAGCACCGCGCTAGACACGCACACAATCAGATCATTAACTCGCCAGTTGCAGTTGGGAATTATGCAACAACTACACCACTCGGCAGTGTCCTGACTGTGCTGATCGAGGCCCGCATGGCAGGATGCGGAGGGCGGGGGTTCGCCTGCGACCCGGGTGGCCATAATGGCACTGCGTGGCCCCGAGATGGCGGGTGGACATTGCGGAGATGCCCGCTAAGTCCAGCGCGGCGGCGGAGATTCCACATGTGGCTAGGTTTCGGGGCAGCGCCTCCACTTTTCGAGAACGGATGGAGTTTCGCCCCGTCCTCCCTCCACCTGCCCACCCCCAGCTTTGCCGTGTTCAGGTAGCAACAGAAGCACTAAGAGCTTCCGTCAGAGGCCGATCCGAGTGCCCAGTTGCCCAGTTTGCCCACAGCCCAGCGCCCTGGTGAGATTGTCATAGCTGAGCGAGTTAGTGGCTCTCACGGCTGACGTAGTCACAGTCCCCAGTTCCTCGCGGACGGGCTCCAAGGGCTCCTCTGGACGATCCCCTGACCTGACGGCGTTGGGACCTCAGCGCCTCCCGCGCCCTCCCCCCTTTCGGGAACTCGTGGTCATGGTCAAGTTTGTTGAGTCTGACGCGACTGGCCTGCCACTCAAGCGAAAGCAGGTTGCGCACGCCTGCATCGCTTGCCGCAAGCGCAAGGTATAATACCGCCAGAATATATGTATACTTCGGTATATATATATACACATGTATACCAGTGTCTGGCGCCGCTAACTCGTGCCCGCAGAAGCGATGTGTCCATGAATATAGTTTTGCCCCCGAGGACAATGCGTCTTTCCAGGATTCGGTATCTCCGACCAAGTCTGGTCCATACAGCTCCGCGTCGATGGAAACGCCGAAGGTGTCACCAGTTGACACTCGGCTTCACATTGCTGTGCCGCCCCCGGAGGGCCGGCCTACAAGTCGCTTTGTCGGCGACCTGAACCCGGAACATCTGTTCATCGAGGCTACCAGTCCCAACTCAAACCGAGACACTTCGGTCCGGGGAGGCATCGGCGTCTGGCAGTCACAGAACACCCAAAATGCCAGGCCGCAGCCCACATCGGCCCCGTCTCTTCCAGGGCCGTCGCAAACGATGCTACAGGTTCTGCAACATTATGTGCACACGCAGTGTCTCCCCTGCGTTCCTCCCAATCGAGAATGGCAGACTCTGAGAGACCTGTATTTTGAGAAGGCTGACCCACTCTTCCCTGTCATCAGTTTCGATCTCACCAATGGCCCGGAAATGTCACCGTCGGCCATTGTCATCAGGCAGGTCATCTGCCTTGCGGCGGCCATCAACGTGGAATCTACACCCCACCTGAGGTTGAAACCATACGGACGGCTTCTCAGCCGCTCAGAGTATACCACCCATCTGTCGACGGCCATCCATGCGACGATTGACTCGGGCTTGATTCAGGACCGCGCTCTGCTGATTCGCGTCCGACTGCTCTACTCCATGTACATGCAGCCGACGTGCCCAGAAGAAGCCGATTTACCTACAGCCGTTTTTGCCAAGGCAGCCCATCAGCTGATCACTTTGGGTTTTCACATACCAATGGACGAGACAAACAGTGACGTGAGCCAGATTCGGACTCTTTTCCTCTGTACCTGGGCTCTCGACCGTCTCAACGCCGCAATATATGGCAGAGCCTCTATCATTCACGAGAGAGACGTGGGATGGGACTTCGACGAATGCATCCGAAAGCAAGAGCCACCATTTCGGTTGTTCCTGATGATCACTCGGCTGCTAGATGAAGTCTTCAGCCTATATCGCCCCACTCAGAAACTCCACGAAGAGCCGCTGTACATTGATATGCCTATACTGGAACAGCTCATTGTGGAAGCCGGCGCCACAAAGGTTCCCAACCCGCTCCTTGGTAAGTGATACGCAATGGCTCTTTTGTTACAAATGCTAAACGAGGCCTAGCAACTATTGAAGTTTTTTACCACGCGGTAGCTATACTCTCCTGTCGGTTCCCCCAAGGAGGTAGCAGGTCGGCCCTACCTTCACGAGCTACAAACAGTAGACGGTCACTGTCGGCGGACCGTATTACGGAGCTTGTCCAGAACGAATTCACCCGAGAGCTATCTTACATGCCCATCATCCCATACGCTATTTCTCTCAGCCTAAGCGTCGGGTACCGCAAGATGCGATACAGTCAGATACCTATGTTCAGGCAGCGAGGACGCCGCGCTTTTGGGGAGAACACCAAGCTGCTTCTTAGGCTCGGGGAGACTTTCTGGTGCGCGAAGACCATGGGTGCCATGGCGGAGCAGGTATTGCAGGAGATGGACAAGGCCGCTGCGTCCATAGCGCAGGAGACCGGTTCTGGCGAGAACAGCGTAAGGGAGGGTAGCGACCCGCAGCCAGAGACACAGTTATTGGTCTTCAGTGCAACACCACGAGGCGTCCCACCGACGACAGCATCAATGACGCTGGATAGTGGAGACATGTCTGTACTTGCAATGGCGCCCGAGATTGATGTTTGGGGGCACATAGACCCGAATTTCAACATGGGTGCGGTGGATGCGGCAATCCAGGGTAATTTGGACTTTGGGACTTCTGCCAATTGGTTTGACTGGCAGCAGCAGAACTGGGGGGCTTTCATGGAGTGAGCATGTGCCACGACTTTCCCTTTGGTTTTTTTTTAATTTTGATGTCTCTCAATTCCGAAATTATGACTCGGAAATCGTAATGCGACGGGGAGCCGGGAAAAGCATGATACTGAAGAATGATACCCTCATATAGCCTATCACGATAACGATTCATGGGCTCATTCCGGCTTTAGTACTTCTGTGCTATTTCTTCTTTTGCCCAGCTGGCACAGAGTCCATTTACTTACTTGCTCTGATGTTTTGACTGTTGCAAAATTGCGTTGCCAATCCAGCCACGCCTACAGGTATACTTGAAAGTTGCGGTACTAGAGCAAATGAGTTTACAGGACAACAACTAGAGCAAGCCAACGGAATGGGCAAAAGGATGCTTCAAGTACAGCACGGAGTCCACAACAAACTTCCCACGGAGTATATTTGATCCTGATGGGCAGTTCGAGTGATTGTCGTCGCTTCACAATGTCCTCCGAGGAGTTGTCAAGTGTAGTATGGTAGGGTATGGTATGGTGTGCTATGCTATGATATGGACTGAGGTATCCCCGCGGACAGTTGGCGACCAGGTGGTGCCAAGGCGACTGCAGAGCAGCTCTTTTGCCACTCAACGCGCACCCGCAACACCGATATTTCCGGACACAGCGTAAGTTCGTTGACTCTGGCCTCCCTCCATTACCTGCCTCGGAGTCTTTGCTCGTGTAGCCCAGGACCCAGATCGCCGGCGGCAACATGGTCAACCCACTGACATTTCTCCTGCATTCAGCGGTTCGTCATCCCAAGGCCTTCCTACAGCTGCGCGCTATCTACTAACAGACAAATGCAGGAGCATTTCATCACTCGAGTACGCCACGATCCTGTCCAGCTGCCGCGACGTCATCCACATGGCTGATCTTTCCGAGCAGGCACTTCTTAGATCCCCTTTGTTCCACCGTGGCGTGCGGCAAATCCATCGAAAGGTCGAAGACATCAGGCATGGCCACTGGCCCGACGATCTGCTGACGAAGGGTAAGGCGACGGCGGAAGCCCCGCGCCGAGACGGCTTCGTTAGATACTTTACCGAAGAGCTACGCAACCAGCTTCGCGGACGACCGACTACCGAGCTCCCACCAACAAAGCCACCTAAGACCAAGGAGTGAGCACGTGCAGGCGACAACAGAAGTATGTACGGATTTCACTGCACGATACATTGACAGCCACTCCACAATCTGGCAAAGATCATAAACACTGCATCACTCTACCCGATGGTCATGCCCAGCGCGTCTCAGCATGCAACTATACAGCGTCAAGTCAGGCCAGGAAACAGATCGAAGCCAACGAAGGCTTGAGACCCGTACATATCGCCTCAAGAACGAGGCGCAGGCCAGATACTAGCCGTAGGGTTTCGGCTCAGCTGGAGTCCAGTTCAACATGCCTCCGATCTGCTAGAGGAGATGAGGCTGAGGCTACCTCGCTGCAGGTTTGGCGGAAAGGTCTTATAGTGTTCTTTTTCTTGGCCGACAGTCCTGGAATACTGTCTGAGCCCTGATCTTCCTCTTCCCCGTCCAGGCAAAGACAAGGGCAAATCAAGCAGCGGGGTGATAAGCAGTGGCTTGGGCAAAGAAGGTCGTGTGAAAAATCTCCACCTGGTTGGAGATATTCATATCGACGGGACTGTCAATTAAATCCAACCCACGGGTAGATACCAAAGCTTGCAATATGCGGAAGGGCTAGCAGACCTTGAGGATGACAGGAAGACCGGCAGCTCAGCTGTACTGCTAGGATGCGCCTCGGGGGAAGTTCAGGGTATTTTGTAGCCACGAGTTGAGTTTGTAAGTTGTTGTATGATTGCAGAATCCTTCCGTTAGCAAGACGCAATGGGATTCTGCGACAATTTGGTGAACGGTCGACTATGGACCAGGGTACAAGGAGATTGTAGCAGCCCGCTCAACATAGTGCCTATTGCAAATACACTGGTGAACTGCACCAATGGGTGTGGTACCCGTCTTAAAAACAATATTCAGTAGTGAATTGGCATTGTTTCGGGTTTACACGGTCTGAAGGGCCAAGGGAATTAGGATGTAAGCATAATGTCCACTCAGAGATGACATCTGTTTTATGGCTTAGGTATGGTCTCGTGCCGAGCGATTGTAGCATAGGCTCCTGGATTGACTGATGTCGCCGTCCAGGACCGGGTGCGTAATAGTTAGCACTCAGTTTTTCAGGCTTGAGTTTTTTATGTTTCACAAGGACTATGTGGAGAAGCCCGCAAGAGATCGAATGACGTTGGACGTCCATGCGGCTGAGCGGGGAAATCTGCATGATGCTGACGGTGAGATATTGCTGCACATCACAATATCCTGGCGTACCCTACGGAAAGAAATGGATCATCTTTATATCCCGTTATCATATCTAGGTCTCCTGGAGTTGCGCGGCGTGCAAGCTCAAGCAACGCGTGCCATTCATGGTGCTGTGAGACAATAACCGAAAATTGCCGAGAGTTACTGGAGAGCAAAGCCAGCCTATCGCAGAGACAGCAAGAGTTGTGAGCCACGGTAAAGCCTCGACGATGGAAGGATTATCAGGTATTGCCCTTTTGACGCCGTACCTTGCTTTCTGCCCTTCAGAGCGATGCTAATAAGTGCCCTAGGCAGTGACCAAACTCCTCAAGCTGGTTCCAAGTCCCGACCTCGAGACGGTGAAGGTGGGGGAGATCGTGAGTGTCAGGAATGGGACGTTGTGAAATATGCCGAAGCCCAAGGTACTTCGAGGAGTGGAAAGGTCGATGTTCATGTCGGCTGGGGCCGATGGAAGATCAAGATATATGGGCACGAATGGGTTTACACGCGTGAACGTGGCCAGAACAAGACAATAGACGACATGCATCTCAAATTCAAGGATGGAAACAATCATTAGTCCATGGAGAGAGAAGTACAATATCATGAGGAAGAGTTTGGACTATGATATCCTAAATTACATTGTTTGGATGTGGAATAGGGTTTGCCAGTTTCAGGGGCTCGGTTTTACAGCCTGTACCATTGTTCAGCTCAAGCAATAACTTGACGGAAGTGGAGGGCTTTGACGAGATGCGGTATGAGAGGGAGCTTAACCACAGTTTGACAAAACTTAAGCAAGCTCGACATTACGCATTTTTTCGTGCATCATTCGGTTGTGGATCGTGGATTGTAAGAGCGAGAGCACGCTTTAACACAATCTTCCAAATCATTATGTAAAGGCAATATAACTCGTCAATCAAAACTCTCTTCACAGTAGTGCTACAGAATGTTACGGCGATGTTTTAGTCTTATAGGAGGTTCGGTGGGGAATCTCAGGGGCTCCGATATATGTCCCCAATCGTATCCATTTACCTGGTAGAAGGGTAAGATTCAGTCTCTCGTAATACCACCCGTATTACACCTCCATGATCGTACCTGGCCTCACTTTTCTCTGACACAGTAAGTCACCACCGTATGGTCTCAAGTAGTTTTCGTTGAAAGAGGCTAGGATAAACCTGGGCTTAAGTCTCTCGTAGTTTTCTTACAAGATATAGGGTGTGTTGACATAGCAGCTGAGGACTTCGGCAAAACCCTCCAGAAAATTTGAAAATTCACGGAAATTATTGGCCAGTTCAGCGACATTGATATCTCTGGCGACCTACCGTTACTTCTAGGATCAATTTTATCACTGTTTTTCACCATTCAGGAATTATTTCGGGGCAAAACGAGTGTTTATTCGTTAGATAGCCTGACCTATTGAAACGACTTGATGAAAGTCCCGCGCTCTGACATGTTCCTGGAGCTTTATCTCCAGACCTTCGTGCTACCACTCAGTGATATTCGCCTGAGTATTACGTGCTCGGTGTTCTGACCTGGTGGTTCCGTCTTATTTGGGCACACAGACCAGCTGGCCACCCTGGTCAGCGCATTCTGTATGGATTTGTGGTTAGCTGGATTTCGTAACTATTATTTCCTCCAAGATTTACTTACTCCCAGATACGGTCGATCCGTCAGTGGAGGTGCCAGCCTTGTATTTGCAACCAGAGCCAGCCTTGTGAGAGCAGTTGTTGGGGCAATTGCATGCCGCAACGGGGTTTGTGGCAATCAGAGCATCTCTAGGAGACAGATCCTGACCCTCCGGGACAGCGGCGGCCATGGCCTGGCTGGCGAAGAGAGCAGCAGCAGCGGAAAGGATGGTGGTGGTCTTGAAAAGCATTTTGGCGATTTCGTGGTTGTCTGGAGTAAAATGTTCGATATTTTGTTCCTGTTGAGGTATTTAATTGAAACGGGACGAGAGGATGTCGACCTGGATGGGGTTTACAACCCCCTTTTATAGATTTTCTTCCTATAGAACTCCCTACTGATCTGTAGTTCGCCCCGCGTCCCATCTGGTGTCAAGATTTCAGTATCCTATCTCCAAGGTCTTTTCGCCTCGTCGATCTTCAGCGTGCGTCACCTCCCCGTGTGTGAAGGTGGTAGCACCCGATCTACATGCCATCGATTGTCGACTAAATTGTCGACTCCTCAGCCAAGGTCGCACACTGCAGTCCTCCATTATAGACCGAGCCCGTTCATATCGCCCATGATTCGTCTCTACTATTCATTCTGTCGTGCATAATCAAATCCTCTTTTACTTAGGATCATGCCTTGTCAGACCTTAACCAAAGTAGCGACAGGGATACGACGATCTTGATTGATGTTTCGTCGGATCATAGATGATGACTGGGCTGTCTAAAATACGCTGACCAATACTAGCCCTGTAGTAAGTAGGAGCGGCGAGCTGAAAATACGTCGAACGACGCGCACAGGGAGAGACTCTGTTTCACTCCATAGTACTACTTTGTGCCAATCGCTGCAAATGCGGCCGCGTTGATATTCCATTTTAGTGGCGAAAGGATTGTTTGTACGACGGAGTAAGCACAACGCACAGAACGAAGTTCACAGCTGATTAGCTGAGGATCTATCCAAGGACGATGGATGATCACGAATGGGATCTTGTTGCTGGTCGTTGTGACCTCAGCATTACACAGTTGTGTTCCATTTATACTGAGGGTAAAGGTAAGACTGCAAATCATTGTTTATTGAATTGGCGAAACAGCCTATCAACTTGAAGTTGCTGCGGTCTATTCTTGGGATAAGCTACGTAATGCGATGTAAGACCAGCCGGACATTGCCTAGCATGTGCCTTGTGCTCGAGTCCAAACGGCATTGTATTGGAAGGACGCCTGTTCATGTAATAAACTCGTGAAGAATAAGTCTCCCCTTTCCCGTTCCTCCCCCTTTTCTGGTGTCTTTGTAACTCTTTTCAGCGCTGGGTGTAGACCACGCATGATAGCAAGACCAAGAAATTGTAGTAGATAATGTGGTAACGGACGGTGGGTCCTCCTAGAAAAGAATACACCAGTCCCACGTCACGGCTAAATCGTACGCACTGCCAAATATAGAAGCGGCCCAGCCCTAATTGATTCGAGCTGGTGAGAAGCCCCCGGGATGTTTAAGAACTCTATAGAACTCGATTCTCATAGGCGCCAGGGCGTCGAGCGACCTGGCTCCTCTGTATGCCATTTAGTGCCCGCGAGGATCGGCACGCGTTTGGGGGCGGCAGGACGTTTCACCCTTTGCAAATCATTGACTCGTGCCTACATTGCTTGTGCATGTTGCGATCTCAATCAACCATGATTGGCGTGCTTTGTAACTCGTACCACAGACTGTTCGTCATGGATCTGCCCAAGCGTCGTAGCCCCATGACGGTTGATCGGGACTGTCGTGGAACCCAGGCTGGGTTCCTCACGGCACCACACAAAAAAACGATGCGCGGTTTGTGTCACTAAAAAGGGAACATGACGCCTGCGAAGAGCACAGAAGGAAGCCGTAAGTTTAGCTTCGATCTTCGGTCCACACCCAAAGACTGTTGCGTGGCCGCGATTCAGGAGGCTGCGCAAGTTAGGAACAGCAGTGGAGGAGGTGGGAAGTCGATCGCCAGGTACGGGTCCGAAGGGTGGATACCTCAACTAGCTGGTGCGGGTCTTGGGGCAGTGAGATGAGGGGCCTGAGGAGTGTGAACCCCCAGATTCCCTTCAAGCCTTGGCCGTCTGTAGGCTGCCTGGAAAGTTATGTAAACCCGACTTGTCAAAGCCCCTGCGAAGCAACTCGAAACAAGAAACGCGCCGACATGGGATGGGATCAGACATGGTCTGGCCATGAACGGGTTGGGACTTGAACGCCCTCCAGCTGGCCATGTCCTGCGTGCCTCGTCCGGTTTTGATTACTGAGCCTTCCATGGGTCTCAGATGGCCCAGCTGCTGGGGCGGGCTGCACTCAAAGGCTTGCTTCGACTAAGTTACCAACCCAGAGTACAAGCGCCAAGCACACCATTCCCGAGCTGATCCCAAACTCTCGACCAGCACGAGCCTTGCAAGCCATTGCTGGAAGCTAGTCCGCGCAGCTTTCAAAAGCGTAAGGCTGATTGACGAAGCTTGGAGTGCCAGTGACGGTAGTTGCAAAGCGTTCCGTAGGCCTTTGAACCGGCTACCTTAGTAGTAGGATAACTTCCTGCCAGGTCCCCGGTCGTCTCAATCGCCTATGAACCGATGCTGTTCGCTGATGTTGTTCCCAGCAGCTTGGAGTCGGACAGCAGGATTGTAGAGCAAAGCGATCTTACCATATACCCATCCAGTATCTTGCTTCCCGGATACGGAACGTATGTCTGACCAAACCCCGCTGCACCGCCTTAGCATTGCGATCCTCTGGGAGAGTTCTGGCCAGACTTGCCAGAGAGCGAGTCATTTCTGAAGTCACGATCGGATATTTCCAAGTGTACCATGGTGGAAACCCCGCAGACGCGCCGATACTCCACGCTGGCCCATCGATCTCCACGTTCCTGCGTGGCAGCTCTGCCCACGATACCGTGATTGGAAGACCTGCTAGTGACCAAGCATTTCTGTTACGTCTCGGTGACCCGAGTGTCTAACTCTATAAACTTTAACTTCACCTCCTGTGGGGTATACTCTGGAGAATGCCTTACTTCGGCTTTCCACATCGCCACTATAGGAGCTTCGATCGCTCGGGGCTTCCATGTTGCAAGAACGACCTAACCCGCAATAACCAAGGCAGAATATTGGTGATCTGACGTTTGCGATGACGAAACCGCTGGAGAACAAGCGGAATCTTCGGAAGAGGGCGTGGAAACCCTGCCATACCCATATATGACTTTGTCCGCAAAGAGCTATCGTTGAAAGTTCAAGTTAGTCGCGGCCTGCATCGTACGACTGCAGATCCTATTCATTCGTTACTTCAAACTGACAACATGGCTGGAAAGCTGCCCATGCTCGCTGCCGCCGTCGGTGGAGCTCACGCCCTCGCCGTGCGACAGGCCGGCTGCTCGTTGACTTTGCACACCGAGGGTTCCGTATCCTATCCCGTAGGTCAGCACAGCAGCGGCCAGACTCGCGCCGGCAGCAGCTTGGCTCCGAGTGCCTTCACACTCATCGATTCAACCCTCACGGATGCTCAAGGGCGTGGCTGTTGGTGGACCCCTCCGACTACTGTCTTACAGTGTGACGTCGGCCAGGTTCCGGAGACCGGTTTCCAGATTGGTTGTGATGGCAGTGTGTCGTTCAATGGTCAGACCACGTTCTATGAATGCGCAACTGGGGAGGGCGATATTGTCAATGTTTATCTGCAACCAGATCAGGGCGCCAACTGTGCAGAAATCACGTTGACAGCCGATGGCTGCTCTCCATCCGACTGCTCTGGTGCCAGTTCTACGGGTGCTGCTTCCGCCACGGAATCACTTCCTCCCCCCGGGTCTGCTACGGGGTCATCGCATGGTGTAGGCAGCACAGTCACAGGTTCTACCTCATATCCGATCGGCTCTGCTACTAGGACGTATCCTGGCTCTTCGGGTATGGGTATGCAGACCACTCCTGGTGCTGGCAACTCACCTAGCTATCTTACTGGAACAGCTTCTGGTACAGCACCATCAGAGTCGGAGACTGAGACAGCTCCCCCAGGAGGTTCTCACACGGAATCCTCACCTGGATACGCTACCGGGACTGCCACTGGCACGAAACCCAATGAATCAGAGACTGGTTCGTCATCGGAACTTCCAGTTCAGACGCCCACAGCCACCCAGCCCCTCGAAAGTCAGAGCGGCTTGGTTTCAACTATATATTCAACCACATGGTTGACTGTTACTAGTTGTGACTTGAGCGTGGTGACTAGTTGCCCAGCTGAATGCACTTCTGGTGCCGCTACTATCCCAGGTTCAGTTCCTGCTTCCGGGACCGCAACCCCGGGCACGTCGTTACCTGACGGGTCGGCATTAAATTCCGCATCCTTGAGCGTACCTGGCCGACCCACTGGCGACACCACTAACCCAGGTTACCCGTCAAGCTCTCCAGTGGGTGGTGGTGGAACACCTGAAAACCCAACCTCTGGCCATCCTACCGGCACCACAACCATTCCCAGCTATCCCTCAACTTCGCCTGGAGAGGGTGGTGGCACACCCGGATATCCTACTGCTGGCGAGTCCTCTGGTACCGCTAATGCCCCAGTTTATCCAACGGGTTCTCTAGGAGGTAGCTCTGGACCCATCTCGCCCAGCCAATCCAATCATTCGAAAACTTACAGTCCCATCACCCTTTCTCCCATTACTACCCAGCCTGCAACTGGGACTTCGGGTGCGCCTACGACAGCTACTCAGCCGACTGTATCTGTACCATCCCCCAGTTCAGTTAATATCCCGGAATCGTGCCCTGGCGACGTGGTGAATGCTGGAGAATTTAATCTACCTGCTCTTATTATCCCAATTGACAGCACGAGTCCCAATGTTGCCAATGGGACCTCATTCTACGGCGATGTCAGCTCTACTCGCTCCACTATTTTCAATTTCAACATTCCATCCACAGATGAGGGAAAGACTTGCAATCTAATCTTCCTGTTTCCCGAGCAGAGCACGCTCGAGACATCATCCTACACCTTCTCGGGCTCTGGTGTTCTCGACTTTTCCAAGCTTAGCTCTACAGCTGACAAAGGCACCACTGATGCTAACGCCCCGTCCGTGGCTTCTTATATCGGTCAATTCACTGTGTCACCTGGCAATGCGTACGATATCTCATCTTTCGCCTGCCCTGCTGGTGGCGCTCTGAGCGTCAAGATCGCCGATGGCTCTAGCGGCGACACGAGTCTGCGATTTTTCCAGGACTACAACCCCTGCCCTATTGGTCTTTTTATCACAACCTCCTAAGCCTGTGGTGTATAGGGCTTTTGCTTCATGATTCGATGAAAGAATTATGCTATATACAGCATATTAGCACATATGGTGTAGGAGATAGTGCTATCATTGGTAGCATTTTATATAGCTCGTCATTAGATAATCTAAAAGCAAACTATGAAGTACTTGAGCCTTGCATCAGTGCTCGCGAATATGATCTATCTCTTTGGTAAGTAGCTCAACCTGTCGGTCTCCTACGGCGCTCCTTAAGGCCGCGTAACGCAGTGTGACCAGCAATCTCCCTTTAAAATTGTCATGATCCGACTAGCAAGCCGCGATGATGACGTTCCAGTCCCCGTGTTCTTTATAAGAGAACTGTTGGCCTGGCAGGTATATGTCAACACAAACCAACCTGCAAACTTCGGAGGACCCTACCATGGATATATGAGCCATAAGTCTGGGAACCGCAGATGTCTCGAATCGACTCCAGGAAGTGTGCCACCCATTCCAGCTGGACGACTTTGGTCACCGACTCATCATTGCACGTATAAACAGCAGTGCCCCGGTTGCATACCCCTACCCTTGCACAATCGCCACCACGTTCAGCGTTCGGCGTGATACCAAACAAACGTTGGTGTGTCTGGCTTGGCAAAGTGCTCCTGAAGTAGTTGATGGCCTCACCGACCTCACGGGGGCGCCCTCCGAAGCCATCATTGAAGCAGAAGATACGTTTTGGATCCTAGGCTAGTTAGAACAGCTTATGTGTATGGGTTCATATGAGATGGATTGCACACCATCGGTGCTGGTGTCCCAATCTGAGGAGCTGGAGCCTCAGTTCGACTTTTGATGAAGAATGGTGGCTGCTCTGGACCATGATATCTACTTTCGGTGATCTTGACTTCAATCGGAACGGACTGGGAATGTCAGAGATGGTTCTCAAACGTCTCCCTCGGTATCACCTACAACAGCCACGACAATTGTCAAACCAAGAAGAAAGAAGAGACTGATTCTGAAGAACATCGTTAGTATTGCAAGAAAGGAAACAAGTGTGGTATGCCGCAGATGTCGACTTTGGCCAAATTCGTCAAGGGGTATCGTCGAAGCTGGCGATGAAAGACGGAAGGAGAGGCTGTTGTATGAGAGTCGGCGGAAGCCGATTATAAAGTACAATTATCACAGATCAGAAAGGAAACAGCTGCTCTTGCTCATTATTTGCTGCTCAAGTGCCAAGTCCTCAGTATGTTCCGATGAACATTCCTAAGGCGCAGGCTCAGGGACATCCTGAGTGATGCTGTTTGTCGTTGCCATGATGGATTCCTGCCGTAGGGTAGCGCGAGTACGTAAGAACGGTCCTCCATACCTTATTTGTTAGCCCAAGATTAAATGATCAGAGTGTAGCAGTGTCAATATCAAACTCGTGCGTCTCCCAGTAATGAAACAGTGACTGGATTGGCTGTAGCGTGGATGAGCGAAGGGCATGGACACCAACTACGGCTGCCCTTACATTGATTGAGACAGGCAAGGAGAGCGTACCCCAAACTTGAAGCAAACCTGACATCTAAGGGTCGGCCTTCAGGGTAATACAGCAGAAAGTCTACGTTCCATCAGTCATATTCATTTGACTAGTTTGCAAAGTGATTACATTATGTACATCGCTATCAAGCCTGTGCTGACATCACGTTATAGGTAGGTACCCCTCATCATTCCATTTCGAACCATCATAGAACACCTCTCGCACTTTGTTTCCCACCTGGAAGTAACACCTATTCATTTGCTGGTTACTAGTGATTTCTACCCCAGCCTCATCCCACGCAGCAGGTGTCAAGCAAGCAATGTCGGTGCCATTGTCTGCGTTGTCGAACGCGCTAAAAGTTTGAGGCCCTTTCCAACCCGTTGTGTCATCCTGAGACACAACTTGAATCGTTCCACTTTTGTCTTGGTAAAGCAGATAAGTATTTGTTTGGTTGGTCGTGCTGGCGGGACGCGCAACGGCGAAGCCGCCGATAGGGGAGTCCTCAGGGATAGGCTGTGAAAGTTCACCTGCAATTGGGTTAGTAATTACCACGTCTTCTCACCCCGGCTATGAAACTTACTCGAGCCCCAGGCAGTACCAGTGTCGTTGTTATTCTGATCGGCAAGATACGTCATCATCTTGCCATCACTGCGGCGGTAGACGAAGCCTCCCATATTGAAATACCACGACGAGGCAGGTAGCACGACCATGCCGGCGTTCGTAGAGCCAATTACGCCTAGAGTGCTGTTCTCCCACCGCGTCGTGGCTGGCGCGGGCCAATAACGAGTCCACCTGAAATGCCCGTCTGAGTCCTGCGATATGATGAACGGCCAATATGAAGCAAGTCTGGAGGTTGGCGGCACCGTCAGAGGGTAGTCATTCAAAGCTAATCGAGCCCCTTGCTCTGCCTGGCCCTGGGCATCTATGTATCCGTGCCCTCTCATCACCGAGTTCTCGCCGACATATATCAGCTTGTACTGGACCTGAAGGCAAACAGTTAGCAATGGCTTATTATCTTCGAAGCCCATAATGCCTACCGGTGTGCTTTCCACGGACAGCGATGCAGCCAGAGGGGTATTCTCGCCTGCAGCGTGCTCCAACCCGGTCAAGACAATCGGGTCCGACCAAGAAGATTCATTGCTTGCATACGAAGAGACGCGCAATTTCTGGTCCGGGCCTTGGTAGAACAGACGCATGCGGTAGTTCGAACCATCACGGTAGCCAGTGACAGCTAGTCTTGAGCCCGAACGAATGTTTTCAAGCGACGTTGCATTACTTGTCGAACTACCCGAGGATGCATCGTTCGTGTCTGGTTCTGAGGTTCGACTTCCGAGAACCCCTCCAAGAACTGCACCAATGATGACCAACACCGCGACAACACCAACGACTATCCACAAAACTTTCCTGCTTCGCTTCCGCGTCGCCGTCGCGGGCGCTGCAGCCGGTGCAGCCTCTGTTGGGACGCTTTGGTACGCTTGAGCACCATAATGTTGACCGGTGTAGCTCAAAGGCGAGGGTTTTGCTTCATTTTGGTACGGCACTGGCTGCAGAATTTCGGAATCGCGTCCCGGTAAGTATCGTGTATCCACCTCCAGGCCTGGCTGATAGTTGACTTCGAGGCCAGGCTGCTCGTGAGCTCCCGCGTTGCCACTCATCGTGTCGAGCGATGTGGTCGATCCTCTGCAGTATTCATCGAGACAGCAGAGGGATGACGAGGACCAAAAAGCTTTGAGAGTTCAGCTGTGGTTTCAGTGGTAGGGATCTCCAGGTCTCTAACGTCGCAGCCGTCATTTCCACACTGCAATGTCGATTCCACTTACAGGGTGGCTTGTTGCTGAAGAGGGGCTTGGCTGTGGATAACCATCAGCTTTAGACCACCTTAAGCCCAATGAAACAACGCAGAAAACCCTTGTTCTTAGTTGGGGTCCAGGTTGCGATCCATGGTAGGTACCTAATCCTCCAGTAAGCACGACTGACTCCGCTCAGTCTCGGCAATCGGTGCGCCGCCCGAGATTCCTCAATCAACCAATCATGAACTTATATGACATGATGCCTGGTTCGAGGGGTGGACAGTGAATATGCAAAGACCGCAGAGATCTTGGAAAAGTTATCTTCCGAGTCCGAATACATGCCTGGTTTAGACTTGCGTTGGCAATAAGATGCGAATCGCTATTTAAGTAGAAGACAAACAAAATGCCTGTTGTCGGACTTCATGGGAACTTAGAGCTGGGCTCGATTCTGATTTCGGCTTGACACTAGGGAGCTAGCGCTTACAGCTTACTTGGAATGGGTTAGTGAGTGAGGCGGCAATCCAAATATGGCCATGCTCACCCCAACCACGTTGTTAAGACCAAAGCCGTGGGAGCTTCCACGGTAGTTAGTGTGTTGCTTACTATGATCAGGTCCAAACCGATCTTTTGCTATGAGCTGCTAAGACCGGCACTGCGAAGCTGTGCCATTGCTCTGGCTGCGCGAACGCGTACAGTTGTCGCGCTTCTCGTCGTACTGGCAAACGGGGAAGGCAAGGCATCGTGCGCAATACAGAGTACTATGTAACTATGCTGGTCCGTGCCGCGGGGCGGCTGCGCCCCTACTCCTGGTCGTGGCTCGTTCGCGGCCTGCAACCTGTGGTACCACGGGTACCTGAGTACAGTACAATACTGGCCATGCCGAAACGAGGAGCCGTTTGCTACGTCATATCAGAAGAGAAGGAGAGTGCAGTATGATTCCGCGCTTGTTTATTGCAAGAGAGCCTGTATATTCTGTATGAATAGATAATTTTTTTCCTTTTCTCTAAACGCCCCTGGATGGGGTCACAAAAACAACCTCAAGCGGGGTCTGGCGTTCAGGGTGTGCTGGCTTAGGCCCTCATAGTGACCGCATATCCTGTGTACCATCCGGTCCTGACCAAGTCGGCCCTGAGTCCTATGAGATGTCAATCGGCCGCTAACGGCGACATTGTTTTGCGTTACCAAGTCTTGACCATTCCCGACTACCGTCTTTCAATACTGACCTGATAATTCATCCTCCTCCTGTTATCGTCGGGAGGATCAGTAACCGGCCTCCGGTTGCGAGTCAGCCTTTAACTCACAAGAGCTAGCCTGCCTCTGGGCAAATCACTACTTTCCAATTCGTCCAGATAAATCCACCTTAAATTCTGTGCACGAGTACTCCATGCTACAGGATGCTGGTCAATGAATGGTTAACAGTAGAATCGGGGATTTGGACAACATGTTTTCACCAACCTGCCACGTTAGTGAGTTTCTCAAGTGCTCGGCAATCTATGTGCCGGATTGTCTAGCGTCAGCTAGTTGCCGTTCATTATGCCGCCGTCTTTACAATTAGATGTCTGGTTATTGTGATCTTCGAGATTTGGCATCGAATTGGCCCAATAACTCAAAAAATTGGTAGGGAGGCCTCTTGAAATCTTTTGCAAAATCAGCAACTGTTCCTTCGAAATGCGAACAGCTGCGTCATCTCATACTAACCTTTACCACTACCTGAACTGTTGCTTCCGACATCTATCGCCAAACTCGGTACACTCGATCGATGAACCAGGCACTCATCCCTTGCTTCAAGCAGTGTTCTTCGGTTCCCGCTTTGCATCAGCCCGCGAAATCTCGAAGAGATGAAGTCTACGATCTTCTACTACAACTGAATGGCGGTGATCGGCCATCGTGTTGGGGGCCATGTGCTTCTACGAAGAGGGTCTTCAGCCGGGGTTGGCTTATCTGCACGTATCGACACCCCAAACATAGATGCCAAACCGCGATCTGGAATAATTGCAGGCGCTGTGGTCTTTGTTGTACTACTAGTGACGGCGGTCTTGATCATGATCTGGAGGCACCGTCGCTATCAAAGGCGTACAAGGAAACTCAAGCACGAAGCGGAAGAGGCTGCGAAAGAATCTGACGCAAGACTAGAATTGGAGACGAGCTCGGAATCGACGTGTATGCAAGACGATAGGACTGCAGGGAGCAGGACAGAGACAAGGTGTTCCTCCTCGGGAAAGGGATGCGGACTTGAAGTGCCTGGGAAAGACCTGCTCGACGTACGAACTGTGAAGAGCAGCTTATATGATGACGATCAGAGCTTCAGAACTGCGGCCGCGAGCCTGCACACACAGGACGGTGATGATGGTCTAAAAGGATGAGGGTTGCCGTCAAAAGTTGGCAGTTGAGAAATCTCCACGGAGGATGGCACCACCAATCTCCAAGTTAGGCGATTGAGCTCGGGACAGTCTGCGCCTCCGTACTAGACTACGACCAGCCGCTATTCATTGTCGTGAGCGCAGGTACATTGCCTGTCATGTTTACTTCATGCTTCACGAATGATGCAAGGGCAATCGTTAAATACAAATGCCACTCGGAACAAGGGCGCGTCGAACTTTTCATCGACTCAAGCTACACGCCATGCCTAAAGGAGTCGGTCGAGGTGAAGCCCATGCGATTGGAGAAGATTTGAGCTGGAAAGGGTCTTGATGGTAGATGGGGCTGGTACACCTGGATCATAGCTCGATGCTTGAGAAGACCCCAATGGCAACAGCATAACATAGAGCACTGGTGAAGTACGGAAGGCCAATGGCCACTCCACCGGATGAGATGCCACTGACCCAGAGTGAGGCCATCAGCGGTGCCCCAACCAATGACCCCAAAGTCTTTGTCATCATGACTAGAGAAAATGTTGGAGTCTCAGCATCGTCCATTTCCATGTCAATGTCTCGGCTCGGGGCCAAGGCGGACGACTTCAGCAACGACAACGTGAAGACCGGCAATGCGGAGCCGAGCGCGTAGACCAAAAGAGACGGCACCAACAGCCAGATTTTTGATGCTACCGCAATGGCAAAAGCGCCTAGCACCGAGACCAAGAGGCAAAGCCGGGCATAACCAACATTAGCGCGATCTGTAGAGCCGTCGGGGGAACCTGAATGCACCGAAGGAGAAGAATGTCTCGACCGGAGTACCGTAGGAATAATACAGGTCAATAAGATGAAATTGACAACGGCTTTCCCGGAGAGAAGGTAGCCGGCTCCTGCAAAAGTCCACCGATACCGTTTTGAGATATATTGAGGCAAGAGCTTTGTGTCGGAGCTCGCCAATGACGTTAAGAAGAAGGACGCAAAGAGTAGGGTGAGATTTCGTGGATGAGATTCCAGAATAGACTTCAGTGTACCGAATCGGGCCATGATGGACTGGAATGCGGACGATTCAGACCGTTGAGCTTTGAGTATAGGGGACGAGAGAAGGGGGCGTGACTGCTCCGCGGCGCGCTCAGTATAATCGATATGATTGACTGAACAGCCACCTTTGATAGGCAAGAAAATGATCACCGGGATTGCAAGGATTAATAAGACGATTCCAATCCAGAAAGGGAACCATAGCACGACGGACATGGTGGCAGACGCAAGCGCAGGGCCCAGCAGGGCGACAACATACGATACAGAGCTCATCCACCCAAAATAGGTGGCACTAAAGAAGTCATTAGATCGTGCTTGAGATATGGACGCGACAAGCATACCGAAGGACATAGTCGTCTGTCATGTCAGCCGCCAGGGCATATGTGATTGAGTTGAACACGCAGTCACCCCCCAGAACAGACAAGAATGGGCCCGCGATGATTGCCTTGGTTGGGAGAATCTGCTCAAAGTAGCCCGTGACGACAGCCCACGAGAGCATAAAAAGCCTGGGCGTCAAATTAAGCCATAGAATCGCGCGCTGTCCGTATCTCTCAGCCATGAAACCCAGTGGTATGGTCATGACAAAGTCTACGAAGAGTCAGCAGCTGATGACTCCAAAGCTACGTTCATAGCATGCGCAGAACCTCACCACCAACAATCCAAGCAGTGTCCATGGCCCCCTGAATCCACGCGAGACCTCTCTGGACGTCATCCACCTTGCACAGATCTTCCAAAATGTCTCCATCGTCGCCAATTTGTGAGGGGTCATGGGCGGCGTAGTATTCCAGGCACAGCCGTCGTTCAATGACCCTATTGAGTGGGAGCTGGTAAAGACTCGCTGATAGGTTGACCAGCAGGAGCAAGGCCAGGAGCGCCCCAACAGGCCGTTTCGATGCCTTGGCCAGCGACCTGACATCTGACTCGTACGATACGCCGCCGTCTTGGGCGTTGTGATCCATGGTCATGAAACGGTAGGTGAGACGAGAATGGCATGAAAGAGTTGACATCCATTATCATCCAGTCAGTCCGTCTGCCGAGTCAAGGCGGTGCCAAAGCGCTATCGCTAGCCCCACAGTGAGGACGCCTCCGGGCCTCGCTAGAGTGGGGTTGATCTCTGCAGGTGCAAGGAAGTGAACTACTGTGTAGCTTCAGCTTCCAAGGCCCCTGTGCATTGACAGTACTTGGCAGTTAAAAATAGTCCTGGTTTGTGCGGTTTCTGTGTTTTCCAAAAGCTTGGTGCAGACTGAATCCTGAGTCTACAGCACGTTGCTCTAGCCCGCCCGACAGCGCTGAAGACCGCGGCATCCATTTTGGAACATCCTCTCGATAAGCACCTCCAAGCGGAGACGCCAGCCGTGCATCGGGCTTCATCGCTTGAAAAGGCAGCGCAGCAACGATATGCAAGCTCTCTCTTTAAGAGAAAGCCACGCGAGTGGCGTGGGAGGTTCATGATCTCGACCCTCGTTGACTGGAGCAGGATGAAATACGCCTTAGAACCAATACCGTCTGTTACCAAATTCGAAGCCGCCACCAAGACTCGTTGGGTCTGTGGTGCGTTGATGCCATTCATAACCAATATACCCACGGGACACAGGAGCTAGATACATATAACGATGTGTCTCACTGATACCAGTTGTGTTCACGTTAGACTATCTCGGCCATCGTCCCAGAAAGTGATGGCAAGAGCACGAGTGCGCTTCGCAGCGATGGCCTACCAGACCCTCGGGGTCGGATGACGAGATGTATATCAACTTTACGCAGTCATCTCACAACCGTGGCGGGCCAGAGCCACTTAGGTGGTTTCAGGCGCAAGAGTGACAATGAGATCCTCTGTCTGGAGTAATGATCTCGGACTGGGATCACTCTCACGAACTGCAGATATCACTGATCCATTACGTGAGAAGGCCTTCGTGTGGTATCGAGGGTATACTCGTCTTGCATGGATGCTAGCGAGCCAGACCTTCGACTCCCATGTCTCCATAGAAGGCGTATATGCACCGCATATCCTCTAAGAAACCATAAGAGTCAATAGCTTTCCCTGAACTGGCTTTTCAGAGGTGAAAGCAGTGATTGTATATCCAGCGCACTCGGCCCACTCGAAACTACTTGACCATGCGTCTTGCCGAAACGTGCGACATATGGCAGAGTTGGATATCTTTTAGATTCATTGTCTCAGTATTCAGCGTCAACTAGCATCCACGGAGAGAGATAACGTATTTGATGAAGGAAGGTGCCCCAGGATGGTCCTTATGGTAGATGTCAAGAGGTTGGCGCCCTACTTGCTGCCCGCTTGGCCTGAAAACGATGGCAACCCCAAAAGACTGTCATGGAGTCTATGTGAGTCCTTGACTGTTGCTCCGGCGCCAGTGTTGGTGCCTGCACCCGCAAGTTCGACGCGCTCTACACGCCAAAGGTTCTCTGCAGCCCCTCTCCGGTTTGGAAACCCGATTTTGCCTTGGGTTTTACATCAGCATCCGTTTGTCTTTCCATAAAGGCAAGTGCTTCCAGCCTCTACCCACTTCATTCCGTCAAGCCAGCAGGACGTCTCCCTGCGTTATTATCAGTAATGTCTGGCGTCGCCCATGCTCGAGTTGGCGTGCGTGACATGACCATCGGCGCGTAAGTTTTCGTGGACTCCATCTCTCACGTTTTGTTCGGTATGAAAAACCTGACGTGTTCGTGACAGTGGCTCTGAATCTCCAATCGTCATCATTTTCGCGGGCGAGGATCGTCGTCGTTTTGAGATTGCACGAGATCTTCTCATCGCAAACCAGATCAGGTTTGGCAACCAAGCCAGCGAGAGGAAGGGCAATGTAGCCCTACCCATCACCATAAACCTTGCGGACGATGATGCTGATGCTTTCAATCCCTTTTTCGTGTGGTTTTACGATTATGACTTACCTCAATTTCGACGCGACTGTATTTCTCCTGCTCAATCGTGGATCCACACTCTGGCTCGTACTGCTCCTGATGTGGCCTATTTTCGCCCGTTAGCAGAGAAGGAATCGTCGTCTTCGCCGGCTATCAACAAGGAGAATGAAACAATTCAAAGTCTTCTGCTTAAGCTTGCCGTGCTCGCTCGGAAGTACAATTGGGTCAAGTATTTCAACGCCGTCATCGACCAATACCGGACCGGAGAGAAAACCATGCAGAGACATTTTCCCCTCACTTCGCCTATACAATGCGTCTTTTCTGAAGGGGACAATACTGATCTATCGTCCCCAACTACCAATCTTCTCGTCGATTACGCCTTTTATATAGGCTTTTCAAAGTGGTATCAAGGCATATGCCAAACTATTCCGTGAGATCCCTGCCTTTATGGAGGCTTATAAGTACGCCAGGATGCTACGTTGTCCGATATCATGGATGTCTCTCTATCAATATCAAAGACAACATGTTCAACCGGAATGCCAGACCACTGGACGTCTCCTCAGAGCTTTATCGCCTCCTGAATGAAGAGGTCTCTTGATGCGGCCACCATGTCAAACGCCCATTACTTGGGTGTGTACTCCGTTTAAAGATTAGACAATTCGGCAAAATTGACAGTACAGTGACTTTCGGGTTCTGGTTGCATGGGGAAGAAACAAGGCCAAAATTAGACCGAGCATGAAGAGCAATGAAGGACGTCACGATGAAGGAAGACTCAGAATGACTGCATAACGACGAGAGAGGCAGGAATGAGAAACAGCAGGCATGTCATGTGGTACCGACCATCATATTGCTACTGCTCCCGGGAGGAGGATTCATATTGACTTGGCACTTTGTTTCTTGCAGCATGATGATGGTTTACTAAGGGTAGACTGCCGGTTTCCAGTCAGTTTCATGAGCGTTGGCATGGTCGTCCGCACTATGAGTGACGCTTCGCTCGTTCGAGGCAGCTACATAGACCTAACGATTGCAAAACCTTCAAACAGAGGGAGGGTTCATTTGTCGCTACCCCAGAGAAAAGGATAGCCTCTTGAGTTCTCAACCCTCTAGTAAATGTCTGTGAGACTTTGTCGCGTGCGCAGAGTCGCTCACTACAGACCCAACAATTTCTGGACCTGGCTGTGCTGGTCAGTACAGTCATGCGCTGGAGGTTGAAAAAGCAACGACGAGAACAGACGTAGATCCACTCACTTAATACGGACTTGATGCACGCCTAGTCCAAAACGTAGGGGCCAAAGATGCGCCAGCCGGGTTCGCAGGTGCCCTCGATGACCGTCTAACTCGTCGCTTTCCTAGTGATGGCCTACCAGGCCGACACCAACAGAAGGCGAGAATGCAGAGCATGGCGAACTGCAGTGCCACAAGGAGGATTGTTAGTATAAAGCCAGCCCTGCCGCAGTCGCTGGGCTTGACGAGGACCTGTCCATTTGGCGTGATGTAAGTTTGCCTCTTGTGGAGGGCCTCATGGCGAATGTTACCAACTTTGACCCCAAGGTGTAGGTGTGGTCTATGGGAGAGCACATAGAACGTGGCAACAGCGATGAGAAAAGTAGATAGGGACAGCAAGAAAGCAAAGAAAATTGATGGTCGCATCCGGAAGATGCGGTATGTTGGCGGGTAGAAACGTATTTGTCTGTTATGCGGCATCTTACCTTCTGCCGTACCGAATATTGAAAGGGAAATTTACTAACATATAAAGACAAACGTGGGTTTAGCCGGCGTGAAATGTTTCGTCGACCTGCGCTGCTTGTTTGAGTACTTCAGTACAGTCATCACCCAATCACAGTCAGTGGTAACATGGCTGTTACATGATTGCGCATTAATTCACCACGGGCAGCTGGGTGCGAGGCTGTAACTTTCACAACTCACGGCCATAAAGTCTGAGCATCGCCTTGTCAGTATCAGAAAGGTCTCACTTAGAATCACAATAATATTCTATATGTTCTCTAGTAAATTGACCCCTAACGCCATTGACATGCAGGTAGGTAGCTTCGCCGCGTTCTATATGCAAATCTTCTCCATCAATAGTCTCAACTAGACTATGTTGACGTGCTCCTCTGCTTGAGTATTTGTTCATACCTTGACGAGCTTGAATCCTTGCTGCGTATACCGCGCAGCGATGTACACGACAACACTGGATGTCATTGCGATGCCGCAGAAAAGCTGCAGGCCCAGGTAGCTGCCGTTCATGGAGGTGACCAGCGCGCCTCCGATTGGGGATCCAGTAAGGGCACCGATTGCCGTTACCAAGAAGGCCGTTCCAGTACGTGTTCCGATCTCTCGAACATCCGATATCTGAGCAATACAAGCAGGGCTCAGTGAGATGAAGCCACCTGAAGAGAACCCGAAGATGACCCCATAAACGATAAGAGCCGCACTGCTTTTCCCTGGAATCCACAGGGCTAGAGTGATCACGCCCGACAAGAGAGTGATGCAGATGATCATGTTGAAACGGCCGACCTTGTCAGCGAGAATCCCGGGTCCAATACGGCCGAAGATGCTCACAGCATTGAGAATCGGCAACAGATATTCAGACAAAGACTCGTCCATGCCAGCACTCTGGGCTTGGAGTGTGATGTAGCTGAACGGCAAGAACATGCCAAAGTAGAAGAAGAACCCAGCGAGCATGGTCAGGCCCATAGTTGGCTCAGTGAACGGCTTCAGGTAATCCTTGAAGACGACGGGCTTGGGTCGCGGAGGGAGACGAGATTTGATGGTTGCGGAAGCGATGCCGCACATACCCAGAAACATGAAGGCAACGACGCGCATCGTCCAGGGAAAGCCGATCTGTCGGATAAGGTGGTTCATCATAATGGGTAGACAGACACCACCGAGTGATGATCCCGAAGCAATAATACCGAAAGCTGCACCCCTCTTCTTGAAAAACCATGTTGTCACCGAAGACATGGCCGCGTTAAAGATGGCGCCAGATGCTGCTGCAGCAAGTATGGACTGCGATAGGAAGAACTGATAGTATTCAGTCGATAGGGAGGTCATCATAAGGCCGAAAGAGTATAAGATAGTCCCGGTGATCAGCAGCCATCGAGGCCCGTAGGTATCGTAGAGTCGGCCCCAGATGATTGTCGTGCCTGTCTGAACGAAGATCTGAACACTCGTAATCCAGCTGACGGTGCTTTCGTCGTAGTATGACAGCGGGCCTTTAATGTAGTACGACAGAAACACACCAACACAGTTCACCAGCCCAAAGGTGCAGAACAGAGCGAAGAATCCACCAAAAACACATAGCCAAGCATCCCGCCCTCCATCAGGGAAATCAGCTGGCGAGAAACCAGGCGGCGCACCGGCGGGTTTCTCTGGTACAGCCAGACCAGATTTCTCGAGGTCTGCCTCTACTGCATTCGCCGGCTCGGGGTACATGTTGGCCTCTGTTGCAGGCTGTTGCGGCGGCTGCCGATCGACCAGGACGTGGTCGGGAGTAGAGAAGCCCCCGACGTCTTTGCCCATCGTTGAGCGGTCGTCGCCATTCATCGTGGACGACGCTGTCGACGAGGCGTCCATATTGCCGATGTGATTCAAAGGAATAACAACGGGATTACTGTGTAGATAACGTTGCGAGTTGAAGACGCTAGCTTGAGCGCTGGTTAGTCTGATACCGGAAAGTGGATGCGATCTCGTTCAGCTCCACACAGGCGAATAGAGAAGGCTGGTCTAGAATGTCGTTATCGAGAGGAACCTTGCATCCAACACGAATGGTAATCTCGAGAGGTTGTAAATTTGGGGCGTATAATCATAGGTGTATCGCGTAGTAAGTGGTATTCAAGCGGCGTCGAATTCGGCAAAGATTCCACATCAACCTTGCGATACCTGAGCCGTAACGCGATACTATTTCAGGGTTTGTAGCTGAGAGTAGAATGGCTTGCGTCGCGTGTCGTCTCACTGCTTCATGTCATGTGCGCCACTGGACTGGTTATATAAGTCAAGGAGGAACTATAACTCTACAGTCTGGGGCAGGAATTAAGCGCATGGGCAAGCAGTTATGTGCTCGGAAAAACGTTCTCTAGAGTCGACCGCGAAAACTCGGTCTTAAGCGGTCCCGGACATAGCAAATGCTCGGTCTGACTGACCAAGCAAGCGTATATGGTAAAACAGTACCAGACTAGTCCAGAGCGGGTTATCCGTATGAAGCTGGATTCATCATCCGTAGGTGCTTGGTCAGCCCTGTTCGCTTGGCAATGAACCATGTGGGGGATGTCATGGTGCCCGGATCTCGACCACTTGTATCTCGTACCTATCTGTCATGTAACCAACCGACCTGCAGAACCTCATGGCAGGCCGTCAAGCTGCAGAGTGTCCTGCGACTGCGTCGCACACACAGGCACATGGCACATGGTCGACGTAGGGTGCATTTCGTCTCCGGACTGCTTCCACGACGGAAGACGATGCATCCCTCCAATATTTTTTTTTTTTGAGTCGCAGCAGATGTGCACTGTAGGTTCTTGGCAAAGTAGCTCAATCCTTCAGCACGACGCCAGCTGCTCATGTCAGTTGCTAGCATTCCATGTTCAGACTACCAAGGAATGGCAGCCTGGTCCGGCGGTTATCCAGTTCGGCCTCAATGTCCAATGGCCGAATGCGCGAAGGGCCGAGAGAACGGATCGCGCTAGACCCCTGATCAAGAGGGCCAAGCAGCCCCTGAAGCTTGGATAGACGCTAAACCCCACAGATGGGATAGGGGACCATTTTAGCTTATCTTATCAGACGATCGAGGTGGGCAGCATCTCGGCGCCGTGTCCCGTCCTCGCACCCAACTCGGAGCGCCGACCACACGGCTCGGACAGCCATCGGAGAAGATGAATCGTCCTCGGAGCGGGCTCTAAGTGGTCGGAAAATTACATAAATGCCCGAATCTTCCTTTCTCGCCTGGCCTATGTCTTCTCACGGCCCTTGATGCTACCTGCCGGCTTCGGAACAGTGAGAACTCAACGGGTCTGGCTGGAACTCTCACAACTCCAACTCACCGTGCCACATTGGCCAAGCCAACCAGTGTCCTGACCGTAGAGCGGCAATTTAACGTTATGTATGAGTAACAGCCTCTTGTGGTGCTTATTAGTTTCGTGCCTCGGGCTATTGCATTGCATTTGTCTAGTTGCTTCCTCTATTGACCAACCGAAAACGCAGTCATCCACCCGTAATTGCCGAGCCTGGTCTTTGCATAACTCCCTTTTGGGAGCGAACTGTAGCTGGAGAGCTTGACAGCAACAGCTCTGGTCCGATAACATTGATTAGCGTCTCCTACCATAGTAAGCTCGTCTTCACGTGACAAGCTGAAAATGCAGTTTGGGTATTTGCATTTCATGATTTACTCACAGTGTCTCTGTGTGTGTGACTTCCTTTTATCCTCTGCTACTCCATGTGCATCGCGGCGTTTCGTGTACATCCAGTTATGTTTGGTCTTGTGTAAGTCCTTTTCCGCATTTGACACAGCCGTTACCACCATGGTGGAAACGGCGCTGCTGGTGCCCGAACTGGTACTGCCCCAATCGTGGAACGCGGAAGGCGGCTCGATATCAAATTTGAAGGATGAAGGTCAAGGACCCTGTGAGGCATGTGGATGGGATGGCACACCTAACCAGCTATGCGAGGGATTCGTAAATGGCACCGAGCTCCCTCCTATTAGTGACAGAGGCAGCCGCGAAACTTCCCAGTGCATTTCATGCCAGATCGCCCTGCTCGGCTGCGAGGAGCGCTCTCACAGTGAAGGACAAGCCACCTAGCGCTGAAGATAATCTGATGTGGAGGAGGGTCTTGGACTTTGCAGTCTTCACAGATGATTCCGGCATCATATCATGCAATGTGTTCATACCATCGACGATGCAATCGAAGGGCATCCCATAAGGTCTACAGAGTCTGCGTCTGAGGCAGGATACATCCTCAAAAGACTCATTGGAATGGGTCAGAGAGCAGATAGCGTGTTGCTAGACGGCTATACCAACCTGAAGCTGAGCCATGAATCTGACAAATTCGTCGCTGTAGGTGGTTTGGCCGAGCGGTTTGGGAAGGCCAGACCTGAAGACAAGTACTACGCAGGTTTTTGGTCTGGATCGCTCCACGACGACTTGCTGTGGTACCGGCAGCTACATGAAATGGTGCGAAAAGGGGTGCCGCAACTCAAAACAAGTCAGTCCCGAGCTGGTCTTGGGCATCTTTGGGCGATTGGAGCATAGGTTACGCAGCGGGTGTGCAAGAAGTTCGTTTAGAGCATTCGGCGGTGATAGAGGCTGTACTGAACACCGAGGGCGAGCAATACCATCATGGCACCTCTCAGCACAGTCGATGAGCTATAGACGGCCATCTACTTCCATTCCGAAGGGTTGTCGGCACAACTGACAGGATTATCCGTGTCCTCCCGCGATTGTTGGGGAGATATTTTCCAATAAGTCAGCAGGACGATGATGGTCCTGGTAGTGCCCAGGTAGTGCTTTGGCATGCTCGCTCGGGGCTGTCATTGACCAACAACGACTTGTCACTAGATTTCAATGACCAAGTTGCCAGAATTGAGCTACCTTCAAGGCTTCACCTGGTAGAGATTAGGCCATTCGAGTTTCTCGGAACCCCACGGCGGAACTACTTGATCCTTAAGGCTAATGACTCTCAGAGCAAGGTCTTTTCTCGTGTTGGCCTCGCATGGGTAGTCGTCGATCCAACCAGAGTCGAGCTTGTTGATTCAATCTTCAAAATCTACAGCACCAGGAAGAGACTTCACATAGAGTAATGGGTATACCGGCACGCAGCAAAGTTAAGTCCAAAGAACTGACCTAGGAAACTAATATCACCCATCCTTCCAGCTTCGACATGCTTACAGAACCTGCACAAGGTCATTAAGACCGAAAAGGAAGGCAAATATGCTAGATGTAAGCCCAAATGAACACATTGTAATTCTGCGTAACTAGTGTTGCACCAGAAACATGGAATTATTGTTCCACACTGGCTGTGGGCAGCTTATTGGTAGTGTTTCATCTACTGGGTCTTCTTTTTGACTTCTTTGCTACTTCGCGCAATGCAATAGTTCGTTTTGCCGTATTGCCTGAAATCATAGAAGGCACTTGACAAGTCACAGTTTCCGGGCGCCGAAGGAAACTGCAGGTACAATCCGCCTCCCAGAAGGCGCTTGGTGTCAATCCAATCCAACTGTGCGCCTTGCCAGCATGCAGTCCAGCGTGGCTAGTAGCTGGCAATGCGGTCTGGGATGCTCGAAAGCAATCGTGATAGGCTCCTATAGACCCAAATGATAATAGTGTACTCTGCACGGTTGTGGGATTGTTGTATCCAATCGGGGGGGTGTCCAATTGGCTGGGTTGTCATTTCTTGGCGTTGCATATTACAGATGTTTGCAGGCTTGAAGTTGTCTCCCGCAAGGGCAAACGGAATCCTTTACTCAGATGACTACCACAGTGTGAATCACCTGCCGCACCGACGGAGTTGCCCACCAGGCCCATTCGCTAGCATGCAGGTACGACGTCGAATTCCATTCCAGGCGTCGTAGCTCAGGATAAATTAAGAGCTCAAACGCTAATAGAGTGAACCCAAGGTTCGAGCTCGGGGGTTTTGGTAGTACCACGGTTCTGGCGAGGATTCGCGGCCTTTGTATCATTGAATGTTTTGGGTGGATGTGATTCAGATAAACGATGGGTGGATAGGCTTCGTGGCGCACAGCTGCGATAATCAGGGGGAATGGCCGTTCTTTATTTAGTGGGGGCTCCGCAGGTTGGTGAAGAGTTGCGACGATCTGGAAAGGCTCTCTGACCTGTCCAAAGCGTGCCAAAGTGAGTTGAGCTTACGACCCAATGCGCTGCATTTCACATGACTTCGTCTGGCAAGAAACTTCGTTGTTTCATCCGAATGCTATTTTTGTTACAGGCTTCAGGTAGCATTATTGTCGTTCTGCACCATCCCGCACAACCGGTTCTTGGCCTTGGCACGGCAACCTGGCTCAGGGGGGATCCGCAAGTAAACCTGGTCTAGTTTGATGAAGCGAGCCACTAAACCGGCACACAACATCAGATCGGACTCCAGTATGACGAGCCTCACGTCGTAAGCTGGCATGGTTGTCCGTTGCATGTTTAGTTGTGTGGTCCCTTCATATGTAAATCGCTCTTTGTTTCAACGTGTCGTGGCTCGGACGATGATCTTCTCTCCAGATCTCGACGTGTCTTTTCAGACGCCCGATGATTGAAGAATCATCGCCAGTTTTTCCTTCAGTCACGGAGTTTCAATGGTGACCTCTCCGCTCTCGCGCTACCGCCTTCTTTGGCGTTTCGTCGGCGTGTTCTTGGCGCTCGTTCTTCTGCACTATATCTTGTGCCTTCAGGAGCCTTATGCGGGACTACAGAATGAAGTAAGGAAAGCCATCCACCTTCGGCCGTCAACATGTGCCCACATGAAGGACATGGAAGATGTGTTCGTTACACTGAAGACCGGGTCCAACGAGGCCCGTGAGAAACTACCAGTCCACTTTGGCACGACATTCCGCTGCGTCCCGCACTACGGCATCTACTCCGATCTAGAGGAAACGATAGCCGGCCACCGAGTCCTGAACGCTCTCGACGATGTGACGCCTGCGATTGTGGAGAACCACCCGGATTTCACGTATTACCAGCACCTGCAAGAGAACGGAAGAGAGGGATTTTCGGAGGAGCAGGTTGCGCAGTGGTCGTCAGCACAGAGCACCGAGTTTGGGCGAGATAGTCCTGGCTGGAAGCTCGACAAATGGAAGTTCTTGCCGTTGGCAGAGAAGGCTCTTGCAGCCAAGCCCGACGCGAAGTGGTTTGTCTTCATGGAAACAGACACGTACATTCTGTGGAGTAACCTGCTCGAGTGGCTGTCACGCTTCTGGTCGGAGTACCCTTATTACATCGGGGTGCAGATGCAGATCCAGGAAACGGTGTTCGCCTATGGGGGAGCAGGCTTCATCCTCTCCAATACAGCCCTGAAGATGCTCGTGAAGAAGATCAAGATGAACCGCAGACACTACGAAGACTATACTGGGGACCACTGGGCGGGAGACTGCGTTCTTGGAAAGGTCGTGGAGGATGCGGGCATGCATCTACAATGGTCCTGGCCCAACCTGTTGGCCGAACACCCGAACGATATGGACTTCGACGAGCACTTTTCCAGTCCAACATCACAGCTCTGGTGTCACCACGTCGCCAGCTACCACCACATGCTGCCGGAAGACATAGTGCAATTCTACGAGTTCGAGAACAAGTGGCGCCAGATGGTTAGTAGCCCTATCAATAAGCAAGATCTTGAGCAACGCTAACGTTTTTTATGATAGAATGGTAGGACGTTGCGTCACAAGGACGTATTCCGGCAATACTTGCTCCCACAATTAGCTACACTGCAGGCGAATTGGGACAACTTATCAGGCGAAGTTCGAGATGAGAAAAGCTCCCTTGAAGAGTGCCGCAGTCTTTGTGAGTCCGAAGAGGATTGCGTGCAGTTCTCCATTGCGGGTCCAACCTGCAAGACTTCAACGGTCATCAAGCTGGGACGACGTAGCCACACAAGTGGAATGGAGGTGAATTCAGGCTGGATGATGGATCGTGTGCATCAGTTTATGGACAGGATGGATGCTTCATGTTGGGACGAAGCTTGGATAGATTCTTAAGTCCCCATAATAGACATAGACCTGTGCTGTATTGTAATGAGAGAACACTTTAGCCAATTCATTCCAGCTCGAAGATGGCTTGAGATGATCGCCATGCGGATGGTCTGACCCACTATCTATATGTTAACCGTGACGTGGGTTATCCTATGTTCACTAGGAGGCAAGAATCGCACATAAGGAGAAATGAGGGATTAGTGCCTGGTTTTCGTGACTTGCATCCCGGGCACTGCATCAAATACCGAGTATCTTCAGCGAGAGGCGAAGTGGGAGACTATTCCTACCGTGTTTGATCATGCGACCAGTAGTGTTCTGAACTTCATGCCGTACGCTGTGCCTACGCAGACCTAAAACTACCTCACGCAAGACAAGTCACGGGGATTATGTCGGTGGGATCCCTTCACTACTACCCCTCAAGGCGTTTCTCTGGAAATACATACCACACAGCCTTGGGCGAGCATCATGCAACAGCAGGCCCGGTAAACTTGTTATATAGCTGGCGGGGTTCAATTTATGACGTTGTCATCGTTACCATCCTCGGCTACGCTACCGCGTCATTTACTAGTGATGTTGCACAACCTCCTGGTCTATTGATTTAGCAGATTGCCATCCAAACGTTGAAGTTGGGACGGAAGGGCCGGCGATCGAGAACAGGCGTCATAGAGGGGTGGTTTCGGATATTGTATCCGCTATCAGCATCTACAGGCATCATCTACTCCCGGTCTTTGTTGTGTATACTATCGTTAGCAGGCGGGTGAAAGCTTCCTACGCACGGCCGATATGGGTCTGTATAGGGCTGGTCGTCCCCAATGTCAAGAGGTTCTTGAGGCTTACTTGTTCACAACGCCGGAGAACTAGACAACGCACACCCGACACCCATTCCGCGGCCCGTCGAAGAGATCGTCGGAGGCGACTTAGGGGTCCAACCTGGCCCAATTTACCTATCCACTTTGCCCGCCCGTGCCGGCCGGCGTCCCCCCACTCGCTCTGCAGACGGACTTGACTCGGGCTTAAGCGTCATGCAGGTTAGGGACTTGCTCAGCTTGGCAGGTTTGACCGTTCTAGCAAACAAGTTTGGTCTCATCTCATCGCTAAACAGCAGAATGTCTGACGGGATGGACCCGATGGACCCGGTGCTTCGTCGTAGCAATAATGTAAGTAATGAAAATAACAACAGCAGGCAATTTGAGTTCAATTGCCCACGCTCAATCCATGTACGCACAGACAAGCAGGCTTGCGCGTGTGACCAGTTCTGCCAGGGCAGCCATGGGATTTATCGAAATTGCTTCCCGTGTGCGGCACAAGGTGAATGGCGGTGAGTTTCCACATTTCTGGGTCTTGAGGGTGGTGGGTCGTGGCAAATGCCAGATCCATCTTGTCGGGGTCGGCAAGTTTTACGAGCGCGCGGACACGAAAAGCTCATCATTTTTTTTTGTTTTAAAAATAGTCTAATCTAGCAGACACGAGGCGCGTCTGCTCCCCTCAGTCTCAGTCCCTTAGAGTCTGGTCAGAATCATCAAAGACCACATGCGGCAAGCAAGCTTGACATTATTCCACGGGCTGGCGGGATAGATCGACTCAAAGGCTTCCGAGAGTGAACACCAGCTGCACCAGCCATTCCCCCAGGACAGAGCGGTCGGGCCAGCCAGACCAGCCGGCCACGGGCTTATCACCCTTGAAGATCAAGCGTGGGATCGCCCTGGCGTGCGTCGGCCAGCGCGTTCTGGACCCGCCAGGCCCGCACGGCGGCGCTGGAACCAGCAAGTGTTAATTTGGGGCTCGCGGTGTGTGGCAGGCTTGGGGTCCGATTGGCTCGCCCCGGCAACGGAGCCCCATTTGTAAGCGTTAAAACTCTGAAACCCACATGCCGTAGGGCACCCCCCGGTGCCCCCACGCCAGAAGCTCTGGTGGAAGCCCCAAAAGCCCAAAAAGGTCCCCTGAGCTGAGATCTGGATCTTGGGACCTGGGCCTGGATATCTTTCCCTCTCTACACATCGACCGGTCGGCGCGAAACAACAAACGACACTTTGCGCGCCATTAATATGAAATTGCCGACTGCATCATCGTCACTCAGAGCCCAGCTATCGTCACTGTCGTCAGCGGCCACAAGGAGCGCCGTCCACCGGCCCTGCTTTGGACATGTCGGCCGCGCCTTGAAGCCCCTAGCGGGCCGGTCGCAGAGCACCCTCGCCAGTGCCTTTCACACGCCTGAGCCAACCAGCTTCGTTGGCACGACCTTCCAGGGCCGATCCGGCCGCGACTATGTTGTCCAGCAGGTCCTGCAAGACCGACAAGACCGCTTCGTCTACCTGGCCGAGTAAGCTTGCCAAACCCAGAGATTGGACGCCCTCTGACTCATGATTTTGTGTCGACAGAGCCGAGGACAAGAAGAGATATGTGCTGAAGAGCCTCTTCGACTCCGAGTACAACTATGCTCTCGCCCTCCAGCCCAAGCTGTCTGACAGCCCGTATCTCAGGGCGGTGCAGGATACCATTCCGGGGCAGAAGATGTTTGTGAACGAGTACCTCTCGGATCACCTGCTCAATTTCGCCTGGAAGCCGCTGCCGCTGCTCACCCAGAAGCGCATCCTCCGCGACGCCCTCAGGGGTCTTGCAGCAATGCACGAGCACGACATTGCCCACCTGGACATCAAGGCCAACAACATCATGGTTGATTACCACGAGACGGATGACGGCCTCGTCGTCGACAGAGTCCAGCTCTCCGACCTGGAGGATGCCACGCACATCCCTCCCAGACAGGCCCTCCGCGGCCTTCAGGTCGGCAACCATTGGTGGCGATCTCCCGAGGCTCATGTCAAGGGTGCCATCAACAAGCCTACTGATGTTTTCTCTTTCGCTATTGTGGTATGTTCGCCGCATGCAATAATATCAGTCGAGTTGGCCGTGCTAACACCCATTATAGTCTATTTTCCTGCTTCTTCGACGTGTGATTTTCTGGATGGACGTACCACAGTCCAGCGACCCCAGCTTTGCCATTCTGGAGAAGCAAATCTCTACCTTTGGCGAATGGGACGATATAGACGATTTCCTTGACTACTTGGGCCGGGGACACCCCTGGCGACAGAGTTTTAGCAAAATGGCTGGTTCGTTCGGCGAGTCGAACCCGCGACGGCCATTTTCCCTGTGGAAGAGCGATGTGCTCGACGCAGACTTCAAAGACTTGGTCCGACAGATGACCAACTTCGACCCGCGCAAGCGTATCACGGCGCAAGAGGCACTGGAGCATTCGTGGTTCAAGGACGTACCGGACACCGCATAGATTTCCTTTGGTTTTACGGATTCGAAGACAAAACGAGGCTGGCAGGCCCACGGATAGACATAGACATAGAGAGTGATACCCCCCGCAAGGAACCTATAGTAATAATCAAACACACGAGCAACGCTCTACATTATCTACATCACACTTCCTGCACGGTGCCGGTCAATACTGTCGCCATAGGAAACAGCATAGCATGCGAGTATGACTCAATGTACAATTACGATCCGCGCTAGAACTGATATCGGTGTTTCAGTAGCTACCAGATGGAGGAGAACGATTCATCATTGCATGGGACCCACAGGTAGCGAGTCAGATGCCAGCTCACCTGCCACGACCTGATTCACCGTCGACGCCCAAACAAGTCACAGTGTATATTGTACAGTGTTGGTGGCAGAATTGTACCGTACGCGCGGCCGCGTGGTGTCATGGTTACCGTCTTGTCAGCTCATCAAACTCATCTGCTTATGCTTGGCAATATGGTGAAGGATCGCCCTAACAAAAGCAATCCGTGTTCTAGTTTCCTTCGGTGACTGCGATTGGCTTCTCTACGACGCGGAGAAACAATAGGAATGCAAGGTGCTCTGCCTCCATCACTTTTCCAGCTATACCTTATATCTTGTCCGCTTTCTGAATTGTGCGTGTGATAAAGTTCTCTGTATTACGCATCCGAGGTCGTAGATGTTCATGATGACTGAAGATGCGCCAATTGCCTCGCGGGGCGACAGGACCACTGTCCACGAGACGTCGCCTCTGCTTCCGCCGGAGGACCGACCAGGCCCCCGCAAGACCACCGCTCCTTCGCGTTATCAGCTTCAAGAGCCTAATCATGTCGCGCTCCTCTGCTGCCTTGGGATCTTCCTCTGGGTGCTCTCGGGCACAATGGCCATTGTGCCGGCGACGCGGATCGCGGAGGAGCTCATGTGCCACCGATTCTACGGCCGCGAGGACGACATCGACGATGACTTGTGCAAGACGCCGGAGGTACAGTCGAGCATGGCCTTCCTCTTCAGCCTCGTGTGGGTGCTGGACTGCGTTGCCGGCTTGGTCGTCGCCTTTCCGTTCGGCGCCCTCGCCGACCGGGCCCGCAAGCCCGTCTACATCCTCGGCGCCATCGGCCAGTCGATCAACGTTGTGTGGGTATTCTTTGTCTTCTACTTCTGGCGAACGCTCCCCATAGAGCTGCTCCTCCTGGCACCCATCTCCCAGCTCCTGGGCGGAGGACTGTTGGTGGCGACCGCAGTCTTGTATGCAATGATGTCTGATGTCCTCGCAACCGAAAACCGGTATGTCAAGAAAACGGTGCCAATCCTTGACCTGCACATGCTAACTCGGGGAGCGCTACGTGGTTTTTCTACTTTTCGCTTTCCGCGCAGGTGGCTGGCTTTGTCGGCTTACCGGTGGCCTCGGGGATGATGGAGGCCTGGTCGCCTTGGGCCCCTCTAGTTATTGTCATGCTGCTGGGGCCTCTCAATGTTCTATTGACAGTGTTCATGCCGGAAACCTTGCAGTTGGCTGGAGTGAAAGTCCCTGAACGGCAGGTGATTGCGGCGGACAATCAGGGATGTTGGATGCGCATCAAGTCCCATGGCTCTGAGCATCTGGGCCATGCAAGGGAAGCGTTCAGGCTCCTGCGGAGCCGGTCGCTCGCTTTGATTGTAACGTGCATGGTGTTGGTGACACCCGTGGCGCAAGCATTCTACGGGATATTCATACAGTATTTCAGCATGCGGTTTCGGCGGCCCTTTACGGAGGCGGGCTATGTTCTCTCCATCCGGGGAGGCTGCATACTGGTAATAATGGGGGCCGTCCTGCCTCTTCTGACAAGATTCTTGTCGCCGGAGCGCACCAAGATGCCTGCATACCGGAGGGACCTGTGGCTGGCACGCGGTTCGGTTCTCTTTCTAATTGTAGGCCTCGTGGCAATGGCGGGGCCGAACGTCGGCTTCGTGATAGCTGGGCTGATCATCTCCACCTTGGGGAGCGGCTTGGGGGCTCTCTGCCGGTCTCTGATAACCAACTTCATCGAGCCCGGGCAGACATCACGTCTGTACACCCTCCTCAGTATCTTGGAGACGCTGGGCTCACTGCCGTCCGGCCCCCTACTGGCATGGGCCTTCGCCTGTGGGATGCGTTTGCAGGGATTCCTTTATGGCCTGCCATTCCTTGTTCTTGCACTTGTCAGTATCCTGGCCGTCGTGGCTCTCTACGCGTTGCCGGGCAACATAAGCTCTGGGGTGGCGGTTCGAACACCGAACGACGAGGAAGGGCAGGTCCGAGACCCAGAATGTTGATGAGTTTCCTTCGTAGTCTTTATCAAACCTGACGGCGCTTGACCTCGTGACTGTGCCGCTTTGGCCCTGAACTGTTGCTGGTATTAGAAGTGCACCAAGGATTTAAACACTGCCCAGTCCCATGCGGCTGGGTTCAGTCTGCAGGGGTGGAGGGGCCCTTAAATGTTCCGCAATATACCACCCCATGGTGGTGTTGGATCCCCGCCCGTACCCGTCCGTACACGAACAGCCAGCCAGGCTCGCCAGGCTGCCCCCCCGCGAATAAACTTCCAGCGGTTGGTCTGTGGCACGGGCACGTAATCACGAGATCGCCGCCAAGTGCCAGCTCGGGGGGCCCGTCACTTTGGCGCCAATCTGCACCTCAACCCATACTTCGAGTTCATGGAAGCCAGAAGTGATATGATCGCGTATCTGAGGACATCTCTCCCCTGGCTGTGATGTGAGATGGTCTGCTTGGTGTGAGTGTTCCTCAATGACCGACGCCCTCCGAAGCACTCTGCGCGCACATGTCCGGCTCGGGCGGGGCCAATCGCCTCTCCAAGATTGCACCCACAGCCTGATGCAATCCATGCTTTGGTCCCCTTGAACGGCACGATATATCGAGTCTCGACGGCAATGGCAGAGCGCGGGAAGCACGCGAAAAGTGAAGTCGCCTTGCGTATTCGGCAGCGCGCTTCGGTAGAGGACTGGGACCAAATGCGGTCAATCATCACGCAACTGTACCGAGATGACGACAGAAAGCTCACCGAAGTAATGAGCATCATGTCAAAGGAGCACGGGTTTCATGCCACGTAATGATACCCCATGATGGCTTTTGGGTCGCAAGGAAAGATGTCGCTAACCGCTCCAGTACGAGAATGTACAAGCGAAGACTTCACGCCTGGGGTCTTGACAAGAAGTTGAAGGAGGACGACGTCCTGCAGATGCTTCGTATTTCGACTTCGAAGACTCACACCACTGGTAGATACGACGGTTCTGTGATCTTTTACGTCCGCGGTCAGCGCATTGAGAGTTCACGGCTTCGGAGATACATCCACCGTACGCCAAAGGTTCTGCAACGACTGTCGGCGGGGGACGTTCCCGCCGAAGATTCCATCAAAGCAGTCACCTTCCAGCTGCAGTCACAAACCAGCGGACGACCTCTTCTTGCTCAGAATGACCGCCTGAGGGATACTGAGCAGCTACTTTCCTCCCTGCGCCTCTATGTGACGGCTTCTCTGGAGTCCGGAAGCTGGAGGTGCAATGCGGTTGGATGCTGGTCCACGGCGTCCACTCCGGAAGAGGAGATCCAGCTACACGACACCTTGCACTTGCCATTTGTGAACGTCATGTTCTGTTTGATGCAGGGCGCCACCCCCGATGCAACTGGCAGAGAGCTGACCAAGTTTTTCGACGCTCTGCCAAGCGTTGTTAGGAAGAACCCTCCATTCTTCATATGCGCCATCCTAGGCATGTTATTGCGCTTGGGACAATACAAGCAGTTTCAGTTATCCAAAATGCTGATTGGACATATTGCTGACCTCAGCTCTATTTATCTTGGTGACAGCCACGAACTGTCCCGCGTCGCTCGACTGATCCACTGCCTAGGCCTAGAGATGGAAGATAGTCGTCACTGGTACGAGAAATCGCTCCTGCTACTTGTGTTATCTTTTGAGGGTCGAGCTGGTGCAAACAATGCAATGGGGGTCTTTGTGTCAGTCGCATATCTGGCGTCAGGAATCATGAACGGCGGTGTCAGCAGAGACTGGTTGGACCTCGTGGGGAAGTACACCGCCAGCATTACACAAGCTCCCGTGGTCCCAAGCACAATCCTGGACGGCACCAAGAACGACAGCGATGTCATAGATCTTGACCCGGCCAGCCAAGGTCTGGTATCTTCCACGGCGCGGGGCAGGCTCTTATCTATGCTATTTGATTTATCAGGATCGCTGGAACTTGAACCCGAAGATGCGGACAAGCCCGAACTTGAATGGAGGCTAGCTGCCGTCAACGTTGCCAAGAAGCATTTCAAGTCCAACCTTTCGGAATCGATGCTCTCCCCTGAACATTACGCCACGTTCCTGGACTTCTGCGCGGTATTGCCCGGTGGGTGACCCAGCTGTGGCAAGGCAGTATCATGACGAAGCTGATGCTTTACCGCTGATTCCAGGGTTTCAGGGAAATCGACCGAACTGGCTCGAGATTGACACTAGAAACGAGGCTGGATCGCCACTCTATAACGGGTCAATGGCTGCGGCCGTTGGAACACCGCCAACGCTGAGGATAATACAGAATCGCATCCTGGTGTCGAGTTACTGAGGAGCAAAATGCCATTCAGTTTCGAGGCGTTAGGTGACGTGCCATCCTCAAAAACAGCACATTGCGGGAGAACGAAATGCGACCGCTTGGGCCTTGACTTAGACAAAGATGCAGACCACCTCTTCGTGAGGTGCGCAGACTTTACGATTAGAGGCCAACTTCAACACGCCCCCCTTCGGAGGTAGTAGTATTTGAACGAGTGCCATGATTCAAAATGCAGGGCACTATTTGACTCTCGATGGATGGCGGGTTTCTGTTTCTGCAGAAGCAGTATCATTCGAATCAACCCGGGATGAACTGGCTCAACTTCAACAGCTAAAGGAGTGTGCCTGGCCTGCCTTTTACGAGCTGAGAAGACTGGCCAATTGAGACCGGGGTCTTGTTGCCGAACAGCGCGGGAGCCGTTGGGGGTGGGAATGGATGAATCAATGGGCGGGGCTTGAATGGTTTTTCGAGATGAATCTCACTGCCTATGCATAATGGAGCACAAGATCGAGCTAAAGTATCATAGAGCTAGTCTACCGCTTTCTGCCATTGTATGTTGTGCTTCATGCATCATGGATTGCCGGACATTCTTCGTCTCTGCGAGGACGCTCAAGCAAGCCACTAGATAGTAGGCCCTGACATAATGTGATATGATTTGGGGTATAGTAGAGGAACACCATGCAAGACATTCATCAGATAGAGGTCATGCTAACGGAATGTCCAAGCTGCGCTAGGGACTAGCTCAGCGGCAGACGCGGACTGGGGATCCTAGGGGTTGCAGTGTGTGTAAACGGGATTGCAATCTAACCTGACAAATCATATTCAACGGCGAAAACATGATGCTACTACGGCTGCCAGCATGTGCTGAGGCTCTCTGCACCACATCAGTTGGGCCACTCTACAACTTTCTGATTGGCCTTGTTCACGTTCCCCAGACGTTACCCCACAAGCCCACGGCCAGTCCCGCTGATGATGGTTGGCCATTTCCCCGCATTGCTTGAGTGTTCGGCCGCAGTCGTTTCGGTTCGGCATCTCAACCTCTTTCCAACCCGATCCGAAGCAACAACGTTTCCGTGTAGCTTCCACTGCTTGTCTGGGCGGTGTCGAACGAAGATAGACATTTTTCGATGAGGGAAACTCTGACCCATTGCCTTGAAACGTTTGCCAAAGATTGAGTCATGCTTGAATGCTAGCAGCACGTCACTTAGAACACAAGAAGCACCTGGACGACCCGGGATTTGTTGCGGTGTTAGGATCCGGCGTACTTGCGTGTCGGGGCTCAATCTTGGTAGCCAAGCAACGTGGGGCCCCGGATGAAGTATCCGGCCCTTTCGAAGCGTGCTTGGTGGGCTTTGGGGTAAAGATGAGGAGATCCGGTCTTCAGCGACGAACCACGTTCGTCTGGAAATGGATCGCTGGGGTCATCCTCGGCAGTAGTGTACGATTCGGAGGAGCGGACCACTATAAAGCAACGACGTTTCACAAGCTCCCCAACTGACTCGAACTAGAAGCAGAATAGTGAGCGGAGGCCGAATACGATGAGCACTAAAATATCAAATTCTTCCCTCATCGGGCTTTTAGTCCAGTTGCAAATATGTTTTGCCGAGTGCGGAAGCAGCCCGACGACTGGAGGCTGTTTAGCACCGACCGCGTCGCCCACTTACAGCTCCTTCACATACGAGCAGGAGAGTGCCGATCGCTACGCTATCCCTCTGACATCACCCCTGTCACTACCAACCTTTGCACCAGCATTTGATGCAGTCTCGACCTTGTTGCCGACATCTGTCGTTTACACAACGTATAGTCTGAATCGCTCCGCCACCGCCGTCGACGATGGCCTGTATGGGCAGAGTGCCTACGCCGCCCTATGGGTCAGTCTCACATATTCGCAAGAGCCCCCTTTCACCACAACGGCTTCACCAACCCCGGTTGCCACAAGCGAGCTCCTCTTTCCCCCGCCACTGCCGGCGCGTCCCCTTAATGAAGACAAGTCCCTAAGGTTTCCCTGCGACTTCATCTGGGGGGCTGCCGCTAGTGCTTGGCAGATTGAAGGTGGCTTGCAAGCCGAAGGCAGAGGCCCTGCAGTCTTTGATGCGATTGGGTCCGTGGGCACCGTGGGCATGAACGATTCCAACGTAGCTGATATGAGCTACTTCCTGTACAAGCAGGATATAGCGAGGCTCGCTGCTTTGGGGATACCTAATTACTCATTCTCGATCTCATGGTCCCGTGTGGTGCCTTTTGGAACCGCCGGTTCTCCAGTCAACACTCAAGCTCTGGAGCACTACGAGGACGTCATCAAGACCTGCTACGAGTACGGTGTCACTCCCATCGCGACACTTATGCATATTGATAGCCCATTCGGGATTTTCGACGATATGGATGCTTTCCCAGAGCACTTCCTCCATTATGCCAAAGAAGTCATGACTCGGTTCGCAGATAGAATACCTATCTGGTTCACTATTAATGAACCTAACATTGCGGTTCCGGTCAGTGCTCTCATATTCTCTCAATTAAATTTACGCCATCCAATAGAGTTGCCGAAGGTCCAATGTGGAAGTAAGAGGCATACAAACAAGACAGCACCTTAACCGCCCTAACTACATCAACAAACATTACTTACTAGATGATTAACAAACGCATAGCTGACTTTTTTATTGCCATTAGTATGTCTCAAGAAACTATAACATCTTTACGGCTCAGTTGAAGGCACACGCTGAGGTCTACCATTGGTACAAAGAAGTGCTGAACGGAACGGGACGGATTGCCACGAAGTTTGCGAACAACCTTGCAGTCCCGCTGGATCCGACCAACCAATCGCATATTGATGCATCGATCAGGTATCAGGAGTTTACTCTTGGAATCATGGCTAACCCGTTGTTCCTCGGACAGCAAATACCAAAAGCTGCACTGCAAACCCCGGGGCTTAATCTGACTGCATTGACCGATGAAGAAATCAAGTTCATCAATGGTTCCGCAGATTTTTGGGCTTTCGACCCTTACGTGGCACAATTCGCTTATCCGCCCGAAGAAGGGTACGGTGCATGTATATCCAACTCTTCCAATCCGCTTTGGCCCGTCTGCGTTGGCACTGGAAACACGCAGTCCAATGGCTGGCTCATGGGGGCTATATCAGACACGTATTCCATGATTGCCCCACAGTACGTCCGCCAGCAGCTTGGCTACGTTTGGAACGTCTACAAGCCCTCGGGGATCATGGTAACAGAATTCGGGTTCCCCCAGATCGCCGACTCGGAGCAGGAACTTCGCGTCCAGCAGTTCGACTTTGAGCGCTCAATGTACTACCAGAACTTCCTGACGGAGACGCTACACGCAGTACACTCGGATGGCGTCAATGTCATCGGTGCGCTCGCCTGGAGCTGGATCGACAATAATGAGTTCGGCAATTTTGGCCACCAGTATGGCATGCAAACAGTCAATCGGACGGACGGGTTGTTTACGCGCCATTACAAGAGAAGTATTTTCGACTATGTTGATTTCTTCCACAATTATATAGCATCTTAAGGCTGAATGGCCAACTTAAATAATGTAGTGATCAATTGAGCATGCATATCATCCATTGAGGGCTTGGGGTTAATTTGTCTTGGCCAGCTTATTGGTGGTTACTGGGAGTGGGGAGTGGCGAACAGCCGTTGCGACAGCTATCTTCGACGTCATCGACTTTGATTGGCCAAGAAGCAACTCGCTACCGAAACACAGTCAAGCCCACGGGCCTGTAGATGTCTCCATCAAGTTTTCTATGGTACAAGAACCTCAGATGCAGCTGATTCTTCGTTCTCTTCTACGTCCGGTTCCTCTCTTGGCAGTGTCCGATAGTGTCGTTGATTTTGGTTTTACCCTGATACTGCAAGGTCGGCCTCGAAGCATGGCCTCCTCTTCACAATCCACGAAATGGCCGACGAGATTCTATGAGTCTCGACACCCGGAATGGCCTTATCATGAAAGGGACTTTTCGCGGGAGGACTCAACGCCGGACTCAGCATTCTATTCAACCCCTCGTTTCGTCACGCATATCGATGACTATGCCATATCTTCCCTGAGGCAATACTATGACATAGTATTACCTCGAAAAGGGAGAGTATTGGATCTTTGCAGCTCTTGGGTTAGTCACTATCCAAAAGCGGTAGAAGACTCTGTTGCCTCCGGGGATCTGACGGTAATTGGAATCGGGTTGAATCAAGCTGAGCTTGACGCCAACAAAGTATTAAACAGTGGGCGCATAGTTGTAGACCTTAACGAAGATCCCAACGTGGCCTCGGTCTTGGAGAAGACAAATCTGCACGGAGAATTAGACGCAAGTACGATGGTAGTATCTATCGACTACCTAACGCAACCCGTCGAAGTACTTCGAAGCGTTCTAGAAGTAACACGAGAAGGTGGAGCTATACAATTGGCCGTCAGTAACAGATGCTTTCCGACAAAGGCCATAGCCAGATGGTCGAGGGTTGGAGAAGACGAGAGACTTGCGATGGTTGGGGACTTTCTACACTTTGCCGGATGGAGAAACATCGAAATTGTTGAGTTGAGTGACGGAAAAGTTCCTAGGGCCGTTGGGAAGGATGGAAAAGGAGTTTCAGGCATAATGACATTTTTGGGGATGAACTTGAGAGACCCTTTATGGGTCGTGCGAGGTATTAAGATGTAAAATAAGGCATTGCATATGCAACATCAGCAACAGAACGTTCTTCTCAACAGGTACTCCAGAAAGAAGCACATATGAAGAAGGATTCGGACCAGGATGCTTCTGTCCTACGGTATCTATTTGTGTATGTTGAGATGTTTACTTCATGATCAGGTTTTGCTTCCAAACGAAGAGAATGAGACATCACTAAGCATGGAGATATCCTATTATACCCGCTCTTACAGGGGTGACCAGAAACGTTGCGCCCGTTTGGTGTGAAATGATGCCTTATTATTGTTGTAGGCGCTAAGCAATTGATTAGAACTGAAGATGATCGGCAGGGACATAGCGTTTGCCTCAGGTGCGTCCACATGCTGAGCTAGAATTGAACATACTGGCCTGAAAGATGTCAGCTGAGAAAGCCTTGCCTGGGGCCCCACACGAATTTAAATGAATACACCCAGTGCCAGTATTTAGAAATTAAGGATGCAAAGTGGTTCACCTTGAGCAGGTGTGTCAGGCTAGATTGTAGATCAAAATCTACCTATCTCGGAACCTTACCAACGCGTGCAATATGTACGGTTTTGCACGTCGAGATGAACATCTAATTGCAGCTCGTTTGTTTGTTTGGTCATGCGGACAGTAGAAAACGTCATTGGTATGATGCAATGACCTCACGCTATAGAGCCAAATGGAATTTCTGCCTTGAACCGGGACCTCCACTCTTATGAGCAGACTTCGTGGTAGGTGTCCTGCAATCAAGATCGATTCCCGCCTTTTATTTTTTTGGTAGGTTTACCTGGGTTGGAAGCTACTATGTGTGAACTTGAAATATGTACCTGGTTGCTATAAAGATGAGAGGTATCCTGCAAGGAAGCAACTATTTATCCGGTGAGAAAGTTCACCGGTCGACATAATGACATGTGCTGAAGTATTACAATGCCTAAGTCAATGATGAAAGATCGTGATCTAGGGCTGTCTTTCATATGCACACCTGATGAGATCGTGATTTGGTACGATGCATGTGACCGATGCTCAACCTGCAGATCTGTGCATATCCATGTTCAACTTCTCCAAAGCGTCTCTGCAGTTCACATCCGTGGGGTCCAATTGGGGCTAAAATGTCCTGGCCTAGAAGACTGACTGTTTGATTGGACAACGAATAAGAGGTTCGTGCTTTCAAACGTATTGATCCCAGCCCAGCTGAAAATAACCGGCTGCAAAGGATTACGTGAAAACAATCAGGTTTCTTACTTGAGGTCTATAATAGAGTGGCCATTTCTGAGGCAATGGTACATCGTTGTTATCCTGTAGGAAAATTGCCTCTTCCAGTCACGCATCCGGCAGAAGGAGTGTGTTGCAAGGTAGGGCTTGGTGTTTTCATATTTGGAATGAAATAGAAGACGCCCTTCATCGAAGGATTTGGAGTAGCACAGAGAGGATTTGACGTCTCAAAATATTGTCAACTGGCGGAATGGGCTAAAAATACGTGTGAGAGGATGTCGGATCGTGGAAAGTGAGTTATCATGTCGCAAAAACCCCCTTTGTAGAAAAGAAGTTGCTCAGCGGCACGTGCAGGTCCGCGTTCCGTGGTAATTATAGGGATCCAAGGGTCATTCTTACCCGTCAAACCCGCAGCGAATCCCATCTTGTCATTGTTGACTGGAGCTGCTCCCCTGCATGTTAGTGCAAAGTGAGAGCATCGGAACGAGCCAACATTCTGACTCGCCTATGTGGGACTGTCTGGACGGTCTCCAGTATGCAGCCAAGGGCCAAATATTGTTGACTGCATAGTGTTAAGTAATGGGCCATGGAAAGACGCATGACGGTGCCCAGGGATATATATCAGTATTCTGAATCCAAACAAGTCCAATGATGTCATACTTGCTGCTTTATGTGCTACCAGGAGCGCGTGACGAGTGCATGAATAGAGTGCTTTTCTTGGGGGGTACTGGCATTCTACTCCGACCGATACATCCGTTTTCCCCTCATGAAATCTCTGTAGACGAATCTCGCACGACAAGATGTGGGCCAAATCCTCCACTGATCCAATATCATTGCTGGATGAAGCTTTTACCATCGCCGGAATATTGCAACCCTAAATGTCGGCTAGGAGCACCACACATGTAGATTCATCACATTGGAGAAGCCCACGCTTGAGCCAGTTGGTGATACTCCAGCTGCAGCTCACTTGCATAGGCATCCTTCCCCGCAAACGCCTCACCCCGATATGGCTACCAAATCGACCAACGTGCCAGGCCTCGACAATTCCAGCCCAGAAACCTCCTCAACCTAAGTAGCTGATGGTCGGTTGCCTTACCAAGCTTGTTAGGCCAACGCCAATCCGACCCTGCTAGTAGAACAGTGTTGATTACTACAAGTCGGCGAAACGACTTCACCCATAGTCATGGATTGAGGAAGATCAGCCGGGTGATGTTATTACCATCCATTACCACCCATTACCATTCCCGGGATTGGAAAAACTACAAGGAGGCCATTGTAGGACTCATTGCTTCAACTTTCAGCGATTGGTCTCAAATACGGAAGCCGCTCAAAGGAACGGCTTGGCGATTATACTGAAAGGGAGGGATAGTCAAGATGCTGCATATAGTGGAGTACCCTAGGCGGCCAGTTTGTTTCGGGCCACACAGAAGTTCGGAGGTGTGACCGATAACCGCGGTGCCATTGCCGTACGACTGACGGATGCAAGGCCGACATGTGGATCAGAAAGAAGGCATTGATAGTCAGGCACAACCCTAGACTACAACGCCGACCGATCTCCACGTTTTACACCAGCCGATTTAACCGGATCGTTGCCCAATCTGACCGGACGGCAGAATGTAACCCGGCTGGGTGGCCTCATTAAATTTAGCAACTTGGCGGCAACCGGCAGCTGCGTTCACCAAATTGTAGGTCATAAACTGTCGCCTGTAAACCGCTCTTCAAAGTGATTAGAGATTGGGTGGTACATTGGCTATTGCGGGGGGTTACATGGTGGCTTCCGGGGAACGTTGGAGTATTGCTGACATGCTTTACCCCCTGGTCCCAACTCCAGCCCCTTTGGCGCTGGCGTGTTGCCTCATTAGCAACGGCTGCAGGCCGTGCATGGTGGCTTAATGGCTATACCGACGTGCATCAAGAGATTCGGTTTTTGAGTATTCCTGACGCTCCGGTATCCAAGGCGTTGTGTAAGCATGACGGTTCTATGGTAATCGTGTCCATCGCCCATGAGCCAGGACAAAAGCATTGCTCCGCAGCTGACCAGATCGCCTGTTCGGGTTATAGGCTGCCAGGCGTATTCCTTGGTATGACTCGAAGAAAGACCATTCGAGGGTGAGCGTCACCATAATTGGATAGAGACATCGGTTCCCTTGCTGGGTTTGAAAGGCGTTGCATCGCATGTCGGCTACTGTGCTCTCTGTCATGAAAAATCACTTCCAAGCCGTCGTTCACTTTCGATCTATGGCAGATTCCAAGATCCTGACGTGAATGTCTGGAGTGGTTGTGTGACATCCAAACCATTGCGTGCATTGACAGATGTATTGGGCGTTGCCATCTTGGTATTTTGTAGGTAATAATGGATCGAATGGGCCGGTTGTGTCGTCATACCTTAGGGCCTTGTTGTGAATACCAAGCAGGATCAAGAGCCGTTCTCCCTGGTTCGATGTCTGTCCATGAACGCAAGTATAAAAACCCAGGTGTCCTCCATCCTTAGTTCTCGTGCTTTTTCTATCAGCAAGCAGCAGAAGTAATATCATCTGAAGCTCCCTCAATCGCTTTCCAGCCATAAAACATCCAAGTCGCAGCTGAAGCCCATCACTCAACCATGCAACTTATAACTCTCCTTTTGCCATTTTTGGCCTCGGCGGTCCTCGCTAAGCCTTTAGTCGTGAGTGGTCTCCATTTTATTAGTGTATTCTTCGTAATATGATGAAGGAGCTGTCAAGCTGGACACATTTTGGAGCCTCAAAGCATGACCGAGGGATCAAAATTCAGAGTTTCCAATCACAAAACTCAATTTCGGAAGCTAATATCCTTTTCAGGTTCGAAACGGAGGTGGAGGTGAAGGCGGTGGTGATGGAGATGGAGGCCACCCACCTGGCGGCGGCAGTGGCGGCGGATGTCCCGGCGGCGGCTCAGGAGGTGGCGGCTCAGGAGGTGGTGGCTCCGGAGGTGGTGGTGGCGGCGGCGGCGGAAAATACGATGCTTGCAGCGGTCTCGTGAGTATCCCATCTTTGCTCCAGGGTATGGCAGCCGTGACATAGGACGACATGCTGATTTCTTCTGCAGTACAATACTGCCCAGTGCTGCGCAACTGATGTAGGGGGAGTGGCCGACCTGGATTGCAAGAACCGTAAGCACTCTCTTGGTCTCCCTAACCACAGCCCAAGTGTATTTGTAGTGTCGAGCTGATCCCTTGCGCTCAAGCATCCGCTATCCCGTCGAGTCCTACCAACTTCAAAGAACTCTGCGCTGCTGTCGGCAAGACCGCCGAGTGCTGTGTCATCCCTGTCGTAAGTTACCTCCCCCCAGTTGAAATCTCGTCATGCTCACAAGAGGATTAGCTTGGCCAGGATGTTCTCTGCCAGACCCCGGCCGGTCTCTAAAGTGACCTCAAAGCTGAAGACTGAGTGAGAATCTCGGTTATTCCGCAGTGCAGTCGATGGCGCTTCATGGTAACTCAGAGCGCCTCCTCACGACTTTCTAGAGGGGCACCAAGCCGCTGGCCAGTGATAGCAGTTGGACGCTGTACCTGGGAGTCATTCGTTCAGTTATGTTTTCCCTGCAAAGCAACGATTAATACCGGTAGCATAATACATTGAGCTCAATGAACTTGTCTGTGGTTGATACATAATGAAACGCAAAATGCAGTATGATGATGCATCCAAATATTGCGAGTGCACGACTGGAGATAGATGAGATCTCCGCATTAAGTAGGCAATGGACCGTATCTATACAACTGGCTTTCATGTCGTGATCGCGTCAGCGTATGGCGTGCATATGCAAGTAGATGCAATACATATAGCCGACACGCAGAGGGCAGCAGCAAGCGACGAATCATGGGGATGTATAAAATTCAACAGGAAAAAATGTGCCGAAAATGAAATAAAATCATAACCCTAGCGCCATAGTTGAAGCTACGCTGAGATTTCTAAGCGAAGTCGATACTTGAATGACAGCAATTTGAACATTTCCCGAATGATCGCAATGAATCCCCAATTCGAACATTCAAATAATCCCAAGCATATCTGAGTTACCAGTGAACTTATTTGGTCACTAAAAAGGAATGCGACCGGGCACTAGCGGAAAAACCAACAGCAAGTAGATGAATAGTCGCTTGTGGAGCATGTTTCGTGCTATGCAGAATGCCCACCGTGCCTTGACGCTATGTGATGAAATGGGATAGTTAAGAATGCAATAGAGAGAAACATGGTTCAGCCACGACTCAACAGGAAGTTTCATAAAGGGCCTTTCGGCTTCTCTGCTCTTGCCAGTCCGACGCATATTATTCCCAAGAAAGCCCCCTCCGGTAACACAGAAAGGAAATCGCCTATGTATTACACCATTTAGAACAGTAGAATAATTCCATCAGTGTCGTCTCATAGCCAAACTTGAGCGTAGACGCTGCGTACGCCTTGTAGGCGTGGAAATCGATAAGGCCGGGGCAAAGCTCGCGCTATCAGTACCGTGGTCAGAGGAGATTTTGCTTTGCTGGCTTCGGTGACCGCTTGATGATTCTGATGGTTCCCAGAGAACCATAGTCAAGTCCTTATCAGATGAGGATTTGGGCTTCCCTTGATTGGGTGATCCCTGTTCCTTGGACTGTGGCTTCGCTGGCTTCAGAGGGGCCACAGCATCAGACGAACTTGCCCACGAACGGGATGTGGACAGATCATGATTCTTAAGTCCAACAGAATCTCTGCAAGCTGTAAGACCTTCATAGCCTCCGTTTGAAGGTTGTGGTAATTCTTTGTCAACTATCTCGTCGCCCTCGTTACGAGCCATCTTCGAGCCACTGTCAGGACGGTTGCAGCTGCCACCAGTCGCTTTGTGGAGGGCGGTAATCACCTTTGCAACCGATTCTTCAGTTTTGCTTCCAGGCATACTCCTCTCCAAGTACTTGAGGCCTGGATTTCTAGATGACGATGAAGAAGGATCGACAGGAGCATGCAATGTTGAAAGGATACCATGGCCAAACCCAGGACTAGCCGTAGACCCAGTGCTTGAGCCGCTGGCCGTTTGTTGAGTAGTGGTTGAGGATGTTGTTTCGTTTGCTTCTTGAGCAGTAGATGAAGAAGCTCGATGCTTTTCCCGGTTGAGATAATCTTTGATGAGTTGGTCCGAAAGCTCTTTGGGCCGCCTGCTTCGATCGACAAGCAACGTCGTCCTTCCCTCATCTACGGCTTCTCTAAGGAGCGCATTTTTCTGCCGCTCGTCAAGAGAACGATAGAATGGCTGACTGCGGAAGCCTTTTTCAAGGTAATGAGGCAAGCGGTCTTGCTTTCTAATGGTCGTCTGCCGGTCCCTATGACCGAGCGAGTTCAACATCGATTGAAGTTGGGACATCTTGACAGGACTATTGTCCACGACGTTTGCTTATATGCAATGTTACAGGAATAACAGAAGATGGTAATGCCGTCATAAGTGTTTGTCGTAGGAATGAATCCTTTTTCCACAGGCCAACGTACGGAGATGAGGTGAAAATTAGTAGGACTGATGCGAGCGTGATCTGGATGAGGTCAAGGCATTTAAAATTCATGTGCTCCGCCGTTTCCTCGCCATTTGTGTGCTGGTTCTGACTTCCCTATCTCTCTGGATCAAGTGTGGAAAGAACTTTGAAGACGGAGGTAGCCCCGTTGGGGAGTGGAGATGGGCCGCCCGTGATGTTCAGCGTAGCATCGGACCTGAAGAAGTAAACTTCACACGACGACAGGTTTCGTGAAATGTGCATAGTTGCGCAGCCATACTAATCTAATATTGATTTTGAAAACCCACTATCGGAAGCTGCTCATGATCCTTGAGTTTTGTGCTGTACCAGCCCGTCTTTGAACTCTAACAGCATAGGTAGGGAATGCGTTTGAAAGGCGCTTCAACTCGCTCAATGCCAGCGAAGTGGGACAATGAAGTATCCACCTGTATCAACCAAGTATTATACATTAAATCGGATACCAAGTCCATGGTAATTATCTTACATTGCGGTCATACCAAATGACACAATGCCAATATCTCGCAGCGCAATTAATGCAGTTTTTTGAGCTCAACGTAACAGTACTTGGGCATCGTGGTGATCGCGTCGTAGGCTTCTGGAGAATTGAATGGCGCGCTCAACCTCGCAAACTCAAAGTTCCATACCACAAGTGCCAATACTATTTTCATCTCGAGATACGCCAGTCTCTTTCCAAAGCAGCCTCTCGGACCCAGCCCAAAAGACAGTATAGGGCCTGCTTGGGCATCGAAGATTACTGGGCCGTCCTCAGGTCGTTTTAACCATCTTTCCGGGTTGAAAAGATGCATGTCAGCGGCATCCCACTGGCCACCCCAGTGCTTTTCCACGCTTGTTTCAGATCGCATCGTGTCAGCTATGGGAAAACCTGGTAGCTTGAAACTTGGACCGTCGACAGGCAGGAACACCTGAGTGCCTTTTGGGATTTTGTGGCCCAGTATAACGGTGTCCACAGTTGTTTCTCGGCCAAAAACTGGGAGAGGGGCATTGAACCGCAGAGACTCCTCGATAACAGCGTCTAGGTACGGGACATTCTTCTTCGTAATTTCATCCACGGTCGGCTGGCGCAACTCTCCTAAGGCTTCATGATAGACATCACGTAGAGCTGATCGGAGCTTTGCCTGCACGTCCTGGTGATCAGCTATAGATTTTATTGTCCCTGCGCCTTACGTCAGTAGACAATACATCTATCGTTAAGAGCTATTGATGACTGAGTGATTAAATCACCACTGACTTTCCAACCTCACTTACACGATAGTGAAGTAGCACTGGTCTCATGTCCAGCCACAATGTACCCGAAAAGCTACGCGGCACTTGTTAGCCTCTGCATAGCGATTTCCTCATCGGAATGAAAACGTTTACCTCGTCGGATATTTGTGGAGAGTGAAAATAAGGCTGTCGACCCGCTTTGCTTGCCGCATTCATTTCCCTCTGTAATAAATGATCAAGAGCTGATGTCATTGTGCCGTCACCGCTTTGCAAACGTCCAAGAGATTTGTTAATCTCCCTGGATATCATCGCATCCTTGCGGCTGAAATTTCGGCGAAGCTCGCTGTCTGTGAGCATCCTGATCTTGTGATCTAACCTCGGCAGCACTGACCGGAATTGAGTGCCCAGATGATCTGCGACTGCAGTAACTGCGGCTATGTCAGGTATGTCAGCCAATCTAGGAAACTCCGTAGACCCATTGCTATTTTTGGACAACGAGGCTTTGTCGATTCGTTTAAGATAATCGAGCTGGTGCAATGTCGTACTCATTGCACCATCAAATGAGAATGCCGCAGCATTGATGATATCCATGGCTGCATCAATTATGTCACGCCTGGCATCAAAAGGCCTATTCTCAGCTAATTGAGCCTTCAGACCCCAGAGATCAACTAAAGCCATGGTTTTCGAGTATATCTCTGGGGCTGACACCTGCGAGGGGTCAAAACCGATGACATATAGACACAATGATGGAATGGAGCATCACAAACCTCATTCAAGAACCCTGGCGCCATCAAATCCCGGACCAGTTCTTTATTTCTCTTGAAACGGGGATCGGCCGAGGTCATGGCAATGTGATGGTTCGGCACAACACCATGGAATACATCTGCACCGCGCTGTCCTCGATCGAATTCTTTGGTCCGGCGTAACAGGATATCCTGGGCTTCCTGATAGTCCGCCAATACTAGCATGGGCTTGGTGAATGGGATCATCCAGAACTGAACGAGAGGTGCCTTGTGCTTCAGAGTATGACTTGTGAACCATGGCCGTAGTCTTCCGTTGGCCTTCGCATATGCTAGCATCTCAGGCAAGTTGCCCCTGAGATTCCTGGCAGCATCATAATCATAAGGAACACCCGGTATAGGCCTAGGTAAGGCCCATTGGTAAAGGAGGAAGCCTGCAGCAATGAGAATGCTGATGGCAAAAGCCCAAATCATGGTAGATTGTGATGATATATGAGCTGTGCAGCTATACCTTGCGGGTTGGACCTTGCTTCGGTACAGTATTGTAGAAGCTAGATCGCGGTCGCCCTCCGACAGAAGTACTGACTGCCGGATCGATCTGCAGCAGAGCCCATGGCCGGATCAAGCGGGCACATCATTGTCGAGGAGACCCACGGTGGACTCATTCCTCGGGGAGTGTGGAGAAGAGGCACTGAGGTGGAAGGCCAGGTTTCGAGGCTAATGGCTTAGGGCAAGCCAACTAATGGCCCTAGAGTCCAACGCGGACGCCTTGGCGAACGCATGGGCTCTTATACGGCCATTGTCTCATCTGTCGGCCGAGATGCTATCCTCCTTGAGTATGTACGTATTGTGGTGGATCAGCCACCACGTGCGGCCGACTACCGATGCAGGGGTGCAGGCAGTCTAACGTACTGCGAGCCAATCGCCATAAATCGCATAGTGGGCAACCTTGTATCCTGATAGCGTGGGGTGCAATTGTTACCGTTGTGTTGGGTGCATTGACAACGCTGGACATGGGAAGAGTCCATTGGCAGATTGCTCCAGAATGATGAGCCCCTCTTTGGCCTGCCAATATCCTGGCATTCAGTGTCCCAAAATGACCAAAAGCCGAAGTTTTTTCTCTCCCAAGCCCTCATTAGTTAATATGGTATCTTGGCAGATCAACAGAGGCGGTCTAGATTCTAGATGCGTTTTACAAGGGATTTCTGAGCTAGGTAGGTAGGTATGTCAGCGAAATCTTCTGCCTGCTCGTTAATTGTTCAAGTATGCCAGTCGCGGATAGGATGATGTGCATTGATGCCTTAGCACCACGACTTTCGAGACCGCCTTCTATCAAGCTCGACGAGTGCACCCAAATGAAGGACCTAGCGTGCATAATGACTGTAAACAGATTGGCCAAGCTCGGACTTTGTAAATAACGTAGCATTTAACCCAGCAGTCGACATCATCTGCCGAGTAGTTTGCAGGGCTTGCCTTGGTACACATGGTTCGACACCTGCCAATAGATCCCTGTGATCTCCAGGTTGTGACTGCCCACCAGTTGTAGGCAAGTTTCTCGGCCGAAGGCCTCGGAAATAGCCATGTTCAACGTCGCTGAGGCTAGCCAGACATCTAAGTGATGCGAATGGCGCATCGGCTTCTCACTCGCTCTCGGTTGTTGAAGCATTAGTAGATATTTGCAAGTCCATTGAATCAACGACACTGCAGCTTACCGTCAAGTCTGGACTAGCATTGCGCGGTCGCTACATCAATACGCTGTGGGTGATTGAATACCCCCACGCAGTGGTGAATATGATCTGTAGAAGCTAGTTCAGCGAACCTATACGTCACGTATTCGAAACCCAACGCGAAGGACCTCCGATCTGTTCCATATGTTGTCATCACTCGCATAGTTGGTTTCGTATTCTGATTACTACCACTGAGCTTTAGGCTGACAGTGCATTGACTTTTATGCCCTGTTACGCCAGCCAGCTGAGATACATATGCTACAGAATGTTGAAGTCAAGTTTGTTAGAGTGATCAAATGCGAGAATTACCTGGGGCAGTAGGATAGGTGTGTTCTCGGAAATCAAATGTGATATCTTCAACCTTCTTCACGGATGTTGATTTGCCATATCTATTCTGAAAAGTTTATATATACACAGAAAGGTCCCAAGGCTTGCGATAAGGCCCCGAGTAGCACGACATCTATGAGCGGCGTCTCAGTCGGCGTCTACGCTCGCAGGTAGATCCTCCAGTAGACGAAGGCTTAGCCGAGCTTGCTACAGAGGTGGCAGTGGCAGAAGAGGTGGCAGCAGCAGTTGAAGTGATTACTGGCTGTACCTGCGTTGTTGCGACCTGGGAGGTAGACGCAGCCTTTGAGGAAACGATGACTGAAGTCGTAGCAACACTGGATGAGGTTGTGGGTACGAGAGTCGCAGCTGCGGCACCAGTTGCAGGACAAGTATCTCCACCTGCAACCTTGGTTGAGCCACCAGAGTAGACGGCAGGTCCAGGAGCTTCGTATGCGCTCATCGACTGGTAGATGTTGATGAGAAGGCCTGGGTCACTTGCTGCATAGGCGCCCGGGAACGAGACCGTTTCAGGGGTAGCATTTCCAGAGCCGGTCACGGTGATTTGGTAGCAGGTCATATACATCTGAGCGCCCCCCGCAGAACCTAGATAAGTTAGATAGACCTCATATCTGTTGGCATACATTTGAAGTCTTACCGGCCGAGTGCAGCGCAATAGCCTCAGCTCTCAGGAGATAGTCGCCAGGGGCGATATCTGCGGGAATCAGGACATCCATCTTGCCACAGCATTTGTTCAAGTCTTTCGTTCCCCAGTTGTCGTCGGAACCCGACGCCCCAGCTGACGACCAGGTGTCTTCAAAGATTTTGAACCAGCCACCATCGGTGCCGGTGGCAGTCTTCGCATCCGAAACACTGCTTAGGTACGCAAGAACGGGTCCGTAGTGAGCTCCCCCAATAGCTTCGTTAGAGCACGACCGATCATTGGGCTGCTGGTGCATCTCGATCGTGACGGTTGATCCTGCGGTCACGGCGCAGTTGCTGCTAACGGCCGAAGTTCCAGCATTGCAGGCCATGTCGGCGGAGGTTACGTCCGTCACCGGGGAGTTGCTCGATGGGACGCGAGCACAGGTCGTCCCCTGATCGACACCGGCAACCCATAGTTGCTGAAAGGTTGCATGAGCTGCAGCATGCTGGGCAATGTAGGCCAGGATGGCGGCGTAGAAAGCTGACTTCATATTTAAAGAGGGGAGGAGATAATCTTGAATTGAACAATAGAGGTTAAATGAAAGTAAGTCGCACTGCGACACGGCACCGACTAGGGTGTGTTGAAGGGTGATGGAATAAGTGAAGAGTGGTTGAAGATCGAGATGTCCAGGCCGCGGAGCCGCATCGAAACACTTTACATGTTGCTTCTCCCCTTTCCTGATTGACGTATTTCATTTTCCTGCAAAGGAAATCGGTGGTTCTTCCGTGCAAGGATATAAAAGGCTGGTTGGCAAGTCTTCCAGGTCATCTCGGCTCTTCAGGTAGAGAGCGGTCCCCAATCAGATCACCTGAAAGAGAAAACTAGGAGGTTTTCTACCAATCGTGAAGAGCCTCCATGAAACACTTATACCGCCCATGTCCACAGCTGGCCCTGTTGAGGGGTCCGTTCAGGAGATGAATTCGGGTCGATCCGAGCAAGCGATATCTGGATTATGCAGTGCCCCCGCTACCACTCCAGTGCAGATTGGTGGATTTATACACTAGAGGCCCCCTAACGCACCCCACTGTAGTTTACTTCCAACAGCCCTTGGCTTTCTACGTGAAACGACTTCATCTGACCAAACCGTCTGATCTTTATCGCGTGAAAGAAAACAAGATCTTCCGATTGATCGGTGCTTTCGAGTTGTAGCTGTGCTTATATTGACCGCATCCAGTTCCCATGCTTGCGCTGAAGCTGCATCGGTGTAGGTCGCTCTTCTTGGCGCTTTGCCAGTGTACATCCTTGTCTCGGAGGTGCGAGGACGTTGAGACAACCTCTCAGTCTGTGATATAAATACATATACCTCAAAAGTAGGCTTGTTGTGTAGCTGGTCATTAGAACCTTTTGTCAAAGAACAGAAGCCAGGTTTTCCCGTGCTTAAAAGGCCTTTGGCCCTAGCGATGAACCTCCCCGTCGACTTGGGCCTTCACATCACCTTGGCATCTTGGACTTGTATATATCTCAGTGCGATCCAGAACCCTGACGGTTCTGACTCTATGAATTGGGATATCGGCCACGCACAGATCGTTAAATGTAGAAGGTCGTCAACAGGCTGCGACGGCGTAAATATGTTGTGGGAGTATAGTCCCTACCCCTCCGTAACTATTCAAACTTGCAGCAACGGGACTTGAGAGAGACAGCGCCTATTCTGCAAGGTGCATACCACACCGACCACGTAATCGGTGTTGACAGAACCTATCAGTCTAAGAGAAGATTTGTTTGAAACGGAAATTTGGTTACTCAATTTCAGCACCATGCATTGAGTGATCATGCAAAGCAGTTCAACGATCGCCTTAACTACATATGGATGGATACCTTGTCATTTGGAGTGGGGCTTATTCTTCGACAAATAAAGATACACAGATATTGATAAGCACAACCGCCTTCATCAAAGAACAACGTCCGATGTGGTGTAGTGGCTAACATTTGACGCTCTCAATCCAATTGAACCGTCAAGCCCGGGGTTCGATTCCCCGCATCGGAGTCCATTCTTTTTGCTTTCTCTTCCAACTGGATGTTCCTGTCTCCTGGAGCATAATCAATCAAACAATCTCTTGCATCTCTGCAATGTGCTTTTGCTTTGCTGGCCTTCTGATTCTCCTGCTCTTTTTCGACATCTGTCACATGAAGTCGAGGCCTTTCCGCCGGGTTGGCTAGTCGTTCTTTTCAATTATTAATATGCCAGCCCAGGTTTAATACCATCCGCATTCCCTTACACAAACTCAACAGCGTCGCCAAACCCAACCCAGCTTCTCCGTCACAGTCCCGTTGTCGGGCTTGCCAAAATAACCTTGCGCCGTTGATGTTGCGTTGGCACTCGTCGTAAATGAAACACGGTCATTGACATTCAAAATACCGGAGCCTCCTGAAGCTCTGCAAGGCGACCACACCAGACTCGCCGTCGGGATCCTAGAATGCAGTGTGATGTCCCTATCTAGCCGCGTCCCGTTCTGAGCGACCACCGTGGTGTATGTAGTAACCTGCAAGTGCACGGCAAGGTCAGCAGCTCATTCCTGGCCGAGGTGAGAGTTGAGGGTTGGCCCCAGGTGTCTTCCACGCCGACACGGTGAGCCCAAGAGTTCCATCACAAACGGCCCCTACGTAGAACATACCGTGCTCGCGGCATCGGCGCTGAAGAACATGGTCACGTAGTTGCCCAGCGTCACGCCCCTGTCCATGGCCAAGTGGCCGCGCAGCCAGACGTCCCGGAGCGCGACCTGCCAGCCCGGGGCCAGGCCCTCGGCCGAGAGGTGCACCTGGCAGAAGACGGAGCGGCGCTGCGGCTCCCGCGAGAAGGCCTCGTAGCTCGGCATCTGGAACGAGAAGCGCTCGAACGAGGCGTCCGTCACGACCACCGACGGCTCGCCGCCGCCGCCTGACGGGCACCCGTTCCCGGAGAAGGAGACGCTCCGAATTGTCGGGGTCTGAGGCGGCGCGATGGCGTCGCGGAGCTGGTACTGCGGTGGCGGCCTCGGAGGGAGGCGCAACGGGGCCGCGAGGGCGGATGTGAGGGTGCTGTACAGGGACAGCGAGAGCAGGGTTGCGAGAAGCATATTCAAGTCTTGGTTACCTGGTTGCCACAGCTGTTTCATGCGTTACAGTTGGTCTCCCCGGCATTGGGTTCTCACGGATAGCTGCGGATATATAAAGGTATGGACAAGCCAGACCAGAAAACTCCCAAGCCAGTTTTCATCATTGCCCCAATACATGCACATGATTATAGTTGTCGTGCCTGCTCTCGGATGGCCCAAAGCGGCCCCCTTCCGCAAAAACGTTAGGAGCATCGGGGACCACGGCGCTGGCTTGGTGTTTAGCCATATTATCCTGCATCCGAACCAGATCGGTTGGCATCCCGCCTTGCCTCTCCAGCCCGGCGGGACACTGGGCGTGATAAAAATAGAATTCGAGCGTCTGTCGATGGGGCGTCATTTCTACCGGATAAACATTTGTGGCGTTGGAAGACGGTGCTTTGGAATGTGGCCAGGTTGATGCTCGTGTCAAAGAGTCAGGGCTTGGGACTATCTCCGGATAGTCGAACTTCCCCATCACCGTGTTCTTGAGTCTTACAATGAGTGGTCTATTGGTGAAGGGCAGTTCGGGTCTCATCCCAAGATTTTTCGGGGCGTATCTTACTCAATTTGGCATATTTACTGCATTACATACTTGACGGCTAGAGACGAGCGTCTATAACCTCGGGCATCTTGTATACATTTTAAGTGTGAGATTATGAGAAGGACAATGTTCCCTGAGAGTGTATCGAACGAATTTGGGTTGCATACCAATCAATTCAGTTGTGCCATGCAACAAGTCTGACAGCCATGTTGTATCTCGTCGGATGTTCGTGCCTCTAGCCAGGACCCTCCGTTTACGAAGATTGAAAACGCCAACGCTATGCTTAGAAAAAGAACCTAGAAACCTTGACTATATTTTTTTTCAAGGGACCACTCATGTCCGTCCACCGCTTCCCACCTTGAAGGCCTCCATCACCACGCCCCAAGTACCCTGGTCGCCAGCGGTGGGTACGGGCTCGCCCATGGCGATACGGCGCATGAGTAGCGTATCCCGGGCAGCCTTGACCCTCTTGCCCTCACCGCTGCCCAAGCAGTCTTGGAACCACTGCTCCTCCGACTCGTCAAAGGGCAGACTCGCCAACTCCTCGGCGCGGTCGGCGCCGTGGTCGTTCCCGGTTCCCTCCAGGACGCCGATCACCAGGCGGCGGAACAGCTGCTCCCGGATGCCATCCGGCTTCGTTCGGCTGAAACGCAGAGCCTCGGACACGTTGGACTGGGACAGGGCCTCGAAGAGAAGCTCGACGGCGGCCGGCGACTTGAGCACGGGCTGGACGGTGTGCCAGTAGGCCAGGGGCAGGGTGTAGTCGCCGTCCTTGCTGGCGTGGCGCACCAGCACGGTGATGATGTCGTCGGCGAACTCGGGGAGCAGGGTGGGGTGGGCGAGGTCCTCGACGGCGAGGGCAAAGGCCTGGCGGTCCAGATACCAGAGGCCCTTCATGAGGATCTGGTACTTGGTGGGAAGACCGGCGGACGAGGCGAAGGAGTCGGCCTTGGAATCATGGTGTGCCGGTGCCAGATCGTCGATGTCCAGGAGGAGGTAGTAGAGGAGCGACAGTTTGTGGAGAGTAGCGACCGAGCCGGCCGAGATGATCTGATGGTGCAGCGAGCGCAGGTTGGCGTCGGACTTTGGAGGATACAGAGCGCGAGCTTGTGATGAGCAAGTCAGTACACGAGTGAGCGGGCACGAGGACAAGAACAGGCAGGGGAGGGTATGTACCTTTGGGCAGGCCTAATGCGGCGAGGACGCGGTCGAGGAAGAGGGCGCCATCGAGGCTCCGCCGGTAGCTGTCAGCTTCCTGGATGGTGGTGCGGTTGTAGGGGAAGGGGCTCAAAGAGCCAAAGACGCGTTCGAAGTTGCCGTAGTCCAACATAGTCGTCTGGTCTCTGGGCCTCGAGGGGGACACTGGTAGAGGTCGAACACAGGACCACGGACGGAAAACGGCGTTTGCACCTGGCTGTCCAGCTACTGTACCTCTCTATCTCTTCGGCTGAGCTTGGTGAAGCTATTCCGAGGATGCGCCGGCAATTCTTCGGGCGGGCCGGTGGAACGCGTCGCAGGAAGGATGAGCCCCCGAGTTCTCCAGTGGCAGTGGCAGTGGCAGTGGCAGAAACGCGCTAAGCAGCAAGAGGGCGCTGGGCGACAGGGGCGACAGGGGTCTCAGCAGGAAGATTTGCTGCGTGCTGGAGGGCGCGCTGGGGGCGCTTGGGGACCTGTTTAGGGCGGTCTGGCGGCGGTGGGGGTGGGGCTGGCGTGTTTATTGACTTTCATTGGGTTTGCATCCGTGGATGTCAACAACACACAGCGGGCAACCAGACCGACCAGGGCCTTGACGACGCTGCACAAGTAGATGGCATAGGAAGATCGCGACATCGCGACACCGACAACGCCTTTGCGCCATACTAACAGACCAAGATCGCAGCAGAACAGGCCGGTCTTTTGCACTAGATCGATACCCTCTCCTCCACACACCCCCATCATGTCGGGCAGGCCAACCCGTCGCGCCGCTGCCACACGGCGCGCCGCCATCGTCGAGTCGTCCGACGACGAAGACGAAATCGCAAACGCCACAGCCATAAAGAAGGACGACAGCGAAGATGAGTTCACCCTCGAGCTTGAGGAAGAGGCCGCTCCGCCTCCGCGACGCCGCACCACTGCCGGCAGGAGGAAGACGGCTTCGGTGGCCCCCCCGTCCACAACCACAACCACAGCTAAAGGCCGCGCCAGCCGCTCGCGAAAGAGCGTTGCGCCCGCCTCCACGCCCGAACCCACAGAGCCTGAAGCCGAAGCCGAAGTCGAAGCTGGACCTGCGCCTGAGCCCGAGCCCGAGCCCAGTGAGGTCTTCGACCCGGACCAGTCCACCGCTACAGTAATTCACGATGAACCCGAGCCTGAGCTTGAGCCCGAACCTCCAGTCAAGAAACCTGCCGCCAGAAGGGGCAGGAAGAGCACAGCGCCGCTGCGCAGGACGACCAAGGAGCCCACCCCAGATGTGCCCCCTTCCACGGCGTCGTCAGAGTCCCTGCCGACGCCCAAGGCCTCCGTGACACCCGAGCCTCCCCCTTCGTCGCAAGGCCGCGGCACGCCCCTGGCGGACATCACCAACCAGACCGTCATCGAGCCGCGGCAGACTGGCGATGAGACCGTCACCCAGATCAAGCCCATCAAGGCCATGGACACCATCCTCGAGAAGCCCATGGACATCGTGCTCAAGTCGCGCGCCCAGATGTCCATCCCCGTCGTCCAGGAGGACACTGGACCGAAGCCTCGCATCGTCATCACCTACCTTATCCTCAACAACTTCAAGAGTTATGCCGGCAGACAGGAGGTTGGGCCCTTCCACGCCTCCTTCTCCTCCGTCGTCGGCCCCAACGGTTCTGGCAAGTCCAACGTCATCGACTCGTTGCTCTTCGTCTTTGGCTTTCGCGCCAGCAAGATGCGACAGGGCAAGATCTCGGCCTTGATCCACAACTCGGCAGCATACCCCGACCTGGACCACTGTGAGGTTGCTGTACACTTCCAAGAAGTCATGGATCTTGTACGTTGTTTACCACTACCTACCACTTGTGCTACCAACCATTCGCTAACAAGACCCTGCAGCCCGGCGGAGGATCGGAAGTCATCCCCAACTCTCAGATCGTCATCTCCCGAAAGGCGTTCAAGAACAACTCGAGCAAGTACTACATCAACGGCAAAGAGTCCAACTTCACCGTTGTTACCACGCTTCTCAGGGAGCGCGGCGTCGACCTGGACCACAAGCGTTTCCTGATTCTCCAGGGCGAAGTCGAGTCCATTGCCCAGATGAAGCCCAAGGCTGCCAACGAGCACGACGATGGCCTCCTGGAGTACCTCGAGGACATCATCGGCACGTCCAAGTACAAGACCCCGATCGAGGAGTCCGCAGCCGAGGTCGAGACCTTGAACGAGGTCTGCATGGAGAAGAGCGGCCGTGTTCAACACGTCGAAAAGGAGAAGAATGGTCTTGAGGACAAGAAGAACAAGGCCCTCGCCTACATCCGCGACGAGAACGAGTTGACTCTCAAGCAGTCGGCCCTGTACCAGCTTTACATCAGCGAATGTAACGATAATCTGGCGGTCACCGAAGAAGCCATCAGCCAGATGCAGGCACAGCTTGATGCCGAGCTGGAGAAGCACAACGGCAGCGAACAGGTCATTAAGCAACTCCAGAAGACCTACAACAAGGGTAGCAAGGAGTACGAGGCTCAAGATAAGGAGCACCAGGCTCTCGTCAAGGAGGTTGCCAAGTTTGAGCAAGAACGTGTCAAGTTCGACGAGAAGCGCAAGTTCTTAACGGATAAGCGGAAGAAGCTCGAAAAGACGATCGCCAATGCCGAGAAATCATCGGCCGAGGCCGACGAGACCATTGAGCAGTGTTCAGAGGACATAACCACTCGCGCTGAGGAGGTCGCCGCTCTTGAACAGAGCATCCAGGAGGAGGAGGCAGAGCTGGCCACTATCCGCGACAGCCTGAAGGGCAAGACCCAAGTCTTCTCCGACCAGATTGCCGCCAAGCAGAAGTCTCTGGAGCCGTGGAAGGAAAAGATCAACCAGAAGCAGTCTGCTATCGCTGTCGCCGAGTCCGAGATGGCCATTTTGGAAGAGAAGGCCAATGCTGGCGAAGTCGCTCTCAAGGAGATGAACGCCAAGATTGCCAGTATTGACAAGGGGCGCACGGCCAAGCTTGCCCAACTCGAGGAATGCCAGGCTGAAAAGGCCGAGCTTGAACAGGAGGCTCAGGAGGTTGAGGGCCACCTGGCCCAGTTTGCGTCCAAGGAGCACATCATCCGATCCAAGGTGTCGAATGCTCGGCAAAAGGCCGACGAGGCACGTTCCAGCTTATCCCAGAACCAGAACCGCGGCAACGTGCTCACAGCCTTGATGCGCATGAAGGAGACTGGTCGTATCGATGGTTTCCATGGACGTCTGGGTAACCTTGGTACCATTGATCAAAAGTACGACATTGCAATTTCGACAGCCTGTGGCCAATTAGACAACTTCGTCACGGACACTGTCGAGGCTGGTCAGCAGTGCATCGAATATCTTCGCAAGACCAACCTGGGTCGCGGTAACTTCATGTGTCTTGACAAGCTTCGTGCCCGTGGTATGGATCCTATCCAGACCCCGGAGGGTGCGCCTAGACTCTTTGACCTGGTCATGGCCAAGGACGACAAATTCCGACCGGCCTTCTACCACGCCCTTCAAGATACACTCGTCGCCCAAGATCTGGCCCAAGCGAACAGAATCGCCTACGGTGCCAAGAGATGGAGAGTGGTCACTCTGGCCGGAGAGCTCATCGACAAGAGCGGTACCATGTCAGGTGGTGGCACGACTGTCAAGAAAGGCGCCATGTCCAGCAAGCTAGTGGCCGACATTTCTAAGGAACAAGTCGCCGAGCTGGAGGAGAGTCGCGATGTGCTCGAGCAAAAATTCCAAAAGTTCCAGGACCAGCAGCGCGAGCTGGAGAGTCGCCTGCGCCAGCTCAAGGAGCAAATCCCGCAGCTCGACACCAAGATGCAGAAGATCAACCTGGAGATTCAAAGCGCCGAGAGGAATCTGGCTGATGCTCAGCGCCGCATCAAGGAGCTAAGCAAGGAACACCAGCCATCTCAGACTGACGATAACCGCGCGGCTGCTCTGCAAAAGGACATTGCCAAGCTCAACAAGGAGATCGAGAAGCTCCACGCCGAAACGGAAGGCGTCGAAGCGGAGATCAAAGAGCTCCAGGACAAGATCATGGAAGTCGGTGGTGAGAAGCTTCGTGCCCAACGTGCCAAGGTGGACTCCATCAAGGAAGAGATCGCATCTCACAACGAGGACATTTCCGCCGCCGAAGTCAAACGTGCCAAGGCGGAAAAGTCCAAGACCAAGCTGGAGAAGGACCACGCTAAGGCATCCAAAGAAGTCGGTGTTGCCCTTCGTGATTTGGAAAAGCTCGAAGAAGAGGTCGAGAACCAGGGAGAGAAGTCCGAGTCCCTCCAAGCGAGTGCAACGGAAGCGTCGGAGGCACTGTCCGCCAAGAAAGAAGAGCTTGCCACGCTGAAGGCAGAACTCGACGAAAAGGCTGCTGAGCTCAATGAGACGCGGGCCATCGAGATTGAGATGAAGGAGAAGCTCGAGGAGAACCACAAGGCTCTAACAGAGAACCAGAGAAGGCTCCGTTACTGGGATGAGAAGCTCAAGAAACTTGTCCTTCAGAACGTGAGCGACTTGGAAGGGGCGCCAGCTCCGAAACGGCCTGAGCCGATCAAGGAAGCCGAGGAGACTGACGGCACCCCCGACTCCCCGACCGGGCAACTAGAGGCCGAAGCCGAAGAGGCCAGCAAGCTCGAAGGGGATGAGGAAGAGGACGAAGAGGAAGAGACCTCAGATGATCAGCCTCAAACTCAACCAGACGAGTTGCCGCGCTTCACCGCCGATGAACTCAAGGACATGTCCAAGGAAACTCTCAAGGCTGAGATCGCAGCTCTGGAGGAGAAGACGCAGAACGTTAACGTCGATCTCGGTGTCCTGTCCGAGTACCGCCGCCGTGTAGAAGAGCACGCAGCTCGCTCCTCAGATCTCGCCACCGCCGTCTCCCAACGCGACGCCGCCAAAAAGCGGTGCGATGACCTGCGACGCCTGCGGCTCGAGGGCTTCATGGAGGGCTTCAGCACCATCTCGCTACGCCTCAAGGAGATGTACCAGATGATCACCATGGGTGGTAACGCCGAGCTCGAGCTTGTCGACTCCTTGGACCCCTTCAGTGAAGGTATCCTCTTCTCGGTCATGCCGCCCAAGAAGAGTTGGAAGAACATCAGCAACCTCAGTGGTGGTGAGAAGACCCTGAGTAGTCTGGCTCTGGTCTTTGCCCTCCACCATTACAAGCCCACGCCACTATATGTCATGGACGAGATCGATGCTGCATTGGACTTCAGAAACGTAAGTATTAACCCCATCATCTCCTCCCTGCAGAACTGTATGTCCATATGACAGAAGCTAATACGGTATGCAGGTATCGATTGTAGCAAACTACATCAAGGAGCGTACGAAGAACGCCCAGTTCGTCGTCATCTCCCTCCGTAACAATATGTTCGAACTCGCAGCACGGCTGGTGGGCGTCTACAAGGTCAGCCACATGACCAAGAGCGTCACCATCGAAAACAGGGACTACATTCAACGCGGCGCTGTTCCGAGGAGTGGCCCCTCTGGGACTACGACATTGGCCAACTAGGCGGGAAGCGATGCACTAATGGCGGTTGTGGATAACTTGGACGCGTTCAGTGAGTAAATACTTCGGAGACAGGGACATAAGTTAAAGGCGTGTGATACCTATGAGAACATGACTGGCAAGAAATTTCAATATTATTCAAGCGAATCATGGAATGGGGAAAGGGGCCTGATCGGCACAGGGTCTCACGGTTTTTGGGCTAATTGTTTAGGGCGTCGTGATTGGATGAGTCTATGTGACGGTTCGGCTTGTTTGAATAAATCGATTTCATACTCTTGCACTTTGCCCCGATGCTTTGATGACACTGAAACCTGCCCAGTTGCATCGTATTTCGGCCTTGTTCGCTGGCAATATACCAGTCTGACCCGATAAACTTCCCATGGGATCTCCCCGTCTGATTTCTGGGGCAATATCCAGTCGACTCTTTTCATCAGCCTCAGAAGCCATGAAAAGCTATGCTTACCACCATTGCGGTTTCTTCGGGCGAGACAGACTTCCTAAAGCCGCAGGTCATGTCATGCGGTCTATGTGAGAATTGCCCTATAGGAGCTATCCCAGCGTAGTCATTGCCATGTTTCTTTGACGGCTAGCCAAAGAGTCACTGTTTCGGGGAGAGGGGGGGAACACACATAAACACATGCATCGTCAAGTCAAAGTCACATCTATGCATTACGGGGTCGAATGGGCGGATGGTGCCGCCGCCTCTCTTCATCATTAGCATTGCATGATGCCAGCTACAGGCGCATGACTGGTTTCTATCCTGTTCGATTTGCTGACGATCCTGTGTATGGATCGAACAACAAAAGATGTATCTAGTGCAATGGAGATGTGCCAGTCGGTAGCAGCAGCGCCAGGTGTGCAATCTCCAGGGGCATTCGGTGCTCGGCGCCTCAAGACCGGCACGAGATGTTGTTCCTAGGTTCGTTGCTAGAGCGTGCGACGGCTTTGCGTGCTAAGTGTGTGTGCACGATGAGAGAGCTCGACGGGGCTCCCATGGATGGTACGTAGCCTGGAAGCTTGACCTGGCCAGTCCCGTTATTTTCCGCGCTGTGACTGGATACGAAGGCAGGAACGAAGCCCGAGATGTCAGATTGCGTGCCGGCATAGCTGAATGAGCTGCAATCAGCGAGGTGGTCCTCGCGAGGTATGCTGTCGGAACTTATGCGCCTCTGCCTTGTACGGAGGACTATGGCGCTAGTGGCGGCTAATCAGACGAGGGTGTCTGATAAGGGACCTAGGAGGGTATGACCCTATGAAGTAGAGTGTTCAGACGGCTCGTGGTACTCAGCTAGGCTCGAATGCTGGGAAATGCCGTCTGACACCCTCATCCAACAATTTGATGCCTACTGGCTTCACAAAGTAGTTGTCAGCCCCGGCATCTTCGGCGTCTGTCCTGTCACTTGGGCTGTCTTGACCCGTGACAATGAATAGAACACTTGATGGCCAGCTGTTCTGCTTCTCCAACGACCTGATTTTCCGTGTTGCTTCGATGCCATCGCAGACCGGCATCTGAAGGTCCATGAGAATCAGCTCGATCCTGCTTCTACCTCCTGTTGCAGCTGTCGACTGGTGTTTCAAGTACAACTCAACGGCTTGCTTGCCATCGGTCGCACAATGATACGGTATGCCCCTCTTGTTGCAGTACATCTGCATTATGCGCAGGTTTATGGCGTTATCATCTACCAGTAGCGCTTCCGGCTTTGTCGAACTGGTAGGGGCTACGAAGACTGGTATGATTGGTTTACCTCTTTCAATAGCCGCCGTTTCATATGCAGAAGATTGGAGAACAGCAAGATCAGCATCTGGGGCGGTTACTGATCGGATATCATCTGCTGAATCTCTTGGTTGAGAAATGGCCCCGGATGCTGGTTGCGAGGTAGGGCTGGGCGACGACAGTAGCGTGTCGGCTACGTGAACAGAAGGAACTCCCGACACTTTCATATCAGCGACAAGCCCATTGGCCTGTACAAGCGCTTCCTCCAACGTTGAGCTGAGAAATGGGCCTTTGATATATACAATGTTTCGCTGGATTCGTGGCAACGCTGCTTCGGCGGCTGAGGCCGGAACAAGACAGATTGCTACCTGCTCTGGAGGCACCTGAGACAAAACCATTTGGAGTTGCGGTTTGTCTGAAACGAAGTCAAAGATGACTAATGAATCATGTAGATCTCTCGAAGGAGCGAAGCCCTGATAAGTCAGAAACGTGGAAAAATAGTCGGACAGAGGGGAGCCTCCAGAGCCTGATGCAATCTTGTAGAATGTTGAAGGGAGAGACTTGAGTTTGTCCGTCGAGGGCTGTGGCGGCGTACGTGGACAAGCAAACGTGACGTCTCGGAATAGAGCTCTGAAATGCGAACCCTTCTTCAGGACAGAAGACATCAGTGTTACCGATCCACCCAGTAGTGTCGCGAATTTGGAAGCCAGAGTAAGTCCCAATCCAGCTCCTATCGAGTGCACATCGACTTTCTCAAAAGCCTCGAATATACGCTGCTGGTCCTCGGGATGAATGCCGCAACCAGTATCCTCAATGTCGACTACGAGCTCCCTACTGCTCTGCCGTACTGAAGCAGTAATATTGATGACACCTCCTGGTGTGTTTTGCATTGCGTTCAGAATCAATGGCAGCAAGGTGTCCCTCAGCAGGTTCGAATCAATGAATATGTTGTAACTGGAGGCGAAGTCGTGAACAAAGAACGTCGTGGCTGTATAGCGAGTGTTTCCATACATGGCTTTCGATAATTCGTTTGATATTCCCTCCTGAAGCTCGTAAATCGAATGTAGAGCATCAGACCGTTCAGCCATGGCGATGTCAGCCCACCGATTAAGAGTGATGATGCTGTTGACGATTGAAATCAGATCCTGCGCTGCTGTTTGGATCGTTTGGATGTAAATGAGGGGGTCGGCAACTTTCGTCGCAAAGCCACCGCCTGTTCTTCGAATCTTTGACTGTACGTCATCCTTCGAAAGTATGGTTGCCCCGAGCTCGCTGTTCTGAGGCACGTTCTGCGTTTTCAACTCCTCGGAGAGAAGCTCTATAGAGCCCATAATACCGTGAATCGGGGTTCGAAGCTGGTGTGTCACACTCCGGAGGAATGTTTCTTTCGCTGTCACAGCCTCCCGCAGTAGGCGTTTGTGCCAGACCTTGGTGAGCATTGCCGCACATGTCTGGACGAACCAGGAGTCGACATCGTCGAAAACCAGCTGGAGCTCGTTGGAGGCCACAACTAGGAAGGATGGCCCGGACGGTGCATCACACTGGGCGGCAATCAACCGTATTACCCTGTCCACTGGAGGCTCCTGGTGATTGTAGTTCTCAATAAAGTCGTCGATATAGTCGACGTCTTCCCAGAGACCGCCTTCGAGCTCATGGGCTGAAATGGGGCCCCGCCTCGCGATCCCGATCTGAGATGCCTTGGATGACTGCACTTCAATCAAAGCCTTGGGATATACCGCCCGCAGGATTTCCATGACGGCCTCTTCTGAGGACTCCACCTCGGCTTTGTATTGCGCCTTCGAGATGAGCTCGGCCATCCGGCGCCGTTCCCGCAAGCGTCTAGCTCTGGCACAATGAATGATATCCGAGACGGCCCAATCAGCAAGACGGGTGAGCGTAACCTGCTGTTCTTTTGTCAAGGCTCCATGGGCCGAGTTTGAAGCGACGCAAAGAGAACCAAGAGCAATACCCTCACCAAACTCTGTCTCAAGCCGGAGAGGAGCGCCAGCATACGATCGAAGGCCACCAATCTCGACGTGCGGAGACTCTCGAAATCTCCAGTCCTCGGCCATGTTAGGGAGAAGAAAAACATTCTGAGGAAATTAGACGCCGAACGAATTAGACTCGGCGGGCTATCCCAACGTACCGTGAGAGGTTGATTGACTGTGTGGGCGCAGGTACTTTCACGGCGCGGAAGGATTGCCAATGGCAGACCAAAGGTAGCCAGACGCGTGTAGGTGTTAATACCCAGGAGACCAATGATGGCGAACTCCCACCCTATCGACTCCTGGGCGAGGAACGCCTTCTCCTGGAGCCGCGAGAGAAGCTCGGCATCCCCAAGGGTGTCACGGGTGTAGTACCAGAGCATCGTGAGCCTAAGCCTTTCATTTTGGGTCAACAGTGGGTAGAGATAACGGTCACTGAGACAAGAAGGCTCGTCTGGGATAGTCGCGGGTGCGCCATCTTCGACGGGTAGAGGATAGCATTCTCTAGCGGCCGCAGGCGACCATGGGTCGATGGGCTGCCCTGCGTGTTCCGTATCGAAGACAGGCCCGACGGTCTGGGGACGAATGCGTTCAGGCTCATGCTTTGACTGTAGAACGGCGGCGTCTGCTTTTGGGAAGAAGCCCATGCGTTGTTCCCCGCGGATCGTCATGGCCTTCGTTCGGTATGCGGCGGAGGGCAACGCCGCAGCAATCACGGTTGAAACGTGCAGACGGGGGCTGGCTTGACGAGGCTAGGAACTCAGAGCAGCTATGTGCATAGGTATACTGCCGTCAAATCCCGAAGGCTTTGTGGCCGTCCGCCGCCGCTTCAGGAACTGCGACCGTATCCTGGGAGACGGGACACGGCGTGCAACGGCCAAAGAAAGTCGGCTGGAATTCTTGAGATAGTTATAGCGGGCTGAGAGAACCCACCTGGAGGTCAGGGGCCTTTCGAGGAGTGGCTTGGCAACGGCGTCTGCGCCAGGAGCGAAAATCAAACCACATTTGCGGCCTCCATCCATAGCCTCAACAGACCCCTAAACAAGGCGCTGGACCAGGCCCCAGAAGGTCTAGACCGCACTAGACCAACTACTTATGTAGCTAGCTCATGCACCCCTACGCCCTGGGGGACCAGCGCAAGAAACACCCGACCCCAGCAGCCCAGTCGCCGCCGGGTAGTGGCCGTTGGGGACTGGCATGACGTCCTAATCTGTGTGCATCCGATCGCTCTCGATGCACGTGGCAGTTGCGCTCAGGTACCAAGTTACCGGATGCTGCCGTATTGGTTCCACTTCGATACTGCCTGGCGCTCTTCCGTTTGGGGTTGGAGCTGGCCTCAAATGCAGGATCCAAGTAATTACGGAATGATCACGAAGGCAGCAAGGCCGGACCGTGACCACGGGCCACTGGCCGTGCTGGTAATGCGTGTCTAAGCGACATGACCCACGTCTGACTGCTCCGTTGGGTATATCAGAGCGGTACGCTTTGTATTTTCACGCGCTTCACCAGGTACAGGCATTGTGTAGGCGGTTTCGTTCGTCTATACTTACCGTGCAGACAAGGCACGCCAGTCAACAAACGTGGTGTGCGTCGATTATGAACCCCCCCCCCCCCAACTCAACCGCGTGGGGTAGGGGAGCGCGGCTGGCAGCAACTGAACCTAACTGAGGAGTCTGTGCTACTTAGTGGTCAGGCCTACTGGTAGGGTGACTAGGTAGGTACAGACTGCCTACACAGGTACTTAAAGTACCTGGCGATTGAGTTGGTAAGTACATAGTAGTCACAGATTTCTAGGTAGCAGACACTCGCCGCGTTCTCTGAAAAAAGCGTGTTCTCCACACCAACCAGCAACTGAACATCATCTTTCGCTATTCGCTACGAACTCGGATATAACCAGAGAATGTTGCACGCCCTGCACCAGTTTGCGCATCGAGTCCTACAAGCTTGCCTTCCGCTCGCCTGTTGCGCATCAAGCACACCGCAGACCCTTCTGGGGATTATGGTGCCGTTCCTTATACGACCTTGATTAGATGGCCTGCTTCGACGTCGAATACTTGACAAGGAAATTGGCCTTTGCCCTGAGCCGACAGCAGGGCCATCCAGCTATCTGCGAATCTTCCCGTCTCGCGGTTTGAGTGAGATCTCAGACCGACATGCCCGCAACGGATGTAGGTCCCTGAAGCCCCATCGATGAGTCTCAGTAGAAGGCCTCTCACCTCGGAATATCGATATTTCCATTCAATGGTCATTGGATCCTGTACTTCAAAGATGGGGACCACGTAGAGCTCCCCGTCATTGTGGCGACCGTGCGAAACGTCAAGATTCACGAAGGCAACGTGTTCCGTTCCACGGCCTATTAAGCGCGGCTGGGTTGATTCGTCTACCAGCTCGACAGCATTGAGGGAGCACCACATTTGGAGTGACCCTGTGTAGGCCTCAGTTGTTTCGTCGCGCTGACTATGCTGGGTAGAAACGTCATCAATTCTGGCGAAGAATTTCAGCGCATAGCCTTGGTATAGTTGAGGCTGAGGGGTTTCCACCGGCCCATTGATGGACATCCAGGACCATGAGGGCGCAATGTCGTTGGACGAGAGAGGTTGGCCATTGTCCGGTATAGAGAACCAGCAGAGTTGCAGCTCCATCTGCGAGCGGAATAGCCCGCAGTGGTAGTCATCCTTGAACAACCTCGAGAGGTACTCGGCGACACCACCAACTGCAACGAACTTGTCTGTGTAGTAGGTGAGGCCACACCTGGAGTATGCGTTCACGACGGTCGCCCACTGCCCGATACCTGTGTCTATGTCTCTCGGTGGACGGAGGATCGTCGAGCCCTGCTTCCGGCCGATCCATATGCTCTCGACGAAAGGCTGCGCCAGCTGGCCGGATGGATTCGACTCCGAGGCCGTGTTCTCCAGGCAGTCCCAAACGATCTGGCGGGCTGTGAAGTGGGCAACGCGAGACGAGAGCAGCCTTTCCTGCATCACCCAGGCCCGCAAGTTCAGGGGGGCGTTCTCAATTGTTGAGTCCCAGGGGTCGCGGTCCAGCACTGCTTCTACAGCCCGGAAGTCTCCCGCCAGGATGCCATTATGCACGCGGAAAGGATCCGACATCATCGATTCTGGGTCTCGTTTTCGAAAGAGGCCCAGTGATGTGGTCGCGGCCAAGTTCATGTACGCCCTCTGATAGATTTGTTTCATTGTCTTGGCCTCTCTCGACCAATCCTGTGCCGAGTCCTGGATAATGCAGAGTGAATCAATCCACAGATACTTGAACCCCAAGTACTCGGCCGCATGAAATGCATCTTGAAATGTGACCGGCAGCTCGGTGACTATCAGGCCCCCAATAGTCTTGCTGGTGCACTGGAATATTGTGCCAGTGCCCCATCGGTGACTGAGGCTGAGGTATGGGCCAGTCGGCTCCGTTTCCTTGCTGATAATGAGGCGGGCCTTGCCATCCCGTACTTCTACCAGACGCGTCGGATACCACTTATCCTTGCTGACTAAATCGCAGCAGGCAGCATGTGTACTTCGGCATAGGCTCAGTTGCCTTTCCAGGAACCGAAGTGGTTCAACACACCCAGTGCTAATGCCTTTTACCTGATTGATTGACCTATCTGGAAGGAGTTAGAACCGGGCGCGCGTCTCTCATCCCACTTACAGTTCAGACGAGTATCCTCGAGGAGGAAGTAGACTGTAGGCGACTTTCCCACTCGTGCGCAGATACTGAGCCAATCCAGGGCACCGTCCTTGTGCCCTTGGCGAAATACGTATTTCAGAGGAAGCACTATATCCGCTTGATTTTGCGCGTGTGCAGGTATATCCAGGCTACGCCAGACCGCCTCACAGAAGAAGCACGACCTGGCCGCTTCGCAGAGCGCCGCGGGGGTGGACTGGAGCTCCCATCCGCAAGACCACTTCCCGTCTCTCCCAACGCTAGCAGGGGTCTCGAATCCACCCACGCAGCTGTCACACGTTCTCATGGTGAGGCTCGGGCTGATTCGAAGGTCTAGTATAATCGAAATGGAGAGAGGTGAAGAGTTCCACAGAATCCGTGACCACAGGTGTTCAGCTGCACAGAGGCTGAGTCTAGTTCATTGGCCTTGCCCATTTGGGACAGCCTACATGTCTAGGTACACCGTGCCTTCTGCTAGACTGATGTACAAACTAGGTTTCTAAACCACCATAGATTGGGCCCATAGTACCACTAGTCACAAGAAGGCCAAACCATCGGGAGAAGCGTCTTGTGAATGTACGTATCAACCCCTGTGTTGAAGCCTAATGCAACAGAAGCTGAACAGCTGCTACGTTAGGAAAGATAGTTCACCATCATATGTTCGCTGCAACGCTATCCTGAAGAGTCATCGTAGAATCATCTCCAAGGCGGCAAATCAACAGAGAGCACACTAGCGCAAGGGCCGATCCTTAGTATTTTGGTATACAATAGCAATGACTGGACGTTCGGGGCCAACAAGCTACGTTTGACAACTGAAATCTCAACCGAAGTTCAGATCCCACTTTCAGCCCACGGCTGAATGATGCCCTCGTTACTCTTGTCGTAAACTTTCATAGCTACTATTCCATTGAAGCGAACGTGTTTGGCTGCACGAATTTCCACCTGGGTTTTGGTTTGGAACACACGATCTGCAGCCACTGCTCGTACACCCCGTCGACCGCACACATAGTCTCATAAAGCTGTTTTCACAACGTGACATCCGCTGTGCAGCGCTAGATGTGCAGCCTACAAAGATATTGGCCTAACACCTCTTTGCCGTGAGAGGAAATCTTGGCACGGTCGATGCACACCTTCAAGTCAGAAGCCAGGGAATCATGCAAGATGCGGATCACCCCACCACCGTGCCTAAACATGTGTTTTAGGATGGGGAAATGAGTCTTCCAAGTTGTGAGCTTGTATAACGATGTGCGGAATGGATGTTTGTAGACATACTTGGTGGTGGACTTGTCCCCATACTATATCCTAGATGAGTGTGTTGAGTCGAGCATTCGAGCTGATTTTCGAGGTACTTTCGTCGGGAATCAATGAATACAATTGAGTATTTCAGGCGGCGTGTGTTAGTTCATCATCCAAAGCTACCGTGCGTGGACCATTAACCGAAGCGGTTTGTCTGCAAGGAATGCTAAGCTGTCGCAGTCAAGCAAACACTGCGCCAACATATTCTCGAATTCCTACGTTGTCAGCGCCAAGATTTCGTGGCAAAAAGTTCAATACCGTGTTACAACTGCCCCAAATAGATGCTGTATAAAGAACTTCTACTTCAATTTCGGGCTCAAAGCTGCGATGCCTTGTAAAGATCCCAGTATCGCAAGTTGCCCTCCTACTCGCACTGCTCCAATCATTGCCGGAACACGCATTTTCCAAGTCTCTATGATAGATGGCACCGTATATCAAACTGTGGTGTTCAACTATCGGCCGCTATTCAAATCAGCTCTAATAGAGAAAGTATCAGCTAGTCTTCGCAGCCGATATCTAGTATCTCCCCTTGAAGGTGTCGATCTTCTTCTCGACCACGTCGGCAACAGCATCTGAGATCTTCGTATCTCCGCCAACAATGTCAAACACAAGGCCCTTGGTTCCATCCTTCTTTACGCATTCGACCACGACCGCTGCCACATCTTCTCTTGATATGGTGGTGTCGAGGTGAACTTCGCCGGCGGCGATGGTGCCTTTGGCAGGGTCTTGACTCAAACCTCCTGGTCGGACGATGGTATAATCCAATCCTCGTCGGCCATTCTCCGTGACCAGGCTCCGATCGGCCGCGAACTTTGCATCCATGTAAGGGCCGATGAATTCCCAGACCTTCTTGCTCCGGTCCCTGTCCGCATCGTTGTACCACTCCGGCTCTGGCTTTTCTCTGTCCCGCACATCAACCGCTGAGATGATGATGTAGCGTTTCACTCCAGCTTTGGCCGTTGCATCCATGCTGCGGATGGCCCCCTCATTGTCAACCGCCTTCGTCCGTTCTGGATTGCCGCCTCCTGCTCCCGCACACCAGAGAACCGTGTTGGCTTTAACATCGGCGATCGTCTTGGCCATATCATCCACAGACGAGTCCTCGATGCTCTGAACAATGGGTTTTCCCCCAAGACCTTCGATATCCGACTTCTGCTCCGGGTTGCGAATGACTGAGTGCACGTTATACCCTGCTCCGGCGAGGAGGCGGGTAACGTGACGGGCGCATTTTCCGGACCCGCCGAAAATCAGCACGTTGGACGCCATTTTTTGTTCGAATCAATATAGCCGAACCTCTCAGCGAATGATAGTGCGCGCACTCTGGATAGTGAATTGTATAGAAGTCGTTCTCGATATATGGCCGAAGTAGAGAGTTCCCGATTTGTAGTCGAAGCAGCTTCTCGATTTCTAATCGAGCATGGATTCGTCAATTCTGTACGTCATCTGTTTGAGAAGCCCCTCGGCATAAGTTGCGGCTGTTTGTGGGGGTGATCCGTGCTTGTCAGTACGATTGTCCGTGCACAATGAGATGGATACAGGTGGTTCCAGTACATGCTTGGCATTCCGCCTCAACTGAACTCATGGAAATGATCGGGACTTAATGCCAGTACTTCCACTTTGGTCGACTGTAATGGCTTCCCCATTGATTTGTTGTGTCTCGTTCGCGATGTTGCAGTAAGATGGACTCTATGCGCTCTGCTTAACCAGATACAGCGGACCGAGGCCTAATATGATTTCATGTTACTAGATAAAAAGGGTATTATCATAATAGTGAATATATATTAATCGACTAGCCGATGCTATGACCATTGTTTTAATTGAAGGTTATGCAGTATCAATCATGATCACAAATTCGCAAAGGTGCAGAAAGTTAAAGCTCTCATCTACTGCTGATCTGACTACACTCCATCAGGTTTCCTGGACTGCAACCCTTAGAGGCCTGTGTGTGACAACTTTGAGTGAGTATAGGAACTGGCTATCACACGGGATATTTTGCCAGTAAGGCGGTTTGACGGATTCAGCACCCCAGAAAGAGAGGGTTTGGGTCAGGCGGCTTGCCATCATGTTGCATTAGCTTACGCCCTCTGCATAATCGTTTGATTTCGTCGGAGCTTACTACACTATCTCCGTTTCCCAGCTCTGCTTAAACATGGGCGGTCTTGTGGGTAAGATTACTGTAATTCTCTTTGCAGCTTCAAGCAATGAAGCTCAATCTGTTTTCATCAACTTGTTCCCTCATTTTGTCGAAACTGTGGATCATTCATCCTGACCAAAAACCCGGCACACAGTGACATCTCCAGGACGGTCATAATTCCATTTGGCATCCTGGATGGCGAGAAGGATTCTTTGGCGCCAACGAATGAGTTTTATGTGCAGCGAAGGGTGGGCTGGTACCCAGGCGCCAGTCAAACCAAACAGTATCAGGCAATCGAATGAGAGATACGTATTCACTCGCAAATATTTGACGCTCATCGCAAAGGCATGTAGGGAGAGACTTTCCACAAGTTCATCGTCCAAAGCAGATAATCGGGGGCCTTGGTTGATTGCATCAGAGTCGGTAGAATAAACAGCATGAGATGGCTCTGAAATCAATCACTGGTTCTCAACTATGGCGAAAATTACTGGCGATCTGCGTCAACGCCAAACCGTGATGGTGAAATCCTTCTTGTCAAGTGATGACAATAGGGTGATACCATGAGTCGATTGTTAATCACTACTTCCTACGTCTCTGAGATAGTGCTTGTGGCGTTCGTCAAGAAAACAACGTTTACAGCGGCGAATCTATCCAAAGTCAGCTACTGGGACGAAGTTCGGGCGACTTTTGAGGTCACCTACGCTGAGGTCGCCGCAAAGATTTCTATCCGCCGAGCATTGGTCATTGACGCGAGCGCCAAGGAAAATAAGGCTGAGAAAGCCACGATGACTCCCAGCTTCATTTCATCTGACTCAATCATGAACAGCACGACAATAGAGAGTAGCGGCAGTAGCGAGGCAACAACCGTTGTCACGACTTTCACCAAGCCAGCAAGAAGAGATTCTCGATAATTGTATATACCGTCTCCTAATCCCGCAGCTTCTGGATCCTAGGTGATTTGAGTACGACCTGCATAGTCCTGGAAGCATTGGATGCTCACTTTGATCTTTTCGCCGCAGAAGCGATGTATGAGTGGAAACACCACGTCGTTTACCCATCTTGATAGCGGGTCCGGCGATAGTCTGGGCTTTATGGCTACCAGGTCGTCCTCATCATCCCACGCATTTAGGTCAAGTCCCCTGATGGGAAATGCACCCATGGATGGCCTTTCGAGCCAGTTTCTTAGCGTTCTGAGGTCAACTGAGCTGGGCCTCTCCAGGTTGCATATTTCGACTTGTTTGAGAAGGCGGGCGTCTGACCCCGCTTGTCAGTATTTCTAGCAACCTTTTGTTTGCTTGCGGTTCCTCACTATATCGATTGAGCTTCTTCTTTAGTTTGCGCACCATTATCCATTGCTCCTTTCCATTTTGGCCCTCGCCATGAGCCAGAGTCCACCAGTCCGTTGTATAAAACTCCCTCTCTGTATCAGCGGCGTCTCTTTTCACCAGCCGTGAGAGGCTATCCTCTAGGTGGATTATCTCCGCTTGGGAGTAGAGTAGGTTTTGGATGTTCAGCCTCTTGAAACGTCGAAGCACTGCAAACTCATCGTACTTGGACATCAAGTGAGCAACTTTCGCATAACCTTCCATGGTCGAGGTTTTCCAAGAGACTATAGTTCTGAGACCGTGGCGCCGTCAGAGCGGTGAGGTTTTCCCTGCGTTCTAGCCCAGCCGCATTAGGCTTTCCTGAAGGCGTTTTTACGTGGCTGCTGATTGGATACATGTCTTGCCAGGCGGCATCAACCTACAGGCTGTTGATTTGCGTCCAGACCCGCCCGAGAGATGTGGTGTGGCGGGGCCGTACCCCATGCCGAGGGTGAAGCTCAGGTTGCTTCAAGAATGCATTTAAGATCAACGTACATGCCCTTGACCACCAATGGCGAGCATCCAGTTGGGCCAGGTTGTCTCATTCGGATGTACGTTGGTCCATCGGTGCCTGCACCATTGGCACCCGATCTACACTACGCGATCTGATCTCACCACGGTCAGAGCCCAATGTCCTCCGGTATAAGGATGGCTCCTGATCATAAGTATATCAAGAGGCCCCACATCGGTCCGTGCAATCGGGACTGATACTTGCTAATAGTGCAATGGGCCTAGAGGTCGCTCGCTGGTAGCCACGAGGACAGCAATCTTTATCTTCATTGAGAGAACAATACCCGTACAAGAGACAATACACCAGAATAATGGCCAGCAATGATGAGAACTTCAAACAACAGAACGGTTTTACGGAGGAGGATCTAGAAAAGTACAAGCAGAGCCTCCGGGAGCACAATCTCGTGCTGTATTATGCTGCTCGTACCAATGGTTTGCCTAGAAATAACATGGAAGAAAAGATGGAGGAGTACCTCAAAAGGAAGGAGCAAGTATGTGTTCGAAGATTCCAGGTTGGCGGCGAGTCGTTACTCACGGCAGTTCTAGGAACAGAATTGGGCCAAAAACAAGAAGTGGATGATTATAAGCCCCCTCCACACCACGGCCGAATGTGCGGTTGAAGCTCAGTTCGACACGGGTGCAGACGCCAACTTCATTACCGAAGGCATGGTCCAGGATCGCGGATTAAAGAAATCGAGGCTGAGCCTCGCACAGAAAGTCAACACTGCCGTCGGGGAGTTCGTGTGCGACTACGAAGTCATGGTGAATTGGCGGGGCCGGGACCGCGCCTACGGTCGCATCCACTTCTTTGTCCTCCCGGACGGGGCCCGCATCGACAAGCCACTGATTGGGAATGACTGGGCGGAGACCTACTGGGAGATGCTACTGGACGAACCGCCCAAAGACACCGTGTACTACACTGCGCTGAAAAAAGAAAAGGTGAGATCCTAGTGCCGCATAAATTTGGATAAGCGATGCAATGGATTTTAACTTGACTCAAGGCCAAAGAGAGAATCGATGGTGCTGAACTGCGCGCCGTGGTGCAGGGGGACCAATCAAGGTTGCGGCACAACAAGGAGACCTATGAGCAGAAGCAGGGAAGCCAGGCTCAGGGTTCTTCTTCGGGCCAGGAAGCCACACAGAGGAAACAAGCGAAACGCTGAGATCAGTAGAGTAGAAAATTCGGATCGCAGTGCCTTCTGAAACCGAATGTATACCTACCTAGATAGGGAAGTATGTACCCACCTTGAATCAGCGAGTGATGATGATGTTTGGAAGGGGCTCAAGCAGAATTGCATACCTACCTAGGTACTTAGGAACCTGGCTACCTGTATTATGTGCCTAACTAGGGCGAGGCCTGTTTGACCACTTTAGCGGCCTTTTAGACATGCCAATTCATTGATCACCAGCTGGGTCTGCGGAACCTCTCCTGAGGAATTGTATGCACACGCGGAAGAAGTACACGAGAGGGCAAAATACAAAACGAGTCGGAGGGTCAATTAGGATGTAGAAGACTAGACGTACAATCCTCCGAACCGAACGGAGGCTTCCCAGAGAAGCCATCCACCCCCTGTAGTTCCATAGTGCACGGCCCAACACCTGGGCTGTGCCAAGGAATGGGCTACAACGACGCTTTACCGCTTTGGCTCGAAATTGTTGCCCGGGCAACAATTTCGAGCCAAAGCGGTAAAGCGTCGTTGGTACTGTTCAAAGCCACACCTTTGAGAACTTCGCTGGGTCGGGGTCTCGACCTGGACAGCAGCAATAGTGCGTGTTTTTGCGCGTCAACCTTCTTACCGGCTCGAGACGGTTCAGGGAACCAGTGACAGCTTCAGTTCCCATTCGTAGAACTGTATCAAGAAGCACCTGCGCATGCTGTGCTATGGATGGCCGGCCTCAGGGTTTCGCGGTTAGCATGCCTAGGTCCATCAGTGCTGATCCCCTGACGATGGAACTGGCGTGAATTGGCAGCTGTGAAGAAGTTACCTCCATCCGATCCAAATCTCGAGGTTGGACTAATAGTTAGTAGGTCACGCGCCCGGAAGACAAAAGTAAGGTCGTCTTCCACGTAAATTCGCTGGTGTTCAGACGCCGAGCTGAAAGAGGGTCCGTGAGTGCTACACTGGGAATCTACTGCATCTCATGCCACCGTCAGCCCTGAAGGTGTTTGTGTTTCCGCTTGGTGAATCCGTAGCTGGCAGTATCATAGTATCATGTTAGAGTCTTGCAGGACGCAAGTTCGCCCGGGTTCTGAGGCACCCTGACTTGGCGATTGCCCAGGTGGGCATTATGAAGCATTGAGACTTGCAATTGCGCCGACTGCTACCCGCGGGTGAATGCAAAGTACGACAGTTTTGGAAAAGTCGAGTTTTTGGACGCGGCCGTTCCAATTGCGTTTGCAAATCTCGTATCGATGTGATACTGGCAGGGCTTCCCATTCTCCGCGTGGCGGCTTGGCCGATCTCCTGGTGCCGTGTGGGAATCTGAACTTTGTAACTAAAGATATTTTGCAACTAACGGAGCCCTATGTAGACGGCGCCCCTGTCATCGTGGCGTCCATGTTTAATACCTGTATACCTTGCACCCACGGACTCAAGCGCCCAAGTACTCCGTCATCCGTGGAACCCATCCCAAACTGGAACCCGACGGAGCCTGCGATTATAAGAAGTTGTTCCCATCCGGCTCGCCCATCGCGTCGACTCTTGCTGTGATAACGCTACCGGAATCTGGTCCTCTGCTAGCTAAGCCGGTGTCGGCATGATCTCGTTGTTGTCCGCGTCTACTCCTCTCGCCATCGCTGTGCTGCACGGCTGTAGGTAGCGTGCAGATCGAGTCCGACGGCCGGCAGTGCTACACGCCAAATCTACCAACGGTCCGGTGCATTGGACATGGAACTGTACGCCTGGAATAACTCGACCATCGGACCACGGCGGAAGCGACCTTTGCAATCTGGTGTCTATCCAAAGGGCTAACGTCGCACCGGCGGCGGCGGCGGCGGCGGCCATGGACGAAAATGCCGTTAGAACCCAAGTCCAGTTGGCCTTGGAAGCTGCAACACATCGATCCCAGCCGATCACGACTCTGCGCGAATTCCTCAATTTCGTAAGGGAGGAATGCCTTGCCACAAAAACTTACGATAAGCAAGAGACTGTCATTATCGACATATGGAATCAGCGAGCCAAGTTGACCCCGTCCACACCGGCTGAAGCGTCCATCCGCGATAGCCCTGATGTTGAAGGCAGAAATGCCCTTCACGGCGGCCCTGATAGTTTCCCCCTACTCGACGAAGAAGTATGCAAGCCCGTGCCCTGTTGTGGTATCTTGTTAATCGTAGCTGACTAAATCGTTGTAGACAGAGTGCTTCAAGGTTCACCTGTACCAACCAGCCAGTGCATTATTCGGATACGCTGTGTGCAAGTATAACAAGGAGCCCGGGAGCTATATCAGGGCCGATTCAATGCGGAACAACAAGATGAAGCCCGGACCGGAAGGCCTACTTGTCATCCAATGGGAATTGGCCGGCGGTGACCCTAACCGTACCGACCACACTGCCACACACACAGTCTGCCATGTCCTGGATGACGAGAAAGCAAGAAGCATCGGGATGGATGTTGATATAGTACTCGGTACGGATTGTGAAAAGGAGTTAATGAAGCAAGATCACTACCTACGCAATATTTCCAGGCAGAACGCGGCCATTCTGGAAGACGACATCCAGCAGCCGGTAACGAGGGTGGCACGAGACCTTTGGCCGCTGCCTAACACCTCCATGGCTCGTATCGCTTCCCCTGGAATCGATAGTCCAGGATTCAATATCCATTTCCATGGGTCGGCTTTCCATGGGCCGGTCTTCATCGGAGAGGCCGGTCTCAGCTCGGCTAGCGAAGCTCTCGAGGCTTCTGGCGTCGTGTCGACAAAGCGTACTTCAGCATATGCACCAGAGTACCAAGCCCGAAGGTACGCTGTGCCTACTGTCGACGGTAACAGTTGCGCCGAGGCATTGCGAGGTAAACGAAAGGCTTCAGGCGAACATGAGGCTGAGTCTGTTGACAGAGCCAAGAGGCATCAAATCTGACACCAACCAGGTAAAGTCGCAAGCGGCGCAACTGCCCGTCCTCACAGATTGGTAGCGTTCGTACGCTTGTCGACTATCAGGGACCCCTCATGTAAGGATCCAAAACTGTGCATCTTATATCGACAGATAATTCATGTGTGATGGAGAGAACGGAGAGGGTTCTGTAATAGTGCTCTCTTAGGATGGGTTTGAACTTGTTCAAGGAAACACAACCGAAAGCGTCTCAAAACTGGCGTTCTGGACGTTCTGGTGGTTATGGAGGTTGGAATTACTTATTATTGAAAAGCGTTGCTGCCCAACAGGGCCCACTGGGGGAACCCGAATGTTTGGATGGGAGAGTTCGGAGGCAATCAATAGGCGTTTTGGGGCCTCTCGGCGCTATATTGTGCAGAACGTGAGGTGGGTACGAGCGCTTTTAGCCATAATCCGGCGTGATTTGATAGCATTGCGAGTAAGCTCTGTAACAGAACGAATACGAACAAGTTGTCCTTCAGATAGATTTGAGGCCAAATGATGTATGAGGTAGACATCGACGCGACGTTGCAGGTTTGCGTGGTTTGGAAAAACTTTGCCCCGAACCTGCAGAAGTGAGTCTTGAGCTTTGACCCATACCCGTGAACAGGAGTTGACCGATTTCATCTCTGGCCCTTGTATGGTACGCCACCAGGGCAGTGATTGAGTGCTCAATCGCATTAGGAGATGAAATGAACACAAATCGGCCTACGTGGTGTTCTACAAGAGGTGCCTTCTTTTTGCCACGATCGGGCCAAGTCTGACTGGTCTTGAGGGACCTCCAGGTTGTGCTACTGGCTCAATCGCGTACATATAACATCGAAGAAACGGATCGATGCGATGCAAGGACATATTCTATTGCTCCTCTTCTCCAGCCATTCTAGCATTTTGGCCTCATGGTGACTGCAATGGCCACAGGCATGTGCAGCCGCTCTTCCGAATCATCCTTGCAGGTGTTGATTATCACCACATACTTGAGTGGGCTTGGCTGGGCTAGATACCCGAAGTGTGCCGGTTCTTTGACAGTTATCTAACAAGAAGTTGTATGAGGTATTCTACAGTCTTCGTACCATGGTGCGCTCAATACTGTCTTGGCGCTTTTGGCCACTTTGGTTTCTTGCCGGCTCTTGAGTGAACAGAGTGGTGGCCCGGGAGTTGCAGCGGGCTATGGAAACGCTACTAAGCCCTGCCAGGTAACTTAGGCCCCGGAGTACTGTCCTGGGTGTAATGAATTTCCTACCAATCATTGCATAGCTTATATTTAGGCAGATCAGTCAACAACCCCATTGGCACAGTAAAACAACCGACAGGATTCCATAAGCTTGGCTGACACAACTGCTTGTTATAAAAAAGGAGATGTGCAAAGGTCAGTGCGCCACCAGCCTATCCACGATTTAAATTACTTGAGTTGTCCTCGACAAGATCAATGGGAATTTGCATGTGCTCTTTGATTGAAAGACAGCCTTGATACTCTGATAAGTATCCACCGAGTCTCATGTAGTCGAGAGGTATCTTGCATGTCATGATAAAGAACACAAAACTACGAGATTTCCAAAAGCATTTCGAAATCATGCAGGCTACATCAAGGGGAGATTGACTTGCTGCGAGACAGTCATTGGGCAAGCCTGTTCAGTGGCTGAATAACACGAGAAGATACAAGTTGACTTGAACCACAACGAAACAACCATTTTAGCATGGCTCCAAAGAAGCAATCGTCCCGGACTCTTACTATTTGGTTACATAGTTTCCTCATAAGCCAAGTACTAAACTCTGAGAGTATGACAGTAAGACATAGTGCTCGTTCTAGAATAGACCCAATCAAATTGAGCGTTGCCAATTCTTCCGTGCGGTCACATACTCTTCAGACACGAGCGAAGACATAACTCGGATCATTTTTGAGGCCCAGCCCAAACTAGTCACTCGAGAGGCTCCAGATACTGATCTTACAGGGTAAACATAAGTTACTTTGCCACGAGATTAAATAAGATCGGGCATGCTCACCCTGAGACATCCCCCAGTGTACGCAACGTCAGGAGCCGAATAGAAACAACAATACTATAACTATTTAGAAATTGAGTTTTCAAAGTATAACTAGACCAGACCTTCTCCGCGAAATCCCAGGGTGTAAGTTAGACTAGCAGAACTAAACACAAGTGAAGTCTGAATTTCAAATACATACTAAAGACCCGTGCGAGAAAATGTCAAAGTGCATGTTTCAAGATCTCGATGTGTTTTCTGGTGGTATGTTGAGGAAAATCCGTAGTCAATCAAGCGGTATGCTCATGATATCTTTGACAGAATGAAGCCAGCAGTGTCTTTTAATGTACCTAACCAGGCTCGTGATAGCTATTTGGTGCTATCTCGCAGGGTTTCGTTGCAAAAACTTATTTCAGTTTTTTCGAGCAACACATCTCTAACCCTGCGTATGGTTGGGATGAGTTGTACCAGTGCGTTACTATCCTCGTTGGCCTTATCTTGCTAATACATACCGTACCGATTTATCGACCATCCGGCCTACCAGAGTTAAGATATCTCACATGTTTTTGGCCATATATATTAGCGACCATACGGCATAGGTGCCAGGGAATGGCGTCAGGCCTCATGTAACGCAAGCGCGTATATCACGCACTATATCATCTTCAGCGCATCGGTCAAGATGTCACGTGCCACTGGGCACCACATTAGATTCGACGGGAACGCAGTGATATCAAGGCACCCAAAGTTCGGAATGACCGTGGCGAAGCTGACAGGTCAAGGCGGCAAATGCGAGTGAAAAGCGAAAAGAGTGCAAGGAGGGGGGGGGAAGCAAATTGCGCATGTTCCCGCCTTGTGCGCTGCAGCAAAATGGATTGAGACGCCGAGACGGGCAGGTTTAGTGGGATGAAGGATTGATGGAACTAATCGGATAGTTATTACGAAGACACAAGAATGCAGTTTTGAAATGCAATTCCTCTGAAGGAGCACGTAAGGCCCACCGGCCCTGCTGCCCAGACATGCATCCCGGGCACGGCCTCCGAGTGGGGGCCAGACATCGGCGCCGGGTTGCGCTAAAGGACATCAATAGAAGTTAGTGTGCTGCCCGGGAATAAATTATGAGAAGAGCGCCAGGAGCGCAGTAATTTGCAATTATGTGCTAAGCTCCCAATCTTGAATGCGACGGTTCGACGCAGAAATTTTTGAATCAACCGGTGCGAGCTATAACGTATCGTTGTAAAAGTATTGAAGACCGGACTGCTGGCCTACTCACAGGAAAAGCTAGGTACTGACCATGTCCAGCCCTGTGCTTCTCTGGGTTATGGGTAAGCGTAGTGCTCTCGGCAACCGGCCCACCAGCTCAATTATAACGCTGGTCACAATCTCTGAGATGCCGCCCAGAGTCCCGGATGGGTCCCGGTCAATGGAGAGCAAGCAAGCACAGCCGAACCAATGCGCGTCTCTATTATCGGTATGTCTCGTATGATTGTTGATGCGACAAGCATGTTGCAAATGAAGACAAGTCACCGGCCAAGAGGGGAGAGCACACAATACTTTGTCATCGCTCGGGGAAGGGACCCATACCGGCCTCCGCCCTGGAGAAACGGCACTCCACTCTACGGTGGAGAGTGGACCGCACCCAAGACTCTGAGGAGAAGGTGGCTCTCTCACCCACGGCACCCAAGCGCCGATTGCTGCGACAATTTCCGCCCCAGATGACCCCAGGAATGTGAAGATTCTTCAGTTGGAGGACGAGGCGAACCAATCATGAAACCACGGCGGCTCAAACTCTGAACAGAAAACGGCACTGTTCTCCACTTGCCGAAGTAAGGTAGGGCAAGCCGAGTGAATGCCAAGCGGGTGACGGCGTCGTGCGTTCGGCCGGTAGCCAAGAGCTTGGGATCTCGCCGTACCCGAGGTCAGTAGCGGCGGAAAGGGAAAAGAAAAACCAACGAAAACCTAATGCGGCTGCTATCGCGCCCAACAGCTCGATCGAACGATTCCCGTGCCTTGCCTCTCGGCGCTTGCGTTATTATACCATAATTGCAGGCATGCGAGGTTTGCGGTGAGTATAGAGGGCCCCCGTTTTGATTTCTAGCGCGCCGCTAGCCCCGTGCTAAGACGAGATTGGACCACCTAACGGGCCGAAGACTGACGTCACTGCGGCTCCGTTGGATGGTGATAAAAACTGAATCTCAGCCGCATGTCTAATTCGCCAGCCAAGAGGGTGGCCTGGCAGCCTGGGGGTGGTGGCTGCAGCTGGGCGGCGGCAATACTTTGACAAGCTTTTCAGTTGCCGCGTTTCGAGTCACGCTTCCCTTCCCGCCTTGGTAATCTTGGTGAGCTTGGTGGTCTTGGTAACGGGAGATGGCCGCCCACCCACCACGAGTCATGGAGTTACGTAGGTAACAGGCCGGGCAGGAGTAGAGATTTCACCTAACGCGAAATCTCTTCGTCTTGGCCTGCCGCACCTCGTCGTCATTGGGTCTCCAGGGCCCGAATGTCACATGCAGTCGCCGTCGGTAACATAACCGCCAGCATGACGATGCCACGCCGTGCTATCTTCTGGGCTTCTGCTGGCCAAGAGGTGCTCCCCGGCTGCCAGTAAGCACGAGAGTGCCCCCGTGCCGCACAGGTCCACTTATCAATGGGTACTCTGAGATAAGGCAGCGTGAGGTTGGATTGAGGTTATCGCTCGCGGATGGAGTGCTGGAGTGCTGGAGTCAGTCGTCACTCCATACGGGTGCTCCGCAAGGGGTTCACCCCGGGGACAGGTAACAGCCAGCGCTTCAGAGCTCTTCCTCGACGCACGCCAACCCGGTGCCACGTCGGGCTTACAGGGTAATCCGTGCGCTCCCTCCGCGAATACTCCACGCCGAACTCCAACAGCGGTCCACCATGACGTTTCCCGTGAAATTTCTGTGTTAGGGCTGCTCCATCGTGTTGCCTCTTCTCCATCCTGGCCTGAGCGCTGCCGGTGGGCCTGCGAGTGCCTATCACTCGGCCTTACCATGGACCTATATCTAGCCGTCGTCCGGGTCGCTGAAAACGAGGAGAATCTGGAGTTCATCCTTCTCCGCAAACTCGATCTGGACCCTTTCCTCCAGACAGTCATCCATCAGTATCTATAGACGATACCGACAAGATGGCGAAAATGGCCAAGATTGCGAAAGTCCGCACCGGACACAAGGACAACGAGCATGGCGTCCCGACCTACTGGTCCAAGAGCGGAAAGACGCTCCAGCGATACATCACGGCCCTGGCCACGACCGACTTCCTGCTTTTCGGTTATGATCAGGGTGTGATGGCTGGTATCATCTCGTCGCCTGCCTTCGTTCACGATTTCCCCGAGGTTGACGGTGACAGCACCTGGCAAGGTTTCGTCACCTCCATCTATGCTGTCGGCTGTTTCTTGGGCGCTTGCTTCATCCTCTCGTTTGGCGACCGCCTCGGTCGACGATACTCAATCTTCCTCGGTGCCGCTGTTATGGTTATTGGTGTCATTATTCAGATCGCGTCTGTTCCTCCCAATGCAGGTGCTACAGCGCAGTTCATTATAGGACGGCTCATCACAGGAGTATGTTCGCCCCACAATGTCTAGTCCCCCACCAATCAACGTCAACTAACAGGAATATTCAGATTGGCAACGGCATCAACACTTCGACAGTCCCCACCTATCAGGCTGAGTGTTCTGAGTCCCACAACAGAGGCAAGGTCATCTGTATCGAGGGTGGAAACGTCGCCGTTGGTACGCTGATCGCCTACTGGATTGACTACGGATGCACGTACGGACCTCACCCCTTCGTCTGGCGCTTCCCCATCGCCTTCCAGATTGTCTTCTGTGTTGTCATTCTCGTCCTGATGCTGCGACTGCCCGAGTCCCCTCGTTGGCTTCTGTCGCACGGTCGTGAAGAAGAGGCAAACACTGTTTTGGCAGCCCTGGCCGACAAGCAACGTGAGCACGATGTCGTTCAGACTCAGATCACCGTCATCAACGATGCCATGAAGGCTTCCGGCCAAATCGGTGGCCACACTTCGTTCAAGGACCTGCTCACTAACGGCAAGAGCCAGCACTTCCGCCGTCTGCTCCTTGGTGCTGGTTCTCAGATGATGCAGCAGCTGTCTGGTTGCAACGCTGTCATCTACTACTTCCCCATTCTCTTCCAGACTTCGCTTGGCACCACCGAGAACCTTGCTCTGCTGCTGGGAGGTGTGAACATGGTTGTCTACGCTATTTTCGCCATGACCTCCTGGTACGCCGTCGAACGCATTGGTCGTCGTCAGTTGTTCTTCATCGGCACCATCGGACAGTGCTTGTCCATGGTCTTGGTCTTTGCCTGCTTGATCCCCGACACTCCCTCGGCTGCCAAGGGCGCTGGTGTTGGTCTGTTCACCTACATCGCCTTCTTCGGTGCCACTTGGCTGCCCCTACCTTGGTTGTACCCCGCTGAGATCAACCCCTTGAAGACCCGTGCGAAGGCCAACGCAGTCTCTACTGTCTCTAACTGGCTGTGGAACTTCTTCATTGTTATGATCACGCCCGTTTTGGTTGACAGCATTAGCTGGGGTACCTACCTCTTTTTCGCTGCCCTCAACGCCATCTTCTTCCCCATCCTGTACTTCTTCTACCCTGAGACGGCCGGCCGAACCCTGGAGGAGATTGACATCATCTTCGCCAAGGGCAACGACGAGAAGATCAGCTATGTTACGGCTGCTAAGCTGCTGCCCAAGCTCACTGAGCAGGAGATCAGAGATCAGGCTCTCAAGTATGGCTGCAACTCGTCTGACGATGAGTCGGGTAGCACTGGCGAGAAAAATGAGGCATCCAACGTCGACAACACCAACACCTTGATGGCGTAAGAGCGTGTTCGATTGCATTCATGCACTAGCATATCTTCTCAAGGCATTCGACATGCCAAGTGAAAGGATTACTTCGTCACTGCATCGAGCGAACATGTTCTTTCAGAACACGATTGATACAAGACACAACAAAAGAAAAGAACAGAAATAGAAAACGATGAATTGGGACGGATAGACCGTATAGACGGCATAAGTCCAAAGCGGCACGTTTGCCCTTGGAAAATGCATTTACATTATACCCATATAGCATGATGGCTAGATTTACGAACTAGATTACGAACTTGCAATAGATTTGGATTGCATCAATATTGTATATCTATTTACGCATTGTGGTAATGATCATTTCTACGTTGGCTCACGGTCCAACGTATAATCAAAGCACTCGCAGCAGATGAGCATGAATCCAACATGCAATGGCCTTTGGCTTTACCGAATAATGGTAACATGGCCACATTAGACCTCACGATATGTATCAGTCAGCAAGTCGCAGTGCCAAACATCCTCATTGCTTACCCGCGGCCCGTGGGTCTGCCTTGCCTGCTCGTATCTTCCCTCCTCCTCCCCCAGGCTTCCCAAACTGCGACTGCCGCACCCCAAGCTGCCAAGGTGTCAAGTAGGGGGGGACAATAGGTATCACGCCACTTTTTGCAACCCACTATAAAGACGGAGTGTGACCATCTCAATTCGCAACCCCAAACCCACCTGCGTCCGGGGGACGCCCTCATTACTCGCGAGAAAAACACTGGAGCAGGCTGGCGATCCCCGGGCTCCCACATTACCGATCGACATGCTCCGTATTTCTGCTTTAGCATCGAAGGCTATTGTGTCTCGCCCCAGTCTTGCCTCCCATCTATTTTTCCCACTCTCTCCGCCTTTCATTTCCCACGGGGCACCGGGGCAAAGGGGGGTAAGCAGTCGCGCCTCGCATCGCCCTCCCCTGCCAACGCGTGTGCTCGTACTGTAAGCTTCGCAGGTCGGCTTTTGATAAAAAGACCGGGGGCCTGCATAACTCCCACCGTCCCGTGCGTGGAGATCCACTTTCGGCCGGGACAGGTCGGGGACGGCTACTTGGCGGTCTTACTGTGACTTGAGGAGCTATTCAAACATGCAACTGCTCCTATGCTAGCCGTGGGTGTATGTCACGGAGTTTTCCACAGTTGCTGACTGCATCCTCATGGGCGGCCGGCTACTTTCTGCGCTCCGCACTTTTTTTTTTTTTTTTTTTCCTTTTCTCATATCATGGTTTTGTGCACGACTTTCGGCCTTCATCCGCCGAGAAAACCTTCCGCGCGTTATTCCTTGAATTGATTCACGCACGTCACGCGAAGGTATCGTCTCAGATACGTTCTCCTTACCACAAGGAGTAAATTGCCTTTCGCCTGGGTAATCTTCCCCCTTCCACGTACACGGGATGCACGTCGGGTTTGAGGGTCTTATCAAGTCCTCCGGTGTCCAAAATGCTATGTCCATTTCACCGCGTGTCGCGAAGAGCACCGCAGCACGGAAACTGGGGTGTGCAGTTTACCAGGCGGAACCGGCTCACCCGCTCTTGCCATCGCCGGCTTAGATTTGAACATATTCAACTCTATGGGACAGAGTTTACGAGGCAATAGGATAAAGTGCCCTCAGCCGTTGCGCCCGTCGTGGGGTCTTTCTGGCTGAGCCTCGCTGGAGCGTTGTGTAATTCATCTGAGATGAGGTAGCTACTACGGTGTTCACTTGCGGTACGCATCGCTTGAGCCCCATCCCCCAAAAGCTTCAATGTCGGCAAAGTAGGTAATGTCATGAGATAATTATGTCCACTACTCCTAGTACGCCGGTAATAGTCACAAAAGTCAAGGCACAAGTAGATCGGGTATGAGCCCATCAGAATATACACAGCCAGATTTTCCAGAACGCCGAACCATGCGTGATCGCACCCGCCAGAAGCCCCCATCCATTTGGATCTTGAGAAAGAAATGAACCGCCGAGGGCAGCCATCTACGCCTCGGACTTTCTCTTCTTCTTTTTCTTCTTCTCGCCATCCACTGGCTCGGGTGTCTCGATGGAGCCGTTCACATCGCTGTGCTTCCTCTTCTTCTCTTTCTTGTCCTTCTTGTCCTTCTTGTCTTTCTTCTCCTTCTTCTCGGAGGTGACTTCGGCACTGGGTGGCAGGGGTGCATCGATCATCTCGTGGTCGATGGCCAGAGACTGGCCGTCAGCCAGGATATCAGCCATAGCCTTGTCCTGTTATGGAATTAGTACACGATGGGCATGCATGGGTGGGCAGGGCAGTTGGGAAATACTCACCATAGCATCAACATTCTTGGTGGGCTTCTTGCCGCTGGCGTAGAACTCCAGGCGGTCCTCGACCTGTTGTCTGAGGGCCTCACCGAACTTCTTGGAGGGCTGCTCAGCGAAGTTGTCGATTCTGCTGGCGATACTGCACTTGTTGGCCAGGTATCTGGAGATGCGGCCCTTGTCCTTCTGGGATGCACGGCCGATGAAGGTGCTGTGGTAGATCAAGCCGAACTTAGGGGTGTTGCCCTTGGTCTTGAGGGCCCTGAAGAGCGCCTTCTCGGCTCCGAGGATCTGCAGCGTAGAGGCGGGGTACTTGCTCAGGTTGGTCAAGCTGCCGGCCTTCTGGATGAGACGGGCGGCAACGACCTCGCCGATGAGGGAGGCTAGGTTGGGGGCCACGGTGCTCATCTTCTCGGTCAAGTAGGAGTACAGGGATCGTCGGTACTCGGCCAGCTTGACGACGCGGTTGGCAAAGGTCGAGATGTTCTCCATGTCGACGTCCGAGATGTCGCGACCCATGGAGATCTTGGCCTTGTTGATGATCTCAAGGGCCTTCTCCTCATCCTCGTTCACCAGCTGAGCCAGCTCGTGGAGCTTGTCCTCGGACTCGTCAGAAAGAGACGACTTGTTGCCAATGTACAGGGCAAGTCTGGCGTAGGTCATGTTGTCGCTGACAATGGCGTAGAGCTCAGGGAAGTGCCTGGTGGGATGTGGTGAGCATCAGGATGAAGCAGCAGAGGTGGGGATGGTTCATTGTAGACTTACCAGCCATACCACTCGCGGACCTTTTGCGAGAAGAGGTTGATACCCTTGTCGAGGTTGTCCAGGGTAGCAATGGCGCGGATGACTTGACAGAGGTTAGCCCTAGTGAGACGAGTGGAGAAATACAGGAAAAGGGAGACGGACTGTGGTTGTCGTTCTTGTGGACGTTGAACTTGACCTTGCCACGACTGTAGGCGTGGCCCAGACCCAGCTGGGAGCGCTCGACGTCGCCCTCCTCGAGACCCTTCAGCAGCTTGGCGGCGTGCAGGCGGACGCCTCGCAGCAGGTCGGCGCAGACCTCGCTGGTGTCGCCCGTCTCGCACTCGATGCCGGGGAAGGCGGCCTTGATGCTACCGGCCAAGTTCTTGTCGGCCAGGCCCAGGACGACCTTGCTCTTCTTGGACTGGGGCAGGTTCAGCTCGAGGTTGGACTTGAGGTAGTCGTGCATGAGGCCCTCGCTGATGTAGTTGATGTTCTCGAGGGCATCAGCGGCGTTGCTGCAGAGGGGGGCGCCAGAACGCGTCAGCATACTTGTCTCTCGCTCCGGCATGCGCATGCGCATCCGCATCCGCGTCTCGGGCAGTGGGAGGGGGAGCAAACTCACCGCCACGGGGCAAAGTTCACCAGGGTGACCATCTTGCCAAACTTGGACAGGTCCTGGCCGGCCTTCTGGACCTCCTTGAGGTGCAGGCCGACCGTGTCCTGCTGGTGGACGACCTTGAAGATGGCATAGCCGAGGGCGCTCTCGTGCAACAGAAAGTCGATCTTGGTCATGGTGCCGGCTTGTCTTGCTGCGCTGCGCTGTGGGTGTGCCGTGGGTGTGCCGTGGGCAGATCGTCTGTCGTCGTTGCTGAGCGCTGCGTGAGGTTTGCGTTTGCGAAGCTCCGACGGCAACCAAAAATCTGCTGCTCCAAAAATTTTCGAATTGGAAAGCTCCCCACCAAAAATTATCGTATCGCGCGGCCCAGGGACCCAGCGCACAATTGGAATTGGCCGGCGCGGCTGGGGTTATTCCGCTCCGCCCAATGAGAAGTCCGAGATAGCCTCTGGGTGGATTCCCACCTGAAGCCAGTCTAAACCCCTTCAGTTAGTGGGCGTTCACTTGCCCATTTCAGGTACTACCACCCACTACCGTACAGAACTGTGCAAAATGCTTCGCTATCAGCGAGTTGATATGGTATGAACAGATCAGCACAAGGGCTCTTCGTAGTTTTGTTTTGTTGGTAACTATCACATTGCCGAGTCTCTAGATGGCCTTGGGTCTAGATGCCCTTGGGTCCCAGCGACCGCCGCTTCCGACTCTGGCCTCTTGATCGCTGTGCTTCGTCCCCTCCTTCACTCCTCACATCTTCGAACTCCGGGATAGGCCTTGGCAGCGATACGTGCAACCAGCCGTCATCGACTGCTTTTGTCCGTGTCTTGACCTTGTCGGCTTGCTGCGCAGTTGCGCCGAGGCCTAGATTTTCCAGCATCCACTGCCACATTGTTACTACGTCTATTGCTTCTTCTACTTTGGGACTGTGATGTATCTGCACGGGGTGTCTTTCTGATATTGGGGCGCCGGAAGAAAGACGTGGTGTGCTCCCGTCGATCAAATTTGGGGGGCCGCAACTCCGTGCATGCTCTTATAGATTTTCCGTTTTGGTCAAGAACCCACGTAAATGATTCACTTGGCTTTGTTTATGACGCAAGATCTCGCTATTGGTAATGGAACGCCTTCAACCGGCCAGAAGTATGTGAGACACTGAAGCATTCTCACTGCATCGAAGAGGCAGAGCATGTTTTCCTTCTTTGCCCGATTATGAATAGTGGCATTTATTGTATCTGCAAATTGAACATCCAACGGGATCGATGCATAGTCCGGTAGCCTGACGAGACACAAGGACTAAGATTGATTTATTGCGGAGTGAGCATTCTCAAAGTTCATAAATGACATGTTTCGTCGACACCCTTCCTTTCAAACACGAGATTTACCGGACTGGCAACGAAATACGAACTTGACGCAATTGCAGTAGAACCGCCCGCACCGCAAGGCTCTTGCCGCCGTCATCGCTGCGCTGCATCTCAACATGCAGCTTCAGGTCTCAGCCGCAGGTAGCCTGAGTGGCACAGACGCCGACCAGGCTGACTGCCTACCGCAAGTCCTGAACGCTTCGTGCGTGTCCAAGGCACTCTTGCCATCAGTCTCGGCACAGTCGTGGGAAATTCAGCCCATCATTGACTTCACAAAACCTCCGGTACATAGACCGAGCACATCCCAGATCAGTGACTTCTCTACTCCTCTTCAACAACCACATACGACTCGACGCTTGGCGATACTCCATTTATAGGCTTTCACGCGGCTAGCCATGTCGGATCCCAGCATGTACACAGTAGGCTGGATATGTGCAGTCGGGACAGAGCTTGTTGCCGCCACCGCATTCCTTGACGAGGAGCACGACGCCTTGGAACAGCAGCCCTCCACTGATAATAACACGTACATCCTCGGCCGCATCTGGAAGCACAATGTTGTCATTGCAGCGCTGCCCCATTGGCAGTATGGACTGGTCAGTGCTGCGACCGTTGCTCGAGACATGCTACGCAGCTTTCCCAACGTGCGACTTGGGCTAATGGTCGGAATCGGCGGTGGTGCACCAAGCCCAAAGCACGATATTCGGCTGGGCGATATCGTTGTAAGCTCACCGGGCTACGGCACAGGTGGCGTTTTGCAATATGACTACGGCAAGACTATCCAAGGCGAGAGATTCGCTATGACAGGGTACCTGAACCAGCCGCCGCAGTGCCTTTTGACGGCGATTTCTGTCCTTGAGTCTCGGTATGAGAGTGACGGTCATACTATCAATGCAGATATCGAACGTGTTTTCGAAAAGAAACCAAGGTTGCGATCGAAATATCAAAAGCCAGACTCGTACACAGACAAGCTCTATCACTCCTCCTACAGACATGCTGGGGGCAAGAGTGACGACTGTGCGATTGTGTGTGATAATGCCGATAGTTTGGTTACCCGACGCCAGCGATCACAGGTTGAAGACAGCCCAATGATTCACTTTGGCCTTATCGCATCCGCAAGCCAACTGATGCAAGACGCAGATATACGCGACAGGCTTTCAACGGAGAAAGGTATCCTTTGCTTTGAGATGGAAGCTGCTGGGCTGATGAACCACTTCCCATGTCTTGTAATCCGTGGCATTTGCGACTATTCAGACACGCACAAGAACGAGGCATGGCAAGGTTACGCAGCGATGGCGGCAGGTGCCTACGCAAAGGATCTCCTTCGTAAAGTAGCGCCAAATAAGGTTGAGGGTGAGAGGAAGTTAGCCGACGTTCTCTCCCAAGGTGTGTCGTAGTACGTTTTGCCATTTTGACCTACGAAGTAGCTAATTCTTAGTTAGTAACGGAAGAGCTGGGAGCAATTGTCCCCATAATTCATGATACGCAGACACGGATTGAAGAGATCCACGTCGACAAGCACCGTGACAATATCGCAAGATGGCTGAAGGCGCCCGACGTTTCCAGCAACTTGAACAAAGCACTAGAGGCGCGCCATCCTGGTTCTGGCCAAGGCCTCATCCAGACGGAGTCCTATCAAAAGTGGAAAACGCAATCGAAGTCCTTCCTTTGGTTGAATGGAATTCCCGGGTGTGGCAAGACGATCCTCACAGCTACTGTGATCGAGGACCTGCGGGCTAGCTCTCAGCCTCTTCTCTACTTTTATTTCGATTTCACCGACATCGAGAAGCAGCGCTTCGAGAACACTATCCGCTCCCTTATCAGTCAGTTATACCACAATAATCAAAGCGCGAGAGAGGAACTGGGCTCTCTGTATTCTTTTTGTAACGGTGGCAGCCAGCAACCCCGCGAGAACCAGCTTCAAGCAACTCTCGTGAAAATGATCCAGCAATCTGGTGAGGTATGGATCATCCTCGATGCACTCGACGAATGTACATCTCGGGAGGAGTTACTTCGCTGGCTCCGAGGCATTCGAACCGAACAGGTGAACTTCCATATCCTTGCAACAAGTCGGCCAGAGCGAGATATCACGTCAGCTATTGAGCAGTTTAGTTCTGACGAAGAACAGATCGCTATTCAAAACGATCTCATAACGGCTGATATACGCAGCTACGTCCATAAACATATCAGAGAACACGAAGATTTCCAACTTTGGAAAACAAGACCAGACATTCAAGAAGAGATCGAGTCAAATCTCGTAGAAAGAGCTGATGGAATGTGAGGGCCCTCAAGCACTCAGGGATATTCAAGTATACTAACTTATACAGGTTTCGCTGGGTTTGGTGTCAAATCACAGCTTTGAAGCGGTGCCGCGATCCCATTACATTGCGAAAAGCGCTCGCATCGCTTCCAAAGACGTTGGACGAAACGTATGCACGGATCTTGAGTAGCATTCCATCAGAATATGTCGACCATACAATACGAATTTTGCAATTTCTAACGTACTCGGAACGGCCACTACGAGTTGAAGAAGCTGTGGATATGATTGCGGTCAGAGTAGGAGCAAATATAGCAAAGGAGTCCCGCTTCAAAACACAAGATAGAATGCCGATCCCCACCGATATTGTCGGATACTGTTCGAGTCTGGTTGTTCTCGTTCGAACAAGAAACTGGGATAATACAAGGACCACAGGTGAAGTGGTGCAACTAGCACACTTCTCAGTGAGGGATTATCTCACCTCAGACCGTCTAGAAAATGATACTGTGCAGTATTTACAGGAAATGCCCGCCCGAAGCTCCATTGCGGAGGTTTGCCTGACATACCTGTTAGCACCTAAACCAAATCATTTAGGCGGCCAGATTCCTGACTGGAGAGATTCTGAGGCAGTGTCCAGCTCGATTCAAAGCGACTACCCTTTCTCTCGATACTCAGCACAATACTGGACTAGTCATGCTATCAAAGTGGAGCACAACAGCGACTCTGTTTTCATGCTTGCGAAAGAGCTTTTCTCAAGCGAAAGTCAGTTTGCAATCTGGTGCTCCCTTGCCAAGCCGGACATACGAATTGTAACTAAGGGATCACCCATATATTTTGCCTCACTCTACGGCCTACTGCGGTGTGTACACGGGTTACTAGAAAACGGTGCCAATGTGAACGCCCGCGGCGGATTCTACATGTACCCATTGCAGGCTGCTTCAGTCTACGGACACAAGGATATTGTGCAGCTACTGTTAGATGCAGGGGCGGATGTTAATGCTGGGGGCGTATTACACGGCAACGCATTACAGGTTGCTTCAGTCAGAGGACACAAGGATATCGTGCAGCTGCTGTTAGATGGAGGGGCGGATGTTAATGCTGGGAGCGGATTATACGGCAACGCATTACAGGTTGCTTCAGTCGAAGGACACAAGGATATCGTGCAACTGCTGTTAGATGCAGGGGCGAATGTTAATGCTGGGGGCGGATTATACGGCAACGCATTACAGGTTGCTTCAGTCGAAGGACACCAGGATATCGTGCAGCTACTATTAGATGCAGGGGCGGATGTTGAGGACAACGCAACAAGGGCTGCTTTGATCGAAGGACATATGGATATCGTGCAGCTACTGTTGGATTATGGGGCTAGTTAGGAGAATACCAAGATAGACGACATGACCTTCCTCTACTCCACTTCTAATATTGGACAGAATAGATCAACCCACGAGCAAAAACCGGTACAGTCCAGCAAGTGAAGGTTCAGCGGTCCTCACGTCGAGACCATCGCAAAAACAAGTCCATGGCAGCAAAATGACAGATATCTCCGATGCCTGGAATCTACAGCACTGATCTTAATTTTTATTATTTTCTTTTTGGCTGTCACAAATTAGCCCTGGGATCGCGAACAGTTCTTGTCGCCTCATGTGATGCGTATATGATCGACTTTTTGCAACATCTTAGGATACACTGCAGATTTGGTGACCTGCGTTAAGCAGCAATACCTAGGTGAAATGTTCATTCAAGTATAGATGACAAAACCTGGCTTTCGATACAGAATCCCGATTATAGAGAGCTTGCGTTATCTGAATTCTCACAGTCCAGCAGGCGCTATCCGCAGTCACACAATTCACCATCCTCAGCTTTGGAGAAACAAGCGAAAGACATTTAACGTTACTTATGGCTAAATCCTCTGTACTTTCTCTCATTAAGAGCAAAACAGTATTTGATTCGTAATTCGCTATTCAGTGCTCAGTGCTCAGTGCATGTTCCTCATGGAGTCATCATCACTCATAAACGTAGCAGAATGGCCCCGCAATCGTGTCCATCAGCTCCCGTAGCTTCTTCTCAGGGTTGAGTGGCGAAAAGTCAAGCGTATCATCAAGGGTGCCGTTGCGGCTTGGTGGTTGGTTGTTCATTGTTATAGTCCCTGCCACATTCTGTTGCATCGCCGCCGCTTGATTAGCAGCTGCACACCGACACTTAACGAGAAACTCACCTGTCTCTTAGCCCAATCCAGATTCTGCCAGACAAAGTACATACGATCAATCTGCCCATGGTGCTATTTCAAGGGGGACGTATTAGTATAGGTACATAGTGGTAAAACGTGCCACCAAGTTGGGATTTTAGTTTGCTCACCAAGTAAAATCCAGGTTCTAGCGGAGAAAAATAGAAATCGCCTCCAGGGTCACCCCCTGCGAAATGATTGTCAGAGATACGCTGTCACAAAAATATGTGCAGGACAAGGGGACTGACCGATAGTGAAATGTCCGCCACCATGTACAGCAAGTCCCAGTACAGCACTCTTCGCGTATCGTGGGTCTCCCTGCAGCATCGCCTGGAAGAGTTCGATATCCGATGTGTCCGTGATAACTTGGGTCGTGTTTCTGATGGATGCCCATTTGGCACAGATGTCCGAGTTTAGGTCTCGTTTGAGGCACCGAGGGTTGTAATCCAGTGGGTTCCTGGCTCCGATAGGCCCCATGTTGACGGTGTAGTTCGAGAAGGGACCCTTCTTCACACAACCGCCGCCCGTGCCAGCTTTGGCACCAAACATGCCCCCGGGCGACTGGCCACCCCTGACTTTCTCGCCGTTGCCTCCAAGTGAAGTCTCCGATCCGTCAAATAGTGGCGACTTGTCCATGTCGGCGCAGTCAAGTCCCCACTCCCAGTAGGGCATAGTGCCTGTCAAGGTCAGAAACTCCGAGATGATTACTCCTTAGAGACTGTACCTTTGAAGCCACACAAGTTTCGAAGTCGCTGTTCGAAAGTATGGATGTAGTAACGATGGAAAGTCAGGAAGGATGCCTAGTTACGTTAGTTTGACTGAAATTCCTCGCCTCGTTGGCATAAAGGACATACCGAGGCGTGCACATATGGCGTGAATGCGACATGAAGAACTCCAAAGTCATCGAAAGCGGTTCTTTCATGGGCTTGTTAGCAAAACAAAAGAACGGCGATACTCGTTCCCAACTAACTTTGCACCCGACACGTTGGTGAACGCTGGCGGTTGTTGCATGAGACATTCAACCGCTTTACGGTAAGCGATCCTGTCTTCCGCCGGAAGCTTTCTCCTATTTGGTCACAGGTTAGTGGGAGGCGATAGAGCCAAACACTGCCGTCATACCATTCTTTGCGGACTTTGACGTTCTCCTTGGTGCATGTTCCTGTTGATATTGCAAGCCGGCTCATGGCATTGTTGTACGCAGTCTGGCTCAGGTTGGCCAAGACCTTGCCGGAGTCGATATCAGACTGAGGATACGGGGCACCGGCCGCATGTTCAAAGTGAACAGAGGCTGCCAGGAGGACACTAGCCAAGAGCTGTCTGAACATCATTTTCGCGAACTGACTCCGGGGCTGCCAAGACAAGGTTGCCCCGATTACTGTGGTTGCAACCCCAGAGTCTTATAAGGATCATGGTAGCTGGACCGAAGGTGCATGCAGACAACTGGCCGCCACCCATAGAAGATCGTCTCATCTCGTGAGCTATTCTTGTACGTAACACAATCATGTCGCGCACGGGACCATGTTCTGACAATATGGTTGCAATTTGCGTCTGGAATCAAGCACGCCGCAATGTCTGGCTTCTAGCGGGCTGCACCCCAGGTTTTCGACAGGTGCCGAGAGCAAAGTCTGGGGCTAGATTAATAGTTCGTGTAGAATATATGCGGTAATCTAGTCATTGGTTGGTTGAGGCGTTCGCGCCAAGGAAATTTGCTATGCACTAGGAACTTCAGCCGCCGCCCGCAATAGAGGCAAAAGCTGCGAGTTAAGAGTAGAAACATCGAGTTGTGGAAGACGCAGACGCCTAAGAATGATTTAGGTCTTTGGAGCTGGAGCATTCGAGATTCAATCGGCATTTGAAACGGCAGTGTGATTGTTTATGTTTTGTGGTTCATTGGCCCTCGAGTTGTAAATTTGAATTTCTACAAGCTGGATTAGCTCGGATAAATATTCGGTGAATGCACACAGATTTGTCGCTTCGCGAATGCTGGTGCGTGCAAGGGCGTCGAGACATAATATATGCTGCCACGGAGTACTTCGTAGATACTATAAGATGCGTTACGACCAAGTTTGGTACATGGTGGGTTGACTTATTCAGCGGAGTAAGGCAAGAAGTGTATAACTAAAACTAAGCCACAGCAAGCCATCAGTTTACATTCATCACTACTGCTTTCTAGTAACTTCGTACGTCTTCGTGGTCACAATCACATCCGTCTGCTGAGTCTCACCACTGTGGCCATGGCTCAACACCTCGTGTTGACGCATAGGCTCTCCCAAAATCCACGATCGTTTCACATCGGAAGATCTATCAGAGCTCACACCAGACTCTAGATCCGCACCACTGAGTACTACCTCATTCTGCTTGCGGTCATCTGCCAGATCCCCCTTGTCGATACTTTTGTCGCCGTTAGCATCACGCGTTTGGACAGTCGTCTCCGTTCTAGTTGTCGCCGTCTTATTTGTCGCTGTCCTGTTTGTTGCCAGCGTTCCCGTGAGCATTGCAAAGATATTCGAAGCTCTGTTCTTAGCCCTTCCTGCCATATTGGCACCAGGCATGGGGCTTCCTCCAAAAGTATGCAACCCAATAGGCTCGGGTCCTCGTTGCTGATCGTCCGGTTGTCGGATGTAGGAGCTGCGGTTGCGGGAGGAGAACCACTTCTTCAGTGTCCTCGTCCACAATGGGCGACAGACTGGTATTCCGACGGCGACAAGTGTCAGAGAAGTCTCAGTTTGCGACCAAACAATGACTCCAACAGGCACGTCTCGGACACCTTTGACTTCCATAATGCGCTTGGCACCGGCGAGGGCGGCACTGCATAGTGGTGTTAGCAGAGCTTCGTACCAGGAAGACTGTCAGCAAAGGTTCATGGGGAACCTACAATATACCAAGACTCAAGCTACCAGCAATCATGAATTTCTCTCTGCGAGGTGCATTGAGCTTCCAGATAAAAATCCAAGGCAATATAGCGAAGAATAAATCAACAATGATTGTGCCCACTTTTTGCCACAAGACTCACGATTAACACTGTATACCGCATTACGCAGGTTGAATGACTCACTAGCAAGAATCATTGATAGAGGAATCGTGTTGAGACAGGTGCCTCCAGGTATCCGATCATCCCATGTATACGCGAACGGCTTGCACGCAGCCCAAGTCATGATTGTGGCCACTGAAGAGGGATTAGTGCAGCCCCCGAACCGAAGACGACGGGTGTATACTCACAGATAGAAGCTAGGAAGAGGAATGTCATGAAGACCCAGACTGCGATCCGCTGCCACCGGACCACCACAATTCGAAGCAAGAAGAAACCGACAGACGCCTTCGAGGTGCCTGTAGCTAGCAACGAGAACGACTGTCCAATGCTCCTCCAGTAAGCCGCTGCGATTCGAGTGTCTTCGTCCAAGTCGCTTCGCCCATATCCATGCTCAGCGGCGACTTGCATGAAGGAACTGAACAACACCACCAGGACCTGTCGAACATCTTTGGTCAGTCAGGCCAATTTTCAGTACTCAAAATAAGAGGGACTTACGCAGGTAGCAGCATAAAAGTGGTCATCAATTCCATATGCAGCGACGCAGACCAGTCTAGTGTACGCACGCAGGGCTAAGAAGACGAGTACGACCGCTGCTAGACCCCAAAGCACCCCTATCATGTAAATGCCGTCGCCGCCTACCGCCATTGCGTAAGAGGATGCCGTGTATCGAGTATAATGAATGGGATGTTGGTATGAAGCATGTATCGCACTGAAAGCTGTAGTAGCGACATCCACGATGCTGCTCGGAAAGTAGGATAGAGAGCCGGCGGCGGTTTAGTAGATAACATCGCTTTTGATTCCCCACCGAATAACCTTGGAAGCTCAACGGCGACGCATTTCGGGATCAAGATCAGACAAAGAGATCAATGCGTCCTGAACGGCACCGATGTAACAGTTCAGCCCGTCAAAAGCAATCCAGACTACAATCCCTCTGACTGCAGATGTGGCAATCGTTTCCGAAAGGGGTGAGGAGAGCGCCGGCAGATGTTATAAAAGCTGAGTGAACAACTGAAAAGAGGAGCATCACTATTGTGAAATTGACAGGACCTCGAATAAGAAATCACAGTCCGCAACTCAGACCCTTGTGAGGTTGGAATAAGTGGCCCCCTTTTTGTTTTTGCAGCCCGCTCCGGGCCGACACAAAAATAACCACAGGTCCATACAGTACGCATACTAAGAAATGACTTGTCGGTATTCTTGACTGGGCAGGATGCAAGGCGGCCGCTCACTGTGGAATGCGAAAAAGTGAACTATCAGTTACGCGGAGCATAGGGGCAGGAAAGGACATGGGGGGTTCCTGACTTGGGGATGCACACAGAGTCGAGGATTATCAAAAAGTGGCGTTGCTATGATACTTTTAAATCACTCAAACGCAACATGTCGCAATTCGAAGTCAGCCGGCACCGAAAGCTGAGGGAGCGAAGTATTGAGGGCTGACTATACGGGCCCGGTAGTGTGGCGCGCTAACAAACGTTGACCCCGGCGGAAACACCATCGCGGCTGAACATTGCAGAATCCGCGAGGCGGGATCACTCCACGCGAATCATTCCACTGCAGTTGCCATTGGCCCATACCTAATCCCTCATCTCCTTGGCTTGGCACTCCTCGCCTAGATCTACTACATTGACGATCTGGAAACGTGCCCCTGTCCTGCTTAGAATCTGAACCTCAATTGAAACCAAGTGAGCCTGCATTCGCCCTCCATGACAGATCGGCTATAAGCTTCCGCGAGTATAGAGCAGCACCAATCTGCTCTACGACCGTTGAGCTTTGGCAGGGATAGGCGCCGGGATGGAGACGAAAGATTATGTGCCACCGTTGAACACAATAGTCACGCATAATTAATGATTGCTTTTTTTCCCACAATCCCATGAATAATCGTCCCTCTGCAAGCCCGCTGCCCACACCACATGCATACAGAACCCTTGCAGTTGTGAGCTATCAACTGCTTGATCCCAGGACCATTTATTGATTGGCACGCGGATCAGAGGCCGACCCCACAACATGCAGTGCAGCAACAGGGGTCGGACGCAGACACCGAATGCGACCTGGTAGGCGGTTCGAGACTTACAGAACTCGATCGCGGCCACTACTACCCTGGCTTGATAAGAGGGGACAATAGAACGGCATAGGCTGGATGGGATCGCGGAAAACTGTTCGATACTTCCCCGTCTTGTTTCCTTCCAGCACTGCTGCTTTTCCTGCATATCGTACGATTCAGATATTCCCCAGCGTGGTGAAGAAGGAAGATCGCGATGGTGCTTTTACTCGAAACTCCGCTCACGGGCTCGAGGGTGCTGGATCTTGTGGCACTGAGTTTTCTTTTGTTCCTGATCAATCGGCTCCTGACCTGGTACCGGCTGAGCCACGTGCCGGGCCCGTTCTGGAACTCGGTCTCGTCGCTCGCCCTGCTCAGGACGCAGCTCGGGGGCAGTGTGCATGCGGATTTGAACCAACTCCTCCACAAACATGGTTCATCGCTCGTACGCATCGGCCCCAATGCGGTGCTGACGAATGATGCAAAGCTCGTGCAGCGCATGGAGGCCAATAGATCCCCATATACCAAGAGCCCCTGGTAGTAAGCAGCGTCCTCAATACGGCATTCAAAGGCCGTCAAACACCGACTACTCACAGCTCAATACGACGAGTCAATATGCTGATATTTGATCCTGCAGCGGCACTTTTCGGTTCATGAAGGGAACGGACCATTCGTTCAGCCAAGTAGACGAACGCAAACATGCAGATCTCAGGACCAAGATTGGCCCTGGATATTCCAGCACGCACCTGGCTGTAAGTCCGCAGGTGAATTATTTTCCAGGTTCCCGATTAACTCTGAACAGGAGCAAAGCATTGATCGCCAGCTTCTCCGGTTCCTTCACCTGATTGATCGCAAATACCTCTCCCGCGAAGATGGGGGCTCCTACAGACCTCTGGACTTCGCCAGGCTATCACATCTATACAGCATGGATGTGGTCGGTGACTGGACCTTCGGCAAGCCGTTCGGCTTCCTAGAGGAGGGAGAGGACATCTATGACTACATCAGGTGGAACGAGGAGTTCTTCCCGTTCGTGACCATGGCGTCGACGTTCCCTTTCCTCGCAACATTGCTTCAGCAATGGCCGTTCTCGGAGATGCTCCCCAAGCCATCTGACCCAGTGGGTCTTGGGCGCTTCATGAAGTAAGTCTTGCTACCAGTGGCGCTCTTCAAGAAACACCAACATTGACGCATGTGGGCACAGGGTTGCTTATGATGCCATCGAAGAACGTCAGAAGTATGGTGTCGACCTGCGCAACGATCTGATGGGCATTTTCCTCCAACATGGCGTGGGCAAGGAAGATGCGGTAAACGAAGCATTGGTACAGGTGTAAGTCTGCCCAAAAGAGGTCTCGAACAGGAGGGGCCTTGCTAATCCTGGCGTATACAGTGTGGCAGGAACAGACTCGGTGGCCGTAGCGATCCGAATGGCCTTGGTCTACATTCTATCCAAGCCAACAGTATACAACAAACTGCTCGCCGAACTCGACGAGGCCAGGAATTCGGGCCAAGTCACCCGGCCCATCATCCGGGATGCCGAAGCCAGGCGCCTGCCCTACCTCCAGGCCGTGATCCGCGAGAGCCTCCGCATCTTCCCCACCGTTACACCACTGATGTACAAGTCGGTGCCAGCGGGCGGAGACCTCGTCGCCGGCTACCAACTGCCCGCCGGCACCGACGTCGGGGTGGACCAGTACGGCATCCTGCGGAGCAAGGAGTACTGGGGCGAGGACGCCGATCTCTTCCGACCGGAGCGGTGGCTGCAGGCCGACGAAAAGGAGCTGGAAGCCATGAGCGAGTATCTCGAGGTAAGATTCTCGCCGTTGTCGTGATGTGCGATCGATAGCTGACTAGTATGATTCGTAGGCGTCGTTCGGATACGGGAAGTACAAGTGCCTTGGACGCTCGATTGCATTCGTGGAGATCAACAAGACGTTGTTTGAAGTAAGTGATTCTGCTCTACGGCGCGTGACTCACGGCTAATCTTTCATGTACAGCTTCTTACGAGGTTCAACTTCACCATGCTCAACCCGCCGGCCCCTCTCAAGATGTTTGCGGCATCCTTCTGGATGATGAAGGACTTCTGGATGGTAATCACTCCGAGGGAGACTTAATCACGCGGGAAATCATGTACAATCAAAATGGGCGGTTTGTTTTATGACCAGTGGAGATAGCAGAGAGTAGATCATATCATAAAGTCATTAAATTAACGAACTAGAAACTGTAGTGGGTATCGATATCATCAGAGACGTGGCAGAGACGTGGACGCCTACTCCTCCGTAGCCCCTTTTTCTTCTTTCTTCCATGTACATCATCCATTACGTAGGCAATCCTCCGGGGCATGCAAGATCATTTCAGTCATTAGCGACATCATGCTTCAACCTCCTTCGATGCTTCGGCAGCGGGTTCTGCCTTGGTCTCCTGGGCCGGGGCGACGGCGGCCTTCTCCTTCTGCGCCTTAAGTTCTGCCTCGAGAGCCTTGACCTTCTCCTCCAGGGTGCTGGCCTTCTCGACAGCAGCCTTCTTGTCGCTTTCCGCGGTGGCGAGGCTGCTCTCGGCCTTCTGCAGCTTGGAAGTGATGTCGGACTGCTCCGTCGACGCCTTCTTGGCGTCGGACTCAAGGCCGCTCAGCTTGGACTCCAGCGACTTGACCTGGGTCTCGAGGCTGCTGCTCTTGTCGGAAGCCGCCTTCGTATCCTTCTCGGCGGCAGCGAGGCTGGCCTGGACCGTCTCGAGCTTGCTGCTCAACTCAGCAGTCTCCTTCTTGGACTTGTCAGCGGCGGCTTCCAATTCAGCAGCCTTGGCAGCCTTGGTGTTCAGGCTCTTGTTCTCCTGTTATTTTTATTAGCGCGTTGTTCTTTGTAGGCATAGAAGACATCACTGGCAGTACTCACCGTCTGGGCAGCCTCGAGGTCCGCTGCGGCCTTCTTGGCCTTGCTCTGTGCCTCATCGGCCTGCTTCTGGAGCTCAGAGAGCTTGGTGGCCTGCTCATCGTGCGACTTCTTCAATGAGTCGCGCTCGTCGGCAGCAGCCTTCACCTTGGCCTCGAGGGCGGAGGAGCCGGACTTAGCCTTCTCCAACTCGGCGGCGTGCTCATCCTTGAGCTTCTTCTGGGAAGCCTCGGCATCTGCTACCTGCTTCTTGGCACCCTCGACTTCTTTGGCGAGGCTGTCGTGGGCAGACTGCAGGGAACCGTGCTTCTGCTCCCACTCTGCGGTGGCCTTCTTGGCGGCAGCAAGCTCGGTTGCAGCACTAGCGAGCTTCTCGTTCTCCTTCTGGAGGTCTTGAAGCTTCTGTTGTGCATCTGCCAGATCCTTCTTGGCGGACGAAAGCTCAGCGCCAGAGTTGCTCTTGAGCGCCTCGTTCGTCTTCTCAAGGGCAGCGTACTTCTCCTGGAGCTCGGCCAGCTGCTTCTTCACCGAAGTAAGTTCGGCTTCCGAAGACGACTTATGCTCGCTGTGGGTCTTCTCCAATGCGCTGTGCTTGTCCTGGGAAGCAGCCAGGTCCTTCTTGGCGGCGGACAGCTCGGAACTCGAGTCGGTCTTGAGCTTGTCGTGGGTCTGCTGTAACGATGAGAGCTTCTCCTCTGCCTCAGAGAGGCTCTTCTTGTGCTGGTCTAGGGTGCTGGTAGCGGCGGCAAGGTCGGCCTCGATCTTGTCCTTGGATGCCTTGAGCTCGGCAGCTGACTGCTCCAGCTTGCCGTTGGACGACTTAAGCTCGTTGTTGGAGCCCTCAAGCTGGCTAATGCTCTGCTTGAGCTTGTTGGCGGACGCCTCCAAGTCAGTCTTGGCCTGGGCCAGGGTGGTGTGCTTGCTGTCGGCATCGGAAACCTGGGACTTCAGCGATGCAATCTCCTCCTTCAGGGCGGCCTCTGCCGAGGACTGAGACTCCTTGGCCTCGGCCAGCTCTTTCCGCGCGGCAGCGAGGTCGGCCTCGAGGGTCTCCTTTGCCTGGTCGAGGGACTTGAGCTTCTCCTCCAGCAGGGTCAGACCGGTCTTGGCAGCATCGAGCTCCTGGGTGCGGGAGGCGGCAGCCTCCTGGACAGCACGGAGCTCCTGCGCGGACTTGGCAGAGCCGTCCTTCAGCTCGGCCTGGAGCTTGGCGACGTGGGCCTGGTTCTCCTGGCGGGCGGTCTCGTACTGGCCGTCCAGGAACTTGATTCGCTCTCTAAGCTCGTCGGCGTCCTTAGAGACGCTGGTGTGCTCCTTCTCCTTCCGGGAGAGGTCGTCCTCGAGGACAGCGATGGTCTCATCGCGGTCGGCGAGCTTCTTCTCGAGCGCCGCCTTCTCCACCTTGGTGAAGCCACTGTCGTGGGAGAAGACGGAGAGGACGTTGCCCATATCGACGATTAAAGGGATACTGAAAGGGTGGGCGGGGAAGGGGGAAATCGACGATGGTGAGGAGGAACAATTCCCGACTGGAAACTGTCGCGTGATTGATTGGTTTGTGTGAGGGAGTATGGATGATAGGGACAGGAGGGACGGAGAGGCAGCTGGCGACGCAGAGGTTTTCTAGCTCCCTCAGCTATGCCGTTTACATGAAAACATTTCTGGATCCATTCACCGCTCGTCGCCTCGGTGATAAAATGACGCTGGACCGTGCAGGGTGGGATCTTCTCGACCACCACCGCTGGCACCGCTAACCGCCCACCCGAAGCCTCATTAGCCGACGGTCATCACCGAGGCGTCGGGTGCACGTGGCAGCCGTTCGCATTGATGCCCTGATGCCCTGGTGCACACTTTCAGGCCGAGTTGAGGCTGGCAACAGGAGTTGGGATACCGCCGGTTGCGTCGAGCCTGTCCATGTCGATCGTGCACTTACACAGACAGAATCGCGAAAAAAAGAAAACCTTTTAGCGTTCGCTAGGGGTCTACTAGGGTCTCCTAGGGGTCTCGTTATAGCGAATGCATAACTGCTTCGAGCATCCCTGTTCCTTGCGCCATTGATCTGCACAGTTGAACTGCATGGCCGCTGGACCTTGTCAGCCTAGCCGACTCTTTTTTCTACTTGGTGACATTGTGAAGAACTCTAGTCGGGACGTCCCGCGCCATGTCTATAACGATAGGACTAAGCCTGCCCGTGTCCCATCTCTGGTCCAGCTGTTGAAACTCCCCAGTGAGAACGACTGAGTGACATCGCGAACACCAGCGGATGCCGCGCAGAAATCTTTCATGCACGGCACACCAATAGCGCCATGCAGTGTGTGTGTATGGGGTGCAGAAGGCCATCCGAGGCACCTAAGCAGCCTAAGCTTCACCGCGTTTGCATGTTCCCTAGCGGCCCCGCCCCACGTATCCAACTAACTGCTATGGTACAGTACCTCCAGGCTGCCAGGGCTATCTCTAAGTTGGGTGCCCAAGTGGGGTCACACGATGGCACAGTCGAAGCTGCCAGCATGACGGCCGGTCTTGGGTCAGGCTTTCATGCCGTGTTTACATGGCCTCATCGCTGGTCGGTTTGTTGTTGTTGTTGTTGTTATTGTCGCTCCAAGTTTTTAATGTTCTATGTTGGCAATGCCCAACAAGTCTTGTAGAGAAAGGGTGCACAAGCTCTAATCACCTGGTTATAGCACCTAAGCCGAGCTACCCGAGTACATTATAGATGGAATGAACGGCGATACCCTGGCAGAAGGCAATGACTCCGTTCGACAAAGAAGCATATTGTCCACCGAGCTACGGGCTGCAGTGTGCCTCGTAAGCACTGCGAGACATCCACATGCCAGAAGGGACGGGTAGGCTTTCAAGCCGCATTGTCATCCGCTCTATAAGTTAGGTCCTGTTGTGTACAAGTTGCTGTGTATGGTGTTCCATGGCTGAGGCTCCACCCTCGTCGCCAGCTGGCCCAGAGCCGAGTCCCAGCTGTCGACGACTTTTCTCCTCCTCCTTCTCAAGAGTCTCCGAGCGTCGGACTGTAATCTTCGCAGAGAACTTTTCCTCACCACGCACATCCCATCACCACGCACATTTCAGAACAGCCAGAGAGAGCGCACAAGAGCCGCCACCGTGGGCCAGGGTACCTGCATTGGGTCAGTGCTCCAAGTCGCCTCGGATTGGCCAATGGAAAGCCGGCTAGCTTCCCTATTCCATTTGGTAAGCACTGCCATATCTCCGTTCTCGCCGTCCTGCTGGGGGAGAATATCGGGGTCCTGCGCGCCCTTCCGTCGGCGCGTGGCTTGGCTTGGTATTGTGAAGCACTTAGTTAAGAAGTCACTAACATCCGCCATGATCAGTCGTAGATCGCTTGCTCTTGTCTCGCCAAGGCGGCCGTTTCCCCTTGCAAAATGCCGGCAATCATGGATGACCCGGCGAGCCCGACCATCTACCGTGTCTCGGGCCCCGGCCCGTACCCTGAACCCGGCCGACCCGGCTTCCCCCCGAGCATACGGCCCCGGCAGGTGACGCTCCGTGACCGACAGACTATCGCTACCGTAGTGCCCTTCGCATCGAGCTCCGAGGTGCCACCTTCGTTGTTGAAGTATCTGTCCGACCAGTTTGCCAAGGAAATCGAGGGTGGTGACAGCTATCCCATGATCGAGCCGATGCCCCTCGAGAAGTACTCGGCATACTGGTTCCAGAACTTTGCCGGCATCATGCTGCTCGGGACTATTGACGGCCCCGAGCAGGTTGTCGAAGGCAAGGACTGGTCCAAGGAATGTCTCGGAAGCTTCTACATCAAGCCCAACTACCCCGGTCGCAGCAGTCATGTGTGCAACGCCGGTTTTCTGGTCACCGACGCCGCGCGGAACCGTGGCGTGGGCAGGCTCATGGGTGAGAGCTACCTGGACTGGGCCCCGAGGCTGGGATACACCTACTCCGTCTTCAACCTGGTCTACGAGACCAACGTCGCATCGTGCAAGATCTGGGATGCCCTCGGCTTCAAGCGCATCGGGCGTGTAAAGGGCTGTGGCAACCTCAAGTCCTACCCCGACCGCCTCGTCGACGCCATCATCTACGGGCGCGACCTCGGCGAGGCACCTGGAGACGCTACTGACGGGCCGGTGAGTGAAGAACGATTCGACAAGATCAAGTTTTACCTCAAGTACGGGAAATACCCGAACGGATCTGACCGCGCCGAGAAAAGCAGACTTCGTAGTGCGGCCACGCATTATAAACTCCTCGAAAACGACGTCCTGATGCTGAAAGACAAGGAGGTCATCAGTGATCCTGTGCGCCAGCTGGATATCGCCAAGAACGTCCACGAGGCTGGTAACCACGCTGGGATCAACAAGACCACGGCAACCATTGCAGAGCGCTACCACTGGAGTCGGATCAAGGAGACTGTCTCCGATATAATTAGGCTATGTTCTGAATGCAAGGAATTGGGCAAGGTGCCTCTCCCAAATGCCGCGACACGAAGAGCAGTAGTGAATCATGTGGTGGTCCCTGGTAACGCTCCGGACGACGTCAACCCACCACCCAGTGCAGCCTCTATAGCCGGGCAAGCCGCTGGGATAGGGAGGGTTCTAGATCTTCGACTGCCGCCGAAGCCGAAGCCAGCCCAGTATGAGAACCACAGTGACATCGCATCTCTGCTGAATCCAATGCATCCAATGGATCACTCAGGGGCTTCCGGTCTGCACGCTAGTGATCCAATGCTGCTAACACAAGCGCACACCCATCACCAAGCACACCACACGGCCGTCCCTTTTTCAATGCTTCATGGTGACCCAACCAGCATGTACTCGCCTATAGACCCGCAAATTATTTCAGACTCGGTGCACCAAGGAGGACATGATACCTTCGATGCGTTCCATGACCTTTCTCAACACGCCCAGTCTGACCACACCCCTCTGCCCGGTCATGAATCGTACCACCACCACATGGGCCATCACCATCCTCATCCCGATGATCCATCGTTGCAGCAACTCCAGGACTTTCTTCACGACGATCCTGACGATATGCCACAAGGGCTCGGCCACGCCGGAGCGGCACATCACTCTGTAGCGCTTCAGCATGAGCTTCAGGACGTGCACGACCAAGCTGCTGTCGACAGGGATATTGACATGCTCATCGAGCATCATGACGATTCAGATGTGGACAATCTGGATGATGCGGTTCTTGACGGCCGTGACGACCAACGACAGCGTGACAGGCGGCGTGATTCAGAAATCAGTGCGGAGAAAAGAGATAGGCACAACACGGTGTCTGAAGATGACCGGTCACCAAAGCGGCGCAACTGGGACCATGTCGTCTTCGACGTGCCGTGATAAATAGAAACTTGGAAGAGAGCACTGAATCATGACCACCATACCCATCCAGATCAGCAGGCCGGTCACTGCTTCTTTGACCTTGCGCATGCTCGGCTCTAATCTACAAGGGATCTACGCCACGGGGCTTGTTATCCGAGGTTTTACACGTGTACACCCCGTTAGCTAGCATAGAATGCTGCCAAGGAACGGTTGTCTTCAGGGTCGGATTCCCTGCAACGATGCGACCATCACTCTGGCCGGATGCCGATCGACCAATCCGTGCCCAAAGTTAGGGCGTGTAGAAAGATAAGGGCTAAAACGCTGTTTCACTTACAATAATAGCATGCTCCCGTGCGGAAACGACTATTTAGACGATGCCATGGATCGAAAATGCATAGAGCATCCAACAGGGAAGGTTCATTTTCTAAACCTCTTTATTAGTGGACTGCGGCGGCGAAGATCTGTCCGCACGATGCTGTACATAGAACAAGAGGAAGTAAGAGACAGTCTCGCTGCCGCCCACAAGAGCAGTATGTATCTCGGTTGCTGTTCAAGACCACGATCCCCGGGAGGAGTTACGAAATGCTTAAGCCGCTATCTTTCTCCTTGCCAATTGTTTTAAAGAAACATTTCTAGAAACAGAGAAATCACCGATTGGTATATAGTCCGAGCTATGGTCGTGTGCCGTCTTTGCATATTAGGGATTCACTTTCGCGCTCCCATCCTTGTGCACATCTCCTGGAAAGTGACTTTCCATGATCATGGACCTTTGAACCAGCACGAGGGTTCCGGTCAGCGTTGCACCATGTAACAACGACTTGTAATTCGTAAGAGGATTGGGATTGGTGCTACAGCCGAGCAAGAAACCAACCACTTCATGCTGGCTTGTCCACACAACCCTGATTCGCGGAAGTTCCTCATGATCGCTCCACAGGTAATCGATGGGAGCTTCAAGACCAACCAGATGTTTCACCATGTCGATGTTTCCCCAGAAAGCATATCATCGTCTTTGACAAGGCCCAAGAACTCTGCGATCCGATGTTGATTTGACGCTAGTCCGGGACTAGCCCAGGTGAGCGGTGACTAAACGCAGCCTATCAATAAATGAATGTCGTCGGACATCTTGTTTTCCTATGGTGGCTATGTTCCACTAATTCTTACGTTCCATGACTCAATGATAGACATTGACATTTGGGGTTCAATGGGTCAGTCACCTTTGGTGATGCTGGGAGGCCCATTTTCACGACAGTATCATCGATCACGCGGCTGAATCATTCAAGTAAGATGCAGTTATCAGGAACGACCGTAAATCTTATTGTAAACGAATGTAAGGTTTCCACGCTCCTTGACTGCAACCACTTCACGTCCCTGTCCCCTAGTCAAATCTTCAAAACTCCCCTTCAACATTGGTCGCCCTGGAGATATTCTGTATCCTGTAGTCCCCCCTTGCGTACGACTCGAGTTTGATGCGATGAAGGATATCAATGCCAAAGAAGCTAGCCATGTCAGCCGTACGACTGGTGAACGATTTAGCTGAACATATTGTTGACGATTGATGATCTGAAAGCCTTGTCGAGAATGCTCGATAGAGCCGCTTTACGCAACGAATGCGGTTTCGTCCCCGTCGCGCCTGCCAGGGAAGTCACAGTCAGACTGGCCGCCGCAGCAGCTCCGGAACTCGCGGAGGCTCTCGGAAATGGAGGCAGCTTGGCACTGATCCGGAGGTTGCGAGATACCATTGACCTCGCCGCAGCAGGTCAGCGTTCTGGCGTTGTCCGGGACACCGTTCGCGAAACACTGGCAAGCCAGGGTCGGCGTGACGGAGAGAAGGGTGGCAATGCCGAAGGTAAGGAACTGGTTGAACTGCATTTTGACTTTGTAGGTTGTGTAGATGTTGGGAAATGTGAGGTGTTGAGTGTTCAAGAATCTGGTACTGCATGCTGGAGTGACAGGGAAAGTGAGCAACTGAGGGTGGCTTTATGGCCCCTTTTATAGCCATCAGTCCGTACCAATGTCGGACCGGATGCGACGGAAGTAGTACAATGCCTTTCTTGGGAAATATTGTCAAGCCAGGGATTCTGCCTTACGCATAGCAGTGGAAGTCGATCCTGCAAGATTGGTTGTCACATAATGCTTACGATCATCGCAGGAATATTTAATGGCACTGAGTTCGTATGTACGGTAGAAATCACGGAACGCACATCGTGACTGAACAGCAACAGGGGTTGCAGAGCCTGAGTTTATCATATGTTTCTTCTTCCTCAGCGGTGTTGAGTTCCCAAACCCGTAGGCGAACAGTTTCTTACTCCACATTGTAATAGTATCACAATATATGCTCTAAACATCCTACGGGAATGCCAATACTGATCAACATACGAATCGTACTCTCTTATAGGTTGCAGCCTTGACTTTCTCACTAATACGAACTGTCAGATTCGTTTAACCATATCTCGATTACGTCAAAAGTCGTTCAAGCTAGTCACAATGCCATCTCATGCGCCGCTCATATTACTTAGAACAACTGAAAAACATGTCATGAATGGATTATGAATTTGGATCTACAGGACTTTTGATCTGCAAAGTCACCTTAAGAAAGCCACAACTTCAAGGATCCACTAACAAGCAACCTAGCAAGGCTCGTATGTCTGTAGTAACGGCGTCCATCGGACAATTGCAATGTTTGCGTATATGGACTTGTAAACAGACACTATGAATGCTTGTATCGATCATGTTAATCACCGACTGAAAGCAGCGTGATTCCAGCAACGTACTGAGAATGAAAGCCGGGTGGCGACATGTTTTGCTTTCGGGTCCTGTCAGCAATACTCTGTTAGCCAGAGAGCAAACTCATCTACATTGTATTAAGAGCCAAACGCTACCCCCAAACATGTGCAATATGATTCAATACTGTAACCTAGCAGAATGGGATTCATCATGTCGAACCTAGAGTCACTCTCGTAGCTTCACGAGCATTGTATTCTTCCGCTGTCAAGGTATACTAAACGCCTCTTTGCATGGTGACAACGTCATGTAGGGTCACAAGACAGCTTCAGGTGAGACGTAGGCTCTATGTCTTTATCCAGAAAAAGGGGGACTTTCGGTCAGAAGACGCCTGGTCGCGAGGATGATCTGTGCCAAGATTTCTTAACGCAGCTAACACGAGGCATTGTTGCCAAAACCTAGTGTGAACCAAATTACAGCTTTTGAAGTGCTTATATTATGTAACTCTCGTATGACTCTAGGACTACATGTTATTGAGACCCCTTAGGTATCTTCTGCGCGAGAGGAGAACGGTGTAGGCCTCGAGCGTGAGAGTGCCACGGCTGTGCCACAGTCTACGTCATAATGCCGATCGGCATGCGTCTCTGGCCACTCACGGTTTTCAAGCAAGTTGCTGCAGTGTAGGGATCTCTGACTGGGAACGTAATTACTGCAGTCTTATACGAATTGAGCAGTCATAGAGGATTGGAACTGGACAATCTGTTGGGAGAATCTGCGAGTTGAAGGATCCTACGGGACCAACAAATTCGAAATCATACAAGCACGATCCTAAGCCACATGAAGTCCTACAAATGGCCGAAGAAGAAAGAGCCTTCTCAGTAACATGGAATTTGATAGGAAATGATTGCTTACAATAATTGATGCAGACCTCGTGGAGATGGAATGAGAGACCTTGCATGACGTAAAGGGGGAGCTGATGCGACATCTAGGGCTCATAGTTGCGAGTTCCGGAGCGAATACTTAATCTTCTTTTCTCGGGTAGTTCTTGACACCGAGTTTTAACTCAATTCAAATCAGTGTCATCCTTCCAATACAACATGCGCTGGTGGAAATGAAATCTCTCTGCCTGATCGATCTATTTGGAGCGCACCTCTCCCCTTCCATTTTTCGTGAGCGGCATGAACTTGTCAATATAGAGTCTTAGCCAAGGATACGAGCTCTTTGTACAACTGAGTGATATTTTTGCTCGTGTTAAGCGGTTCCAATCCCTTCATGCAGGGGAGTACGGTGTTCCAGCTCAAGGCATCAAAGCTTCTGTCGCTGCCCATTACTTCAGTGGCCCGGCACGTATTGAAAAGCACAACGTGAGTAGATTAATCGTGATTTGGCTACACTAGCAGGCGTATCAGGAACTTGCAGTCATATGGGACATAAGACTAGGCTGAAACAAACCGTTCATTCATTGGTGGGTCGGATACATACTTTGTTTTCACACATTCAAACGGCCGTGTATATAGGCTCCCATATAGTGGAAGAGATACCAGGTTGATCTAAAGATATTGGTAATAGTTTTGGACTATTATTCTGGCTCATCATATAAAGTCTGCTTGATAACCATTTACAAGCACTCGCGCGCTGGCACAGCGGTGTTCAGAGGACCAGCAAGCCCACTGTACTGGCACTGCTTATGAATGGCTGTCCTCTTTAGTGGTGCGGGGATTGGGCACATATAATTCGCGTGAAAACTGCCGGTCAGCCCAGGTCCCGCAGGGAATTCTCGGTACAGTCAGCCCTAAGTGTATCTAGTCACATATGTATTCGCTGCGCGCTTCACTGAATGGGATCCGGGTATCCGGCAGATCGGTGCCAAGCATGATCGCAGCTCGTTAGGGTGTACTATGGTAGGGCGTACCATCACTTTTGCGACTGTCGCGTTCCTTGGCATATAGACGGTCAGGGATGGAGGCAAGTGTAAGGCGTAGTTTCCAAGTTAAGTAACGCAAGTGTAAAGTAGGACCTAGCGTCCAACACGTACCACTTTCGCTTTGTTGTAATATATGCTCGGGCCATACTTCCTCCTCGTTCCTTCAGGGTTATGGATCGGCTCTGCAGGGCATATCTTTGCCACGTATTCCTACATTACCTTAACCCTTAAACAACATCATCCAAGACTTGCAGTTGGGAAATTGGCTGACCCTAGCAATACCATTATTCGGCCGAAACATCTGCGTTCTCCTGGATTTAAATCTGGCTTTGGTCTGCTTCAACTCGCTGCTTTACGTGCAGTGGCTGCTACTCTGGTAGCAGTCCGTCATCAGAGAGCTCACTCTTTAGAAATGAGCAGAAGCAACAGACAATGATGATTCACAGCGCCATCGGGAATCAAAAGTCTTGCCAGTTGTAATCCGAGAAAGCGCTGTCCGGATTCAAGCCCCTTACCAATTTGGTATCGCGCGGCTGCGCATCCCTGTCATTGCGAATTGGAAGGCAGCGATTGCAGCCAAAGCTTGATCGCCGTACAGCATGGCAGACCTGCTCTTCTGAATCGATGCTCTTCGCCCGAGTATTGAATATTGGATGGAAATCTGAAACTTAGCTGGCCTTAAGTTCGGTATTCTCTACCACGGGAAACGGGTTTATCCTGCTACTTATGGCTGCCATCACGTGGCAAGGCGTATAAGAGGACAACGCAGAGCTGGAATATACGCGTCCAGCATAGGCCCCGACCCAATGACGAATGATGTGAGTAGAATGGTCTCTACCTGGGTGCGCTCCTGATCCTATAAAGCTGGCCAGGAAAGCTATTGGGTTACTCAGCTACTAGTCCTACGTCACCGTTGCCAAGAGTCGCACCATTAACCAGCTAGGCATGAACGCAGCCACCGCCCGGGCCACAATGGATTAGACGGCGGGACCTCCGCCTTCATTCCCTATGTCAAGCTTGGAGTAGGTGCGGTAGCAAGACGGCGATCTAATGGATAAAACCATTGGGAATATACGGTAGACACAGAAAATTGCACTATGAATAGAAATATGTTTAAGGGTATAGTAATAAGAAACAAACACAAAGGTAGACTGTTATACGAGTGGCTCATATAACAGCCAACCTCACTGGGTATATAAACCCTCAAGTCTTGATTCATATCTTCAACAGAAAGAGCAAGATCAAACAACAAAACACCACGATAGTACCATCTCATTACAGAACCTCGTTTTCATAGATACAGAATCATCATACACCTCTCATCATGAAAATCGGTGTGGTACTCTTGACCGTGGCAGCGAGTAGCCTGGCCACCGCTGCCGTCGTTGCTGATCGGCCTCCTACCAACGAGAACCTTGAACACAATGTGACATCCGAGGTCCGTGACCTCGTGCTTGAGAAACGCCGTTCTTCTTGCGGTGAAGGAATGTGAGCGCGCCGTTACCGAGTCTCGTTGCTATGCCTATGTCCATTCTGCTAACTTGTTGCTATCTAGGACCCGCCAAGGCGAGTGGAAGAGCGCCGTAGACTGTCTCCTCGGCAAGTTCGACGACAAGTTATATCTGGATAATAAGAAATGGAAATACGTATGTCTAGGGACAAAAAAGCTTCTACGCATCTGTTATCCCTTTGGCTACCACTCACATAGACTGACCGAGGCCCACAGTGCATGCGGGGCGAGACCGTGGCTTTCGTTTGCCCTTATTCGGGTGGCTACAAGAGCAAGGACGACATCAAAGCTACATTCAAGTGGGTTAGTGATACTTGCGTTTACAACCCCCCCTTTCAAGTTAATGGTCAATACATGGATCAAATGGGCTACAACCAAGTCTCTGGGGGCCAGGGCGATTGGACAGCTGGCATTGCAGAGGTCAAAGATCACTTCTGTGACAAGAATTACTACGGCGAGAATGGGAAATTGGATAACTAGTTCATTCCGGACCATTGAGGGAATTTTCGTTGAAGGCTTTGAGCTCCGTATCATAGAGGCAAACGCTCGTTTTTTCAGCCAGGCTTTGTATTAAATCGTGATTCAGAGGTGCAAGTATGAGCAATAGGTGGTGCCATGTACTGAATACATGCCACGCGATCCATGAACGATGTCCCTCCTTAACACCGACTCGCCGTATGCTCTTATGAGCGACAGACCACATTGATCAATACCCGGTGTTCTACCTGTGAAACCTCGCTGGCAGAGAACTGCCCAGGCCCCGCAAGCTCTTGATCAATCCATCCCTAGTTCATTGAACATCTGTGGGATCTCAGCATCACAGAAATCCCGGTCTATTGATTGCATCCTAACAAGTCTTCTTGATACGCCAAGGTGAGAAGAGGAAATAATCACCACACGTTATGTACAATCACAGCATGATTCCATTGTCGTTCACCTAGCTTTCCACTCCCGAGACTGCCAAATCCATCGTGAGTACACAAGAACGCAGGAGTGATTATTAGTTCTATAGCATGCGTGTCGTCGTATATCTACAGTTCCTCACAGCCCACCTCGGATATCGATGCCGGTATTCACACGCACACACTCTTCCCCCAAGGACATCTTCATTAGACGCACGGCGAACGAAACAAAAATCCCCAAACTCCTATTCATTATGCATGCAATGCCGCCTTCTACCTGCTGCTCGCCCTCGAGATGGCGAAGACACCGACAATGACGACTGCCAGAGTGACGATAGCACCGGGCAGCAACAGCTCGTTGGGCACACCGGCAATGACCTCCTTCTCGACATGGGAACCGCCGTTCCTCGTCTTGCGTCTACGAACGGTGGCGTAGTCTTCATCCTCGCTCTCGCTCTCCTCTTCGTCGCTGCCGCGTGCCCTGCGGCGTCTGACGTCGCTCATCGCCGAGCTAGGGGGAGGCGTTGGCAGCTCTGGGATGGGTTGGGGTGTCGCGACAGTGACGGGTGGCTGGCTAGGGTCGTGAACAAACAAGTCAACCTTTTCGCGATGGCCGTGACGAGCCAGGAGCACAGCCTCGACCAGGTCTTGGTCTGTGGTGATGGACACGGTGTCGCCCTCGTCATCAATGTAGGACAACGCGAAGCCGCTGGATCCGACAGTGCCGTCTTCGACAACAGGGGCACCACCGATGGACTCGACTTCGGATCCAAGCTTGGAGGTGACATTGGTAACCAAAGTGGCGATACCCTGGCTTGCGGTAACCTGGAGGCGGTGGACGCGTCCGCTCGGGGCTTTGAACTTGAAGGCGAACGGAATATCTGCTGGCGGAACCTCGGGTGTGCCGGTGACAACCGAGTGTGATGGCGAGTCCATGCCGATGTGGGAGGCCGAATCACCGGGCGCTACGGACTCGTTAAGGCGATCGCGGGTGTGGTCGGGAGACATGACGGAGCGGGTGTGGGCAGTATGGTGGTGAGAACCATCGCCGGATACCATGGACTCGGTCTCGTTGTCGAAGGACAGCCAGAACTTGTTCCACGCGGGACCTTCGTTGTCGCCCGTGGACATGGTGTTAATTTGCTCGAGGGTGGCGTAGGTCAACTTGAGAACGTCAACCATTCCTACGATCTCGCCCTGGTCGTTCATGACGGGAAGGTTGAGGTAGTGGCCGTCTGAGGGGCGGTTAGCATAAGTAGCTTGGCGAAGCAGTGGCGCGCGAGAGACTTACCATGCATCTTCCGGAGAGCGGCCTGGATGCTCATGTCCATGGGCGCAAAGTCGGGGTGGGGGGTCATGACACGGACGACGCTGCAGTTCGCAGGGTCCAGGCCGGGGGCAATGACACGAAGGACAACGTCCTTGCTCGTAAAGATACCCGTAATCGCACCCTGGTCCTGCACCAGGACGGCGGTCGTGTGGTTCTCCTTCATGAGCTGGGCGGCTTCCTTGACCGAGGTCCGGACGCTGACTGTGGTGGGCGGCATGCCGTTGAGGACGGACTCCAGTGTAGGGCCGGACATCTTGGACCGAAGGGCCTCGACGTACTGAATGATCTGCTGCGGCTGGCTGGAGCCGAGTTCGGACTGGACACCCTCCAGGGCGGCGTAGAGCTTCGTGGACGAAGAGTAGGCACGCTCCAGCTTCTCCATGGCATCGTAGAAGCACTTGGTGATATCGAGGATACCCGAAATATCCTGGTTCTCGTCCATGACGGGCAGGTGACGGAAGCCCTTGCGCACCATGAGTTCCAGGGCATCGGTGGCGCTGGTGTCGGTACGGGCGCACAGCGGGTTCTTGGTCATGATCTCGGCAATGGTGACGTTGTTGGCCTTGGAGCCGGCGCCGACAACGCGGAAGGCCAGATCCTTGGCGGTGAAGATACCGGCGATTCGGTCATCGTCGTCGGTCACCAACACGCAGTCCTCCCTCTTTGCCGCCATCAACTGGGCGGCCTCGGCGACGGTGGTGCCGGGCTTGATCTGCAGGGCCGGGCTCGGCTTGAGGGCGAGGACGGTGCCCGGGGGGGCCTTCCGCGAGTGGCGAGCCCGGCTCGGGAGGTGCTTCTTCTTGTTGAGGTCATTCTCGAGCTTGCGGCGGATGGCCTGGCGATAGTAGTCAGCTTGCAGGGCCTTTAGTTCCTTTGAGGTGACCATGGCTGGTGGACGCTGAGGCACGGCGGTGCTCCTTCGTCGTCTCCTCCAAGATATGTAGTATCTTATGTCGGGGGGCTATGTCGGCGAGAAGAGGGTGCGTGGGTGTGACATACCTCGTCTCTCTTGCTCTGCTTTTGTCGGCTAGCACTGACTCCTGATGCGACCTCGCTGGGGGCGGGCTGGGCGCCGCCGAGGTGGCTCGCGTGGCCCGGGGCATGAGCTTCGCCCAGGACAGGACGGGGGATGTTGGAGCCGGCGGGGCTGCCGGTGTTGAAGGGGATGGCGCCGCGTCCCTGGGGGCGATTGGGCGTTCCTCTCATGGTGCCCGACATGTTTGCATAAACACAGCGGACCGCTGAAGATTACCGTGATTTCGGCTCGTTTGGGTGTTTATGCGGGAGCTGTCGTGGGTTGGCGACGCAGAGGTCGGAGGTGACGGGAGGTAGGTGGCCGGCTGCGACGAGATCGGACCAGCAAGATACGGAACGGTGAGGGCTGCTGGTGATAGCTGAACAGGCAGAGTTCAGCGTATGAGTGGTGGTGGTGGTGGTGGTGGTGGTGAGATGGTCATGTGGAATTGCAGTCGAATGTTTCTTTCCGCAGGTCTGTCGGAATAAGGCGCGTCAATCTCGGGAGCCGGGAAAAGTCGAAATCATGGACAGCTAGTTACGGCCAGGGTAAGGTAATGGAAGGGGATAGCCAGGGGATAGCCAGGGGACCAGGGGATCGCTAGCGACGTTGCTCAGGTAAACAAGTGCCCACTACGCCCACTACGCCCACACACGCCCACCGCCCAGACTGCCCAAGCTGCCGGGCCACGGGTCCTGAACAGGCCCTGAGCAGGCGGCGACTTGGGTGCAGGGCGCTCAGGAGCCGCTATGCCGACGCCGCGGGGTGGGCGATCCAGCGGGTTTGATTGGCAGCCCACTGCCTCTGTCCCCTGTTGTCCCAAACAAACTCGCAGCAACCCCTGACCTAGCTACGAGGTCTCATTTAAGCATCTTCATCAACGCCTCACTTCGCCAGCTCCCTTCGCGCTCGGCGTGCATTTGACTGTCGAAACCACAACATAACACTGCCTCTGGTCACCTCTTTCCTCTCCGAAGAACCCTTTTCTCGATATTCAAGATGGGTTAACCCTGTATACAAGCACCCTCCTGCCACGAAGAAACCTTGCCAATCACAACATTATTTTCCTAAGCGACCATCCGGACACAGGGCCCGCACATTTGGGACTGCGAATCTCCCTGCTAATTGCGTGCGGAGAACCGTGACACTCAGCATCGTTGACCATATTCTCTCTACGAATTTGCCATCTTGGGACAGGGACTTGGGTAAATATATTTGTGCGTGAAGGCTCTGCTCGAGTGTCTTTACAGTGACCGCTTTCGATTCTACAGTTTCCTTTGAGATCTTCCTGTCTTGATCGTAATGTATTGGCCGGAGGAAGATTGCCTTGTTCGATGTAACAGATGACACACTTCGGCAGAGGAACCAGTGACTGTCTACCAAAAGAAAAAGGTTTGGAGCTCGGTAAATTGCTCTTCAGAATAGTAAACGACTGGTGTGAGAGCTCGTTGCGTACTCCAGCACCCGCGGAGCTGATAGATCATTTTCTGGCCCCGGTTGAAAATGGATGTACAATAGATGTGGGTATATTAACATTGGTCCTACGATGCACATGGCCTCCGTATATGCTTCTTCAATCGTCCGCGTATGTACGTTCCTTCTCAGATCAGAATACGGACAGGGACAACACCCCCAACCGACGGTTCTTGGGACGCCACTACGCCTTCAATCCCGCCTGTACGAACAGCGAGATGCAGATTCCCACACCGGCAGTCCAGACAAGCGACCTCAGGTAGCTCGTCTTAAGCTTGCTGGTGTTGATGTAGAGCACGGTAAACAGGACGCGGAGCGCCAGGTACGCGGCGGCGTGCGTATCCAGGGTGCCGCGGTCCAGGCCGGCGACGTGGCCGCTGAGGACGGCCGCGGCGAAGAGCGGCAGGTTCTCGAAGCCGTTGCGGTGTGCGGCCTCGGCGCGCTCAAACTGGGCCAGGACGTCCGCCGGCACCGAGCGCTGCATCTCCGTCTTCCACGCGGACCCGGTGGGGTTGGCGTTGTTCCAGCGCCCGTTGGTCGCGCCCTTGATAAGCCGCATGGCGTAGGCGTGGGGGACGACGCTGATGAACCAGTGCGCCGGGATGGCGAGCAGAGAGTAATTGGCAGACATCTTGAGCGGCTGAGCTATGTGCAGAGTGGCGGTTAGTTGGGTTGGATATGGAGATGGAAATGGAAGGAATGTGGACAGTTGATGCTCGCCACCTTGGAGTGTGAATTTTTGGTGTCTACCTCCTTACTCACCTACCTCGGCATCTAGCTCCTGCAGACTTTTAGCTTCCTGAGCACATCCACTAAGGCGTTCCCTCGGTGACAGCTGACTCCATCGCCCACCGAACATCTGCCATATACTTAAGTAGATAGTCAATCTTTCGTGAACCCCCTCTTACACAGGCCTCAGGCTAGGTATCACTATCAATCGATGAGGGTCTGTTTTGGTTTTGGCGCCCCTGCACCAAGTCTATTTGTACACCTCCACAGGCAACATTTCTGGAGATACTAGTAAGCTCAACCTTCTGTAAAGTCACTGCAGTCATTGGCAAGTGATTTTCAATGTCTGGAGAAGGGCTGCGTTGGCTAGCATTGACCAGCAACAGCCCTCTCAGATATACTATATCATCTCCGAAGTAGTGCTCAAAATGTTGGGGTCCTTGGCAGGAATCCAGGTGTGAATCGCCCAAACGCTGCCGAATAGCTTTTCCGAGCGTCTGGCGCGAGCATGCTTCAGTGCAGACTGAGTTAGGCCGCACCTCAAGGCTTCCATCCAGAGCTCAACCACATCCATGGATGGATTGGATGTCAGCGACAATGGTTCGGGCCGTGGCCGTTACCCCAGATTTCAGGATCAACCTTGTCCCCAGATTGACCGGAGGTTTAGTTGTTCCGCACCGATAACTGCGCCGTAGGTCCACAGGTAGCATCCAGTCTGACGCCTGTCATAGCTAGACGTAGCCTGTTTTTGGTGATAGAGCAATGTTTGGATTGTGAGATCATTTATTCAAGCTATCTATATTGGATAGGTAGCATGCGTAGCTCAACTCGCACCGTGATCCGCTGAAGAGCATTATCGCAGCTTGATTCATGTTGGACACACCTAGCACCTGGTATAGTTCCCACGCAGCATGCGCAAGCCAGCAGCATGCCAAGAAGTATTGCTCCAGCCGTGCCAAGCCATGCTGGCTCCGGTGGACTGGGCGCCAATGGGGACTCCTCCCCAAGTCCAATGCCATATAGCTGTCAACCCTGTGCAAAGCGCAAGGTGAAATGCGACAAGACGACGCCAACTTGTCATAGCTGCCGCAGAGGCAAGCTGGAATGCATCTACCAAGCGCCTCAACCACGCCTGCGGAAGAGGAAGCTAAGCAATAACATCCACGAGAGACTGGCTCAATATGAGCAGATCCTGCGACAACACGGCTTGCTGCCACGGAATTCCGATACATCTAGTCTTGCCCAGAATGAAGTGCGGGAGACGATATCGATTCAGTGGAATGGTCATGAAGAAACGTCGAGAGCAGGCAAGCTGTTGGCCGGGAAGGGCAAGTCGAGATATATAAGTAGTGATCTCTGGCGTAGCCTTGGAGATGACGCGATGCAGCGGATGTTTGACGACGAGGAAGAAGATCAAGAAGAGCCGGAAAAGGATGATGTGGCATTTGCGGCCGTCGCCGGCGGCCTCTATTCGGATCCCTTGACCGGAGCATTCATGGGTGCTGAACAGAATCTACTCGGGTTTCATCCCAGCAGGGATGAAGCGATGTTTCTATGGCAAACCCATGCCGAGAATGTAGAGCCGCTCTGTAAAGTTCTACACATCCCATCAGTCACCGAAATGGTTAGCGGAGCTTCTCGACAGCCCGAAACGGTGTCAAGAGCAGACGAGTGCCTGCTGTTTGCCATATATCACTTTGCTGTCTACTCGACGACGGAAGATGATTGCTCAAAAGCGCTGGGGCAATCCCGGGCTACTTTGCTGAGGCGCTTCCGGTTCGCCACTCGCCAAGCTCTTGTCAATGTGTCTTTTCTCAAGACGACCAACATGACGGTCCTGCAAGCCCTGGTCCTCTTTCTCTTGTCTTCCCGCCATTCGTGCGATGCACACACGTACTGGATCTTGACCGGAGTGGCAGTTCGCATTGGGCAACGCCTAGGTCTTCACCGCGATGGAGAACTGCTGGGCTTGCCTCCTTTTGAGGTGCAAATGAGACGCAGACTGTTTTACCAAATTCTGCCGATCGACGGCTTTGCCGGCCAGATGTCAGGCACAGGCATTTCTGCTGTGCCCGACGACTGGGATACTAAAAAACCACTGAACGTCAATGACCACCAGATCTGGCCTGGAATGACCGAACAACCGGAATCACAGAAAGGGGCCACTGACATGATATTCTGCTTGGCGCGCTCCACTGTCGGAAACTCCTTTGGCAAGGCCAAAAGGTCGATGAAACGGCCTGGTACCGATCCGTCGACGGGGTTCAAGGAAGCTGAGCTTGTGATCGACGCCGCCGAGGCCGACGTCGAGGAAATGTTTATCCGCTATTGTGATATCATCAACCCGTTGCATTTTCTGACGGTCGGCTCCGCTCGGGCGGGAATTATTGCCATGCGCATTCAGATCCGGCTTCCTAAGATCAAGGATCGCACTGCTACAGATGCAGAAAGGAGAGAAGTGTTCCATCTGGCACTGAAGATCATGGATACAGACACCGCAGCCTATGCCCATGAAAGCCTGAGGAGATACATGTGGCACATTAAGCCGTTTTTCTTATGGGGCTCGTGGGACTCCTTGATTCTGATCTTGACCAGTCTATGCCGACCTGGTCTACTGTCGACTGCGGAAACAGATGCCGCTTGGAAACGAATGGAGGAGGTCTACAACAACCACGACCTACTGAACTTAAAGCGAGCACTTCACATAGCATTTGGACGCCTAGCCCTGAGGGCATGGGCCGCCAATCCGCCGACTAGGAGTCTGCCAGAGCCCAACTTCATCATAAGCTTGTGTTCCTTGCTGAAGGTGAATCTGGCCGGCCGCAGTGGAGTGGATAACACAAATTTAGTCGATGTCAGCGCCAAGATGGATACCATGATACCAGTCTGTCCAGTTACTTCTGGCGAAACAGATCCGTTGTTTGTCAGCCTTTCCAATGACTTCGGGGATGGATTCGAGCACGACTTCAATCTAGATTCTACAGACTGGATGTTTTGGGATCAGTTGATCCGAGAAGATCAGGCACAGGGTGATCAGCATCAGCCTGGGATTTCATAGTGAATCCCAGCTCTCAAGGCGAACGGTTTGCCTTGTCCTCAGTGGCCGCGAAGATTGCATCGCCCTGGCCGGCGTTGTGGCGAAATGTAGAGGCACTCTACTTCGAATCGACTTAACGTATCGGCCAATCTTCTCTCCACTATACTACAACTGGGAACTAACATTGAAAACACGTGGATGTGCATCCAATTGAGTATCCTACTGTGTTGACAGCTGCGATGGAGTCGGCTGTGATTGGTCAGGGCCTCGGGTCTCCTCTGCGGCCGAAGTTCTAGTGTCATCCGGCCGTACTAGAGCTCTGATTGGTTACAGTCTCGGTCCTAATCTTGCAACTCCCGGGCCCGAGTATACTTCCTTCGGAGCATCACCGGACGATGTCATATTCCTACAAACAGCGAGCTCCTTTCTGACTGCCGCCTGATGGCTTGGAATCACACCTATATAATGGTCTCTCGCCTGCCCCACAGACACAAGACATCTTCTTCCCTACAGAGAAGTAGTGAACGAAAAGCTTATTCCTAGTAACAAGGAACTCAGTTGCAATGCCTAGACTCAGAGTGCTCATTGCAGGCGCATCCATCGCAGGCCCCACCGCGGCCTACTGGTTCGCCAAAGCCGGAGCAGATGTCACTATCATTGAGCGCTTTCCGGCGATGCGTACGGGTGGACAGAACGTAGACATCCGCAGTGTTGGTGTCACGGTGATGCGAAAGATGCCGGGCATGGAGGCAGCTGTCCTCGCCAAGCCGGCGGGGATCGATGGGATCAGCTTTGTCCGCGCGGATGGAAGATCTTACGGAACCATCAAACCTACCGGAAACCCGGATCAGCAGTCGCTCATCTCGGAGTACGAAATCTACCGCGGCGACCTGGCACAGATTCTCTTCGACATGACAAAGGATAATCAAAACATCAAGTATGTTTTTGGCGAGCAGGTGGTGTCGATGCGACAGCATGGACAAGAGGACGGGCCCATAACGGTTGAGTTTGCGAACGGCCTGCCAACCTCGGAGTACGATCTTGTCGTTGCTTGCGACGGTGCAACATCAAGAACCCGAGCGCTAGGGCTTGGCTGCGGTGTACGAGATCACATCAAACCGTTGAACGGCTGGGTGGCGTTCTGTTCCGTCTCGAAGGACCTTGCGAAGGGGAACAGGATAGGACAAGGTTACAACGCGACTGGCGGCCGCATGATCGCTATCGGGCCTGGGTCATCAGGAGAGAGTCGGGTCACGATGATGAAATTCTATCCCAGGACGGACCAGGATGCTTCACTACCTTTCCGCCAGGCGTCTAAGCGAGGAGACACTGCTCTCCGGCAATTTGTGGCGCAGGAGTATGAAGGAGTCGGGTGGAAAGCTGCCGAGGCGATCCAGGCCATGATGGAGACAGATGACTTCTATGCCACCGAGCTCGTGCAGGTCAAGATCCCAAGTTTGTATCAAGGACGGTTTGTGTTGGTTGGCGACGCCGGCTACGCCCCAGGTTCCACTGGAACTGGCACGAGTCTCGCGATGGCCGGTGCCTATGTGTTGGCAGGTGAAATCAGCAAGCACAAGGGAGACATCGCAGCAGGACTAAAGTGTTACGAGGAGACAATGCGGCCGATACTTGAAGATCTGCAACAGGAACTGGGATTCGCTAAGTCTATCCTTGCTCCGCAGACAGCTTGGGGAATCTGGCTGCGAAACCATATTTTCGCATTTGTCGTCTGGAGCAGGATTCTGGATTTCGTTCTGAAGTTCTTTGCTGCCGCGTTCGCCAGCAATGACAAGCATAAGCTGCAGGATTATGAGTGGGTGGATTAGCTACCAGTAAGGACAGCCGCAGTGGCGTAGGGACGCTGTACACTTGTATACTCGTTGCGATGTGGACAAGAGGAACATGTAGAGAGAGAGAACTCGCCTATCAAGCCCACAATACTTATCCCACTCAGCAGTAGCCATACTGATTGCGAATGACGAGACTGTGTCGTGGCGCTTCAACCTGCGAACCATCACCAAGACTGCGCTGCCTCCTAGCGTCTTGTTTTGTCTTGTCTTGCCTGGCTCGGCTCGCACGAGGTCCCACGCAGCCACTTGCCGAGAGCCCAAAGCCGATGACAGTAGCTCGTGACGCGATGTACCTCGTACGATGCGCAGTGACGCCTACGTAGGCACAGCGAATGAGGGGTGGGACAATTCCATCACGGCAAGGCTGTGGAGGGAAGTACGCTTGTGGTAAGTCGATTGCAACCCACCCATACAGACTATTATTGAATTTTCTTGGGGCCACCTTCAGCCGCTCTGGAGGGTGTTGGGTGTTCCCGTTTGAGCACCAATCACGATAAAGCGGATCCTGCGGCGCGGCCTTCAGCTCGCATCAGCCGGGCCTATTGAACGCTGATCTGGCCCTGGCGGCCTCGGCAAGGGCGCTGTGCTAAGGCTCTGAACCCGCTGGGCGTTCTGGCTAGCGGCAACCACCAGGGGACCAGGACCCTGTCAACCAGTCATTCATTGCCCATAACAAAAGGGAGGTATCCAATGCCCTGAGGACCCCCAACCCCAACCCCAACTCCCTCCCCGGTGGATCGTCATGGGGGAATGGAAGATGGCATCAGCAGCCTGCCTCACCAGCTCCCCCTTGCCTGCCTCCACTGCAGCCTACAGTCATTCAGTGCTATGTAAGAGCTAGGTGGTTAACCCTGGCTTATTGCGCCTCTTGCGTGGAGCTCACCGAAGATGGTGTCTCCGACCCAGCGGAACCCCCTAGTAAAGACACATGCGAAGAGCGAAGGGGTAAGACATGCAGGGGAATAATGCCAGGTAGTGCCTGGATGGCGTCTCTATGAGCAGGCTATGTCTCTACACTATAAGATAGTGACTGCTGCTCCAAAGATCACCATTTGGTTCCGGCGCATTTCTTCGCGTATCATTGATCGTTCGGTGCACCGCCTGATTTACCCGTCCTTGCCCAACACATAGCTACCGAACAGTGTCGGCGGTAGTTGGTACGATCGTGATCCTATACTAGTCAACATGGCCCCCACACAGCCGGCATCAGGCTTAGGCTGGGGCTCGGTGGTGAACCTCCTCACAAAAGCCAAAGAGGACCTGGATAGTCAGAGTAAGAGAATTGGGCCAAACCTGAATTTTCTTCGTAATTTGGGCCAGACCTTCTTGGATGATGGGCTGGTGGACGACAGAACATACCTGGTAAGATTTGAATGGCTGCCCCTTTCTCGTTGTGGTGCTGATGCTTGACGGTGAAGTACGAGGATATCATTCGCCTAGCAGCCTCCCTTCCCAACGGGTCAGGCCTGCGAGATGAGCTTTCTGGTCAGTTCATCAAGACGCTATGGGGTAATCTCGAGCATCCGCCAATCTCTTACCTGGGCGACCAATTCAAATATAGAACTGCAGATGGGTCTTATAACGTAAGTAGCCTGCATTCATCCCGCCAATGCAGTGCCTAACGTCGTGCTATAGAATATCATGTATCCGCAGCTTGGCGCTGCGGGCAGCCACTACGCAAGAAGCGTCAATTCGCAACATGCCCATACTCGCGCGCTCCCAGACCCCGGGTTGGTGTTTGACACGGTTCTTGCCCGTGAAGGAGCTGCTCGCCCACACCCGAACAAGGTTTCGTCGACTCTCTTCTACTTTGCTACTATTATCATCCATGACATCTTCAGGACGTCCGACATTGACAGCACAATCGTCAAGTCATCATCGTACTTGGACCTAGGGCCACTGTATGGCCATAACCAAGCAGAGCAGGACCAAGTAAGGACTTTCAAGGACGGACTACTGAAGAAAGATGTCTTCGCCGAATACAGAATACTTGCGCAGCCCCCTGGGGTCGGTGCCCTGTTGGTATCGTTCAACCGATTCCACAATTGGGTAGCCGGTGAGCTCGCAGTGATCAACGAGAGGGGAAAATTCAGTCTCCCTGCTGGATTGAAGGAGGGTGATGAGGGCTACGAGCCTGCCCTGAAGAAGAGAGATAACGACCTTTTCCAAACAGCGAGACTGGTCACCTGCGGGCTTTACGTCAATATCATTCTAAACGATTACCTCCGGACGATCCTCAACTTGAACGACAATACGTACGGATCTGATTGGAGGCTCGATCCTCGCGAAGCCTTTGAGAGCATATTCGATTCCCAAGGTACACCGCGAGGCATTGGTAACCAGGTTTCGGCCGAGTTTAACTTCGTGTATCGTTGGCATGCCGCCGTGTCAGATCGTGATGAGGTATGGCTACAGGAATTCATAACCAAAATCTTCGGTAGCGACGTGAATCCGGACACTCTCAGCACCAAAGAATATCTGGGAAAACTGAGGGATTGGTTCCATAACAACATCCCTAGAGACCCCGCCGCATGGACGTTTGGTAGCTTGAAGAGAACAGAGGATGGTGGTTTCAACGACGAGGAATTGGTCGAGCTTATCAAATTGGGCACTGAGACCGTTGCCGGTGCCTTTGGCGCCAGAAACACCCCAAAGGCGTTGAAGGCGATCGAAGTCCTTGGCATCCAGCAGGGCAGAGACTGGGGTATCGCCACCCTCAACGAGTTCCGGCAATTCTTCAAGTTGAAGCCATTCACCTCGTTTGAGGAGGTGAATTCTACCGAAGCAGGTGTCGCTGAGGCCTGTAAGTATGGCTCTCGAGTTCTTTAACGTGGATGCTGACCAAGTCTTTTAGTGGAGGCATTGTATGGCCACCCCGACAACATCGAGCTATACCCAGGACTCATGGCGGAGCAGGCCAAGAAAGTGTTTGCTCCAGGCTCCGGCCTGTGCCCTGGCTTTACAATCTCAGAAGCCATCCTTTCGGATGCAGTGGCGCTCGTTCGAGGCGATCGATTCTACGCCCACGAATACGGTCCCCTAAGTCTCACAAGCTTCGGCTTCAAGGCTGCCAGTTCCGACTTCAACGTCGCCGGTGGCGGCGTGATGTACAAGCTTCTGATGAGGGCATTCCCATCGTTTTATCGCTCCAACAGCGTTTATGCCCTTTACCCGTTCAGCACACCGGGAAAGATCAAGGAGATATTCAACTCTGGGGCATCGCCTGTGCAACCCCTGACTTATGATCCACCTACCTCCATTGGCGCCGCGGTCCCCGTGGTCTCGTGGGAGGGCGTAAAACAAGTCGTGCGTGAGCAGGATAAGTTCAAGGATGCTTGTAAGTTTGCTTTCATGGTTTCCATAGTTCTTCACGAGCCTGACAAGAAATCCAGATGGTCCACATGTAGCCCAGCTTACTCGAGACAACCTCAAGAGCGACCCGCACGCGGCGAACAGCGATAGTCCCAGTTTGACTGAAGTGCGGTCTTTATATGAATCGCTGACGTCGAAGTTTCTGCAGCGAAATTCTCACAAGCTTGGTACTTCTTATCAAGTCGACATTGTTGGAGAGTGAGTATTCCATTGGCTCGCGCGGCAAAGTCTTATATACTAATCCCGTTCTAGCATTGGCAACCTAGTCCATTCCGAGTTCATTGCTCGTTATTTTGGCATTCCCCTCAGGGCTGAGAAATCAGATGCCTTGGTAAACGGCTCTTCGGCACATTCATTTACGGCTAGCAGTCTGTACGAAGCCCTGGCTCGGTCGTTTGAGTATGTTTACCGGGATGTCGACACCACGAAGTCCTACAAGAACCTAGCGATTGCCAAGAAAGAGGCTTCTCCGCTCCAAGATGCCGTTCGTAAGCAGGTGCGCGGCATAAAAGATGGTGAAGGCAGCCTCAAACAGCTCGTCCGCGCATTCTTCAACGGGGGCGCTGCCACATCTGACGCCGGTAGCCTAGAGCGCTTCGGCCGAGACTTTATCAAGGGAGTGGCAGAGAGCTCACGTGGGGGGAATGTTGAGGGGGTTGTCTGGATTATCATCTTGCTGGCCGCGGAATCTTGTGCCACACAAGCTCAGGCTGTGAGTACCCGGCCTTATCTCTCAATCCTTCTTAGTGGGAAGCATCGCTAATCTTCGCCGTGTAGTGGGCACAACTCGTCAATTTGTATCTTTCGGATGAGTACAAGCACCATTGGGGTGAAATTGAACGACTCGCCTCCTCTGAAGATTCCAAGTCCTTCGACTTATTGAAACACTATGTTCTAGAAGGGTGAGTAAACTGACAACCTTCCTAATGCCTCGAAACGTTTCGCTGTATTTTCAGAGACACTAACTTCGTCCTCACCAGCTTCCGCCTTGCTCCTCCAATCTCTGGCGCTTTGCGCGTGGTGTCTGCAACGACGACGCCTGTGGCCGTGCCGTCAGCACCTGCCCCGCTATCGCCGCGATCCACCGTATTTGCCAACTTCATCGCCGCTGGAAGGGATAAGAGCAAATTCCCTGACCCTGAAGAAATCAAGCTCGACCGTCCTTACGAGTCCTACATACACGAAGCTTGGGCCTCACACTCTCCCTTTGGGCCGGCTTTCGTTGAAACGGCCACGACGGCCATGCTACGCCAATTTGCTCGCCTCTGCTCCACCGTGACGCGAGCGCCTGGCGAGGCTGGCGAGATGAAGCGGAAGCTGTATAATGAAGCGTTCCCAGTTTTCCTATCCGAGAATGGGACCGATTGGGAAACTCTGCCTGTTGGTAAGTAATGCTGAGATGTCTCTTCAATCAATGAGCTACTGCTAACGCTGGCTCTCTCCCCAGCCAAGAAAGTCGTCTTCGGTGGCTTCCGTGGCGCACAGCAGAATGGTTCCGCGAAACAGAATGGCGCCGCAAATGGTCGCCGCAAGACCAGTTCTTAGGGTTCAACTCATGGTACCAAGTAGGACCATCGTGGTGGTAGTTTGTGATGATAGCGTTCAGTACCCAAAGTCAGGATGTGTAAATGTATACCAAGACAATTGAGTTTGAATAGGGAGTTTGGGATGCACGTTGCTTGCCTCGTTTTCCAATAGGCCTTAGTTGGAGGGTTAATTGAGTTGGTGACGGTCTTACACCCTCAGGTTGACTTGGATGACTTATGTTTCAAGCCTTTTGACAGAGTGCACTCTTTAAGTTAGCCCGATTTGCGAATTGTCGCTGGGGCATGATTGATGCACGATTTAGGCACAGCAGCCTTGGTATAATGCCAACCAACAGACCAAGGTAACTTAACGAAGACCCCCTCATTGGCCAAAAACCCACCTGAACCTGCCGCTCTTGGCCTAGTTCGGGCTTAGCATTCAGTGCCTTGGTAGGTAATCGCTACGCCCACGTCTGTCTTGGGTCTGATCCTCTGCACAACGCAACTCACAAAGATCTTCTGAAGACAACACCAGTGACACAAGAGAAACTTCCACCATTTCTTCGCGGCTAAATAGAATGGCAGACACTGGGCTGTCAATAGCATCTAGTATCCCTCTTCGGGACTCTGAGGCGAGGATGCCGCTTCTTGGCTTCGGCGTTTACCAGATCGACAGGTCAGACTGCACAGAGGCATGTCTTCGTGCCATATCTGCCGGCTACCGCCACCTCGACACAGCACAACTGTATCAGAACGAAGAAGAGGTTGGTGCTGCACTGCTGCAGTGCGGCCTACCACGGGAGGAGATCTTTGTCACCACTAAAATCCGCTATCCGCGTCTAGGAAAGGGAAAGACGTATCTCCGTGCCCTGCAGAGCGTGCAGAAGATCGACCCGCGTGAGAATGGCTACGTTGACTTGTTTCTGATACACAACCCGTATGTGCTGAAGCCCAAGGACCGGAAGGAGATGTGGCTCGCGCTCGAGAAGCTGCACGAGGAAGGCAGGGCGAAGGCGATCGGGGTCAGCAGCTACAAGCCCGAGCACCTGGAGGAAATGAGAGAGTATGCGACGATCTGGCCACCGGCTGTCAACCAAATTCTGGTAAGCGTTGTTTCGGGGTTGTCCCTTGTTAAACCTGTCCATGGATCCAACTGAACTGCCCTTAGCTTCACCCCTGGACACAACAACGCGAGACGGTTGATTACTGCAATGAGCACGGCATAGTCCTTCAGGCGTTCAGCCCACTGGCCAGAGGAAAGAAATTGGAAGACACTACGGTCGCTGATATCGCACAGAGGTTGGCCAGGTCGCCGGCGCAAGTCCTGATCCGTTACTGCTTGCAGAAGGGGTGGGCGCCGCTGCCAAAAAGCGTGAATGAAGAGCGCATAAAGCAGAATGCGGACGTCTTCGACTTCGACATCTCTGAAGGTGACATGACATTGCTTGATGGCCTCGACAGTGGAAAAGGGCCGAGCTTTGAGTAAGCCGTGATGCTGCGCCACATTCAGCGGATCGAATGATCCTTTTAGCATTCAAGTCCGGGACCACCCGAATCTTATCTCACTTACTGATATATGTTGCGCGCATTCGAATAGATTATTTGTCAAAAGTATAATTTGGTTTGGTCCGGAGATAAAATTCCCCACTTGGATTTCAAAGGGCAATATGCCCTCGGTAACGACATGGCTGCTTGGTGTTGCGGGGTTGGTTCTCCCTTACGGTCTCATTGGGGGCCTCATGTCCGTCCGTTCAGTAGAGAGGGGGGCTATCTACATGCCCGCCTTTAAGACAACTCCTCTACGAGACCTACATGTCCCAGAGAAGTTTGGTTTCGGCCGACACCAGGTCTCAGCGTTTAATGTCACCACGCCTGACGGGCTGGCCTTACACGCCTGGCACATACTGCCCATCGGTGTCTATCTGACACATCAGAAAGAGCTCCTGAAGAGGACTGATGAAATTGTCGAAAGCAGAGATACACCCAACTTCCGACTGCTTCGTGACGACCCAGACGCGCGTCTCGTGATTCACACTCATGGATCTTCGGGGACGCTGGCATCCAGCTGGAGGGTCGACTGCTATCGGGCGCTATGCTCGGCAGCGCCGGACCGGATCCACGTGCTTACCTTCGACTACCGCGGATTTGGGCTCTCGGAAGGATCGCCGAGCGAGGATGGAGTTATCATAGACGCAACGGCTATCTTCGATTGGGCTGTCAATGTCGCTGGGGTGCCACCCGAGCGCATCGTCATCTACGGGCAATCCATGGGCTCGGGGGTCGCAATAGCTCTCGTACAGCGTCTGGTCAGTAGGGGCGTGTATGTGGCGGGGCTCGTCACTACGGCTGGTTTCGTGGACGTCGCCACGATCGCGAAGACATATAAGGTTATGGGAGCCCCAGTCTTCAAACCGTTGCAACTGTTCCCTGATCTGGTAGACTATCTGGCATCGCATTTGGAGAGCACATGGAAGAACGCGGATCGGTTGGCTGCCCTCGTGCGCCGCAGCGAGCGATATCATATTGAGCTGGTCCATGCTCAAGACGATTCCTTAGTCCCCTATGACAATGCATTGCAGCTATATAGCCGTGCCTTGGGCGCGATGGAAGACGACAAGCCTCAGGTCAAAGAGACCGACATGGGACCATGGGGACGGGTCTCAACAGCGACAACGTCAAAAGGCACTGTCAGGCTTAGCTTACCCCTGTACGGAGACCATGACAAAGTTATGTCTCATTCAGGGGTGGTGTCTGCCATTATGCGTGCTTTCCGTAGCAGAGATGATTTCTAATGATGGAGGCGACGGAAGTGGTGGTCTCATTCGGATGCTGACCCGTCCCCTGGCAAGCCAAGAGGACTCCATGGGTTTTGGATGCAAGTCGAAATCGTACCGAGGCTCGGACTCCAGCGTGTTCTCATTCAAGTAACATCTCAACTCACCAGGTTCCTTTCTCATACACTTCCAACTACGACAACACTTTTTCTGTGTAGGCATCGAAGAGGCATAGCGTTGGCAAAGAGCTGCTGCGTCTCACGTGGATCATGTATGAAATGCGTTGCAGTATTTCATTCCCATAGACAATCACGGTTCTTTTATCTGTAGCATAGCTATGTAGGAGTACCGAGGTGTGCTCAGGAAGCAGGATCAGCTTGTCATTGAGTGGTCGGAATTGACTGGACTGAGTGTCTGTGGGTAAGCGTGTGGCTAATCGATAGTTCAGCATCAGTCGCTGTCCATTGGTAGATGGACGTATTCCGGAATCCTGCTGCGGCTCTCGTATGTATATACTTCACTTGTGCTACCTCATTGGATCGATCGATGTTTCAAGACTCCCCATCAGCACGTCAGCACAGCGCAACTTCTGCAAGAGGGTTATGTTTCTGAAGTCTGATAAGTGGAAAGTCATTGCCAAAGGCTGACCACGCATGAAAAACTCATGGGATGGTCTGAGGAGTGTCCGACCGGCTGCCTCTCATGGGCGGTAAAGGCTATTACGGCATTGCTTGGCATATTCTCGCAGTATATAAAGTAAAGCAAAGAAGTCGGCCGATGGAGGGACGAGGCTGCTAGATTAGAATTCATATAGTCAAATCTGGCCCCCGCAACTCTGCACCCAATAGCCTTTGCCTTTCTATAAAGTTCTCCAATATGCACGTATCATTGGTCATCTGTCCTCTGGCAATGATTGCCATGCCTTCTCTAGTATTTGCAGTCCCGGCTGCCGAACCCGAGCCTGAAGCACCGGCATTAGCGAAGCGCCCCGTACACATCGAGAGCAGTGTAACAGGCTTCAAGCGCGAGGCACCAACACTGGTTGTCCAAGTTCCACACACCGAAAAGAGTGCTACGGGCTTCAAGCGCGAGGTAGCGACATTGGCAAAGCGGCCGGTTCACATCGAGAGCAGCGTCACTGGATTCAAGCGCGAGGCACCTACTGCGAGCTAGGCCGACTTCAGTGTGTAATAAGCTGTGCTCTTTGCAGTGGCTACTGCGTACATGGCAACTTGGAGGTCACACATGGCTCAATACGTGAAGGGAGAAGGCAAAGTCACGTGTACTCCGGTACAGGTGGTACCAATCTACGTATCTGGGTACGGAGAGCTATTGAAGCAAGTAACTCAATTCAATTCAAATGTCATCCGGTGAGAGTGAGACTGGTAACAGGCACGTGAGTGCTCTCCACACACGATAATCCGCCTGAGTATGGCATAGTGCTTCGCGTGCTCGGATCCAACTAGACGCTGGCTACTACGTTGCATTCGGTAAAGAGGCAACAGTTGATGGTCTTGCCGGTTTGCTCGGCGCCGAGTCCAACGTGAAGACACAGTACCTTCAGGTAGGCGAGCAGCGGCGGCGTGTGAAAGGTAGCAAAGCTTTTAAAGACATCATTCATTCATTCATTCATCCATTCTTGCAAGGAGCGAACGGCCAGTTGGGAAGATGCATGTCTCGAGCTAGTTCCCACGTAGCAATAACCTTGTACTGGCAAATTGGAAGCCTGCCAGCCTGCAGGCGGCGGACGGCGGACGGCGGACGGCCACAAATCACAGGGTGGAGGGAGAGGAGGGAGTGAGACCCCGACGAAAAAATGTGGGGGAGCTGCTGCAAAATCCGGGGTGTGAATGTCTGGGGTAAGTTTGGGGTTGCAGTGGTGCCAAAATCAGCTGATGCGTGAGGGGAAGCCATATGCAGGCGAGAGGAGGAGCAACGCGGCCGGCACAACACAAAATCCCCCTTGCCCAGCCAGCCCAGCTTTATTTCGACTTCATCTCAACCTGTCCGACGTCCATCCCTCCTCTCCTGCCGTGCCCTCGCCCTCCAATTGCGCGTCATCGCACAACACCCACCCGCCGAGAAGCTTTCCGCCGGCATGCGAGCCCCCGAAGGCTCGAAGGCTCGAAGGCTCGAAGGCTCGAAGGCTCGACCTCGACGACACCCCCAAACCATCTTGGGACCGGCAGACCGACCACACAGCAGATACCCCGCGTTTGACTCGCGTGCTGCAGAGCCCAGCGGCTCCTTTCGTGTCCCCAAAGCCATCCTGGAGTGACGCCAGGCAGCCAGCCTGCGCAGTCCAGACACAAATGAGCCACGGCTGGCAGGTGCTCTCAGCGAGGCTGGAGAGTGATTTGCTCCAATTGGTGAAGATGCTGGAGTCCTAGGCGATAAGTACTATGACCATCGTAAAGCTACTTGACCACGGCCCTAGGCTGCCCACTACTACTTCCAGAGACAGCATTCTGATGTGACACAGGCGGACCAGTCACTGGCATAGACCAGTGTTCCAAAGCATACTAGAGAGCCATTGCAGTCTCTAACCGGAATCCGGGGGCTAAGAGTCTACTTTGCGTGGCTGTTCGCTGCTGCCCCGTGGCTGAGGACATGGTCTCTTGCCATCGCTCAGCGCCAGTATTGCATTTGAATGCGCAGGTATACATCCTGGTAGCAATAAGTGCAACGCCGCAACGTTTGGTATAGCGGGTGGTTCCATTTGCTTGACCATCGAGTATTACGAAAGGAATTACCTCTTTGGGCGTGCTGCTATTCCGGTCTTATTACTGTCAACCACCGAGACTTTGCAGCGCCATAGCAATCCGGATCGTGCCAACCCATTTTCTTCTTTCTTTCTTCTTGCGGCCAAGTCTCAACGACGCTGGTCCATTTCCAATGTCTTGAGGTGTCGTCGAGTGGACTCGGGATATACTTTGCTGCGCGATGCTTTCAGCTCGAGTGGGCGTTACGATATTCGCGGTTGGCCGCAACCACACATGAGGTACGTTGGATTTAAGAACTCCCGGCAGCCTCAGAAGATCCGGGGAAGTCATGGATCAAATACCAGCTAGCCGTGGATCTTATGGTCCAAGTCAAGCCCTGCTCTTGCCGGAAACAGCTAAGCAGCTGGAGAGTTTTATCTTTCCGCAGATCCATCTTGCTTCCCCTAGCCCAGGGTCGTGGGTTGATTCACTGCCATTCAAGTATCCACGAGACCCGAATCCAGAGACCTGATTGGGAAGTTGAAGCCCACGATGGAGACAAAGGGGAGCCGTGTGGGGGCTTGGGAAAGATAGCGGACGGGGAAGCGGACGATACTGGGTGGTGACCGAGGTGTTCAGACACAAGTGGGTCTGCCAGAAAAGCCCTCAACCGGTTCCTGCGGAAGCGTCACGGCCGGCATCGTGAAGTCACGAGACTGGGCAATTGAGTTCTGTTACAGAAGCCAAATGATACTGCCATGCGCACTTCGAGTTGTCAATTGAAGTCAATTGAGTGGAGAAGCATACGGATGAGATGAACGAAACACGCGCGGCCCCAGATGTGTACACAGGCATCGAACGCCTGGAATTTTTCGAGAGACAAAAGAAATGTTCCTATCATATCCAAGACCTGTGAGACGGCTCTGGGTTGATGATGGTTATATTTTACAGGTCCCAAAAGACTTTTCGACAGGGTCCACCTCCAGATCTTGACTACAAAAGATTCAATGCTATGCAAGCCCCTCCTCTAAGGTCCCCGTCCCTCCCCCAGTCTAAACCTCTATTAGTCTATGCTGGATTTCCAATTGAACACAGGATGTATCGTGACAACTGTGTGCCACGAGGCATCACATTTCGATCGCTCCTCACACAGTCAATACCGTTGTGTGAGCCCAGCCTCCGCAAGTGTGGAGTGAATCGCTTAGGTCTGTGGCACAGGTTAGAGCATGCTCCCTTCGGATTGAGGGATTTTCGGGGGGGTCGACGTACGAACTTGGCCATGAGGGCAACCATCAGGTCGAAAAGACCGATGGCCTCGACGAAGGCGAAACCCAGAATGGCGTACGAGAAGAGCTGGCCACGGAGAGCAGGGTTGCGGGCGACGGAGTTCAGGAGGGCAGCGAAGACCATACCGATACCGATACCGGCACCAGTCAGACCGATGGCAGCAGAACCCATACCCAAGTTCTTGGAGACCTCGACCATGGCCTGAGCGATCTCAGAGGAGTAAGCTCGGCGCTGGAAAGCCTGGCGGGTGGTGGCGTTGACGATCTTGGAGGCCTGCTGGCGCTTGACGGTCTGGAAAGCGTTGGAGCTGCCTGTGGGACAATTGGTTAGACGATGCCGGACGCCATTGAGACCGATGGAGCTTTGGATGGATGCTGTCGGACTCGATGGAAAAAGTTTTTCTCTACACTTCACGTACTGGCGATGGTGCGCTTGGCAGCAACGGTGCTGACCTGGGCGCGCATGGCAGGCCGGGCGGCCTTGGTAGCCATCTGAGAGGCAATGCGGGTAGCAGCGACACGAGCGGCGGCCATTGTGATGGTTGTGTGTGGTTTGAGGGGAGAGGTGAGATGAGATGGGCTTGAGGTTGATGGATGGGAAGAGACAGGAAAGCTGTGTGATCTGGGGAAAAGAGCTTGCTCGAGAGACCTGGTGCGCGGAAGAAAGAGTGGAAAGGGAGAGCTCGGAAAAACGAAAGAATAAGTGGCTCCCAGGAATCCCCGACTGGTAAGGGGGCCAAAGGCAACCGGTATCAGCTGGGAAAGCCGGGACACCAGAGGATGGATCGGATCGGGCCCAGCACCAGAGACAGACGAAGAGAAAAAGTGAATCCACAACTGTGTGGACCCGACGACGACCAAAGCTCGTGAGAAAATTTGCTGAAGCTACCCGAATGAGACAAGGCTGGCCGCAATTCTGATGGTTGCGCAAGGCGACAGGGTGGTCGGGCAATGCCGGGTCCGCTTCCTTTGCCGTCAACGACCCGTTTACAACTGGACGAGCCTGAGGCTTTTTTTTTTTGTTCCCTTTCTGCATTGGATTGCATCTGCCTGTCTACCGAAGCTTGTTTCGCAACTCGCTTTCTGGCACGGGCAACATCCATGAATCATGGCCACGGTATTCCGAGATCACTCCTACGCAATGGCAAAAGCTTCAGGCCATCCCCGGCCGAGTCAAGGTAATTGACTTCGCCCATCGATGCCAATTGGGTTCGCGGAGCTCAACGTTCATGAATCAGGGACGCCCAGCTTGGACGGGATTAGAATAGACCAAAGAAGGAAAGGACCCCCCACGCCCCCACTTGGCGGCTGGTGTGGTCATCTCCCTTTGCCATCGTGTGGACAACCTGGCACAGCCAGGTTTGGATCCTCAGGGCAAAGAATATATAAAGGAGTCGAAAGTGCACAAGAATTGTAGATTGGGGGAATCGAAAGGTTCTTTGGTGTTTGAGTTGCTCGACACGCTCCAAAGTTCGTCCGCGTGCATGGCAAGCTTACGGGTTGAAAGCCCAACAAGGTTACGGGGGCCATCAGCCAACCTCGAAAATTTCCCGCTTACTGTCTGGCCCCGTGTGTAACAACCCGAAGTGACAGCAGGCGAAAATCCTCGCCCAAAAGCCACTGCAAGCCGGTTCGCTCTGGGCGTCGCACAGCACCCCAAATGCCTGGGACGGGACGGTCTTGACAGTGCGCGCGCCGACGTAGGAGCCAGCAGTTGGGAGCCGAGTGTTGCAATGGAAAAGGAGCTGGCCTTCCAGCTGTTGAGGAAATGAAAGTGGGGCGTCTCTCGAAAAACTTTTCTGGCCAATTGGAGACGCCAGACCCGACCGGCATTTCGGGAGCCTCACGGCCTCAGGCTGCATGACATCCAGTTCACGTGGGATCCGAGCTGCAATGCAACAGCTGTCATCGTGCAGCTGCGATTGACTGGCAAGCTGTGTGCCGAATGGACTCGCCCCGGCCGGCATTGGATTCTTCGGATTGTGAAAGATAGCATCATGGCCGGTTTATAGGCTTGGCTTAGAACGCAACTGCTCTCTGTTGATTCCCTTCAGCTGGTGTGCGCACGCGTTTACCTCCAGACCAGTAGGGAAACATGTCTCCCTCTTTTCTTTTCCGATCATCCCTTGCTTAATCTTGGCCCCCCTGGCGCCATGGGCTGCGCTCGGTAATGTCGTGGCTTGCTCTCCCGAGCTTGGACCCGCTGGCCCGGCACCCGCGCAAATTGACGCCCAGAGCTTTTGTTTTCTTCAGCGCGCCTCACGGCGCTGGGTAAATGCTCGGCATACTCGAGGCATCCAATGCATCCTGCGGCTTCGGGTTGTCTCAATTGATCTGAGGGACACGTCGTACGGTGACTGCGCTCTGTTCCGGGCCCTCCCACACTGCTACAAAAGCTGTGATGCGACGCTGTTTCCAGCTGAGATTGTCATTCAGAGCTACCCTGGACCCCTGGCTTGAATCCCAGCGAGCTCGACAGCCTAGCCGGTAAGGCTATTTGGGGATCCCGAAATTGACGACGCGCAGCGAACGCGACCCTGCCATGCCTCCTATGTACTTGCCTACCATCACCGTGACAATGCGTTTCGCTCAGTTGCCATTTGATGGCGTTCAGTGACGGCAAGCTCGCACTCGGTGCATGTTGACACATTCCATCGTAGATATGCGCCGCCCGACCGATCCGACGCACCCACTGCAATCGACAGGTCAATATACACGTCTCCGGTCCTACCAGTCCTCAAAACGCTCCTCCCCGTGTCCCTTTACTGCGATAGCTCTTGGTGGTCCAATGTGGCATTGTCTATTCTAGCTGCTAGATCAGAAATTGGACATTTGTGGTGATAGCTGCAACAGCTCGGCAATCGTGCGATGTGGGAAACACATCGCGAGTTCAAGAAAGAGCAAGAGTGAACATAGTGTCAGGGATCTAGCGAAACGGACTCCTACCGGAATCTGCAGCCACATGCGGCAGATGTTGATGTAAGAACAAGATGATAGGTCGCTCGAGTACCATACCAGCTATGACTAGGGAGAACCCGCGGCGTATCGGGATGGTATCACGGGATTGCCCAGACACTTGCGGGATTGTAACACCGCCAGGCTACGTTGAAGAACATCTATTTGCGTCTCTGGTTTGCCTTTACCCATACACCCGCACCGGCTGAACCGTCTTACACAGCCCGCTCAGTAAAGGTGTATACAACCGCTGCGTAGGGTCAAGGCTTTTCCACTGCTCCTACCACCACCTGCACTGCGGATTTTCTATCGCTATCGCCCCGTGCCTGTCTCTACCTCCATTCATATAAACGCATCGCCCGGCTTCCGCTCTTCAGAACAGTAAACATAGCCTCGGCGCTTCCAAGACAGCAAGGTTCCTTGAGTTCCATATACTATCAAATGTCTCCAGAAGCGGCCCGGGTCATTCATGAATGTGCTCGCCTCCGGCTTGGTCGCGCATCGTCTGAGCGTGGAGAACGTCTTGAAGTCCTTGAAGATTGTGGTGGCCAAATGGAACATTAAGCGGCGGGCTCGACCCGTGAACAGTGTGATATTGTGAACGAGAGAAAGATCCTCATGGGGAAGAAAGGCAGCGAACGACATTGGTATACTCGGCTCATCTGACAATAGAGCATCTTGTGAATATGTTTGGTGTCGGATGAGGATAGGAATGTCCATGGCGAAGGCGTCATCCTTGAATCGCAGGTACAAGGCGCCTCGTTTGTCGGCATCTTTGTGTGTGAACGATGCCAAGCTTCCCATCGACCCAACTGCATCCTGGTTGTAGTGATAGACATTAAGCTTATAGGGGTAGTGCTTGAGTGCGAGGGCTCGAGACTCCTGGTTTACTCGCAGGAATGCAGATGCCATTTCTTTTGTGGGATATATGGTCCAGGGCGACCCGGGGCCTTTGATGGTTCCCAGGGAGGGGAGGATGTCGAAGAGAACGGTGCGGCAGCTAGACTCCTCGGCCAATGCCATCTCCCACTGCGATGTTAAGATTAGTAACTTGCTGGTCCAGCATTTCTGGTAAGGGGTGGCTCGTAAGACAAGGTGTACCACAGCTCTTCAGAGCTCTTAACTCGTTTCAAAGGGTAGGGAATGGTTCTGATGCAACTCACGATCATCAATCGAAGCTCGTAAGGCAACTTGCCGAACACGGTGAATTGTGATGCTTCGTCGTTGGCGCTCATGCGGCCGCCGGTTCCGGCATTGACCAGTAGGTCAGGTCCGTCAGATCCAGTGCTCTCGTGAGGCGCAACAGCGCTGGCGTTCGAGCCACAAGTCGCTGTATCCATCTCCGCGGTGAGATGATGATGCGGGATTGCCGAAGACGGATAGGGCAACTCGCGCTCTCGATGGCTACGATGAGGAATGTACGGGAAGGTTAACGGCTTTGATGGTACCGCTGATTAGGATTGTGATGGCAGGTTTTTTCCCTGATGAAGCCAGGGTTCATCTATGTTTGTAATCAAAGATGGAAACTTTCGGGTAAGGCCCAGTGAAGTGAGGATAAGCGAAACTGCAAACAGCTTCTTCTTGATTGTTGCCCCAGAGGCATCGCACAGGGAAAGTAGATTGGACTCATGTCGACCAGTCATTATCCACCTCTTACGTGATGAAATCCAGCGATGAGATGGGTTCCTTCCTTAAAGCGTTCATTGAAGACCCGAGAATTCTGTTCATGCCCATCTGTTCTAGTAATAATATACTTAGCCTCAAACCTTTGGTACATATCATTAATTCAACATGCGCAAAGAGGTATGCGCCTAAATTTTCTTGGAGAATTCATTATGTTTCTGTGCCGCGTACCATCGCTGTCAGTTAGCGTATGTCCTTTCAGTAAATCAAAAGCCTCCGGGTGTCGTGGCTTCTCAATAATTCTCAGCAAGCATTCAATACTCTTTCTTCTTCGCGGTTGGACTAGGTTTAAATGACCTTCACTGGACCCTGATTACAATTGTTTGGCAGCAGCTTCGCAAGAAGAGCATGATACGGGAACGGTGGTGAGCGTGGAATCAGAATGGAATGCAGAGTTCTACCATACACGTCTTGCATTACAAGACATCATCATCAATATCGCGCTGTTGAAAGTTTCGGTCTCAACTCCCTAACGTTTACATGTGAAACAGGTCCTTGACATATGGCAATGTCGCATGAATGCAGGCGAAATCGGATTGTTCTATTTGCCAGATCGCAAAATACATGATTTGAAGTCTCCAGCCCGTCTGCGTCTTTTGCACAATTCTATTCTCCGGAATACTAGTATTCGCAGACGCCCTCCGAATGTCTTGTACGCCAATGCTCCACCGTTAGGTAGCTATGTTGAGATATCAGAGACTTAGCCTTCAGCATCTTCTGCAGATCCCCCGCCCTCCTGTCTCACGCAAATTCAATCATAGATGGATATCCCTAGTATTGTGCTTAATGATGCTCTTGTCTGCCGCGCTTTGTCATGTTTTGTATAACAGTTTTCAAAGCTTGTGAGTGCCTGTCAGTGTTATGGACAAATGTGACAACCGGGCCCAGATTCGGGAACTGCAAAGTCAAGTTTGCGAATATGACCGCTGGTGACAGCATAGCAGTGGCGACAACGAAACTCTGGGCCCTCTTTTCCAGTATGGTCGAGTTTCTAGATGTTGAGGGATCAATGGTAAGAGGAGCCTTGGCACTCAAGTCAAGCATGATGTTGCAAATCTTGGCGCGAACCTCTGTGGACGCTGCCGAGTATATTGAGGCTTAGGATGAATCCTCTGGGGCCAAGCCAACGATAGGGTAATGTTGATGAGCTCTTTCTCGATGCGCAGGTAGACCACGCCTGTGTTGATTTCAGTGCCATATGAAAGAACGTCAAGTTTGAGGTTGAACCACTTTTTAGCACAAGAACGGCTCTCGCGTGTCGTGGCTAGCATTGCTGAGCATAGGGAACTGTTGAGAATAAAACCGAGGTGGCCGTTGTACGTGATCACTCGCTGGTCGAGATCTTGTCTGAGAGCTTCCTCCCAAATCATGAGTCGAAGCTCAACGGGAAGGAGCTTGAAGAGGGGGAAGGACTGCGCAGTGGCACGCTTTGGTGATCGCCTTGCTCTACTGGGCAACGCGGCCTGGTGCCACATCATTGTGGTGATTCTCTGGGGCGACTCTGCAGTTGTCAAGCGTGTTGACTGACGTGTATTGACGGGCATCGTGGTGAAGTTTCCTGGCCTGATGCGCTAGTGTTGACGATGTGAAGACTTGGGCTACCTCAGGAATCAATGATAATGATGATGGCTGTGTTACCAGGAATTTACGTGATTCGTGGATGAAGAGTGGGGGAAGAAGATGCGATTCTTCAATCACGCAAAAGATGATGTGAAGAAGCGACGGCTGAAAATTATCGCGGCCAACGTTTTACTAGTTGATAGTCGTCGGCTGGGAAGGAACGATGGCCAGTTCTTGAGAAGGTTTGCCATCAGGTTGAAAAAAAAAAGAAGAGGAAATAAGACTCCGATCCTACAATCGTTTACCGCAACATTGGACCATCACCAAACAGTCAAGACGGTTCGCAATGCATAGTTCTGCTGGGTTCGGAATCGCTTAACATTACGGTGAGCTAACTGACGGGCCAAGAAGCACTCATTGCATCGAAAACATGGCAAACGATCATCTCCGAACACTGTTAGGGTATACAAGAGACCAAGTGACTTCAATTTCACTAGGATAGCAAGACATTGTATTCATCTAGGGCAAGCAAGCTACCGTGGCCTCTTTATCTACCATTCAATCCCCAAACTCCTCAACTGCCCTGGTACACCCCCGGGTAGAGTCCTCCTGGGGGTCGAGTATCATAAAGTATTCTTGCCGGGCCAACAATGCATTATCTCGGCCCATCTGCTCTACGTCTGCAATGAACGCCTCCAGCACACGGCATGTCGGCTGTAGCATTACAATGAGGCATTCAAGAGAAGGGAAAAGGGCAATATTATCCCGGTTCGGCCCGTACGGCCGTTTCGTCTTGTGATGCCACTCGGCGATCCGTAAGACGATTCGTGCCTTGGCTGTGTCCTCTTGCGAAAGTCGACCTATGTAGCGGTTTCGGGTCCAGGGGATGTACTCGCATAGGACTATGAGCTCCCGGTCCATACGGAGGTATGCTATGCCACGACGGTCTGGTGCCTCATTGCATATTACTTCCACCTTGACATTATACCATTCGAGGGCGCATATACGGCTCTCCTTCGATGCGCTGAGAATCGAGGAGCAGTACTGGCTGGTCGGGAGGAGGTAGACGGAGTTAGCTATGGTGCGGCGACCAAAGCATACTGTTACCCGCTTTGCAGCTTCGTTCTCAAGTACAATCTCCCAGATGGCAAGTCGAAGCTCAATGGGAAGCTGCGGGAAAGGATGAAACGAACTGATTGTACTGGGCATCGTTGCATTTGGTGGGGGAGCAGTGGAGTAATGACGGTGCTGATGCTGGAGGGAATTTTTTAGCACAATCCAGGACAGTTGGGATTTGAGCTCCTACAGAAGTATTGAAGGATCCCGCTTCTTGAATAGCAAGTAAGGGTGTTGGGTTGTGACCTGCGTTGAGTTGACGGAGGGCACTACCTCAGCCTGAATGGCGGAACGGGAGTGACGGGTGCTTCGTGCTCGTGCGGGAGCAAACAACAGAGTGGCGATTTGTGAAAGATATGAGACCAACGCGTTTGCAGGTCAAGGTGGAAACTTGGTACGTGTCTGGGGGTAGCCGTGCAGGTACTATCTGCCAGCCTTTCACCAGCATGCGCTGAGCCTCCCGGGCTTGGCTCGCTGGCAGATGAATTCCGAACGATACGAGACTTCACCACATATTTACACCTTGCTACGAGCTGGCGGGCGCAGAAGGGTGGTGGCGGCGGCGGTGGTGGTGAAAGGGGGTAATGAAGAAGGGTGGTAATGAAGAAGGGTGGTGAAAAACTGTAGCAGAGACGGTTGTCCCAGCAGCGGACGTTACTGCAGATGCTTTTGGAATACTGAGATAGACACACCATAATCAAGTCCCTGACATTCGGACGGCAAACCTTCCACGAATGTTAGGATGCACCCGCAGAATACTTCAATTCAGGTAATACGCTATTCCTCCTCCTCGGCTTCAACTTCTTTGATGGCATATCCCTCTGTGAATCCAGCCGGATCACAGGTCCGCTCAAGGTCGATCTTGTTAGCTTGCACCCACTTCCGCACAGCTTCCTTGTCGAGCCTCACACGGGGCATGTCTTTGACCTCCTTCTCCTCAGCTTCCTCATGAGGGGTTTCCACTGGCTTAGGAGGCCCTGTGCCTGCCTCCTCCACGACGCCCATTTCCCGGAGCACTGCCAGACAATCTTCTTGGACTATCCATGTTGCCTTACTGCAATCCTCGACGTCTACCAACGTTTCTCTCTTGGCACTTCCACGGGTCTCGTGGGAATCTGACGGCTCGAGGCTGAGAATCCACCTGGCGATCTCACCCGCCCAGAACCTCTTGTACCCCTTTCTGCCTAGCTCAGAGATGGGTTTCTCTGGCCCACCGAGTACACCTTCACGCCGTGATATTTCATACGACACACCCATGAGCAGAGCTCCTAGTCCCTTCCGTTGCCAGGGTGGGAAGACCAGAATGCATGCCAGATTGTTGTTATCCCATGACATCTTCTCCTTCGAGAAGAAGCCACATATTTGCGGTCTTTGTGGGATATCTGGGATGTCAGAGCCCACCGGCGGTGTGTATACTAGGAGGAAGTAGTTGAAGCCAGTGACATCGAAGAAGACCGACTTGTTATCGAGGAAAAGTTTCGCGAAGAGCGAAAGGTTTTGACAGAAGAGCTGCAACACCGTTAGTGCTGGAAGTGACATGGTCCGCCAGCAGAACTTACCACATCGACTTCACCATCAATCTCCCATACACTCCATTCGCCTTCGGTTGTGGTTTCATGACCTCCCCGACCCCCAGCTCTGGCGGAAGCACTTGTCGAACCCGCCACATTGGCCAATGCAGATCCCTTGGGATGGGTGTAGACCTTGGTGCCGGGTACCAGTGCATGCTTTTCGCAGTATCGAACGTGTTCCGACCAGGACAGCAGCTCTTTGGAGTACTTGAAGCAGCAGGGGCACACGTAAAGCCTATCCAGCATGACCTCCTTGTCCTTCTTTCCACCTCCGATCTTGGCCCCTCCATGCTCCTTCGCGCCACCACTACCTGGTCCGTCGCCCAGGATCTCTTTGCTGTAGTATGATGGATACCACGTCTTGAAGCATATGTTTCCGAGCATGACCTGGTCGATATTGCGGTCTGATCGGGGAGTCGGCGGCGGTTTCAAGGCGACAGCGGATGAGGAACGTCGCTTGGGGGTGACAACCGAAGCTGCGGCCGGGTCTACGAGAGAACTCGCCGGTGCTTGCGGACGAGACTGAGGAGGTGGTTTCGGCGGAGGAATATATGTCCTTGGACGCGATGTGTTCGCCTGCACTTTCGGTTCTGCTCTCGAGGCGACTGGGGACGTGGGTATCTTGGGAGGTGGCACGGCGGTCTGCTTTGGCCGCGTCTCCTGCACTCGAGGTTCTACCCTATTGGTGACATCGGCCAGTGCTTGGGGCGCCTCAGTCTCCGGCTCTTCCTTGTCGGCAGTCTGGCCCCTCGTCCGCCTCGTCGCGGGCGCCGGAGGTGCTGATCGTGGTAAGGTGGTCGTAGCCTTGCCGGGCTTACTCTTCGACGCGTCATTTGCGGTCGTGGGCGCCGGTTTGGAGCCTGAAATGGCGGCGGGAGGGTTCTCTAACGTGTTTGCGCGTACGCGACGGCTCCTGAGCTGCTTCTCCGGTTCTGTGGCTACGGTCTCGCTGTGTCGCGTCGTCCGACGGGTGGGGGGTTCTGTCGCGGGCGGTTCATCGTGAGGTCTCTTGCGCTTCTGGGGCGCCATGGCTGCAGCCAAGGCACAGGGGGATTGGCAGTAAGCGTTTTGTGAGAGAGAGAGACGGTCTCCGTACCTTTTCCCGTTGATTCTTTGTTTCTCGAGCCGTCTTGCTGCTCATCCTGTTTGCTGGTCGCGAAGTTGGGAGGCGATTACGTAATGCCATCTCGGAAGCAATTCCGCGCAAAGTAGCCCAAACGCGCTCACTCACAATTGGAGTTCAGCGACTACAAAACACAAAGCATCAACCTTCAGTTGCGTTATGTTTATTCTAAGCCCTGGGATTTGGTCGCCAATTGCGTGGCTACGATCTTGTGCTGCATAGTGGCATGTACCATCACTTGTGTCTCTGTAACAACTGTGTCTCAGTGGCCTCAGTTGTCCGTCAAACCGTCCTCAGCATGAGAGAACAAACGCCCAAGCTTGTCCTTTGGACTTGCTCGTCTGACGGACATCCACGAACACTGACAGATGAGAACCAGGGATCTCGGCTGTCCCAAAATCCCATGTGAAGAAGCCCTCGCCCTCTGGAGCCCCGTCATTCACCTCCAGCTCTTCAACTATAGCCTCTTGGATCTGACGATTCATCTTCGGCTTCTTGAACCACTCGCCAATGTCGAGACGCCGACGGGTTGAGAGTGCATCTACAATCTTGTGTTTCATGGCAATATGGGGACGGCCATCCCATTTTGATTGGCGAGTCATATCAGCATATAGCTGGAACATTAGGTACCGCTTGGCGCGGACTGCACCTTTGCCTATGGAGAGCTCCATGAGCCCGCGGTAGTCGCCAACGCCGTTGAGAGTGCATGCAAGCTACGGAAACCCGTGTTAGCAGGCTCTCACGTCGCTATACACGCCGCCCCATGGGAAACTGGTGCCCTGGATTCACTGCGGCATGTGATTTGGTGTCTACTTACCAGAAACGCAGAGTTCTCAGGATCCCAGAAGTCGTGCGGAATTGTTCCAACCACCTGGATCGCTGTGGGATCAGAAGATGCTATCTTGATCATGTGCGTCGGTTGAATCTCCAACCGCCGTAGATCATCCGAGGAAAGGGAGGCGGGGATGTACACGTCCTCCGGCAGACGCCAAGTAAGATCTTTGGGAAACGAGAAGAAGAGGCGATCTGCATCAACTCTCACATAGCCCTCCATGGTTTTGATAAGACGAATGTGGGCCACATCTGGCCCGTCGCTACGGCAGCAGCCCAGGCTCATAAACAGTCCGACCTCTGGATTGAGGCCCAACTCCATGCCTTCCAACCATATGCCTTTATTTGACAGCCTCAGCTCACTTGTGTACGGCATCCTTGTCGCATCTCGTTCCAGATCCGAGACACTGGCAAAGTTGCGAGGATGTTGAGCAAACAGGCCGTGGTATTGACATTCAAGTGGTGGCGACAGTTCCCATGCGAACAATGTCAGATCTCGGGAGCGCCGGCAGATCTCCTCCTGCAATCGCAGGAATGCCTTTTTGCCCTCGCCATAGAGCATCGGCATGTTGATATCGAATATGCCCAACAGACAGTAGGCCATGTCCTCTCGCCTAGTGGTATGTCGTTTCGCAGCCCACGACATGCGTTTTGCGATGTTCACTGAGTCGAGGGGGGCAGTATGTGCTAGAATCCGCAACTCAATAGAAGTGATGGCAGAGATTCGTTCGCGCAGCGTCTCTTTAGTACCTCGCTCTTTCCACTCTCGGTCATAGAAGATAATATGCCTTGGCGCAATCAGCTCTTGAAGTGTCCAACCGCGAGAAAACCATCGACACTGCTCGATGCTCTCCACAAGCCCAGACGCGAGGTTGTCTTGAGAGTGCTGGATTGAGTCGCCAGCCATTCCATCAGACGCCAAATCAGATAGGTAAACAAAACAGATTGCCGCATCCCTATACCAGCGGAACATCGAGTTAATAGCTTCTGACAACTCAGCACTGCTTCTCTTATCGATGCAGCATGTGTCCACCCAAGCGTAACGAAGCCCTCGCTGTTCTGCAAGGCGGCATGCCGTCTTGATCTTTTTGAAGCTATATGCTTTACGCGCTGCCGCTGCCGAGTCACACATGTCCTCGAACAGCACCTCGACTTCGTCCCACGTATGTGAGAGTATAGCATACTCCACCCTCTCGTGATCGGTCACTGACTCAAGCTCCAAGGTCTTCGTATTTATGAGCCACATTTCCACGGAGGCGCTGTCGAACTGTACGTTAAATACATTTGACCACGTTACTTGCTGAGTAAAACCAGAACGAGGTAAGAAGAGTCGGCTTACCTGGCTCCGGCGGTGCAGCGATATCAGCAGAATTACTGCTCTTGTGGTCTTGCAGGAGAGGAGGCAGCGGCTGAAGGTCAGAGTCAGAGTCTCGCTGCTCTTGGAACGCGGGGGCATGCCGATTCGCCAATCACCGTCGAATCACAAGTGATGCTGCAGGTCAGCTGAAATGTGCAGCGGGTACATCCGGCCTTTTATCTCCATCGGTTTTTAATTATGTCTGTGTTGGGTTTTCCAAGCTCAGTATGGGACAACTCAAGGTCAATCCAAGAATTCTTTAATGACTCAAATTGCATAAAAGTTGTACCCAAAACTAAACAAACGATTGTGGCAATTTTTTTCAACGAACGTGAGTCTGTCTTTCACGAAATTTCACTTGACCTCTTAGTAGCAACCTGATTGGTTTGACATTTACGTTTGCCGGTTGCTCGTGCCCAATCACCAATAATGAAGTATAAGTGAAATGAGGGCTGGAAAACTCTCCAACTAGTCATCCACTAACGCTCCAACAGCAGAGTATGAATAAACTATGAACTGTGTGGCTAAGGCTGTCTAGCTCAATAGCAAATTCCTGGATGCCCCTCTCCTCCTTACCTCAGCCTTTTACAATGACTTATCATCTGAACATCTTGCCGCCCTTTCTAGCTGACTACCCCATATCACTGGTATCAAGAGTCTGGATTATAATTATAGCCAGGCCGGTATCCAGGGTTAGAAGGCATCCCAAGACCAGGAAGATCCACCATGGCAGCATGGATCTTCTCAAAGTTCTTGCACACATGGGGTGCTCGATCCCACTCGTGCGTTTGCATCGTCGAGTTGATATAGCGGAAGCTGAATGGAGTAGTATCCGATGCGCACAGTAGCGACCGTCGCAGGGTCTCGACACAATGTTGTAGATGGGTGACCGAAAGCAGCGGGTCGTTTGTTCGGTTGTAGTAATCGGGAAATAGGCTCATACGCAAGAGGTTCTGGGTCGATCAGTGCCACTGGTCATACTGTCACAGGTAAGGTCCACGTTCTCTACGTACCAAGCAATGTAGCTGATGGAAAACATAGACGGACCACCACTCCTTCTCCTCGTCGTCTGGATTGGGGGTTATTCCGCTCTCGGGGAAGCCATGTGACGTGAGCTCCTCTTTCGTTGGAATGAAGACTTCTATTATATTCAATCAGGCCAAATTTGATTTATGCTTTCAGTGCGATGAGAGCAGTCCATACTTTGATAGAGCTCGTTCCAGTTATCGTCCTGCTCTTGGCTTGGGTCACCCTTGTATGGGTCTGTGGATCTATCGAGACCCGAGTAGAAACCAACGAGCTTATACTCGATGAGGTGTTCTACCGGTGCTTGATGTGGGTAAGCTCAAAACCCATCAAAGAATCGGCTTACTTACACCATATTGGCTGCGAAACTCCAAGACCGCAACTAGCCTTCCCCTGAGTAATAATGTAAAAGGCCAAGGTAATAACGAGGAACCATCCGACAACTGCGAATGCACTGCTGAGTCGACGCACATAACGACTCTTCTGCATGCCGGACGGTAGTTCTGCTAGTCTGCATTCCTCGGCGCGGTACTTCTCATGGATGAGAAGTGCTTCCCGAGTTTCGTCGTAGCTGCTGCTGCCACTGTTGGATGTCATAGTTACAAGTAGAAGTCGGTGAGTAAAGAAGGAATTTTGGAGAAGTCGACGAAAGACTTCCGCACTTGATCAGAGAATTTTGGAGTACAAGAGAAAATTCAGACTATGCTGACGCGAAATAAAGAAACCAGTTTTAAAGGGGTGTGCCTCGTGTTATGCAATCTCGGGACAGCGAACCGTCATCAGCTACGGTAAACCTCATAAACGGAATACAAACGTATCCGTCGCATTTGCGCAATCTTCGTTTAAATGCATAACCAGAAACCCCAATTTGTTAAAAACGCCTTGAATACTCAGGACTGTCGAAGTGCTTAATTATATCTGTCACCAAGATCTTCAGACTTGATTGAAGAAGAAAACATGTATTACCTAATTGTTGGTTTATCTGTACTAACTTTTATCTATCTGCTTCTTTGCTTGGTTCAGAGACACCGCAGGCTCAGCCATGTTCCTGGCCCTTTCATGGCAGCCTTCACAGACTTGTGGAGAGCTCGGGTTCAGTTCTTCAATCCTATTGTTCCGACTTTGCTCGAGTTGCACCAAAAGTATGGAAGCGTGGTGAGAATCGGCCCAAATACAATCAGCCTGAGCGACCCAGGGTTTGTTAAGCTGGTATACTCCGCCAGGAACGAGTTTACGAAGGTTGGTCAACACTTGAGTCTCAACTTCTTGTGATACAAGGCTAACGAGACCGGAGGCGGATTCGTACGGCCCAATGCGCGTATTCATCAAGCACGAATCAGTGGGGAGCATCATTGACATGCAAGATGATGAGCAAAATCGAGTCTTGAAGAAGGCTGTGGGAGCTCTGTTCAACAGCAAGAACCTTGCGCCTTTTGAGAGTGTTGTTGAATCCATTCTGGAAGATCTAGCATGGAAAGTATGTAGTGCAAGCCAGCAGCCATTCAACCTATACGAGGTAATGCAGCTCTACCAGCTAGACTTCCTGATCAAAATAGCATTTAGCGAAAATGCAGGACATCTTCGACAGGGACAGGACGTTATGGGCCTTGCTAAGCTCGGGTTCAAGAGAGTCTCCCACTGGTACTCGTGGCAGCCACTATTCTGTCTCGAGAGGTTCATCTTCCAAAATCGCCATTGGAGTGGTCGTCTTGCTGGCCCATCGAAATGGGCGGTGGCAGGGGCTGACAGGCTTAAACTACGCCAGCAGCATGCGTACCGGGGAATTGAACGAAATGACGATCTCCTACAGGGCTACATTAGAGCCAGTGAAAAGTATCCGGATACGCTACGCGCTGGTACCATCGTCAGTCTTGTCAACTCTACTGTTTCTGCCGGTGCAGATACCACTGCTGGGACCATGTCGACGATTCTCTATCTCTTAATGAAACACTCTCGTGCCCGAGAATGCTTGTTGAAAGAACTGCAAGACGCACGCAGTCAGGGACGAATTTCTGCTCCAATTCGTTACGTTGAGGTTGAGCGCCTGCCATATCTTGATGCTGTGGTCAAGGAAGCTTTAAGGCTTAACCCACCTCTTGCTGTTCCCTTGGAGAGAGTTGTGCCAGCTCAAGGTTGCTCGTTCAACGGTCTCAAGATACCAGGAGGTACCATTGTCGGCTGTACTGGAACTGTGATCCATCTCAACCAGTGCTGTTTTGGCGATGACGCTGATCAGTTTCGGCCTGAGCGCTGGCTCAATCGGGATAACAAAGATCGTCTTGCGATGGAACAAGCATTCTTGGCTTGGGGCGCTGGTAAAAGAATCTGCATAGGACGTTATATTGCGGAGATGGAAATGAAGAAAGTTGTTTCTACTCTCCTGTTGAGGTTTGAAGTAAGTTGTTTGGGCCCATATTCTCCCTGGAACATCGACACTAACACATGAACGATGAACCTTGTGAATAAAGATACGACAGTGTCTTTTGACATGGGGATACTGAGTCTCGAAACTCAGCCAATTCTAGTGACTTTCAAGGAACGAGGTTCGATGGCACGCTCTAACCCACGGTCCTGATGCTCTAGTTACAGTATTCAAACGTACTGAAAGAACCATTCGTACCAAGCTCTACAATTAATGTCACACTGTTTGTACTATTGAAACAGGTGCTTGCCACCCAAGTTAATGTATATGCAACTGTCTATAGTATACAGCTCTCTCAAGGTAATCACTATTCAGGCGCCGCCGAAGGAGGATATTGGATATTCAATCCAAGACTATGTATGACCATCTGCCGGTTTCAAGACGAGCTCCATCAGAGACAAAGCACTTTGAGGTGGGCGTGTGACTTTGATAAGATCAAGTCGTGGGCTTGCCAGCTGAAATAAATTCGACCAGCGCTCGAGGCTCCTCTCCGAGGAGTTCAAAAGTGTCATCATGGCTATGTCGAGTACCCTTTTCTTCATTAGCAAACCTAGGAGGTAGTCAGGATGAACGCATGTGAGTGTTACTTACCTCGCCTTACGCTGCTCCACCTTGCCCGTCTTCCCCGGTGAAAGCATTATGCCATCCATGATAAGAAGTCTCGAATATGGCTGCATGGAGTTAAGCTGCGACCGTAATATCTTCACAGCGTACTTGTCCGGGTAATCGTGTAGGATCCATCTGAGGATGTAGACGCTCGCAGTAACAGGCTGCGGTGAGTAAAAGTCATACTCCATGAACCGCACTCTGCTCTTCAAATGGTCATGGAGCTCACGCTCGTTAAATGCCGACTTCAAATCTTGTACCACAAATTGCAGTTGTGGAAATTTCTCGGCAACTGCCATCGAAGCATGTCCATTCGCACCACCAATGTCGATGACAGTAGCTCCGCGGGGCAGCGAGGCCCAATCGAAGCCATCCACCAGATGTTCCAGACTGAACCGCTCAGATGCTGCCATGCCAGCCATACCTTGCATGAAACGCCTTGCACGCCATGGCTCCGTTGCGAAGAACTCGAACTTGGGAAGCGATGTTCTAAACGCCAAGTTCAAGGCTGTGTGGTTTCGTTCTTCAGTAATTGGCCACTGCTCACACGCCTCGGACAAGAATGAGGCCGCGCGGAACGACTCGTCGGTGTAGTAACTGACGGCAGAACCGATTTGTACATCACAAAGCAGACGCGATGCCGCTGTGTGTGCTACGCACCCCGCCGTCGGCTCCCAAAAGATGTGACATGAGATCAGGAGCCGCATGATGCGTGTGCATTGTTCGGTCTGCACACTTGACTTGCTGGCCAAATCGCCAAAGGAGATACTGGAGCTGCCATCTTGACCGAGGGGCACGTGGTGCGCCAGGTTGAAATGAGTGGCGTATTGCAGAGCAGCTTCGATACGATGAGCCTGAGCTATTGTCATCAAGTGCTCATGGGGGCCGTTGGCGAGGTAAAGCAACTCATCACACGCTTCACGTAATCTGACACGAGCGTCCGTGAGTGTAGCTTGTCTAGAGTCGGAGTTTCCTGGCGTATACAGCGGCGTTCGCATCAAGAACTCCCCGCTGGAGCTTTGGCTATTTGAAGAGCTACTTGAAAGTGTCATGACACACTCGGTGATGGTCGAAACAAGAGCTAACATTGAAGAGCATTCCGCATTAGACTCAAAATTTACAGGGCCCGACATGATCATTGGCAAGATCCAGCTGATTTACAGGATTCGATTTCAGGTAAATCTATGAAGCAAAAGAATATCTAAGTGAACCATGAAACCTGAGGCCAGCCCGATGGTACCAAACTATCGCATAAAATCAATTGGCATGTTTACAAGCATAATCTCTCCAGTTTCGATTGCACGATTCCGTTTCAAAACTGTCGAAAGAGGAACTCCGTTTCAACGAAGAAACTGCCGAGGAACGTAGGAAGTCCTAGACTATGTCGCCATACTTATACGAAGCAAGCATGAATGCCATTCGAAGTTCCCTGCCGTTTTGAGCATTCCGAGTAGTAAAAGTCACCGAGGCAAGTAGAGGACTGCGACCCGAAAGTCATGTATAGTGCGTCTCGTAGTGAGGTGGCATTCGTATGTTCCCGACGCCGTATGACCTCGCTTCGAAAATCCCTGTCCCGGTTTGACCGAGCACGGCTGGTGTCGGAAATAGGCAACTAGTGTGAGGGTCTCTTCCGAATTCGGCTGGCGTGTGATCTGCACCTATATGCTAGCTATATGCTCTAATAGGGTAGATTGTCTACGGTATAGCCTGGATAAAAGGTGAGTCAGATTACTCACAAGGGTGTTCGTTCAGGGTACGGGACAGCATCCGTTTCGCTAAAGAATCAAGGATTAAATGATCGACGGCCTCGTCTTTGGAGACGCAAAGGGAAACACGAGTGGTAAGACTACTTCTGAGGCTTCACTGTAGCCTAGTTACAGTGATTGGTGAACTCGGGTTATCGGCTGCGCATCTCTGGAAACCGCAGACGTGGTGGAGGTCTTAGAAAACAATGCTAGAATTGGTCATACTAGGTATTCTGCTTAGAGGGGTCCCCCAAGGTAGCTTGGTCCAAATAACTTACCAGCAAAAGATAGTCTCTCTCAAGTCCGTGATAATGCGAAAAACTAGATACTCTGACTCAGAACGAAACTTTTGCTTGCACAAAATTGGTCCTACTTAGAGCCGAGGAACTCTGTTATCTTGAGCTTTCATTAGCCAAGTCAGTCTTATGAAGCTGATCTAACAAGCATCAACCACCCTGATTATCCTGCATGTGCCACAAGTCCTACGGTTGTGCCAAAGCAACTGTTACGGCCCCAATAGTGACCAATGCTATGCCAAGCCAGCTTTGCCATGAAATCAAGGTGTGCCAGATCGCGACATCATAGATAATCGCGAATAAAAGCTGAGTGTACATCATGCCGACCGCCCGATTGCCCCTAACTGGCAGCGGCAACTTGTCCTTGTTGTCTTCAGGCGAATCGTAGCCCTCCACGGGAGATGGAGCCCTCAAGCTAGAGAATCCATGAGGAACAACCATTGTCCCGTAGATCAACCCTTCGGTCAACAGCCACTGAAACATGAACCCGGTGAAAGCCACAACAATAAGTAGGGCCCATTGAAATGTCGCTATCTCCTTGAAGAGCTCGACGTCTCCATTGACCAATAGTGCAAGTCCGCAGAACAGAATTGATGCCACTGCGGAGTAGAGAATGATAACCAGGGTGTGCACTCTATGGCCAAGTTGCCGGGTCATAACCATGCCGCCAGCCTGTCCAATAACACCAAGAAGCGCAACGAAGATGGCCAGGAGCTGCGCTTGGCCTTTTAAGAGCGGTCTCACGATGCTGTCTTTCAGCACCGGCATCGCATGCGGCGTTATATCGATATTCTCAGCATGCAGATCGAAGTGAAATAGCACATGCTGCGTAAGATGCCGGTGTTGTTCTTCGGAAGCGATGGCAATGAGCACCACACCTCCAATGCTGATGAAAGTGGCCAACTGTTGGACAAAAGTAAAGGTTTCATCGCTCATCAGAACGGCATTAATGATGCAAGCCAGTACTGGGGCCATAAACGTGAGCACTGTAGCTTCGGCAAGAGGCAGGCTGACCAGGCTAAAGTAGATTCCGAAGACTGCGATGAACCCGGCGACACCGCGACCGATGAGCAGTCCTCGGACTCCGGAGGCACCGAGGGGGAAATGCCTTACTCTGCCCGATAGAAGACCCCAGGCGACGAGCCCGGCAACTGTAATGGCCTGCCTGATGAAGAGCACCTGTACAGGGGAGAGGGATGTGCCGTGTTCCTCATCTGTCGTTAGGATTTTCACGGTCACGTCCATGGACGCGGCGAATACCATTGAGAGAAGCACCAAGGCAGCGCCGCGGTTGTGATACCAGAAACCCTCAGTGATGATACCACCGCGAGATCTGCCGGCATTGAGCTTTGTGTGAGCTTTAGGCTGACTGTCAAAGTCTACTGGAAGCTCCATGTGAAGGCCTTCGATACTACTAGCTGTGCTTTTGTCGTCATCAGACGTGGTATTTCCCAAGCTTTTCGGGCCCGAAATATCGACCTCGTCAAAGTCGTGCGGAACCATGGGAGCAGCCTCAGACAAGTTAGTGGCGTTGGACATAATCGGTCAACTGATTCAACAGTGGATCTTCGGGTTGAGTATTTAGAAGCAATGTAGTTATCAGTAGTGATGATAGTTAAGGTAGGCTGAAAAGAGGAGGTACACTGACCTCATGCGAGTGTAAGTGGTTCTAGAAAAGATAATTTGGGGTGACTTATCCGTGGAGAAAAGACTACGGCAAGGCAGATGCAGGGCACGTGATTTGATCCAGTTCCGACGCGCCACTTAAGGGTATGACGGGGCGAGTCCATGTCTGTTGATATTTTCTTGGCAATTATCTTTCTAGGTTGCATTATTTTAGACATTCTTGGAAGGAGAATTTGAATTCAACTGTATGTTAAGGTTCTGTTTCTTTATGCTACTTACACAGTAAATTCGATCCTCTATTGTGGAATATTTCCTTTCCATCACCCGTCATTCAAATTTTACTGCAGGCTCAAGTTCCCATTGATTTAACATTCTAGAAATGAAATTGGGAGATCTGTTCTGTACTTTGTCTGCCGGAGTTCATCAGGGTGGCTCAATAGACCGTCCACCAGAAAATCCACACAATGATCAGTATGACTGAAGTTGCCTGAAACATTATCGAGCCTTTCACCCCGCTCATAGGTGTGAATGATGCGCTTCAGAGTATAGGCGCAGTGAGTTAAGTGTTCCAATGTCGTTCCCCAGTACATCACACCATCCATATGCTTGAAGTGCTCCATGTCGATAGTGTTATTTGTAGGCTGTCCGTCGTCATCAAGCCAATATTGGAGCTTCTCTTGTTGTATGAGAGAGACGAACTCGTGGCTGCCATCATGGGGGCAGTCTCTGTGAATCCAAGAAGCCATGAGGGGGTCAAAGACACAGCCCAAGCTTTCAGCTTCGGCACTGGTATCGCCACAAGTGAGCCTAGGAAGCGGGTGCTGAGGATTTTCCGCTGAGTGTAGGGACTCGTGACACTCTTTCTTCAACTTTTTGCTTAACTCCCCCAACTGAAATTGGCAGTATGCAACATGCTCGATATGGCTCTGGTCTTTCACAGCCGCATTGGATAGTTTGACGGCAACAAAGATGGAGGCTGACCAGACTGCGATTGCAAGCATAACATAGCTTAGGTACAGTCGTCTTGATCTAATCCGGGTGAGGCTTTTGTCTGACATTGTGGGAGACTCGGGGTCTTCATTTGGAACATGCGAATAGCGGATGGAAAGTTGCGAGGGTGAAAGAGATGGGAAATTGAAACCCATCTTGATCGTTGGTTGCGATATGAATTCTCAATTATTGAAAGCAAGAGTCGTGCCTCGTGGGAGATGAGGATAAGTTGAGATGCGTGATGGTGAGATATTCCTATGCATGGCTGGAAGTGGGCGATCACAGAGTACCTGTAATTAACCTAGATCTCGTTTCCGTCCCCAAAGTGAAGGCTTAGGTCACGGAAGTGAGGGGTTGGTCAGTCCGCCTAAGTCAATGTGATCACTTCATGTCGCATAAGAAGTCAAAGACGCATATCTCGTATGACCAAATCCTAGCCATACAGACCTATCGACAGGGTAGGGAATGAGGAAAGCAAAAAGTGCTACGTTTGCTCGCAGTTTTCTTCGAACAAAAGACCGAGCACCCCTATCCGATGACTACAATAGAATCCAAAGCGGGGTAAAGGTAGGGTCCGCTATGCAGATCCTTGGAGGAAGTAAGTGACTAGAGGTAGTTTCGTATGTGAACCGAACTCTGATACACAATCTATTCGTTATTGAACGACATGCCGGACCATAGGATTATAAGACGTGATCGTAAGATTGTACACGTCATCTGGCCGGAAGCACGGAGAAGGAAGGTGAAACATTTCTCAAATGTTAATGTGCAAGGAATGACCAATGGGTCACTCACGTTAGTCAGACACGTCTTATAATCATTTTCTCATTACAAAAATTTCACTTGTCTTGGCAATATTGTCCTCATAATTATACAGACCATTTATCCGTGTTTACATTCGATGCAAGATCCGATTTTCGGAACAATCACGATAAGTGGAGGCTGTAGCTGCTTGCCGGGGACACAGGCGCCGGGGCTTCTCCTCTCGATGCTTACAAACCCATGTCGGAACCATTTTAAGACTCTCATGGTCTAGGATCCACACGAATATCTATTGCTGGTTGTGGTATCTCGGAGATACAGCAGTTGGAGGATCACACTACAGGTACTTCCAACAAGTAAACAGGGATACTGACCCGGTTGTTGTCCTATACCGCTTCTGAGTCAACAGGTTATGATAGGCGGGTCAGAAAGTAGTACTCATTTGAGGTTGACATATGTGACATGTCTTATTTCCACAAACTTCAAAGCCCGGGACGAGGTCCGAGGGGATGACATCCTTCTAAGTGGGGCTGTCAGCACTGTAAATGCCGGGTCCGTCTAGCCATAAAATAGTGACAGGGGACAAGAGGAGCAGAGCCCAGTTAGCTTCATATGCAGCCTAGACTTGGAAAAGCTTGACGAAAGCTTGAAATGACGGGATCGATCTATATGTGCGGGCTAATCGAATATGTCGTATTTTACACTTACCGAGGCTTGATGCGAGCCCTCCCAAATGCTCTACTCCGTCTCGACGAAGCTGACCCCAGACCTTTCTGCCAACGAATTCTAGCTATTATGTGTGTTCCATGATACCTCGTCTAGTTCATTCAGCAGATTTCGTATTTTGAGAAGACCGGCATCACTCTTTACCGGGTCATTTGTCTTCAGGCAATAGCTCTACGACAGGCCTGCCCCTTTCGCAAGTTATCTCACTCAAATCGGTACGATGGGTGCACTCATATCAGACGGGCTTTCCACCGACTCAATCACTAGCGCATCCGACATGCCCGTGATTGACTATCAGAAATTGACTGGCAGGGCCAACGAGCGCAAGGAAGCATTGAGATTACTGGACAAATCCTTCCAGGCATATGGCTTCATATACCTACTAAACCATAGTATTCCGCAGGAGATGGTAGATGAAGCCTTTGCCTGGGTAAGATATATAGCATTCTTGACCCTTAAAGCCTAACTGATACGAAGGCACAGTGCAAACGCTTTTTCAGCCTCGACCATAGCGTGAAAAGTCTGGTAGCTCACCCGGCTAGTGGCGCAGTCGACGATCATCGAGGTTTTGCCAAAGAGGGGCTGGGTCTAGTAAGCCAGCTGATCTTTGATGAGGCCAAGGTTGCCGACCTCAGGCTCACTTCTCCTGAGCGAAAGGAGACGCTGGAGATGGGTAACCCTTATCCCAATAAAGAATCGGCACCCAACCGTTGGCTTCCCGAAGATGCCCTCCCCGGAATGCGTGCTTTCTGTGAGAGATGGTGGGATGCTTGCACTGCTCTCGAAAAGTCGATGCTCCGTATCCTGGGCGAAGCGCTTGAGCTTGACGACAGTGAACTCCTCTATCGGAAGCAGAGGCGTGACCTGTGTCATATGAGTTGGAACTATTATCCCAGTATGCCTATCGGTCCACTGAAGAGTAGGCAGCTGCGCAGGCTTAACGCACATAGCGATTTTGGATGTTTGACCCTACTGTTCCAGGACGGGGTCGGAGGATTAGAAGTGCATGATGGTCATGTCTTTCGTCCAGTCGTTCCAAAGAGAGGCACAGTGGTGATCAATGTAGCTGACATGCTTGAGAGGCAAACGAATGGGCGTTGGAAGAGTGCGTTACATCAGGTTGTCGCGCCTCGGGAGTCTATGATGCAGAAAGGGTTTGAGCCCGTCTCTGCTGTAATAGATAGATATTCACTTGTCTATTTTGGATTGCCTGATCCCGAGGTAATCATAGACACTCTTCCTGGACGCGAGCAACGTGGGAAGTGGGACCCTAACATGAAAGGGGACTGGGGTACTGAAATTACGGCAGCAGAATGGCTGCAAAAGCGTCTAGCGTTAGAATATTAGAGCTGGTGCCTTCTAAATATACCTGCCACCTGTATACTGCGATCGTCGTGTTTTACTACTGAGTTCTATAGGTGAGGAGTACTAATTAAAATTTCGTTCTAGCCTGCAAGCATCATCAAACTCATACTGGAGTGTTTTGTTTAAGAGAAAGCGCTAACATTTTTCCCAACCATTTATCGCACCGCCCTACTGAAAAAGCGCTAATGCGATCGCCCCTATCAGGTATGGTGTTGGCTTTGTCTCTCATCGAGTTAATAAGGAAAATGTTTTCATGATGTTCTATCTCTTGATAAACTTCTATTGATCGGCATATCTATACATTGCGGTTAAAAATCTCAAAGCTCCACTGCACCATCCTTTAAAGATACATGGCAAGCTACGGCGGAGAGAAGTGCCAAGCCTGCTAGCACTGCCATCAAGTTGCCGTAGCCCACGAGCAGCAGGAAATCTCCGGCCAAGAAAGATCCAAGCATCATGCCGAAGCTGAAGACCATCAGGTTCAGACCAGTCAATGAAGCATAAGGACCTCTATCCCCAAAGAGCTGGGGATTAGCTCGGTGGTATCGTTCTATGATCCTACTAGATTCTGTGAAGCTAACAGTGCTCACCCCACCCATAGCCAGCCCACAAGAAGCCAACAGTACACAATACAGTCCTATTCGAGTATTGCCGCTGAGATATTGCAATAAATCGAATGTGAACAGTATAGGAACCAACACAGAATAGCCAACAACACCAACCTGTCGCGGGCTATACCGATCAGCAGCCCAGCCGCCAAAGGGACCAGCTACTAGCCTCGCTAGGCCGATTGGAACGAAGAAAAGCCCGGCCCTTAGCTCACTAGTCCTGAAGAGCGACTTAGATTCTAGCGGTATTGTGGCATCAAATGCCCCTAGAAGAGCAGCCTGAACGATACAGATGCTCATGGATACAATTAAAGAGAGGTCTCGGAGGCAGTAGAAGATTGGGGGAAGCCACTGCCAATGATATAGAGGGACATGTATGATATAAGCCTTTGAAACTTGTGTAAAGTTGGGGGAGGTATGGCCGCCAAAGGAAGCCTGTCTTTGGGTCGATATTGTGGCCAGCCGGGGGAATGGTGTCGTACATGGTCGAGTTTTATTAACAAAGTCTTTCCTAAGTCGAAACAATTTATCTTTCTCGATCATCATAACAGTCATGAAGGTTCCCAGCAGGAGTATTGTGACAGATAAACTGGCCAGATATATGCTGCCTTGGCTATAGAGTAGTCCACCGAGCGGAGGGGACAGAAGACCACCGACATCGTTAATACTGAGGACCTGGACTGGTTTCAGTACGTCTCGTCGAGCCTCGTAGCATATACTCACTGTCCCTATAGTTGCACCAATCGAACCCGGATCCGCAGTGTCGAAGCAAAGGGCGAAGCCAGCCGCCCAAAGAAGCGAACTCGAGCCGCCTTGCACGAATTTGGCACTAAGAACTCCAGCTAATGACTCAGACATAAAAAATACAACAGTTGCCTATCAATTGTCCATTAGTCTAGAGATAGAGGAAATATTTCAATGAGAGGTGTGACTCAACTAATGTGAATACTGTCAAGCCGATCATCATAGCAGTCTTCCGAGACTTGCACCAGTCTGCAAACAATCCACTGGCAGGAAAGAAAATCATTGATGAACCAGCATGTAAAGCGATGATAAGTGACGATAGAGGTTGAAGGTCTTGGTCTTCAGCGCCGGCGTGGGCCAGAATTTGTGGTAGGACTGGAATCACTGTCCCATAGGCCACTATATCACCTAGTAGGCATATAATGACTGTGCCTATTAGGAATTTCGAACTTGCTCTGATGTTGAGCAGTGATGTCCGTGTTTGTCTAGCTGAAAGTTTTGCCATAGTCGATGTAGTAACTGAAGAATCTAGCAGTCGTTAGAAATTGTCCAAACATCATCCTTATTACTGACCAAACATATATCACAGTGTACCATTAAGTTTACACAGGATCAATGTTGTTGGTGCGATAAATGCAGGTAAACACACAGAGACGCAAAGACAATTGATTGCACTCAAACCATCCCTAAAGAACTGTGGACTTCCAACACTGGCAATCAATCCCATCGCACGATCGTCCCTTGGATATTGACCTGCGGGTTATGCGCAGCCGGATTTGCTGAGCGGCATATGCAGCTAAAGGGGTCCGGCTTCTGAAGAATCACGCCAGAATAGTGCTCACTTGCTAGCGGTCGACATCTACCCAAAATGGACCCCTGATCGACGTCCTTGTGACTGTCATGCGTCACCTTGAGTTGCTGCATATGGACGCCTGTATCGAAGCTGTACAGGTACATGCGCTCTCAGTATGCATTAGTTCTCACTAAGTGTCCCGCTCTTAATGTACGACCCTCGCTTTCCGATTGGCGAGCCGTCTCCTTTTAGGAACGATACATGTCGAGATTTGCAAGGTGCATACGAAGCCTAATTGTTGAAGAATAGGGTCTGATATCTTATTCTAAGTATCCCACTACATCCGAAGGATGCGCTAAATAACTCACTTTGTGACCCTCCCCTGTTCGCCGTCGTCCATGCACTCACCGTTTGTACTAGCATTGCTTGACCAAATCCGCCAAGTTACATTACGACACCGAGCGCTTTGAATATCCCGAGATGAAGCCGAGCGTAGGAAAAATGCCGATAAGAGAACTTGAACTCATTGCTCTCTACCATTGCAGGACTATCCCGCACTCTCGACCCATTATCTACATCCCTCGGAATGAAGTCTTGCTTCAGCAATTAGATCTTCCTTCCAGTTATCACTTATGTTCCCCTTCAATTTTGTCAGCGCGAAGCATTCAAACAGGGCGACAATGGATCAAAAGCGTCTTCTCGATCTAAGTAGAGGACGCTACAGCCAAGGTAGTGACTCGGACGAAGATAATAGTCTTGATGCCGTTGTTCGTAGTTGATACCTTAAGCTTAAGCACTAAGTGACAACAACTGACTCAGAATTAGAAACAACTACTCGATCTTCAAATCAAATTGAAGAGGGACCGACGCCGCTTTTCATATTCCATGATGGTCAATGGCTTTCAAGTATTGGTGATACTTTTCTTGGTCACTTTCATTGTTGGGGATGGGTGGCCCTTCACCATAAACTTCTGCCTGAAGCGCGTTAACACGTGGAGTGAGTCTTGGGATGGCTGAACGTCATGCTCTCTGCTAACATCTATCTGCAGGTCCTATCCTAGATCAAATCAAGCTTGACATGCATGAGGCTATCAATAACGGCTCCATCTGGGACTCGGGAAGTCCATTCCAGCAAGGACCCTCTGAAGAAGCCGATAAGGCATGGCATGAGGTTACCGCATTGAAGGTCATCCCACTGACCGGCGACGGCCTGCGTAAAATGGGTCGCAACCCCGATGAGGCTATCAAGATCCCTCCGGAATGGGGCATGGGTGACGATCTCTACCCTGGCTTCATGGATAGCCAACACCTACTCCACTGCCTCTGGAGGGTTCGAACCTATTCATACTTCCCGTACTACTGGGGCCATATGTACCCCGAAGGGACTACCACACTCAACATGTCGGCACTGGACCAGGCACACCTCAATCATTGCTTATCTGTGCTTGTCGAGGCCCTGACGTGCCAGCCGAGTATGCAAGTCGAGACTTTCACTCTGATCTCAGAGAAAAGGCCGTTGACAATCGACTGGAGAACCAATCGTAAATGTGTCAATCACGGAAGGATGCTGGAGTGGCAGTCCGAAGTTAGCACATTGGAGTTTGAGGAGTTGAAAAAAATCCCTCGAAGGCCAGAGCAGGTGGTCATGAAGAAGCCTGAGGGCGTGTCTCCTGAATTAAGTTTTCCGGATGAGTAAGCCACCATACGCAATACATGTAGCGCTAGTCGCCTTTGGAGAAGTATTGGAAGTGGGAGGCACATCTATTCATCGTTTCCTGAGGGTCGTTCGGCAATACTCAAGTTTCCCTGGTCGTTCATTTTTATCTGGCATCTTATCACATATGCAATATCTTCTCAACACAGCCAGAGAAGCATTTCAAGAATTAGAGCTGAATATTTCCTCGAGATACTGGCGGAAATATGTGACTGCTTTGATTGACGTGCGACTGTAGTCTGAATGCACCACTGCAGTGTGAGTGTCGCTATACTGATGTTAATTCATTTGCTGCCCCTCCCCCGCCGCCCCTGTGACAAATTCCGGAGAGTGCGTGATAAATGATCGCTTACGAACGGCACTAACGTCAAATGTGCTCTATAAATTAGCAGCGCGCGATGCTGTCTCGCTCAAGTGTCACCTTTCTGTTCTGTTCTCCATAGCCACTCGAAGTTGCAACCACTTAACCTTTCAGAACATTATTCTAACACCGGTTTACTTGCTGAGTCATGAGTCAGTCTTCCAACGCCTACAAATACAGATCTTTTATCGACCGTGGGATCGGTCAGTATTATCCTTTGAGCGTCGTATCTAAACGGCTTACCATAGTCTCTACCAAGATGCACTGAATCGCAATGATATGGAAGCTTTCTGCGGGCCAGATGCCCGAGGCTTTGCGCCAAATTTCCGAAAACATCTTCTGCCTCAAACAATGCAATGGCCGCCTCAGACCCGCGAGGAATGGTACTCGGACTTGAAAAGTGGCTTTGTGGGGCAGAACTACGTGGAGTGGTACTCTGCGATCGAAGCATACTGGGAAGATGTGGAGCAGAGATCCGCCATCGTTTGGTGCACCGAACGTGGATTGTTCGTAGAGTCTCAGAAGTATGAAATGACGTATGTCATGAGGTACCAGTTCGACGATCAAGACAGGCTTCTGAACCTGTGGGAGCTTACGGATTCCTGTTTGCAGAAAGACTTGGTCGCCAGATGGGAGCGTAGAATGGCTGACAAGTCGCCTGACCACTAGTGAGAACAACTGTTGGGGCAACTGTAGTGATTGATTTCTAGCTAAGCACTATCAAGTACTCTCAAAGAATCGACCTCTGTGAACCAGTGGTAAATTCTATCTGAACGTTCCTCGCCGTACAGTCTTCCTACGATGTCGGCTGGCATGACTACACCCGTATCATAGGGCTGATCCTGGCCTTCATGTAGCAATATCCCATCAGGGCCAGGGTCGCTCCAGTACGGAGTTGATCCCTCTTTATTGCCATCAATAAAGATTCGTCTCGCAACATATGCCTCAATCAAAGTGGCATGAGGATATTCTGGGACTAGTCTCCTCATAGCTTTCAAGACGGACTGCGCTTTGGAATAAATCTTGCGCTCGGAGCGGTCATCGACGCTGATGATCAAACGTTTGAAGTGCTCATTGGGTTCCTTATGTCTGCCGTTCCCCTTGCCGTTAATAGGAATGCCAAGCGCTGGCCGCACGGCCTGAAGAACATAAAAGAGATATCCCAGGTCTTTGAAGTCTCTCGGCCTCTCCTTCTCGGGAAGTAGAGCCCAAAATCGCGCCCAGAGGCCAGTATCATCTTCGACTAGTGAGGCCAAAGCTTCAGCTAGACATGGCACTCTGCTGGATCGAAGTGCACTCTTGATGGTCTCGCTGACAAGCTTCGTCCCAGGAGAAATAAGTATCTCCAAGGGGTACCCACGAAGGTTAAGCTCATAGCGAACCGCCTTCTCGAAGACTTTGCTCGCTTGGTATGACCGGCGTTCGACAGCTTCGAGCCATTGATAAGCATCTTCGAAGGTGCAGTCACCTCGAAGTATGTAGGGGTGGATGGAAGCATAGTATTGCCAGGTAGGGACGTCAAGGCTGACTCTAATGGGATGGTCTGGTGTATGGTGATACCTTGACGCCAGCAGCGCCGCTATATCAGCAGTGACGGGTGATATTCTGGCGATATACTCCATCTCGTATAAAGTCGGTTTGATATTCAGCAACTTCATGCCATTCGGTCTGTTGCTAATGATACTGCTCTGCATGACCTTGTCTGAGAAGAGGCACATACCGGATAATACGGTGATGTCCTCAAACATGGGTTGCGTGTTACAGTCGAAGAGGGCGGCGTCGGCTGTGACGTTCGGGCAAGAAAAGTGCAGGTTCTGCGTAGAGAGGTAATATGAATGAGCGTCGCCTGGGCCATTGTCCGTTCTGGATGTATTTGGAAATCTTGTTTTCAATTTGTGAAATGCTACAGTGCCGTCACGGCTACGTGCAGAATCGTCACAAGGTATACTCATGACGACTGCATCATTGCAGATTCGCAGATAGGGTAGCCCCCATTCGGGGCTCTGGGAGTCCAAATGACAGACGCCGTTGAGCAATCTCTCCACTTTGATGGCTATTTTGCGACTTTTTGACAGCGCTGAAGTATGTGCAGCGTTGCGTGTGGGGGCAACTTGGTGCGCTAGAGGTGAAGTCCCAAAAGGGTCTCCAGCTACACTAAGAAGCCCCAGTATGTTGTGGCTGCTATAAGCCGAGCTGATTTCCGGGGCTGTCAGACTTGTGAAGCGAACTGTGGCATGTTGCCTCGAGTCAGTTTGGATATCTGCCACAAACTGTTCCTGCATACCATACACCGTTTCATCCGAACTAGAAAAACCAAGGAAAATACGCGTTTGGCAGATGCTGTTGCACGTAAGTCGCGCAGTGATTTCAAAGATACTCCAAGATGTGGAGGGCCAGTCTATATGATTGGACTGAACTAGGTGCTGATGCAACTGTGAAGCGCACAAGCATGGTGAATACACAGTAAGCACCGACCAATAGTCAGCACCGCCAAAACGTTGCCTCCCCGGCAAATATCGTGACGAAAACGGACTTCTGCCGGGAACATGCGCAAAGCAGAACCGCTTTCTCCTCGGATGCATATCTTGCCGAGCTTCCTAATAGCTTGCGATGTACTGACTGGAGTGGAGCGCCGGAGATTTCTGCCTCTATACACGAAAGGTGCATTGCGTCTTGGATTTGATATAGCCAACAAAGATGAGCTGTCAACTGATGTGCATGGGACCTCCGGAGGAGCATGTACATGGAGGAAGTGCCTCCCTATAGGTCTATCATGACGAGGCCCGTCCTACCCAAACCCGAGAAGGCCCCATGGCCCCCTAACTTCTGCATCGTTCACTCACCCAAAGAAAGTCGCTTCGTGGGCGAGACGCTGCGCAATGCGTAATTACTAGATATGCAGGCCTCGGCTAGACAAACCGGAGTTTTTCTTTGTTAATACGACGTCAGATCGCCATGGCCGCTGGCGGTTTGCCACATCCTCTAAGAATTGATATTGCAATATTCTTATTGCCACATAAGTGTAAGTTATTGTTGATACTTGACGGGGTTGTATGAGATATTGCTCTTCATGTTAGATCGTCGAAGAGAGCGAACCCTACTTCACCGATAAGCACAAGAAGATTCAGACCAAATATGCAATTAAGCGTGCTTTGAAATCAAGTACCATATGGCCGTTTCAACTAAGTACCTGTAGAAGCCGTATGTCCCTTAACCCGTCATATAGTAGTGCTGATGGGGGTGGACCATATTATTGACAAAATATTACAATACTGGAGGAGCTAGGGCTAGCAAGTGCATATGTGTCTTACAATCCTGGCTGTCCGGAAGGCAGGGAGGTATGTGGCGGTCCACGATCTCACACTAGGTCATGCTCAAGTACCTCTACCTAGAAGTTATAACTACCCCAGTTATCACGCAATATTTTAATTTTATTGCCTCAACTGCAACGTATGAAAGGATACTCACCCTGGAATGGATGGCGATCGGCAAAGCCTACCCAAGCCGAGCGAATATGCTGGTTTCGTATTGTTGCTTTGACCAATGGTTACATCCTGACATGTCGGCTATCATTTGAGTTTATACCTGCAGGCCTTGTCTCGCCTCACAATTTTGAAAGATGCGACAGACAATGCGTCTCGGCTAGCCAAATTAAGTTGGAATGTTGGAATCAAGTGACACATTGCTAGATAGCTTAATATTGACTCTTTGACATCATTAAGGACTTGCGGTGGATGTTAGATTATAAAGCAGCCGTAGGAACATGGCTTCTCCTGAGATTCTTGAGATTCTTTAGTGTCCTCTGAAGTAGACCCCCAACGCAACCTTCTCAAACTCAACTGCCCATATTTCATTTCGTAGCCCGAAAGCCTTTTCTTTACGATGAAGTTCGCCGTACTTGCCTCTATTCTGGCATCCACAGCCATTTCTTTGCCAACAGGTAACTATTGACGTGAAAGAAATTGGTACCTTGCGCACGATTCTAACGCTTTGGTGCAGTTGATAAGCGCGGGACCGACTTTGGTCAGCTCATCTCGGCATCGGACGACCCAGCCCTGACTACCAGTAAACGCGGGACAGACTTTGGTCAGCTCATCTCGGCATCGGACGATCCAGCCTTGACTACGAGCTAGACAGCAACAGAAGGGCCTGGCCGGATTTATTGAACCCATGGGGGATCATGCTTTCCTGAACTGGCTTTGTGACCTCTGTCACAATTAGAGTTCTCGTTGCAATCCTACGTAGCGATCTACATCGGATTATCAGTAGTCAATGCAGGCTTGAGATATAAGTGAAATCGGGGAGGCTTTGCAGACTTTTTGGTCTATCCGCTCGTTTATAGCGTAATATCACACTCGTTTAGTACATACCCTTGTTTTCTGACAGAAAGTGAGTACGCATTAGACAATGAGCTCCATCTCTCGGTGACTGCCTGCCTAAGTCCGCTTGATCCCTGATGTTTGTGCCTTGCAACTGCGTTGCACGACATCATTTGAGATCCGACTGCACCTACCGCTCGCTTACCATATATAACCCTGGCGGCCGACTTGTCCATCCACATCACATCTTCCATTTGGATTTTCAGTTAGGAATTCTAGTCTCCATATATTCTCGAGCTATCACTCTATCATGGCACGAGAAATGCCCCTGGGTATTGCCTTATTGCTGCTCACTGTGCTCCTCTTCAAGTTGTGGGCCGAGGATTTGGCAGATCTTTTCACCCAGAGTGAAGTGAAATCCGGTCTGTTTAAAATGCTTGATCCCGTATCTACAATTTTCCAACTTGAAAGAAATGGCAACATCTTCGAAAATCTGATGGTCAGCCACTCTGGAGCTATCTATGGAACCCGCTTCGATGCGCCCGAAATTTGGTCTGTCGATCCGGAGAAACAAACCGGATACCGACTTACCATTATACCTGGAGTACGAGCAGTGATGGGAATTGCGGAGCTGCGCCCTAACTTACTTGTTGTCGCAGCGGGAAATTTCACTCCTGGCTCGTATCAAATTTGGAAAATACGACTCTTACCTAACACGCCCGCCATCAAACAAGTGGCGTCCATCCCCGAGGCAAACTGGCTCAATGGTTTGGTGGCCTGGGATAGCGACAATGTCTTAGTCGCCGACTCTATCGTTGGTGCAGTCTTCAAGATCAACATTTCAATAGGCAATTATTCTGTGGCTGGCAGCGACGTCGATACCATGACGGATGGTACCTCAGATGGTAGCGTACCGCCCGGACTCGGGATCAACGGGATCCGCGTCCATGACAAATACATGTATTTTACCAACGCAGCGCAGAGCATCTTCTGCCGCGTCAAAATCAACGATGACGCATACTTGTTTGGACATGTGGAAATCATTGCGTCCGGCTTCTCACAGGATGATTTCGCTATAGACGACGATGGTTCTGCTTACATAGCGGCAGGTGACCAAAACTCGGTGGTGCGCGTTACCCCGACTGGCAATGTCAGTACATTGGCTGGAAGTCTTGGAGCCATGGACCTCGCAGGTAGTACTTCCTGTGCATTTCGAAGAGACGCTACCGATAGACGGAGGCATGAGGATAGGGCGGGCAAGGTGCTCTATGTTTCCACTTCTGGTGGGGTCTGGGAGCCTGTGAATGGCACGGCGATTGAACCTGGTAAGATCGCCATGGTTCACTTCGTCCGAGAGCTTAAATAGAAGGCAAAGATGAAGGTTATACCCTGAATGGCCGACCCGTTGAAATTTTTCCAAGTGCAAGAACCCAGACAGGTCACTCCACAAGCCCGTTGATGATATTTATAACCAGGAGATGACACGCAGCAGAACGTGCGGCGAAAAGAGGATTTCAAGCCGACAAAACCATAGAGGTCTTGAACTGCCTCATTGCTGCTGACGCCGCCTCGAACAATCGCAAATTTCTTACAGATGATGAGTTTTTCCAATTTTGGTCTGGAGACCCTGTGTTACGGTACACTGCGCGCTCATGAAGCAACGTCCCCTGAGCGCCGTGCATCTATTGAAGGCCCAAGTGAGACAAGGCACATAAAATTCTTTCAGCATTTGTGTGGGCCTTGAGTCAACGTTCCAAAATGAAGCTGACGAAGCACTCTATTTCGTCAAGTTCATCTATCCGAAGCATGCCGAACTCTTATTCTGCGATGAATACGGAAGTTTCTAAAAGATTTGTGAGAAGCTAACTGTTCTCGTCGCTTCGGTATGCAAAATGAATATGAATTGCGAGGCAACATGGGAGTATCTTCTTGCTAATGTTTGCCATCGAATAAGGCAAGCTCCACATATGTCTTCTAGAGTGAACAGTGACTCTAGATCTATGAGGATGGAAGACAGGTTGAGATAGTTAGCTTATCAAAATATGAAGAACAGAAGGTCGATAATATTTGTACGTAGAGGGGTCCTCTGAGATAGCTCGCTCGAAACAATTCAAACCCAAAAAGAGATCTATCAAGTTCCCAATCACGAGGGGACTGGCTAAGTATGCGTTGTCACCCAACACAATACGCTGCTTTTATTGTTGCTAGAAGCTAGAAGGTGGCCTGCGATCCTTAGTAGCTCGTAGAGCCCCAAATTGCCTTTGATACCGAGTCAGAGATCACTCCCCTCCCATCTACTCGTCCAGCTCCTGAGCTCTGACCAGTCGACGCATTGGTGCGTTATATTGAATCCGTGGACGCCGCCTGTGTCCTCGTTTCTGGGGTTTATCGTGAGATCGGGATTGCAAATGATGCTGTGACGCAGCAAGTCGATGCAGTGGCGTATGTGAGGCGGCGCTATCTGCTCAGGTAAGTCGCTTTCATCGAGCTTCTCGCCTGTTGTCGCGGCGGCGAATACATTCCAGTACGACGCTCTGATGCCGTCCTAGTAATAAACACGATTTAGAAAGGAAGGATCAAGTAATGTAGACGGTAAATAAGAGACTTACTAGGCAGTGCAAAAGATGGAAAGCCGAGAACGTTGAGCGATGCGGTGCAATGGTAGGATGCGAGAAGAAGCCCCTTTGCTCTGGGAACAGCTCTCTCCAAGCTGCGGCCGTTTGCTCAGAATTTCCGGTAAAAGTCGAATTATAAACGAAGACATCTGGATGCGTTTTGACTTATTTATTTTTATATGTAAATTCCCTCTCATTTGCGAGTCCATCGCAGCAGACTTACAGTGCAATACATTGTCAATGTCTGCTCCTGGTTTGGTCATTGAAAACCGACCCAGCTCAAAACTTAAGATGCTGACCCCCAGAAATGCTAGTGGAATCAATATTCTGGTCCATTGTATGGATTGACGTCTTGGGGAAGGATTCTCTTCGATTGGCAAGTATTTGGGCCAGTTGTTCAACCACATCATCAAAAATTGGGACCGGGTTGCTGTTTTGAATACGGCTTCTTTCCCATTCTATAGAAAATAGTCAAAAGCGATAATGCATGGATGGCGAAAGGGTTAAACTCAGGATATAGCAACCTGAAGAGGATCAGACGTGAGGGTAATCTTACACAGCATGATCCTTAATCTCGTCCATATAGACGTCTGGAGGACTTAGTTGGACATCTGGTAGCGGATTACCTATCTTCTAGCATTGGTCAAACCCTCCTCAGCTGCAACGTTCGTATGAACTGGTCGATCGTACCATTTTACCGAATACGATGTAGAGCTGGCATCTGACCAAAGGCTTGCCCTCCAAGGTCCCTGCTACCTTCTACTTTTCGACTAGTTGATATATCATGGAATGTTGTCAAACCGCCTCTTAATAGATAACTTCGATATTTACATAGCTCGCATTTGTGTCTGTATAGGCATATGGCTCGTGCTCCATATTGGCAAGACACTGAGAATAATCCCTGCCAAGGGTAGATCCGTATGTACTGACGAAATTCTTACAGCACTTGCGAGATGCACGATTGCTGACAGCGCTCGGGGATGCGCATGCATGAAGTTCCGAATATGAACGTCGGTGGTATGTGATGCTACAGCTGCAGATCCTATCAGATCGACATGCTCACTACACCCGGTATCGGATATGACCCAATCGCGGAGCTCCATGAGCAGCATGTTGCCGGAAGTTTGATTCCAATTAATAATATGGGTGTACATACGAGTAGGACATGAGGAATTGGGGGGAGGGGGGTTTCCAAAGTTTAGCGGATTCTAACGGTTCTCACGAAGAACATAGCGCCCGCATGGGAGGATGGACACATCTCGAAATTGGTCCTCCGAAAGTCAACATTAGCTACCGATAAATATTTCTATCATTCTTAAATATAATATTGATTACTCGTGGTCTAAATCGTTGTCGGAGTTATTCTCATTTTCACCCCACTATGCGCTGAGTGCCCAGTTCAATGTGTAGTGCTCCTGAGGTCTACTCGAATTTGTTGATAATTTACAGTTTGATATTATAAGGTTCCAATACGATCGAATGATGGGTTTGTCTCGCAGGGAACACTCCTCCACTCTTTGGAATAAGAGCAATCTAGGACTTCATCCCAGCAGTCCTCGTACACCATCTCAGCGGTAGCGGCTAGTTCGACGGACAGAGCGCATCTGCAAGCGGATATGATATTTATGGACACAGATTACAGAGAGACCTTGCAACCTTACGGCCCATAACAGATTTGTGAGAGAGTGGCTGGATCGTAACGTTTAGGGCAGATAGTGCCTGTAGTAACATGGTTCATTGGGAGTTTTCATCTCTTGTTGTCGGACACGGCTGTAGATTGACCAGCGCCCTATGACCACATTCAATAATGCATGCGACGCGCATTGCTAGGGACCCGACAGCTTCTAGTGATTATGCTTTTTACCCGCGGACGAACTATCGTTTCGGCATGCAGGAGGAATAACCTTGAATAATAAGGAAACTAACCGCTAGTTACGATATTTGGCACTATGCTGTATGAGCGCTCATCTGGGTAAACCGTGTTGAACCTGGCCTCGAAGAGTGTCGCCATTTGCTTTGCATAATCGGCGGTGATTCACCCAGGGCAGACTTATCTTGTTGGGCTTTGCGGCTCACCCGGGGCCGCACTGCCTACAGCGTCCACCCTCGAGTGAACCATCTTCCCGCAGGAATGCAGCATCACAGAATCTTGTGGTCCTCTAAGGATAGGGTTTCGTAGCAATGGAAACGTCAGGTAGGTTAGACGTGGCATCATGTCATATCGCGATACCATTGGAACATGCTATTGATCGCAGTCTGAAGGCCGATACTGTCGGTTTGTCAATGCAGCAGGTATCGATACAGAAACAACGCAGTCCATGATTTTCTCCCTGACCGGCGTGGAACTTGTTCTTGTCATAAACCGCTTTGCGCTACTGATTACCTCGCATCTTCGCGACATCGAGGAAGACGACCTGGTGGGGTCTCCAAGTGTGCGAAATGGTCTGCTCAAGCTCCTCGTCTGACTTGCAAAGGAATGGCCTCGCTCATTATACACTGTACATTACATTGTATCTAAATTAAAGAAGTCTACATAAAGGCAACTAGCCGTTAACAAGATTCTGTTGGCTTTACGGATGCGGGCCTGATCCATTCTTAGAGACGCGAAGGCTCTCATCTCGGCAAACTCTGGATACTGATATCTGACATATGCACATGTGATGGACATATTGGGTTGTGAACCAATAACTAGGTGGGCGACATGTATTTGCCACCCGAACGGCAGCAGTGCCAATACGCCATTTTACCAAAGTAATTAGGCAAATAAACCGCAGTTCTGAAGTCATGAAGTATTAACACAGTGAGTCAACTACCAAAATCGCGGCATTTGAAATCGAATGATTACTGTAATGGGAAGAAAAAAAGAGTAGTATTAAGAACTTGGATACATGCATATGAACCTTTACCTGGGTTTATACTACTCCGTTTCAGCAACTCGCGTATAATTTTACAACCCTCTTCTATACTCGCGGTTATGACTAACTGTTGCAGTTCCCGTTCGATGTACCGGCGTGGAACGTCGCGCCGCACCATTCGAATATCAATCCTTTCCTCCTAACATTGCCCTGGCTGTCATCATACCAGAGATGACAGTTGCATACACCGCGTGATTCATCAAACAAGAGCCTAAATGAAAACTCTTCCCGAAGTCAAATCCTCTCTCATAGGAAAACAAAGTCCACCCCTTTACTCAAGGTAAACCTTGCATACTGATCCAACTTCGTTAACGCCATTACTCATTAGCGACTTGAAACACTTGCTGCCTTCGATATATCTGCCTAAGTGTCGACCTGTGGTAGAATATCTATCAAGTTTCATTCTGAAATCAATCTTATGTTCGGTCGTTTGATATCCTGCTGCATAATGAAGCCCGCAGGTACCATTCGGCTCCTGCGCTGGCTTTTATTACCGCGTCTGGTCTTGGCTTAAAGCGGGACTTTTCTACCCCACTATGACGCGATACGAGCTACAATTGTGCATGACGAACATAGTATATCCCTCATCCTGGACAATTATCAAGTTGGCAGTGTGAGTCGTCCAACCATTACTATGAAGTTTCAAAGATTCCCTATCTTGACTGTGGCCTTGGCGACTGGCAGTATGGCACTGTCGAGTAAAATAAGCGAGACATACATTGGTCCTGAGAACGGCCATCTGGTTATAGTCGGTGGAAATCTCCAATCCGACACGATCTGGCAAAAGATCATTGCGCTAGCTGGTGGGCCTGAGGCGCCGCTTGTGGTTATACCGACGGCGGGCGGTGAACCGACATACAACGATTCCTTGTCCAGTGTTGCCTCCTTTCGCCGAAATGGCGCAAAGAATGTCACAGTCGTTCACACCTACGATCCAGCCATCGCGGACACTGAGGAATTTGTAGCGCCGATCCGGGAAGCGAAGGGAGTCTTCTTCGACGGCGGCCGCCAATGGCGTCTGGTTGATGCATACGCTGGGACCAAGACCGAGCATGCTTTCCAAGCTGTCCTAGACCGAGGGGGTGTCGTATCTGGCTCGTCTGCTGGCGCGAGCATCCAAGGCTCTTTCCTTGCCCGCGGCGACACAGCAAATAATCAAGTCATGGTAGGAGACCATACGGTCGGGTTCGGCTACCTCAAGAATGCGGCAATCGATCAACACGTTCTTGTGCGGAATCGACATTTCGATATGTTTGACATTCTGCAAGCGTACCCTGGGCTGCTGGGAGTGGCCGTAGATGAAAATACTGCGCTTGTCGTTCACAAGAATGAAGCAGAAGTATATGCGGGGACGTATGTATTGATCTACGACGGCGGGTTCTGGTCGCGAGAAGAACAAAGTGAACTCAAGAATCTGCCGCCACCGGAGAGCCGGTTCTATTTCTTACGACCGGGTGACAAGTATGATTTGGGACTTAGGAAGGTAATTCAGGTGGAGGAGGCAAAGGAACTATAGAGTCTAGCTTAGCTATCAGGTCCTTCCTGTTAACAAGAGCCTATGTATCTTCTTACTGTCCGACGCAAAACCCTGCAGTTTCGATTATTGGGCTTGGAAACTTTTGATAAGGTAGCACTGATAGCGTAGCAAAGAAGCGACCTCCGTGGTTAAGTGCGATGAATCGAGCTTGCTCTCGCCATGACAACATCCACGCGCTATAGAATACTGTTGATGGTGCTCCGGATCAATCACGGCAATTTCAAGGTCCCGATGGGCTTGGGTAGTTGAGATCATTCTTTCGATTCACATACTGAGACTTGGACTTGCTCTAAATTGTCTATGACTTGTGAGAACAGTGTTTCGACCCATAGCCGATATCCTTCACCGTCCAAATGAACATGATCCACCAGATGGACATTTCTCATTACGGTTTGAGGCGCTTTGATGAAGACAACGCTCGTATCCGTCATAGTGGTACTCATTGCCCTTGCCAGTTTCTATAATTTGGCGTTGGCCTCGTTTACCAAGCGCTCCTCGATATCCGTTCGATGGAACAACCCAGTGAGCAGTACTCTTGATCTGAGCCCTGCCATGTGAGAGACTGTTTGCAGTAGTAGGCATAGCGACCCTATACTGGCATCGGAAAGCCCGCGCTTCGGGTGCAGATTATTCGTTCCAGCATGGATGATCCAGAGTCGAATTTTATATGGCGCAAGCAGATCCACCAGCCCGGGAAGTTGCCGTTCTGGATCGCCCTGGAGGCGGTACAATATGTTTTCGAACTTGTCTCCCCCCACTCCAGCGTTGAATACCCTGGGGAGTCGTCGGAGCTCCGTTGTACTGTCGGAGCTCCGTTGTACTAGACTGTTGAAGACTTTGGAGCGAGATGTCACTCAGCAACGTCTCAGATGGCCAGATGTCAAGGCTTGCGCTCTGGCCTGTGGTCTGCATACGCTCAATCATAGAATCGCCGAGGAGTATGGCGTAGGGGTCCACAGCCGAGTCTCGCAGGAGAGGAATGTGCTCATTCCTGGATGTCATGTAGGAGCGTTCTTTGAACCGTGAGCGTTCTTGCAACAGCTGTCGAAATTCAAATGGTAAAGGGCATTGACTCTCAACTGCCGGGGAACCGGAACACGCCATTTCTTGCGTCGCGAATAGCTGGCACCAAGTCAATTGGATTGAATACTGGAAATGTGCCTTGATCTTGTGATCTAGGTGCATCATAGATTGAAAGAATTCGTCCATGTTATGTACGAGAACTGTTTGCACTTTGACCTCGTGAGGACCAACCAATTGCGTGTTAAATGCTGCAAGTGGGTCACTTGACGGTGTGACTCATGCGGACAACTAAGCTGACCCTGCCAAATTTCTCGATGCAACCTTTTAGAAAGCTGTACTTGAGGAATCTTTCTGAACTTCTTGACGGCCCCAGGGATAACGAGGGGCAAGGATAGAAGTCTCAGTGCAATGGAGCTTGCTATATTTGCTTATGGCTTTCTACCATAAACCACATATACAACCATGTATTGTCGATTGGCCTTATTGCAGATCTCTCTTTTAGCCTCATCAATAAGGCTGTGCGCTTCTCGTTCAGAAAGCGTGAGTCTCAGAGCCTTCCAAGGGGCCAACAAACCGCCATCAAGCAAGTTCTTCTGCATATAGGCTCCAGCCAACTTCAGTCTGCGATCACCTTTGGCCCAAGGACTTACCGGCCAGATCAGCTTTTTCTCTTGCACGTCAACGAAACCAATCTCCTGTAGCCACATGGCATAATTGGAGACCACGTCTATGTCGCGGCCCATGACTGTCTTCATTCCCGTCATCACCGAAAAAGCCCACCTTTGAAGCGCTGAACCTTCCATCTGGCCGTCCATGCTACCGATCTGGGTCACGGGGAAATCTTGGTACTCAATCCAGGCCCCCGAATTCATCGACTTGAAAGCTTCTCGCATCATGCGCCGGTGGTCATTGAAGCACGTGAACACGAACCGCAGGTGGACAAAGTCGAATTTCCAGGGGAACAGCCACTCTTCCTCGGCATCGTCCTTCACAAAGGCACAGTTCGACGGTGCATTCGGCGGCTGGATCGCGCTCAGATCGCTGCCTACGACTTGACACTCTGGGTGCTTCTCAGCGAAGTCGATGGCCCAGATACCTAGTGGGTAGTATTTCTTAGCCCATCGATCTTTCAGTCACCAGTGGCACAGCTGAGTCATTACCTGTTACAGTCCCAATATCAATGGCGTGCTTCGGATTTGATACTGGGGCAAGGTAATGCTCTCCTCCCAAAAGTACGGTCATTCCGGCATGCTGGAAGTCTAGACGATCTTGCTCGGCCTAGGAGTTTGGTCAAAATGGTGTGTAAGAAGAATATGGGCAGGCAGAAAGAAATCTCACGCCGTCGTTCGGCAGGAGATAACGGCCCTGCTTGAACTGATGATATGTCCTCCCAAAATCTCCCACGACAGATTCAGCGTCGAGGACTGAGCTTCCAGAGGGAATTCGATCTAGTTCCTCGGGGAACGTGCGATCAGGCTCGAAGAACCCCTCAACGGCGTAGTGATGGCTGGGTGCAGGTTGCAACAGCGTGCTCGCGCTGTGATCTGCTGACGACGAATCAGAGGTTGATCCGACGAGGACTGATGGTGATGAAGATTGAGAGACCCGTAGTAAAGGACTGTTCTGTGCCATCGCGATTCTACCTAATGAGATAGCTTCTGGACATGTTTTTAGAAACATCAAGAAACAACGTGTAACGTGCTTCTTGGGTCATGTGTCAGGGCGGGGTTCTGTTCCGGTGTAACGTAAAGGAAACGATTAAGCGATATAACCGCCGCCATCCTTGATTGCAAAGAGGGTCTGACTTTGACTCATAGATGGATCGGCCCGAAACCTTGTTTGAATGGCAAGGCAGTTGGTGTATTCATTTGGATCTGTTGCATTTTGACGCGTGCCCACGGAGTCTAGTTCCGTCGCGGAGATATAGGATCATATGCCATTGGTTGGTACACTTCCACAAACCTTCCCAGTGTCTATGGAAGATATGCTATCCGCGGTCATAGTATTATTATTACCATATAAACAATTGTTGATCCGGTCTTTACAGAGTGGGCGGCACCGCCGTCCACCTTCAGAGCTGATACTTTGGAGAAGGTTTGACTATCGCTTTTCCAGCGCTAACGGTCCACTCTAACTCCAGTTTTGTGTTCACCGTGTAACTCATTTGGTAGGTAATTGGCATATAATTCACGAGATGCATCTTGTGTCGGCACCATTTGCTGGCTTACGTGCTGCGGGCCTGTCCAAATGGGCGATGGTCCTGGCGACTGATATGTCATATATTGGGTCATCGGTGGCGCTCCAGAAAAGTCCTGCGCATAGGTGTGGTCTTGCGTAGACTGCTGTCTTCTTCGAAGGAGGATCACGATCCATATACCTAGGCCTATAATGATGGCGCCAGCGATACCACCCACGACTGGCCCTGCTATCCAGGCAAGATTTCGAGAGGAGGTAGGGCTAGGGTCGGTAACTGAATCAGTAGGGATCACGCTGCTACTACTAGTCGTGGTGCTTGATATGCTAGTACTCCTCGCGGTTGCGCTCGGGATGGGGTTGCTTGTGGTCGACGATGCGGTCGACGATGCGGTCGCCTGGGTTGACGAAGACGACTCTGCACCACCTGTCGTCTCTTCGTATAGAGTTACTTTTCGGGAGACAGTGTCGCATGCGTAGACGGTCGCTGGTGCGCTGCCAGTATTGAGATCGCTGTAGACGTAGATGGTGTAACATAGATTTGATCCACTGCTAAGTGTCAGCTACTCCAAAGAGTACTAAGAGTAGAGGAGTCAGCACTGACCATGGGAATTGGGTGTTGGGTGCCAGAAGTATCGAGCTGCTTTCACAGTCCGTTGCGATGATGAACGTTGAAGCTGTAGTCGGTCTGCAAGCTGCCCATGAGCTCGAGCGGGACAGAGTAGACCCGGATACACAGGATTGAGGGTAATCTATGGGACGCAAACTGCTGTTAGCCAAAGACGCGAGACTTGCGTTTGATTCAAAGCAGCGCACGCACAGTTTCCACTCCACGATGTGTACCCTATGAAGTTTGGTCCGACACCCTCTTGTCGCCAATGCAGTTCTAAGGTCGGAGGAGGAGTGATGAGGGGATCGCTAGGGAGAGCGGCCGCATGAGAGCACATTTGAATGAATATGATACAGCATATTGAAAAAGTGCTTAGTATGCGGAACATGTGAGACATTGTATGCCAGCCGTGGCGGCGACTAGGCCACAGGACGTAATATGATACGCAACTTAAGTTGCAGAACACTGACCTAAGTTTGAGCGGTTTTTGATCAAGAAGGACAGAGGAAATCACTAGCCAAGTCGGCATTTAGTTCCACCGTATTATTGCTTCGGGAGTTCGAGCAACACATCAGGCTCGGTATGGCATCGCAGCGATTCGCATGCCACTAAAAACGCCACAACGTTCAGCTCTTGGCATCGACATCAACCTTATTTTCGTGAGTGCTTGAATGAAGGTATGCCACCCAACTCGGCATGCACCTTTCATGTCTGGTTCGCAATTGGAAAATCCTCATGTGTTTGAGAAAGTGGCCCAGATGACGTCTATTCGATTTAGTCAAGGCGCCTGAGTAGCACCAAGCGTTGAAAGCCTCGAGTACGGGTCATGTTCAATACCGGATGCCTTGAGTCCAGTTGGGTCTTGCAGCAACAAGGCCAAGAATTCTTTCTTATTACTGTCTGACACTAGGTCAACCGGTGTTCGTCTAAGTAATCATCTGGGCGGAGCAAATGATTCCAAACACGACTGGGTCATAAAATAGTCAAGCAATGTTGGGCGTCATTGGCCCATCAAAGGAACTCTTGAAAAACTTACACTCTCGTACTTCACTCAAGACCTCGATTGCTGTTGCGTAGCCCCTGCTATTTGGATTTGCCAAGGAGACGTCACATGAAAACCTCCGATAGGTTTTGCGCTGCGACGTTCAGTCCACGCATTACTAATATTGAGGCTCAAATCTTGACCTGATGTAAAGGCTTTGTGGTGGCCCGTATTTGTCATCCGTCTCATCCATGTTTTTGGTGACCGTGGACTCTAAGGGGCCAATAACGTGGCATATGCAGCCTGTGCAGATCGTATGGACGCAACGATGTACTGCTAGCCAGAGCGTGCCAGGGTGCCCAAGAAACCAGGTCATTCACTAGCATTCCCTGGAGCTGCAGCTGCCGTTCATCGCTGTGTCCCACACTAAGACGCCAAGGAGAGACAGGTGGGTATGGATGTAGACTTGGGGGTCTTGTACTGTGCTGTTCAGATGAACCAGCCGGGGAAGGGACATGGCCGGAAAAGGTGTAGTCTGTGCCATTGCGAAGAAACGCCTCGGCCGTCACGTCGAAGGGGGAATCGGGCTCCCACGGTGTCACACAAGACACAAGGCACCCACGGGAGACTCGTCGTACGTAGGGGCCTTGGGGCCTAGTAGGTCTAGGCATGCTCTGCAGCGAGAAGGCTTTCTCGGCCAGTTCTAATCCGAAAGCTCGGAAATAGTCATATTGAGTTGGGACAGGTGGTATGATCCCTGTCGAGCTGGCCATGGAGCCGTGGACCGCTCAAGGGATCTATTTTAGCGCGCCTAGGCGTCGGTAGGACTAGAAGTTTGTGCTAAATCTTGACTTGCGGGGCGCTAAAGGGCACTAAATCTAGTCTCAACGACAGTGGACACGAAACGAATCTGACAACGCAAAAATTGTTGCGCTAAATCTGCGATCGCCCGTCCGTAATGCATTCTTACATGCTCGCCTAGAATCAGGCGTGTGGCATCCTAGGGCAGCTGAGACATTTCAGCGTCTGTTTCTGCTACGGCATCTAACCTAGCCCGGTGTTGGAAAAGTGCACCGTTTTGACGTGGGCTTTGCCTCAAAGTATATCGAGCCTTGTGAAGCCGGGTTTCCGCCATTCAAGGTCGCAATGGTGGGCGCGCGCCGTGTTTGAAATTGATTGAGGCAGGCCGGTGTGATGCCGGAGGAGCTCGGCTTTCAACCACTTTGAGTCGCGGCAAGTAGGTATTACACGATGCAAGATTTCCGTCATCGAAGGAAAATCCTAAGTCATACAGAGTGAGGACCCGTCGAAGATGAGGACATGTTACGTGGCATAATCAGGCCCTTCATGTGGTTGAAACATAAGCTTTTCACGTAGATCGTCCATACAATAAGACTGACGGTTTCTCGGGGTAGCTAACTGCTAAGCGTTCTCCAACACGTGCTGGACTGCTACTCTTGGCCGGCTGAGGTCTAGACACCCCACCTGTGACATAGAAGCCGGAGTGTCTACATTTGGCCGGCCGCTCTTCAATCCTTGATTGAGAGAGCGTGATTTGACTTTGTGCGCCAACCTCAGTGACCACAAAGATAGCCTCACTTTTCTCCGCAATGCAGGCTCTCGATAGGGGCTGAGTTTCATCACATGCTGAAGACCACCGGTGGCAACTACGCAAGCCTGAAAGCCCAACTGGTGGGAATCTTCATACATAGGTACTTCTTCCAGCTGTACGAAATTGCTTCGCTGGTGTAGCTCCCGTCCAAGAGAAGCGGTGTTGCCTATCTTGGCCCAAAGCAAGCTCCGACTAACTGGTGTATCCCTATCTTATCGCCGGCGCCCGCTTTGTATACAAGCGATTGATAAGTTCAGTTACATTCGTTTCAACACTGAAGAGTACTGTAACTATGAAAGCTAGATGATCCCGGCTCCCGCCGACATGCAAAGGCCCTGAACGATTGGTGCATGTCATTTTAAGGCAAGGATGGTTGCATTGATCTCCGCATGGACTGGAGCAGTCTTTTACGATCAAGTCGTCATTGTGTTCTGTCTTGGAGACGACAAAGGTACGGACCACAGATCATGAAGCCTTAACACCAGCTAGAGGGCTGGACAGCAACGCGACTTATAGCTTACTGAGAGCTTGAATAGAATTCGGATATATGCCTGAGAAAGGGGACGTGGGTCTGCCCATCAGCTCTCCGGCCACTCAAGCCAAGTTGATTGTAACATTTTGGATCGAGCCAAGCTCTTAATATAGGTGGAACTTCCAGGCTTGCCAAATGCGAATAACTACACCAGAGTGGAGCAACGTAGCGAGCTCTCCACATCGACTTGCTACCTAGATCGAATTGGTTTATGATCTGTATCGAGTGCCGACTGGGTGAGGGCGAACCCCGCCAGATCAAAATCTCCTAGCCCCTTGCAGATGCAGCCTCACGGTGCCACTGGCAGATCCGGGGACCGTGACTCGCCACTCGGCGCGGCGCAGAGCATCCGCTTTTGACACTGGCCTGACTGGAGACCATGATAGCTACCTAGCGTGTCAGAATAATAGTGACGGGTGGCGAACAAGCCTGCTGGACGCCGCATTGCGCACTAGGCGTTCCCGGGCATTGCGCTGAATGCATGTCACCCGCAATGGTACGGCGAAGCCTTTTTCTTCCGTCCCTGTCCCTGGTCCTCATGACTGTTAGGCAAAGAAGAACACGTCTGTTGCGGCCACCTCCGTGATCTGTAGCGCCTCTTCAATCACGCAAGCATTGGTGTTGACGGACAGAGTTGAAAGCCCCGATGAGGTCTCCCCTGGTTCAGATGCCTCTCCAGCCAGTGCAGTGCGAGTGGCTGGGTCAGGCTCGCCCGTCGACGAATATTTGAGCAAACCCCACCAGGGGGTAGGAGGTACCACCTATACCAGCGCCATTATAATTCGGCAAGAATAAAATAATCCCCAATGGTGGACTGATGGTGCGAGCTTCTCAACGGACGCACTTAAGCACTGCAGTTCCAATGCGGCGACTGTACCAGCCCCACCTAAGGCAAGTACACACCACGCACGACACTACTTGTACCTTGGCGAAGCTACCTAGGTGAACTGCTAGTACTAGTGCGAGGATTAAGAGCCTTGGCTGCACTCTAGCCTAGGAATCTAGTGCCCGCTTGCCCGGGTAGCAGACAGCGATACACCGGTAAGATCGTGGGCTAGGATATAGGATAGCCCCACCACTCCAGACTTTACTAGCGCCCGCGCAAAATCGTCCACACAAGCTGGACTTGCTACCAGGGTCAGTTCGCTGCGTAATGACCAGTCCTTCGCCTGTCGCGAGGGCAGTTATTGATGCCACAGCTACGAGTACTGCACCCTTGCCTGCCTGCCTTCCTGGTGCGATCAGTGCACCGAGAAATCGGCCTTGGGTTCTCGCTTGCAAGTAGGTTGGAGTGTCTGTCCTATTTCGCATCCACGCTCCCTGAGGTGGTGGCAAGGCACCCGCAACAGAACCCGAAATCCATCCTTTTGAAGGAAGTCGGAAGTCTAAGGAGTTTGTTCATTGGAATTCGGTGGTTCGGCACTCGGGAGAAGTGCGCGATTAGCTTGCGCCCCATGCGTGCGCTCAGCTGTGGCTCCCATGGGAACAACCAGCTGCGAAGGCGGCTCCCGCAAATAGTGTCCCCGTGGTGCAAACTCTGGGTAAGTGCTTCATCTGGCGGTATGCTGCCAGAATCTGCCAGCCGCTTGCGGGCGCGGACATGACGTGACGCAGGTAGTGCTCCTCACACCACATTCATGCATATGTAGCTGTGTAGTTAAGATCTAGCACTGGCGAGCGAGGTATCATACTTTTGGTACCTGGGCGACGGCGATGAACAGCAAGGATTATGCGGCTGCAGAAAGGTTCTGCTGTCCGAGGACTCGTCGTCTGAAGGTGCCAGTAATTCGTTGCGAGCTGCTGAAAGGCGATATGACAGGTTCCTTCGCACGATTCGCTGGAGTCGGGGACGTCCTGTCCCCACTTCACTACCCAGGTACTTTCAATGGACCATCATTGCTGGATGCGCGCGTTGCCGTAGCTCAAGAACAAAATGCCAAGAAACCTGGGTTCTGCCTCTCAAGACTGCCCCACGGGCTTTCCCAAGTACATGATTAACTGTACCCATCTGCTGCTAGTCCGCCTCGCCAACGGAGTTCGGAAGTTTTCCGGCCGCCAGAGGAAGTGGGAGGAGAGACTGAGGTGAGGGAAAGCGGGCTTCTGCATCATGCCTGGAAATTCTCATTGGATCGAGTGCAATCTCCTAAATGGAACATGCCCTGTCCCAGCTGGTGCTACAGACCCTGTGCCCTCAGTCGGCCGCTTGGTACCTTTGTCTAGGGAGATAGCCCGTCCCTCCGTAGATATTCAAATCACGATGCCGCCCGCGGCTTGTTTCTGAATGACGCATGGCCTTTGGCACGAAGTAGGATTTGTATTGCAACGATTCTTCATAGGCAGATCACCTCCCACGCTAGGTCCTGGCCGTGGCGGGTTGAGCTAAAGTATGCAGCCCTACAGGTACCTCCAGCAGCTACCTAGATACCCGGGTACCTACTGTGGGTACATACATAGTATGTAGGTGAGGTAAAAGGTAAAAAGGCGAAAGATGGATGGATTGCGGGGAGGCCCATAAGCTACTAGTCATGGGTAGTAGGAGTTGCAATCCACACCCAGCTCCACCTAGGCATCCAGCCAAGGTACCAGGGCCGCCCTCCTGTTGGTCCAGACGCGAATCATATTCCCGAGTCTGGATAGCACTGGCTCGTGGCCCAGGGCCAGCCAATTCAACGGTGCTATATGTCTGGTCCACGGGGGTGCCAAGCAGCAGAAGACCCCTGCATGCCCGCCTTGTCAAGCACTGGGCCCTTGTCCTGTTTGTTTCGCCAATTCTCCGTCCCGCAGTCGAGTCTTCGGCCACTGCGGCGCGGGGCATAATGGAAGGGCACTGATGACGAAGCGCCGCCGCTGCTGCACAGTGCATGGGCGGATTATTGATCTGTGATCTATGATCCATGGTACTTATGTATCCGGCTGCAATGTCCTGCATGGGACGAACTTCCCCAAGGGACGATCGACTCGGCCGATGCATAGCAGCCAGTGGGCGGCGCAGCTCACGGCTCGATTGCTCGGCTTCGTATTGCGCAGACCATGGGGAGCCGCTGAAGAGCAAGGCCTTCCCCCAGCAGACGCACGTCCAGACGCATGTCCAGCCGCCCCCCACCCCCAGACGTCCCCAGGACCCTTGGGTTGCCGGCAGTGGACAGCTTGGTTGTTACCATGCCGGACCAGCTACCTACCTCCTACCTCCTACCTCCTACCTCCCTCTGTGCTGGCGTGGCGCCGGGTTCCTGTCCTTTGCCCCCAAGACTGCGTCACCCGCTAGCTACCCAGCACTCACCGAGTAACCCTTAGTCTCGTCTTGCCGTCGCCATATAGACAGCTCGCTCCCACATCCATTCTCTTGTTCATGTCCTCGTGTGCTTAGCTCTCCGACTGCCCGAGTGACCGTGTTCGTTGTATATACACGTTCGGCCCCGTGCTCGCGCGCTCGAACAACTCTCTTGACCTGCGTGACAAGTCCCGTCGGGCACCACGGTTTCTTGCTCAGAACCTGCTGGGCCTGGCTCACCTCTTATATATCCCCATCGCCCTATTGTCTGTTGCTACATGATCGCGATCGGGTCACAGCTGAATCGAGATCGTCGCCTCCCGCACCGCTTCCCCAACCCAACCAAGCTCTGATTGTGCACTCTGTCGTCGCTGTATAGTCACGCCACAGCCAGCATGAGCCCCGCCCAGTCGACCGTTGCGGTACAAGGGTCCACGTGGTACGCAAATGTCTCATTCAATATCGCACAAGAGCTCTAGGCCTCTCCTCCACGGCCCGCTGTTCTACTCCACGAGGCGCTGACCTAGCAACAGTTCGCTTGAGCTCGCGGGCAGGGCCGAGGACCCTTCGCTGTCCCACTTGAGAACCGGCTTGCTATTCCTCGATCGTGAAACATCGGCCGTCGAGCTTGGGATCGGTGGCAACGCCGCAAGTGGGCAGGATCGTGAACAGCGTCGTGAGAGTGTCCTTCGGCAAGTCGATCGTCAGTTCGGCGGGCAGGAGGCAGGTCACAGCACCAATGCTGGGCCTCCATAAATCGAGCTGTAGGAGCGTACGGCCTGGCGTGCGACTCGGCAGTTGATGTCAGGGTGAGTCGGCCTGTTCTTAGGTCCTTCGGTTCATGCGTGCTATGGTCTTCCCACATGCTAACTCGCGATGAGCAGCCTCACGAGTGTCCGGGTCGGAGGAGGGCGTACGAGCAGTACCATTTTGGTTTGAACCCGGTGATTGCTCCGTTGTGGTTGTTGGGAATTTGGTACGGTCGGCGCATCTGGGAAAATATTTGGATTGCATTCGATGGATATACCCCGTGGGACTCGATGGCTAGTGCAATTGAGTTCAAGACAACATACCTTTCTTATATATTGGAACTCTCAGTATCTCAAAGTCTATCAGTGCCAACTGTTTGACGCGAGCCGTTGACACGTGTGAACTGATCCATGCCTTGAAGTATGAACAAGAACGAACAGCGGCTCCTTGTGTTCACAGACGTTCTCTCCGTGGTGGGACACGCCAAAGGTCAATGGGATCCAGAGTTGTGTTATATGAACGCCGCTGGCTCACCATTGAGATAGGCGCAGGTTTCTTGCCGCGCCGTCTTCCTCAGAGCAACTCAAGAGCTCGTTCCATGAACATTGGTGGCACTGTGCGATGACTCTTACGCACGCGACGTGTCCGAAGTAGGAGTCTATCGGATCCAGACACACCCATGGCACCTTACCAGAAGAAGAGGCACGGACAATATCAGGATCAGAATGTCCTTGTGAAAATTCAGTCCCGGAATTATGGCCCTGTGACATACTTTAGAAGCTGAATGAGATGAGTGTTGTTGATAGGAATAAGATGTGGGGAGGCTGAGGTGTTTCGTGTTCTACGACGCGGATAGATCTGTTGTTAACCGTTGAACCAATCAGGAGTTGACGGTAAACCCCCACCCGTGGTTTCCGATACCCGAGTTGCCGGCCGAGATTGCCTCCAATTTTCCCAGCCCATGCAAGCTGCTAGTCTCCAGGTTCGTTTCCGACTCCAAGTCGTGTATGATACTTCGATTGGTTCTCATATTTAATGGACAAGGATGAACCCAAAGCCACGTGGCAAAGGAGACCAATCTCTGATACGGTTTCCTGCTGTTTCTGAGGAGGCTTAGAAGATTAATTGGCCGGTCTCATCAGGTGTCATTCAACTGTAACAATTGCGTCCAGTATGTTGTGCTATATTTTGCACTCTCATCGTGCCTTGCTAGAGTGATTCCTTGTTTCTAGTCAACACGTCCAATCGGAAGTATAGATACATAATCTAAGGGGGCAGGTTCCCCGCCGTCCGGAGTTCCCCTGATCGTAAGCACGGCGCCTTTCTCAACATTCACGCCCTTGAAATAGACTCGGGCCGCTGAATGTCCATTCAATTGAGACGAGAATGTGTTGCCAAGCTTATCCTCGAGATTACCCTCCCATTTTCCCAGAGTCTGCCCGTTGAGGAGGATTTCATACTTGGCACGACCGCCCATCACGTCATAGTAATTAACCCCAATGTTATACACACCCGAGGGGAAGTCCAAGGTGGCAGTTGCGGTACCGGTTGTTTGGTTCGACGATGTCGTGATGGCCTTCCGACCCGATGCAGTCTCAAACGGTGTCACCGAGACGGCCTGGTAGCCACTCAACGTCATCTTCTCAGCCTCGATACGCCACGTGTGGTTGCCAACGCGCCCTTGGTCATCGGGTATCGATGACATGTTCCTGTAGAACTCATTGATCGCATCTCGCCAGACGATGGCGTGGCCGGTCTGATACTCCAGACGGAAGGCAACCTCGTTGAAACGCTCATCATCAATGAGTCCCTTCAACGACGCCCACCTCTCCGGAAAACTCTGCACCGTCTCAGCACCTGCGTAATGAGCGTCATAGAAGTGTTGGATCACGGTCTTGCCCGATTTAAGTCGCTGGGTGTAAGGCACGTGGTGGAACCACAGCAAGAGGTCATCCGGCGTCGTCTCGATCTTTTCGTACTTCGCTGCTATCTCAGGCGGATATTGCCCCGAGAACCCAGTGCCGTTCCACACTGTTCTATCCATGCCAATAGTGGTCGCATCAGCTCGCGTCCACTGTCCCCAGCCATTGCCGTCTTGCGAAGCCGGGTTCGGTCCGTAATGGGGGCCCGTAATGTCAGTCAGAGTCTGGATGCCCAGGTTGCCAGTGTAGTTCTCATATGCCGGCCAGGACTCTAGGGACATGTCGGTGATCGTATCTATGACTTTTCTATCCGAGCCGAAAGTCAGGTGTGCCCATTCTTCTACAATCTGAGTCTCATCGCGCAAGGGGTCCCAAGCGAGGCGACCGTATGCATAGAAGTTGGACATGGCAAGGTGATGGCCAAGCCACGTGGTGTTAGTCCCAACATTGATTACAGAGGCATACCCGTTTGTTGACCGGTTGAAACGATGGCCAGTCAAGATATCACGCCCAATCACTGAAGACTGCCCTTCGACCTTCAAGTCATAATCCAGTATCGTCTTCCATAATGGTGGCAGGTAGACCAGATGATTCTGCTGTCCTAGGTACTCTTGAGTGACTTGCAACTCTATAGCCACATTACTCTGCAGCAGGTTGGCAAACAGTGGCGACGGCGGCTCGCGGACCTGGAAATCGATAGGTCCATATTTGATCTGGATGACCACGTTGTCGTCGAACTGGCCATCAAGGTGCTTGAAGAAATCTACAGCAGCATTGGCTCGGTCATTCTTCCAGTTGTCCTCAGTGAGATGATGGTCGTACACAAAGGCACGGAACATCACGAGACCATCACCATGGGCCTTCAATGCCTTGGCGAACAAGTTTGCCCCGTCGGCTAACGTGCGATTATAGGTCAACGGCCCAGGTTGATCTTCCGAATTGGCCTTTACCAGGAAACCAGCAAGATCCGGAATGCTTCGATAGAGCTCCGCCGTCTTGTCGTCCCAGAACTTGATGACTGCAGAATCGAAGGGGTCCGAAGTGGCTAGCCCCCCGTTGTTCCGAGGCGCGTCGAAGTTGAGTGAGAGCGCAAGCCGAACGCCCCATGGTCTCATGGCATCCGCTATCCTGCCGAGCCCGGCAATGTTTGCCGAGTTGAGTAATGGGATATTTGCGGCCAGAGCTGCGTTCACGTTGTTCACCACGAGGCCGTTGATACCAACCGACGCCAAAAGCCGTGCATACTGCGAGACACGAGTGAGATCACTCACGACTGCGCCGTTCTTGAAGAAGATCGAGGGTCCCGCATAGCCTCTCTCTATGCTACCGTCTAGATTGTCCCACTGGTTTGCCCACCGAATTGGGGCACTAGGGTTGCTGGCATAGGACACCTCAGAGAAATTTCCCTGCGCAAGCATGGACAAGTATTCGAAAGCCCCATACAGAGCTCCGCGTTCGGTATGACCGATGATCCGGACCCCGGAGCCTGTGGTATCGAGGTAGAAGCCATCTCCGGTAAGCTCAGGCAGATTGGCGACCTGGCCAGCGGCTGATGCCACCGAGTCGAGGGTACCAACAGTTATGCTTGACGTGTTTCCGGTCGTAGTCGAACTGACCTTGAGCTGAACGCCCGTAATACCTGCGATGCCCTTCTGAAGCTCTCGCCCGGCCGTGAAGATCGGGCTTACCACTGAGTCGTTGAGCGCAATAATGGCCCCTGGGATTCTAGCCCCAGCTGCGACATCTCGAGGCAAACTTGCATAGCGCAGCCAGCCATCAATCCCGTTCTCGGCAAAAGCCAGCCCAAGAAAGGCGAAAACCAGCAGTGTTAGCATCTTGTCGTGTCGAACTGCTAGGTCTGTCTTTGATAGCCATGGTATCAAGTGCACCTAAGTGCGTCGAACTTTTAAAGGCAGCAATTGCTGCCAAGGCGCAGAAACTCTTACGATGCGCTCATTCATGGAGATATATTTGACTTTAGGCTAAACTTATATATGCACGACAGCGGGCTGACAGGGGATCTATGGGGTTGTTCACGATGCCTGTCAAGACCTACCTTGCTTGGAGATTGCTGTAAATGGCAAGGGGCAGAACGATCCCCTCCCCCTGGTGCTGAAATTGCGGGGTAGTATTAGCATCATCAACATTGTATGAAAGACCGGGATGATACCATGTGATGTTGATCTATATCAGTTTCAAATATAGTTAGGTGATGTTAATGTCGAAAGCCGTTACCAATGACATGAACTCGTGTAAGAAAGGCGAAGTTAATTAGGATGTTGTACGAGAGCACCCACCAAAGTGCAACTATCCTCGAGCCCAGCTGTCTGTACTGAGATGCAGCTCCATAGACCCAATGCTTCCCCGATGACATTTCAGATGACTCAGAAGAGACCTTTAGGCCAAAAATGGATCAAATCGTATTATCGTCTGGAATATGGGCGCTTCCGAGTAACGCCATTCGCAACTCTGAAGTAAAGTAGATCGTACAGTTGAGTGTTGTTGTGATATGTATTCTTATATGCTCCAAGTCTATGTACACTTGTATAGGCCTGGCAAAGAAGGTCCTCAGCTCATTTTCAGAACTCTCTCAAACCATGTCTCCACGGCCTTCCACCCGTCCTCCTTCAGGCTGGAAACCAAGCCCACATAGCCATCCGGCCGGACCACGACCACGGCCCCCTTTCCGGGATCGACGCCGTAGCCCTTGAACGCCTCGCCGTGGCCGTTGTGATAGCTCTCCTCGTCGACGAAGACCTTGTCGTAGTCCCAGCCCAGCTTGGAGTCGAAGGGGTGGTACGTCTCGTGCAGATCACGGAGGATCTCAACCTCGAGCCGCTTTGAGTTGTGCAGCAGAAGAACGTCGACCGCGCTCGGCGCCGCGTCCGTCTTGAAGCGCATCGTGCCGGCGTGCGGATCGGCCCCCGGCGAGAGGTCCATCTTCGGCGCGCGGGCCAGCACGTGCTCTGCCAGCCAGGCACCAAGCGCATTGACTAGGTCTCGCCGCGGCGCCGATAAGATATCGCCCGCGAACACGACGATCCGGAAGCGTCCGTCAGACGGCATCTTGTGGTGCAGCTGCCACGGGCGGGCGCCGGCCTGGGCGACAACCTGGAACGACGGGAAGCGCATGCCGGGTTTGCAGTTCTTAGCCAGGTCCAGGATGCTGTCGACGCCATTCGACGGCTTGTCCTGGTCAGATTTGAGATCTGCAGCCTTGTCCTCGTTCAAGAGCTGGTGTGCTTCGCGGGGCTTAGAAACGAGGGCACTGGGACTGTAGTCCACCCCGATGCCGCTGGTAAACTGTTTCAAGCACACGCGTATTAGCGATCAGGGCCGTTGTCAGACTCGACAAGGGTAGCTTTTTACCATGTGGCTCATTTCAAAAGCCTTGCTGAACTCCTCCATCGAGACGCCCGTCTCGTCCAGGATGTCCTTGGCAGGGCGGCCCGAGAACAGCCGCGAAAACTTGTGGTCGAAGGCAATGAGCTCATCGGCGATCTGCTTCCTCTCAAGCTCGTATGTGGACAGAATGCTGCGCTGCATGACCTTCTTGCAGACCAGCCCGAGCTTCCACCCCAGGTTATAGGCGTCCTGCATACTCACATTCATACCCTGGCCAGCCTTGGGGCTATGGGTATGCACGGCATCTGTGCCACTGACAGTTAGTAGTAGGCTGACTGAGGACGCGTTGCGTTACATACCTCCAGCCAAGAAAACCCGGTCTACTTTGCTGAAATGGTTGCCCACTCGCTGTCCAATCTGATACGCAGTCCACCAGTCGCAGTAGTGGTAGTCCAGTTTATAGGGGCTGATGATCTTCCGGGCGGCGTTGAAGATGATTTCTGGCGTGATCTTGCTGCGGTCGATCCGGCCGCCATCCACCGACACCTCGGTAAGCTGAATGTAGAGCCGGACGAGCTTGTTCTCTCTGGGAATGATCATCAAGCTACCATTGGAAGCGCTGTGGATCATGGACCGGTTGCGCACATCAGCTGCAAGTTGCGTACAAGTCAGCAAGCCCGCTCCACACGGCACGGTACATTCAAACTACGTCAGGACTTACGAAAATCGGTGATGGGGACGATGTCCAACACACCCCAAATATAATCGGTCATCTCGCCCTGCATCTCGAAGTCGGGTCCTAATGCCTTGCGGGTCCAGCTGTGCGCACCATCGCAGCCGACGACAAACTTGGCTTTCACCGTCTCCTCGTGGACGCCCTCGCGTGCCTTGCTCCGCTCCAGCATATCGCCTACATCGTCGCCGGCCAAGTTGCTCCTGAATAGACCGTCACTCAGGTTACTGAGCCGCTGGGTCGGGGTGGCCTCCTCCTCGGTGAGGTGGCGTAGCGTTACCGTTACGGGATAGGCGTCATCGTCGTCCGCGGCAGCCTCGTCTATGGACAAAGAAGTCGGCAGGACCATGCGTTCCACTTTGACTGCAGAAGATCCCGAAGGATGGGGATGGGAGGCCGCAATGGCGTCGAGAAAGAATGACTCCATACGGCCTTGGTGCAGCACAGATTCCGTGAAGCGTGACAGGCCGCTGATATTGTCTGGTGCAGTATTATTGCGCCGGATGACGCCATTCTCATCCGGATTCCAGAATGAAACCTCTAGCCAAGTATAAGCCTTTTGTGTACATCGTTAATGACGAAAAGAAGTTGAGGGTATATAGTACCAATCATGTGGTTTGCCTCCTTCCAGACCCGTTCGCCTATGCCAAAACTGTCAAGTATCTCGAGGGTCCGGACTTGGAAACTGGCAGTCTGTCAGCCGTAGTAAATATTGGGGGCGATATGAGCTAAACCGTACCCATCGGCCTGGCCAGAAAAGACCTTGTCGGTCCTCTTGTCGACTATGCGCGTGTTGATACCGAGCCTCGATAGCCAAAGCGCAAGCATCAGGCCGGCCGGCCCGGCGCCCACGATCAGCACATCGACTTGGGAGTCAGACTGGGCCATATTGAAGTACCGAGTTAGAGAAGCGTGCTTCGGTCTTGGCTTAGGAAACCCAGAGGGCAACGAATGAGGTGGGCAAGATCAAGTACACGGATGTTGATAGCCAACGAGGCTCCCGTCTGGTAAAATCTTCTACGTAGTGAGTGAAACCTCTAGTACGGCAGGATGCTTCTTCAACAGCGATACACCGACTGCGATAACGCGGGAGTCCTGATCGGCACGCGAGAACAAAGCGAACAGTCACGATACTGAGGAAGTACTCGATTTCCCGACTGACTCGGCCCCTCGTAAAGCTCACATGCATTTAAGCATAGCGTTTAGCGCATGTGGGGTAATTTTCTTGTCCGTAACTCTCTAAGCATGAGAAAGCATGACTAAATGAGGAGAATTGGAGAAGGGTCCTCCAGGGTGTCTCCAGAAAGTGGGGTCGGATGACGGTACCTGGTCTCTGCAACAGATCGTGGCACGGCTGTGGAATCCCTGACCGGCACATGGCACTGGGCTTTGTGAAACCTGATCTCACCGTTCCCATGGCCACGTGCATTAAGGGGGTCGCACACGAGTGCTTGCAGGACTGAAAGGGTACAGTTGGCGGGCGTGTCATCCTGGGGTGTCGAGACTTGGCCAGCCAATCATTCGACGGAAGTAGTTAATCAAACAGTTGAATACATTTTACTGATTTCTTGAATGTCAATTCGGACAGAACTTGCGATGGCGGTTTGCGCGTATAGATTCTGGGTATTGGTTGAGATTGACGGTGTTGCGCTTGTCTAATATGTCCTTTCGCGCACGTGATTGTCCTACTACCACCGGCACGCCCGATGTTAGTCGCCGGCATTGGCTGTCCGCCCAAGATCCCGTCTAACTCTCCAAACCTGAGACCCAATGCCGCGCTTCTGACTGCCCCGTAGCACCTCGATCCACGGAGTTGGTCCCGATGCCGAAGCTACTTCGGTTTCGTTCCGGCTCTGGGCTGGATCAACCGCTTCGTCCTCGTCGACGATATCCATTTGATCATCCGCCTCCTCGCCACCGGACTTACCAAAGGCTTGGTGGTACAAGTCCTCTGTGTAGGCCCAACTTGGTGCATCAAACTTGCCACTAACAAGGACGGTGGCACCACCTGTCTCATTGATCCGCTCCATTCTGTCCTCAGGGATGGGAGTTAGCACTTGAAGCATGCCGGTTGCCTGGTCAATGCCACGAACAAGCGCGAGGCCGATGGTGTGAGAGTACTTGGGATCCAGGGTGGTCCCATTCGCGATACATGGGATTCCTTCGGGCGTAAGCGTCGTGATCTTTGAGCGCAGCCGTTCAAACGATGATCGGACTTCGGTGCGGTCCATTTCCATCTTCTTGTCCAGCTGAACATCGTTATCATCGCCGGGGACAATCTCGCGGAATGCCAGCGCGTTTTCAACCTCAACAACTGCGAGGATCGTCCCATTGATGGCTGCAGCAAGTAGCTCTGTCGGTGTCTGATAATCGTAGCACATGATTCCTAAGACACCCGGGCGTGGGCCCGTGTACCGTACTTGCCAGGGAGGCACCGTCGATAAGGGATCTGTCGTCCAAGTCGGTACCCCTGATCTGTCTTCGGCATGAAAATAAGACATGGTCTGCATGGTGCGGAGATGAGCTGCTGTCCGAGTCGTATACTGAGTTGTCTGAGATGGAAGCCTGGCAACTGTTCCTGCCTTGAAGCTTTCTTGTAGGCTTTCGATAACATCCACCGGGCCCGGAGCCATGTACAGAACATGACTTGGCCGCGCTTTGCTAATGAATTTCGTCAGCAAGTCCAGGCCCGTTCCCTGAACCCAACCTGGCGTGTTCACTAGGAGCGGGAGACTGCCGTAACGGTTGCGGTAGTGGTTCAAAAGGTCGAGTGTTGCGGCAATGTACAGCTCTGGGTCTGATGCAGGAGACATGGATGCCAAGGTATGAGACCTAACAATGGTAGCCCCCAGCGCAGTTTGTGAGGCTGTCAACGGGCGGCAGAAGGACGGGCTCAGTACTGGGTCGATGACATGAACGAGAGATATCTGCCCCGGGGAGCCGTGTTCTGGCTGACCTGGGTCAAGGTCAAGAACCGCGATACCATTGCCACGTCCTTTGCCTGCCTTGTCGGTCAAGATTTGGTTGCAGAGCAATCTGCCAAATGTTGATTTGCCCGACGACTTGGGGCCGGTGATGACCACAGATACAGGCTTTGATCGAGATGCAACCAGCAGACTGTCGATCTCACGATTCCATTCAGGTGGAGACTTGAGATCGGAGAGCAGCACTTTCTTAGGTCCATCGGCAGAAGTAAACAACTAATGCAGCAGTCAGCAGACAAGTAGTGCACGAAGAGGGTTTACAGAACCTACAATAGTGAACGTTGGGACGGCAGCCTTTCCACTTTGCGGTCCAGAAGTCTCATTCCAGAGCTTCCTAAACAAGGGAGACAAGCTGCCCAATCCCCTGATGGGTTCCGCCCCTGGGTGAGATTCAACCTCGACAGAAGCATGCTCAGGACACCGGAGAACGGGTAGAGCATGACAGTGTGGAGCGTGAACCCAGTGTCTCTTATCCGAGGGCCTCAGCGTGGCGCCGTAGAGAGTGACTTCACCGCTGGCTACGCGTATGCCGTAACTCCCCAGAATGACGAGACGCTGTATGAGTGAGTCGGTATGTGATCATGAGGCGCGAAGGGCTGTTTGCCTACCTCTCCCTGTGCAAGTTTAAGCTGCAGTTTGCCTCCAGCCAACTTCTTGAAGGTGCTCTTGTTTGGTTTGAAATTGGAGAGGTGGATGACTGGAGCTTGTGTGGCCGTTGTCTGGCTGCCCTCCAGACCGTCCAGTGCATTTTGAGCAGAGTCGTAGGGCGTCGAGGCGCCAGCGGAAGGCGGCTGTGACTGTTCATCCAGCGCTGGTGGTGCCTCTGGGACTAGGATCGGCTGAGAAGCCTTTATCCTCCTCGACTTCCGAGTGGCAGCTACCGGCTGCACGTCTTCAGGGGTGCTGGCGCTGGCCGCAGTGGACTGCTCCCGGGGAGCAGAAGCAACGGGGCTCTCGGGAGGCAGGCTTGCACCCTGGCCCCGCGCCTGTCTTAGACGGGCAAACGCACTGAGAGCTGCATCAGTGTGAGCGTCACCGACGACGTAGGGTGGACATGGATTGACGAGGATTCACCTTGTGGCTGCTCTGCAGTATCGATCTTCCTCCGCTTATTCGTTGCCATATCCAACCCGAAACGCCTCGCTACGGCATGGGCACGTCCCAGGAGGAATCTATGGGTTCAGAAACGCTTGCGGACGCAAGAACTCACACCTCAGTCTACCGGGACACTCGACTGATGCCTCTTCTCTCACCATCAGGACATCCGCACCACCTTCTGTCTGGCCTGTCGCACTGGGAGCTTGAGACAGCGTCAACTTTTTAGCGGGGCGACTGCTCATTGACCAATGGCGGCCCCCCGTGGCTGGTCGCGGTCGAGAGTCCAGACGGGGCGCCAGCCTGCCTGGCCAATCACCATCGGCGATGGGCCGGGACGCGCTTGTCCCAAAAATTTATTTTATCCCGGTTCACGTTCACCTCCGTTCACATCGCAATTCACGCTGAGCTTCAATTCAGCTGCCCCTCCACGCCGCCTGCGTTCTTCACCTCGGCGCCTTTGCTCAAATCCACCGCCCGCGCAATCCCGACGGCCTTTCGAGCGCAAACTCGCCCGTTGACCTCGCCGAATATGGCTCCCAAGAGTTCGCTGGGCTCCTTGAGCCAGATGGCCAGCAGCATCAAGGCCAAGACGGCTGCCGCTAAGCCTTCGAGCTCGCTCCCTGCCGCATCCGCCGCCTTGAAGAGCAAGCAGCCCGTCGACGACTCGGACAGCGACACGAGCAGTTCCGACGGCAGCAGCAGTGGCAGCGACAGCGACTCCGAGGACAACCTCGCCGCCGCCAAGAGGAAACTCGACAACCAGATCGCCGCAAAGAAGCAAGCTGCAACGGCGACCACCAAGGCCAAGGTGAACGGCACCACTGCCAAGGCATCACCTGCCACTGCGAAAGCGAAAGCCACAGCAGCAACCGCGAAGAAGCTTGCCCAGGAGTCCAGCTCGGATACAAGCTCTGACTCGGACTCGGACTCGGACTCGGACGACGAGGTCGCGAACCCGGCTCCCAAGAAGGGCGCAGCCACTACGAAGAAGCCCAGCACGGCAGCACCGGCCAGCGACTCGAGCGATAGCGGTAGTAGCAGCAGCAACAGCAGTGAGAGTGGCAGTGGCAGTGACAGTGACAGCGACAGCGAATCGGAAGCTGGCGCAAAGGTGAAGCCCGCAACTACAGCACAGACTGTCGCCAAATCTGCCAAGCCTGCTCTCGAGGCCGAGCAAGTTGCAGAAAGCAGTAGTGAGTCGGAGTCTGAGGACGAAGACACTTCAACTGCCGTTGCTAGAGTCAATGGCGACTCGGCCAAGGGGATGTGAGCTGCTTCCCCTCCACTCGCGCCCCATGTGATCTTGCTGACCCGAATCCCTAGCTCGCGCCCTGAGTGGCTGGACAAGTCTGACTTTACGCTCCGCAAGGCCTCTTCTGAGAACCCTGGCAAGGAAGTCTCGGACTTTTTGAGCAAGTCGAACCTGGAAGGCAAGCAGGTCTGGTATTTCACCGCCCCTGCGTCCCTACCTATCACCGTCATCAAGGACATGGAGATCGATCTGGCCAAAGCCCAGTCCGGGGGCGCTATTCTGAACCACAAGGGCGATAGCTACGGCCTGGACCTCGAGCCCTATGCTACCAGCACTCAGGTCCAGCTGTTGATACCCTCCAAGGGCGGAGACAAGTACAGCACTGGTAAGTAAGCCCACAACGGACCTCGCCAATCGACTGTAGCTCACCGCCGCCGACAGTGAACCGTGCCATCGACTCCACCGTCCATTTGCGCCGTATGGCTGAATTCGGCGGTGCCATCAAGGCCAGCTCTACAGCTACCGACCAGTATGTGCGCAAGCTGAAGCCGATCCGAGAGCAGCCAAAGAACCTCAAGGCACGGTTCACACCCATTGGGGTGCCTTCCCAGAAGCCGGCACCTATCCAGACATCTTCGTCAGCTTCGGCAACGAAGAAGACTACCAAGCCCACCCCGGACACAAGCAGCTCGTCTGAGAGTGACTCAGATGTCGAGATGACCAATGCTGCCACCTTGCCCCCCTCAGTTCTGTCCGCCAAGACCAAGGCCTCTACCAAAGCAACTGCTGGCTCGAAGCGGAAGCAGCTCTCCGACGATGACAGCTCGGATGACGACACCAGCTCCAGTGACGACAGTGATTCTGAGAAACCTTCTGCGCCACCCGCCAAGGCACCCAAGTTGGCAGAGAAGTCTACCAAACGCGCCAAGACTGGGTCTTCATCCAGGACCAAGGCCAAGGACACAGCAACCCCCAGCTCACAGGTAAAGAAGCCGACCCCTGTACCACCTCCTACCGTTGGTCGATCAGTGTCGGACCTTCCGGCAGCCAAGGGCACTCCGTCAAAAGAACCCGATTCCTCAAGTGGCAAAAGGAACGAGAAGAAGACCAAAAACGCTGACACCACCATCAAGGCCGACAAGAAAATGTCCAAGACGCCCATTCCTCTCCCAAAACTTCCATCGATGAGTTCCGGCAGCTAGAAATCGCCATCTCCGCGGAAGAAGAAGAAGGACTTCAAGGCTGATTGAGCTGGTTGGACAATCCATATTTGATTGCTATGGGCTCCTGCCTCGAGTGACAGCTGGTCTGGAAGAACTCCATTCAGGGTATATAATTGGATGGGGCTATTACCAATAACATCAAGGACAAGCACAAGTCGTTGGTTAGCATTTGCATGGCGTTGGGGGAAAAGAATTTGGGCGTTTGTTGATACCATAGAGCCAATGTGCTCATGCTTGCATTGCGAGATAGGTCTGAATCCAGAATCACCTGATTCGAGTGCTAGTGAAAGCGTTTGCCATGACTGGACGAGGAAATGATCTCGATAAGAAAGTCCCTCGAACTCAACCACAATACAAGTACCTCGCAATCCATAGTGTCATAATCATTAGTGGCATGTTTATCTTGAACCACGTACACCGCGACCTGCTTAATGGTCGGTTCAGACTATGTGAGAGTGGTTAAGTTGATAGCGATGAGGTAAATTGAACAAAGCTGTCCATCATTCGATGGCTACCGCCTTCAACGCTGTCCCATACACGAGCCGGCGGTATCATAAGGGCAAAGGTACAAAACAGCTTAGGCACTCGACTGCTGCATAGTGGAAGCAAAGGCCATGCTGATTGTGTTCTGATATGTAGTTGTAAATGCGGTCAAGCTGTGGAATACATGGATTTGTTACGGGCTTCTCGGAAGATCTTCACGCAAGTAGTGAGTAGCTCGTCGTTCATGTGTGCTATGCTCGAGGTCCGGGCTGATGAGCCATGAAGGAATCTCAGCAAACTTGTGGTGCAGCGCTGGTCGTCCGTGGCGACCAAGTCCAACTTGTTTCTCCCAACACCATTCCCGCTCATCTCTGTGCATTCGCCTCGCAACACCGTCACATCACGCTTTCCAAGGCATCGGCCATTCTATCGTCCTCAAGATCGGTATCACATGCACCATCAGCGTCATCGTCATCATCGATACAACTCCATGCCCAATTGACCTCTCAGCGCGATCAATCCTACGTGATGGCATCAACATCAGTCTTCATCGATGTCTTGCATCGTGTTCGTGAGGCTGCTGAGGTCTGCAATAAAGGCTCGTTTGCACCCGGCGTCAAGAGCACATTCAAAGATCTCATGGGGCTCATTGCGGCCAAGGACTATAACCATTGGACACCGCTCCACAAATTCAGAATCGACTTCTGCCACCGCCTCTGTAACTACTTGAGTAAGTTCCGCATGAATACACGATCCGAACTGCTTGAGCTACTGACGTAAGCTAGATGTTGGGCCATTCCCCCTTGACGAGCCTGACGAATGCGACGAAAATACAGCTACACCCATCTGCCTTAATGCTTTTGCTCGCGTGGAATCCGACCATCGCCAGACCGTGGGATCCATCATACATGCCATTTGTGCCAACAGGGAGATCGACCCCCTGACGGACGACATAGCTGCTCAGACCGACTTTGACGTGCTTTTCCACGGCATCCGCCATGATCTGGAGTGGGAGAGCCGCTCCCTTGAGCTACAGCAAGCCTTTATCGGTGCGCTTCGCGACCTGCTTGGCAAAGGGGGAGTGAAACGAACCGGACCAGACAAGTCAATGAAGTGGTTCAGGTTGCGTCTTTTCGCTAAGGTCTACGGCAGGCTATGGCCAGAGTACAAATTTCCTTCATACTTCCCAGGTGAAAGGAGTGTCAGCGCCATGAGGACGGAGCATGAGCGAGTCGTCGACCAGCGAATGCTGTACAATGCATTAAAAGACGAGCCAGACTGCGACGACTTCGTCAGCCGTCTCTAGGAGGGATGGCCGGAACCAAGTCCGGGCGAGCCTTTACCAAGCGCTCCATCTACCACACGGCAACCGATCCGCCATCGTAGCATGGCTCCTTCGCCTGAACAATCACCGATGCCAGCTCCAGTTCAGGGTCCAGAGGTAGATGTGAGACCACCTTCACTACACTCCGGCCCCGCCAATCTCATCCCGGCGTCAGTATGGTATACTCAACACCATACAGTTACCCAGGGGCCTTCAGGGGTCCCGCCCAAGAATCCAACTAAGCGCAAGAGGGAGGAAAATGTCGATGCAAAGAGGGATACCCGCACTGTCAAGAGAATAATGAACAATGCCGCTGTCGAGCTAGAAGACGTCAGTTTGAGCGCGGCAGACTCGTCCCACCTGGACATGGCTGAGGAGGAACCTATTACCAGTGGATAATCGTGGTATATGGATAGCACATGTTGCGGGTGGTTGTAAGGACACCATGGAGTAGTATGTACATAAAACGAAGCACCTCACTGAAGAAAACATTCCGTGCGAATATGTGTACTATGCTTTTACGCCATTTCAAGCGTTGCGAACTTGGGTCCTTCGATGATGATGATCATAATGCAGAATCTGTGTAAGTCGGATCCATTGATACTAAGGAGCTCAGATTCAACTGCTGAGGGAAGCTTCAAAGAGAGCCGAATGCCAATTGTGATCTGGTACTTAATGGCCTGGGGTTGGACATGGTATTGCTAGCCCTGGTAGGATCAGTGGTGGCCCGGGACATTCCCTCTTAAGTGACCTTAAGTTGTCCTGTTTTCACGGCACCCAGTCCCAATTGCCCAACGGCTAACTTGGCTTACTGGGTCAGCGCTTCGGGCGTTGCTGGGTGCACCCCTTCCTCCGTGGGTTGCAGGTTCGAGGATCTGCATCAGCGGAGATGAATTTTTTTTCCCCTTGGTCTTTTTTTCGACCCCCTTCCCATTTTCATAAAATGACTTTCTGAAAAGATTGTTCCGGTGCATCGTCCTCTAAACACTTTGCCTTTGAACGAACAAGCCCTTCTCAGCTCATCCAGTTGATCCGTACAATCACATGGTAGCATCTTCCTGTAAATGTGCACCAAAATTCCCTTGCAAGTAATAACTTGTCAATGTAGAATCCACCATGATAAGCAGCTGAAGTTCGGAAGCTCAACGCGTGTTGCCACACCGTGCAATTTTGACGTTCAAAATTTACTACACTTGTTGACGGTCGGTTCTGTTCGACACAGCGCTTGGCATTCTCGCACCAGCTGCATTTATATTACAAGCGAAGGTACACTGTTTTTATCAGATATTCGCATTCCTTAAACCCAAAATAGCTCCCATCCAAGTTCATGACCGGGTGTGAATATGTTGAAGTAGCACAACCTCAACTTTGGAAACATATTATACTCGCTCAATTTTGGTATTCGTTTTCTTGCGAGATTCTGCGGATAGTAACCTTAGAAAGCCACTTCTTAATCAAATACCAAATAATCGAATTTTAACCAGATGAAATTTTCGTTGGGAAGCTATGCACCATTTGCTTCGGCCGATGGGTCGAGTTCTCTAAACCTTAAGAAAATTCTCAGAAAATGAGTTCAAGACCGCGGAAGGAAAGATTTTGAGTGTTTGAAGATCGTTGGCCATACTCCCCGATCCCGAAATCATAGGTGGATAAGATATGGTCCAGCGCGAGTGCAATCACAGAGGCAGAAGCGCTGCTTCGGAACCAAACGCTTGCAGAGCCAAATCTCCGTTCAAGTATTCGTGGAATACTGGGCCATCGCTCGGTCCATGGTCAAGTCACTACAATTGACCTCTCATTCCATCCACACAGATATATTCGCATCATCTACTCCAGCGTCATCATTGGTCACATCTTTGACCTCACAAACGCACGACTATTCGAGATAACGCCAATCGAGTTTTGCTGACCTCTAGGCCTGTGCACGGCGCTCTAGTGCATACATCCTAGAAAATGAGGCCCACGATGGCATATGAGCCGCGACACGGGGCCTTGACAAGCATTATAATGCACTTGCACCAAATTTGACGGAGACAGCGGGATCTTACGATCCCAGGCAGATCATTTTGACATTTGCTCAGTTCCGCTGCTTATCAAGTATCAATGTACCATTGCTTTTCTTTTTATGTACCCAAGTGTCTTTGCGGTTGCATGTCTGCGCGACTTGACCTCACAATAGAGTGGCATGATCTTTGTTCAGTTTATTGATCGATGCACCCTTATCGCCGGTCGAAATCGTACCATCTCCTCCATAGTGAGGCGTACATGCTCGGCCCGACCGGAGACACCGTTGAGAGCCCAGAACAACCGGATGAAACGACAGCCTTGAGGTATTGCTAACGGAAGCCAATCATCTTAAGTACCAACACTGGTCTACCAACTAACTCTAATCTCGTAACGTGTATACCTAAAACGTTCTAACTGAGCGATCGTCGGACTTAGTGCAGAAGCTAGGGGCAATTGCAGGTATGCTTATTTCCCTAGGTGGTTTGAAAACTTGCCCGAACTGGTACCGCCGCTTGTGGTTAAGTGGAAACCCATTGCTTTTCTTCTGTACTTTCGCTAGTGCATGCTCGAAAGATTGATTGGACATATTTATGCTGCAGTAGGGTGTTTACTTTTCTGCGTTCCGCATTAAGCTCCTGTCCCAGCCTTGGAGAAATTAAAATGACAGTATCCGACTTCTACACGCACTAAGTATCGCATGATATCAACTAATTGAACTTGTTATGGTGATCTTGAAACACTGCCAAACTATCGCAGGTTTAGAAAGGCAATAAAACGCATACTTTTCAGTTTCGCACATTCAACATGGATCCCTGGCACTGCAAACACGCCCCATTACATCGTATCTGACCTTTTAGCAGGACGATAAAAGATTCATTTTCCCGCCGTTCATCTGATCTATTGATCATCAAGCCTCTTCACCTCTCGAGTTGTTCTCTATCTGATCTATCTTCCCCCGGTTGTTTCGCGAAGCTCCACTATGCTTTTCAAGCTGTTTGCCGTTGCGGCTCTCTCTGTTGCTGCCTATGGCATGCCTTCAAGCAGCCCTGTGGGCTGCAGAAGCGAACCAACTGCCGAGTTCCTCGAGCTCACGAAGCGCATGGCCTTGGATGAAAAGGAGAATGGCGGACTCTCGAAGCGGGCTTCAAGCTCCATTCACGTTGACGTCTACTTCCATGTGATTGCCGCCAGCAACTACGCTCAAGACGGATACCTGAGCACGCAACAGATCAATGACCAGGTCAATGTCATGAACCGTGAGTAAACCGCCTGCAGAGTAGAGTTATAGCGCGTCGTAACAAACCCATATACTGACTTAACCCACAGAGCGATTCGCTCCCTACAACATTCAGTTCACTCTCCGCGGTACAGACTGGACTGTGAACTCAAATTGGGCGTACGGGTACAACAACTATGCGATGCAAAGCTCACTACGCAAGGGCGATTACAAGACCTTGAACCTTTACACTATGCAGACCGTGTATCCCCAGGATACAGAGACAACGGGCTTCTGCAACTTGCCAGTCCAGAACCCGAGCCAGTCGGCATTTATCAGTGATGGCTGCTTCCTCACCACCAGAACCATGCCGGGTGGTAACTCTCCACTACAGCATCTAGGCCTCACGGCCGTTCACGAAATCGGCCACTGGTTTGGGCTTCTACATACCTTTACAGGAAACTCGTGCACGGGCTCTGGGGACTACGTTGACGACACCCCAGCCCAGGCCAGCGCGACATACGGATGCGTGCAGAGCCGCGACTCATGCCCCAATCAGCCAGGCAGTGATCCCATCCACAACTACATGGACTATACGTGCGACGACCTCAGAAATGAGTTCACACGCGGTCAGGTTGCAAGGATATATAGCTTCTGGGATAGCTGCCGTGCATAATCATGCATACATGCGATGACCGAGAATATCTCGAATGTTTTGGCGCTGGACGGTCTGGATTGGTGACCTTCGTTTTGAACATAGAAAGGAATTTACAGATATCCATGGCTTCATATTCAAAGCAAAGTAGATGCTCAGAGGGTATACCACCAACGACAGATAGAATCGTATGATTCAGCTCCTCTATCACAATGGAAAAAGTTTATTGCCATTTGCATATGCGATTCGAAGATATGGAATGCCCACCATATGTCTGTGTACTGGTATCCCCTCGCTCATAAAAGCAGGTTTGGCCTTCTGGAATTATGGAAGAGACATACGGATAAGCAGTTGCCTGCCTCATTCACCTACTTAAAAGGATTTATTCAACTGCCGTTGCCGACTACAACGACTTGTTGCGACTTAAATTACCAAGCCTGCAAGCATGAATGCACAAATCTAATCCACATATTATACCCTGCAATTAGACTTCGAATAGTGGCGTAACACTGCTATCATGTAGAAATTCACTGTTCCACTCAGTGAGGCCTCCCAAACTAAACGCAAGTTTGCGCAGTAGTAAGAATAATTTGCTCCCAAGCAACCGGCAAATCAAATTCGATCTGTGTCATAGTGATGCATTAGGTTCATAACAAGTCCGATGGGGAACCTCATAGGCCCCGATATATATTCCTAATATTGTCCCATTACGTATGAAGGGACAAGATTCAGTCTCTCTTGCAATAAAAACTCATCTTAGGTACTCTTGACTATACCAGGCCTCCCTCTTGTCTGACAAACTGCGTCGCGTAGAACATGATTTCCATAATTCTTTGCTGTACTCTCATTATTGGATTTTGATGATCAATATCGGGGTTCCAGCCTTCCGAAGAATACCAGGATATTCGAGGATGGAAACCGTCGCCTAATTTATGTTCTCTTGACTCTTGGCTATCGACGAGAGTTTATGTCTTGCCACAATTACCAAGCCGCTACGTTTGCAGTACCGCATCTACGTTTGAGTTAGCCTTGTATGAAGGTTTCTAATCCGCACGTTTAGCTAGCGTCCTTGCAAGTCTTCGATCAAGGCAGCTAATCGCATTTTTCTTCTAGCGCTCCCGGGTCATCAGCCTGTACTATTTTGATCTCTTGGCACTGGTGTGATGAGAGATGCGGTTGATTAACAGTAGCTCAGGTTTGCCCCGATTTGTAAGACGCCATACTTACTACCATAGAGAGAACTCGGTTCAAAGCCAGTTCGGAGCCTAGGTGCGACTGTTCATCATATCAAAGTACGAATCAGATGCTATCACGTTCTTAGAACACATGCCAACATGATACAATCGAGGATGTCCTGTTGTCTCCCTCGTCCATGTCTCTGTATAGAACGCAAGAGCTGCTGTGCCGAAATTAAAATCCACGGTTGTATTAATACTATAAATACACATTCTTGCCAAGCCGCTGGTCAATTGAGGCAATTTATCAACTTCATATGTTACGACAGCTTCATCTACCAGCAGTCGTAGCCACTCCAAGAAATCCGGTCGACGAGTGCCTTCCTAAAGGATGTCGTCGACCAATTGATGACTGGACACCTGAGAGTGTCGTTGACCCAACGACAATCAACAGTTCAGAATCTTGTCGACGCATTAGCGATTCCATACTAAATAAGTGATAACTCCCCCACCTCGCTACAAACCCCACCAAACGTCCTCTTCCTCCCACTTCTACTCTAACACACGTCAAAGTTCTCAAGTCAACAAGGCGCAAGACCGGGTAAACCACACGGTTCCATCGCCCCCTCCTAAGAATCCTTGATGGCAAGGCGTTGTGATGCTAGACTTCAATCACAGAAACTCCACTATGCCGTCGACGAACACTCTTGGCTTCCACGAGTCCCATCAAGGTATGGCCTCAGTTGTCCCTCTCTATCCTACGTTTCGTCCTCAAATCTCTGTCTGCGGATACTGTCTTTCACTTGATGGCATACTATGGGGGCTAACAAGCATCACACAGGTGCCATAGCAGAAAGCTCTGCTTCAAGCGTCACGTTTGTCGAGCATTATCCAAGCATACTCGCGGTTCCCATGCCTACTGTTACGCCCAGCCCCGAAAGATGGGAGCTGCCTAGCATAGGCGATGACATTCCGAACGGTATGGGTCTGCTGGGCTGGGCAGACCAGAAGACAGCCGACAGAAAGGTCCAATATGGTAAGTCAATCGAGTCATTTGGCAGTCAACCTGCTAATGTTTGCGAGGACACGCATGGGATGCCAAAATGCATGGTGCCAGTAAGGACAGAGGGGTCGAGAACCCGGATGCTATCGTGGGCAAGAATGGTCATCGAACATCTCAGCAAGGTTTGTCTTTCAATCCTGGATCTGGATACGAATACCATCACGGCCATCAATTGCGTCATACGATGAATGATCTTTCTGTCTGGTCGGAGGTCTATGATAGCTGTTCGGTCTACAAGACTCCACAGCTCGAACAAGATGTCGGCAGCAGCAGCCGCAGCAGCGGCGATGTTGGGTCGATACAGGCAAGCTCTTTGTTGACCTATACCCTACACCCGCTGGCAGACAGGCAACATGTGCTCAGATCGTTCATTCAGGGCACGCTGAGAGATACATGGTCTAATGGCGCAACGGGCGTGGAATCGAGCGGGTTCAACCAACTCGTCTCGAAGACCAATACTGCAGCTTGAGTCGTACCAAGGCATGCGACAGGTGCGGCGTAACGTGAGCGCTGATATTCCACGTTGGCAGACATCACGGGGCTTCCACCTAGATGTGACGTGCATTCGCTCCTCAGCTCAATTCGCTACGCTGGTCGAATCTTTGCCGTACACATCATCCCTCCCCAGGAATCTGGCAACTATCTGCAATCTGACGAGTGCAGATTTGCAACAGCGGCGGCCTCAATTACATTGTTCCGACGTCGAGATACCGATCGCTTCTTGTCGATGCACGAGGTGACTCTGTTCTCGGTTGATGGGTATATTCTAAAGATTATAGAGCATCGGATCCTCACAGATGAAGAGCTAGTATCTGGTAGATCCCGAGTTCTTCGAATTCGAGTCTATGATGGCCTAGTACACTTAGGAACACTGAAGAGAATATTTCGATGGGACTTGGGGATTAAATTCGACACCGACTACATAAGATACGTTTCGCACGACGGCATGAGTGAGGTTGAGTGGGCATTTGGGAGCTTCAGAGCTCAAGCACACCATGTTTTTGAGGGGCTCCGGGCTCAATACAGACAATTTATTGATGTGCAGTATCTACGAGACCCTTGTGAATAGACTAGATGAACAGAATGCTGCGGCTAAAGGAGATATCGAGTTTGTCATGCACCTAGATGCATATGGTCGCAATCATTGGGTATAAATGAAAGCAACGTTATTCCTCACTTGACCACACACTATGGAGCAGCGATGATAAAAGGGGATGAGTAAATCAAATTTGCTCATCGAGACTGCATCTGAAATGCCCTTTAATATGATATGATATATCATTTGCGAATATACTTGCCTTGTGTAAGCCGCACCCGAGTCAGACCCCGTGCCGTCGGATTTCGGAATCCCGTTGATTCCGTCACGCTAAATCCTTCGCGGCGTTTCGAGATTCCGTCAGCGAATCCCGCAATAACACATTGAGGCGCGGATTCGAATGACTTCTCCCAGCGTTTCATCTGGACCGGTCAGAATAGACGCTACGATTGTGTTTTCGGGGGATTTGATAATTCCGCCATCTTTTGTTTTTGGTCGACAGCGTGGCAACATGGAGAACGATACGCGCCCCGTCCCGGGCAGGCCAGCCCCCTACGGCCAGGCATGTATCCACTGTGTCAAGGCGAAGTGCAAGTGCATATCTCGTGCCAATACTGGCTGCGAGAGGTAAGGTTGGCCATCTCAGCCGGATCCCAGTGTCTATACTAATACTCCGTGCCTCGCCAAGATGTTCCCGGCGAGGTCTAGAATGCCGCCCTTCCGACGGGGTACGCAAGCGTAACACGAGAAAAGCAACGTCGGCCAATAGAACGTCTCAATTGGAAGAAAGATTGAACGACTTGGTGACTCTACTAAGATCACAGCAATCAATACCTGGGTCTTCAGTCAAGGAGCCTGTGCCCAGTTCTCAACCCTCTCATTATGCATCAGCATCTACTTGGTCCCCATCACGTGGGCCGGACGCCTACCTCACACCGTCCACCGCCATCAGTTCGACGTCACATGTCGACTGCAACCAGTCGTCGTTGATATATGACGATGAACTGTCTCCATTTGAGGCTGAAAAAGTCCTGCAGACGTTCCGAAATGACTACCTAAAGTTTTTCCCCTTTGTGTGGATCAAGCCGGATGCGACTGCTCAAGAACTGCAGCGCTACCGGCCTTTCCTCTGGCTTAATATCCGCACTGTCTGTGAAAAGTCGACGGCAAAAATGCATATTCTTGGAGACCGGGCACGCGAAATATTTGCAAGAAAGGTGTTGGTAGAACTTGAGAGAGACATGGACACACTTCTTGGCCTCATGGTGTACCTCGGATGGTTTGTCCTATTGTGCGATCTGAAGACGATAGACAAGGCTTTGATGACTGACTGACTGTATACAGGTCAACCTATCAATCCCGTGGGAAAGGGTTTCTGGCTCGTTATGCGAATATCGCCAACTCCTTGATTCAAGACCTTCGACTCGACCAGTCCCCTTCAACCAACTGCCATAGTAATTGCTGGGTTACGGTTTCTAAGATTCCAGTTGTCCCTGAACAAACTAACGAACAACGGAGAGTATTGATTGCCAACTTTATCCTTTGTTCCACGTAAGAATCTCTTTTCTAGCTCATAAACTGCTGTATTGATTAAGTGCACGTAGGATCTCCTTTTTCCTCAGGCTTGATGTTGTTCGATGGAATCCCTATATGGAACAGAGTCTTGAAAGACTGGCTGCACAGCCCGAGTACGAAGGAGACGAGGTCCTTGTGGCCATAGCACGTGCGAAACTGATCGTGGAGGAAGTCGCCAATGCCTCCTGGCGGCGTACAGACTACGAAGCATCGGGTCCGCCATTGCGGTACGTGAAGCCGTTACGCAACAGGTTGGAGCAACTTAGGAAATCGCTTTCTCCTGAGGTGGCTCAGAACAGTATGTTTGTTCCCCTTTCTGCTCAAAGAACCATCTGACAAGCTTGCACAGAGATCGTCATGTCTCATCTCAATAACGCCGAGGTTCTCATCTACGAAATTGCAATCTTTCATCCCACGTCACCAATCACAATGCCTAACCCTAGCTCCACGTATTCCGCTATACCCATTCCACCCCTGAACCTGCTACCCGATCACCCAGAACCAACATTGAGCGCACCATTCAAACCGGTGGATATATGTCGTCTCGAAAACCTGCACAACTGTCTACAGTCAGTTAAAGTCAGTCTCTCGAGCTACTTCGGCTTTACGGCGCAGGAATACGTGACATTTCCATTCGCAGCTATGTGCCATCTTTCACACTCGGTGCAAGTGCTTTATCGACTTTCAACGCTCGAGGAGCCGGACTGGGACCGAGCCGCCGTCCGCAGAGAGGCTGATATCATTGCGGTTCTCAACGAAGTCGCAGATAAGATGGGTCAGGTCGCCTCAGCAGCAGGTCTCATTAGCGATCCGTCGTTGCCATGCGGCGATATATTTTCTAGGGGCGCAGGGACCTTGAGAACTACGGCGTCGATATGGGCCGCAGCGTTGGCACAACAAGACGAGACAACTGGCATTGAAGCAACTCAGCTCCCACCTGCAGATGGCTGCAATGACATGGGAGAAAACCCGACCGACTCCATACCCATACTTGATTTTGAGAATGATCCTTGGCTCACTGACCTCTTCGCTTCTTGGGAAGGTGCTCCGTGATAGTTCAATGTTTGGCTGGTGGTTCGGATTGGCGTACAAAGATGAGTATATGCCGATGGCGCAAAGGAGATCATGAAGCACTGGCAAACTTGCGGTAAAGGCATTGCACTCACAGGACTGTTGAACTCAGGGGGTTTGAGCTAATCAAAGAAAATTTCAATCAAATTCAGGCAAGCGGTGCGGCGCGTATACAATGATAACCTAAGACCTCACTTATTTAAAAGAAAAAAGTCCACTCATGATTAGAGACACAAGAGTGTCCAAGTTCAAACCTTGTTGATATGTGTATGTGTTGGACCACATCTACCGCAAAAGAGCGCGTATTCGTGCAGCAACCCATCGTCTTGAGAATTCGTCATCCGGGTGTTGGTAGATAACATGGAACCTCGCAAGTACAAAGAGCTACGAATTGGACACCTCGTCATTTGGGAAAAAAAGATGTGCTGTGTTCGGGAATTGAACCCGAATCTAGCGCTTGGAAGGCGCTAATGCTGACCATTACACCAACACAGCTGTTCTTGTTGATTTAGTCGCTAGACTGGAACCCTGATTGGATGTTGTAATTGGAGCGCTTGTTGCAGCTTATATTATAAGCTTGCTACCTGTGTTTAGTGTGTGTGAATGTGGAGACGCAAGCCCATGCCGACACGTGTCGGACGCCGGAACACCGATACGCATACGTTGTCCACCAGCTTGTGTTCACGTCCCGAAGGTCAGCCTCTAGAGTCAATCGCATTCCGCCCCGGCGAATATCGGTACGACACTGTGCTGCAATTGTGCTAGTCGAATCCCCCGTCATCGCCTTGTTGCGGACTCCACGTTTAGCAATGGGACATCCAGCCATAAAGTGTTCCAGGATGCACTTGGCCAAGGCTCTGAGAATCTCTGACTATAGCTCTGAATATAATATTAAGAACTTGAACTCATTGCGGGGTTGATGGGCTCCCAGGCTAGAGTGCTACGTTCCGACCAACAAGCAATGTGCTCCATTGTTGTCAAGCTTTTCCGCATGATTGCTAGTTGCCCTTTCTCGTGATAAGAATCGCTGCATGGCTACCAGACCACGTATTCGACCGTCGGGAATTAGCTTCATAGGTCTCAAGCTGAATGAAGGGGGAAGAGTACGGACGTAATCCGGATACTGAATGCGGTGTAGACTGCTCGGGCTAGCATCGTGAAACTAAGAGTTATCTAACTGAGGTAAAGGTGGGCTGGTACTATAGCAGTGAATGAGCAATCACTAGATAGCTCGAAATATAGCGTCTACTTATACCAACCGATTAGTGGGTGTAATAACGATGGACTTCAGGGGGCCGTTCGCATTGATTTCTAAGCTGACATTCATGCCGCAATGTTTGTCTAAGAATTGGGTACACCAGTGTCAGGTGAAATCCTTGTGTCACACGTCCACGAACCGTTCGACGACGGTCTCCACGTCGATTTTGATAATGGGGGTGATATTATGCGCGCACAAGCAAGGCCCATGCCTCTGCACGTTCGACTTCTTGCGCCCTTTTGAATTGATTTGCCCTTCTTCGGCATTTTGGCGTTTAATGGTTATTTCTTCGCCTTTTCATTGTTATTCAGTGGTCCAGCAACACGGCTTAACAATCGGGATAGCATTCTTTGTAAGGCTAATCCGCCTGTGATTACACCGACCACGAAGGGACGCAGGCAAGGGCTGTTCTTCTCGCGGATTTCAATGCCCAAGACGGAGTGCCTATTCTCACGAGCGATGACCGGGATATCCACTCGGAAGAACAGCTGACAGAACTCCATGAACTGTCATCAGTGCAATATTCTTGGAGCTAGGGAATGACAGTGTGGCCGGCTTCGTATTGAACTACCCTAATTTGAGCTTTCACACGCAGTCGATGAGATCGGAGAAGCAAAAGCTCGTATAGTTTAGCCCTAACAGGAGTTCGATCGAATCATGGGTGTGACAAAATGTAAGCTGACGTGACGTACAAGCTTGCGCGTATACCAGTTCCAGCATAGCCAAGACAAGCTGGGCCATCTCCCTCTAGGAACGATTGGGCTCAAGATGGCCGGCACATGTAATCTACTTTGAAACCTGCGGAGAATAATCTAGGTACATGTTGCTCTTAAAGATGCGACCTGCACAGCAGTTGTTGCGAGATGGCGGTACCTTTGAGACCCTTCCCAGTGCTGCTGACACCGGACAAAAACCAATACCATCGGCCTTGGCCAAGACACCACATCCCTCGTTTGGCTGAGACACGACATTCCTCAGCTTCGTTCACACTGAATGGTCATTCTTGCACCCCGAGCTTTCACACTGCAAGCACACTTCTGCATCAATTTACATTTATCCCGGGTTTAGAGTGTCGAGGACGCAAGCACTTAAGGTAAAGAACGCGCTTTCACTGGAGTCAGCCATCCCAAGCCATCTGCTTCGCATCGCAAGACGAACGCCATAGAGTATCATGAAGTAGTGTATTCGGCTAATGGCGACCACCATAGCCCCATGGCTAGACATTATCTATTCTATCCTTCGTCCGCCATACGTAAATCATGCAGTACTGACGATATCCAGGACCCCGAGTGCCTCACGAGAGGATGCTGTGAACCAAATCAAGAACGCCGCGCTCAAATGCTAGGGTATCCCTCAACGCTGATGCTTCCTTGCCGCCTCCGCCCATAGACCGATCTTTCCCGCCCGATCTCCACGCCGACTTTCTAGTTTCGTTCGTCATGCAGGCAATGCCGATTCTTGTCTCCTTCTATTTCTTCTTCCTCCATTCCGGACACATCCTCACCAGGACCGGCTGCGTGAGGACATGCCAGCGCTTTCCGAATCCCCACTGCGTCTGCCATCATCCGATAAAGGACTAGCGCTTCCACTGGGGGTAGTCGGACTGTACAATGTGCTGCTGCCTACAGACCACTCGTCACTGTCGCCGGTGTCTCGTCTCTCCAACAGACCAAGACCATAACCCAACTCTTCATCAGCTGTCCTCTTCATCTCACCAATCTCGACGAAGTCGTACTGCCACCGGTTGGTCTTGTCCGGCTGCTGGTGGGGCAAGTATCGGGTTCTAGCGATGAAGAAGATGACCGAAGCGATGAGACTGCCGCCCACGAGATCCACAGCATAATGATGGCTGAGGTACATTGTCGCCCACCAGAGCCAGCCCACGTAGAAGATGAAGAAGGGCCGGAAACGCGGGAAGCAATAGGTCATGAAGAGAGCGTGCAGGGTCGCATCTCCGGCATGCAGACTCGGAAAGGCTCCGAAGGGGACCGGCGCCGTCGAGAAACTCGTCGTATACATGTCGACACCGAAAAGCGCATCGATTCGTGCCAACCCGGCCGGGGAGCCAGGCATACCATAATGGGCGGGAGCTAGCCCGTACAGGTTCTCGTACCACGGCGGGGTACAGGGGAACACAAGAGCCATCGTTACGCCGATAATGCTCAACCAACCGAACGACTTTGCGAATACAGGCAATGTCTTTGGGGCGGCGAACAGGAATATAAATCCAGAGCAGATCGCGGGCAAGCCAAAGTGGCCAATCCCATACGGTATCCAAGCGAAGACGTCGAGGATCGGATGCGTGTGTGCCGACAGGATGTTCGACAAGTTTGCGCCATAAAGAATATTCTCGAGAGCCGGCAAGACCTTGACCCAGATATGAGGGCGGACTTCGGTCGGTATGAACCTGTCATGACAGTCGATTGTTAGCTTGAATCCTTCCAAGGCAGAGTCGCTGGCTCCTCCAATGAGGGGTCGCTCGCCCGCCGCAGTGTTATAGTCGGGTATAGGTCCCTTACCGGCTGGAGAAGAAGTACAGAAGGTAGGTCCAGATCGGCCACGATGGCAAGAAGAACTGCCTGGTGGCAGGCATGAGCAACAAAAGAAGATACCCGAGAGCGGCGGCCGTCTTGATGACGGGTGCGTGGGCCTCAATAATCCATAACGAGAAAAGACACAACCCCGCCAGAACGACGTATTGCAGGTCAAAAAGACTCCATCTGTGCTCTTTCAATTCCTCGACGGACTTGAGGATGGAAAACGACCTCTGCAGAGAGGAAACATGTTCTAGCTTGGGATCGTATGACTTGGGTTTCGAACTACTACGTCGCCGTCCAAAGGCGTGTCGCTTAGATATCGGACTCAGCGCTGCCATCTCGAGTTTCTTGGGCCAGGCAAGATGGAGTGTCGGCCTTGCTTGGAACATTGTGCTGAGATTTCGCATCATGATCTAAATCGAGGCCCGGAGAAGGCCGTCAAGCTGGATGGTATTCCTGCGCGCCGAGACGATGGCCGTGGAAACAGCAACGATGCTGGAATTCGACGTATCTCGGCTTGGTGCGGTCCCTTACTCTTCTATCATCGCCCGGAACAGTCCTTGTCGCAACCAACAACGCAGGGAAGAATGATTGGAATGATACGGGCGCCTCGGTATTCCAGGTTGGGAGGCAAACACTATTTCATATGCGAATGACTGCCAGCCCTGCGGATCTGCGGATCTAGCGGAACAAGGATTTAAGAGAAGTTCTCCATGGTAGGCGCCCGGATGCCCATTGGTAATCTTTCACAGCGACCGACTTCTCGGCAGGGGTGGAGCAGGATCTTAAGTCTATGACAAGATGGCACCGAGCGACAGGGACCCAATGATCCGCAACTCTCAGTGATTCAAGGAGGGTGGGTATCTCCAGGCTCGGGAGCGCACAACTCGCATCACTTGACGGGCAGGTTGTGTCGACTAAGACCCTGACGTACGATGTCAGAAGTACCGGTACTTCCCTGGCGTGGGACGTGGGCCCCACGCCCGCTATTTCTTCTCGGAGGAGGCGGGCACACGATCTCGCAGCTTCGCTCGACACCGACACCCCGACGGCGACGGGAAGCATGATCTGCTGTAAACGAGAATTAACTCTAAACGCTAATCCGCCTGTTCTGCTTCATCTCCCAGTTCAAAAGGGCGACGCTTGCTCTGCCAGCAGAGTCAAATTTCCCTCGGCCTGTGGAACGTCGTCCGCAGTCTGGGGGTTGCCGGGGACTTAACGAGCCCCATAGTTCATTACAGAGCAACCTACTGCATCCGGAATTCGGCACGCCGGGCACCTCGAGAGAGTTGCGAAGCCGAACAGTGGGTGGCTGGCTGCCTCAGCAAGCGCCCAGGGCAACCGGGGAATAGTGACCCCTCCAGTGGAACAGCCACAAGTTCATGGAGCTTGCGGCGTTAATCTTCCTCACCATTGAGTGGTGTAAATCGTGTTTTGTGACAGCGATACCCTCACACCGCGGTCTTGCAGCGCTGGTGACCTGCCAAGTTAGTCCCCAACCTGGCACTGCATGGCTTGGTGCGAGCTGCATAGTGCAAAGAGATTTGTTCAGCAACTCGGGACGTCATGACTGCTTCTACGGTGCTGCAGGCGCCTGACTGACCCAACGGCGCGCTTGGCCTCGCACTGGTAGCCTCAAGACACGGTCGCTTCCGAGGCTGGCGGACTACTGGCTTACATTGAAAGTCTCTATCCCGACACTTCCGGGCTCGACGACGGCATATTGCCTGCTTCCCTCCCATTCTCCCAAACCCCAGAAGAGGATATCCAAATCGACAAGTTGGCGACTGGCCTCGTTCTCTACTCCCCAGTCGCAACCACTGCCAATGGTCTACGCACTTGCAACAGCTTTCACAACTGCGCTATCGACGCAGTTTCGTCGTCGTCATCCATTCTCCTATTGAAGCCTAGCTCAGGGTCCTTGCGCCTGCTGCGTTGGGATACCCCACATCCTGGCCTCGTGTATCTCTACCTCAGCGCCCTGGTCGGCACTTTGGCTGCGTTTTATCCCCGAACTTACACCCGACTTCCCGGACTGTAAGCATGCCGACAGCTAACACAACTTCTTTTTTTATGTATTCTGCATTATTCCTCGCCAACGTCCCAGTAAGACAAGACAGACTACGGAAGGCCACACGGGTGTCACACGTTTCGGGATCTTTCAACTGTAAGTTTTGGGCTCTATACCCCAGATGGTCGATCTAACGCAGGCACGTGGGGCGAAACAAAACAACCAGGGACCTGGCCTTGATGTATATACAATGTATGGGCAGGTCTGCGGAGCCTACCAAGCAGTTCGGTTAATCGCTGGTTTACATACGAATACGGTGCTTGACGCTGACATTCCATACGCTGCAAGCCAAGTACGACACTTGGACACCCAAGAGTTTCCGGCGATTCTGGCCTGACCCAAAAAGCTTGGCGATAACTTCTCCCTTGGACAACGGAGGGTCACAGGACCCCGACAACAGCACCGTAGCGGAGACGGCCATTGCCAGCAGATGCAACTCTGTGTAACGGAGGCTCGGATCCTTCATGGCCTGTACAGTCAGGTTCATGACTACTGACTAGTTCGCGCCTTGATTCTGTACTGTATCTATACCTGTTATCGATTGGCGTCAATGTATGTTTAACTAGCGGCCATGGCCACTTCATAATAACTACCGGTGCCGTAGCGTGAAAGCCAGCCCTGTTGCCCTGCAGCCATGTGCGCAATACCAACTGCGAGTTGGAACTCAGATCGCAAAAAGGCCCTATGCTTCTGCCCAAGCAGCCACCTACATCATCCCGCAATCCAGGCGACGAGAGAGGGATATCTCATCCAACCGCCCAAGAAAACAGCTGTAATCCCCAACGTCGAGATGTCAAGATGTCAAGATTTAGAACAAAGGGCAGCACTCAGGCGGTCACCAGGTGAAGCAAAATCGAGCAACAGAGCACGCGACCATTGGATGGCACGATGGGATAACAGGCGATGATCTCGCGCGACCATTTCCGCCGGCGGCTCTTGGCTGGCCCTCTCGGCCCTGTGCTGTCTATGCTTTTTAATCGCCTTCCCTGCAAAAGCCGACCAAGATGCGAGAAACGCGGGTTCCACCCGAGGAAACCCACCAGGAAAGACGCGAAGGGGGTCCCCGTAGTGGAGCTTTACTGTCCGGCTCGCAAATTTTCGTTCCCAAGAAATCGGGCTGCTCGGTCAGAATCGCATTTTTCCCTTTTCTTCTTCTGGTATCCGGCACAGAGGCCCTTTGGCGCCCGGAGATTAAAGGGCGGAGTCTGCGCTGACAGAATTATTGAAAATCCCGCCGGCGTTCCCGCCCCCGATGGCTGTCAATCTCGGCCCAATACGACATACGCACTCCGCATAGTGAGTGAACGAGCAAGCAAAGCTTTGTCTAATACTGAGAGGATCCCTGGGGCATCTCTTGGCTTCATGCCCAACCTCGACCAACCGCTTTCTTTTGCGGGTGGCCGCCGTATTTGCCAAGAATTATGAACACGACCACAGCTAAAGCATAAGTCAACCAGATATTTTCTCAAAAGGTGATTATCCCGCCGGGACTGTAAGCCCCTTGTCGTTGATGACCGTAATCAAATATGCAATGTACGCTCTGTCAGCACCATATCATGCCTGGTGTATGCAGCCTTGTCAGTTGATCATGAAGATCCCGAGCGATCCGGTTACTTCTTGGCACTACTTATTGAATGAGTCAGCATGAGGACTTGGGCAGTTTTCACATGTTGACGGCGCGGTCGATACTGAAGCTCGAATGGAGGTTTCCGGACGCTGTTTACAGTTGCGTAGCAAGGCTGACCGACCCAAGGTAATGGATAGAGTTCCTGTGGGATCACTCATCAACCGCGCAGGGACCTAATGGTCAACCTGGCTTCCAGGTTCTTTGGTCTGAGCAACGACACACGGCTTTGGATGGACTCAAAGCTGCGGGAGGATAACCTTCACGTCGTTAGCCTCGTTTCGGACCTTGCAAGGCGGTGCCTGCTACGTCCATCAACAATTAATCTGAATTGTCTAAGTCCGTTTGTGTATCTACTGTGCAATGACGTCAAGCTTGATATGCGTGTGAAATCGAGAACTTCATGCTATAGCTTCACTTGCCGGCAGTTCAGTTGCGTTAATACATTACATTCGCTGCACTGCGAAGGCGACGGGCTGAGCTGACGTCCACTTACATAAGTCAGAAACGCCATCCTTTCCTAAAACGTGCTGGACCTTGCGGGACCGCAACCGGATACTCTTATGGACATGTACTATGTTATCAGTTGTATGTACCGCTAGAAGGTCGCCAGAAAGATACTATGGCAACTGTGGATACGTATTTGCTCGCCTAGACTGTGTTTGTCAACAAGTCCCATGTCCCTGAAGGAAGAGGCATCTGGTTGGACATCGAGAGTTATCCTAACGCATCTATCTCAGTTTTGGGTAGAACCATTGCCTAGCAAAGCATACCGTGACAGTATGAATCACACGAGGCAGGCCTGTACTGATCAGCTATTCAAACCAGAGCGAGTCCCAGCTTATGGGATAGCTGTATACTGCGGTTGCTACACGTAGTCTTAGGAACCCTCGGCCTACTTGATTTTTGCCAGTCTTTGCCCGGCTCTGTCTCCCTGCCCTTCTATAGATACCAAGCGTGGCCTTTCACGTTTCAGGCATGAAGACTGATCTCATTTCTTGATAATCTTTGCCAATGTGGCTCTCTCCGGGGCGACCTCCGCGGGGCCCCTCTTTCGAGGTACACGGGTCGTATACCAACGTTTGAGCCTGGCTGTCGAGCCCTGGAAACGTGACCGCGCGGGAAGTAATTGCCAGCACGGTTGTTGATGGCCCGCGCAAGTCACGAAGACCCGGCATAGTGTTTCTTTGGGCATTGGCGTGTACACTTTTACATAGTTCATACATCAAACACGAACCCGCTCCCCGCCTAGAATATAAACCCAGAGAGTCCACAGGATAACCTGTACCAGAGGTCTAACAAGAAGGGAAGGGGGGCATTAAAAAGCTAATGAGCAAGCCAATGGTCGTAAAACACATTCTTCATTTACGCTGTGGTAATAATGCCGGTCCTGCGCAACAAAAAGACAGCAGGGCCGCGGCCAAAAAGCTGGACGTCTGTATGTACATGATCTTCGTCCCGTGAGCTCTTGAGCTCAGGGGCGGCGCCGCAGCCAGACACCACCGTGGTGCTCATCCGATCCGATCCGATCCTATCCCCGTTGAACGACCAAATGTGACGCTGCCATGTAAGTATGGGGGTGTTGGTATGGTATATCTCGTAATTCTCAAGGATCACCTGTACCCTTGCTGGCACGTATAAGTCCACGCTGCTGGCCCCCTCACGGGCTCCTCACGCCCCGTCTCTTCTCCATCTATCTGGACACCACTGGCGGCGCGCGTGGAGCACAGCCGGCGAGGTGCACAAGTGCAGGCGTCGCATGGCCGTCCCGTTCCTCCAGGTCCATCTCCGATGTGTAAGTGCTCTCTCGTGCCACGAATCCATGCCCGCGTCTCTATCGCCGGGCCTGGCCCGACTGCCACAGCCCCTTGGACGTCTCGACGACCCGGTTCGCCATCTGGCCGGGCCGCAGGCTGGGGGGCACGCTCGTGCCGCCCATCTCCACGTCGCCGTCGTCGGCGCGGCTCCCGCCGTACCCGGAATCCTGGTTGCTGCCCATGCTGACGCCCGAGTCGGTCTTAGCCTGCTCCTTCGCCAGGGCGGGGGCCCCGGGGGTCGGCTCCTTGCTCTGCGCGCCGTCCATCATCTGGGCCTGCATCTGGCCCTCGCGCAGCTTGTTGATGGCGCGGACGGTATCGATGGCGGCGTGGAGCGTCCTCCGGGCGTTGAAGTTCTTCTTGACGGTCGGGAGCAGGTTCTGGCCCTTGCTGCCGTCGGGGCTCAGGTTGAAGCCGGCGACGAAGGCGTGGCTCAGGGCCTCGTGGGCCGTCATCCGGCGGTGCGGGTCCACGGTGAGACAACGACGGATGAAGTCCTTGGCATGGTCTGAGACCCCGCGCCAGTACTCGGTGGGCTGGAACGAGTAGTCGGCGTTCAAGATAGCTTGCATCTCCTCAAAATCGCTGTCCCGGTCGAAGGGGGTGTAGCCGCACAGAAGGAAGTAAGTGATGACGCCCATGGCCCAGATGTCGACGGGCTTCCCGTGGCCGCTCTTCTTGAAGATCTCGGGGGCCATGTAGCCCGGGGTGCCGCACGTCGTGGTCAGCACGTGGAACTGCTCCTCGTCCATGATGCGGCTCAGGCCGAAATCGGCAATCAGGAGGTCGGCGTTGTCCTCGGGTGTGCGGAAGAGCAGGTTCTCGGGCTTCAGATCGCGATGTACGATGCCGTGGTCGTGCAAGTAGGCGACGGCGGACAGGGTGGCACGGATGAGGTCTGCAGCGTCCGACTCGTAGTAGGAACCCTTCCGGCAGATGCGGTCGAAGAGCTCGCCGCCGAGGGCGAGGTCCGTGACGAGGTACAGGTTGTTCATGGTCTCGAAGTAGTCGACGAGAGTCAGGATATTCTGGTGGCCCATGGATACTTTCTTAAGCACGGCAATCTCATTGCGGACCTGGGGAGGCGCGTCGGCGTCAGTTGCAGGTCGGGCAGCGGCAGGAGAGCGGGCGGGTGCAAGATCAGGACGTTCTCGTGGGACATACCATGTGTTCACGCCCAGCCATAAGTCGCTTGTTAATGACCTTGGCGGCATAGTACCGGCCTGTGTCTATGTGGACGCACTCCTTGACCACCGAGTAGGAGCCGGCGCCGAGCGTCTTGCCGACCTTGTAGCGGCATGGCTGTATTTGCGGGTTGGGCTTGCCCAGCGGCGAGCCGTTGTTCTGGAGTTCTGGCGTGGTGTTCATGTTGAGCTGGCGAACTGGGGCCGCGGCCAGTTTGTTTTTTTGGGCGCAAGCGATGTGATGCGATGCGATGCGATGCGAGATGTGATGCGCTTACTCGTCCTGCTCTGCTGCTGCTGCTTGTCTATCGATGTTTTCTGCGAATGGCGCCACGCAGAGCCGTTGTCAGCAGGTGGATCGCGAGACGTTCGCTTTGCTGCTCTGGTCGTATGTACGTATATATGTGTATGGCCGGAGGTAGTCAATGTGTGTATGTATGTATGTATGTATGTCTGCACCACGGTACGGTGTGCTTATCGGCGGACGGCCTAGGGGAGGGGTCAAAGTGGAGGGACTCTCTCTCGCCGTGGATTCGTTCCAACGGGCGGGCCACTTTCCTGGAGGACAATAGCGGACAAGTTGTACGTGGGCGCCGCGTTACTCTTGGGGTCCGACGACGGGCAGGTGGCAGCAATGCACTGGAGCAATAGGGGTATCAACGAAGCACAATGAGCGGAACGTCATAAAACACGAGCAGAATGTGCAATGCCTGCCCGACGGTCTGAAAAGGGCCCCTTGGTCCCCCGATTGCGACTGATTCGAGGGCGATCGGCCAGGATCTGACGTAGCACGCAGCGAGGCAGACACGATGGTCAATCAATCACAGTCGCACCTTGGATGTACGGGTGTATGTACGCATGTCTGTATGTGTGTGCTGTTGTGTGGCCAGAAAGATACATTGAGAAACAATTGGTGGCCGAAGCTGGTCGTCTCTTACCTTGACACATGCGACAATTTCCGTCCGACGTCTCTGCCCAAATTAAGGGACCTGTCTTGAGCCCACCGTAAGCCACAACGAGTAAACTGTTCAGCTGTCTTTTTTTTCAGGGTACCACCTCTGCTAGATTGAATCTGACTGACACACACCACTGGACCTGGGACCCTTGGGGTCCTGGGGTCTTGGGGTCCTCAGGCTCCTCTCGTGTGCGTGTCTGCTTACTATGTACCATAGTAACTACGCGACCGCTATCCCACCACCATCCCATTGACTGACTGGCTTCGGACCCCCGTCCACCGCTGCGGGCCAATCACCGGCGGCCCAGGCCCGCCAGGTCGCGGGGGTACACTCCCAAGACAAGCGGGGTCCGTCCGTGGAATCGTGGGTGGCCGAGCCGCCATCTCTGGAGTGCAGGTGGCCAGCATCCATGGACTCCCTCAGGAAGCGGTTGGCCTTGCGACTTTCTGGTCATCCTAGGCGACTCTGTCTTTTGTTCACGCTTGCTGCGCTGACCGCTCTCTCGCCTTTTACTTCAATTCTTTTCTTCGTCTCTTTTGGGGGAGAAGAGATTCAACAGGACGGCACCACCACCCAGTCTGGACTCGGGGCGACCAGGGTTCCCCTCTATGCAATTGACTGGATGCACGCCTGAAAGAAAGCTTGTCGTGATCAAGCTTGAGAATCAGGGTCCTTCTCCTCTTTCCACCCCCCTACTCTAGCCAGCCTCCAAGCCTCATCTGATTTCAGTCGGATGATTCTAGTCGAACGATGCTTTCCGAGAGGCCTTCTTTGCGCTCTGCTGCTTCTTCGCCCGCACCCGGTTCTCATGGAATGCTTTTTCTCTGGGCGGTGAGGTATCAGTACCGATGCAACACTTCCATCTAGCAGCCCGGGCCCAACTTACAATGCTTCATACTTCTTCTGCTTCTTGGCGCTCGTCATCCCAGGAACCGTCTCCCGGAATATCCTGTGTATCTCTTCTACAAGTTTCCCATGGTTCTCCTCGCTGTTGGCCGTGCGGCTTCTGTGTGTCTGGGCCTGGAAGGTGAGCGAGTCGTTGCCGCTCGTGTAGTATCTCGACGACCGTAGCGCCGAATGCATGAGCTTGGGCATGCTTCTGGTCAGCTCATGCACCGGCCATACCGTGGTCGCTTTGCTCTCCGTCCTGTCGCCCTCATCAGTACGCGGAAGCGTTGCTAGGGCGTCGTTTGTGCATCATACTTGTTGACATGCTGTCCACCTGGTCCGCTGGACCTCGAATAGCTTGTCTGGCCTTTCGGCAGGTCGCTCTCCTGGAAAGAAGCGTGCCACCTCCTCGCTTCTGCGAGCTCATCCTGGTCAAATGCGGCATCAAAGGCCTGATTTCTGACTGTCCTGCTGCAAACCAACGGCCGTCCTACCAATGGCGCCGCTTGTATGGTAGGCAAGCTGGTGACGAGGTAGCGTATCATGATTCCAAGGTACTCGGTGCGAGATAGCCTCCCGGCCGATGCAGTGTGTATTGTCTTCCAAGTCTGTAGACAATGATGGGAGCAGGACGGAAAAGAGATAGGAGTTTGTGAGTTTCAGGAACAGGTTCAAGCGTGTTCCGGCGAGCGAGACACAAAACAGACCTCACCACGCAGATCGGTTCGGCCTTGATAGTTGCCTCTAGTCGTTGATTTTCCTAGGAGCCTCTTGACTTGCCCGTCTCGTGGACTGGACCCAAGTGCAAATAGCCCACTGGTCCGCGCGAGTTGCAGCTTTAGAACGGGATAGGAGTGCCTGGCTAGAGTTCCGCAGTCAAGTGCGTGGACAAGGGAACGAGATAAGTCTGTTCTCTTTTCCCCCGAGATCTAGCTCCGGGTCTTAACTAGGGGCGGACAATACGTGCAAGCATTCACAAACCCAGCGGCTTTTCCGTCGTCCAACGTTGACTAGACTGGCTCATTGCAGGCTGGTGATGATTGGTTCGATGTAGATGGTCGGTGTGAGAAAACCAAAAAAAAAATGATCAATGAGGAATACCGGTAACTACTGTTAAGCCAATTGGTTCCATGTTCGCACGGATGAACCTGAGGGAGGAATGGCCTCCAGCCTCCAGGGCCCCCGGAACCAGGAATGCTAAGATAGGTAAGTTGCCTGGCCCAAGCTCCAGTCCTGGGCTTCTCTGGCCCTGGGCCCTCTGGTAAGCCTGGCTTTGGCAGCGGGCGGCGGGCGACAGCGACAGCGGTAGCGGCAGCAGCAGCGCGGGGAGGTGTCAAGCCCCAGCCAAAGCCACTGCGCATCCGTGGTGCTGGGCATGGGGGCATGGGGCGCATGGTGCTATGGCATGGATCATCCCCCAATCCGTCAGTCGCCCTTGGCTAAGCGCGGGCGGATGACGAGCCTCTGGAAAACTTCTTCAGCAGCAGCCAGCAGCAAACTCATGTAAGTAACGTAACGCAACACAACGCAGCCTCGCGTGTCGCAGTGAAGCACTCCTCGGACAATTCACCTTCTCCTGCCACCAGGCTTGCTCGTCGATCGACATTGGGACAGAAACACGCTTCCCGCCAGAACGCGCAAGCATCCAACGCAATCCATCCATCTGTTTGTGCGTGTCTGCTTGACTTGCAAAGTGAAATCCGGCCACTACTGTCTGTCTACTCGTGCGGAGCCGCCTACCTGTCGCGCGCGCGTGCGGCCACTCTGCTACCCTCTCCTCCACCTTCCGCGGGGAAACATCGCCAACCCGGGACCAGCTGATAAAAGGCTCCATCCCGCCTGCCTTCCGGTCAGCCGCCTGTCACCTCACCTGAGGTCTCCTCCTCCCCGGCCTCAACTCTGTCCGACCCCGTTTCCGTCGACAGCCTGCACCCTGCGTCTCCCGAAGTCCCTCGTCACCACCAACCACCACAGGACCCTCCACCCCCCATCCACCTCATCTGCCAGGCCCATCTGCTGTATCTTGGCACCCTCCAGCCTCCACCTGCCAGCATCATCAACAACTCATTCGAGAGACCTGTGAACACGAGACACATATCTGCCAGACCAGCAAGTCAGAGCTGCAAGACGGCCGACAGCTTCCTGCGAGCCTTGCCCCAGCCGGAAGTGGAAGCCTACGTGAGCCTCGGCTGGGCCTTGCTTCGTTTCGCCCAGAGCCAGAGTCGGCACGCATCAGTCAGTGTAAGCCATTCGATTGCGACCTCAGTTGCAAAGTGCTTCCGATAGTGAAGGACGGCTGTTTGTCAACTGTCCCGTCTGCCCAAGACGCCCTGCAGCACCTCCGCCTTGCCACTTCACCTTCGATACCACCGATTGTTCGACTGGTCGTAGGCGCATATCCAGACGTTGCCATTTTCCATCCACTGACGCGAGCCTTCGTCCATATCTGCAGCTCGGCACGCCCACCCTCTCAACACCCGCTGCCTTCTCAGCTTTCCCAAGTCTGACTGCAACTCTTGCTGTGTCTGAGCTTGGGGCAGACCAGGCGCGCGTTGAATACTCGTTTCGTTCCAAGGCGTATACACACGTACCAGGCTTGATGACGGACCATCAGCCCGAGATTACGGCCACTGCCGACCTCACGCCCGAGTCGCCCAAGCCCATCAACTTGTCCTCGCCAATGGCCGTTCCCACACTCCAGGATCAAGCCGATAGTCTGTCCACCATGGGCCTGTCTCCCACCCTAGATCGTGCCGCTCCCGCCGGCACTGCCAACGAGGCCCACGTACCACCCAGTGTTCCCAGCACAGCCCAGGATCTCTCCAGCAGCTCGACCAATGACGCGTTAACTCGAGATGCTGTCGACGCCAGCCAAAGCCAGGCCGAATATACAGAGAACGCCGATGAGGGATTGGGCTTGGGACAGAGCACACAGACAGACGCAGAGCATACTAGAAATTCCGATGCTTCGAACCCCAGTTCCGGCAATGCTGAGCAAGATGCGCCCTCCAGTGACAGTAACGCTGTGACATCTGAAGCGGTAGACGCCAATGCTGCGAACCGAGATGCTTCCATTCTTCAGCCTGACCAGGCAAGCACATCTGGACAAGATCCTACTCCGAGTGCGCTTGCTCCATCACATCCACAGCCAGCACAAGATGCCACAGAATCCGATGCCACAGCCATGCCGGCCGAGACCTCACCCCAGGACCAGAGCGCTGCAGCTACATCTGCTTCAAACGATGCGTCTTCTACCGGGGAGGGCATCGATATCCAGGCGTTGGTCGACAAGATCACGGCCAGTAGTGCTGCTGCAGAGCCCACCACCGAGGCCATAAATCCAACAACACCTGGTGGCGCCAGTGCCCAATCATCGTTACCACCAAAGCCGCCCGCTTCTCAGCAGCCCAGTGCCGCGGATCTGCGTGCTGAAGAGATCCGTCGATTCCCGTCCAACGTGGCCCAGCCTCTTCAACAGGGCACCTCCATGTCTTATTCTTATCCTGCTCCCGGAACCGTAGCCGATGCCCCTGGTTACAATCCTTCTCAAGTATATGCTGATCCAGGTGCCTCCATGTCCATAACCCCTCAATATGGCGTTTCGCCTACCTCTGCTACCAACCCCCAAAGCAGTAGCCAACGGTGGGATGACTTCCTGAAGGAAGAACGGAAATACGTGTCAGAGGCCAAATGGGATAGGTTCCCGGATGGCTCGCGACTGTTCATTGGTGCGTTGCCGTGCGATGTTGATATATACTGCCAAGCTAACGTGGGCCAGGAAATCTCTCTAGTGAGCGCGTGTCGAAGCGGGAAGTATTTGACATCTTTTCTCGCTACGGTCGCCTTGCTCAAATATCCTTGAAGCAAGCTTACGGCTTTGTGCAGTATCACACTGTCGTTGAGGGCCAAGCCGCCATGGATGCTTTGCAGGGCATCGAGATCAGTGGCCGAAAAATTCGTGAGACGCCGCTCGCCCCTCCTTCGCGCACAAAACATGGCTAATTGATTCCAGATCTCGAGCTCTCCCGAGCACAGAAGAAGGATGGCGATAACGACAGGCGTGGGAACCGTGGCAGCAGAGGCGGCAATGAACGCGGCCGTGACAACGATCGCTACGACGGCCGCCGCAAGGACGGTTACCGGCCACGATCGCCGTCGCCCGCTCGCGGAGGTCACAATCGCCAGGACTCGTACGGTAGAGATCGTGGTCACTGGGAGCCGCCGTCCAACTACTCCCGCCGAGGTCGATCGCGGTCACCTGGACCCTACACAGGAGGCAATTATCGTCAACGCAGCCCGAGTCCTCACCGCCGAGGCCCTCCGACATCTGAGGCAGACTTGGACATCCCCCGTAGGTACGGAGGAGAAGTTCCCGATGTCCAACTGCTCTTACTACAGGAGGTAAACCGGGACTTTGTCACTTGGGTTCAGGGTGCCTTTTCCCAACGGGGCCTCAAAGTTGATGTCATGTTCGTAAACCCTCGACTTCCCCGAGACTTAGTCATTCAGCGGCAGGTTGTAGAGGGCGTCTTAGCTGTCTGCGAGCTAGACTTCCGCACACAAGGGCTGGCCAAGATTCCGCTGCAGACGTACGACAGATCTGCGGGTCGACACAACACACGATATGACCAGTACCAGGACCTTGACCCGCCGATTGCAGCTGAGATCGTACTTCGCATCAAGTCACAGGCTCAGCAACCATCTCCTGCCGGCTACGGCGGTGGCTCTTACCCTCCGGGCGCTTATGCGTCCGCTCCGCAACCGCAGTATGCACCCCAGCCGCACCAGGCCTACCCTGCGGCTGCTCCTGCGAACCTGAATCTCGGTGGACTGGACAATGCGACTTTGCAGAAGGTGCTCTCAGCGATTCAGGGCGCCCCACAGGGTGGTACCTCCGCTCATATGGGCGCCGTAGCTCCTGGGGTCGACGTCAATGCTGTTTTGAATGCCCTCAGTGCTAATGGCGCAGCTGCCGCCCCCAGTCACCAACAGCCGATGGCATATCCTGGGGCAGCGGCCCCGTCCATACCCGGTAACCCTGGAGCTGCTCCCGGCAATCCTGCCGATCAAGCGCATGTTCAAAATATCATGGCCCAACTGTCCAGATATAGGCAGTGATCCACCGGCTTTAGTCATCGGCTATTGTTGATGCATCCCCAGAGTTACATGATTGATTCACACATGACATACATGACAGCACTATGCCCGTGCCCGTGCCCGTCATCTTCATTAGATGAAGCCAGATGAAATTGGATCGAATTCTGGAAGTGATGGAAAGTACGAATTTGAATGGCACTGGCTCTATCGAGAGGAGCACTCGTGGGATTCATATTACAGAGAGATCCAATTTGATACATGATACAGGCACTCTTACACCATTGGAGTCATAAACAACTGCGACCAGATGCCCGAGCGCCCTACGCAACACAAATGCTTTCCGGTGCTTCGTTCATCACAAGACCCGGCAACTGCGTGGTCGGACAGATGCTGCTCGCAAAGATGAGTCCACCATAACCAGAACACTTGGCGAGATGATTCCGGCACCTGATAAGCGCGGCCTCAATGGGTTTGCCGCTCATAGATGCGATGTGTTCATTATCTTTTGCCGAAGTTGCAAAGGCTGTACGAGGGTCGTCCCAGGAGCCTGGGGTAGAAGAGATGAGCTCAGAGAGCGGTGGCACCGGTGACAACAGCATGTATAGGCGCCGAGGTCAAGATGCAAATCAGCATTGACAAACTCTTGGCGGTATCCGAGACCTTTCAATACTTAATGCCAACCACCAACTGTAGACATATACTATGTATGAACGCTATCGTGATTATTGTGACCACGCACTTGCCATCGAATGATCGTGGTAAGTTGGGCCTTGGCCCTGCAGCATGGTGCATCCTTTAAGTGGGACCGGTCTTACTTGCCATCAGGCACAGCACCGGAACGCATGGAACAAGTGCTCGCGGAGTATCCATGGCATGGGGCATATGAGACTTATGGCCTCGCCCAGACGTCAGATCGGGTGGACTTCCGTCCGTGGCCTGACCACTCAATTCCACGGACAATAGACGTTGGAATCCCCGAATACACAAACCCATCTCCGCTCCGAGTCAACTAATTGAACAACTTTGCGGTGACCCTCACCGGCACGCAAAACCCTCGGAATACCATCAATTGATACGATACATGGTTTGAGCCGTTCAGCATTATCTATCATCTCCGTCGGATCACTGCTGCAATACCCAGCGTCCTTCCGAGGCGATGCACCCGACACAAGTCCTCCGCAGCGGCGGCGACCGGCCCATGGGGAGGCACGGCATGTAAGTCCGGCGCCCGGAGACGACACTGGCTGTACAAAGAGCAGGAAGTTATACGAAACTGCCGCACTCTGGCAATGGCTGGTGCCTCCGCCGTGGACCTTTGTTCCCTTTCTCGCCTCGACTTACATCCGAACCTTAAGGCCGCCTGCTGACATGATGCTATCCTCGCGGTGATATAGATACCTCAACCACGTCAGCTGGGGCAACTTCGGTATGGCCTGACTCCCGTTTCGTCTTTTCCCAGCCCGCTGTTTTCTCCCCCTACCATGGCGCATCGCCATTGGAGGGCACTCCAACGTCTACCAGCGGACTCGGCTGACGCGCGAGCCCGGCTTTTGCTCCCCGCCCGACAGGCTCCGCCATCAAGACCCGCGGCATCATCACGTACATGCTGAGCTCGAACCGCCAGAACCCGCTCGCGGGCGCGGCGCACGCCGCCGTCTTCAACTCGTGGCGCCGCTTCGCCGCCCAGGTCCTGTACTGGGCGCCGCCGGCCGCCGGCGCGTGTTGGGCCCTCGACTGGGCTGTCAAGAGGTTAGTTGAGTGGGCTGAGTTAGATCGGCGTTTTTTTCGATTCGATAGAGGATCGAGGGGCGAGTGTGTCGTCGCTGGCGGTTGGGACGGTTTGTTATACAGATGCTGATTGTGCTGGTGTAGGAACGAGTATCTGAACTCGAAGGCGGGCCGGGCCGAGTTCGCTGGGGTGGAGTAGCCAAATGGCCGTTCTGTAGGTACCGAATGGTGTAGGCTCAAAGTGCTCGGACAAGAAGCAGGATAGAAAGTCTCTGGATGGACTGGATCGTCCGGATGCTCAGTCTGGGTCGCGAAGCTAGGGATCTCCAAAGGCCACACCAGAGTAGTGCACAACCTAAGTTTCATCTTCCTATACCCTTAAGTTGCCGTCATCGTCTTCTGTTCGTTGACACTAAGCAATGTCTTCCTCACTTTAGAAAATGGACAAGCTCTGCATCACATGCACAGCCGTCGACTGGGAAGAAAGCGGACTTTGTGACGAAGTCGCATTGACAAAGTCGGAGTTTCCTGCTAGAGTATAGTGTCAAGACGGACGCAGCCTTCGTCAACGAGGCTTCCAATATAGTATCGCTTTGAGCTCAAGATGCAACTCCCGTATAAGAAGGCTGTCGCCACATGATCGGCCGTAGAGCCTCGTTTGAATCAGGGTTATTGATTGCGAGCATGCTGTACTTTCAGACCCGTGCGAGTAAGAGCGGCTGTTGCATTTTCACCGGGCCAATGAGCGTTGTGTGGGGGGTGGGAACCCGACCTGTAAGCTTGCACGGCACTTTGCATCATGCACAACACGATCAGTGGCTATATGCTAGTGGGAATCATTGAACAACCTGATGGAGCCCGGATGTCACCTGCATGGTCACGAAAGGTGATATTTGGGCTGCCGTAGCAATGGCGTCGTATACCATTCAGACCTTGGCTGGTGCTTTGCTCAGGCCGGAGTATCCAGATAGAAAATGAGTTGGGGGGCGTGCATAATCCGGGAAATGTAGAGTGTCGTATCTATTTGGTTGCGGCTGTTTGATTGCTTATCACGGTCTACCATTGAGTGGAGCAGTCTGGGACTTCGACGAGCGTCCAATCCAGGCGTTGAAGGCTCGCTGCATCCTGCACATTCGCGCCGCCGTGTGACCAATGAAGTGTCCGCCAGCCTGCTTGAGTACTACATCGACTGCCAGATACCTCAAACGCCTGACTGAACCTGGAACGGTCGAAGGCGCCTGACTGATGTGTCATTTCCTGTGCTGGAAGTGCAGAGGTATAAAATAAAGCATGCCCCGGCAAACTACAGTTCATATATCCTCAAAAGGAACATCGTAAGATTACGATCACGGAGAGTCTGTGTAACAGATTCAATACTTGGTTATCAATCACGACTAACCACCTCCTGCGGTGAGCGGCAGTACCATGGCGACCTCGAGTGTTTTCGTATTACTGGCGTTGGTGTCTACTTTGGTACGTCGAACATTCATCAAACACCTTGTCCTAACAGCGTCTAGGGGATTGGTCGCATCATATACCAGGTCATATACAATCTGTTCTTCTCTCCTCTCAAAAGATTTCCTGGACCGTGGCTCAATGCCGCTACCAGCATACCCTGGGATATCGTGATGATGAAGGGGGATGCGGTCTCTGCGCTTCAAGAGCTGCACAGAAAGCACGGCCCGATCGTTCGTACTCGGCCGAACGAATTATCATACATTGATGGGCGTAGTGTCTGGAGGGATGCCTATGGATTCCGTCAAGGCCATCAAGAGTGGTTCAAAGGCGACGGTTTCACATATTTTAACGGGGTTCCGGGCATTATAGGCGCCGCGAGAGATGACCACCGCCGTTTCCGCCGCAGCTTGGCCCATGCCTTTTCTAACCAAGGTCTCCGGGACCAAGCTCCACGGATTCTGCAATATGTTGATCTCCTCATCGCTGGCCTTGCAAGCAAGACTGGTCCGGTGAATTTGGTCGATTGGTTTAGCTGGACAACAATGGATATCATTGGGGACCTCGCATTTGGGGAGCCATTCGGGTGCCTCAGAGATGAAGCCGACCACCGGTTCATGGAGATGACCTTCCGACTACTGCGGCCGGCTGCGCTCATGGGTATACTTCAACGGTGGGGCTTATCAGCACTTGCTTTGGTACTTTTACCACGGGATATGTTCGAGGATGTGAAGTCCAACTACCAATACGTAAAGGAGAAGCTCACCAACCGACTTTCATTCGACCAATCTCGTGGCGACTTCTTTGACGGCTTGCTCAAGCACGGGCTAGTAGTCAAGAAGAAGAACGACTTGAAGGAGGATAAGGAAGGCCAGGAGGGATTCACCTTCGAGGAACTGGAGAGCACAGCTGGGGATATGGTCTTCGCTGGATCCGAAACTACCGCAACGCTTCTCAGTGGTGTAACGTATTATTTACTACAGAACCCTGAGGTCTTGTCCAAGGTCACAAAGGAAGTCCGCGACGCTTTTGCGGACGACGAAGCAATGACGGTCGCATCCACTTCCCCACTTTGCCTTCCTTACATGGATTTAGTACTCCAAGAGACAATACGAGCCTACGATCCAGTACCTATATTCGCGCCTCGAGTTGCCCCGAAAGGTGGCGACACCCTTGGCGGGGCTTTTCTCCCCGAGGGTACACGGGTGTTCTGCCCAAAGCACGTCGCAGCCAACTCGCCATACAACTTTAGAGACCCAGAAAAGTTCGCTCCGGAACGGTGGCTCCCCGTGGGAGGAGGCAGACCGAAGGAGTTCGATGATGACAACAAGCATGGTGTCTTCCAGCCTTTCAGCTACGGGCCGCGGAACTGCATCGGCTTGAACTTGGCCAAGGCAGAAATGCACCTCATTCTGGCGAAGCTGCTCTGGCACTTCGACTTGAGCCGTCCTCAGATGACCTTGGATGAGTCTAAAGATTGGGACGGATGGGCCAAAAAGCAGAAGAGCTGGTTTCTATGGATCAAAGGGCCTCTGATGGTTGATCTGAAGCAGCGTCAAGACCTCTCCGAGTAGAAGGAGTGTTTACATGATCAAGGTTACCAATAGGACTGACCATAAATCTGTGAGGAGTACGATCAAGAAAATCAGGATCATGCTAAGCATTGCACTTTCGTAGAACCACACATATAGCACAGACAGCTGGGTCAAGGTTTATTGGACGCTATCTATGGTCTATCTCTATTTCAGTAGGACTCTATAGGATATCCTGAATGTTTGCAGTAGGAATGCAATACTATGCTTCGTATCTATAGCAAAATGGGCCACCAACGGTGCTCGTCAGCTCTCGGATGGTGATCGGATAACCACCTGCGCACCCGAGATCGACGACATCATCCAGTGTGGCATTGCTAGTAGCTGGCGAGTTCATGAACGTGCGCGTGCCGGAGATCATGTATTGGCGGTTCTTGAAGTCCAATGACTGCCACAGCCACCACGTCAGGTCAATCATTCCGTGATGCAGGAAGAAAACTGGATCTCCCGGGGAAATATAGACGTCGTCGGCTGGGTTGCCCCCGATTGTATAATGTCCGCCGCCGTGAACGCCAAGGTCGCCTGAGCCAATGGGGCCCTGCATGGTTTCTTGGAAGCTGGCAATGTCCTTCGGCGTCGTGAGAAGGTGAATTATGGACGTGCTGTTGGCATAGCGCAGGTTGGGCTCAGTCGTGACGTCCCGTGCGAGACAACGCGGGTTCCAGTCCAAGCCTCCATTCGGGGCCCCGATGGTTGAGCCGTTATTGATCGGCAGGGCGACGGGGCCGAGATTGACAACCATGTCTTTGAATGGCCCTGATTTTACGCAGCCGCCACCAGTCCCAGCGGGGATACGGACGGTTGTGTTTTCGTCAGGGTTGAGGACGAGGTCTCCCCTGCCCGCAATGTACTCCCCGTTGCCACCCATACTGTACTCTCCCCCATCGAAAATCGGCGACGAAGCGGGATCATTCGCATATAGACCCCAATTCCAGTAGCTATCTATTATCAGCTTGAGCTTTCTGAGACCTACGGGTGAAGACCTTACGGTTGACTGCCTTTGTAACCACATTCATTTCGCAGAGCTTGCTCGTAAGTGTAGATAAACCAACGGTGCCACGAGAGAAAATTTCCCTGAAAAGCTCGTTAGATGACTGTAAGATAGATGTCTATCCACCATGAACTGCATACCGTCCAGTGAATTGTAAGCGTTTTGTTAAGGTGTACAGCAACAAAGTCGTCGTATCGTGTTTTGGCTCCAGGTACCAGGTCGCTGGGCGTATTGGCAGGCAAGCTTTGTAAGCATAATACAGCGTCTGTATAAGCTTTCCGTTCTGCTTCATTGATAGAGCCCCTGAAAAATTAGGTTTGGACCACAAAATACTGTTGATGCACTTACCATGGCTTGCGCACAACAATGTTTTCGCTGTTGCAGGTCGAGCTATTGGTCGATGCAAGGAGGGCTGCTTGCTTGGAAGACGCTTCGGCTAGTAGATCATAGAATTGAGACAAGGCCGGATCAGAAACATTACGTGCAGCCGGGGCCGCAAGAACCGACTTCACGCAAAGAGCCGTCAATAGGCAGGACAGAAACATGGTCGTAATTCAGGCACAGCTCGAGGTGTGTTCGGCTGGGACTAGTGAATAGACGGATGATCTTTATCATATACTCATATCTAAGGTATATCTCTCATGGGCTGTGTCATAAAGTTTCCTGCCTTTAAGAAGCTTTGTCCATGCTGTCGCATATATAGTCCTTACCGCAAAGCTGGCAGATGTGGAGCCTCGCATTTCGCGTGTGGCATGGGCCACATGGCATATGCGGGAATTAAGCTTGTTGCTGTCAAAAGATGTAGCTCCACATCTCCAATTGTGGTAATATGGCCTATACATGCAACAGAAAACCAGTGATGTTCCTTCTCTTTTGGCCATAGCAGCATGCACCACTATCTTTATGACTTCATTTTGGTTAAGAAATCCCGCAAAAAGTTCCACTCGTAGCGAAAATTGCAAAATTCATCTCCGCACGCCGATCACGGTGGGTTTAAGCTTTCTGGGCACGCAGAACTTTCAAGGCATTTTTCTCCATTTATTCCAACTACTGCAGCTGACCGGAGCCTATCTCAGTGAGCAGGGCAAGGGACCCATCCTACCTGTTTCAGTAGAGCGGGTGTACAGGGTGTGAATTGTGGGCTCATGATATCTATCCGGCTTTATTACAAGCGCGACTTGCGGAGGTAGAGATATTCTAATAAATATCGGGCCCTGATACCAAATGGCAAGCACTAGGTTTGAACCCAAGTTTCTTAGCTGTATAAGTCAGGATTTCAGATAACTAGGGGCACATAGATACAATCCTTTTCGTGCACTGCAACAAGTAGTACGTGGTAGTTTCATCTCTACCTTTTCACTCACCACGAACAGCCTCGGTTCTCTGGATTTAACCGAGTGTGTACTTTGGTGAGAGAGCATTCAACCATGGCTGGAGCTTTTCCAGTCAACGTCGCTGTCTGTTGCACTGCCAAGGCATGATTTCGTCCAAGGTCTATTATTAGTTAACGTTGGCATACAATGTTATTCTAGAATTAGACTCTTTATTTGTGTTTGTTACGAACAAGCGACGATGTTTCATGCTATGCGCCCCCTTGCCTTCTTAAGGATGACTATACCAAGCATGAAGCTTAATTCGTGCCAAGGGGGCTTACTAAAGGATGTGTCACGTTTCGGGTTGCATCACACGTGGCTGAGGCTAAGTCCTTGGCCATAACCCGGCGCGCGGGTCGCAGCATGATCTAAAATATTTGGTGACCAATGATCTCAATCTCAGAGGAAAGTCAAAATCAGATAAGGTTGGTAGGGGGCCAACCAACGTCATGGCCATCCATGTCGGTGTGGTATAATATACGCATTATGTGCAAAGGTAATGATTGTGGAACTGGAGAATGAGAAAAACCGGGATTTCAATTAATGATTTCACTAGTTACATTGTTTCAAGGACTGAAGCTAACTTTCCTGGAGTTCGACGTCCCAGCGCACGACGTGCCAACGCGGTCAACTTGTACATTCTGGTGATCGCGTTTAAGCATCACGCAAGACAACCGAGGATGTGCCAGAGGTTTCCAGAATTCTATCATATGCGATTTCCTTTACTCGTGAATGAGGATGGAGTCGGGGAAATAAAATATCACTACTTGCCAGGAATTCTGCATATTTACGGCAAACCACTCTTGGACTATCTTCCCATCCCGCTGGTTTCAATGGCACAGTGGAGAGCAGCACGCATTGTGTATCTCGGATGACGAGGCTTTTCAGTCTCAGGCCAGAGTCTAAAGGAGCCTTCAGAGGCTTAAAACCTTCTATTCCGAATGCTGGTGCCACAGTGACTCGGGTGGCTTCTGTCTGCGCTGTCGCTGGAATCCGCGCTTCCAATCAAGCTAGAGACAACATAGCATGAGCAAGCTGCCTAACGGATCCAGAAAAGAGATCAGAAGCTGGCAGGATCTCGGTTAATTGACTGGACTGAGTATTGTAATGCACGGATCTGTAGCAGAAACTACAGTGCGCTAGTAGCTAAGCCTGAGATTCATTGAATATTCATGAGTTCTCCTGTGCAACCGTCACTGAATATCTGATGTACTTTTGGATGATGCGTGGCTGGTTCGCGATAAGGTGAGATATGGTCTCACGTACTCGTGTGATACAACTTGGAGCAAGATTCTCATTGTTTCCTTAGCAATGGAAAGAAGGCTTCCTGTCTGTGAATTTAAACTTCATTGAATATGAGAGTACAACTATGACCTTCGGACCAGCAAGACTGATACTGTGGATGGCTGACCTGAATCCCACCAAACACGGAAAACCTGATGTGCCTTTGGGCGACTGCCACCATGAGTGATACGTCCCGAACTTTAACGCCTAGAAGTTCATGGACGGATTGGACTATGTAAATGCAGATTTGCGTAGAAGCTAACATTTGACTGGAATATGCTGCGCTCTAAAAGTAGTGAAACCACGTGACCAACGTGGGTGGCACATTGCCTATGAATATGGAGGGTTGTGCGTAAGATGTGAGAACCAAGAGGTGAGTAGGGATATTCCTATAGGATCACATCTCTGACCCGCTGTTGACGATCTTTTCGGCGTGCATAGATGATTCAATTAGTGCTCAAGGGCCTGTACATAGTCGGAAAAACATTGGGGTGCATGGTTTCTATGTGCCTATACACTGACATCCATTACATATACGGGTATAGCAGAAGTCTAGCAGGGCCCTATAAAATGAAGGTGAGACCCGTTGAACACTTGGGAGAGACCTACGTTACAATATTCAAGCCCTACCCATATTGTAAGTCTGACTGCTTCGATTGACCCTGGCCCCGAGGATAAGCATCCAAGTGTAAAAGGCTAGCCGAGATCGTTGAGTGAACCCCTTTAGGAAGTACTGCCGAAGCTTGCGTGGTTGGGGGCTACGGTTTGGCCAGTCAGCGAAAGCAGGAATGGTTGCCATGGTAGTCTTACGAAGTATAATTGGACTGCGCCAGATATACCGGGGCCAAACTTGAGGTTCGAAACCAAGTTTGTCGACATCCTTCAAGCTGTGCCACCAATGTGCGTGAACAGCCCCCTACAGCCCGACAAAATTGGAAGTCGCTGGGAGGACAAGAAACTTCATTCCCTACTTTGAAGCCTCTTAAATTGTCTTTTAGGTTTGACCGATGACCATAGGCACGGTGTTTACCTGATGTTCAAGTCATATCTTGAATGGGTATACACTCAACGCACCATCACTACCACCACAGCGACGCTGTTCTAGGAACCAACTATGGCTAGATGCTACGATCCATTTGATAATGAAGTCAGCAATCGAAGTCCTTGCTCGCAGAATGGCCATCCCGCGTCGTGCTGTGCGGTGGGCGATTATTGTGCAAGCAATGGAATATGTGTAACACCACATAACCAGGCGATTCTGTACTTCACAGATTCTTGCACCGTCAAAGGATGGGCTGGCGGCTCGGTCTCAACCTGCCCCACAGCGTGTATCAAAGGTGAGTCCTTGGACTTTATGCGCCTTCTGTTGGAGAGGAGTCAACTTATGAACAATGTCTCAACAGCTGGAGGCAACGGTGTGGTAGGGTGTGGGAAGAACCTCTTCTGTTGCTACGGCCAAAGCGGATGTGACTGCGATAATTCGACGCAGGCCTTTGAATTAGATGCAGTTGAGGTCATAACTACCGTTACGAGCTTGGCTACTTCCAGCATTAGTTCTACATCAAGTAGCGTTTCTTCATTAACATCAGTCGGAGCTTCGACAAGTTCGACGACCGCCCCTACAATTACGGCTTCGGGATCCTCGGGCAACAGCGGGAATAATCTGGGACTGGGTCTTGGCGTGGGACTGGGCGTTGGTATCCCGCTGACTCTTGCTGTTTTACTTGGGTTCTGGTTCGTAGGCAGTCGACGAAGGCCGCAGGCCGAACTGTCCAGCACAGGTTGGCACGAGAACATAGGATCCTACCCAACTGCATCAGCATATCAATACCAAGCGTCACAGGGAAGTAGACATGAACTCAGCTCCGAGAAACCGCCGCAGGAACTAGATGGATTAAAGCTATAAGCAACTAGGAGTTAGAAGTGGTGATATGGGGCAGCGACCAACAGCAGGTCTAGGGAAAGTAAGCAGCATTGTGTAGCTTGTGATAACAACTATAGCATACTCAGGTAGCATTCTCGTGACTGGGCTTCACACTATTATACTGAATGAAGAATTAAGATTATCTTTCGAGGCGTGTTGTAAAATTGTGTTACTGTTCAGAGAGGAGAAGGCTATACTTTTGGGTTGTGCGCTCTGAGACTGTCTCCATGTTCTGAGAATGGAATTCCCCAATCTATATCATACACTGGCTGATCTATCCATCTATTGCGCCGGCCGTCAGCAACCGTCTCTAAACAACCCTCTGGCAAGCACTGACATTGTCTGCCGTCACGCGTCCCCAGACTGATGCAATTTAATATGGTACAAGTGTGACCACCAGGTCCTTATGGGAATGTCTACCCCAACGAGCCTGAGACTGGGAAAAGTAACCCTGTGGACTTTAATCTGTCTTGTCGCGAGGTCCAATGAACAACTTACGCACGATGGCCTCGCCATCATCTCCTTCCGCTTGAGTCGTCGTCTGAATCCAGTCGGCCAGCCTCGCCCGTAAAGCGTCAACGTTCGCATTCCTCACGTCCATAGCCCGGTCTTCGCAGGCGAGCACGACTTCCTCTGGCTCCAAGACATCAACACCACCACCGTCCCTGATCATAACGTCATCTTGAAGGATTCTCTTGATGGCATTTGACGCCCTGGTGGCAGCAAAGGGCGGGTCGATGCCGGCCTTGTCCCATATACTGCTCCCAAGAGCGAGTGACCTCACAATGTGGCCCGAGGTCACTTTCTCCAGTGCGGCAGAGTCTGCTACGTAGCCCAGGTTACGTTGCGACGCCGCACGTCTCTCTTGAGCCTTGGTCCGCAGCTTCTCGATTTGTTTCGGTATGCGGCACGTGTACGGAGTCATCTTCGGAAAGGCCAGGACTACCAGAGGCGTGAATTCTCCACAGATCAATACCACCAATCCAAACAACGGCAACCGCGAAAGGTCATGGTTGGTCCGTTCCCGGAGGAGCACTGCGGCTCGTGTCGGTCGTACTTTGGTGTCCGGGTTCTTGATATGGGGAGGCGCATTCAAGCTATGTGATACTTCTTTGAGTAGGCGGCGGTTCGTGAGAATGGCCTTCACCCCGTTTTTGTAGAACGTGGCATAGGCTTTGCCGAGCTTGAGCAGATACGGGAATAGGGACGAGTCGGGCTCCCGCGTCGGCGTATCGAGGGGCGGTGGACGGGTTGAAGCGGGCGGGTTGAGGGTCGAAGAGATGGCGATGTCGGGATTGATTGGCGTCGGGATCTGTGACGTAGCATCCAGAGGGGCTGTTACAGGTCGGCTTGCAACAACTTCCGACTGGGGCTCTGGTTTTGCACGGGCTTCTGCGGAGCTGGAGGCATAGCGACAGCTGACGCGCGATGCTGGCGACGACTTCGCGCAGAGGCTGGACTGGCGCGGCGCGCTCGACACCGCGAAAGGGGACAAGGGGCTCGAAATCTGTCCACGGTGCGCAAAGGACGGCTTGACGCGTAGTAGGCGCCTTCTTCCGGCTTGACAATTCATGATGGTGATGGCGATGGTGATTCGGGCAGTCGTGAAGGAAATCGCCCCCAACCCGTCAGCGCTGTCGCACACTTTTGTGAAAGGTCATGAGCTGTCGACATTTTTACGATGCAGCCGCCGATCGACGACGTCACAGCACTAAAAGGGCCTAAGCTTTCAGGTACAGTTTCAGGGGTCCGCTGGGTCCCGCGCTCCCAACTCTGGGGAAATCTTAGCGCAGTCCAGCGGCATTGATTGAGCGTCCAATGGAAGATGTGTATGCTTGATGTTACATTTGTCATCTGTCAAACTCCCATTGTGCTTACATGTTGTGCATCCCTAGTAGTATTGATTTACCATGAATTACATCTTTCATGCTATAGTGACCCATCCAAGTGACCGAATTTCCTAGTAAGTACCTAGGTAGGTATGTATGGTAGCTTGGAGTTACCTCTCCCCAGCTCCCATGACCAGTAATCCCTCGGCGAGCGGATTCTATAGCTTTGCCGCCGAGTCCAAGAATGCTGTGCACTCAATCTCCACTAGGGCATTAAGTGGCAGTTGATAAACTGCCACACAAGTACGGCACTGCCTTCATTAGTATTCCTTGTGGACCGTCTAGGTTTTCCAGGTACTCACCGGCTTGATATCTTGCGTGAAGAACTCATCGAAAGCCTCGTTCATCGTGGAAAAGTTGTCCATCGTAGTTATGAAAATGTTAACCTTCACGACGTTGTTGAAACTGCTTCCTGCCTCCGCCAGCACCGCCGAGAGGTTACGGAGTGCCTGTCGCTATTTGTGAAGTCCAGTGAGCTCTCCCAGTCCTCAATGGATTCCAACTTCAGAACTCACCGTCTGTTCCTTGATGCCGCCATCAACCATCTTGAAAGTCGCCGGATCGAGGCCAATGTTGCCCGAGCAGTATACCATGCCGTTGTACTTAACAGCCTGCGAAAATTGAGGCAGAGGCTTCGGCGCCTTGTCCGTGTATACTCGCGTAATCGGCGCCATCGTGACACGTTTTCTCTAACCTGTGAAGCTTCTCTCAAGACGAAGGACTTGATGCGTTTGACACAGTCCTGATCGAACTGATCTGACGAAAGGGGTTTCTTTACTGAAGCGCGCGGGGTATCCACTGAGCCTGCCCGCAAAAGGGCGCAACAGCGCCTATCATCGGCGAGGGGCCGACCTGCGGCATCGGCAACCACCCGCAATGCCCATCCCCGATAGTCATCGGCCTTCCTTATAAAGACATTGGGAGTTTGATACCAAAGTCGCGAAAGTGAGAATTACCAATACGACGACCCCCCGGTCGTCTACGAGAAGAACGTGGAAAATGGGTTCATATTGATCAGTCCAACACTTGCCAATGGCACCGTGCCCTTGACTCTTCTACCCCTTCCAGGGTATGCTACTCTCGCTATCGTTTGCACCAGTAGCGAAACTTGAACTGACAGTGATATGTGTGGTACGCGTGACTCCTATTTCGCCACTCCTATCCACAACATCATGGCCATGCTGCAGATAATCTTCGTCAGACTCCGAGGCCTGGGTGTTGCCCAGAGGTATCCCATCGTCATCCATCTGACGGTATCTGCCCAGAATCTTCACAGATTTAAACCTATCGCGTGACGAGCCAGGTGTCCCATGTTTCGGATCAGACTCCGAGGGCCCGGTAGAAGCCTTATTGCTCAGTTTGAAGGCACTGCTGATGGTCCTTGAAATGCCAGATTCACTGAGAACTTTAGGTAGACAGGGAACACAGAGAATGAAGAACCCGCAGGTCATCTCTGCGCAGGCCCAGAACAGAAGGGGCCCGATGTAATACATGGTATCGGACTCGTGGGCAAACGTCACCGTCGTTGACAGGCGCACACTTGCCCCGACACAGGCACTGCTAGGTGTTAGTACTTTCCTGTGGGGATGAACTTGATCAGGGGCTCACAGAATGCCGACTCCGAATATGAGAGAAATCCCTATCTTCCTGTGCCAATTCATATTTAGACCCCATATGATCCTTTGGGGAAGCAATACCATGGTAAAGTCCGTAAACACCTGGACACTTGCCGAGGTGAGCATGACGCTGGACAGGGAATAGCACTTGGACTCCAGATAGAACTCGTAGATGGCAGCATGAGGGACACACTGCATGTTCAATAGAACTATACAGGTGATTCCCCAGACGACTTGAAGCGTTATGATAGCCATGCAACCCCACCAAAACGTATTCCTTGTTCTATCCGGGACCAGCACGCGGCACCAGTCTAATAATATCGCAGACTTCAGCAAAGGCATGACAGCTGAATAGCTGCTTCCGTATACAAGGATCAACTGGAGGATGTTAGACAAGTACCCGGAGCAATTGTCGAGGTAACCAACATAAAGAGGCCTGACCAAATCGCCATTGGTCAGATCCCAAGTGTGGACGTAGTATCCCGGTGTAAATATCATGGCATAACCAGCATAAGCTGTCCCCCAATAGGCCCCCTTGACCAAGTCAGTTGGGTTATTGAAAGCTTGTTTGATTTTAAGTTCGAGATGGGATTAACACCTGTTGTGGGTGGTCGTGTCTGGGCAACTCACATAAGCGAAGAGCATAAGAACTGTTGGAAAAAATGTCAGCAGGGCTTCGAACCATAGCACGAGGACAATGCCAACTACGATACCTTCTTCAATTCCAGGCTGCTTTAGCATTATAATGCGAGCGTAAGCGCGAATTAGGAGGCAAAGGGTTGCGATAGCCATGCAAAACGTGGTAACAAACCAAGCGAGCCCATTCTTGTTGGGAGGATTGTCGAAGTTGGGCACGATACCTTCCGGATGATCTAGGGCGGGCGCGGCGAGGAGACTCGCAAGATTGTCGCCTGATAGCGCCATTGCGAAAGGAGAAGGTTTGATGACTGGAAGTTGTATACTAGAGCGTCAGAAGTGTGAACAAGAAATGGATCATGGCGTCGTTGCAAACGAGCTAAGTTGGCTTGTTTTGATAACCTCACTTCCACTGCAAGGAGCCTTGAGGAAAGTATATTTGCACGGCCATGTTGGCAACGATTCCTCTTTCCAAACCCCGTTGCCTAGGCTGTCACCCAGCAGTGATCATCGCTCTCCATATCCCAAGGCGGTAATTGCAGGGACAAAACCTAAAAATCCTTGTACGCGCAAGTCTTGTCAATTCCGTCGTCTCGACGCTCTGCAGACAAGGCAAGGTACTGGTCTCAATAGATACCAATCCAGGATCCCTTCACCAAATGAAATTGAAGTCGAGCTCAGTCGGTCAAAAGAATATGTGCTACAATGGTGGCTTGTCGCAATTGCTCAAATTCCCATAGAAACCTTTTCTCTAGTAATTACGCTGTTTCTAGTATTCAGACTTGCCTCCACATGGCTCTGAGATTGTAAACACTTTGGGTCACAAATGTCGTACCGTATCATTCAAGGAAACTAGTATGTCTTGGCGCTAAAGCACGTATGCTCCTGTAAATGAGTACAGGAAGAAAAGTGTGGTGCATTACGTTACCCAAGACCAAACGTCTACTGTCGGTTGATAACTCGGCAATGGCATGTTGATTATAAATGGGGCTCTGTTTTGAGAACACTGTCGGTGGCGTGACATGAACTGATAAGCGTGGACAGTCCCGGAAGAGGATTGGTCCCAACGACACGGCACGCCAGTAGAAGAAGAAAGACGCCCATAAATGCCCCACTGACTGGCACCCCAACGCTGTACCGAGTCATTGCAATGCCTAGGGTTTGATTCCGCAACATCCGCCTACGGCTCTCGGTTATCTGTGCCATGAATGGTCCTTGTTGGACCCTGCGTAGTTACAGCTGTCATGGTTCACTTGTCCAGCGTCAAGAGGCGCACCAAGTGTAGCGATGACGAGCAGAAATGCCGTTCGTGTTCATTCTCGCACTGAAATCTGCTCAGTAAGTGCACGCGTATAACAATATAAAACTACATAGGCACTCAGTGTTTGCGATATAACTCACTGAGTATACCCTCAAACATGGAGCATGGAAGTAACCCCCCCAATAGGTGAAATATCGCTGCTATACACGCGGCGGGGTCAGACGACCCTTGAACTCGAAGAGCTGTGGTGGAGATATCCAGAAGAATACTGGGGCCCCCTGAGCAATTTGGTCATTGCTACACAGTACTTAATCTTTACACACCACTCATGCAAGATACTAACCTAGTTTATCCCTTGATACTGTGTGTGTCTCATGTTACACCCGCCAACATCTGAACGCTTCAGTACAGACTTCGTGCCTGGCAAAGCGTACTGTGACACATCTGACAGTAAAGTATCCAATCAGTTAAGGATCGTCCACGTGGTATAATGACAACTAGTAAGCGGCTGTCACTTGATACCCAAATGTCTAGATACAACTGATTCGAAGAAGCAGAAACGGAGCTGCCAGTCGGGCTGGAAGATGAGTACCCTCCAGCCGGTGATTTGATGAAGATGATGGCCGAGAATCCACTGCCAACCATACCCTCTGGAACTGTGGGCATAGTAAGTGCCGAAGAGGGGACTGCCCTGGCCAGAGATATTTTGAATAAAGTGAATGCTGCTGCATCAGCAAATGACGCGCAGTCTCTAGCGGATTGTTTCTATCGAGAGCAGTCATTTTGGCGAGACCAATTGGCCCTTACCTGGCATCTTCGGACCTTTGAGACTACAGACGTCATTGTAGCAAGTTTTCTGGAAACTACAGGGCTCAGAGGCGTCGAAAACGGCTTTTGGATTGACGGCACGGCCCAATTTGTTCCGGCAACGCCTGTGCTAGTATGTATGCGCAGAATACCTGGGAAATCATTCCGCTAAGGACGTATGTGAACAGCAATTCATCGACTGCGGATTTACCTTCAGGACCCGGTCTCCTGCCGCGGCCTGCCGAGGAAACCTGAGGTTGTTACCTTCAAAGATCAAGACTGAGAATGGAAGTGAGACTGTTATCTGGAAGATCTGGATCTTGAGCACTTGGATAGAGAACTTGACTATCCAGCCGGAAGACGAGGCCTTGCTAGAATCGCCAAAGCGAGACCTGTTAGGTCTCACCAGCTTCGAAACCGACGTATTCATCTTGGGTGGCGGTAACGCGTAAGCACCTGTATAATTACAGCAAGCTTTCGATGAGGAACTAACACAACGCCCTATAGCGCCGTGGCTCTTGCAGCACGATTAAAGGCTCTCGGAGTGGAGAGTATCGTAGCTGAGCGTAACGCTCGCGTGGGTGACAACTGGGCGCTCCGCTACGACTCTCTGCGCTTTCATGTTCCGACTTCGTTTTGTGAGCTTCCTTTCATGCGTGAGCCTCTCCCTGGATCGCAGTTACGTTCATTACGCAGAAAGTGCTAAGCTTCCTTTGCAGGATACGACAAAGATCTCCAAACTCCCCACCACCTATCCAAAGACGAGTTAGCCGACCATGTCCGGAAATACGTCAATACCTATAACCTGAATATCGTGACTTCAGCCACGATAGTCTCAACCTCTCTGGATCTCCAGAGCCAGCTGTGGCACATCGCATTTGAAACCCCGGCCGGAATTCGTTCAGTAGCGTGTAAGCATCTTGTGCAAGCAACGGGTTTTGCGTCACAAATTCCACATATCCCATCCGTCGCGGAATCCAATCTGTACAAGGGAATTTCCATCCATTCAGCGCATTACAAAAATGCGAAGCAACTGTCAGACCATGGAGCCAAAGTAAGTCAATACCAAGAAGATCAATTAAAGGTTAACATGCGGATGCTAAATGTACTCTAATATTGCTAGTCAGTTCTGGTCGTTGGGTCGGCTAACACGGCCTTCGATGTCATAGAGGACTGCCATGCCGCCGGGCTCCGTACGACTATGGTCGTTCGGTCTCCGACCTATATTTGCCCGGTCGAGTATGTTTGCGATCCTCGCAGTCTCGGCGTCTACGATCCCGTCGGCATAGAAGGAGGCGATAGACTACTGATGACAGGGCCGGCGGGCGTCGATGCCGCCCTGGCTCGGGGTCTCATGGCGCAAATGGCGTCCGAGGAACCTCACCGTTACGATGGCTTGGCAACAGCTGGGTTTCCTGTCATCGATAGCCGGGACCCAAATGTGGCCCTGATGTCGAACTTGCTTGAACACGCCGGCGGCCACTACATTGACATCGGGGCCACCAAATTATTGGCCGAAGGTAAAGTGGCTGTGAAGGCAGGGGTCGAACCCATCGCTTTTACTTCTACTGGGCTGCAATTCTCTGATCATACAAGTGAGGACGCCGATGCGATAGTATGGTGCACTGGTTTCAAAGACAAGAATGCGCGGACGACTGCTGCTGGGATTCTGGGGAAGTCGGCGGGAAACATACGTCCCGGGAACGTCCTGGGCCCTGAAGACATAGCAGCACGCTTGGATGCTACTTGGGGACTTGATGTAGAAGGTGAGGTGCGTGGCCTGTGGAAGCGCCAGCTTCGTATCGACAACTACTGGACCATGGGCGGGTATACGCAGCAGCACCGGTGGCATTCGCGGACCTTGGCTCTGCAGATCAAAGCTGCCCTCGAGGGAATAATACCACCCGCATTTCGAAAAACACCCCACAAGAAGGAAAAAACAGTTTGTACTTGATTATATTTTCACTCTTTCTGCCTACTATATATATAGCCCAAGAAAATCACCTGTTTTGCGCCCTACGCTTGTATAGACCTGGAATGGGCAAGGCGGTCGAACGATTAGCCAATGAGTAATTGCAGAGTTCAAAGAGACGCAACGGGGAGAACTTCATGTCAGTAGGGGAATCTTCACGGATCATCATTGAATAATACTGCAGAAAAGCAGGCCGTGGACAACTTGCATCATAGCACAATATAGAGACTGCTGGCAAGACTGATTCTACTTACACTTGTTCGCTAATTCAAGGAGTGACCATCGCCGGGAATACAGAGCGTCCTGGAGGAAGAAAAGTGGGCCGTATTGCTTGCGACTTGGAAGCATTCTTCTGCGGAGCACCACGGCACCCATACGCAGCAAGGATATTATCTCCTCGGCTGTGGCATACGATGCTTCTTCGAGGCAATCAACCTGATGGGGGATAACAGAGGTAGTAAAGTAAAGTAAAGTAAAGCGGAGGAACCTCCAAACTCCCAGTCTTATGAGGGGTAAAACACGGCTTCCTTGTTGGCCACAGCCCTACATGTCCTGCTCCGTCGAGTGAGCTTTAGGGCTGTTAGGTAAGGAGTATTGACAAAACGTCATAATTGGCAGCTGCTTCTGCGCCCTAAATCAATGCAGCCCCTGTTCTTAACAAATGCTACGACAAGTAATATTGTTTATCCCAAGAGGCGGGGTTTTCAAGTACACGGCCTTGTGATTATATTCTTTGGACGACAAGGGTTACGGAATGCCATCAAGAGCGAATACCTATAGGTGCTGAGCTAGCTGCTGAGCTAGTAACCCAAGTTAATCGGGCGACAAGCTGAGTTTACGGCGCCGCGGAAGGTGGATCAGTCGAGATCTTACGGCCCACCCCCGGGAGCTACTGATCCTCGCTACCGGCAGTGGCCTGCCCTCTTGCCCAGTTTCCGACGAAAGCATCTGCCCTTCGCCTGCTTCGAGGCCATTCCCGGAAGATACCCCGGACGATCTTTGAGTACTATATGAAAATCGTCCTCTTGTCTTCCTTCTAGTGCTCCTGATGGAAGGTTAGGGGGCTGCTAGTTAATATGGCTCTGGCGAAAGCATCCCTGCGCCTTGTCATTTCGACTCTCGCGCACGTGGACAGGACCGGCCAAGCGGAATCTGGGCATCAATAGGTATCAATCAGTTCTCTGTGGAAATGACAACTCGCACCCAGGGCCCGTTGGCGAGCTGCAAAAGACGGAATGCCGATGGCCTGTGGCCCCAGCCGTTGGATGGCGATCTCCGGTTGTGCGCAGGGTGCTTATTAAGACCGCAGCAGTATTCCCGCAGCACCAGACTCGCTTAACTTTACTGCATTATGCATGCGACAGGCGGTGGCCAACTCACGGCCAGCCCAGACCATTGCATTCTAGCACTGCGGTTGCCGGATCGCCTCTGTGGTCCTGCGAAATTCCATTAACAGCAAGACTATGCGGTACTTCGGCCGGGCGCTTCGGCTGGAACACTCGGAGTCCAGCGGGGCCGCCTAGTGGTCATGACGTATCACATTCACAAGCTCCCAGGTCGTCTCATATCAGCCCACAACCAGAGTATCAAAACAACCCCAGTTATAGCTCGTACAGCCCAGTTTATCACAGCTAAACAATGGCTAGCTTCGTCTGCCATGTGTTGGGATTATTATCGTGGTGGTGCGGGTACAGTTGTGTGATTTGACGGTGACAGAGTTCGCATGTCACCCAATCATGACGTGGTAACCTCATCACTGGCGCGGCGGCCCCAAGCGATTCGACTTCGGCACCGTATCCAGAGGGGCACACTGCCTATGCCCGTCCTCTGAGCTAGATTAGCCTCGCATCTTCAACATACCACGCCGGTCCACTACCAAGTTTGCTTGTCCTAGGTACAGAGTTCGGCGTAATGCATTGTGAACGTATAAGTAATCGCCAGACCCAAACCCCCCCTCTCACGAGCCTGCCCATCCCACCTTGACAACAACACCTCGGATTCCAAAACCCCTACAACCCGCACTCATCGAGGATTCCAAGAACACACTGCGCACCTGTTCTCGAGAGCCCAAGCCTTGAGTCGCTGTGAAGATGGACAGCGACAAAGCAACCATCGAGGAGATCCGGCCGTTCGGCCCGGCTCGATCTAACTTCAAAGACGAGAAGCCCTTGTCGCCGGAAGAAATCAAGAAGTACGATGACTTCTTCAAAGCTAGCCTGTACCTATGTCTTGGTATGATCTATCTCATTGACAATCCGCTACTACGCGAGGAGTTGAAGAACGAACATATCAAGGTCCGACAACTTGGCCATTTCGGCTCTGCGCCCGGGCAGATCTTCACCTACATGCACTTCAACCGACTGATCAAGAAGTATGACCTTGACGCTATCTTTGTCTCTGGACCGGGACACGGCGCCCCGGCTATCCTCTCCCAGGCGTACCTGGAGGGCACATACTCTGAGGTTTACCCTGACAAATCGGAAGACCCCGAGGGCCTCCAGAAATTCTTCAAGCAATTCTCATTCCCGGGTGGCATCGGTTCACATGCAACCCCAGAAACCCCAGGAAGTCTCCACGAAGGTGGAGAACTGGGCTATGCCATCTCACATGCCTTTGGCACTGTATTCGATAACCCGGAACTGATTACGCTCACCATGGTGGGCGACGGAGAATCGGAGACGGGTCCGCTTGCCACCTCTTGGCATAGCAACAAGTTTCTGAACCCAATTACAGACGGAGCTGTCTTGCCAGTTCTCCATCTGAATGGTTACAAGATCAACAACCCTACCCTCCTGGCCCGAATTCCCCACAAGGAGTTGGAGCAGCTGTTTCTCGGCTATGGTTGGCAACCCTACTTCGTCGAGGGCGACGAGATCGAGTCCATGCACCAGGCAATGGCAGCAACCCTAGAGCAGTGCGTAAAGGAAATCAAGGGCTTCCAGAAGCAGGCTCGCGATTCTGGCAAGCCGTTCCGCCCCAGGTGGCCCATGGTCATCCTCCGGACGCCCAAGGGCTGGACTGGGCCTCGCAAGCTGAATGGTCACTACCTGAGTGGTTTCTGGCGTGCACACCAAGTTCCCATCACAGATGTCAAGACAAATCCAAAAGACCTCAAGATCCTCGAGGAGTGGATGCGCGGCTACGAACCTGAGCGCTTGTTCGGCGAGAAGGGAAGGATATCCCCCGAGTTGAGAGATGCTCTCTGCCCTACGGGTAATCGTCGTATGAGCGCCAACCCCGTCGCCAATGGAGGAATCCTCAAGAAGCCATTGAAGATGCCGGACTTTAAGAAGTATGCTGTTGAAGTCAAGCAGGGAGGAGCGGTCAAGAGTGGTAGCATGGCGAACTGCGCCAAGTTTCTGAGAGACATTGTTGCGGACAACATGACCAACTTCCGCCTGTGGGGTCCAGACGAGACCGAGTCCAACAAGCTTGCAGGGGTATATGAAGCAGGTAAGAAGGTCTGGATGGGTGAATACTTCGAAGAGGACGAAGATGGTGGCAATCTGTCACCGTTTGGCCGCGTAATGGAGATGTTGAGTGAGCACACTTGTGAGGGGTGGATGGAAGGTTACGTGCTTAGTGGCCGCCACGGCTTGCTCAACAGCTACGAACCGTTTATTCACATCATTGACTCAATGGTGAATCAAGTAAGTCCAAGAAATAACTCTTGATTTGTCAAATTTGAAATTGTACTGATTCGATGACAGCACTGCAAATGGATCGAAAAGTGCCTGGAGGTCGAGTGGCGCGTCAAGGTTGCCTCACTCAACATCTTATTGACTGCTGTTGTTTGGCGCCAGGACCACAATGGGTTCACACACCAAGACCCAGGCTTCCTCGATGTCGTGGCAAACAAGAGTCCTGAGGTCGTTCGCATCTATCTTCCTCCTGACGGCAACTGCTTGTTGTCTAGTAAGTCCGAATTGGCGTTACCCCAAATTTGTGTGTGTGTCCCCAGAACAGTCGTACTGACTACAACTAGCTATGGATCACTGTCTTCGCTCGTCGAACTACGTGAACGTCATCGTAGCCGATAAGCAAGAACACCTGCAATACTTGACCATGGAAGAAGCCGTGGAACACTGCACCAAGGGAGCTGGCATCTGGCCTCAATTCAGCACAGATGCTGGTGAGGAGCCCGATGTCGTCATGGCCAGCTGTGGTGATATCTCCACCAACGAATCGCTCGCTGCCATTGACCTCCTGCTTCAGAACTTCCCTGAGCTCAAGATTAGATGCGTCAACGTTGTGGATCTGTTCAAGCTGATTCACCACGACGACCATCCCCACGGTTTGAAGGATGCCGAATGGTCTTCGCTCTTCACGGATGATAAGCCGGTCATATTCAACTTCCACTCCTACCCATGGCTGGTCCATCGCTTAACCTACAGACGCCCAGGCAGCCATAACATCCATGTTCGAGGTAATACCCCCCTTTTTGGACATTGATCCATGATTTATACTGACATCTATCCCAGGATACAAGGAGAAGGGCAACATTGACACGCCATTGGAGCTTGCCATTCGCAATGGAACGGACCGTTTCAGCCTGGCAATAGCGGCGATTGATCACATGCTGCACCTGCACAACCGCGGTGCTGCGGCGCGAGAGAAGCTCAAGAACGCCCGGCTCGCGGCACGAAACCAAGCGTACGAGGTTGGCATGGATCCCGAGTTCTTGAGTACATGGAAGTGGCCTCAGGATCTTCGGGAGAGGAATGCAGAGAAGCTGAAGGCATTGAGGTTAGGGTGTTAAGAATCGCATTTGGGCTATGAAGAGGCACTGGTAGCTATGGAAATGCTTTCATTACTACATATTAGAACCAAGTCTCATTCAACTCCTCGAGTCGGGAGGACTCTTCTATCTTTTCCCCACGTTTCACACTGTTATAGTGAGAGCGGTTGGCAAACAATCACTGTGGTCTTCACAGAGCAGGATTCTATGTCAATACCAGAGAACCAGATAGACCAAAAGTAGTAGACTGAATCCTTCGGCTCTTGAAATTAGCATTGTGGCTCATATATTCTAAGCAATACCATGACCATACTTCTCACCATCTGAGCTGTTCTGACTGTATCTACCTTCAGACAGTAGTATGCTCGATCAAACTATCATGCGTACGCAGCGGCACTAATTGTAAACCTTCTCAATTTTTCATGCCTAATCTTCCTCAAAGTTCTGAATTCATTTCTGTCTCCATCTTTTGAAATGAGTTGAATGATTTCTGATGAGGCTGAAGTTCTCGGGGACTAGTTTGCCTTCGGTGGTTGGTGATGTGCGCGAAGGCTCAGGCTGCCTACCAACAAGTATGGAAAGCTGGAGTTGAGGATAGTAAGGGTTGTTGCTACTTCTCTTCTTTTCTGCTTTCTAATTCATCGAGCGACGCAGCCGAGTGTCTCTTCTGCTTCCGGCTGGCCTGTCCGCCCTTCCGTGCCCTCGGGTTCTTGACATTTCGATTGAGGTACTGGGCGGGCTCATTGGCAAAAGTGGAAGACGTAGGTTTACGTTCTTGGTCCAGAGATGAAACATTATCCTGAGTTTATCAGTCAAACTTGACAGTATCACAAACAGGAGCTCTCATGCCCAGCTCAGTCGTGCTTCTGGGTGGCCCGGACCGAAGTCCCTGCTCAACCTCACGCTTCGGGCTGTCGGTTCTCACAGCGTCCTACCCTGCAAGGAAAGCTACCAGCTGTCCGAAGTCCAGTTTCCTCTGTGAAGCCTGAGCCATAAGAGAGTGGTCCAGGCGCCGCTCGCCGACGTGACCTCTCGGGCTGACAGTGGGGAATATGTCGTTGGCGTCAAAGGACTCGTTGGGTCTGTACCAGGAGGGAATTGTGCTTTGAGGCCGAAAGTGCTTGCACACATGCTGGAACAGTTCAAACTTCAAGGCACTGAGTGAACAACCCGCCGTTTTGGCTTTTGCCCGTGCTTGGTCCAGTGACCTAATTTTTGAAAACGTTTAGTAATGTAGGCCCTGAACTCGTTGGAGCGGCCCTCCCACCCCGCATATGCCTCCAATGTTTGCACATAGCATGGTAGTCGAACCCGATGGGTGGTGCTTTGTTGTCACAGACCATATCGATAATCTCACCGGCCCTGACATAATGCTCTTTGGCGGCTGCTGCAAATAGACCGATATGGAGTGCCTCTGCTCCCTCGAGATCTACATCCTGATTAAACGCATCGACCGGTAGAGCGTGACCTTCAAACAAAGGCCAGTCTATTGCAAAAAACCTTTTTTTCGTGGGAAGGACTTAGCATAGTGATCTGCAAGGCCTTTGCACAGTTCTTGACGAAGAACATCAACTGTGTATGGTTTCTTGAGTGGCCCCACATGCAGGTGCAACATGTCGAAAGTGACTCTGTGGAAACTCTGTTTTAAGATAGCAGTAAAATCGACCTCGAAGTTGATTTTCTGGGCACGGTCGTGGAGGCTGCACATCAAACCTGTGAAAGTCGTTCGCGAGCTGCCGGAGCCATGGCCCTGCGCCTGTAGCACTGGAGGCGAGGATCTCCTGCCTTTGTTCGCGATGAAATGACTCCAAAAGGTAGGATAAAAAGGTGAAAGTCAGAAATCAAGTCATCGATGGCAGTAGGAAAAGCATAGGTGGGAGGTGAAGATTGTGACTATGAATTACGCGACTGATTGTGGATGTTACGTGACCGCCTGCCTGCAAGTCTGACAAACGAACAAGTACACAGGTATCTAGAGCCCAGCATCTAAGGGCTCTACGGAAAATGAAGCGAGCAACGACGTGAAAAGCAGAAGTTCAAGGCCAGACAAAACCCGGCAAAAAGCTAATTCCCAGGGTTAAAAGCCCGGTTTGTACGATAAAGTTTCCTTTGTCTAGCCACGAAAGCTATCGGTGCATCCTTAACCCTTGCACCATCGCCAGCAACAGCGTTCTGGAGGACCTCGGTGGTCCCCTCAATGGTTGGCAACTTGGTTGCCTATTGAAACTAATGTAGGTGAGCTCAATCATTTGCAACAGTGGAACTGCTTTTGCATTTTCAGCAAAATACCCATTGCCGCCTAGCATTGCAAGACGGATGGCAATTTCATATCGTATGCTGCCGGTCTACATCAGGCTTCGAGGCCCAAAGGACAGTCTTTTGTCATTGAAACACTCTGGGCAAGAGGCCAATTGAGATTTTGTATCTGATTTGAGTATTCCCTTTTATTTTGTGAGTATTTCACTTCCGTATCTGCACGGGTAGGTTCCTGGCGGAGATGTCTTAACAACATTCTAGCTGCCGTGAATATCTTTGGCTTTACTTGTATGACCGCATTCAATCATGCATGGCCATCATTTCTTCCAGTACATAAATCGATGGCTATCTGGGATTTTATTCTCCTATGGTCATTCCATCAGGCTGGCTGCCAGATCAGGGTTGTCGCTGTCATTGATCTGGACCTTCTCTACGACCCTGCTTTTGGATTCTCTCTGATCAAACCAGCCTCGCCGTGAAGCTTCCAGTGCATCAGCGCCTCCCCTGTACCTCTAGGCATTCCGTGTCAAGTATGCTTAGGCGCTGGTGAATGATTATGTCCTACTGGGCATCAGGCTGACGCGGCAAACGGTCAAGTTCAAGAAATAGAAGGATCGCCTGCAAACCAAGTTCCTCCTCAGCGGCCTTGGTGAAGCGGGGAATCGTCATTGCTGTCTCCCCATTAGGTCTGGTGACGTCGAAGGCAAAAGGGGGGTGGTTGAACGACAGGCCCTTCTCAGGCCAGAAGTGGCAAGCCACTCTGCAGTAAAGCTCGAACTTGAATGAGTCCCGGGAGTAGTTGCCGATCAGGAACGTCTTCTCTTGGACCATGTCACGGAACTTCGTGAGCATGATACGTGCCATCTCATCTGTACGGTCTTCCCAGAAAGACCAGAGTCGTAGACGGTTGAAAAGTGTCATCATGCTGAGGGGAGACTCAATCACGCCATCTAAGCACAGCTGGATCATGTCGTGAATCTTGATCGAAGGTATGAAGATTGCTTCAGCGACGCTGTTCAAGTCAACCAGTCGACTGTCGTTGGATTCGACACAGGGGTCTTTCCTAGAGTGAGGGATTCCTGCGACTTAGTGAGATTTCATCCAATGAAAAACTGCAATAGACGGCATGAAATTAATTGTCAGCAGACTTACCAACATGAGAGCACATGATCTCGTAGATCTTGTACCTGAAAACCCCGATCTCGACCGAGCTCGACGGGAACAGTTCTCGAATGACCTGCTTAAGTACTACTCTGAATAGAGCGCCGAACATTCCGCTTCTGACCTTGGAAGCCTGTTTCAGCGCAAGACACATCTGCGCCACGAAGGTGGCCCTGGTCGAAGCATTGCTACACCGCTGGCTTTGCATGACGTGATATCCAGAAGTGTATCCAACCAAGAGAAGTCAATTGATGAAACACATAACAAACGGCGCGTGCGAGGTGTCTGCAAGCCTAACGTTTTTTGATCAAATTGGAAAAGGCCGGTGTTGCTCCGTGCATAGAGGCCGATGAAGAAGGGGGCAACGCCTTGGCAACGAAACCGGATCACAATGCCAGGCTACTGACTGACATCCATATCTCGAGGTCATCCACATCATTAGTCTCAGGCACCATTTTTTCTCAATACATTGATTCGCCCTTCAAGAGCAGTTTCCCAATTTCGAGCATTTAAGAGTACCATACAGCATTTGCACAGCAACCACCATCTACCAAGTCAAGATGTGCGACAACGGTCGCGTTGCTTCCATCATCGGCCAGCTCCCAAATCTCCACAAATCCAGTTGAGCTGTCCGTCAATGCCGCAAATCGATCAGTGAAAGGGCTGGGTGTAACTGCATTGGCAGCGCCACCGCTTGTTGTTGTAGCGAGCAAGAAGTTCTGCGATAGGATTGCGCCATCCGCGTCGAGAGTAAACACTGAGATGTAGCCTAGGGTGCTCGCATCTCTTCCCCGGTTGGTGGCCCAGAGGAATTTGCTGCTGAAGGAAAGCGCCACCTCATCTGCCCAGAAGTCCGCGGCGTCCTCGCCGGAGGAAAGGAGAGGGTACGTCACATTACTGAAAGACGGGATCCCAGTGCTCTGGTCGATTGAGTACTGCGCTACCTGGCTTGAACCCTCGAGAACAACATACAAGAACTTGCCGTTAGGGTGAACCGTTACATGCCTTGGATCTGCGCCGCTGGTTGGTGCTGTGATATTTGCGACGAACGCCACCTCTCCGGTCGTGGCATCGATGCTATGTGTCCACAGCGCATTGCCTCTATCGTCGGCAGAATACAGGAACTTTGAGTCCGGGCTGAAAGCCGTACCATGAACGGCCCCAGAGCTAGTGTAAGTGTAGTTCTGGATAGCAGCATTGAGTACACCATTCTCGTCCACGGATAACACAGCACCGCAGCCAGCATTATCGCCAAAGAAGACACCATAAACGGCGTGGGGTGGATTAGGGTCCGCTACCACAAAAATGGACGTAGCAGTGCAATTGCCTCCGGATGGTATGGTCACGTCGTGTGTGATTTCAGTGGTGTTGGACAGGGTGTAGCTGGCGAACGCAGGGCTTATTGTGCTGTTTCCCTGGCCATAGGCGGTGGTGTATAAATTTGCCTTGTCATGCTACCTCATGGTCAATATCGGCTCTGATACGCATCGTGCCATGGTACATACGCTGAGTGCGATCCAGGACCCTGACACCGGTACTGAAGTGTTGGCGGCCAATTCCAATGTCAAGGCCTCATCATCGAACTCAATCGTGTAAAGTGACTTGGTGCCGAAAGTACCAACAAGGAGCTCATGTATCAGGGCATTCGCCGAGATAGCGAGGCTCGTGAGAGCTATGCTACCACCGATTCCACGCATAGTGAGCCACGAAGGGGATGCGAAATTCTGGCAAACGAAAGTGTTCTGTCAACAAGCAGTCAACAAGCATAGCGTGCCATGCGAATTGGCCGTGGCTTCGTCACCTCTATATGGAATTGACCAGTAGGCGACTTATCGGCCCCACTGCATCGGCGTTGCATTGGAACATGCGTGTGCCCCTTGCAGAATAGTTAATCTCAGTCTTCCAAGCTTAACCACGGACCACGCGACACGCGGCCTTCACTCTCGGCAACGGAAGAGATCGACAAATAAGGGGATATATAGTTGGAAACTGTGGGGTTCCATTGCGCGACGGGCTTGACGGAGTACGTTCTGGAAATGCTGTCCAAGCGGAGACTGGGGGCCCGGTGGAGTGGATGATGAGATCCAAACGGCCGTGTTCAACTGCCATTTTGGCAAACTCGATTACGTCTATGCACAGTTTAGGGCGAGAAACCCGCAGCTGAAACGGCCTGCGAGATCAGGGCATCGGGGTTTTAGTACCTAAGCGCAATAAAGACATATCTCATTCAATAGCGCCTAAGACAGTCAAGCATCGGGGTCTTGAGATATAGAGCGACAAGTAAGATGTGTGGACGTCAGTCCTTTGTACGTGACCCACAACGAATGGAGTACGGGGATGATTCGGCACCATGAAACGGCATCCTACCTCCACGTAATTGCCTACGAATTCAATCACTCGGAAGCATAGCGACCAGCAATCGTCACATAGTGCCGACCTTGATTGGCTCAGACTCGAATAAAGAAATCCTAGTGTTGCTCATACGCCCGGTCAGGTATTTGATCTGACAAAGTCGAAAGTTCAAGTCCCTAACACTATCATATTTCGTTTGAATGGCAAAGTATGAGCTTTTGCTGTATAACGTACAGCTCAGGTTGCGACCACGAGAGGCCGTTCATAGCTGACTAACTAAGGATTTGAGGTTTTCCGTTGCCCAGAACCAAAGCCGTCTTTATTCAACTGTTACGTCCCGACTTCTGATACAGGGTAAGCTAGTCGAGGTTCTTGTGATTAAGTATCTCACGGAGGCTGAAATCTCAGACCCCGATCCTGACTGGATAGATTCGGAATCGAACTGTTGTTGAAAATGGGCAAACAGGCGGGTAGCTTGTGGTGTTGAGGCTGTGTGCCTCCTGCCGCCAGGTTTAACGATACAAACATGGAAGTCATCACCAAAATTTCAAATCTTGCGCGATAAGACTAATTTCTAATCTGAAAACGAAAAATTCTGACTTCGTTCTTTTCCAAGCTTCTCCTTTGCCATTGCCAATCAAATTATTACTCTACAACCTGAGTGGGGTGCCACGAAACCCTTACTGGGATATACAAACGGCAGGGTCTGAGCAACCCAAGAACGAAAATATAAATAAGATTCAATTAACTCGATGTTCGAGAATCGGACTCGAATACAGGTATTACAGATAATAAACTAACCATCCGTGCATTTTCCTCCTGGCACTTATCCGAGTTCCAGAATCTATATTGACCCCCATGACCGCCAAATCGCCTTTTCCGGTCCATTAGATTACCCATCTGCATTACCAACAGATACAGAAGTCCAAACTTTTATCGTTATCTCAATTTAAAATAGAGTACAATGAACTTCTTGCAGTTCGGCTGGGTAGTGTCATCAAGAGGGTGGGCGCTCGTCGGCATAACACTACCGTCAAGATTCGCAAGAGCGTTTCTCGTATTGAGGTGCTCTTCACCCGATAACTCGATCGATCCATTCGAGCCACTCCTTGTCTTCGCATAGCAGATCCATCGCGCTCTGTGAGAGACTCACAAAAAGCTCTTGAAACTCTGATGAAGCACGAGCAGGTAAAATCAGGGCAGTTCCCAAGTTCCACGAGCCATGTGCTCGTCTGATGGCATCAGGCTTCTCCACTGGAACACCCGGGATTTCCCACGTTACATCAGCTCCGAAGTGGCGCCAAGTGTTAAATGCCAGACATTGCGGCATCCTGGGATCAAAGTTGACTCCGATAATCCTGGGATCGGATGACGCTGACACCATCGCCAGCCGACGGCGGACGTATTCCTCGTCCACCGCATCGATAGACTGTCTGATCAGTGGGATCAAAGTTGCGAGAGTTGCTATGTCCTGACATGCGAGAAGGAGTTGCTGCCTGGTGGCTTTGGTGACTGCGGGAAGTGCTGCATTGCCAAAGTAATCGCCAGTCAGGTTCTGGAAAGCACGAGACCGCCAGTTTACCGAGTTCCATAACATGGCATCGCCTCGAGTTTCTGTCTCTGGTAAAAAGCTCTCGGCCGAGAGCCGGGCTCTGATGATATGCGCAAAGGAGAGCGCTGCCAGGCAAGTGTAGGTTGATGGTGGCTTGTCCAGCCGCAGATGGGCCTGCACCGCAGCTTGCAGCTGTGCGATCCTATCTCTTCTGAAGACGAAGATCTTACCGGTCTTTCCGATGGCTTCTAGTGGTGTGCCACTACTGGAGTAGAGCGGCTGGGTAGGGCCGTTGAAGTTAGGGAGTAAGGTGTACTCGGGGCATTTGGAAATCAATGAGAGCAAGGTGCTAGGGCTTTGACGGCGGGCTCCAGGACCAATGAATGTCTGTTCAGATGGTCGATTGATTGCATCGCCCCTTGTCTGTGCAGCAAAGCACTCCAGGAATATGCGCAGGGAGTCGCCATCGCAAAGAGAATGATGCAGGTAGACAGCCAGTAGTAGGCCTCCTTGGATGACAAGGGCGTGGACCCGGGACACCGGCAGAGGATCCGATTCCGCACCAATGGAGCCAGGAATGCCGAACTGAGGCTTTATGAAGAGAGAAGGGGGGAAGCCTCGGCCACGAATTTGCCCGTAGTCCTCAGTAACGTCACGTGGCCCAAGTGATACCTCGAAGGGGATCTGGTTCTCAGGGGAGTAGACCAGGTGTGCCAGGCCGGGTTGGGCGACGCTAGCAGCATGCAAACGTGCTGCGAAGAGCGGGCGTTCACATGCAAGGCGTTTTAAGGAAGAGTCAAGATGTCGTATTGTCTGTTCGATGCAAGAGTTGTTCAAAGGAAAGTTGAGAATGACGGAGATGTAAACTCTCGGGGAGTTCTGGTTCCAAATCGACAATAGTTCCGGACGACCAGTTGCATTGTCGAGTTCCTCCTGAATCTCCAGTGATCTGGACATAGGTTCGTTGGAAGGCGAGATCCGGACATTCGAGGTGAGAGCGATCATTATGTTACGATTTCTGCGTCTTCCGCGTTTCTGCGTGGCACGCTAGCTTGGAGTTAATATACCTACAGCATCCAGAACACTCCTGTCTTTTTCTTCCGGACTTGCCTTAATCGCCTGATTCTGGCAATCTGAGCAAGACTCGGGCTGGCGAGGCTGAGAAGCCTGGTTCAGCAGAGCTCAGAGCACAAATTGACGTAAACGGTGGAGGAAATCTTGGCGAGGACTGGATTGCTATCTCGACGAGGACGACCAAGTTCGCCTCGGACGACGTCCTCGGGAACTTGATACATGATCTTGCGTGCAAATGACGATCCCGTTGGCAACTGCAATCGAGGTTGTCTCGGAGTGAGACCACGACGTTGAAGAGGATGAGGAAAGCGCAGGTTGTTGGCTACTGGTAGCGTGCCGTGTCTTACAAGCGCGTTGGTGTTGGGCTGATATATCCCAAAAGTAGCTGGCTGCATTTTGAGTCTGCAGGTTCTCGTCACACCACGTAGCCGTCATATAGTGGGTATGTTAAGACGCAGGTTCAGCCCAATGAGGCAGACGGGGAAGATCCGACCGCTGTCACCAGACCAAGTATACGGGAATTTGCTGACCATTTCCTCCTTTGCGTGGGAATCGACAACGGCAAGCAAGGCCAGGGTGCTGGCTAGAGGGGCATTAGTGGACAGGGGGAGGTGGATATGGTTGGGGTTTCCAGGGTATAGTGCAGGCATGCCACAGTAGTCAGTAGTCACTACCTAGGTACTAGGCAGAGCACAAGGGGCAGAGGGCCCTCTGTGTAGTCGCATCTGAGGCGGAGACGGCCTGCATGGTGCCCATGGGTGTTGGCTGCGAACGCCTGTAGCGTGTTGTTCAGCATGGGCGTGCCGTCCTTTGGAGACTAGTTTCCTCGTGGCGACCTTCACTGCATCCGGCCCGCGACATTGTCGCCACGCTGGACTGGACTGAAGCCCACACTAGACTCAAGGCTGAGACCGGAACTCCTTCCGGCAAGCTCGTACGCCTGTCACCCCTAGCTCAGCCCTTTGGAATTCTCGTTGGGTCTCTCGCGGGTAGTCAGATGACGGAACCCGTCTCGTAGTTACTGCATTGGCGCGCTCGAGTCCACAAATATGACATGCAGAAGCTGGCCGCGATCGTTGGAACGATTGCAATGTACGTTAAGTCGAACGGGACGGCCGGGAGGTATCTAGCATCCACTAGACCAGAATTCTCCTTGGATCTTGCGCATGTTGCCAACGGTCTCCGTCCATTGTTGGCCATCCAAGGCCAGTCTTCACTGCAACCAGCTGCGGGTTGGCGGGGATCCATTTGATACCCAGAGTGGGCGGTCCCCAGGCCAGCGCCAACGCCCCACTGATGCGCGGCCCATTTCCCCCACGAAGGCGCTCCGATCGAGGGCTGACCTCTTCATCGGGATGGCCCCAGCCGCAGCACCGACTATCTATAGTAGCAGAATATCCCAATATATGGAAACGGCAAGGCGTATCCTGTTGCGCCCACTGACCCAATGCCTACCGTGGAGTGCTGACATGGAGTGCTGCTTGATTTGGCGAGATGCAGGGCAAATCGCCGAGTTGGAGGCTCAAGGAGGGTGGGTGGTAAGCGTACGGAGACCCGGGACAATACTAACTAGCAGGGTGTTGATCGCCTGGGGTCCCTCTCACCGCATGTTGCTACGGTAGGCCATGCTTCCCGAGATAAGGCGCCGGGCCAGAGCGTTGTCGTGGCCAACGTTCGCGGCAAGATATCAGCATCTTGAGTGGGCTAAGAAGGTGACCTGTCAGCTGATACGTTCCAACAATACCATGAAACTTCCGGTTACCGATAGTCCTGGAGACCAGAGAGGCTGACTGGGGTGGACCACTTCTTCAAACCTTGACCCCACGACGGACGGGTCGGCACGGTGTTGCAAGAAGCAAACATCCTACATGGCAGTCACTTTGACAAGCAACCGTACTTACAGTCCCCCCGCCAAAGTGGTTCGCGCCCCTGAAACTAAGGCAGCATGAACCCTCTGCGCCTAGAATCTGCACCCACTGCATGCTCAATCGTTGATCTCCTCGATGTCTGGCCCGGCGTCAGCTTGGCAAGGAGCGGGATGCAGGCGCCATGTCTATACCCGTTGGCCATGGTCTCCACAGGCTTGGACCATGAACCCTGCACGCTAAGTTACTCAATACCCAGTCACGGCAGCATCTCCTTGCGGTGAGTCGGTACCCGGCCCAAGTCTAGCTTCGTTGGGGCCGGGCGGAAGCGCGAGCACATCCGGTTGGCTTTACTTTTCCGGGGACCAAGGGTCACTGCAGCTACGTATATTCATGAACCTGATTATAGTTGGGAGCCCAAATGTGGAGCCCGTACGGGGTTCGATACATCAAAGAACACGTTGTGATGCTTTCTTCATGATATTTACTATTTGTCCGCATGCCTTCATGCGTCGCTACTTGGCCAACCTGCTGGCTTCAATAGATCGCTGAGTATAATCGCGAACAACCTCGGCACAGGCTGTGATGGGACGGACGCATTTCAGAAGTACTCGTGTACACTCCTTTTCCACACCGCCAGTGACTGCTTTTCTTTTCCCCTTCGGCCAATGCACAACTGCAATTCCCTTTCAAGCAGACGTTCATGGCCGTACGTATTGCTAGCTGCCTGCATGACGACAGATATCTTCCACTACTTGCTCCAGCAACAAGGCCGCATCAGTCAAAAGGGAATGTGTTGGGGTCATCTCAAGCTACAAAGGCGCTCAACCCTTTGCTGCGAACAGTATCTCCATTGCTCCACCACTTGCAGCTTTTGTCGTGCCATTTTCGAGCCTGCATGGATCTCGGTGTGCAACGCAATTGCCCCCTGCCGCCTTATGCATACCCACAAACGAAACTGAGACCTGAATGTCACAACAGCTAGGATGAACGCACACCTGTCTCGAAGAGCCGTGTGGAGTTGAGCTCTTTGGAGAAACAACAATGCCACATCTGTCACTTGAGGACGGCGTCCCTTGCTTTTCCCACGTAGATCATTTTTGCCTCTATTTTGAGTTTCATTCAACCAGTATAGGCCAACGATAGAGACTTCATTCCTTTTATCGCTACACATATACATATACATTTGGTGGCATGTTTTCATTCTGTCTGCTCTGTCCCTCCCCCCTCCCTCCCTCTCTCTCTATGTGTATGTGTGTGTGTGTGTGTGTGCTGCCAGGATCCCGCGGGATGTACTATCCTATATGATTACAATGCTGCGGCAGTTGGTTCTAGGATGTCTGCTAGATCCATCAAATTGCGGCACAGGCTCGAAGCGCCACCGTGCTTAAATATAGGCGATAATTTGTCTTTACCTCTGATAAAGTTATTTGTTTAGCGAAACAGTCTGGGCCTTTGCATCGTTATCGTCTATCATAACACTGCCAATGCCAAGTCTACCTGTTTTTAAACTTTTCTCATGGCTACGAAAAGAGTTTCTTGGGTAGTCTTGTTTAACATGAACCGAGACTATCATACTTCAAATATCGAGTGCAGAGATCAAAAAGGAATTCCAAATTTAGAAATATCAAGTGATAAGCTGAATTATTAGACTATGAACTAAGAATAGTAGCAATTGCTGTCTCTCAATTGAATAGTTTATGAGCATATTGTTCTCCCATGGCGCCGTTTAACTGCTATATCCCTATCAGCGGGCATACGAAAGCGGGAGATCCACCAATCGGACAATGTCCCTCTTTAAGGGGGGGTCCGCCGGGTCTTAAGCGGGTTCAAGAGAGCAGGGCTCCATTACCAACCTCTTACCTTTATGTAAATCCATTCGACTATGAACTCTCACAATTGCATCTGCAGGAGGTGAAATTGGTCCGAAATACCGGGATCACGGCTTCGGTCCCAGAGTCTAGAAGAAGCTTTGCAGACTTAGCATCATTTCGTTCCAGAACTCCCCACTGCTGTTGCATGACATGGAAAGATTTCGTGTAAAGACAACTTACCGTTACAGGAAGCTGCGGCTCCTTCCGCCTTGTTATCTTGCATTTGGCTTAAAAGCCACCATGCATGTAATAAGCTGTTACGTCAGGAGATGGTCTGTCGAGTATAGATGTGTCAGCACAGGCGCAGCAAAAATACATAATACGATCATGCTGCCCTGTTAATCACCTGGCCCCTCATGACATGTTCCATTAAGCTGAGTTCTTGAATCGTATCAACATCGAAGAACTTCCTATGCCGCATTGACCATGGGCTTCTCGTACTTTTTGCATTTCGTAGCGGTCGCCGCTCTTCTGAGTTCCGGAATCGTCAACTCAATTCCCCTTCCCATTTCCCAGCGAGACACCGCCGAACGCTACATCTTCGCGAATTGCATGAACAGCATAACCTCCGATACCTATGCAGCCATCTTCTGGTACTACCCAGACTTCTTACCGGACTTCCCCGAGCCACAGGCCACGGCCTACGTCAACAACCAGACGTCGGTCGACTTTGCAGGGAAAACCACCGTCGTCACCGACCCGTTCACGTTGAAGGCCACGATACCGAAAGGCGCGGCAACTGCCGCTGAAGGCAAATTGGTATCCACTGACGCCACTGCGGGCTCCTTCGCTGGGCCCATGGCGGTCATTAAAGGCTCCGGAGCGGCTTTCTACACCCCTGAAACGAATGTCAATTGCTATGAGGAATATTGGCAGCGGGATGTAAGTTTGAACGATTTCTCCAAAGTACGAATATCAGCCTGCTGAACCCTTTTAGAACCAGTCAATAGATCCTTGAGAGTGAAGAGTGATGATCATAGGTGAACTGGAGCGTCTCGAGACGCCTTCAGTTGAAGGGAATATTGATCGGCGGGAAAAGGAGTTCATGCCACGGCCGGCAGAATTTTTTTAAAAAACCAAAGAGTCGATTTGTATTCCAAGAAAAAAGATTCTCTATAAGAGAACTTATGAGATGGTATATACAGGATATCTCATGGAACTCAATGTCCCAAATGGCTGTTCAGTTTTTGATAAATTAACCTTTCACACGAGCAGCACCAGTACTGCGCGGTTGGCTTGGAACTCGACCCTAATTCCACTGTTTTGAACCCAGGGGTAGAAGAAAGTGTGGATTAATGGCTCCCTTCCTTGAGCGTGGCTATCATAGTGCTCAGAATACAGGAAACAATTGGTTGGTGTCGCTGTTCTCACGGTCAACATGGTCGACAGTAGGAGTTATGGCCAGTCTTGCCAATGCAAATGGTATTAATCAATTGTATATTCTTGCATCCTTTTGGCTATGGGGCCTAGTTATCTGGGCGTGGCTGCTGTATAGTCCTGTGATAAGAAGATAAGGCAAGGTGTGGCGTGATTATAGGAGAAATTGCACCATCACGCCGCAACTCCTCAGAGAGTGGAGATACGCGGCTTTCGCGTCCCGATCTCAGGGAACCGGGAGACATAAAAGCGCTATTAGTCGCTACAAACACACATATAGACCCGCTAAGGGGTGGTGCGATCAGCTGAGCTGGTGACGAATCTGTGGCTGGCTGGGCCAAGCAAGGTGTATACCGGACTCAGCTTCTTAAAGGCGCGAGTCATATAAGTTCAGGCCAAGACAACATTCTAGTCGAAGCCCTGTAGACAAACAAGTATGCGAATAAGATGTCGGCCGTCAACAAAGCTCGACGCTGGTACCATTGGTACTCCCCGGACGACAGTCCAGAAGAGAGGAAGCTGATTGCAAAGCTTGACCTCCTCATTGTACCATATGCGTTCATTTTATACTGGGTGAAATACGTCGATCAGACGAATATCAGTGAGACATGCAACGTACTGTTCGGTATTGTAGTAGCAAGTACTAATTGTGCACTCCTAGACAATGCCTACGTCTCCGGAATGTCAGACGAGTTGGGCTTCAAAGGAAACGAACTGGTACAGTTCCAGACGATTTTCGTAGTCGGAAACGTCGTCGGCCTGCTGCCTTTCATCTACCTCTTTCCTAGGGTCCCCATGCACATACTCGTACCCACTTTGGACCTGGGCTGGGGCATATTCACCCTACTGCAGTATCGTGCGCAGAGCTACGGCGAGATTATGGCATATAGATTCCTTGTCTCTCTGTTCGAGGTCAGCGGAGCCAAGACGCTCCTAGTGGAAAGCTGTTAATCTTAATTACAGGCTAGCTATTTCCCCGGCGTGCATTTCGTGCTCGGAAGCTGGTACAGGAGTGACGAGATCGGACGGCGGGGTGGAACGTTCTACGTCGGCTTGACCCTCGGAACACTGACAGCGAGCTTGCTCCAGTCTGCCGCCACCACCTACCTCGACGGCGTACACGGACTGGCGGGGTGGAGGTGGCTCTTCATCATCAACGCCATCATCACGCTGCCCCTTGCGTTCGTGGGCTACTTTCTCTGGCCGGGCACCCCGGCAAAGCCCAACCGCCTCGTGATGAAGGAGTCCGAGTTGGCGCTCGCCCGCTCGCGACTAGAGAAGGCTGGCGCACGGGTCCAGAGCACGCCCTTCTCCTTGCAGTTGCTGCGGAGGATATTTACTAACTGGCGCTTCTACATCCTCGTCGTCTGGGATATCCTCTTCTTCAACACCAGTTCCAACACGGCGTCGTTCCTGCTCTGGATCAAGAGCCTGCACCGATACGACACGGCGACCATGAACCAGCTCGCCGCCATAAGCCCGGCCCTGGGAATATTCTTCGTCCTCTTCATCAACTTCAGTGCCGACCTGTGGATCGGAAGGGCGGCTGCCATCACGCTGGCGTCCGCGATCAACTTCACGGGCCTGGTCATTCTCGCGATTTGGAACGTTCCCGAAGCCGCGAAGTGGTTTGCCTTTAGCATCACGTACTCCGCAGTTGCAGTGTCCTCGGTCTTGTATGGCTGGGCCAATGTGGTTCTGAAGGACAACATCGAGGAGCGCTCCCTGACGCTCATCCTCATGACGGCGATTGCCACGTCGACAAACGCATGGATTCCACTGTTCACTTACCCGACCGTCGAAGCGCCAAGATTTCCCAAGGGCTACGTCTACTCGGCGGTCATGGTGGTACTTTTGGTCATCATGACGCAGGTCGTCCGGATCCTTTTCAATAAAGATGGGTTAGTGTTGATTCACATGTTCCATACCATAGGGCCAATTTTCTAACGCTTGCTAGCAACCGCACACACGGACAGGATGCGGAAATCATTGACGAGGTCGAGGCAGATACGAAGTCCAGCTCTCTACCTCTGGTATCAGACTCGAAGCAGGTAGAGCAGGGCGTTGCACAGGTATAAAGGACTGAAGTCGTTGGTTTAGGGTCGGTTCTCCAACTCATAGACTCATATCATATAAGTCTCTGGCGCGACTCAATGAATGAGTGCTCCCTTAGACGAATGGGTCATCTAATGCGTAATTGGAAACCAGTTCACGGAAGTATACGTTCGTGGGATAAGAATAGGAGCCAACAGGAACACTGCAAAACTGGTGGCTAACATACTAGGCTTATCCGACGGGTATATAACTGAACCTCCATTATTTTTCTTTTGTCTTTTTCCGAGGCTCGGTGACGGACCATGAGTTTGACCTGATATGAGTAACTGGACCTGCTGTCCACCACGGTACTCAATATTGAGGACTAGTTAGTAGTGGTCGGTCACAACGGTTGGGACCCCGTACCAGCTATCCCGGGTTAAGCCCCACCAACTACTGTTATCGAGCTAGTTATGCACTGTATTTACTGTACTAAGATACTAGTGATGAGACAGTGCGCAGTGACGCCCAGGGCCACTGAAACATGTCGTCATTGCTCACAGCTCGCCGGAGCTCCAGCTCCAGGTCCAGCCTCAATTGATTGACCTCGAGGGACGCGCAGACAGCCCAGGTCATACAACCCGTAACACTTGGAACTCAAACCTACGTCCACACCTCCACCGTCCAATCCAACCCACCGCCCCGAGAATCACCATGGCCTTCCGCGCTCTGTCCTCCGTCCCCCGCGCCCTCGGCCAGCGCGCCGCCGCCGCCAGTCCGCGGCTCATGTCGCGGCCGGTCTCGCAGCAGCAGCGGCTATTCCACGCGTCGCGGCCGGCCGCCGTGGCGGTGGGCGACGCGCTGCCGAGCCTCGAGGTGCTGGTGGAGAACAGCCCGGGCAACAAGGTCAACCTGGCGGACGAGTTCGCGGGCGTCAAGCGCGGCGTCGTCGTCGGCGTGCCCGCCGCCTTCTCGGGCGCCTGCAGCCAGAAGCACGTCCCCAGCTACATGCAGCACCCCCAGGTCGCCCAGATCATCGCCGAGGGCGGCCAGGTCGTCGTCGTCAGCGTCAATGACGCCTTTGTGTGAGTTTCTTCGTCCACCACCACCACCAGCGGACGGACAGACGGACAGACAGGAACTGACATGTACATCCCGGCGCAGCATGAAGGCATGGGGCGACCAGCTCGACCCGGTCCAGGAGTCCGGTGTAAGTTCTGCTTTTCGATACTTCCTCATACTCGGAGTCAGCTGAGCGCCCGCAAATAACCCACAGGTCTTTTGAACACCAACCGGGCTAACCTTTGGCTTCTCTAGATCCGCTTCCTCGGCGACCCGGCCGGCGAGTTCACCAAGGCGCTGGACCTGGACTTTGACAGCACGGCCATCTTCGGCAACCGCCGCGCCAAGCGCTACGCCCTCGTCATCGAGGACGGCAAGGTCAAGTCGGTGCACGTCGAGCCGGACAACACGGGAACGGACGGTACGTTTACCCCTTTGCGGGTCCTCCCCCTCTCCTTACCGGCCCGTCCCTTTTACTGAAAACAGAATGGCATGCTAACCCGGGCTGACAGTCTCGATGGCCGACAAGGTGCTTGGTTAAGACCAAAATTAGAGATTGTTCTTGGGAAGCGCAGCTGATGCAAGAGCGTTCCTGGCGTTGTATGATAATTACGAATGAAAAAGGTTGGAACATCTTTTAGCATTTTTGTATCTCATGCCTGTGGCCGCACCTGCATTGCGAGTGACATGATGTACCATGTATTTTCTCGAGCCATGTGTCACTTTTTGGTCAAACATATAACAAATGGGTGAGACAGTGGGCCCCAAGCCCAAATAGCAATGCTCTATTACACAGCGCTACCTAGCGAAAATGCTCAAAAACCAGTGACAAGACAACCATATCCACCTAGCCCAACGCCTATACGCCATCATGGGACCCCGGTCGTCGTAATGAAAAGCACTCTAGTAGTTGTCCCGCTCACAGGTCCGTGGTAACTCAGAAGGAAAAAAACAAATATGCTGCCTCTTATCCCGGACTCGTATGACACCTATTTACGCCCGCCCGATTTCAAGTCGACGTTGAAGGTCCATCGGCCTGCCTATGATTAGCATTTGCGTGTGCAACGATTGAAGGGGGGACTTCTTACCATCAGCCAAGTTCTCGGCCGTGTCCTGCAATAAGATGAGACGCCTCTTGTTGCAGTAGGCCGTCTTGTCCATGATCTCGACCTTGAGCTTTGGGTCCGCCAGGTCGGCGACGGGCTTCTCAAACATCTCTGACAGGTTCTCTACGGCAAACTCCAAGTCTTTCTGGTTGTCTTCGAAAATCTCGGTAAGATTGTTGCGAGCGAGGTAGAAAGCAAAGGCGTAGGTCCACTTCAGGGTCTGCCGACAGGTCTGCAGGGCCTGGGAGGCCGAGTTGAGGTACTGGACCTCGATCCACGACATGCCCGACGCCGTCTGCAGCTGGACCATCTTCTTCTCCGTCTTGATGTAGATGTCCTTGTCGAGGCGGGCCGACTGTTCGTGGTTGGCGTAGCGGTTGTAGTAATGCAGGTAGCGTTCCAGGGACTTGCGCGACTGGGCTTGGGCGTCGCGGGCGTCGGTGCCGCTCTTCTCGTCGAAACGACTGCAGTTGTACCACGCGGTGCCGTGCTCCGACCAGAGTCCCATACACATCCAGCAGAACTCATGCTTGCACTTGCGGCAGGTCATGTGGTTACACCCGCCGTTCTTCTCTATCGTGGAGCCGCACTTGGGGCACTCCTTCGTGTTCGCGGATATCCAGTTGGCGGTCTCGCTGTCGTCGGCGCACTTCTTCAGCCACTGCTTGACGAGCTCGCAGGGTGCCGGCTGGTGGTCGCTCAATATGCAGCCAAAGCAGAAACGGTAGCCGCACGCACACGCCACGGTGGGGACGACCTTGTCGAGATCCTTTCTCTTGACGGCACACTCGACGGCATTCTCGCAGTCGGGTGCGGGGCACCACTTGAGTATATCCTTATCCTCCACATAGGTGCGGTTCAGTAGCTCCCGGTACCGGCCGGACAGTTCCGCCGTCACGAGCAGGTCGAGGGAGCGGGCGTCAATGATTCGCGAGCAACCATCGGACGGACACTGAATGCGGGCGGCCTCGCCCTCCTCCCGGATCTTCTGCGTCAGGTATTGGCGATAGCAATCGACACAGAAGCGGTGGCCGCATTTCATGGCGAACGTCTGGAGGCCGTCATCGTCGTCGCAGCAGATGTCACACATGAAGCCCGGGACGACCTCGAGCTTGGGGCGGACGGCGCTGTTGTTGCTGAGACCGGCGTCTTCCAGAACCTTGGTCGGCCTGTCCATGTAGTCCTCCATCAGGCGCTCCTTGTTCCAGCGGAAGTAGCGGAGGAGGATGGCGGCATCTTCTTGCTGCATCTCCAGGATCATGTTGACCTCGTCCATCATGTCGTGCTGCTGGGTCATGATGTCATTCGGGGTGTGGACCTTGTAGCTGACGTCGTAGGCCACCCGCTTCTTGGGCTCCTTCTGCGACCCCAGATCCGGCTCGTCGTCGGGGTCCTCGTCGAAGGCATCAAAGTCTGGGGGGGATCAAAATCCGGATTAGTAAGAGCGTGTGTGGGTGGGTGGGTGGAAGATCGTAGCGATCAAGACCGAAAGAACGGACGGACGGACGGACGGACGGGATGGAACATGGGAACATGGGAACGTGGGAACATGAACATACCCTCGGCATCGTCGCTCTCGTCCTGCAGAAACTCCTCCTCGCTCCCCAGGGTGGACGCGAGGTCCTCGTCGGAATCCATGGTGGCAGGTGTCGGAGGGGCGGCTTCCTCCTTGACTGAGGCGATCTTCTTGCTGGGGGCAGCAGTGGTGGAGGATACAGCCTCAGCCGCCTTGCGCTTGCGGGTGGTGGGAGGAATGTTGGTCGGGATGGGCGGCGTCAAACGAAGAGAGGGCTTCGTTTGACGGGACAAAGGGCGGGTGTGCGAATGCGGGCGGCGGGTCGGACGAGAAAGGTGGTGATGACTGGAACCGGCGTTCGCGTGACTCGATCGGGGATGTGTCACGTTGAGTTTGGGTTTGGTTGAGTTGGTGGTGGTTCTGCGTCTCGGTCGGAGGCACGGGGGGGTGGGTAGGCAGGCGGCGGGCAGGCGGGCGTCGGGTTTAGTGGGTAGGAGGGAGTAGTTACAGTGGACAACCTTGGGCGTAGGCGTGGGACCGCAGTCTTGTAATGGGGGATGGGGGACGGGGGGGCAAGGGCGGGACCTGGTTAGATGCGTCGATGGGATGGGCACCAACGAAAACACTAAGTACCTACGTACTTGAACTACCGCTGTCAAGTCAAGTACTTGTCGTCGGGCAAACACGCAAGTAGCCAAGTTTATTAGACTTGAGGGTTTAGCGAACGGGACCAAAAGAACAAGCGAACGGGTTCCAAGTTGGCGGGCACCACGCGGGTCCACAGGTCGGGCTGTCTGACGGCGGACGGGGGAGGGGGGAGGAAAACGGGTCTCGGTCTCGTCTCTCTGACTAGGTGCCTAGTCTTAGTTCAACAAGGTACTTGTCAGCCTGTTTAATATGTCGTGCCGCCGCCAGTGAAGCAATCCGGCGTCCTCGTGCGTGTCTTTTGGTGTTGAGCCCAAGGTTCCTCTAGTGCTTCGATGTCCGCCGTCCTTGCAGTCAGTCGTCCGGCTCTACTTCCCGGATTCTGGCGGCTCTCAAAACTCGAACGAAAGGGGCAGGAACATTTATTTTTTCTGGCTAACGCAAGCGTCGTCGACTCTTCAGTCAGCATGTTCATGCAGACCGGACAGGAGAGGCTACCTCGGATAGGTTGACATTCGACCACACGGACAATGAATGACCCATCCATTGGCCCTGTCCTCCAGGGCTGCGGCTGACGAATCGAGACCGAGACGGCTCAGCTGTTTAGTCATTCCAGGGGACTGGCCAGCCCTCTCCTGGCCTCTCTAGCGGACAACTGACGCCTGAAGTCGGGCTGCTAAGCATCATGGGCCCCCTCCCCTGCAGGGCACAGGGCCACTTTGGTCTTGCCTGATTGCCACTTGGGTCCAGTCGGCCAGCCCGCCGCTCGGCCGCTAGTCTATTTGTGGCCCATTATGTCATTAACTAACTTGCGCTGCCTGCGCTGGCCAGAGACTCGACGTGCGCGACTCTCGAGGAGCTGTTTCACTCATGGGCCCGATGGGCTATTTTCTGCAAGACGAAGACCCGGTGCCTGATTTTCCACGGGCGTGTATCAGTCACGGGCGAGGAGCCTTGTGCTCGAGCATCTGGTGGCACCTATGAAACGCGAACTCGCTCGCGGCAGGCCCGCGGCAGGACCCACGGCGCACGCCGGGACGCTAAGAAAGATCTTATCGCGCCCCGGCCGCGATTCGATAAGGCGGGTCCCTGCCCAGGTGGTCCTGCAAGCACCGAGTCAGTTTAATCAGTCGCCAAGAGCGTTGGCGACTCTACGCGACGGGCTGCGCGCGCTCGCTGGCTCAGTGGCAATCCATTACCAGGCTATGACTTCCGTATTGGCGCTCAACTTGAAGTTTGCAACTGGCTAGCTCACACCTCTCGAGACACAAAATGCAGCTTGGTGGGCTTGCAAGATCTGAGTAGGTGCGTATGCTGTACTACCTCGTTTGTGTTTACTGAATGCCATCCATATTGCTCTATGAGAAACCTTGCCGGCCTACCCCAGTTGGTTGAATAGCAATCCTGCGGCAACATTATGTCAAATCTGGATTCAGAAACTAGATCAACATTTAAGAATTCGTCATATAGTGAATGTCTGTCGAAGCTGAGAGTATTGTATTAGGGCAGCCCGGACAGTCGCGCCACAGTAACTGCTGGTGGCTTAACATTCTACTTGTTCCTGGCATCAGGCCGAAATTTGGTCAAGAGCGAGCTTTCCGTGGTCAGCTTTCAGGAAAACGTTTGGTGCATGGGGGAAGAGCTTACCGGCCCAAGACTCGAAGAATTGCACCACTGGCAGCATGAGAAGAAACAGCGGGACCAGTTGGCCGAAACCCAGTCCGTTTTCCTTCTCCTTCTCCGACTCGTCCATGATTATGTGCCCGTTGTCTCGGTCGCTGAAGAGCCAGTAGTATCCGAGGACGTGCCACGCGATCTGCTCCAGAATGGCTTCCATGTCCGATGACAGAAAGAACCATACCGACAGAAAGAACGCTTTCAGCCCTTTTCCCAGAAGGCTGCCATGTTGGCCCCAGTTGACTTTCTGGCCTGCTGCCACGAGGGATTTGTCATCGATGAGTGTAGGTCGACATTTATCCACCCAGAAGATCCGGCTCCCTCTCGAGAGCATGAAGAGGGCCAGAGGGTACGTATAAAGGACGAGAACAAAGTTGACTATAGCCCACTGCAGCGGACTACCACCCTTCCCATATGGTAGCGTACATTGGGCAGGGCAATCGAGCACCCCGTACCACTCCGAGCACGCTGATACCCACGTGAGATACAGGAGCATGCCCGCCAGGATACACATCAACAGGGCCCGAATAAGGCTCGGTAGTTTTGCCTTGAATTGTCGAGGTCTTCTGGCATTGTTAGCCGGCTGACGCTGGTTCGGTTTCACGCTCTGCTCGAAAGACCGCACGACCAGCAGCGATAAGATGTGGGTATTTGAGCTGAACCACACGAGGTCGGTGACGATGTTGAGGTGGTACACCGTGATTGAGCCGTTGTAAAGCTTGATAATGGCCGTGACCAGAAGCGCGATCCCTGTGACGAGCTGCTGATCGCTCAAGCCGACGACCATGTCGTATAGGACTCGCCCCCAGACTTGAGAATTGTGATGGCCAATGAGATTTTGCACGGGTTCGCACATGTAGTGGCGGAAGAACTCGTCGATCGGATTGTATGTCGGAAGTATATTATTTCTAGATAACACCAGGCATAGTATGGTGGCGAAGAGTGTAAGGCTGGCGGATGTGAGAAATGCTGCGACGACCTTTGACAGATGTTAGTAAGAACATAATCGGAATCAAGGAAACGTGGGCTTACCCCGATTCCTGCGATATCAGGATCTGCCTCAATTGATGGACAATCGCAGTTCAAAAAGTGGTCTTTGCAATTCCAAACTTTTCGCGTGACATTATAAGAAGGGCCAATATGGAAGCCGTCCCTCCAGCAAGTAATAATCTCAGAATCCATGTCTTAATGGTCTATTTGGTGACAGAAGCGTTTATTTCGCAAGTTATATTCTTGTGGAGATGGGATTGTTGCCTTCTATAAGAATACCGATCAAACGCGGAGAGTTTTCCAGGCGCTCACTGTGCCGCTCGTCCAGAGGAGCGCCCAATGGAAACAATGTATGATGGACTGTCTTACTCTTCAATATATGGTCAAAGACTGTGTTGGTTCTCTTTCCAATGAATGGCATACTCACTATAAAGATACCAAAACTTGGCTCTATCTAAGACTTGTAAGCCCCTTCCAGTGGTTACCGAGATGCAGTAGTTACTGGTCAACAATCAAGTCTTCAGGTGACAAGGCAGGATAGATATATCCCAGCGTAGATAAGGGAATGTTTCTGCCAGCCGCAGCCGTGTATGTAGTTGCATGCGGCTGAACTTGCTCTGGGCTTAAGATCCTTGTTAGAATCAAGCCACGCTTCATAGAACAGCGGCAAATCTACTATGCCCATACGAATAGAATAGCCTTGCGTCCCATTATCTACTGGCTGTCACCGAGCCCCTCAGTTTGGGCCTGCTGGACTAAAGCAGAACACAGAAACGAACATCAATTTCTGATTCTTTTGGTTCCATCGTTCTCAGTCATGTTGGCGAGATGTACAAAACCAGCTCCATCGTCTTATTCACAGTTATTTGCAGGCTGGCTCTTCTCAAATCGAATGCCCTGATCTTTCCATTTGCTGCTTTTCTGCGAGGCTGTACAGTTGCATCAGCCCTCCTTGCTTTTTGCCAGCTCTGAAACACAAGAGCCGTGAAGCGTCGGTAAGTATGAAGGGAGTGGGAGTGCTTACACTTTGCGCATTGAAAATGTACTGAGTTGGCTGAAAGCCTTCAAAGTACAGTTATCTCCTAGTGCTAATACCAAAATAAACATCTCCATAAAGCACGTACACGTACGCGCATAGATTCAAGAAAGTGCATTAGTTGCTAGTTTCCTGCACCGCAAAACTGTCTCTGGCTCTCACTACTTCTTGCCATTGCCATACCGTGAGTTTCATACGTGCTCGTTGGAACACGCTCAACCTGAGAAGGTACTAGACTGTAAGGTCCGTTTCGCTTGCCTCACCCGGGCCAGGCAGTCATTGCCCCCACCGAGGGACACTAAGCCATCCCGGCCATTCAGCTTTCATGTGGCTTCATGCCAAGAAGGTTACATCCTGCCATAGCCTGCCTAGCCTGCCGTTGACCGTGGGGAGATGCCCTGGGGCCGACATGACACCTCGCTGATTGATCTAATACACTTGCTGCTGTGGTGAAGGCACACGTGTCAACGCAGACGGAAAGGCTCGCCCAAGAGGCACAGAGATGACTCCCCCCCCGGTTTATTGCAAAACGTCCCTCCATAATTCTTTCCCAACAGAACTGATTGCCACTCCCAACCGTCATGACTGATGACCTTTCTGCAACAGAGGCTACCGAAGGCCGGTGCAAAGAGTGTCAAAAGGCAGTGCTGACGGACCGGAATAGGAGTCTTTTTGTCGCCCAAAACTCGGCTGCTCATTACTATGCTACTCTTGAACGTGATATCGTGGAAATGAGAGTTACCACGAACTATTTCCGGACTGACTCTTTTCCGGAGCTCCCACATTTGGAAGTGTCTTCACGACTAGGATGTCAATTCTGCGCTTTTCTGCATAAAATCTTACGTTCAAGAGAGGTTCGTACTGCATTCTGTCACAAGTTTGGTTTGGGTACTGCAAGTACTCAAGTAAATTATGCAATCAAATTATCCGCCATAATCATATAGGAGCGCGAACATGTAGGAGTCATACCCAGCATTAGTCTGGTAATACATATGAACTTTCCCGGTCCTCACATCTCCTGGGAAGTCTCTTGCTTGGTCAAAACCACAGAAGGTGAGTAATCTCTATCAACACCTGACTTATAACACAATACAGCCTCAGCTAACGTTCCTTATTGGTAAGGGTACCAAATGACTGCAGACTTCCTAGGCAGTTCTGGCTTGGAGATTCCGTATACAGACCCTCAGACTGTGGGTGACGGAAATCTCGCATACAGGATTGTGCAGAAAACCATACGCACAGATTGAGGGAGCCTACTTTTACACCGAACGATTGATCGATGTTCAAGAGTAGCCGCCGAAATTATTAGATTGCCTTGACATGCCTAAGTTCTCGTCGTTAGCAACCAAGTACACAGCACTCAGTTACTTCTGGGGCACAACAGAAGAGGCAAGATCACAACTGACGATGACGATGCTCACAATTGAAGTGCGACGTCGCGGAACACCTGACGAGACTTTACCTCCACTTGCACGCGACGCCATTCGAATTACAAGACTCCTGTCGATCCCATATCTTTGGATAGGCTGTCTCTGCATTGTTCAGGATGGCACTTCAGACTGGGAAGAGCAATGTGGTGAAATGGATAAGATATACGGATGTGCACAAGTATCAATCATTGCAGCAGCATCTGAGTACTTGGGGAATGCAATTCAATTAGACTCTTCAAGCAGTGCACTGTCGTCCGGAGGGTGGGCATTTCAGGAGGCCTTCTTATCCACCAAGAGGATCTTATTCGGAAACTGGAATGTGTACTTCCTTTGCCCCCCTTCTTACCAGACTAGGGGAGGCTCATTGAAGTATGAAGCATATGACGCAACTGGCCATGATTTTGAAAAACGCTTTCTCGAAGGCGGGCGATTTGATCTATATGATTACATTAAGGATGAGAACGAAGATGCCGACCAATGGCAGTGGCTACTGCTGGGAAGCTGTGGAGAGCACAACGCCTGCACCGAAATCGTTGAGGGAGCGTTTATAACTTTCCAAATTAGTGAAGACGAGCAGGATAATATACAAAACAAGGATCAGTCCTGGCAGAGGGTGGTCACATTTACGAGAGTCCAGAAACTTGTCAACAAGCCGCCCCCTCGAAGAGTCACCAAGCCGCCCCCTCGAAGAATGCGAAAAGGGGACGAATGACATGAACCAGGATGACCCTAACCGAGCGCAAGACAGTCTGGAGGAAGTGTGCAACGACGGGTATTCGTCCACTGACACATCAGAGATCCCACAGAGGTACCCATATGGCTTACTTCTACAGGAGGTCCCGGGGTCGCTCGAGTGGTATCGGATTGGAGTTTTTGAGCCACTGCAATCGGAATACATGGTCATGGAACATGAGCGCTCATCAAGATCAGAGCATCAAAGCCAAAGCAACGAGACCACACTCACTCGAATGTCTTTGAATGAATTCAGGAATATAAGTGAGATTGAGACTTGCAAGATCGTATAATCACCGCTGTCAAGAACGACAGACAGATGGAGCAGTACTCGACAGGGTTGCCGCAACAACCTCACGTCACAAATTGTACCAGCACTTGGTAACTAATAGCATCAGGCGAACTACATTTGAAGGCGCGCTAGTACCATTCGCACGCCGAGCTACTGTACAGTCATGATCCGGGTCAACTATCGCTGGGCGTAACGCTTGCAGTTCTCAGCCGCACCCCGCACTCGAAGGTGATTCCCTTGCTCGACGTGCCAAGATAATAATTGCACTTGGAGGAGGATAACGCTGCTTTCACATACATTCAGGGGTAAATCCTTGATGTAGAACAATATCAAGGCTCAGAGACCCAAGGACACGACAGCGCCATGACCGGGACGTGGTTCCTCCCACCAGATTTTACCTTTACCACAACTGGGCCGCTTCGCCTCGGCATGGTCATCTCACACTGGTCCAAACCCACCGCCGTGCTTGCGACCCTTGGTTCCGGAAATGAGGTCCAATTGCCGGCTACGGCGACCATCGTGGAGTCGAACCATGCTCACAACCGCTCAAGCTCCCAATCCACCAGCCTTGGCATGTGGGCCAAGTTCGAGGGCATCGCGTCGGCATCAGCCAACCAGAGTATCGGCAAGAGCAGAAGCATAGATTACAGCAAAACGGACCACGAGATTCGCTTCTTCTCTGACCCGGTGACACCCGAGGCCGTAACCGCGATCGCCAATCTTCCGGCTGTACGGGCACATATCGACTCAGGCCTCTTTGGCAAGCGGCCCATCTATCTCGTCTCGGGGCTGCGCATCGCCACTTCGTCCTTCACTGTGACGACAGAGAACAGCTCTCAACTGGCACTGGGAGCCGAGGCATCCGGACCACCGGCAGGTACCGTACCTGCTGAAGTTGGCGGGAAATTGGAACACGAACAACAACGGGCCGTTACCGACTCGTACGATACGGCCCCGGGAATCGTGTTTGCATATCGGCTTCACGTCATTCGAACCCGCAGAGCGGGATCGGAGGCGGAGCTCTTCAGTCACAAGGGCGCGTTCTTGACTGGCGAGCGAGAGCAAGAGAAGGAGCCATTGCTCCTCCTCGAAGCGACAAAGGATGAAATCGATGGCGACGTGGAGGAAGATGTCGAGTACGAAAGCGTGGATGTTGGAGAGGATGATTTGTGCATTTATCTGCCGCCGAAGGGATAACACACCTTCCCCCAACGTTGATTGTTGTATTTGCCCTGCTTATTCCGCTATTGATGTTTGTTGTTTCTAGTTTTACGATGTCCGCTGCTGCAACAACTCTATAAGCTGCGCCTGACTTCTCATTAAGGACCTGCATCCTATGACCCCATGTTTTCCCCTTTCGCTTTGCGAAGATTTCAGTTTGCCTCAACCCACGTACACAACATTATATATAGCAATCCAGTATGTCAGTCAAGCCACGAATTCTAACCAACTATGTTCACGAATTAGTATTGATTAAAACATAGTCTAGGGGTGTATTAGAGAGGTATTTTTAAATCTATCATGACGCCACAGCCTTATGTCTTATACTTCTTGGCCTCCAAATATTGACAAATCCAGACTCTTTCTGCACTGTTGTGTGACCTGACACAACAAATAACCCGACATTTATCACCTTTTCACTCTATGCACTGCTCTCTGCCTCTGAATGCATCTTACACCAAGGGTGGTCAAGGACCTGTTGGATATCGTATCTTTGACTGTGGTCCCGGTTGAGCATACATCGGACGAGATCAATACTCTCATCACTGATGATGAATGGCACTCGCAGGTCACGGTCCATAATTTCGTCGACGCTGTAGAATGGATTTTCCTTGTAAAGAAGGATGTACAAGACAATCCCTAATGCCCATATATCTTGCTCTTTGCCGTTGTAGGATTTCCCATGTAGAACTTCGGGGGTCGCATAGTCTGTGCGGTTATTAGCTTAACATATCAACCAAGTTGTTCAATCAGCAACATGAAGACTCACCAATAGTACCCACAAAGACGTCAAATGGCCCGGTTTTTACGTAGGCCGCGCTTCCGAAATCGATGAGTTGAAGATTCCCTTCGCCGTCCAAGATAAAGTTCTCATCCTTTATGTCACGGTGTACGACTTGTGCAACAACATGCAAGTGGTATACAGCTTCTGCGGCTTGCAAAAAGATATTCCGGCATTCCCGTTCATGCATGTTCGCACGAAGCTCCACATAATCGAAAAGATCGATCCCAGGTATGCCGTGGGGTACCATCTCAATGTAATAGTTCACTTCGTCTTCGAAGAAATCAATCATCTCAACAATTTTTGGATGTTTGAGTTCAGGTCGTCGGAGGTAGTCTAGGACGTGGATCTCGAGAGGGACAGTGCCAAGCCTCCGGTCCCGGGTCCACGTATCCACAAGGATTCGAGACTTCTTGATGTATTTTAGAATAACCTTTGTCGAAGTGTCTTGCTTGTATCGAGCGAGTTTGACCTCGGCATAAGCGCCTTGCCCCATTTCTTCGAGGATCACAAAATCGTTTATCGACTTCTTCTTTGGAAGCTCAGTATTATCTGGCCGTTGGGCCCCGCCGACTGGATTGCTGAACGCGGGAGCTTCTTGCAATTTGGACTTTTCTAGATGAACTAAAGGATCGGGCGTTTGGCCTTGCTGCTTATCTGCAGTGTTAGCGGTATTCTCTGTATAACTATCGCGTTTCGATTCATCCGGATCTGCTGCACTCGTTCTGCTGTGAGACTGGGAACCAGTTGCGTCAATAGGGATACTCGCTGCTGATGACACCTCCCTAAACAATGTTAGATCTAGAGCTTCACGTAGATTGATTTGCAACGACTCACGTGACGTTCCAGAGAGCCTCATGCAGCATAGTACGCTTCCATTCTTCCAGCCTGTCTTCTTCCGTTTCTTCGGCTTCGGGGTGATCATGTTCCATGTGCTGATAGAAACCATTCTCGCCAGTGGTGCCCTGAGATAGACAAAGAGGACAACACCAATTCCTCATGCTACGTCTTCTCCTGGATTTGAGATGGCCTCGCATCTTCTGGGACATGTATGAGTTCTGTGTGGGGAAGTATCCGTTGCTAGAGTCATCAACAAAATACTCATTATGAGAGAAATAGTCCTGGGTGGGGTAGACTGGCAACCTAAGCTCGTCCTCAATGAGCCGAGGCGGATTCTTGTCCAGGTCGCAGAGGTGCAGTGACACCTCACTGTCCATTGCTGACATGCTGGGCGACTCGTCAGTGCTTAAGAAAAGCTCCTGACCTTGAGGGCCATTGACGATGTGTATCCTCCGATCGCGGTCGAAGACAGGAGCCACGCCTTCTGCCCATTCGGCGATGTTGAAGACGTGAGTATTGCCTTCGTCGTCTTCTATAAGGTTGATTGCGCGACTGAAGTCGAAGGACCCCGCAGATCTAGTTAATGTGACAGGTTGACGATCTGGCCACGGGAGGGATCGGAGAGAGAAATCATGAACATGCTCAAGAACATGTTCAACCAAGTCTGGAGAGTCTCGTGGTCCCGCAGAGTCACACAACGGACATTGTGTAATTCCCATGATGCTGACTTCTGCTTTACTTAGCAACTCCTCAAGTTCATCGGAACCGACAAAGTCATGATCAGAAACGAAATGGGTTGTGATTTCTGAGACCGACGAGAAAATCGGAGGGTCGCCTTCACAGCAGGGGCACTGCCAGCAAGGCGGATGGTCATTAATGACGTGATCGCTCCATTCTTTCCTGGTTACGAAGAGACTGTAAGGGGTTGGACAGTTCTCAAGCACACAAGTATAAGGGCACAGATCGTTGGCAACGTGTTTCCTAACCTCATTAGTGCTCCATTCCTATCGTACAAGATACCCTTACCTCCATTGGCTGTCTTGCAACTCACTCGTCGGAATGGCCTGACAGCAGCAGGGACATTTCACCATCTTCTGATCCGGGTTTTGCGAACGCCGTGCTTTGGGATACATTGAGGCGGCTGTGATGCCCGTGATACGAGTCGCTGTTGAGGTGCCCTGCCGGTCATGTGGAAGCCCTCTCCATTCAGAATCCAACCTTGAGGCAGATGTCGCAGGGATCGTCAATACATTATCCCCAGCGTTAACACGGTGTGCCTGTTTGCGCCGTATCGCTGTAGCTATATTGCCCTCCGTTGTGCTCTCTGTTTCGGACGATGCAGTAGCGACCGCGGGATGGGAATTGTTCCCAGAAGGAGCTTTCAAGCCTAGAGAGTGTCTCTGAGCTTCGACAAACCGATGTCGTCGTCTCAGATTGGCTTCGACAAGACGCTCTTGGATTGGTGAGAGTTCCAGATTGGTAAAGTAGCTGAAGCTATGGATATCCTTGCCTTCGTCATCGGGCCGTCCTGTGATAGTTGGTTTTGACACAACAACGCATGTGAGATGGGCTCTCAGGTCCAGATAGTGGTGCTTATTCTCAATGAAGGAGCTATCCGCTTTCAACAATCTTGACTTGCGGCCACTCCGCCTAATTTGCAGTCCTATAAATGCTAGACTGTCCACAGTTGAATCGATATTCGTGAGAATATCTTGCACGCCGGCTTTCGTTGTTGCAGCGCTAATGCACTCCCGCAAGAACCCATACAGCATCAGGAGAAGTTCTATGATGAAGCGCCTGTCACTGGGTCGGTGCTGGAGTCTCGAGTCAAGAGAAGCCCTTCCTTGAGCGGCTGCACCGACGCTGTCCACCCAGAGTCTTAGATCGGCAAGTTTGGTTCGCAAATGGTCCCGGTGTATGCCTTCCAGATATCTGATGCAGTCGCGAAAGCCCTCGATGCATAGTGTCGCAACAGCGGCCGTTGAACTGTCGGTGTGGTTCATCTTCGCTTCTGCCCTTACTGAGCTCAACCAGTTGCTTCTCGCAGCGCCAACCGGGTCGCATCACGACGTGCAAGGTGCAGTGGCCAAAATTAAGATAGAGAGTGATGTTTTCAAATTACACGCGAGTAGCTTGACCGGATAGCCGCAAGGCAGCTTCATCCTAATGTCTTTTGGAGGTGTATTATGAGTGACAGTGGGAAGAAGGCAGAACGATCGCTTGTCTTCGCATTCCGGAAGATGCGTCGTTCACGTTTGGATCATGGCCATCAGCTCGTCCCAAGGCTAAACCTCAGCTGGTACAAGGTGCGGGGCTGGTCGCATGGAGGGTTTTTTGACATTGAGGTATAGGCCAGATAAGCAGCTGAACTTTCTTTTCTGGTACCAATCCACGTATTGAGTGCATTGGTACCTTGGGAAGACGTGAAGCGGGGTTGCCGCGAATATGTTGACTAGTGCATCGAGGCTGAATCCCAGCGTTCATGTGTCCAATCACCTGGTGATTCCCAGTCAGTAGGGAGCTGAATCTAGATTTTTGGTCTTGTCGCTGAAGTCGCCCATGTTCGTGATTTGGCTGTGGATCATAATCGTAACAGATTCTCCTTGGCAACTTCCATTGACTGGATCCCACCTTCAAACCATGGAAGACTCGAGGAATCGTGTCCTCGCTCCGAAACTTCTCGCCTCAGTGGCTCAGGATGCATCTCAAATTCTCTTTCCTTTCGCCGTCGCCAACGCCAGTGGCCCTGCTGCCGAGATCGCCACTCGCCTCCTCTACATCGCAGATGACCTGTCCACGCAAGAGCTATATCAGCTGCCTTACGATGCTGGTAAACTTTGTCTCTGGGCTCTCCAGGATCTGTTTGAGATCTGCAAGGTATGTAATTGTGCTGGGTGCTGGGCATGTGAATCGAAATCCATTACCATACTGATTTCCTAGTGGCCAACGCTCTCTACTCCCAAAGCTCGAGCTCATTTGATAAGCAAGAGTCCACAGGAGCTGCGAGATTCTCTTGTTCAGCTCTTTCAATCCGTAGATTTGAGGCAACGAGCGCAAGCATCGATAGGCAGGTTTTGTAGAGAAAAGCCCGACAAAATCAGACCTTTCCAGGCACGTTTTATCAAACTTTCCAATAGTCTTATGAAGAACGCGCAAAGCTTGCACGGCAGCAATTTCGAGACGCACGAAGATTCGTATCTCACACCACTTGCAAGAGATACATTTCCCAATGAGGTTCACAAGTTGCTTTTTGACGGAGTTAAAAGCCATTCATCTTGTGTGCAACAGATTCATGTAACACCCGTGTTCAAGGACACAAGGGATGATGGATGGCACCGCACCAGACTTTGTCTCAACTCTGGATTCCTCCTAGACAACCAGTCGGCCCTTTTCAATATCATAACAGCCACTTCAAATATGGATTATTGGCAGGAGATGGCCATTAATATCTCAGTGTAAGTCAAGTTTCCCTTGCATGCCTTTACTCGCGATTTGCTAGTGTAAATCGACTGCGACCTTACCAATCACGAGCTATTAACCAGCCGAAGAAGCAATTGTTCAGCAAAAGGTCAAGGGAAGCTCCCACCGGATGACTCGGTCAATGGTATGGACCATAATTTATCCCGATCGCTCCCGATTAGGCATGGCGACGTCTGCACGCGCCTAGAAAACCGCAATTACGCAAGGATCTATCTCGGTAAGTTAAAACCCCATCTACCAAACGGAGACAAGATATTCCTAATGGCTTTGTTTAAGATTATTTGCTAATGATGAAAGTCAGATTTGGATAGAGACTGTCATCTCTATGAACGGCCTGATCCTGAAGAGCTTCAGCATGTCATATCAGGTTGTGGTATTCCACTGTCGCACTTACTGACCATGAGCGAACTGACAGTTGAACATAAAATAAAGCTGTCATATGCTATCTCTCGAGCATTCTGGCAATTCTATCAAACGGAGCTGATGGAAACTAGGTGGACCAGTGAGGATATTCTGTTCATGCCTGTTGATGAGTCAATTTTGCCATCAGGCGGTGTTCCCCTGAGAGCTTTCATTTCTTTCCCTTTTGGCGCAGAACATAATGAGTCACCATCCGAGTTCTACGATAAGGACCAGTATACCCACCGCTACCCAAGAATATTGTTCTTAGGGATTGTTCTTCTGGAGATTGGTCTTGGGCAACCACTGGGGCTGGAAAACGACCCAAAGCTCAGCCCGGTTGGGCTTACGAACAAGGCTCACATCAGAGCGAAGTTGAAATTGAAGCAGCTGAAGAAAGAACAGTGGGATGGCTTCCATTGGAAAGAGTATTTCGTCGAGGCGGTTGAGAACTGTTTGGATTCTGCCAACTTCAAAGCCTCTTCGAAACGGGGCAAATCACGGCATCAGGGCGATGTGAACCTCGACGAAAGCGCAAAAGGCATGCTAGTCTCCGCTAGGAGGGACGCTGTTTACAGAAAGGTTGTCGCTCCCTTGCACTGGTTGGCCAAAGTAGGGTTCGAAGATTCGGAAGAAGTCCCATTCGTACCGACAAGACAGAAGCCGCGACAGGAACCCAAGTCCAGTAACAACGAGGAACTTCGACGCTCCTGGAGCGAGATGCGTGCACACCCGTCCTTTCATTCTGGTGGCTCGATCAATACAGAAGTATTTCTCGACGATCTTCAGATTCTCGCGGGCCACATTACGCGCTGTCGAAGGCTGGCAAAGGTTACGAAACCAATCCGAGTTGCGATACTTGATACTGGATGCGACGCAAATTTGCCGTTCTTCCAATTGCCCCAGAGGTCTGGCAGGCTCAAGGGATGGATGGATTTTGCCGCTCCAGGATCGACGAGTGAAGTAGATACTTTCGGCCATGGAACATTCATGACACGACTGCTCTTGCACGTTGCGCCGATAGTCGACGTTTATTTGATCCGCGTAGCAGAGAATATCAAAGACTTGGAAAACAACGAGGAAAATATTGCGAGAGTGCGTGTCACGGAGAATTCTATTTGAAATGTGTTAACCACCGGCTAGGCTATCGAATACAGCGGACTTGATCCAGAGTGTAAAGCAGATATCATTTCCATGTCCTTTGGGTTTCCCAATAGACCAGGAACGTCGCATAACGCCATTTCAAATGCAATCGATAAAGTCATCGAGGGCCGTGGAGACTCGGTGCTATTACTCGCAAGCGCTGGAAATTCATGGGGGAGGAGGAGGGATTTCCCGGCCAGTCACAAAGACGTCATACCTATTTACGCAGCTGACTCTAAAGGAGCATTTCTGCTGTCAAATCCTGCCCATACGGGGAAGGGGCCCAAGAAGCTCGGAACTTATGGCACGGATATACCCGCGCCCATCACCCAGGAGATCCAGGATCGTTTCCCGAAGGTAGATTTGAGCGCGGGAACGTCGATTGCAACAGCTATCGCAGCTAGTATTGTCGCCATGACTCTGTCATATACTGCCGCACTGCCCTCCCTCCTGAAATTCGGCGGCTCCGAGGAGGTTTGCGCTAAGCTTTGCACGAAGAAAGGCATGGAGCAGATGCTACTTGCCATGTCGCTTACGACTGGTTATCGACAGCAGTTTATCAACCCGATATGGTTTTGGGGTGAGAAGCAGAAAGACATACAGGTGTTCGTTGCTATGTGCTCTGCCGTAGAGGAAATGAACAAAGAGGCTTGAGAATGGATAAAAGGGCCAGTGAGGAGAGGTTAGGTCACAATCAAAGGTGCGTGACTAGTCCGTCCCGCGTAGCTGACCGACGCGGTCTTGAGTCTGCTAAACCGCTTATTGTACGTCGGGAAGTGGTTCAAATTCCGGCTAGGGTCATTGGTCTTATGTTACGTATCAAAACATAGTTGGTTGCAGTGATCTCTCTAAAAGAGATCGTAGTCCTCAATTAGCCCCATTTTCCCGTTGCGCTTCTAAGCTCTGTTGCTTTCTCAACGTCAACAGGTGGATCTGTCTAACATTGAATCATCTGAAGACAATGGCACAGGTCATTTCATCTATACTGATTTGGCATCAGCCGCTTCGTTTGTGAGTCTCACACTATTTTAGTATTTCCCAGTTATCGGGCTTCTTGGCATCGCAACCGCCTCACATCCACTGGGGTACGCGTCAGATCAACACTCGCATCGACGCTACTGTTCCATTGGAACTTCCCCAGCTGCCCGTCTCCAAATTTCCCTTCCTAGAATTCAACTGAGATGATAACATCGGCCCTTGCAACCACAGGCAAGATAAATGGCCACCTGAACCTTTGAAGGGTTTCGGACAAGAAACCATGGCGAGGTCCCCTCTCTTTTCAAATCAATGGCCCTTGATTTAAAACATCCAGTACCCGACAGCGAAAAGATCTGCACTAGCCTCGTTGAAAGGCCCATCTCTGAGGTTCTTCAACGCCAACTATGTGAACCGTTAGCTGACGTGCTTGCCATAAAGCTCCAAATATAGCCAGTTCCGGATCAAGAGCTTACCGCTGCATGAGATTTGACTCGAATATCATCAGCCTTATCATCCGCTTCTCTTCCCTCGTGACTGGTTGACAGCAGATTGTTCAGACCCTTGATCCACTCCTGCTTCTTCCCCTCCTGCTCCTCGGCTGGGAAAGTCGACAAGAGATAAGAAGCTGATCCTCTGAGCATAGTCAGAAGACCAACGCAGTCGATCTTGTTCCAATCAGGCCCCGTTATATCCAGTTGGAAACCCAATAAATATAGTAATCGCTTGACCAAAGCTTCCTTATATGGATGCACCACCGTCTCGAGAACGTGACAGCGTGCCGAGAAACACTGAACGATCGTGGTCTTCCACCTGCTCTTCCGCAAGTTGGTGATTTTCTGTATCACCTCATCTGGGCGCTCTTCTACTTCTTCTGCCGAGAACTGCACCGTGAACGGGTCTTTCGCATCGGGTCTATCCTTTGGCTTTGTACCTATTTGCGGCCCGGTTCCATCGGCGTATGGAGACACGTAGTTCCCAAAAAATCGTTCGAGATCCAGCCGCGCCCCTTCTGGTCCTTCGCCAAGCTCGCTAGCAGCATCAGCTGGTATGTCTGTTATCACCCGATAAAGAACTGTTATGCCCCAGTCCATGGAGCGAGGATGAAGGACACAAAACTCTATGAGGGCATGGAAGACACGCTCAAGGCGGTTACTGAAATCATCGAACTCATCGGCCTGCGCTCCAGGCGGAGATGTGAGATAGGCAACAATAGAATCAGCCGCGGGCTCGATAGTAGTGGAGGACGAAGGGCTGACTATGTCGACTTCATTCTGGGGTCTAATGGCGAGCCAAATGTCCAGGATTTTGACGCTGTCTTGGTCCAAGTCCCAACCCGACATGATGGTGTTTGTCGCTATAGTGTATTATGATGTGATTGTGACTGGGTCCGGCTACCATTAATTCAGCCTAGGACAATTATAGGTTGAACAAAGTGATAGAGGCACGAGGTCTTCAAAAGATAAGGCTGGCAGAAATACGCCACAATTTGGCATCCCTTGAACAAGTCAGAGAACATATTGCTGCTTTTTGTAAGCACTCGACAGATGTCTTGGCCAGCCACAACTCTCACCAGTTACGTCATGAGCGAGCGTGGCCTCTTGGCCCCACTATATACGGCACAGTACAGCTTCGCCTCAGCTTACACCTCCCGCCCCACAGGGATTGTCTCCTCGTTATTAGCTGTTTTCTATTTTTACGGCGTCAACCGTATGGCATCCTAGCGTGCCCATTATTCCTCCATCCTTCAATGACGACAGTTGACCTCAATATGAAAAGGAAAATCTGACTTTGACTTCTAAAAAGCCTTCACAGCCGGGAGACTTTTGTAGATCACTTAAGATCATTCCTGGTTTCAGATCAATGCGAATACTACACATGTCGCAAGAGGATCCGAGGATTGTAGAAGCTTAGTAGAGTATAGAGTGAAATAGGCAATGATGGAACACGAAGTGATCTCATTTCTGACTACGATGAGGTCTTTTAGGACCATTGGTCAGTCCGCAGGATATTCACCAGCGACAGCTGGGTTGAGAAAATAATATAAGTACATGACAGAACTTCGTGTATAGACCTTTTTTGTTCAGCATAGATTTCCACACTATATTTCCTTTAAACATTTTTAAACACTCGACTTTGAGCTCTACATCACGGCACCGTACTAGACTCTTCATCTCTTCATCATGGTCAACTTCAGCAACGCTTTCTTAGCTACAGGGCTCCTAGCCACTCTTGCTGCCGCGGCACCATCACCAGCCATCGTCTTGGAGAGAGATGTGAAGGATGCTGAAACTGTCAAATGCCCTACAAGTAAGTGCCTCCACCCGGTTCTAAATACTTCCCAACTCACTGATTTCGCACAGCCGAAGTCTCGAACTTTGGAAAGACATTCAAAAAAGACGACATTGAAGCCGATATCAAGGCCAACCCAGACCCCAACAAGCAGACCGACAGCTTTCCCAAGGAATATAGATATGATGGAACCGGTTCTTGGCCGTTCAAGAAGAAGACCGCTTGCGATGACCACAAGGAGAAGGGCAAGAAGATCTACGAGATTCCGATTGGCCCATCTGGACAGGCTTGGAAGAAATTCGGCTCTAAGCCCGGAACCTACAGGGTAAGGAGATCCATGTGCTGGAAATTGTGAAACAGTGCTAAATCAAACTTCAGGTCCTCTACGCTCTTGACGACGATGACCAGATTTTCTGCGGTGTGACTGCTCATGCGAGCAAGACGGACTTCAACAAGGTCGTTGGGTGTGAAGAGTAAATTCCGTAGAATCATGGGCGAGGCAATCTTGCTCCTGAGCCATTGAACAGAACTGGCAAAGAGAAGGAAGAGGGAGGGTTAGAGTGCATTTGAGGTGGCATCCTGATGGACCAAGGCGCATTTTGGACAGGAGTTAGACAACAGCTTCATCAGTTTATCCACAATCTTTATATCTGAGTTTTTCCACACAGCGCAACTTGTCACTGCGACATAAGGCAGTCGAGATCCGGCTGTTGTTATGGCTTTGGATTTAGATATCCCATCCGCCATGGCTTTCACATGAGCCGCCTCCTAACGGGATTTAAGACGTCCTGATACTAATAGCGCAGCATCTACATCCAGCATCTGTGATGGGCGCCAGCTCCGGTTGTATACAATGAGTGGCTCCAGCCTTGAAACTTACGGGCCGAATTCCAGTTCTTTTCGTATTGGGGTACACAATTTGGTCACCGTGGTTGAAACCATTCAACAGACAATGTCAGGTCTTGCTGCCTTAGCTGTTTTGTTCTTTAGGGATAGATACGACGTGATTGTTCCGAACCATCCCATTTGCTAGACGTGACAAAAACTGTTGCCAGATGCGATAGCGTGATTGGCTGAAATGGGATTAATCTCCATTTTCGGGACCTAAAACCTTGTTATCTTTATATTCAACTCTATGCTTAGTAAAGAAGATTTATATGCGTGTGCTACCAGCAATCGATAAAGCAACCGCTCCCGTAGCTTCCATCTATAATCATTCCAAGGACTGACTTTGAAGTAACGACTAAAATCGAATAGCGGCAATGACATGGGCGATGTTCAGCTCTACAACCTAGCCTGTTGCAGAATCTGGGTCCGCGAGATGGGTTGCAAGCTATCTTTGCACTTCCAGCAATGCTGAGAGACGCTGCTGGTCGTATTGCCAATTCCCCTGCCGCAGCTGCCGAAGATGCCGCTCCGACGTGCGCGGGAGCATTGCTTCTCCGAGATGAGGACCGTGTCCTCGTGGTTGCAGATGGAGCAGGTCTGCGTGTGGGAGACGTATTTGCACATGTCTGGGGCTATGTTGTTATTCACACAGCTTCGTGGATGTTCATAGTCTTCATCATACTGTAAGAAAATTACAAGGGGAAATATTCACTGAGGAGGAGATAGGCCTCAGGGCTTGGCCGCGGGGAAAGTACTCTGACAGCAAGGCATCGCCGAAGCGTCGGGTATCTGGGATCGAAAGGGTCAGATCCGCCGAGGGCTGAGAACATACCGTCCGGCTACGTGCAGGCCGCAGATAAATGAATCGACAGCCAGGCATATGCACCGCTGCAGGGTTATATTCGGCTGACATTGACATATTTTAGATCGCAAGAAATTACACAGCAGAATAGGCGTCTTGGCTGAATCTGAAAAGCAGGTGGTGCCGAGAGGTGTATATTTCAATATAGTGTGAAGGACACTGCCGGACGAAGCTTGAGTTCTAGAAGAGCTGAGTCTCTTAATATAGACAGAAGATAAGACCACAGCATCTCCGCCACGTGAATCAAAGGAGACGGCTCAGACATTGGTGCCAGCGACGCCACGCTACTAGCTGCCGCGAAAGCGTCGTTGGCGGAGAATCGTTGTTCTCGGAGGCGCCTGCTTCCCTGTAGGTAACCAACACTTGCGAATCAACCATCAAGACCAGTTTTAACCACCCCGGTCGTGCCTCAACAACTCCGATATGCCAGATGCCAAACGCCAAGACCTTGCGATGAAGACAGAAAAATCAGCCGAAGACAGGCCCATCCATGAGCCGCACTGAACCGAAAGAATGCCGGAAGAATGCCCGAGATAGGCCAAAGATGCAGAGGAATCGGTCTAGCTGGTCTAGCTATTGCCCCGAGGAGGGAAGCTGAAGGGCTGAGTCTTGCCCTCACTGGATATCCTCACCCATTTGATGCCTGTGAGGAATGCCCAAGAGCCTTCCCACTTCTCGAACTTGAGTGCATCCTCCTCGACGGTGAGTTCCGGGGTCACTGGAACACGGTTAGCAACGCGAACTATCGAGGGACATGCGCAGCTAAGGTAGGGGCATTGGCGCAACTTACGAAATCCGTTTTGAAACTCCTTCTCCAGGTTGGTGATCTTGACTCTGAGCAAGTCCTCCTTGGCACTGGCCGGTCTTCCGGGTCTGCGCGCCTTCTTCATCTCGTTGAGCTCCTCGTCATATTGATGCACGAAGCTTTGAAATGGGTCAGTAGACGGCATATGACTAGCATGTTTGTGTGCACTCGCGCGGCCACTTACCCCTTGATGAGCTCCTGGACAACATCAAACTGCAGAGGCTTGCCATCGTTCTGCCGTAAAGCCTCGTGAAAGTATGATGCACGCTCGACTAGGTAATGGTTAGCAATGAGACGGTACGGCTTGCTGGAGGAACCAGTGTTTCTGGCACATACTGTATGGCTGGTTGGTCCTGTTCCTGGCGGCCGCGATCTTGCCCAGCTTGTCGTCTCTGGCCTGGGCTCTGTGAAGCCTCTTGGAGTCGCGCGAGTACTGATGGATCGCCTCGATGGGCCCCTTCTTCTTGGCGATAGCCTTGCGAGTCTTCTCGAATGAGCTCGGCATGGTGAATCTCCCGACTGAGTAAGTGACCAACTGCTGAATGTGCGCCTCTTGAACGCCTCGACTTTCTTGCGTAGTCGTCCTGGCGATTGATGAATTTCTTGACCGATAAGAAGGAGTGGTGGGGCAAAAAGTCGATATCGGGATTGTGGTTAGCGGCGTCTGGGCTGATCTGCTGGAGAGCGAGACCCCACACTGCCAGACTGCCAGAAACGACAGGGCCCCGAGGGTGGGCAGGGACTGATGGACGCTGGCGGCTGCCCGTTGCTCTGCCAGCGGCTCAGTGCCAAATTTGGACTACGGCGGTGCCTACGGGGGGCGGCACTGTATACACAGTACCTAGGTAGAGGTAGCGGTAGAGGTAGCGGTAGCGGTAGCCTGGGGACGGGCCCGCTTTTCGGCGCGGCTTCCCCTTGCCCTGGACCTTGACGCGTCTTTATCGATAACTGCAGCCCCCGAGGCCCTGGGCGCGTTCATGCTCCTGCCCGTAAATCGAATCACTCTGCTATTGCTCGACGACGCCGTTGATATTTGACTGCCTCGATCGACGTTTGCGTTGCTTGCACTTGTCCTAATATTTCAGTCGATGCCCAGTATCGCGACTTGTTTTCACCAGATGTTCCCATAGCCAGCGTCGTGTTTGTTGATTCCAGCTTTGTTTACTTCGCACGCTCGACGGCCCATCTCACGGATACCACCCCGTGACCTTCCTCTGTTGCACGGCCTGAACCTCGTAACGCAGCCCGTCAGTCATCCAGGCGTCGCCCTATCTGAGACTTTGAACCTTCAGCGGATGGCCATTGTGTGATATCGAATATTTGCGGGTGCCTCGGACCAGCGGCAACGCCGTGATCATGGGTGTCACCGGCCTCCTCCCGCTCCTCAAGTCTATTCAACGGCCCACCGAGCTGAAGAAGTACTCCGGGGAGACCTTCGCTGTTGATGCCTATGGATGGCTTCACAGAGGCGCGATAGCCTGTGCTATCGAGCTGGCACAGGGCAAGCCGACCCAAAAGTAAGTGATCCCAATCCAGTCAGGACGCCGGCGCTCACAGCCTCCTTCAGATACATAACCTATTGCATGCGTCGAGTAAAGATGATGCAGCATTTTGGCGTGACACCATATCTTGTTTTCGATGGCGGCCCTCTGCCGAGCAAGGCAGGCACAGAGGCTTCCCGGCTCCAGCGTCGAAAAGACAGCCAACAGGCTGGCTTGGAGCTCCTCAAGGCCGGCAAGCCTTCCCTTGCTCACAAGGAACTCCAGAAAGCCGTCGATGTGACGCCAGAGATGGCTCGTCTCGTGATTGAGGAGCTGAAGAGGGCAGGCCTTCCATACGTTGTGGCCCCATACGAGGCCGATGCTCAGATGGTTTATCTCGAACGCCAGGGTCTGGTTAGCGGGATTGTGTCTGAGGACTCCGACTTGCTGGTCTTCGGGGCGAAGAGGCTCCTGACAAAGCTCGACGACTACGGCCAGTGCATCGAAGTAAACCGTCGAGACTTCGCGGCCTGTCGCGATCTCCACATGGCTGATTGGACTGACGCTCAGTTCCGCCACATGGCAATTTTCTCGGGGTGCGACTATTTGGGTGGCATCAAGGACTTTGGACTGAAGACGGCGTACCGCATGCTTCGAAAATACAAGACACCTGAGAAGGTTCTGAAGAGGATTCAACTCGAGGGAAAGCTTCGTGTAGCCCCCGACTTCTTGGACCAGTTTCGCCAGGCAGAACTGACCTTCCTCTACCAGCGTGTTTTCTGCCCAACAGCACAGGAGATGGTCTTCCTCACACCGCTGCCAGAGGATCTCAACGCTGATGACATGCCCTTCATTGGTGCTTTCATAGAAGCCTCCGTCATGCAAGCCATCGCAGCAGCAGATGTGAACCCCATCACCAAGGACGCGATCGTTGTCCCGCCCTCGCCCGAGTCCAGGAAGCGTCGGGCTTCGTCGTCGGCTCACCTAGGCCCTATGCAACCTCCCTCGGCCAAGAAGCCCATCGATTCCTACTTCAAGAAGGATCAGAGGATACCTCTTGGTAACATGGACCCCAACTGTTTCACGATCGATCCACAGCGGGTTGCCACCATGACAGAGAACGGCGAGCGACCCATTGTGTTTCCTCTTCCCAGGCCGTATGTCGATGTTGCGGCTTCGCAGAGTCCATCTGCTGCTCGGCCATATACCAATCGCCTCCCAGTTTCGTCCTCGGCATCATCCCGGGCGCTACGCCGTCGCACCGAACCCATTGGCAATATGTTGGCTGATGCCGGTGTCTACACTGATACCTCATCGCGACGCCAGACACTGGGTTCGCATAACCGCGGGGCTGTTTTCACCCGACCGCCTAAGAAGGCAAGGCTGTGTGATGATGCGAGTTTGGACATGGCCCCGAGCAAGGAGACAAGCAAATTCTTCCCAACAGGCGGCAAAAGAGCTTCATCCAAGGCCGATGGATATCTCATGTCAGACGACTCGATTGAGGATGCGCTGCGGGATCTGCCCGACATTGATGGCTGGCACTCGGGGAACAAGAAGAAGATTGCGGTATTTGAGGAGGTCTCACAAGAAAGTACAGAAGATATTCCTAAGGATGACGACATCGAGGCACTAAACACAGCCGCCTCGGAAACAGAGGCACTGCCCTCAGAGACCCCTCTACGATCCAACCTCAGTCGGTTCACCTTTGGCCAAGATTCGACAGCCAGCTCTCTCAACGCACGGCGGATTTCCTATAGTCGACCCACTCCTGCGTCTTCAGTGCAGTCATCAGCTACGCGGTCGACCCCGGCATCTTCCAACTCATCCATAGGAAGCGTGTCTACGGCGAGATCGACGCCTGCCACTCCATTGATGACACCACTGCAGAGACTGGGTGCTCGAGCTATGAATACAGCGAAGCAGCCTCCCACGCCAACCTTCGCTGTTCCCAGGCCGGTGAAGAAGTCGAGCACTTCAAGACGAAGTCTCGATAACCTTCCCGTCAACCCATCGTTCGTGCCGCTGCCTTCCGTGGATCTGGACGAGGTCGAAGCGCTGCATCAGACTGAAGGCAGCGAGGACATGATTGTCCCGGAGAGCGAGAATGAGGAGGATGGACAGGAAAATATGGGCAAGCGAGCAGACAGAAGATTGGACCTCTCGAGGTTTCTTTTCGCTTGAGTGCCCTATGAGCATGACGCGCACTCGATGGCGTTGATGAAGGGAGAAAAAACTGTATATATTAGGGCGTGAGGTTCAGGCGAACGGCGACTGCATATTATTTACGCTGCACTTTCGCACTGTAAGCATGGCACAGCCGTTTTGACGGATAGGGACAAGGCATCATGGATATGGAGTAGGGGCTCTGTCGCGCCAACATTTGTCGGCCGGGTTTAGTACATTTAATCGAGTTTGGCTCCTAGCTTCAGGCATGGCCCATAACACGTCGCCATCCTTCACGCAACGTGCATTCTTGACCTGGTCCTGCTGAGGCAATTCACGACATCGGTATGAGAGAATGCTGTCGCATTGATACGTATGTTGGTGAGTGATTGCTTTTATTCTTGATTCCCCGGTCCGCGCCCCCCCTGCCCTGATGCAGGAGGAACGTCTGACGCCGTCCGTAATAGTACTACATTTTTTTAGAGTGGAAAAATTACACATGACAATTAGTTCCCATCGTACACAACTGCCCAGGATCCCCGATGGCATCCGGTCCTGGCTACATTATACACATAAACACATCAGCTGCACCCCATCGAACCCATCCCGGCGTCGAAGTGAACTTAGGCGTCGAGGAAGGTCTTGACGTTCTTCAACCAGGCCTGGTACTCCCTCTGCTCCTTGAGGTCCATGTAGTCCGGGACGAAGACGGCCAGGGCCTGGGTGATGCCGCGCTCCTCGAGGTAGCGCTCCATGAGGATCTGCAGGTCCTCGTCGAGGGTGCCGAAGGGCGGGCCGGGGAAGGTGTCCTGGGCCTGGTGGACGACGTCGGCCGAGCTGCTGTGGGCCAGCTGCGCGTCCTGGTAGTAGTAGAAGTTCTCCACCATGATCTGGCCCTCCTGCGCGATGGCCTCGACGTTGAGCGCGCCCTTGCCGTCCTTCTCGATGACGATGTTGAGGCGCGTCGGCGGCGCGCCCTCGCCCTCGCCCTCGGCCTCCTCAGCGTCCAGCGCGTCCTCCTCGGCGGCCCGCTGCTGCTCCGAGCCGCTCTCGTAGGCCTCGTCCGACAGGGCCGCGTCCTCGTCAAAGGCGTCCGGCTCGTAGTTGGTCAGGTCGGAGATGGAGAAGGAGACGGTGATGCTGAGTCCATGGAGTTAGCTAGGGGGTGGTCTCGCTGTGGGGGTTTCAATCCTGGGATAGGCTAGCACTTACGTCTCGTTGCCGAACTTGCGCTTCAGGATGACATCCTCCTTTCCGGGGGTGTCGATCAGCTCAAAGGGGCTGTTCTCGAGGAAGTCCTTGACGCTGGCCGGGGTGGGCTCGCTCTCCTTGAGCTCGTTCTCGTACTGCAGCTCGCTGTCGATCTTGAGGGACAGCTCCTCGTCGACCTCGCCGGCGGGGGCCCTCCGGAACTGCGACGTCGAGAAGGCCGAGGCGAACTGTGACGAGCGGAGGGGCGCCCAGGCGGCGGCCCGGAGCTGCGAGCTGGTGCGGGCGGCTGTGGAAGTTTGGCGGAGGGCAGCGGAGCTCAGGCGAGTCAAGCCGCGGGGCGCGGAGCGCGCGATAGCTCGCATGGACATCATGTTGGCGAGGTATGTGTGAGCGTGTGTGTGTGTGAAGAGAATGCGAGGTGTTAATACAAGTTGGGAACGGTGAAATGGGGGTATCTCGAGCAAGTTGGTTGATGGAAAAGCTGGGAAGTGGAAAACAGCACAGCTTCTCGAAGCTCCCGAAATTTCGGGGATGGAACTTTTTCGCGATAACGAAGCACGGGCCACCGCGCCCGATCTGGATAAGATCAAACTTATGCACGTCCACGACGGGGCATTTCAATGCGGGAGGCAATAGTTATGCATTATGCAATATTGCCTGGCCGTTGGATGGTTGAGGATCCAGAATGATAGTGTCCACTCTTAGTGGCTCGTAATGTACACAACATGTGACCTTGTTGCCGTATCTCTCTGCAATCACGCTTCGATGCAAGTGCACTTAACAGTTTCATGTCCGACTAGATCGACGAACCAGCAGCACACATTGGTTCACTAGGATACTCTTGGTATCAGAGCAATATTGAGAGGAACAGTTCTTTGTGAAGCGCACGCGGGGCCTTCGTAAAACTGACCGAGGCCCCTGTATGCGGTGGTGTGTTGTCTTAATTCTGATGCATACTCCTTGAGGTTTCTGTAGGGCCAGACACGTCCCAGTGAACCACCAAGCTCTCCAACAACGACCCCTTGAGCTCATAGACCCGTTGAAGGGCCAATCGTTTATGAACTTAACATGTCCTTTCAACAGGTTGGTGATGTCTAATATGGTGCCTTCGATAACTATTGCTGAGTCTTGGACTAGCAGCTTGACATCCCCCAAGTTAATTGCCAGTTTTGTAGCGGCTTGACTCTTAGATCCCTCAACGTCGACGATCAACGCGTCCCCCAGAGAAGCCCAATTTTAGAGCTTGGAAACATACTACACCTACCGTGGCTATCCTTACCGCCTTCAATTAATGTGCTCGTGTTGCTAGACCCGAAAGGCCCAATCGAGAAGCACATGAGAGCTGGGCACACAAAGCTATCATACTGGTAGTGTCACTACATTTTAGTAGACTCCCGGTGCCCATTCCATTTATCTCCTACATCTCCCATATGTTCTATGCGTCTAAGTCAACACTAGTTAACGACTTAGTCTGCTCGCGACCAAGTGACACATCACCGCACCCAGCTGCAGTGACATGGCGAGCCACTACATAGGCATAAAGTCTATGGCAATCTAATATAGGCTCTAGAGCCTCCTTCAATGAATCACTAGGAGTTCATCATGCTCTCAATGTTCATAGTACATGTACTCGCTTTACTTAGACGTCTTTTCACGCTAGAACTCTAGAGTACGAGTGGTGTAACATGATAGGACCTGATATACAGTATTCCTTTGATCGAGGTTTGGACGAAAATAAATTATTCCTGCTAGTACCTAGCTATTGGGGGTCAGTCGCAGGGCCAACCGTCTTGTCGTCGAAGTACTTCTGACTGAGCGCAATAGCAACATCCACGGTCGCGCCATCCAGAAAATCGTTGATGATAGCCTGTAAAACAGTTGCCCGCATAGTGGGAAAGACGTTGTTCAGCAGCCAGGGCAATGTTTGAGTGTCACACCGCGCCTTGGTAGCAAGCAGCGGCGAAGTCAAGGCAAGAGAGCTGGGCTTCAGGATAGAAGCGAGATCAGCGGCCCATTTTAGAGTCGAGGTTGCTTGACATTGCCACACCGCAAGATCGTTACCCTTCAAACTGGTGCTAGCGTTTTTGAGGAAACCTTCAAACACCTTCACGATATTTGAACCGTCAAACGTCTTGTACTCGTCCTCCATATAGGAGCTGTATTGTCCGATATCTTGCAAGACGATGAGGCGTTTTTGTTTGTTTCGAAGCCAAGCGACTGAGTTCTTCATATCGTCTTTGTTTCCCGTCTTGATGACATCTTCACCCCACTCTTTCAAACCTCTCTCGATCCAATGTTCCACTACTTCATGCGATGGTCGAACACATGTTTCATGAACACCGTCGCATCGAATCTGAAGAACAGCAATTTCGCCCTGATTTTGCCTCAGAAAGCTGATGACCTCTGCTAAGAAGCGCATAAACGATATTCCAGGAATAAGCATATGCTGATAGTACAATTCCCCATCACGGGGAGCGAAATCAAAAAAGGTCGACATCTCCGCAGGCCGGAACTCAAAGTATCTGGCGCCAAGCAACATTGAGCTGGTGATGCCGGCCGTTTGGGTCCTTGAGAGTCCAGAGATGACATATGGAGCCACTTCAGCTAATACTCCAGTAATCTGGGATGGCAAATTCAAGGGCCCGGCTATTTTGGAGACCACATCATGGGCATCGTGGACATGACTCCAAATATTTCCAAACGTCTCCATGCTATTCATGCCACAGTCGTGGCCTCCTGGTAGTACGAAGGTATTGAATGGCTTTTTGGCTTGCTCTGACCCAAGCGGAGCCACTGATGCCATCCATCCCGCCCAGTTGGGCGTAACTGTGACCCAGCATTGATGAGCCCGTGGAAGACCTGCCCACCCAGGCCCTGCATCGTAGAAGCCAAACGCTACAACTGCCTCGCCGTTGTTAACGAGCTGAGGCTGCATCTCGTCTAGACTGGTCATGTTTCCGCTCTGAATGAAACCGGTCGCAGCGTTGATGGTGTTCGTACGGCTGAAAACTTCAGCGCCATTTCCGTTGTAGACCCGGAATATGAACTGGCCGTCGAAGGTATCTTGGAGGCTCCTTGAGTCTACCTCGAGGTCATCGTTGCTCCAGCTGTATCGTTGGTTCTTGCGTATTTTCTTGCCTGGCACAGAGAATTCCACTGAATAGTTGTCCTTTGCAACCCAAGAATACACCTGGACGCGCTTGCTGACAGGGCTAAAAGCGTTTAATGCGCCAAGCCCCCCTTGCCGTATCATATGAGCCCCTTCATCGACGACACGTTCTGCTCCTTCCTTCAGCAAACGCCCACCTTCTTGTACTGCATCTGTCCCTTCTTTCACGATGCGTTCTCCTTCTTTGACTACCGTGTTGATCGTGTTCTGAGCATCAGTAATGATGCTACCAATAAAGGGTAAGTCGATTTGGCTCATAGTGGCGGTGTAGAGCGTAAGGAGCAGTTTGGCGAACGAATAAGAATACCGAACGTACACGAAGAAGTAGAACGGAAACCTGAAAAATATTTCAAGGAAGAAATTCTTGCAGAATTTGTAGACTCGTCTGTAACGGTTGTGTTGGCAGGAACCGACCAGTGACTTGAATGCCCCGATAAGGCCCGCTCGTCAATCTAAACTTTCGTATCTGTGCTGTACGTACCTCAAAGTTGTCTCTTGCACCTGAATGTGTACACTTTCTGGAGTCAGAGTTTTAAAGTCTACGGTAAAACGAAGATGATTGCCCATAAACTTATGAATTGCGGAAGTACGAAAGCTAAGATATCAATTGCAGCGGCACTAACAAGTATATCCCGAACTTAGAAGGTGATTTGGTTCGACCGAGCCATGGCCAACGCCCGCTGGGATTAGGTGATCAAGGAACCTTCTTAAGGTCAAAAGCGCCGGGCAAAGATCAGTTGAAGGTAATGCTCACAGAATCAAGTAGAAGCACAGGGGCGCCAAACCTAGGGATATGTTAACGATGGACTTTATGGTCTACTCGTGGATAATCTGGAGGATAACGATGTCCATTGAACCTACGATATCGGAAATATATCGCTCAAGGCAAGTATTATGCCGCGGAGGTTTTTTTTTTTTTTTCCAAAAGCAGCTCAGGAAAACATAGCATTCGATCTCGTACGAATAGGCATGAATGACCTGCTAAGCTCAAAGATAGTCCAGGCCGATGCGGTATCACCATTTCACAACGGACAATCTACATGGTACAGGCTGGAACAATGGCAAAGGAGACATTGGCTACGGGTAGGTTTGAGACAAAGCGGCCAAGATGCACATGGGGATTTAATTAAGAAGCCTTGCGTGTGCAGAACAAGCAAGAATTACCCCTCACCAAGCCCTTGAGTCACTGCCGTCACTAGCGACACGTCGGCGGACAGGACATGTTCGAGCGGCTTGTGATTCAAACCCCAACAAAGCACTAGTTTGGGCTGGTAGCACTCTGGCTGCACCATAGTGCCCTGTTACATAGATTAGGCCTACAAACCCCCTCTCCTCTGCTGCCCAAACGGGTAGGAGATTCTGAACTATCAATACAACCAAGGTTAAGTAGTATGGTATCCTTTAAGAAGCCTTGGCTAGACCAGACGCTGATCTTCCTGTCTGATATCAATTCCATAACAATACATCCTTAACGGCCCAGAGCGTGGATTTCAATCTCACTATGGTTTGCCATGCAAACAGACAAACCGTCGCTTGGAACAATCATCATGCGCACCAATTCCTACCCATACGCAGGAGTTTAGATTCTTTGTTGTTGGTAGATACTTCCGGATGGCATGGCAGTGGCCCGATGCCGGCTCAGAAACACAACTACCACGTGTGCATCGCAGAAGGCAAGGCTTGTCAAACGTCCCTTGCGATCCAAGAAGCAACCGACAACTGGCAACCGATGTAATCTAGGTCCTTTCGCGAGCTAAGGTTAAAAATGCAAACATCGTGAGACCAAATTCGCACGCTCTCTCACAGAGAATAGCAGACATGTTTGGGAGAGCTTTTCCGGCTTATGAGGAGCCTTATATGCACATTCAGATCTGACCCACACAACCGCTCTTTTCTCTCTTTATCGAAGCCCATTTCGTAGCACGGAAATCTTAGCATCTTTTGGATGTGGTGTGAACACTGACGGCGGGATTAAACGAACATATTTGGCTCAGCTGGTGGAAGCTTGTCCAAGGTGAGGATAGTGATGTGGTCTACCTTCTCATGGATGCCTTCGCGGAGTAACATCGTGCACGTGAATGTACCAAAATTCACCGATATTTTTCACACAGTCATTTTACTCATCCAATGGGCAACTACACTGACGAACAATTCGATACTTTGGGGGCATTCGCGTACTTCCAGGGCTTAGGCAACTCACTTTCTCTTTATTGGCTCGCCCCTCCTAGCTAATTTTCGTGGCTTTGTAATACGTTCTGCCGGTCGAAGTTCCATGGTCTTGCAGCCAATATATCTCATGTGACTGCTCAAATAGTTCTAGCTCACTGTCCAGATACTTGAAAGATTCCGTGACACGGTCGACCATGCGACACAAGACATTAGCATATCTTAAAATTTTCAAAAAGCATCTACCGTGCCGCCTGCAATTTAGCGAATCCGTCAATGTTCGGAACCGTGCGCAGGGAAAGGGGGCGGATCGGGGCACGGAGCTTGAGATTAAACTCCGAACTCCTGTAGCCAGCGATAATCCACTGCAGCCTGTTGGTGAATGAGTCTTCTTACTCCGCCAAGAAGTAAAGTTTTAGTAATCTACTGCAATAGAATTTCTAACTCGGCAATAGTAAACAGCATTTCTCGAAAATCTTTATTCCCAAGAATGACCGCCAAGCCGGAGCCGTCTACAGGTCGGCCTCGAGCCAATAGTCCGGATTCGAGTCGGAGCATAGTAACAGAGGCGCCTATTGTACCAAAGGATGAAATTCTAGTTACCTCTGGACATATCGCCGCCCAAGAAATCGACAAACCAATTGGAACAGACGAAGCTAGAAACAGTAATGCTGATGGCAACGATGTTCCTATACAGCCTGGACAAACCGACGATGGCCTTTATACAATATTCTCTAAACCCGAGAAAATATTCATGGTCATTACAGCTGCGGCAATAGGCATCATCTCGCCTTTGACTGGCAGCGTCTACTTGCCAGCAATGAACGACATCGCCGCTGACCTTGGCGTGAAGACGTCCTTGATCAACCTTACCATCACGACCTATCAAATCTTCCAAGGACTTGCGCCTTCTTTCATCGCTTCTTTGGCAGACACCCACGGTCGGCGTCCAGCTTATGTGACAGCCTTGGCAATCTACTTGGTTGCCAACCTCGTGTTGGCCTTGCAGCATAACTATGCCGCGCTGCTCGTTCTGAGATGCCTGCAGTCAGCTGGAAGTTCTGCCACCATCGCCCTTGGGAGCGCTGTTGTATCAGACATGGTCACACGCGCTGAGAGGGGGAGCTATATCGGGTGGGCTACCTTGAGCATCTCTCTCGGGCCCTCCTTGGGGCCCGTCGTCGGTGGCTTGCTAAGCGGGTACCTAGGGTGGCGGTCCATTTTTTGGTTCCTTCTCATCTTCGGGGGCATTATGCTTGCCATTGTCATCGCCTTCATACCTGAAACCTGCAGGGCAGTGGTGGGCGACGGCAGTGTGAGGCCGCAAAATGGGAATATCTCCTTGATGCAGCAGTTGCAATTTCGCAACGGCGGGGGCAACCAGGTTGAAGAGAACAGGGACACCATCACAAAGCCTAAACGGCGCCCAAACCCTCTCACCGTGTTGAGAATTCTTGGCGAACCCGGAGCAGGAATCATACTTGGTTTCGGGTCACTCCTATTTGCCGGTTATTTTGTAAGTCATGCTTCTTTGTAACTGAAAACTTCCCCGGGTCGAGGGCTGATGTTCAATCTTTTCTAGATGGTGATGACTACTCTATCCGAGCAATTAGCCTCTCGCTTTGGCTTCGATTCGGTGAAAATAGGAATCTGCTATCTGCCACTGGGCATTGGCTCCCTCGTTTCGCGGGTTACAGCGGGCCAGCTCTTCGACTGGAATTTTCGGCGGCACGCACGCCTGCTGGGCATCCCGCTTGATCTAAGAAAGCAACAAGGAATCGATGTTTTCCCCATCGAGCGAATCCGCTTGGAGATTTGCATCCCCATGGTATATATTTCCTGCGCAACTGTGCTGGCCTACGCGTGGACCATGCAGACCAACTCTTCTCTGGCTGGAATCGAAGCAACACTTTTCTTCCAGGGTCTGTTCTTCTCAGGGGCTCTGCAAGGACTGAATACCTTGGTAGTAGATACACATGCAGACACTCCGGCCACGGCCGTGGCTGCATACAACCTCTGCAGGTGCCTCATGAGTGCAGGCGGAACCGCTGTTGCACCACTTATGATCGAACGTATCGGAGTCGGTTTCATGGGTGTCTTCATCTCCGGAGTTTGGATCGCATTCAGTCCGAGTCTATGGCTAGTCCTATACAAAGGGCCAAGCTGGCAGGAATCACAGAGGAAAAGAGAGTTGAACGACACGATAATACAGCAAGGGGAAGATAAGAAGGTGTGATGAGTCTGAGGGATACAATCAAACCCCAAACACCACCTTCCGTTTTTGAGGCAGCTTATATATATGTATGTACGACCTCGATCAAATTACTACTATCGATAGGCTCGTATAACAATTCACCGTATTATGATCCGTAGTGGCCACTTTGTTCCTGTGAATAGTATGTATGATATCTCTTCCGATTATCGCCACATATCGTGGATGTGCCTGATAGTTCTGTTGATTTCCTCCGTAGTACTGTTCGGATGTGTTTTCTTGGGTTACTTCATCCGCCTACACCTTATCGCCAATGGAGGGTACTGCTGTAGCCCAACACTCGACGCTGGCGCAACCTCGGCCTCTTTCGTATTGATGTCGTTTGGTTCAACAGGCGAATGGCTGGCTCTCTTGCAGCTGAATAATCATCACTCAGGTCGACAGTTCTCTTCCCAAGTCTACAATTCCCGCAATCTGATCTTATGGTAAACCATAATGATTCATAATTAATATATTTTTAAAACCAAACGAAAAGAGAAAAGAAAAGAATCTTCCCGCAGTTTCGTACTTTACATCGTGAACAATGATTTTGACCATTTTCTTGTCGCGAATGAGAACATTCAAACTGTTAAGGTTATTATAGGGGTCAAAAAGAAAAGAGTAAGAATCGTCTGGTAAAGGAACAAAGCGACGAAGATACTTCCGCACAAGCATTGGCAAGATGAAAGTGCTAGACCAGTAGAAAACGACACTTAACTCAAGGTGCATTGAACTGGAGTGGTGCTCAGGGCAAGCCGCACCACACGAGCTCAGCATCTGTATGGAGGTGAGGAATAAGCTCATCTATGTGACCCTGGGAGAAGTATCGCATTGGGCAGAATCCCGTTGTGCTGTCTCGCGAAGTACGTCGGCCAGCTGGCGCATGGACGAACATATCAAAATGGCCTCTTCCTAATACAACGCGAGAAGGAGGAGATTTGTTTGGCTGGTGTTGATGAATGAGGCTGGGCGGCAGCAAAAAGGACTCGTGACTTGCAGACTTGGTCTTTAGCGCATCCGCAGGAGAGATTGCTCCGATTCCAGGGACAGATACGGGCCTATACCCTGCAAATGATGAGGCTCCAGATATTCCGTATACCCACTTGGCTCTAATCTATGGTAATCCTCCCGCTTGTCCGCCTCTGTTCGAGGCCGCTATTATACCTGCAGGGTTCGCAAGCCGAGGCGATTCCTCACGTTGCATTAAATCAAATCTTGACTTGCTGGATCTAGTTACGAGGTGTTGGAGACCCTACTTTTTCGGGAGAATTCCATTGGTGTATCCCTTCGATGCTTTCTTCCACCATTATGGTTGGTCTGTCTGAACAAAAGTCAACGAGCAGAAGAATTTCGTTCGGAAGTGGGATTGAGGCAAGCCATATCTATAGAACTGATGCAGATAACAGACAAGTGTAAGTATTAGTTTATAGGGCTTCTTTCGGCAGAGTTGCATCCGGAAGCCGTGATTAAAGATATGTCAATGCTAGAGGATTCGCTGCTCAATCCATCAGTCCAGTGCCAATTGGGTACGGCTCGCAAGCACGCCTCAAAGCTCGACAGTCACCGAATACTCTGTGAACATGCCCGGCGGATTACGGTGACCTGCGACCTCGGCCTTCTCGACTTCGTGCCTGATCTCCTGGACCTCCTCCTTCGAGAGATGCACCTTGAGCGCCCCGACATTCTCCTCCATATACTTGAGCTTCTTCGTGCCGGGGATCGGTATGATGTCCTCGCCCTGCACCGACAACCACGCAAGCGCCAGCTGGCCCGGCGTGCAGCCCTTCTTATCTGCGAGAGACTTGAAGCGGTCAACTAGCACAGCATTTTTAGCAAAGTTCTCAGGGCTAAAGCGCGGCACGATGCGGCGGAAGTCGTCAGGCGCGAAGTCGTCGGGGCTCTTGATATGACCCGTCAGGAAGCCGCGACCCAGCGGCGAGTACGCGAAGACGGTAATCTCAAGCTCACGACAGGTGGAGAGCAGGTTTGTGCCTGTCTCGTTCTCAATGTCCAGCTGGAACGGGTTGTACTCGACCTGGACGGCGTCGCCAGGCGCGACGGCGTAGGCCCGTCGGACGCTGCTGGAAGCGCATTCAGAGATGCCGATGGCTTTGATTTTGCCATCCCTGAAATAGATATATCAGTATGGGAGAAGCAAGTACCTCTCCGGGATAGGAGCTTATAGCCCTAGCTTACCGCTTGGCCATGGCCATTAACTCCATCGTCTTCTCGACAGGCACCTTGGGGTCGAGACGGTGGACGTAGTAGAGATCAAGGTAATCGACGCCCATCTTCTGCAGACTGCCCTCGAGGCACTCGTTGAAGAACTCGGGGCTATTGTCGGCCGAGATGTCCCACTCTCCCTTGTCGTTGACTGCAAATTTGATGGCAAACTTGGTGGCCAGGAAAATGTCGGCGCGACGCTCGGGGTGCAACTTGAACCACTTTCCGATCAGGACCTCGCTGTCGCCATAGCTATTGGCTGTGTCCCAATTCGTATAGCCAAGCTCCCAGGCGCGGTCCAGAAGCCCCAGACGCTCTTCGTCATTACTGAGGGAGTGTCAGAACTGTGTCCCAAGTTAGGGCTTACATGGAACAGCCTACCCGAAGGGCCCATAGGCCGTACTCAGGCCCATCATTCCGAACCCGAGAGCGGGCACATGTCGTCCCGTTTTGCCAAGAGGTTTGGTGGGCAGAGATACTGGAGGTGCCATGGCGGGTCAATGAAGGAGCTGGGTGAGAAAGATGGGGGATCAGATGCCTAGCCAATCTATGAGCTCGGTGAGTAGATGCCAGCAAGTTGCAAAATGAGATGGAATATGGGTATTGTCGTGCCTTTACTGTTCTTCTTCCCCATGTGTGCCGAAAGGTGTAAGAATCGTGCTTTCGGACGCTAGTCGACGATCCAGAAAAGCGTAGCTTGCTGCTTGCGACGTTTACCACTCACTAGCGTACCTATTTACCTTCAAGTGCCCCATCCTTCTGCAGGTTCAGTTGCATAGCAGATGGGCCCCGGTCTTAACTTCATCCCCGAGCCTTAACGCCGCAAAGATGAACCTGTATAATAACATCTATCGGGAAATGCATCTTAATTCCGATTTTATCGAGTCAAGTTGTTCTTTATAAAAGAAAGTCAGTTATATAGTTAAAACCAGGTTCAACGTCCGCATTAAGTATATATGAAATAATTCAGCTTATGTACTGTGGGGACGCTGATTAGTGTCAGGTCAGCCTGTTAATAGTACACCTAAATACTTCACTACCGGGACCTACTCCAGAACTGTTGCTAATGAGGACCTTTATATTAATCCTTTTTTGAGGTTACTTTTCTGTCTTCCTAAGGGTCACAAGGTGGATACAACCAGAATCTATATACTACAACGTCGGAAAAGAGACTGTTTTATAATCGCATCTTTATATACGGATAAGGTTGCTTTGTGGTTCTTGTCTTAATTCAAAAATGGATACGATCTGTTCTGTATTCTAGCATACTCCACTTGCTCCATGCTCTAGAGTTGCATCCTACTCATAACTTACGCCAGTCCCTCGAGAGATGCACGCCTATCCATCATGCTATCCCCATTGTGCCCCTGATCATTGTCGTTTGAGAATTCACTACTACTGTCTGTATTCTCACTAAATATCTCCAGCTGTCTATATGCATACGCCAGCAAATCCATAGAGACTTCGCGCTGGGGGTCGTCCTCAACATAAAGTTGAGCTTTGACGGCAACGACGTGTTTAAGGAGATCGATCGCCTCGCTAATCCGTCGGTCCGAAAGGTATGCTCTCGCAAGTTCGTATTCCGATACCAATCGAGAATGATCCTTCTCGTGTAACGTCTCTTTCTGCAACTTTACCACATATTCTAATATCTCGATCGCCTTATTCACCCGTTGGTTTGAAAGGTATGCTCTCGCAAGTTCGTGTTCCGATAATAATCGAGAATGATCCTTCTCGTGTAACGTCTCTTTCTGCAACTTTACCACATATTCTAATATCTCGATCGCCTTATTCACCCGTTGGTCCGAAAGGTATGCTCTCGCAAGTTCGTGTTCCGATGTTAATCGATCAGGATCCTTTTCGTGTAACGTCTCTTTCTGCAACTTTACCACATATTCTAATATCTCGATCGCCTTCTTCACCCGTCGGTCCGAAAGGTAGGCACGCGCAAGTTCGTGTTCCGATGCCAGTCGATTAGGATCCTTTTCGTCTAGCGCGTCCCTCTCTACTTCTACTATATGTTCCAACATCTCGATCGCCTCCTTGATCCGTCGGTCTTCAAGGTAGGCACGCGCAAGTTCGTGTTCCGATGCCAGTCGATTAGGATCCTTTTCGTCTAGCGCGTCCCTCTCTACTTCTACTATATGTTCCAACATCTCGATCGCCTCCTTAATCCGTCGGTCTTCAAGGTAGGCACACGCAAGTGCGTGTTCCGATGCCAGTCGATTAGGATCCTTTTCGTCTAGCGTGTCCCTCTCTACTTTTACTATATGTTCCAACATCTCGATCGCCTCTTTGATCCGTCGGTCTTCAAGGTAGGCACACGCAAGTGCTTGTTCCGATGCCAGTCGATTAGGATCCTTTTCGTCTAGCGCGTCCCTCTCTACTTCTACTATATGTTCCAACATCTCGATCGCCTCCTTGATCCGTCGGTCTTCAAGGTAGGCACACGCAAGTGCGTGTTCCGATGCCAGTCGATTAGGATCCTTTTCGTCTAGCGTGTCCCTCTCTACTTTTACTATATGTTCCAACATCTCGATCGCCTCTTTGATCCGTCGGTCTTCAAGGTAGGCACACGCAAGTGCTTGTTCCGATGCCAGTCGATATCTGTCGTCCTCCGTGCAATGGTCTTTCCGCCAGCCAAATGCCTGTTCAAAACACCGTATAGCTTCTTTAAACCGCCGATCTGCAAACAAGCTCAGCCCGACAGACATACAAAATTCTGCACGTTCTTCCGATTCGTACTTGTTGCTACGCTCGAGTGCTCGCAGCGCATGTGGCAGATACCCCCTCCATAGATCCCGGTTCCCACCCTCATTCGAAGGGTAGATATCTTCAAGGTGGTGAATAGCTTCACTCATCACCTGACCCTCACGATTCTGCTTCTCGATCCACCCGCAGGTAGCCATATGTACAAGGCTGTGCATGTCGAACGTATCGCTGTCTTCACGCTGAACCAGGAACGAGTACCCGCAAAGCGTGCCTATTGCCCACTCGAACCCCTCCGACTCTAGCCCAGGCAAAATGGACTTGGGTATTGCCTTTGGCTCGATGCACGACATGAACGACAACAAATTGACGGCAAGAGGGTTGGACTTCTGGATTTGATCAAACGACACGATCCATGTAGTCGCTATAGCGTTCCGCGAACCTCGATATCTGGTATTATCTCGGAACTCCCGACCCAGAACCCTGGCAGCGTCTTTTTCGGCCCCACGCAGCATTCCTAGGTACGTGCGCACGGGTGTTCTTGTTTGGTTGAGATAGGCTACCGCCTGTGTGATCGCCAAGGGCAGATACGTCAGATGTGCTAGAAGCTCTGTTACTGACGCTTTGTCTTGCATTGTCTGCTCCTGCGTCAATGTCTTCTTGAGGAGTTCCTCGGCCTCCTCCAGCCCCATTTGCTTGACGTGGATAATGTCTGACTGCGCAAACTCTCCAGCCACATGCCTAGATCGCGTTGTTAGCAGGATCAACCCGTTCTCGCTGTCAGGTAGGTGCTCCTCGATGCCTGATTTGTCGTCAGACCCAAATACTAGCTCTTGATCGTCAGCATTGTCAACCACCAACAGCCATTTGCCGGCCTCGTCCGAGCTCAGGTACTGTCGAACGAGCTCTTTGATGTCTTCGTCGTCGCTTTTCTTCTGGACACCGAGCTTCTTGGCTATTTCAACATACGCCTGCTCGACGCTGCTATGACTCAGCACTGGCACCCAGAAGATCGAATAGTCAGGCCACTTCTCCTTGACGTTGTAGGCGAAATGCAACGCAATCTGCGTCTTGCCGATGCCGCCTAGTCCGACCACTGCCATCCGCCGGCTTTCTTTCCGGACGAGCAACTTCTCTTCGAGCTGATCCAAAATGGTGCCACGCCGAGTGAAACGAGCATTCCTGGGCAGCTGGATATGGTAACACGGAATAGAAGGTTCTGTTATATCGTCAGCGGTGGTCTGGACTGAGGCACTTACGCGGCACTTACTCTTTGGGCCAATGTTCCTCCCAACACCGTCTGCACGAGTCGGATCTTGCGCAGGCGGGATCTCGCGCAGCACCGCTTTCGCATACGCAGCTGCCATCGCCGCCGCATATGGCTGCCATTCCTTGTTCTTCCGCTGATCGCCATAGTCGCACACCCCCCGGATCACCCCGACTGGGATACGGTTCATCGTCCCTGCCGCCTCCATTTCCAGCCCGATGATCTCGTAGTTGTCCCTCAGCTCATCCCGCTTCAGTGCGTTCTTGAGCAGCTTGTCACCCGATCCGATCGGACCATACCACACGCGCGTACGGTCGTTGTCTGGTCGGTGAGCGCGTTTGATTATAACATCCTCTCCGCCGTCGATCGTCGAGTAGAGTCTATCGCAGTCCTGTCCAGGGTCGGCAAAGGTGCCGGTCGCATGCTTGCGATCACGAATCGCTTCATAATGGGGCAAGAGCATCTGCGCGTCGCCGGGTGCTTTGGCCTTGATTTTGCCGATTGCTGACCGCACTATCGGTTTCGTCGCAGTCAAGGCGTGACCGCGTCGAAGGAGTTGGAACCCGTCGTCCGTCTCTTTGCCAAGGTCGTACGCAATGATTCCGGCTCTTTCACCATCAGGAAGACTGACAAGCACGTCCCCGAGCCGAATATCGCGGGGGGTATCGCCGGACAGTTTTGGCAGCCCCGCCGCAACACCGACCAGCAGGCCGATCCAGTAATGAGGGAAACACTTGATGATCTGACTGGCGAGCGCTGCCGCTGACCCTGTCCCGTATTCTTGGCCGGCCGGGAACGTCGCTATGACAATATTGTGGCCGCACATACTGCCAGCGTGGAACACATATTCGTCGCCTCGGTCCACCGCAAACCTACCCTGGTGTTGCTCATCGAGCATGTACAAGGCCGCCTGGGCCTCAATTTCAAGAGGTGCAATCCAGACGACGGCATAGTCGTTAGGATCGAGTATGGCTGTGGGATCGTCTCGCGGTGCCGCCATTTCGTCTCGTTAAGAATGAGGAGGCACTTGATCTGCGGTTCACGCACAGCACTCCTGCCTTCCGGCGTCTGCGTTGATGATCACCGCAGGGACGGCTGCAGGTAGGCGCCAGCCTTATCCTGCGATGTTGTCGGGCGAAACCCCGCACGGCTCAGCCGCAGGTCTCAGTCCAGGTCGACGAACAATCTTACCCCGGCCCAAGTCGTGCCGTGCTACGAACCAGAAATTCACTACGACGTTGATCTAAGGTTCTTAGAAGGACGCGTCTTTGATTGGGGTGTGGAACACTGCCATAGGATTCGCTAAGCGGTCCTATGGCACATTAACACGCTATCGTCCTAGGGACGATATCATAATATACAGTCCTTGCACGACATCGAGATGCCCCCCCAGGCGATCGTCAATTGACTTAATGCGGGCGCTTTCTGTCTACAATCAATTGTCTTGATTAGGCCAGCTCATATTTGAGCATGATACGATAGATCAAGTGAAGATGTCTTGCAACGCATAGCGCGCCACGCGCGAAGGGTCTGGGAATCTCATAGCAGACAGGACGTGTAGATCGTCCAGACGATGAAAGCCAATGGCTTTGTATCTGTCCACTATACGTAACTCTGATCCGGGAATATCCCAGTATTGCAAAGATGCCACAACATATGTCAGCACAGGGCACAATCAGCTGCTACTTTTGCCAAATGGCCTACATCAGCAGAGGCTGCCGCCAAAGCTAGAGCGCAACCATCGCTCCGATCTCATCCAGTGTACTGTCGCGAGAACCCAAATACGACGCGACCTACACCAGGAATATCTCATCTGCTCCCCAAAATAGACGAACGCTGAGGCTACTGCTAGATTGGGTACTGGTGCTACTTCCGCAACAACCACGCGGACTGGCATAGCAGCGACCAAAAGGCCCTCAGAGAGCGCAGCGTTCGGCGGCACTACGGGAATTGAGCCATTCAGAGGCGGTGGCGTTTTTTAAACTATCACGATGACCACGGGAGTATCATCAGCTACATCGACGCCGAAGACTGGAGCGGCTTCAAAAAGTGGATCTGCAGTAACTCTAGGGACGATGTTGATACTACTCAGTCTCGTACTTGGACTGCTGTTCTGATTGAACAGACTATATTTAGTAGACTGAGTATCAGATGGGGTATAATTGATTATCCCTGGCAGAGTCTAGGCTCTGTGGAGTAGTTATTGAAAGAACAGGCAGGTCTGCTTTGCTGTTGGTAGATTGGCTTATTGCATAGTGACTGTCGCGCTGATCATAATGCTAGTTATAGCTTGGGTTCACTCTGAGCCCATGTGCTTTGCTGCTGAATCAACTCACAGGCCTTCTCCCCAGACGGCTTGAATGCGTCCGCGTATTTCTTCGCTTGTTCGCTGGTGGCCTGTCGCTGCGCCACCCTGGCAGCAATGCCTTGTAGAATAGCTGCGGACCTGAATACGCCGAACGCGACGGCCCAGTTCATCTCGGGTTTGGGATCCCAGCCAGCCACTTCGTTGTACCAGCCTAGGATCTCGTCCGAACTAGGAAGTCCAGGTGTTACACCTGGTATGAAAGCAGCATTCGACAGCGGACTCAAGCCAGCTGTGAAATAGGGGTACGCCAGGTTGACAACATCAGACAGGGGATGCCCAATCGTGCTCATCTCCCAATCCAGGATCCCAATGACTCGCGGCTCTGTTTTGTGGAATACCATGTTGTCTATCTTGTAATCACCATGAACAAGGGTCCCCCTGTCCTTGGGTTGCAAGCTCTTGTTGGCAAAAAAGGCATGCAACTTGTCAAAATGTGGTATTTGGCCAACGGGCTCTTTGGTGTCGGCCTATGGTTGGAACGTCAGCATACCGCAAAGATATCGCTGCAATCGAGGTGTGGCTAAGAGAAGGAATTTGACCCACATCTACCGCCTTTTCTTGCACAGCACAAATGCGCTTCCATGTTGCAAGTTGTCGGTCATAGAACCCACTGCTCCTACCTGTATACCGCCTAGGTCAGTAAGCTGCGAGCAGCAAGAATACAGATGCCAAGCGTACCAAAGTCTGTAAGTCCTAGCTTCTTGTAGTCAACCCTGTGAAACTTCGCCAAGGTACGGACTGCATCCTTCCAAAGCGCCGTCCGCTCCTCAGCGGAAACACCGGCCATGGCATGGTCCTCAAAGATGCGCCCGTCAAGGAATTCCATGATGTAGAATGGGGTTCCTATTACAGATTCATCCTGGCAAAGACAGTACGCCTTGGGCACGGGAACATCAGTGGGTCCAAGAGCAGCGATTATACGATACTCGCGTTCCACCTGGTGTGCCGTCTTTGACAGCAGTTTCCCTGGAGGCTTCTTGCGCATCACATATCGCTGGCCGGTGGACACAGAGGTCAGTTGGTATGTTGGATTGGACTGCCCAAAACCAAATTGCTTCACCTCCAGTGGTGTTTTGATCTCTGGGACATTGTTGTCGATGTATCTTTCCAAAGCCGCAGTGTCGATGGGCTGCCTGATCCGACCAGCCATGTTGCGAGTCCCAATCCTCGGGATCGATAGACTATGCGGTTGAAAATGCAAGCTCAGTCCAAGTCAGATGAATACAAAATTGAGCTGCATTGATGTCGAGTTGTCGTGGCTGAAGGGGATTGGGAGCTTCAAGAGTCCCGTCAGACACCTGGGTAGAGCCGAGGCTCTGCTGGCTTCGAAATAGAGTTGCGTGGTGGTACAGCAGGGGGGCCCTGTTAGTGCGGGGAAGAGGTTAGGATAGGGGCTTCCGCATCATACCTCGGCGACATCATCTTCTCCGCAGTGGGGACTGTATATATCAGCTCCATCAACAATTCAACTGGATCTAGGCAAATGGAACTCAAACTAAAATCCTGTCGTAAAACTTGACGCTTGTTTACCTGCCAGCATCTTGTCGCGCCACCCTTAACTGATTTACACTGTCAACAATTAAGATGAACTTCGACTTACCACCTGACCTCCAGGAGTACATAGACAAGTTGGACAGCTTTATACAACAGCAAATCCTCCCGCTTCAACACAAAGGTGACAATAATAGATTCTTCGACCACAGGCGGGAGCCGTCACGGACACAATGGGATAACGGAGGGCTCCCGACTCCCGAATGGGAAGAGCTCCTGACACAAGCGCGCAAGTTGGCGGATGAAGCTGGCTTTTACCGCTTCCCCATCCCCAAACAGTACGGTGGCCAAGAGCACCCTTCGATGAACCTTTGGATGTGTGGTCTGAGATATCATATGGCCTCCCATCCCGTCTACGGAGGTGGTGTCAGCCTGGCCAACGATCTCCAGAACGAGCACAGTGTAGTTGGCAACTTTCCTGATTTCCTCATGATCTACCACTGGGGCAATGAGCAGCAGAAGGCCGAGCTCATTCCGGCACGGTTAGCAGGTCGCTTCAGGATGACCTTTGGTCTGACAGAGATCCATCACGGCAGCGATGCGACGCACATGGACACCAAGGCCACCCCGTGTAAGCTGCCGGATGGGTCACCAGGGTACAGCATCACAGGCAACAAGAAATGGCAGACCGGAGCGCACTCGGCCACCCACTTCTTGATCTTCGCTAGGACATCTGGAAAAGCGGGCTCGCCGCGCGGGATTACAGCATTCATAGTCCCACGCGACACACCAGGCATTGTGATCAACTCCTATGAGTACACCTTGAACATGCCCACGGACCACGCGACTATACTATTTGACGATGTCAAGGTGCCAGCATCGGGAGTGCTTGGCCCGCTGGACAATGGCCTGGCCATAGCGCAGACCTTCACCCATGAGAACCGGATCCGGCAAGCTGCCAGCTCGTGTGGTGCCGCCAAGTTCTGTATCGACCGTTCCATCGCCTATGCCCGGAAACGTGTCGTGTTTGGAAAGCCGTTGTCTTCCAACCAGGCTATCCAGTGGCCGTTGGTAGAGCTTTCTACCCAGGCCGAGATGCTTCGCCTGCTCATTCTGCGCACGGCCAACGAGATGGATACTGTGCAGCGCAAGTACGACGGGCACGCGGGCGCGACGTCGATGCCGCCCTGGGTTGCGATTGAGAAGCAGCTGGGGCACAAGATCAGCATGTGTAACTACTACGCGAACCGGTTGGCGACCCAGGCTGCCGACAATGCGATTCAGGTGCATGGCGGCAACGGGTACAGTAGACATGAGCCGTTTGAGCACATCTGGCGCCACTTCCGGCGGTACAGGATCACGGAGGGAAGCGAGGAGGTGCAGATGCGCAAGGTGGCGGGATATCTGTTCGGATACAAGAGCACCGGAGCTGAGACTGAAGGGAAAGATGGACAAAAGGAGAGCTCCAAGTTATAGTCTGGGAATGGGGCAGTGGAGGAACTTGGATTTGGAGCTAATGTTAGTGCTCCAGCGCCTATTCAGTCTAGTATATGCCTCCACTTACAATGAGTGAGCCTGGTTCATTGGGGCCGGGATCCAGATTGCCAGCGTGTAAAATAAATGGAACATGGAAGAATTATGGCAGCTTGCCAAACAACATTTGTTCAAATGTTCATAAGAATTGGGATGCTTTCGTTGTCTTGCAATCTAGCAGTGGTGATAATCCAGGCGTGCTTAGTTACAGGAGTAGGTGGCCAACGGCGTCCTGAGGGAGCTTGGAAGATCGTCATAGGTCCACCAGCAGAACGTGGCTGAAGCTTGCCCGGCACAGCCACAGAAATTGTCAGCTACCATAACAAAATACCTGTTTCAATATCGAAGCTCTCGGTGACGAAACCGCGCAACCTCGAGCTCGCCAACGAGCTGCCGACTACACGCGACTCCCGAATTCGTCACTCTCGCCATGCGCAGCGCCTCTGCTCTGGTCGGGAGAGGCCCGGCGCGCCAATTGGCCGGTCGGACCAGCTACATTTGCCGGCAGTGTAGGGCCATCCAGATCAGCTCGCTGCCGTCGACCGAGTCTCCACGGTTCGGCGGGGATGCCTTCGGTGCGCCTCTCGATGCGTCCAAGGATGTCGCAGGTATGGCACGGAATGCCTGGGGATGAGACGGTTGTGCCCAAGTCTGACTGGAGTCCAACAGATGCGCGTTTCGAAGTGCTCGGCACGCCCTACTCGCTGCTCTCGGTATCGCTATCTGCCTCACAGAGACTCTACACTCGGAGGGGCACGTTAGTAGCAGTGTCAGGCAAGGCGCAAAATGCAAGTAAACCACAAGGATCGCACTGTATCGCATTACATTGCATTGTTGCTAACCGACCCATCCGCAGGCGCAATCGACACTATCCCTTCTATCGCCCCTCAGCCGAGCCCTGACCGGCGTTCCGTTTCTTTACCAGCGCATCTCGTCGACAACACCCCTCACAGCTCTGATTTCCACGAAATCCCCGACGACAACCTTCTCGGTCCTCCACCTAGACGGCACGACGGACTGGACAGTCAGCCAGCGGTCCGCACTGTTGGCCTGGACGGGCCACTCGCTCACCGTGACACCCCGCATACAACATCGGCTCCCTCTGGCCCACTGGGGCTCCTCCGAGCTCACGGGCCGGGGCCTCGCGGCTCTTTCGGCGCCGGGTCAAATATATCAGCTCACGCTCGGCGAGGGCGAAGAGTTCGTAGCGCACCCCTCGAACGTAGTGGCCTACACAATCACGCGGGAACCGCCGTTGCCGTTCAGATTCAAGAGCTCCGGCATCCGGTTCCAAGTCCCGTCTGTGACCAACTGGCTGGGCAATATCAAGTTCTTCCAGGTCATGCGCACCACGGAAACATACAAGTTCATCACCCGCGCACTCTACAGCCTGCGAACGACGGCGCGGAGGTCCATCTGGGGAGACAGGCTATTCCTGCGGTTCAAGGGCCCGACCACCATCTTGATGTCGAGCAGGGGCGCAAGAATCAGGGACGTGCTCACCACAGACCAGGTCAACGAGATTGCCGACGCACCAGCGGGTGCTGCACCCGCCGCTGTGGAGCTGGCAACCAAGCCGGCACCGACGTTGGAGACCCCCGTCAAGGCCGATGAGCCGAAGGTCAAGATCAACGTCGCAAGTATAGGCGCGGATGGAAAGGCCCACTTTGAGGATGCCAAGAACTTGGAAGACTTTGAGAAGGTGAAGCCGTAAAAGCGTATATATGAGTGGTGGTTTTTGTACGAGTAGCCTTGCTGGCCCCATGTATGACAATCGAGCTAGAACACGCCCCGTCTCCTGTGTAATAGAGCAATGAAGAACCTAAGTCTTCTAACCCGGTGGGTATCTCGCGCTCGAAAATGACTAGGCTAGAGCCGAGTACCCATAGTGATTTGTAATTAGACATGGGCCAGAGCGCCGGAAGAGGTTGGCTGCTCGCCAGCAAAGGGTATCGCCAATGCCAAGCCGCGAGATCAGTCAGCCGGATTTAAGTATTGCCCACCTCGAAAAGCGCAACGTTCCCACTCAAAAGTATACACGCCTACCCTACTGTACTATACGACTTGTGGGTCATTGAAAATATTCCTTTTATTGTCTCTTTTCCTTTCCCCTCCATTTCTCAAGTGTATTATCTGCATTGATACCTTCAGCACAGATCAAAATCCAATGGGTCTAATCCGCAAAACCTTCGCGGCCGGTCTTGTAGGCGTCGGCGCTGGCGTCGGCTACCTCACAACTGCCACCACATTCACAAGCCCGTTGCGAAAGGACGACCCGTTGATGCAGTCGAGCATCCTTCGGAAATTGAACAAGAATCAAAACCCTGTCCTGTCAGACATCTGCGTCAAGCGCGTCCCCCTATCCAAGATCCGTCCCGAGCTGCGCAACGACGAGGCCGCCCTCAGCACAGAGTTCTGCCGTGCCGTGTGGAGCGGCTGGGGTGAGTCTTTGTCTTTCCTGGTCCAATCCTGAATTATCGCAACTCGGTGTGTCTAAACTTGAACGTGTAACTAGCACTCGCGCCCCAGCGCTTTGTTCAGTCAAAGACATCACACGGCGCCGCGACGGCCGAGCAGCTGTGGGACAAGGCAGACCTGGCCTCAAGCACGTACGAGGTCGGCACGCAGTTCGTGGACCACTTCGAGGTGGTCGAGCGGTCCAGCACCGACGTCATGGTGCGGGCCGGCGGCTCGCCGCTGGACCAGGGACCGCGGGAGCTGGAGGGCCTGCTCCTGACCAGCGTGCGCATCGACAGGGCGGCCGGGGAGGTCAAGCTCAGCCTCGCGTCCGTCTTCTTCAAGGGCCAGGAGCGCGTGACGGACGGGTCCGGCCCCGCGCCGTATCCCGTCGAGATCCTGCACCAGCTGTACGCGCGCGCATTGGTGGTCGCAGGGTCGCAGGGCGTGCAGTGATCTGTGAGAGCGTTGCATAGAATGGCAGGGAGCGGTCGGCCAAGAAAGGGCCGTGTTGTGTGATTTGCATCGAGATGCGAGGCGCTCACTGTGTCTTTAGAACTTCCCTGTATAGTATAATCAGATGTAAGATAGAACTTTAGACCTAATAGCCATGTTGCGAAATCGCTTTGCAGCTCTCGTCATGGCCGAATACGTTACAAAGGCACTGTTCTGATGAATGGGAGCAGCTGCGTAGGTTAGTATATATTTAGCGGTATCAAGAAAAACAACTCAGATTGACTTACAACTGCGCCTGTTCCCCAAGCCAGATGTGCCAGGTATACTCGAGCAGTCTCCCGCTGTTGTAGCTCGTCAGGGACGTGTCTATGAGCCACTGCCGCATCCGATTCCACCACAGCAAGCTGCGCTGCCGAATGGCATCTCGACTCGCTGCAAACTGTGCGCAGCACGGCGCGGCAATCTTGTCCGGAATTGAAGCAGTGTCGTTGGAGAACTCGGTCAGAAATGTCCGGAGCTGCATGTCCCGTGGCACTAGGTGTATATCAACGATGTCCACTGCGTCGTCGGCCAGCTGTATGATATTCTCGCAACCAGATAGACATCGCGGTGACACATATCCCTTCTCCAGGACGTATGAAGCCCGCAGGTTGCTAACCTCGAAGATAGCGTCGAACGGCTGGTGCCACGCCTGATAGTGGTCGTGATGGAAGAAGACGACGTCGGGGAGTGTCTCGTAGTGGTCGATGATATATGTCAGGTATACCATGGCCTCGTTCCCCCGGTTGACCGGCACGGACAGCGTGGGGGTTTTAGGCTTGTCCGTCAGGTAGTGGTAGATGGACCAGTCGAGCGGCACGCGCGCGAGCCAGGCGGCGTCCTTCTCCGTCGCGGAGCTGGAAGCTACCACGAGGGCCTTGGTGTGCGTCGGCACTATGCGCTCGAAGGTTTCAAAGGTACACACGTTCACAAGTATGATTATCAGGCACAGGAAAACGAATACTCGGCTCGTCATGAATAATAGCGCGCGAGACTGGCTCGTCTGTATCGAGTATTTGCTCATCGTGCTGGCGCTGTCAGGGGTTGTCTGATAATTGGTTGGTATATTAGAAACTATAGAAAGGGAAGATTTCTTGGCATTTCCTGGCCAAGACGAGCCAAGACTTTTGATGGACGATCAGAGAGTGTTCGGATGAACTTCGAGCTGACGTAGGGCTGAGACGTGAGGCGTTTCACGATGTTGCTACATTTAGGTTTACCCGCGCCGGGACTGCGCGTCGCGAGTTTCGAGTGCAGTGGTGCGGTGATCAGCAATCTGGCGAGCGCACAGATTCAAATGGAAATATTCCCAGGCAGCATGGAATTAACAGGGTTCGTGGCAAGAGCTGTAGACAATCTATCGTTCCCTCCGACGGACTGGCATGGTCAGAGAGGCAAAGGTGACTAATGCTAAACATGTGCTGGTGTAGTCGGCGAGGACTGAGCGGAAGTTCCAATTTGAGACCCAGAAAATCCTATAGTAGTACCCTACGTGGCTGTATTAGTAGAACTAGCTGTCACGTTGACGACTAATCTAATCAGTTTTTCCAGTTCTGAAGCCTGGAATAGACTGCGCCGACCGACCAAAGGGGCGGGCCAATCAGCCAACCAGCAGATCAGCCAATCATCGCAACCAGTGGGTTGGGGCAGTGCAACAGTGCAACCCACCGCCACGTGCGGTTTTCGGGTTCTCGTGCAGGCAGAGATCAGAAATCCGCCCAAAATCGATTCCTGGGCGCGGTGATTGGTCCCCAATCTCGATAGGCTAACTCCAATGCAGTTGGCACAAGCCTGGGGCGGATTGGGGTACGGCCAGCAGCTGCCTCTGCGCTTTGCGCAGGAGGCGGCAGGACTTTTTACTGAATCATATCAGCATGTTTATCGAAGTGTATAAGATTCGAGGCTCCCATTGTCCGACACGATGACTTGGCGCACCCAACCTTGATCGACTGAAAATCCCAGCGTCTCCACGTTCTTGTGCACACGAACTAGCCGCCAGTTGGCATTATATTCTCCTATCACAAGCAATGTCCATCGATCAAATACTCGTAGCCCCCGGGGGTGAGAATATCACCCCTCCACCGAAGTCAGATATCGTTGCGACAGGTCTCGGTGAAGTCGGTGACCAATACACGCTCGAACCCTCTGCTCTAGAACGAACCCTTCGAGGCGTCGCTGTGGCCATCCAACTTGAAAAGGAGTGGGATGATATGCTGGTTCAGTGGTTCTCGATAACACAGAAAAAGGCATCGACTACCCTGTCAGTCACGCAATGGCTAGCGGCCGCCCAAGAAGAGCTCTCCTCGGAGCCAGAGTTGGTGTTGATTATGAACGTTGTCATCGGCCTGTCGTATATGCGCGAAAGGGGGCGGACCTCAGATCTCAGGCAAGATCCTCTCAGCGTCGATTTCATCTGGCCCATCATCCGCGCAGCCCTGGCAGCGCCAAATTCCTCGTTCAAAGTGTCGCGCAGCGCAGGGGGCTTCCTTTTTGTTCCACTGTGCAGTCTCATCAAAGACGGCAAGATCGATGAGCTGTGGCGGTTGCACGTGTGGCTGCCTGACGGCAAGCGAGGAAACGTGATCCACTCCCACAATGCGTTCGGCCAAAGTTGGATCCTCGCCGGCGAAGGCAAAAACCTCCTGTGGTCCGTCAAGCCGGCGGAATACGACCAAGCGACGCACGCCGAGTACGGGCTCCAGTGGAACGACGGAAAGAAGTCGGATTCGGCCTATAAGACGCACCAGGTGTCCTCCACAATAGTCAACACCAAGAAGTACGTGGCCGCAGATCTTTCTAGTACCGATGTACACCGCAGGAACACTACGTATTCCGTTTCGGACAAGCAGTGGCACAGTTCGGAAGTGGCGCCCGACCGCGTATGTGCCACCTTGTTCGTCTTCGATGCGCTCCGGGGGTTCAGAGACATCGCGCCCGTTCTGGGACCTAAGGATGGCGAGTCAAGCACCCAAACTCGCGACCCCGCCGGGCACACGGTAGAGGAGATCGTCAAGACTGTGGAGAACGTACGAGCCTGGGAAGACCTAGTCCAATCTGGCAGGCGATATAACCTCTCGGGCAAGCGAGATGTTGCTGAGGAGACCTTTAAACGCGCGTTAAAGTTGTGCCAGGAACTACCAGGTTTTCCGAACCGGGAGCTGTATATCAAGTCTACAAGAAACGAGATGGAGTAAGTGCTCAGCTTTGGTGCTGGTCACATTAATGGTATAATATAAGGATCTACGACCAAAGGTTAGGTGACACTCTTCATGGCCAATGAGATGAGCGATCGATGATAGAATTATCCTGTGCTGTGTAAATCGAGGAACGCATGTATTTTTAGGGCTTCAAGTTTACTAGCCAAATCGGCCAAATATTTCCTGTTCAGAATTAACCGAGTTGTTTATCAGAGTTTATGCCCTGTCCCTTCCAGCACCCGCGATAAGTCCTTGAAACGCACAGGTTTGGTCATATACATATCAACACCACTGGCGAACGCTTCTTGCTGTGCGTTCGCCGATACTAATCCCGTCAGTGCAATAATCTTACTGGGTCTTAAACGCCGCGTTCCTTCCAGCTCGCGAATGCGTCGAGTTGACTCGAGGCCATCCATGACAGGCATGGAAATGTCCATGAGAATATGAGTAAAAGACTCGGGATTTTCTGAGAATATCTCAAAGGCTTCGAGGCCATTTGTTGCGGTTCGGAACTTGTACTTCAGCTTCATCATAAACGAAACAAGGATCTGGAACGAGGTCAATGTAATGCAATCCATGATATCGAATCCCATGCTTACTTGTAGGTTGATTTTATTATCATCCACGAGAAGAAATACGTCTCTGGCTTGATCAGCAGCGCTCGCACCAAGTTCCGATGTGCTTGACAAGTTGTCTGTGTTTTTCTGGCCCAGGGATGCCGTGGAAAGCCCAAAGTCTTGCACGGATACAAGATGTGGCTCGGAAGGTTGAGATGGCAGCAGAACGACTTCTGGAGTCCACCCTGACATCGAGGGAAATTCGACCCCCGGGGTATAGTCTGGGGTGGCCAAGGGGTTGATGTATATGTTCTGCGGAATATCGGACGGTTGTGAGGGTACCAAATCAGAAGCTTTTGCATCATTGTACCTTCCCAGAGCAAGAACCATTGCGTTTGCCAGTTTTCGAGGTCCGATGCTATGATCGTCAGTCCACATACTTATAGATAGGTCTATGAATGCTTACGGTTGAGAAATGAATTCGTAGATCCTCCCTGAACTCGCCTGTCCAAACTTCATGGACAGGTTCTGAGCTGTGAACACGCTGCGGCATACAACTACCACCGGTAAGTGAATAGAGTCTCTGTCCGTTGTTGTTTCTGACACATCACCCAAAGATGTATCAGCACGGACAATGATATCGGGTCGAATGTCAGTCGACCCTTGTTCAATTACCTCCAGATGGAGCCATTCGCAACAGACGGTTTTCACCACGTCCAGCTCGACCGGCGAGATGAAACTAGCAATCCCAGGACAGTCAGGCTCCGTTCTCAAACCGCAAAGTGAGACTCGGAGTCCTCTCAGAGCCGCAACATTCGCTGCAAACGGTGAGTCACGCATGTCCAGGTTCAGTGGAGTTTTCAAGGGTATGGAGATGGTGACGGAGGTTCCACATCCCAGTTGGCTTTCGATGTGGACGGTTCCGCCCAGGCCCTGTACAATCTGCGACACAAGACTGAGTCCAATTCCAGTACCTTGACTCAATGGATCCTCCTGGGTGAAAGGTTTGAATGCGCGATGTTGCAGGAACTCTTGGGTGATGCCTTTCCCTGAGTCCGAGACATTTAACACGACCTGGGTATAGGGTTTTCTCCTTTTCGCTTGGCGTTGCTCTTGCTTGAGGCTCACTCTGATAAATCCATATTTGGTATATTTTAGGGAATTACCAAGAAGATTCATGAGGACACGACGAATGGCGCCTGCCTCGACGCGGCAGATCCATGACACATGCGGGTCAATCTCAAGGTAAATGGGTACGGGTTGATGCACTGCTGTGGGTGAAGTATCCGAATTTGGTGATACGAAACGTTCTGCTGACCAGACAGAATCAGATCTTCCCTGTATTCGAGTGTTTTGACCGTTGAGACTTTCATGTCTGGTCAAGGAAGCCGGCAGGGCTTGGGAGATATGGCCAGTAAAGATGCTCTCAGCCGTTTCCTCCACTAAGGCATCTAGATTCATCGTCGAAGAAAGCGCAGTGAGTTGAGACTGGAAGGATTGATACTTGTCCATCCCATCGGTACGCCTTTGCGCAGGTGATCCGCGACGATCTCTGGCACCACCTCTGACAAGCCTGCTAATTTTGGTGTAGTCCAAGAGGTGATCTATGACATCCAGAAGCGTTCGACCGCAGGCATCCATCGTCTGCAGCAGTCCTCCTTGGAACGCATCGAGGTCGGTGTCTTGAAGTAACTCAACTGCAGCCACTATCCCATGCAAGGGTGACCGAAGTTCATGGCTCAAAGACCCCAGCAGATCGCTTTTGGCACGCTCAGAGTTTGAGGTGTTTACACGATCAACTTCGGCCATAATGGTTGTAGAAAAAGCGCGAAGGTAGCTGATTTCACCCTGACTAGTGAAAAGTCGAGCAGGTGCCTTAGTCCAAATGAATGATCCAGCAAACCATCGTTCCCTGCGTGCGTCCCATAAAGGAACCAAGGCTACACTCCTGGCACCGGGAAACATTGATAACATCAACTCATCCTCATTCTTGCGGGAATATGGATTGGAGGCCTTCGACCCTGGTGATGCAACGGTGACCGTCTCCGACGAGCCAGTAGTGCTCAGTCGACGTGCGGGTTGGTCCTGATCGTCATCGGTCGACTGTAAAGTAGCGCCATCTTCGTCGAAGTTGAATACCTTGCCCATCGAATAGCGTTTTAGAAGTGCCCTGAGAAACTTCTCCGGTACCCGGACATCGGGCGAGCTTGGTGAAGTGCAGTCGATGCTGGAGTCGGTGCTTGTAGAATAGCCCAAGACATTGCAAGCTTTCAAGTCGTCTTCTGATTCTTGGCCAAGATCATCTTCTGATCTTGGTGGACTCCTGGATGAGCTGGATGACCTCCGTGAATGGACATCCACATCTGATACAAGACCGCCATAAGAGAAGACACTCGCGTCCAGAAATAGAACTCCTTCCACTTCGATAGACTCCCTGATAATATTGGCTGCTCTGCTGAAGATAACCTTCACCTCTTTGAGTTGGGGTTCTTCCGAGGGAGCAATGGTACTAATCGTTCGAGCTGAACTTGTCGAATGTACCGTGAAGGTGGCCGAGTCTCCTGGTCCGCTCTTGTGATTCGGCAACGCCTGGACGCTGGTTTGCTCTTCTGTACGAGACACTGGCTGAAGAGGAATCGGCGCAGGCCGCTGACTCTGTTCAAGGTCGTCATTATGTCCAGCCTTATCATCATTATCATCTCTCTGCCTGATGGATTGCTGCTGCATGTTGAGATCTCCTTCGCTTCCATTGTTCCGAAACGAGCCGGAGTTTGCGCCAAGTTCCCAGCCAGACATCGTCGTCTTTCCTTCTACAAAACTTCCAAGGCCTCGAACCACTAAGCGAATAGGCGTTAGTCACCGAACTATAACTTGATGAAGAGCTGCTGTGTACAATGGAGCCACAGTGCCTAGACTGGTGGGAAGAACAAAGATTTAGATATCTATGCAAAACGAACTTACTTCGCTCACTTCGCCGGAAGCTGGGAGCTGACTCTTTGAGCTCAAAGTAGCCTGTTATGATTCGAGACAGTTCCCGCAAACAATCTAGTTGGCTCTCGTCAAGCCCCGCCCGAGGTTGGTCGTCCAAGACAGCGAGAACGCCCACATTCACTCCATTGCGAGACTTCAGAGGTACGCCAGCATAGAACCGAATGTATGGTGTTCCTAGAACGTAGGAGTTGTCGGAGAATCTAGCATCTGCTGCAAGATCCGGCACAACTGAAACGTCAAGTTTTGCACCGGTATGTTCCCATTTGCCATCGTTTGAGATGAGTACGTGTTCACATATCCCAAGGCCTCTAGGTGTTACCATACCGTCAAGCCAAATCTCGTCATTCCGGAGGCATGAGCCAAGGACAGAGTCATTGGTGGATTCGGCGACAACATACTGGTTCCTTCGGTCGAATAGAGAAACGCGACAACGTTTCGCATCCAGTTTTAGAGCACCAAGTTGAGCAAATGCATTCAATGCAGGATCTGATAGCACTGCTGGAAAGGCGGCATAGGTATCATTCGAAACGTTACAGGACGACGATGAATTCAGGTGCGAGCGCACATGGACGAATCTACATTGTTAGGCACCGCACTTTTGTAGAGTATCGAATCGCCAAGTGGCTGGTGAAGGCAGACGGACACACAAAGGCAAAAGAAAAGAAAGTGTTAAATGCCAGAAACGCTATGCCGTTATTTTGGTAAGGCAGACAGTTGAGATATAATCGAAAAGGTGTACCTACAATTCGGGAGCGATCCGAGATACCTCCTTCTCGCGCATGGCCTCCATCTTCCGATTCATTGTCGTCGCCGTGGTGGCACATACGCTGGCGTTGAATATTCGTGTGTTTTATCTTTGCGGGCTCTGCTCTACCCTGGCTCTCAAAGCCTCCGTCAAGTTGAGAGCCCGGCACAGATGTTGACTTGCTGGAATTTCTAGGTTTCGTCGTCTCAATCGTCAATCGTCAATCGTCATGTCGATTAGTAGGATTCGGTACCGAAGGCAAAGAACTCGATCGTATCTTGTCGTCGACAGCCCACATTCTAGGTGGGCTTCGCTTCGTTTGGAGGGGTGCCCGTGTTCCCGCGATCGGAGTAGGGCGGTAGTGACTGTTGAGAGCTGTCCACGGCCAGACCAGGAGGCTGTTTCCCAGTCACTGAACCAGGTGACGGCTTTTGTTTTTCGCTCAATGCCGGTCAAGACAGAGAGTCCGCCCACGGGCGACAGAGAAACAGCCCCCTCGTGGGCAGGCGGATCAGTTGTACATGGCAATGTGAAATGCCCATGGGCCATGCAAGTGGGCAATGGGTATGGCTAAGAAGAGTCTGGACCTGCGGGGCCTGCCAATGCGTCCCTCCGCTCGAAAACAAGTCATACTCGACAAGGCGACCATGTGCTCTGGGTGACGGGAATCTTATGGACTGGTCAAGCGAGATGTAGGGGCCAACCCGCATCGAACCGTTGACCCCAGGCTTCTCTGGGCAAGCCTGGGCTACAAGACCCGGGATAGGCCCGCCTAGGCCTTCTACGGGCCTAAAACCAGAAGGCGGCAGTACCACTGATTGGCCACCTCCTTCGGAGTCCAGCCCGCCTGGACTGGCGCTGCCATTGGCTGCAATGGTGCGGCAGCTTCGTCCGCAGAGCGTTGAATCTCAGTTGAGCACATTACGGAGCAGGTCTACATAGCTTGGGCGTGATAAGTTAATGCTAACCAGCCTCCAGCCGGTCCCTCGCAACCCTCTCGATGTCTAGCGTCAAATCGCTCCCACATATAAGTTGGCAGTCCGCCCGACAGCCAGAACCGCATTCAGCACCTCCTGACTCGGCTGCGGTGGCAATTAGAGTTCCTGCCTTTCGAACCTAGCAAACCCCACGCAAGCCTATTGCCGGCTACATCAAGTTCCGTCCAGGTAGGAGTAGCCAATGGTTGGCGAAGGATGGCACCAAGGTTGTCGTCAAGATGCTGCCAACGATCCACGGACAATTGGCGTTGTACCCTTGTCGAGGCGATATGGACACTAGTTGCAAATTACTGCTCATTGCGTGATGGCTGTGTGGCAGTTGCCGGCCACCCCACCTTATCGTAGTCTCAGACAGTGCTAGTTCTCCACAATTCAACCCTCCCTTCTACATCACTCTTTGTCCTTCGTTTGTGTGTGTCCGAATCCCCGCTACATGGCCTTCCAGACAAGCCTTTCCAAGCTCCGGAACTAGCTAACTACGCCTATAACTGGTACCTGAAGTAGGGGTTTTCCTTATCGGTAAGATCTTGGAAAGCTAGTTTGGCTCGCTCGACCTCGTCCGTCTTGTTCAGCAACTCCTTCTTCTTGTTCTCGTGCCTCAATACAAAGTACAGTGCAACAGCAGCAGTTATTGTAATGCAATAACTGGGTAGTCGAGTTAGTTTGGCTCATGCAGTGGGAGGTTAGGTAACATACCAGATAATGAGCCCAGTCCACAGTTCAGGGTAATGTAATGGTTTTGTTTGCGACTTAATCAGCTGGGGCCCGATGATGTTCCCTGTCGGATGTTTAGCTCCTACTCGGACAGATTCTACTTCTTTTCCAAAATGCTACTCACCCACGCAATAAGCCACGAATATTGTCGCTGACGTAAAGCTCTTCTTCGTATGCCCTGCGACGTTGGACATCCCAATGGTAATGATAAGACTGACGACGCCACCAAAAGTGCCGGTGATGGAATATCCCACGACTGGTGCAGCGGCGTGATAGGACCATTCGCTTTTCCAAATAAGAGCACAGCCTGCAATGACGGGAAGGCAACAGACGATTAGCATGAAGATGCGAATATTTGGAAATCGCGAGCCCAGCCAGCCCGTAAGTAAGATGGCGATCAAGCAGAGGCCACCAAGTGGAAACTGGAAAACGATGGATTCCAATGTGCTCCATCCAAAAGTCTGGTTCAACGTTAGTACATGATGGCTCAGCAAGTACGAACGTCAAGACCGAGACATAACCACCGGGGGGGACTTACAGACACGATCAAGGGGCCGAAACCTGACACAGCTCCGTTGACGGTGTATGCAGACGCCATCATAATAGCAATGAGCCATATTTTAATATCAAGAAGGGCTTCTTTGAGCTGTGCACCCTTGAACTGGGTGCATCGAATCCCCGTTTGGCCGTGTCTTAACCGCTCGACCGCCGCAAACCTCTCTTCCTTGGTCAAGAACCAGGCCGAAACTGGAGAGCTGGGGACAGCGAAGCAAAACAGGCCGAACAGGAAAGTAAGGGCACCCGCAAGCAGATAGATGTACTGCCAACGATGGAGGCCACCGCCGGTGATCTGAGCAAAGCCGTAGTTCAACGCACCACCAATGATGGTCCACCAGCCGGTAGAGGAGAACCACCAACTCTGCCGCAAAGACTGCTCCTGCTGAGTATAGTACCCAGAGATTATCGTCATGAAGCCTGTCGGGATGATACTCTCGATGAATCCCAGGAAGAAGCGCTGTACGTAAAGCCCCTGATAGGATGTAACGGCAGCCGTCAGCAGACACACCAGGGCCCAAATACAGACGACCACTCCAAGAGTCCGGCCTACTTCAAAGCGTTGCAGGGCGTAAGACATTGGATATAGGCCCGCCAGCATGCCGAAGTAGAATAATGAGGTCGCCCACGAGAGACGAGAAGTATCAACGCTGGCTGGGTTATGCGCATCCGGAATACTTAGGTGTAAATCGGTGGTCATACCGAAGAGAACTGCTGAGCCCAGTATAGCCTATACGTAAACTTTCTATTAGAACGGGTCCAATCACGTGTGGATCCTACATCAAAGCATACCTTGTCATAGTATACGAGGCCATACTTGTGAGAAGTCAGTTACGCACCCAAACCATATGTTTTCTTGTTGGACACTTGAAGACTTACACCCACGGTCATCGCTGGGATCAAAAACCAATCAATCTTCCGCACAGCACGCGCAGACACTACGGGGTCGACGGGATGGACCTCCTCGCCTACCATGGCGATCGCCACATCCTTTCCCGCGGTGGCATGGGTCTCCTGCGGGTGGTCCGCCTGAAGCGCGGTGGCAGCGGTCATCTCGACTCTTGTCTTTGCTAGCTCGAAGGTTCTGCAAAAAGCAATTGCAGTGAAAGGATGAGTAAGGAGGAACTACCTTATGGCATGGTTCTGCGGCAATTTCTCGAATGCAGAATGCCAACTTGCTAGATTTTTACCTTTTTTTCCCCATTCATGTCGCTACGGGGAAGCTAAGCTGAAATGACTAACTAGCATCCTGCACGTCGGTCCCTTCGGGTGCCTTATAGGCTAGGCGTCCTGCTAGGTCGCAACTGATCGGCTTCAAACGGCTTTCAATTGGCGTCTCCTCGCGTAGGGCTGTTGCGGACCACTTGTTTGGGGACGGGCTTGGACGTGACCCTGGACGGACTAAATCAGACTGTACATGAAGACCCAAAAAGTTCTGCAGGTTTCCGACAAAAGGCGCGTTGCGCCATTCTCGAATCGGCGCTGCTGTACTGACGCTAAACCACCACCGCCTTGGTTCGACAACGACCCCAAAGCGGGGCGATCCGGAGCTCACTTCTCGGCAACGCATAGCTACCGTTGCCGTCAGTTCGTAGCTTCAGCCTGACTTGTAAGACATTCCGGGCGTCAGGTGATGGTGTGGCATTGGTTAGCATTTCCGGAATCGCATACTTAGCGTTATTCCATGTACGGCGAGAATGGAAATAGGTACATACACTTTGAAGGGGACAACCATGCGTTGACACAGAATGCGAAAGCGGCCGAAACAATGCTGCTTGACTTTATTGCTGGCCGTGCACGCATTTGTGCAGAAGAGCAGGAGGTACAGAACATTGCTTAACAGGAGCTGAACAGGAGCTCATCAAGATGCGAAGAGAGTCGAGTTGGAAGAGAAAGGAGGGGATCTTCGGGCACCGGAGAGTGTGTCGTAAGCTGCCAGCTGCATCACCGACGCAAGATGTTCGTCATACAAGGCATGGGAGAAAACCCCACCAAAACTGATTGTTAAGGGACCAGACCGTTTCGTTGGTTATGTACACTAGATGGTTCTAACTATATACAGTATTGACTATTTCCAGAGAAACTCTATCTTGTGCCGTCTTTCGATTCCGATTGCACATTACACTGTCAGAGTGTAGTTGACCGAGTTTCCGGGTACTCTGGGGTAGAATTCGAACGTGAACGTTGTCGTGACTCCACCTGAGATAACTTGGGCGACCGTTGCAGCCATAAGCTTCACAGATGCGCCGTCACGGTCCCACTGGCCGCTATATGTCTGTTGATTCGGGTTAGCCATTTGAGCCGCCACCGTGATATACAGCAATGATACTTACTCCGCGTGCTTGCTGCAGAGGTCCCAAGTACTGGGTCCAGTCATCAAACAGATAAACCCCGTCATTGCGAAGCATCTTGACTGCAGCGAGTTTATACAGGCCCTTCCAAGTGATCGGGATGATAAGATCAGATCCAGCTTGAGCCTTGGATGTTGTCGAGCCCAGTACTGGTACATCCCATTGCACAACCTCTACAGTAGCATCAGCTCCGGCGGAGAATGACACGGTGAGGTTGGTTTTGCTACCCGGCGCTGCTGTGGCCGACAGGTACTTTGAGAGGAATGCTGATTTCACGGTCACGTCACCACCAGAAACAGAGTAGTCTTTCGACGAGCTAAGAACTGTTCCGTCCGTGGCACGAATAGATTTGACTGTGTTTCCATTCAGAAGAAACTTGACAACCTGGTCTGTGACTGCAGCTCCGACTTTGTGGAAGATATAGGCCGAACTGGACTGCGAGGTTGCTGAGCCATCAGTCGTGGAATCCGAGAGACTGTTTGATACCCCCTTAACTGCATTCTTGAGTATATCGAGAAGCTGAGGATCTCTCCATGTGTGTGTGCTACGGTCTAGGTAGCCGTCGCCATTATCCCAAACAATCAAGGAGGTGTCGTATTTCTTGGCCGTGCGTGCAAAGAAGTCGATGTACTTGCGCCTTGCGGCCGGCTCAAGTAACATGCCAGCTTCAGCCTCCCCAATCACCAGAGGAAGGTCGGTAAAATTGCCGCGGATGTTCGCAATGTCAGCTTCCAGGGTGGCCTTATCGGCATCGGAGCCCCATATCGTCTTTCCCCTGTCCTATGTTTAGTTGAAGAAGGCTAAATGTTTTTCACTTCAACTTACCAAGCTTGGAAGATGAAGTCATCTGAGAGTTCATTAGTAACCGTTCAACCTGGCAATTGAAAGAACTTACAAGGGCTGTAGTAGTGGTACTGTAGTGCCAGATACTGTTTTGCCTTGTAGTTACCTGTCGGCAGTTTGAACCACTCTGAAGTTTTGATGCTGTCCATGCTACCACCGGCCAACGTGACGACACGTGCAGCGTTCTGTCCACCAGACTCAGCAAGTGCTTTTAGAAACAGCTCGTTGAGTTTGTTCAACTCCGCGCCGTCTGCTGCTGTGTTGGCGGGAGGCTCATTGATAGGCTCAAGAGCAAGCTTAGGCGATTTGCACGCAAGAGTCTGGCCAATCTGCACCCAAGTTCTATAGAACTTTTCCTCGATCATGGTCAAGTTCGCACCAGACGCTGAAACATCGGCCCACTCCCAGGAATCTGGAACATCCGGTCAAAGGTCGATTCATTGCAGAAATTTCATAGATACACCTTACCATGGTGAACGTTTGTAATCACATAGAGCCCGCTTGATAGGGCCATGTCAACAACCTTGGAAACTCTCTGAAGCCAAGTGGAATTGATTGTCCAGTCTGGCGAACTTCCAGTGAAGTGATGGGTATAGGTAACTTGAACGGTAAGCCTGGCTCCCTCCATTTGAAAGGTATTCTCGTTAGTCTTACCTGGGATTCTAACACTGTTGAAGCCAGCCTTCTTCACGTCGTCAAATGTAGCCTGGACGACAGCCGGGTTGTTCCATGACCCTTCATCAGGAATCGCATCAAGCGTATTGCCAAGGTTCCATCCGGGGTTGATAGCGGCATTGTAGTCCTTAGCGGTGATAGGAGTCCAGACATCTAGACAAGCCGCAGCTCTGGGAGTTGCCGCAGCAGATGCACCCCTAGCAGTGTTTAGTGAGTCTTCAATTGATCATTCCCAATTCCAATAGTCTGTATACAACCCTGTCTTGGCCAACTATCGTGAACAACACCTACAAAATACTGGTAGCCGTCAGTGTGGCGACTTTGAGCCACGCAGTTAGCGAGGGGCTTCGAAAAGACGACATGTCGAAGGCCGCACTGCCACAGAGGAGGCAGACGTGCTGGTGTTGGCTGTTGGCGGCAACACTTTAACAATACTTATACGTCGCAATGCAAAGGAAACTCTTAGAACGAGCGTCGCTACGTACTGCGCTTGTCGGATGTTTAAGGAGATAACTTCATTTAAGAACTCCGCAGCTATCTGCGAGGCTTTACATCAATCCAGGTACACGGTGGCATCAGATATATTGGGCGTAGCCCTGTCCGGATGTAGGCCCAGCAAATGTTTTGTCCTTCCGCATTTCCGAATTGGGTAAGGACTTGTAGCCCCCGGTGTGCCACAGCTGGAGAGCAATTCGTGGAGTTGCGGTACGGATTTGGAGAAATTGGCGACCGGCCTCTTGAGTGGCATTTCCGACTCGGAGATTACAGTGGTTTCTTTTCAAGCCCGGGAACCAAGTGAGCTCTGCAGTACACTTGGACGCGATGGGTGGCATCAAAGCCCAGAAGAATGGCCTCGTGCTGGGCAGGCTGGGCTGTCCCGGTTTTCAGAAGCTGCCAGGCCCACCAGCTACGTCGGTATGCACATGTTGCAAGTTGAGAGGAGCGTTGAGACCCCGGATCACGCCAGTGCCGCGTATGGCCGGGCGCTCCACCAGCCGACGACTTGGCCCAGCTATGACGCACAGGCCAGTTCTGCCAGTAACGATGAGAGACGGCTGAGGTACGTAGCGTGAGAGGTTCTTCGCCATCTCAAGAATGGGCCAACGCGCCAAAATGCACGAAGTCGCAGTAGGATTCGGAGACCCCCACTGAGGTGGAAGGAAGTCTTCTTTTCAGCTCAGGTGCTCCAGCGAACCAATCTCTGTCCCTGCCCGAGAAACTTCCGTAGGTGTTTGGTTCGATTCCGGGGAGGGATATGCGATTGGGGACCACGCAGCCCGTTGGGGGATGCTGTTATTAGAAACCACGCCGTCGTGCGAAGGAACGACCAGTTGTGGCTGGTGGCAAGCCGAGTGCGAAGGGGATATGTAGTTGCAAGTTAGCTCGGTGTCAGTGTGTATCCTTACTGTATCTTCTGTCGTTCTAGTGCAAGCTACTATGTTTAGGTCTTCCAGCTAGCAGATTCTTGCTGTATATCGCTAGGCCGCTATTTAGGTTTCAGTGCGTGCACGGTCGTGCAGCTTTGAACGGTCAATTGCGAATGCTGTATGTGAGATCAGGGCCTGATCCAAATATAGGGATGCAGATCGTGAAAATGCGAATTCGTTCGTCAGTAGGTGCTACAGACGTAGCAGGTCCATAGAGATTGAAATATATAAATATTGACTGTGTATGTTCCTATCAGGCATCCGAGATCATACCTCAATCAACACACACAACCCTGTCTCAAAAATATTTCCTGTTTCCTGCCCTCAGCTTATACACCTCGCCAAGCTTGATACCAAAGATGCCTTCTTTCAAGAATACTGTCACTGCCCTGGCTGCTCTGGCAGGCCTCTCTGCTGCGCTACCAGCATCGACGAGCCCTAATCCGGGAGACACAAAGAACCCTCGCGCTCTTGGAATCAACTGCCGAGGATCGGGCTTATGCCCTCTGGCTACGCTCGAGAACCACTCAGGTGTCAGAATCCTGCAATTGTGGCACGATATCCTCGCCGCCACCGATAAAGACCCCAATACAGTGTACAACAGCGGCGATCATATTGTGTGCGTTGGAACCACTGTCTCCGTCACGATAGGGGCCAGCGCCAGCGCTGAAGTGGAAGGTATTGGAGGAGAAGTCAGTCTTGAAAGCGAGGTCTCCATTGGGACTGGGGGCGTGTGTCTCTTCCCTCAGGGAGCGTCTTTGACCCTGTCACAGATCAGGGGGCTTGTAGATGCTTTGGGCAACCATGGCTGCGCAACTTGCGGCTCCGTTCCAATTCATTTCGTTGATCGAGGAAGCAATGACCCGTCCTCGGGGATCCTGACCTCCAACTACGTCAAGAACCCCTATTGTAAGTGTACCTACTTCTGCAATGTCTACAGGCGCTCACGTGTTTTAGGTGGTGGCAACTGCATTTCTAGCGTGGGGTCTAAGTAAACAAGATGGTGTCCACTTCGTTCGTATTGAGCTCGAGTTGTGTGGCTTGTGCAAGTGGCCGAGTGTGGTTTTGCGCTTTATTCTCCTTATTGTCATTTCTGCAGTGTCTAGATTTCAAATGATAACGCTCCTTTCACCCATACCATCACCCCCTCGCATTCTGCCGACCCTTATTATACGTCCTATGGGAGGTGCTAGTCCTCTTGATTGGATCGACTGTATTATGTCAGGCAAAGCATGTTTGATTCCATCGTTGGTGATGAAGAAACCTGTTTTGGGTCAAGATTAGAAATCGTACGCTCCGTGAGCATCTTCATGTCCTGCTTTAGCATACTTCATACATCTCTTAAGAGGCTTTGTCAGAAAAATTGACGAGCACCAATCCCAACGGCCGCGCACCCATCTTGACAGATCCATAACTCACCGAGCCTCAGATCAGAGTTAACCCTGAGAGAATGACTGCGCAAGGAGCTTGAACACATATTTTCATACAAGTGCGGCTTTGCTTGTATAATAAAGAGGCATAAGGATGCCGCGGATATCGCCAGTCATGCACGCGACCCACAAGAGGTTAACGCTGTATTTTCTTGGCTTTTAGCCAATATGTGATTGAAAATTGAGCTGGTTGAATACTTGTAACCGTATTCACTGCAAACGTGTCATATTGGCCAGCATAGGCGTCAGTAGAATCTCTAGATGAGATGGAATCCAGTGAATGCCAGGTTGAATTCAATGGTGGCTCAAATATGCTGGCCCTGTTGATGAATGTCTCCGCGTCCAAAGATCTGCAATGCGCCGTCAAACAGGAGTAATAATTTGAAGTCAATCGCGCAAACCTGTGTCGTGAAATGTTACAGACACAAGATGCTACTGCGAAGGCGGAGACTTTTTTTTTTTTTTTTTAAAAAAAAAAATCTTCTTCAAATAAAGGAAGAATAAAAAAAATACCAGAAAGCTCTGACCGAATATCCTCTCAAACAGCAGGTTTCTACCGACGGTGTCTTCGCAGGGTTGGGACAGCTTTGGCACATGCGATTTCTGAATAGAGAGATCGCTAGCTGCTCGCATTGTTCATCAATTGGATATTATACGAGCACAGACGTAAACGCGAAGATCTACCGTATAGCCATGCTGACCGACTGACAGAACTCACAAGTTCAGCACCATCGTTGGCTGGCTGACCCTTGGAGATAACCATCGTTGTATAATTTATTGGAATTCTAAATCTTAGCTTTTGGTCCACTATCATCGCCCGATACCTTGCAGAGAACTCGCTTGTTGACTTTCAAAGCCAAACTACGTTCTACTACCCATTTCTCTATTATTTGAATCAGTGACTCCACTTGTGCGATTGAGTTCCGAGCATGTAAGCAAATGCGCACTCTCTCGGTTCCAACGGGTACTGTAGGTGCGACAATCGGTCTGACCATGAAACCTCGTTGTTGGCAGTACAGAGCCAGATGCTTTGGGGATGATGTGTATAGGGGTATGATAGGTGACTGTGCTTGGATATTTCCGATGCGCACCAAGCCAGCCTCCGGGTGAAGACGAGAACACATGGCTTGCAGAAGATGCCAAGCATGAAGGACTAGACTCTGCAAATGTTGATATTGATAACCACCTCGTCCACCTGAAAGATGGTCATATATAGTGTCAAGGCTGACCATGGAGGAGTAGGTCATCGAAGTAGTGTAAATAAGCGTCCGCGCATAGTTGATGAGGTACTTGCGAGCTGTGCTTGAACATAGCACTATGCCTACGCCGAACGTTAAAATGTCATCTTACGAATAGCGAAAACAGAGTCATTAGTGTAATAACGCTTACCTCCCGCGCAGCCCATCGCTTTACCAAAGCCATGGACTCTAGCCCAAATTTTGCTCTCGAGACCAAGCTCACAGACTAGGCCACGGCCTTGTTTTCCTAGCACACCTACAGAGTGTGCCTCGTCGACGATGATGTACCCATTTCGGCGGGGGAGGCACTGATCTGTAAGTCTGGTTACGTTTTCCAGATGAGCCACGGTACCATCCATGCTGTATATGCCTTCCACGCATATAAATACGTTCCTGTTACCCTCGCGTGCTGCTTTCCCCTCATCGCCATTCGTGACTTGTCTCAGAAGTTCCTCAAGTCCTGGCATACTCCCAGAACGAGAAGCGTCAATCTCCCCATCCGTAACAGAATCATGCGTGAATGGAAGCTTCGTGGCCGCACGGCTCAAGCGCATCCCTTCATGGACACTTGCATGGATAGATTCGTCGTAGAGAATAATATCTCCAGGCTGTGGGACGCAGCTCAGTAAACCAACGTTCGCATCGTACGCTGAGTTGAAGAGGAGCCCACTTCGAGCTCCATGGAAATCTGCCATCTTCTGCTCCAGTTGCTCAGCAAAGCTTGAATTGCCGTCCAGAAGCCGAGAACCCCCAGAGCCCAATATGCCCCTTGCTGCCTCACCCCGCTCAGCGGCAAGAATTCGGCCCTCGAGGCGAGATACTATTTCTCTTTGAAGTTCAGTATTTGTTGCAAGGGATAGATAGTCGTTGGAGGAGAAGTCGACCATTGCTGGCGATGTGGTAGTCAGCTGTCGCAGTCTATCCGCATTTTTCCGTCGTGCAAGTATAGTGTCGAGGGTCTCGTCTAGTCGCGCCATGACTTTGCCTTCAATACTCTTGGTTTCGCAGTTACAATTAGTACCTGAAAGTAATGATGTAGATAGATCATGTGCTGTCACATGACAACATGTGAAAACTGAACGAGGCAAGCATCTTTGCGGCTTGGTGGTGTCGCTGCAATCGTTTTGTTGAGCTCCGCAACGCTTGCATTGCAGCACGCCAGTGTTATCCGTTCTAGGATTTGAATGGCCCAAGGTCTTTTATGCAGTAACACTACATATGTAATGTACGCGTTGGCATTTACCTAATAGCCTCGGATTCCGGTTGGGCCGGCCTGTCGGTTGCGTGATTTATTCGCATAGTAGAGAACCCCTCGCTGGTGCATGGCACTATATGCATGCATATCTCCACCTGCAGGCCCTAGAGCGCTTAGTTAGCCAGAGTGAGCGACTGCCGATCTTAGTGCGAGGGCTGGCATTTTGATTTCGGTTGAGACCCCAAGATTTAAGCCCAGTTCCTAATGTAACTTACGAACATCCACTTGATTCACTCTGTCCCGGTTCATGGACTGAGACTGAGATTGATCAATGGCGCCAATCGGGTCGCTGCTTTGGAGATCTCTCCGAGTGTGGCAGATATACGGGGCCAACACTGAAGTAGGGAAAACGGTGCTGACCACTATACTCTGCAAGTCTGCAAGGGATCGTTATAAGAACGAGCTGATAGCATACCTCAAACCTGTCTCCACCGGCCCCCTGGACGAGGCTGATTCACAGTAAGCTAGTCATACTGCCCATGCTTGGATCTGCTCCTCTGACTAGAGATCAGTCACCTGGACAAATATGCCAAAGGAGTTGCCCATGCCACACTTCATCAGTACGACCTTGCCATCAGCCCACATGCAGCAGCGAGGGGCAAGGTAACTGCAATCATTTCGGTGACTGAAGTGATGCTTACTTGTGGTCGCAGTTCGTTCCCTCCGACAAAAGCCTCCTGGAATCTATATATGCCCATGCTGCACAGACCGCAGCTCGTAGCCCCGGCTGGCTCTTCATTGAGACCGCCGGTGGGGTTCACTCTCCCGGTCCTTCAGGTGTATCACAAGCAGAACTCTACAAGCCACTGCGCTGCCCTGTGGTGCTAATTGGGGATTCTAAGCTCGGCGGCATATCCTTGACAATCTCCGCGTACGAATCCTTGAGGCTTCGGGGTTATGATATCGAGGCTGTGTTACTGTTCCGAGACGAGCAGTACCGCAACTGGGAATACCTCACAGAGTACTTTAAGGAGCACCATGGGATCCCCGTGTACTCCTTTTTCCCACCCCCGCAACGCGAAGCTGAATCCTTGGAACTTGACGCGGAGAGAATGGGCAAGTATTACGGCGCGGCCAGCCAGGCACCTATCATCCACGATGTACTCGAGCATCTAGACAGCAGACATAAGGCCCGTATCGCCCGTCTGGAGTCCATGGCCCACTCAGCACATGGAAAAATTTGGTACCCCTTTACACAGCAGAAGCTCCTCGCTCCATCCTCGATTACCGCAATTGACAGCGCCAACGAGAACTTCTTTCAGACCCTCGTGCCAGAAAGCACATCTGGAGAACCAGGCAACGAACCATTACTACAGCCATCATTTGATGGTTCTGCTTCCTGGTGGACTCAAGGCCTCGGCCACGGAAATACCTCGCTTACTCTTGCCGCTTCGTACGCTGCTGGCCGCTATGGCCATGTCATGTTCGCGGAGGCGATCCATGAACCGGCATTGGCACTTGCTGAGACACTCCTCCATGGAATGCAAAATCCACGACTGACGCGAGTCTTTTACTCTGACGATGGAAGCACGGGCGTCGAAGTGGCAGTCAAAATGGGTTTGCGTGCGGCCAGAGTCCGCTACGGATGGTCCAACAAGGAGAATCTTGGCATTATCGGACTCAAAGGTGGGTATCACGGCGATACAATCGGTGCAATGGACTGTGCAGAACCTAGCGCCTTCAATGAGAATGTCGAGTGGTACGAAGGGAAGGGGATGTGGTTCGACACACCCAGTGTGAAGTGCGTCAAGGGAAAGTATATCGTTGAGATCCCTGAAGGATTGAGAGGCCTGCTGAAGTCAAGTCACCCGGAATTCGCCACTCTAGCCGATGTATTCGACATCGAAAAGAGGGAAAAGGCGCGACACCACGAAGCGTATGAACAGTACATCGAGAAGACACTACATCATCACCTTTCACAGGGTCGGAAGTTCGGCGCCGTCTTGCTTGAGCCGGTCGTTCTCGGTGCAGGCGGCATGATTTTGGTGTAAGTCGCCCTCCTTTGACTCGTCAAGCATTTTTTTTATGAAGATAACGTGTCTAACATGGCTCAGAGACCCACTGTTCCAACGAGCTCTAGTCAACGTCGTACGTCGATCCTCACGTCTATTTGGCAGTGAGGGAGGTGACGCCATTTCCGATGAGCAGAGTTGGAGCGGGCTGCCCATCATTTTTGACGAGGTATTCACGGGACTCTATCGTCTGGGTAGGTTCTCGGCGTCATCATTCCTAAACATACACGCGGATATCTCGGTGCACGCGAAACTTCTTACCGGCGGTCTTGTGCCCCTTTGTACAACACTAGCGTCAGAGAGTATTCTACGGGCTTTCGAGTCCAACGACAAGACGGAAGCCTTGCTCCATGGACACAGCTACACCGCTCACCCCATAGGATGCAATGTGGCAACAGAGTCGCTTCGTCAAATGCAAGCCATGGAGCGCAATGGAGATTGGGACTGGGCCAAGAAAGGTGGATGGTCTAAGGCCGGGGCCAACGAAACGCTCTCCGACTCTAAAGTCTGGTCAATATGGCATACAGAGTTTGTGGGCTGGCTCTCTAACCATGCAGCTGTCGCAGGGGCCTGGGCACTAGGAAGCGTTCTTGCCATCCACCTTAACGCACCTGGTGGCGCCGGATATACCAGCAACGCGGCTGTGAACCTGAGGGATATGCTTCGATGCAACGCAAATGAGACCACCGAAGCTCCCTGGAACATCCATAGCCGGGTTCTCGGAAATGTCCTTTACATGATGGGCGGTCAGCATACAAGCGAGGAAGAGATTTTGGAGCTAGAAGAAGTCTTAACGAAGGCTCTATCCACCTTGAATTTATAATAAGGAATTGTTTCTGGACTATATCACTTTATAAATGACTTTATGATTCTATTTCACGTTTGTTATCACCCATGGCTTAACTTCGTTCACGACGTTTGTTAGTAAGAGCTTTAGGGATCCTCAAGACGTTCGCAATGTCGTCTACCAACGGGCCACCCGTGCCCACTTTCGAACCCTTGAGGTTGGACCAGCTGACAATGAACGTGAACTTCTTGAAATAGCTCATTTGATTATTTTTAAAACGCATTTCGAACCACATTTCTGCGGCACTACTCATAACGCTTTGTCGTGGCCACCAAACTGTGTAAGCTGTTCAAGCAGTCTGCGCCAAGGTCTCGGCAAGAGACACAGATGTCAAAGTTTCCTCCATTGCACAGCCTGCACCTGTAATATGACTCTTCCTCCGGAATGGGAAGCAGACATGCATCGCAGTACAATGAATAACCCTGAAGATGACTACTTGGATGAGCAGCAATAGCCACGGACCCGTGTTCGTCATTGGCACTCGGCGAAGCTGCAGTCAAAAGTGTAACAATCCGATCATGTCCCTGATACCGAGCCCACCACAGCGGCGTTCGTCCAAACTGGTCTCGCGGATTAGGTTCAATATCAAGCAAGGAAAGAAGTGTGACTACTGTCCCGACGCAACCTAATCTTGCAGCGACCGAGAGTACAGTGTTGCCGTAGACATCTTTTATAGTGACATCAACGTTGGGGCAACAAAGAAGGAGGGCTGCAGTGCCCTCGTGCCCTCCTACTACGGCGTAGAATACAGGTGGACGGCCCATGTTATCCTGTGAGTTTGGGTCCGCATTGCACTCAAGAAGTAGGCTGACTGTATCCAATCTGCCGAACTCGGCGGCGTAGGCCAGTGCCGTGAAGCCTTCATCAGTTTTGGCGTGAACGTCGGCCCGATATTCTATCAGCTGCCTCACCGACGAGATTGCACCGTCCCGGGCAGCATTCATCAACGGCGTGGTACCTCTTACGCTGGCAATATTTGGATCGGCGCCGTTTTCAAGAAGAGCTGTGAGTATCTTGTCGCTGGTGGTTCTGAGTGCAAGGGCTGTCTGTCCACGGTCGTTCGTTGCGTTCACATGTGCACCTCGCTGAATGAGAAGCCGTACCACATCCGCGGAACCATATTTAGCAGCATACATAAGCGCTGTCACCCCGTCATCGTCAGCTGCATTGACATCGGCGCCTTTCTCTAGGAAAAAGTGGACTAGATCATAATCTTCGTTCAAGGCGGCGATGGAGAGGGGCTGCGCCCCGTGAAGCCCTTTCACTTCGAGACTTGCCCCCTTTTCTATAAGTATTCGTACAACAGTTTGACGAGATACAGCGGTTGCCCAGTGAAGAGGTGTATAGCCATCGCTATCTCGGGTGTCAGGATTATAAAGCTCGAGGAGTCTGCTGACTGCTTCTTCGAACCCAAAGTGAGCTGCCATGTGTAGGCCAGTAGCAGTTCTCACCTTTAGTCCGGTATCGTGTGCTATGGGTGGCCCTGATCTAATCAACATGATGCTCAATGCTTGAGTAGCCGATTCAAGCCTCGGCTCATTTTGTAGAAAATTGAGGAACTCAATCACCATGTTTGCCATTTGGGCATGGAACCCCCAGAAGGCGGTTGCGTACTCGTAGAGTGGATAGGAGCTAAGTCGGTTCTTCAGTTCCTGTCTACTCTTACAAGGTCCTTCTTCGAAGACTTTGTATGAGAGGTAGGTAATGCATACTTTCGTGATGTGCTCGTCTGCGGCAGGGAACCATTCTTTCTGGGTTTGCTCGAAGAATTGTTGCGCAGTATAATGAACCAACCGTACAATATTACTCTCCGTATCAACAGTGACAAGCCCATAACAAACTGACACGATTTCTTGAATGTTTGTCAGGTTTTCTTCGTCGAATGCTGCCTCATTGAGTTCAACAGCCAGGGCCTGCTGAAGCTCTATGACAGACAGTGGTCTTCTTGCGCAGGTGATCCACAATAGCACTTCCATAGCAAGGTCTGTCTGGTCGCGCATTTGTCGATAAATCCGATCCATAGCATCGCGATATGCAACATGTATTGCATCGTTCCCAGGTATCTTATTGGATATGCTTCCCAAGGCAGCTCGTACTGCCTTTGGGGATCGCTTGCCCCTCAACGAATCGAGGTAAAGCTGAGCAAGAAGAAACCTTCGGGTGTCAGTAAATTATCAATCTACTGATATTTGGACGCCTTACATTCCGCTCACGCTTTCAGCTATACAGTGCTTCACATCGTTGCAAAGCGCAGGGTTGCCCGAGATAACCACAGAAAGATAAGGAATTTGTTCATCCAAGTACGTCAATATGTCCGCATAGCTTGCAGAAATCTCTAAAGATGGACTGCCTTCAAAGCTTTGGCTGATATCAGGTGTGAATCGGGACGTTACCAAGATGTTGGCGCTGAACTTGTCTCTTAAATTGAATAGCGCCGATATCAACTTTGATCTGCTTCCATCAGATATTTGTAGTTCATCTAGTGCATCTATGACGATGAATGTTCGAGATTTGGTCAATATAACTCTTTCCACGGCGTCGCATATCTCAGATGTTGAAGGTTTCGTATGTTTGCCTTGATGCCTGCCATAGAGGTTGATCACGGCCTGGGGTAACGAATGTGTATATTGGTTTAGCTGTCTGAGCAGGCTCAGCATTATATTGCCAAAACTCTGTTCGCTATTTTGGCGGAAGTTGCAGAATATGTAGCACAGGCCGAAAGATAGGTCTGAAGAGAGTTGGCTGGCAAGGTCGTTAACAGCGACAGAGGCAAGTATCGTTTTCCCGGCTCCGGGTATACCGGGGCAAAAGAGGCTCTGGCCTCTGTTAGAAGCCCATGCTTCATACTGTGGAGATTTCAAGAACCATTGACCTGTTCCTGCCTGTCGACGTCCAAGAAAGTCGCTTTGCTGAGCCGCATAATCCACGCTGGTGAGCCAGTCGAGGATCTCCTGATGCTCGCGTTTCTCTTGGACGTGTACCAAGTAGACAGTATTATCTCGGCTAATCCCATGAACGAGAGAATTGAGAAGCACGATGTTCGATGTGATGCGACTCCTGAGCTCACAGACATCTCTAGGCTCCCATTCGAGGCGTTTCCAGGCTCTTATGACCTTACGTTTAACACCCTGGCCCTGCACATTCAAGGACATATATCTGCTGAGGAGCTTCGCCAGATCGCCAAGTACGGTGCGGCAGCTGCTGGCGACTTCCTTGAGTGCCTCTAACTGTGACCCATTGATGCTCTGATGTGACAGGAAGGCATCGACATCCTGAAGAACTATCGAGAGACTCCGAATCCTGCAACTACGGTCAGTGATGAACAGGTATTTGATGATAACTTGATAAGCCGGATGAACCTACTCGGCAGATACGGCGTGGAACTGGGCCGGGGCGTCTGCAAATTCCTTCCGAACTCTCATCGAGAGCTCGATGATGGCTAGAAAATCCCCCACGCTGAAACCAAAACTCATTCTGATGCAACAGTGATCAGAGTGGCCAGTGTCATTCTTTTGTTGTAGTCAGAGCTGACGATGGAAATGATGAAATCAAGGAAGGCTATGCTCTGTCGCGCCAGTCCCCGCAAGGAGCATCCTAGCGGTGTACATTATTGGTCAAGAGTGAGACGCAGGCTTCACATGCATTCAGCTGAAAACAGCTACGTGATGCCGCATAATTCAATGTCAATTGGACGTGGGTGCAGTAGATCAAATTACAAGCATCCTTACTTTTGACTTTCCACCCCTCGCCAGTAGGGCGAGTTGCAGGCAATACCACGGGTTTCATCCTAAATAATCACATCTCCTACTACTATATACCGACTCAATCATTAGTCATCCCTCGATAGTACTTCAGTCTATGCTAAGAGACTAAACCGCTTATAGAATTAGAGAGCGCCAGCGGCTATAGGATCACAATGCCGCAAGCGTCAAGTTGTCCATGTCAGCTACTGTTCATCTTTGTTCCGTGAAGCCAAACGAGCACATCATAACCGTCTATGACAATGGGAATCACATCACAAAGAGACAAGTTCATCGGCACAAGTCCAGATCACATAGCGCGACTCGAGGGAAACAGATAATCACCATGAACACTAACCCCAACCCAGCACCTCACCTTACCATTGCGCGCCCTAGATGACCCAAAAATGCCCCCGTCCAAATCTTCCAAACCGACCCCCTATCCCCTTCCACCGCAGAACACGCCCTCGGACGAGCCAGACGCCTGGACAGACCCGCCACCCAGAGCGCCCACTCCGCCGTCCGTGGCACCCGTGATCCGGATCCTGGCGCCGACCCCGGAGAGCGAGGGCCTGGTCCCGCTGGGCCTGCGGCGGAGACCCGGGTCACGAGCCACGACAACGACAATGACAACGCAGCCCGCCTCACAGCCCTGGACGGACGAGCTGGTCAAGAAGACGATCAACACGGAGAGCGCCTTCGACGACGACTCGTCGTCCTCTTCCGCCTCGTCCCACTGCCCCTCGCCGTCCCCTCCTTCCTCCGACCTGGACGGCGAGCCCGAGGACTACTGGCCCCAGACCGTCAGATCGCCCCCCAGTCGCTCACCCGGCCGCAGCGCATCCATCTCGACCACACCGCCCGATGGCGCAGCAACGGGCCACTGCGCCGTCTGCAACGCGGGGCCGGCGGCCCGGGGGCGGCGGTCATCCTACCGGGGCCACATCAAGCTGCTCTCAACGTCGCGTACCGCGCCGCAGGCGGTGTGGGCGCTAGGTGGGAAGTCGGTGCTCAAGGAGCGGGAGGGTGACCGCGGGCAGCTGGCGTACGAGGCGCGCAACCTGGCGTTCGCCCGGGCCGCGGTGTCGTCCGGCACGGTGGCGGTGGCGGTGCCCGAGGTGCTGGCTAGCTGGAGGGAGGAAGCCGTAGACAAAAACGAAGAAGAGCGAAGGGGCGACGGCGGTGACGGGGACGCGGCGTTCCTCCTGATGTCGCGAGTGCCCGGGCATACGCTGGCGGCGGCCTGGGCCGGGCTCGGACCGGAGGAGCGTTCAGGGGTCGCCCGGGCGGTCGCAGGGTGGCTGCGCGAGATGCGCAAGATAACCAGCGACGCGGTGGCCGGGGTGGACGGCGGGCCGCTGATGAACACGGGAGCTTTCTTTGGATGGCAGCACGACGAACCCGTTGGGCCGTATGTCTCGGATCAGGCTGTCTGGGATACCGTGGCGCGCACGCTCGATGCGAGAGAGGTGCCGCCACTTGAGGGAATTCGGTACCGGGAGGAGACCCAGCTCCTGAAGGACCGCGTGCCTCGGATGGGCCCGTATGTGTTCACGCACGGGGATCTGACGGCCAGCAACATTATCGTGAAGGACGGGAAATTTGTTGGCCTTGTAGACTTTGCGGCCAGTGGGTTCTACCCGGTTTGGTGGGAATGGGTTCACACACATGATGTGGATGATGCCGTGGATATGGAATGGAAAACGGAATTGCGCAAGTACATGGACCATGGAATTCCCGGACTTGACTTCAAGAAGGCGTTGGAGTGGTATAATTACTGGGGCCACCTAAGAAGCTCGAGGCCGTTTTCTAACAAGACACTTGAATCGAAGAGAGATCTTGGTGAGTTGGATCGCAACTAAAAAATACGGCTTTATGTTAGAAGCATGCCTATCACTTTAACGATGGAGGACAACTCATGAGTGCAAGGAAATAGTATTGTGGTGCTGATGTAGTTAGTTTACAAGAAGCCTGATCTCAACGACGGCCAGTAACCAGGAGCATTAGGTTCCAAACATTCGAATAAGGAAAAAGCCCGACAGCGGACTCGTATGCATCGATTCCCAAGTAGCCCCGCCCATCTCACGCTCACACCACGCCTTGTCCCACTGAAAGCCTCATGCATTTGCAGTCTTCTCGAGGCAACAAATCGTCATCGCATGTCGTTACAAAGAGGAGTCGCTTATTTGGCCTTGGCAAGGCCGACAGTGCCCTTGCCCAGGTCGTAGATGGAGTACCACTTTCGCAGGAAAGCATCACCCAGAATGGCCAGAGGGCCGGTGGGGGCGGGGATGTCCATGCCCATGAAGGTAGAGATACAGCTGCCCTGGACCTCGAGGATGTAGTCATAGGGGGTAATGGAGAAGTCGTAGCCGCTGAGCTTGAAGCTGACATCGGGCAGGCTGTCGCGGACAGAGCAGTCGACGGTGTACTGGCCGTTGAAGCTCTTCTTGGCGCCGATCTCCTTGTTGAGGAGCTCGGCCAGGTCGGAGGGCAGAGCAATCAAGGAGGTGCCAGTGTCGAGAATGACACCAGTGTTCTCGAGCTCGGCAGTCGAGTCACCGAACGAGATGGAGTCGAGGTCGACCTCCCAGTAGGCCTTGCGGCGCAGGGGGATCTCGGTGATCTTGCCGGTGTAGTGGTCCTTGTCGACGCCGCCGAAGATAACCTCGGAGTCGGAGCCGCCGTTCTCACTGGACAAGTAGAAGGCGAAGACGGGCTCGTCGATGAGGCCCTGGTTGACCATCTGGTAGAAGGGGGGGACGATGCCGTTGACCGAGAGACGGTCGAAGCCCATGCCCAGGATGCCGTCGAAGCGGCCGAAGGCGAAGGCCAAGCCAGGCTCGGTGGTGGCCTCAGCAAAGTCCTGCTTCTTGATGGTGAGGTCACCGATGGTGAGAGTGTCCTGGGAGACGAAGCCGGTCATGCTGCCGGATCCATAGCGGATCTCAAACTCGGTGCCGTTCTTCTTGTAGGTGGACGAGGCCGACGAGTCGTACTTGGAGTGGAGGTAGCAGGCGATGCTGCCGCAGGACTGGGAGGGAACCCAGAGGTTGGAGCTGCCGGTGTCGAGGATGACCTTGAACTCCTGGGGAGGTGTTCCGATGGTGATGTCGGAGAAGTCTGGGGGGAGAACGGGTCAGCAGGCGATCAAGGGCGGTATGAGACGGGGTAATGGCATCTACGTACACTGGGCGTTCATGAAGTTGGTGATGGGGACGATGTGGTCCTTCTCGGCGCTGACCGAGCCGGCCTTGAACATGGCCTCGGCGTGAGCCTGGGGTCGGCCGCCCATGTACTTCTGGCCAAGGCCCTTCATCTGGTACTCGATGGGCATGGTCTCCTGTCGAGGGTGAGGGTGGTCAGCACATATTCTGGCTCACGATGCGACGCGCGCGCCACGGGGATGCGGACGGCGATGGGGAAGGGGGGCGACGAACCAGCTGCTCCGACAGCGGGATCTTCTGGAGCTTCATCTTGTGGACGCCGGCCTCAGCGGCTCCAAGCAGCGCAGCTGCTGTAAGCAGAGCTCCCTTCATGCTGGGCGAACTCTGAACCGGGGAGAATGCGAAACGGGGACTAAAGACACAGAGAGAGAGAGGTTCGGGGAGGAGATGGATGAAGCTGGATAAAACGATGACCACACGACGCCTTGGTGTTGAGTGCGGGTGTGTGATGATGAGGATGGGAAGAGAGGGTGGAAGCTCCGGTTGCTAGGAGGGAGGGTATGACGAATGGGCAGTGAATGGGGACTACTGGGCTGGGCTGGGCTGGGAGCTCCGAAAGCTGGGGGAGGAGGCGCCAGGCCCCACTGCGAACTGATAAGTTAGCGGGTGTTGTGCCACGAGACCACCAGACAGACCACCCTAAAACCCAACCAAGCAACCAAGCAGCCAAGCACCCGAGCACCCAAGGCACCCAGGGCACCACACCCCCCAACCTAGGCCACAGCCAGCTTGCGTTGCACGTTGCACGTCGCACGTTGTACGATGCGGGAGGATGGGAGATGGCGCTGCTGCCTTCCGTAGCAGCAATGGCCGGCCCCCCCTGCAAGCCCCGGCAAGCCACCGGGACAAACCTCCAGGGCTCTCGGTCAGACTTGTGACGAGACCAGCAAGAGATATGCCCCGCTTATTGCCCGTTACGTCGGCCGCTGAGGCGCGTGCAGGCCGGCGAGAGCCAATCGTTGCCAGCCACACCTGGGCAGCTTCTCGCCTGGCCACCCGGCAACCAGCCCCAGCTTCACTGCACAGTGACTGAGGTCTCCTGCCAACCCAGGTGCTTGCAGGCGAGAGACGGACCTTGGCTGCTTGGCTGCTTGGGACGGGAGAAAAGCAGGTACCACCAGGTTGGCCCCGTCCAGACTGTGCCCATCCCTGTCCGCCCTCGCCTCGGAATGGCGCTTCGTGTTCACCCGAGGTCTCGTGCCCGGGCTCACCCCAAGGGCCCAATTCATTTGATGCGACAGACTGTCATGTCCAGCACGGCGACGGCGGACCACTAGCACTTGCTGGCTTATCGCCGGCGGCCGTCTTGAGACTCCTCGTTCCAGCGATGGGTTGGCCCTTCAATAAATCAAGGGGGCGAAGCCTTGTCAAGAACAATGTGACTATTCTGCAGCGTACGGAGTTACTCCACGAACTCACGTGGGAAATCTGGGTTGGGGGCGAGCGATTTGGGTGCTGTTTAAACGGATTATTAGCCTCACTTGAAACGCCTCCGATTAGCGCGACAACTATTGACTTCCGTCATTACATCAGCAGGACAATCGCCGTTCCAAGGTTCCTCTTGAGGCCATAACTTAACATTGTGTAAAGGTGTACGAGTAACGAATGTTTGAATCTCGTTTTTACCTTATTCGTCTAACGTGATAAAGCCAAATACTTCCACACAACACGAGCCGTGCCGGACCAATAGCACGTACATATGTGTTTCGTCATAGCAACCACGTGGACCACAGTATAAGACCCGACATCCAGTAGCGCCTCACCTACTCAGCTCGATCAAAAGTCGCAGCACTCGCCATACTCTCCGTTGTTGTTCCGTCCGTGATTGATGTTGACGTGCGGCGCAACCTTCCAGCTGCCCCAGTAGTAGACGGGCACGCACTTGAATCGGTTCCTCTCCGTCGCCCGGTTGACGTGCCACTTGGTCATGCTGGCGACACACGACTGCCAGGCGATAGTGCTGGCCGAGGTCAGCGCTGTCGCCTGGATGGCGATGCTGTAGTCTCTCGTCTGCCGGCCGACGAGGCCCCGGTGCGCGAGAGCCTTCTCGCTGGCCGTCAATGTGGCTTGGTCCCTTGGTAGTGGATGATGCCAGTCGAGTCCTCGTAGATGTAGTCGTTCAGCAGGGCCATCTCGGCATCCTCGTCGTCGCTGGCGGATCGCGCATCGAGGCTACCCAGGTCCATCTTAGCTAGCACGGAGGCAAGGCTCCTAACGCCCAGGTTCTGCGCCGACTTCATCTCCTGCAGGCTGCGAGCCGTGACGATGACGTGGGCGATGGCATCGGTCCACTTGACCAGGACGTCGGTGGCGTACCAGATGGCCATGGCGCCGCCGGCCGCCCACCACGCCTCCCGGGTCGGTATGTTGGCGCAGAGGATCTGGGCGAAGCCTGTCATGGCTGAGCAGATGCCTTGCCGGGCCACCGGTCCGAGGTCGGTCGACGCCGGTGCCTCGTTCCTATCGACGGCTGCGAGTTCCGCGTCCTCCGCAGCGATGGCGTCCCAGTCATGCGTCTATTACTTGACAATCTCTTCCCATGTGTTACCATCAAAGGACAGCTCGTAGTAGAAGCTTTTCGTGTTCTGGAGAGTACCATGGTCAACGGCAGATTCGGATCGCTCGTGGACGGGGGGCCAAGCCATGGCAGGTATTGCCGCGCTAGCTACAAGGCCGAGGGTGGCAATCCTGAGATTGTGCATCGTGGAAGCCACGGGAAAGGTCAAGAAGTGAGGGACTTTGGAGATGCGAAGCTCGCAAGACGATGGGTCACGGAATTAACAACCACGTATTTGGTGATCTGTTCCGTTACCTTTTATACATCGTAAGCCGTCTGGCTTCTTGCTGTACTCTGAATCTCGTCGTGATCAAATGAAGCTAGGAGACATTGCTATGCCTTCATGATCCACTCCAGATGGGCCGAGTCTTGTAGGATGAACTGATACATGCCCCATCCTCTTGGGAGTCCCTGCCTCTGGAAGCAGATTATACGCTGGATGTTGAGTTAGGAGCATATGCTTTCTGGCTGCGCAAATGATTATACAATACCAGTTATGAGGCTAGGTGATTTCAATACCACGTATTCTTGATTAGGTGTAATGTCACTGATTCCACTGCTTAAACCTGAGACACGAATACAACCCTATCGGTTTTCTAACCATTGAATACATATGTGGCGGTGCCAAACCCTATGGCAAGAAATTACATTCTTTCTATCATGAAGTTAAAGTTGCAGCATCATTCCATGCCTAGAACTGAGGACTGAATATCCGGGCCTTGTGTGGGCCCAGCTACTCCACCGCTGGATTCTGCCGGGCGTCCGAGATACAGTAATGAGAGTAGGCTAGTTAGGCTGGACGATGAGAACGGCGGCTCAAGTGGACGTAGGTATCACACGCCCATATCAAAACGTCTGGAGCGTACCACAGGAACAGCGCAACGGCCACCGCCCAGTAGAACTCGCAGGTAGGCAGATTGTCGCAGGCAATAGCACCGTAGCCGGTCGGATTCTCGCATAGGCCAGCCAGCCTCGTTTGAGTCAGGCGTTCCAGAAAGGCCTCCACATTGTAGAATAGTCCACAATCGGAGCGCTGGTAACAGTTAGAAAAGAGTCATCATACGGCGGACGAACTAATACCGATATGCCTCCTAAGGCCCTTTAGTGGAAGTCACTCGCGGATCGAGGATGTTGGTGCAAAAGCAGGGGTTTTGAATGAGGCTGAGAGCGCGGAGATGCTAGAGCAGCAGGAACTAACCCCCACATCAGGATGAAGTGTCGTTTATAACAAGTGCCGTAAAACTCAGATAATTCCTACCCGTTAACACAGACCACTGTTGCCCATTTATTTAATAAATAGTATATTATAATTTATATAATAATTTGTTACATAAAAGTAAAGCAAGTGGACCAAATTCTACAAAACAATTAATGAAAATAATATATTTTAATATTAAAAACACGCCCAGATTCGTTGAAGATCTTGAAGCTACCCAGATTCTATCAATCACATGTCTCTAAACCCGTCTGTCTCCAGGGGCATATCTGGGTCCAACCGAGAACCCGGCCTATGCTGCGTTTCCCAGGCATCACGCCCTAGCCCATCCAAGGAACTGACCGGTGTCGGCTCCGCCAACGACACATGCGGAAGCTCATTCTCACCACCACTGGCAGGACTCACGGACCGGGCTAATGCTCTAAGAGCTTCTATCTCTCGCGAGCACGCGTCATCCTGGCATTCTTCGAACCCAAGCAGATCACGCAGCTCCTCCGGACTGGCACGCCGCGTGTCATTGAGGCCCACGACAATCAATCCCACCTGCTCGTCCCACTCCCGCTTTGCATTGGCAGGAAACGCGGCAGGGCCGCCGGGCCAGTACTGCGTGACTTGAGCCTCGGCTTGGTTGGCGCCAAACCACTGGTCGCCGTTCAGAAGCGCGTAGCCCGGCCTTCTCCTCCCGTTGACCGTGGGCACGCACTCATTGTCGGGGATACCATCGTCGGCCGGGATGTTGAGGCCAGCAAAGTTCAGGGTGAAGGCCGAGCGGTGATAGGTTATCTGGGAAAAGTGCCATTCCGTCGGTGGGTTATCGCCGCCGGGGTCTTGCTCCGAGGTAGCCGTGTGTCCCACCTCGTACGCCGGGACGTTGCGGCACTTGTCAAAGATCTTACCGGCGGCCGAGTTGGACTTGGAGTTGATGTAGCGCACCATCTGACCGGCCACGGTCGGCGGCCGTGCTGACATCTTGGCCCTTGCCGCGGGCCATTTGTCGGCCATGCTGGTGAGATCCCCGTAGCCGTCGTTGAAGGGAGCCAACACCGCGGGTGGGAACTCATCGGGCGAGCACGTGTCGGCTACCCCGATAATGCCATCCCAGGCCATCGTGTTCCGCTCTCTGTTGAATTGCGCGACGACCGGCCGGTCCTTGCCACCTCGCTTATAGGGGCATGTAATGGTCTCGTATTGCTGGTAGTGATTGATGATGGAGCGGTAGTTGAGGCATGGCTGGGCCCATTGGTTGCAATTGATGACTCCCATGTCGTGGGGTGCCATCGCAATCTCTGTTGTGACCTTTGTCATGGAAACGGTGCGCTTTCGTTTCCTACAGCCCCCAGCATTGTCGGCACGCTTGGCGTTGGCGGGACACGACGATGTATTCGGTTTGGAGTTTGTTTTTGGGGGACGGTCTGCTTTCTTGGAGGGCTTGTCCCATGTGATGGAGTGCTCCTTTCCAAATACCTTGAAGACGGCTTTACCCTCTTTCTCCACGCCCTTGACGCAGAGCTGAATTAGTGCCGGAGTCGCCGCAATTTCGGCAATATCGAGGATCTCCCCGATGATGGGTATAGCTGCCTCAATCAACTCGAGGGGTGCGAGTAGGGCGGGTACGGCTACCCTGCAAAACACCTTGGCCGCAATATCCAGGGCTGCCTGTTCGGCTGCGGCCTCGGCGGCTTCCTCTGCGGCTTCCTTTGCTCTGTCTGCGAGTTCTTCCTTGGTGGGCGCCGGCCTGAAGTCCTTGCAGCAGTACGACTGTATGCCGCCCGTGCATGTCTGATCGCCCTTTTTATCACGATGGTTTGTGTCCTGCACAACCTCGGTCTCGCCATCGTCGCAACCGCCCATACATGACAAGCCGACGCCTCGATAGCCGCGCCACTGGCAAGTTCCCATAGTAGTCCCATCTTGACAGCACAGTGACCGATACTTATTTGCCGGGCATCTATCTTTTGCAGACAACATTCCCGGCTGACCGTTCATTTGGGCGACCTCGTTGGTCCCCTCTTTGCAACTCTCGCCGCATCCAGTCGAATAACACGTTACACCGGCGGCCAGGTCATCACTCATCTGCTTTGCGTCTTGCTGGTCTCCTGTAGTAATGCCGGGTGCTGGAGCCAGTCCGTTATCAGCGCCCTGGTCACGCTGGTCGATGGCCCAAACCATAGTCCCGCCGAGACATCTCGAGTTTGCAAACTTGCGCTTCTGATCAAAGGTGTCTTCATCATCGTACGACACCCACTGGTTGTCGTTCCATGTGATCCACTTCACGGCAGCCTTCTTATCCCAAACCGGCTTGAGGTCGTTATAGCTGATAATGTCCTCAATCTCTTGAAGGTCCAGGATGCCGCTAGCGTTGGAACATTCTCCGGCCTCTGCACCGCCATTAAACTGGCATACACCATTGGGCTCGTTGCAGGAGCCATCGACAAGCGTGAAGCTTCGTCCGTACCACCCCATTCCAAGAATAACCTTCTCGGGCTTAACACCGGCGCGCCAGAGAAGATCCAGGCCCAGGTCAATCTCTGTCACATTGGTATGAGGCGCCAAGTATGGGCCAACGAATTTGGACTGAGCATCCCAGGTGCCATGCACTAGATTCAAATTAGTTATGAGCCAAGACGCCGAGGGTATTACTTACAGTCATAGGCCATGAGACTAAACCAGTCAATGTGTGGCTGGATGTTGGCCAAATCAAAGTGCTGGAGGTACCAATAGGAGGTAGGTAGCGTCATTGAGATTCCATACCGGGTCCCTTCGGCAACATGGTCAGTGGTTCCGTTCTAGTTCGACTTTTGATGGAGAAGTAGATGCAAGCCATACCAAATGCCTCCCTCAGCTCCTTGACCAAGGACACATAGTTTGCCGTGTCGGCAGTCACACCGCCGCGGTCATCTGCTTGCGGATACTCCCAGTCGAGGTCCACCCCAGTAAAGCCGTAGTGCTCCATAAAGGAGATCAGACCCTGGATAAAGGCTTTGCGATTCGAGGCCTTGCTCGTCATGTCACTGAATGCTGTACGTGTCGGGCCCGGATCAGTAAATGACCATCCTCCCACCGAGATCCAGGTCTCGAGGCCCGAGTACTTGTCCTTGAGAGCGGTAAAACGGCTGTACAGCTCCCCTGTCTTGCCGTCCATGGGCGCGATGGCAAACGAGGCGGGATCGAAAAATGCAAAGGCAAAGTTGATGTGTGTAAACCCGTTGAGGTTCAGGTCTTCGGGGGACACGCTCTGGCACTTGCGCGTGTTACTCCATGCCTCATAGTAGCCAACAGTGCGCTTGCCGATAGAATTGCCCGAGCATGACGGCCTCTTCACGTCTCCACAGCCACCAAAGTCCGACTGGCAGCCCTTGTCGCAAAATTCAGAAGTCGAGCCGCAGAATCCAAATTGAGAACAGCACACGCCGAGCGGACATTGCTGCTTTCCCTCCTTGCCATACTGGCCGCATTCGGCTTTGGCGTCGCAGTTGGATGTGCAGTTTCCCGTCCCGCATTCGCCCGGGGAGTAGCCACAGAGATTGTTGTTATTCCCTCCACAGCAGGCCGCATTCTCACAAGGAGTCTGCGCGTTGCATGTGCCGGTTGGGAGGGCGCGATCCTTGAGGTTGAGCAGGCCCGGCGGCGACAATGCAGACAACGTCAAATTGAATGCTGCATTAATCGGACTTGCACCGACTGGAAGAAGGTGCAAAAGCCAGAGTAGCAATGGATTGCTGAACATGTTGCTGAATATTTTGAAGTCGGAAATTGAAGCGAGAAACAGCTGAGAGTGACGAGTACTGTTTTCTCGACGTCGTGCCTGCCGCACACCAGGGATGGATGAGGGCGGTCCCTATATCAGGACAGTGCCATACCAAGCATGACACTGACCATTGAAAGATTGATCTCTTGCACGAATCAACCGTGGCCGAGACCATCCTGTGATAGCTTCGGTGGAAACTACCCCCGTTCCTGTAAGCTTACCTATAGTAGGTGATGTCTCACGCCCCACTGAACGGTTACAGTAAACCTGGACCGTCGAATAGAAACGTGCTTTCATACACACCTTCCTAATCCAGCATTTACCCAAAACGAGAATATCCTATAAGGATTCATTATGGTATGCAAGAAACCGTTAGATATGCTGTGTAAGCTCAATATCTCACCTTCACTTTAACCGGTCAAACCATGTGCAACCAACCGAACAACACCTGTCTAAGGCCATCGAGGGCTGACCATCTCACAATGACCACCTAATTTGAAGTTAGATTTGTGGGATATCATGAATATCGACGCCACGGTTGAGGATCTTGTCTTCCCCTCAGACGTCCACGTCCACGCCCATGAACGACTCCAGGGGGTAGCATTTTCAATTCCTCAAGCACACACCAGGTCCTCAAGATGGCATTTCCACTTTCTGCATTGCTATGGGTACTGCTGGCATCGCCATTACTGGCTTTCAACCTGTATCCAGGCGTTGACCAAGCCAAATTGGCCGCAGCCCTGAACATCACCACAGCATGTGTACAAGCTCTGTGAGGCGATTCCTTGCCGCGTTGACAGACTTGCGGCTAACCTACCCCGTGAAGCAATGAAACGCTGCCGGAATGCGACCAGACCCTGCTGCAGATGACGGCGTCTCTAGAAAACTACTGGTGGACTGATGACAACTTGACCGCTCTGTGCGACAACAACTGCTCCCTATCAGTCACCAACTGGAACATGGACAGCGCGGCAGCCTGTGACGAACAGTACTTCACCGCATACGGCAAGCTCGTACCGATTTGGACGGTGACGGAGCGATATGTTGAGAGCCTGGGTGTGGCTTGTCTCGAGTCATGGTGAGATGTCTTCCCAATTACAGACATGGATCGGGCAGAGAGGCGCAGATTGACTGAGATGTAATTATCAGGTCGGATGACTTTGACTGGTGCCTGACAGAATCCCAGGAATGGGTGGGCTTGGACATTCTGCGAGCAGACTGCGATGCAAACCCCACGGATCCCACCTGCGCAGGGAATGTGACAGACATCCCGGAGAGCAGCATCCGGATGGCGAACCTCTACCCCGATGAGATTGTGAGTCAACCGTGAGCATGGAGTGCTAGCTAATTGCCCGCTAAACAAGTTGCACAACAGCTCTGCAATGACTGCTTCATCGACATGCTCTACACGCGCGTCACGTCCAATTACCTGCCAGACTCAGATCACTCTGATTACCTCGCCGACCAACTGCTGGACATACAGGACGTGTGCAACAAAACGCGCCCCGATTTTACCATGCGGCTTCCGACCACGTACGACACGGCGCCGCCGCTCACTTCGCTCAATCTGGGCAGCACGACAACGACGTCAAGCACAGCCGCGCCCACAACTACGTGTGCGGGGCAGGCGATTCCAGCAGGATCTCTGACGTGCGATGACTTGTCTGCCCTGTACGGCGTCAGCACCGGGGCCCTGCTGTGGTACACGAACAGCGACCAGTGCACAGTGAGAAGCACTGCCTGTCTTCCCCAGCCGTGCCAACTCAAGCAGGTGAAGGCCGGGGACAGCTGTGCTTCGCTGGCTGCGGGTGTTGCCGGCAACATCACCAAGGTGCAGTTTCAGAAATGGAATCCTTACGTTCTCGGACTGTGCGACAGCTTGACCGAGGCCCAGTATGTCTGCGTCAGCTCCCCCGGCAGCAACGGCACTTTTGTCCTCCCCGCACCCCCACTCGGCACCGATGCCGACGCCGGCAACCAGCAGCGCGGCGGAGCCGGCGGCGTTGTCACCCCGACCACCACGGTGACCAGTACCGTCGGCGCCGGCGGCTCTGCCACTAGCGGGGTCGGCGTCCCAAGCCCCACGCAGGACGGACTGGTCGCCAACTGCAACAACTTTGCCAGCGCCGTGGTGGGCGACGCGTGCTATGCATTTGCCACGTCGCACGGGATCCAGCCTAGCCAGCTGTATGCGTGGAACCCCGTACTGGGGCCCAATGGTGAGGAGTGCACGACGGCGTTGTGGGCGAGCGAGTACTACTGCATCGGGACCAAGACGCAGGATCCGGTCACAGCACCGGGGCCGACGCAGACGGGCATCGCGGCCAATTGCACAAAGTACGCGCAGGCGATAGCAGGGGACGGGTGCGAGGCGTTTGCTAAGCGGAATGGAATCACGCCCGCGCAGCTGTATGCCTGGAATACCGTACTGGGTGCTAACGGGGCGAACTGTGGGACGCTGCTTTGGGCGCAGGAGTGGTACTGTGTTGCAGTGTCCAGTGTCGGGGTGAGGAGAGCAAGTCTGTAGACTATCAGGGTTTCATTATACCGACCCGGTCTGAGATATGATTCGAATTTAGTCATAAAATTCAAGACATTAAGCATCTTCAATTAGACGTGCTTGGTTCCACGACATTGTTCCGTACTTTCCGGTCACCCTCAGCCGGGAGACAACCCGTCCCATTGGTGGTAGGGGCTTCAAAGCGGTATTCGTCTCACGCAGGATCAAACCCCAAATCCAGTCTCACCCAGGGGGGGGGGGGGGGGGGGGGGGGGGATTGACCAAGAATTATTTTATGTTCAACAAAGGAAGAGAGAAAAAACCGAAGGAAAACAAATCCAAGAACTCTAAAACACATAGTTACTCAGCCGACCATGTCTTCATTAGAAACTCTCCCCCCAGACCCCCGCCTCGACTCACCGGCAACATACTCGGCCCCTGCCGTCATCGCCTCCATTGAGACCTTCTACCGCTCTCTTCCGCACATCTCGCCCGAGCACATCCACACCCCGCCGCCCGGTGGCTGGCCGTCCATCACCAAGGAGGCACTCGGCAAGTGGAACATCCATAAGACTGAACAGGTCGTCGGCCTGCTCAGAGACCTGCCCTATCTCTGTTCAAGTCAGCCTCGCATCGCGCCCGACGCTCGCGTCATCGACTACAGGCTCGTGGGACACGCACCCGACGACTACACGACGACGGAACCGAATCCAGGCAATGAATGTGACTGTCACCACCACCATCTCCTCCCGCCACGCCCCCGCCACCCCCCACCTTGGCTCTCCCAGCTCGCCGACAACCACCATCAATCCGACTGGGGTTTCCAGCTGCCCCTCACAGCCGTGCAGCTCACGTGGGACCAACATCGTGGCGCCGCCTGCCACATACTCGACACGCTCGACGGGACCATGAGCCTGTTCAGCGCCGAAGGCTATGTGTACCCGTCACCCAAAGGTCACTATTCCTCGGATGACCCGCGCGTGTGGCGGGAGGCGTGCGACGAGGCGACGGTGCCGGTGGCGGAGCTGCTGCGGGAGTGGAACGACAGGTTTCGATGCATGGAATGGTTGGGCGTGCCGGGGGGTGGGGAACCCGGGGTGATTGTCGTGGCGGGGACGAAGGATCTGTGGTGGAAGCAGGGTGAGTTTGAGGAGAAGTGGTTGGCAAGGGAGATGGTGGTGAGTGACGTTTCGAGTTGTGTATGTGAGAGAGAATGCTGATCAACTTGAACCTAGGCGTACTCGGCTATCTTTAAGAAGTATGGATGGCCAGATAACTATCGAGGTGGGGAATGTCGTAAGACAATTGCTGAACTGACAGAGGAGGAGATGGAGCGGTATCTGGAGGCACACAGGCAGGAGATGGCGCGTCTAGAGCGTGTTGAGTCGGAAACGTAAGATGGTGAGACGGGGTTGTGATGGAGACGACTGACCATAACAAATTGCGACATTGGCGATGTCCGTCTTTGGAAGCTGCAACGTCGGTAGCCCACTTTATCATTTGAGCGAGAGACAAGAGACGAGGAGTAGACGCAACAAGAGAGAGAGGTCTTGATATTCCCCGGTGGGAGTAACCTCAGACCAGTGAGGTCCATCTCAACAGGCAATTGATTGAGCCCTGACCAGCCAAGAAGCACCAGCTTTGGGCCTCTTCAGGCCTCCACGGGTGCCGCACTCGTTATTCATGTGGCATGGAAAATGGTGAGCGCTTATGAATTGGCAAGGCGCCGACGAAGGAAGTTCCAGGATTTTTTTAGGTCCGGTTGGGTGGTGGCGCATAATACCTAGACACCTAGGACATTAAAACGGCGTTTGGAGGATGACTAGGCTATCTGGATGTAGCAGTCATCTTCGTTCCCGTCGCGAATGCACTTATCTACCAGAGTCAGCTGCAGAGCAAGGACCAGGACTCAACGGCAAGGCTGCGATTCACACGAGGCAAGCCCTTCCATTGATGCAGTACACGCGTGCTCCGTAATTCGCAATTCATAATGTCGTTCTCATTCTGTGAAGTTGAGAGTCGTGGTGTTGTAAGGCAAGGAAACAGGGAAGAATCGAGCGCTATCAAGGTTGAACAAGTTCTACAGGGCGGCCCCTCACTATACCTACATTGCCGCCGGAACTAGTTTCTGACACTTTTGGTCGCGTTATATGGAGGCATATATCAGCAGGAGTTTACAATCTAAATGGGCCAAAAATTGACCTTGGTATATATTTTGCTATACAAAACAGTACAATGCTGTGCTATATCATGCCGGCTGAAGACAAACTTTTGTTCATTGAATACATTGCAGAGCCATCGTGGGATTTCAAGATAACGGAAGAATCGAGCCCTATGCCAGTCATCGTAGGATATAACCCTACGCAATATAAAAAAGACCACTTTTCGTCAGATTTCCGCCCTACGAGACTGAAAATTCAATAAAACTTACCTTGTGTTTTCCTGCCTCACTACTGAGAATTGAAGGAAAATGCATACAACTATAAGCGGGAATAAAACTCTGGTCTTTTTTATACAACTCACGTTGATGTTTAATGCAATCCTCAGGCCTGTAATTGATTCATCTTGATCAGTTGGGGTCCGTCTCTTCAGCATAGAGTATTGTTGGACTCAACGATAGTGTCGTGGAAAGACCAGGTACGTTGGCTGGAGTGCCGGATACCGTCACTTACTAGTCCTGGAGCACCACTCCAGTTCAATATCTTCAGATTTCATACATCTTTTTCTATAGCAACAACAATAACTCTGCGATTATAAGCTAGCGAACTTGTGCTCGTGTTCGCCGCCGTCTCTATAATTATAGGATCCTCCAGGTGTTCAAACTCCAATATTCAATCATACTAACTACTTAGAAGCCCACACCTAGAGTCGTTGCTTCAATGACTTGGATAATTTGTGGTTATCCCGACAAAGCAAACATGTATATTTCCTTTGTTGGCATGCAAGAGGTCCCATTATATTCTTTCACGACCAACATAAACTCGTTAAGTCGTACGATACTTAGTCGTGGTCCCCGATGGGATACTATACGTCGCATGGCCCATCTAGCATTCTCTTTTCGCACTAGAAGTACAAACATATCTGAGGCGCCTCACATTGAACCACTTAGACTCCCACCACTGCCTTCGCAGCCTGCGACCCAGCGACTCTTCCAAATACTACACACTCCAGCAAAGACGACCCACCCAGGCGATTGTCTCCATGAATGCCTCCGGTAATCTCGCCCGCCGCCCAAAGTCCTTTGATAGGTGTCTTATCCATTCTCAAGACCTGAGCTGCTTCATTGAAAGCTGCGCCACCCATAGTGAAATGCGTAATAGGTGTCACTCTGCCTATGCAGACCTCTGCTTCCCGATTGCCCTCCCCGGCTTGCAGCGTCCAATGGCCGAACGACTTTCTCCCGAAAGCGGTATCTGCACCGGATGCCACGGCCCTCGCATAATCGTCCACTGCCTGGATAACAGTTGGTTCGAGATCCTTGACTTTCTTCTTCTCCATCAGTCCCTTGAATATATAGAACCCTAAATGTCCTTGGGCAGCCTCGCATGCGCCAGGGTCCAAGAGGAGCGTCACGTCCCACTGGCGGCTATTCTTGCTGCTCGGACGAGGCATCTTCATGATTGCATCGCTGACGTGTGCCCTGGTTCCAAGTTCGTTGACAAAGCGCTTTCCTTCATGTGATAACAAGATGCCACCCTCGCCACGCAAAGCTTCGGCGGCTAGGAACTTGTACCTTGCCTCAGGTTCCTTTGGATCCACGAATCCTGTCGGATGGACTTGAACACTATCCATGTCCACAAACTCTGCACCGATCTCCTCTAGAATGCCGTGCGCCCCAGGTCTGTCATCGTTCGTCGACGGCAGCCCAGTGAGATCTGGCCGGTACTTGGCTAGCAAGCCCTTTGCATCTCCAGCAAACCCCCCTGCGGCGAAGACGATAGCGCCTTGAAGTTCATGTGTCTCACCTTCATGGGTGTAGCGCACACCGCTTACGGCACCGTTTTGATTTGTGATCAGAGACAAGACTTCAGCTGCGTTCGTGAGCTGAAATTCAGGACTGTCGCCCAGCTTCTTGAGGAGAGCGCTGACGATCGAGAACCCAGGCGTTCCCTTGGCTCCACGGTGCGTCCGCGCGATGGAATGGCCCCCGAGAGGCGCAACGACGCCCAGGTCGATACCGAACTCCTCTACCAGCCAGTCTACCGCGCTGCAAGAGCGGCTTGTGAGTAAAGATACCAATGCCTTCCTGTCGACCACTGAGCTGCTCCCTGCACTGCTGAACCTCTGTCCAGCCGAGCGCACTGTGTCGTCATAGAAGAGTGCATCTTCCGTGATACCAGCTATTCGCTGGTGCTGGGTTCCGGCTCCATTGATGCCAGACGACGCCTTGATGCTGTTGCCGCCGGGTTTGGGTGCGCGGTCCAGCATCCGCACTGTCGCGCCGGCCTTGAGCGCTTCGTAGGCTGCAGACAGCCCGGCTAGGCCGGACCCAACCACGATAACCGGCTTCTGCGATGCTTGTGTCATGATGGGAAATGCTTGTTCTATCGCTTTGGACAGTGTGCGAAAATTGCGGGCAATGAGCGGGCTGTATTGCATGCCCAGGAGAACAGCCCCGATAGCGATGGACACTGCGACAAGAAACCTACGAAGTATCCGCATGGGAATCTATCGATTAAAAATCGACCTAAAGACGATTCCAATTTTCTTATCTCTTCGAATGCATTAGCCGTTCACCATGTGGTGCAGCCGAGCGCGCCGGTGGTTGAGTTATTGGGCCATATCATACCACTTTTCTTATCGTATGATCGGGGTTGATGGGTCGGCCCGCTTACTGTACGAACACCCGTGAGACGAAATGCCCGAGCCCCGACAGCTTTCGGATCATTGGCAAGGCGATGAACCTTAATTGTGCATCATAATTTTTATACACGAGGGTTTGCTAATGGGCTACACCGCTGTGCTCCCACTATGATTGGCCCGGTGCCGTCACAGTAATGTGTGATTTGAAGTCCCCAATGACGTGTCTTTTGCATTTGAGTGTTCCGAGACCATATTATCCTGAATTGTGTCTTAGATAACTGTCCCCAGGCGCTTCTATACCCCAGATTTCTCGATATGTTGTCCTTCGACCTTCTCTATCAGCTCAGAGCGGTTGGTGTTGACAGCATCGCCCATGGACGGCTTCCAGTGAAGCATAACCTTGCCGCCTGTGAAAAGCTTGTCAATTTGCTCGAGAGACAAGTTCTGTGTCTCAGGGTAGAAAAAGTAGATGAGCGGCAGGAAACAGAAGTTAAAGACTAATTGTTACGTGAGCGAGGTACCAGTACTTTTCTGGGAAGGAGTCATACTGCAAAAATAGACATATGTACGCCATCCGATATTGCTAATGCTGACAGGAGTGATCTCAACAACGAGGAACGTGAAGATCCAGTTCGATGCTGACGCGAGGGCCGCCGCTCGCTGTCGGATGGCGAGGGGTGCATATTCGGCGGGAACTGTAGCATGTGTCAGACAGATCGAAGGCCTAGGAGCATTACATTCGTCTACTCACGTAGCCAAGGAATGGCGAGCAAGCCGATTGCGAAGAAGAAGTTGAACATGAAGAGCATGATTGACGCCACAATACCAGCGGGGGCAGAACCATTGCGAACAGTGCCAGCCAAAATTGCCATACAAGCACCCTGTCCTGCTGCAGCGAACAGCATCAGTTTTCGGCGACCGAGACGGTCGATAATCCATATAGGGATCAGCGAAGAAAGAAAGTAGGCAACACCATTGAACCCAGCCAGCAGAAGGGACAGGTTGTGCGAAAGTCCCACGGAGTTTTGAAATATGCTGGGAGCGTACTGCAATACTAAGAGTTAGCAACCTAGCCATCTAAATTGCCGAAAGCTTATAGCATCTCTGCATAGTTAAGCAGCGTTGACCACGCGTATTTTGACATAGCGCGTAGTGACTACTTTCATAGAATGAAGCCAAGGCAAAGCGCAAGGCATTATAGGAGATTCGGAATACTTGCGTAGGTGATTAAATTTATCCCTGAAAGCTGTTGCATAAACTGTCCTCCAATGCCCAGCATTGTCCTGTAAAAGAATTTCTGTTCTCCATTCTTGAACAGTGCTCGGTAAGAATTTCCATGGGCAGCCTCTCGTTCCTCGTCGATTGCGTGCTGGATCTCACTCATTTCTCGATTTACCGGTTCGTCGTCGGTCTGTACGTTCTTAACGACAGGAAGTAAGGCCAGCAGGATTGAACGCGCTTCATCGTGTCGGTCTTGTGCAATCAGCTGTAAAGAGTGATTAGTATTTTTTTCATCTCTCATGTAGCACAGTGATATAGAAACCTACCCAACGTGGTGACTCTGGCAGTAAGATGATGAGGGCGAACGTTAGGAGCGCAAAAAGGCATTGAAGAGCCAAGGGAAAACGGAACTGCGATTCATTATCGACGTATGACATCCCATAGTCAACCCAGTATGCAGTCATGACACCAAAGATGTTGATAGCAAGTTCGATGCTCAGCTGTGTTGTAGTTAGCAATGTAATGTCCTTTTACTGTGATTTGTGGTTCGCTTCCAGACATACCCCTTTTCCGCGCTTATGCGCCATCATCAACTCGGAATGCCAAACGGCTATACGTCCATAAGCGAAAGTACTTCTTTTGAATCAAAGGAGCGAGCATACGAATTGTGCTTGTATTGAGACCATTTCCCAAACCAGCGACGATGCGACCCACAATCATGTGCGGGATGGAATACGCGCAAGCCTGAAGCGCGCCACCAACGCAGAGCACAAGACAGCCTGCCATGATAGTCTTCCTCCGACCAATCTTCTCTCCGAATACAAGTGCAAGAATCGAACCGAAGAAACACCCAATCTCATAGATGGCCACTACGGTGCCCTGGAGCGAAGCGCTTCCGCCAGCTCCAGCGGTGGTATCGATTTCCGGAAACTGGGCTGTGAAAGCCGCTCCGGTCAAAAGACCGGACATGACACCCTGGTCATATCCAAAGCTTGCACAGGTTGTCAACGAAAGATGCAGGTGTATGCAGATAGGTCTTCTCACAGTAGAAAGCCGCAACCGGCTGCGGCAGTGATTGCCCAGTGGAGCGGACGGCCAGTCAGAATGGTCATTCTTGAACAATATTTTTTGGGGCCAAGTCAAGACAATGGCGAAAGGTTGCAGAGTGTTGCAGAAACCCACGAGGGCTTTTTGTGGTTCCATCGTCCCATTTACATACCCACGGACAAGGTATGCAGCTGCAGGTATTGCGGCTCACCCCCTGCTTCCCCAGCCAGTCCAAACCCAGGTTAGGTGGAGTTTTCTACCGAGTCTCCCCAGCTTCTTCCCCACATGGGGTTGCAAAGGGGTGCAAAAAGGAGCAATCTTCAGTCATAGCGCTAGGCAGGGATAGATGGCCGCGGCTCGGGGTAGATGGGCGGCTTGGGCTCCTATGACGCTGGCGCTCCAAATTTCCTGATCGGCGGAGATAGTAGCTCGGAGCGCAGCACTGGTCGTACTCAAACTCTGCCCCAGCTAGCCATCACCCCAGAGCATCTAAACCCACGTTGGGCTTGCAATGCCGTACATCGGGTGGTATCATGGCTGAGCCTGCTCCTCGTGCCGCGACGGTCAAACGTGTTCGGACACGAACTGGGTGTTGGAATTGTAGACGTAGGAGAAAGAAGTGTGAGCATCTTAAAAAACGTGTCTAGTCCCTAACACTCTCGATTGACTAGTAATATCAAATCGTGTAGGCAGCGAACATCGCCCTGTGTGTAGGACCTGTGCCCGAAATGGAGAGGACTGTGAATGGGGCGTGAAGCTGGTCTTTCGCCCTGAGCACATCGAGACCATTTCCGCAAGTCACCCGTCGATGCAGAGGAAAACGACAGAGCCACAATGTCCTAAGGATCTTAGAGTAAGTAATCATCTCTGTTAGAATAGCGAAGCCCCAATTTTGACATCGCCAGATAATCGATGTGACCCCAGAAGTTATCCGAGATTACTGGAATGACGCGCCCTCAACACCTGAAAGCAACGTCGCTGCCAGTCCAACAGAGGCAAGGGAAGTTCAGCATCACAAAACAACAAATGCTCGGGATGATTTGTGCACACCACTGGTGTCGGGGACTGTGCGGCGTGCTGATGTCGAGGCACATAATGGGTTGGGTGACGGGACGGTTGGAGGTATAATTCTCCAGGAAAGTCCCGATCCGCAGATACACTCACCGGCGAGAGTCTATCAAAATCTTCGAAACGAGCTGATGAGCGCACCGTCACCATGTTCATACGATACCATGCAATCCGCCGCAGCGCGTCTTTTGAATCTAGGCCGCTCGAATTCCACAACAGTCGATGTGGAAGCCCAATATACACGAACACTCCCAGACAGCACGGTGCTTTTGCCAGGAATGAGCAGTGTTTCCAACAGCTCCAGCCCTGCGTCTCATATATCTCCGGAGGATGGCGTCTTTGTACCTGGGTCTGCGTATTTCGAATTCCACTCTGCACTAAGGAACCACACCTTTCAAGCCGCAAGATCGGCTTTCCCAACGCGGCCAGGGAGCCCGGAGGACCCATTCACACCAAGTAGTCAGATTTATGCGGTCCAACATTTTCATGTGCATGACACAACTTCAAATGCCACCTGTTCATCGGAGGCTGCGAGATTGTCTGTCCCAACATCGCAATTTACAGATTTGACGCAGCAAGAAGAACATCTCCTGTGGAAGAACTGGGTGGATGAGATTGCTCCGTGGGTAAGTGCGCCAAATCCCCCTCATACAACTAGTCATACGGCTCAATGGCGCATAGCTGGATAAGTTCGATAACGAACACCATTTTGGACACGCACTGCCGCCTCTGGCTCGAGAGCACTTGCACTTGCGGTTCTCAATGCTTGCTCTTTCTGCTCGGCAGCTGGAGCGGAAGTACCCGGAGCGGTCTTTGAAGAGTCTGGAGCTGTACCAAGAGGCTATCCATCTGCTTGTTCCTCAGCTACAGGAAAGGACCACGGCCGTTGTCGTTTCGTGTGTCGTACTCTGCGTTTTAGAAATGATGAGTTGTAAGTGTTCGCCATTAATGTGGACTGTTGGTATGCTTGCATACGCTAAGGTTGCTTACAGGCTCCCCAGAGATGTGGAGGCAGCATCTTGATGGCTGTGCTAGCTTGATACAATCGCTTGACATAGATGGGCTATCAGGGGGCTTGAAACAAGCACTATTCTGGTGCTTTATACGAATGGGTCGGTTTAAACTATCTACCCGAGAAACTTTTGTGCGGAGATTGATTATCTTGACAGACCTTTGCGGTGCTTTTATATCAAATGAGAGAACCATTATTCCCATTGAGAGTTGGTTACCTGAACCGGCTGCTGAACCTCACATTACCCTATTCTACCGAAGCATGGGATTCAACATGTACGCAAACTACATGGTATATCTATGCGGTCGGGTGATGGATTTGATTACGAAGAAAAGCGAGGGTTACGAATACGCCCGTCGGTGGAGTGAACTGTTCTGCAACATAACTGAATGGTACACTCATCGGCCAGCAGAGATGCAGCCAGTACTTGACTTACCCCCTTCTGAAGCTGACTACGCACGCCCCTTTCCAGTTCTTCTCTTTTCGAATTCCTCAGCCATCTCAGGGAATCAGCTGTATCACACTGCTTCCGTTTTGATGTTGCAACAGAAGCATCATGGAGTGAGTTTGAAGCGAGGAACCAGATCAATATTCTGGCACGCTCGCAGGATTTGCGCGATCTCCATTTCAAACACGCACCACGGATGTTGGACGAATTGTGTACAACCACTGTGGATCGCGGGAAGGATAATGTCGCACCCTTCTGAACACCGTGCCATATTGGAGACATATGAACTGATTGAAAAAGATACTGGTTGGGGAACTAAATGGAGAGCAGACGACTTGAAAGCATTCTGGGGAGATTTGGGAGGTGACTAGGTCAGTAATTGTATGCCAAACTGTTACCTTACCCAGTCATGAAGAAACTCCGGAATGGAAGCGCTCTGAGTTGCTCCAAGGAGCGTAGACGTTCGAATGCTTGGCAGTATTTCATATATAGATCTATGCAGAGGCACAGTGGCCACCGTCTACTCTAAGATCGGCGCCGGTCATAAATGAGCTACCAGGAGACAAGAGGAATATAGCGGGTGCCTTGAAATCTTCAGGTGCACCCAGTCTATTCAACAACGCCCCAGCCATCCAAGTCTTCTCCAAGTCTGGATTCTGGGCGAGCAGCATGTCGGTCATTGCGGTGCGGATGTATCCTGGAGATAGAGTGTTCACCCTAATGCCATGTGTACCCCATTCTTGCGCGACGGAACGGCACATCTGCTGTACAGCAGCTTTGCTGGTGTTGTATGCGGAGCAACTCAGTCCCTATATGTAAACACAGATTAGTGTGGCCCCTTATGTAAACGCTTGTTAAGGGAAAGCGTACCCGATTGGCAATCTCCCCAGACATTGAAGCTATCAAGACAATGCTACCCTTGACACCATTCTTAATCATTATTCTGGCCGAGTGTTTGGCCGTCAAGAACGACCCAGTGACATTGACGGAAAGTATTCGCTCAAAATCGTTCTTAGGGTATTCGACAGCAGGGATTTGTTGCTGTATGCCAGCGCAAGCAATGACACCGTAGAACGGTGCCCCCACAGCATCACCATCGGCTGCCACCTCGTCTAGAACCTTTGCTAGGTTCTCCTCGTCCGTGATGTCGACTCGACGGTAGGTCAGGGACAGTTTTGATAATTTGGCGGTCTTGGTGGTCGCAGCCCACTCTTCTGCGGCGGGCTCTGTGAGTATGTCGAGACACGCCACATTGCCACCCGCCTCGAGGATGGCGGCAGCCAGAGTTATACCTAGCCCACGGCCAGCACCTGTGATGGCAATTGTCTTCCCGCTAAGTGAGAATAAAGAGGCGTGAGACGTGTTTGCAGGCGTGATCTTTGACTCGGGAGGGTCAGTCGCAAGCTTGAAGTCGGGCACTGCGCTCTCCAATCCAGGCATTATGAACAGCGTGCGAAAACGGGAAGCGAAGTTGTGTAACGATATAATTGTAATCGCAAAACTGGTCTGTTCTAGATATGAGAAACTTTATGGTATTATTTCACTTTGACGAAGACAAAGACTGTTGGATACAGCTGTCCCCGATACGCGGTCCAAGCCATGTCCGTAGCATTGTTCTGAAACTCCATAAGGCTCAAAAGCGCAAGTCCAAACGCGTTATCTGGTATTTGCTGCCACAAACGTGGGGTCCTAATGGGGTGCACAGAAAGTGTTTACAGACGTGCAGTTGGCTATCAATCAGTGCAGGCGCAACGTTAAAGACGACAAATCCACAAATAGTCAAATATACGCGCAGTTAATGTAAATGTTCTAGCGTGGGGAGTGGATCAGGCCCGCGCTTCGGCTTTCTGAATTGGTGTCAGAGGGGGTCATAACCGCTATGAGGTCATTAGTAGAAACAGCAACAACAGGGCAATGATCACCGCGACTGAGTCGTGACAGTCCTGGTTTGGTCAACGCCGCCTTGGCTATTCTCACCACTGCGGCAAATACGTCCCAGACAGGGGGTATGGTGATGGGAGCTACCCGGACTCCCTTGGGACGACTAATCTGGTGGAATGGAGATAGGAGACTTAGGGACGAGAGGGCCAAAGCCAAAGCGAAGATGGCAGCCACTTTCATTTGTTATGTTAAGTCTATGTTTCTTATTCCTCTACCTCTTGGCATGTGTCCTGCTTCATGATGTCCTCACGCATGTTATGGCTGGCTGCCATTATCGTTGCCTTGGCCCGCTAGGGCATATACCGGAACCACAGAACATTATCGGCCAGCTCGCGTTCCAATATCTTCTGTTCCTCAGTCAACTCCTGGACCCCCAACTCTCGTGTCAATGTGTCTCGTCGAGCATTCTCCTTTCGGCACCATATCGTCATGAACAAAGTCAAGAAGAATGCTACGCTGCACATTGATTAGTATGAAAACAAACAGACAGCGGGGCTGCGCTCACCTCACTAATCCAATCAAGATGCAATGTCCAGCAATGTATCGCGGACCGTCACGGGTGAGGTAGACGTAGGAAGCAATGATTCCACCGCAGTTGCCGCCCATGACCTGCATCGCAATACCAGTTCCGCGCTTCAGGCTGCCACCAATGTTCGCTCCATTCCAGGCCATTCCCAAAGGAATCTGAGGGTAGATACCTGTAGACATATGTTAGCAGCTTTCGGTCGGCTCTGGTCAGAGATGGACCTACCGATAGCGGCCAAGACTGTACCGGTATATTGAACGGACGCGTTGCCACTGCCGGCTAAGCAAGCAAACCCAGCAATGGCAATGAGTTGGAAGCTCAGCATAAAGACGCCACGCTGGCGAATTCTGTCCGCAAACCAACTGACGGCAATCGTGAAAAAGCAGGCAAAGACGTAAGGTGGGACAGACATGAGCTGGGCATTGTTCGCAGTGTATCCCATGTTCTTGATGATGGTGGGAAGGAACAAAGCGAATGAGTAGATAGGACAGAAGCCAGTCATGCAGATGAGCATAAAGATGTAGATCTTCCAATCCTTGATCGCTTGCCAAACGTACTTCATGTCGAAATCGTTAGATAGGTGGCCACTATCCTGTAGGAGTCGCCGCTCGACCTCGTCACGCTCCGCAGATGTAAGAAACTGAGCACTATACTATGTTGTCAGTATAAGGAAAATTCAGGAGTCATTTCGGCTTACGTAGCGGGATAGTCATAGATGGCCCAGTACGCGGTAAATGAGACCAGAATACTGAGAAGGCCTTCCAAGATGAAGATCCACGACCATGCAGATAGACCACCAACGCCGCTGGTATTGCGTAAGCCACTGTTCATTTTCCGGTGATCTCAGTCCTCACCTCATTTCGGCGATACCACGAGCGAGTATGCCACCAAATGCACCAGCTAGTGTAGCTGCCGAGAAGAACAAAGCCATACGAAAGCCTGTCTCATGCCTGCAGTACCACTGAGTGATCTGGTTGTTGATATTAGCACGCTGATCGACCCTTATTCCTTTCTCGTGAGAATCTCTAGAACATCACAGGTGCTCTTCAGGAGGTCCCTGTCGATCCATAATGACGGCAGCAACTCACATAGTAGTTCACTCCAGGAAAGAGACCGCCCTCAAACAGCCCGAGGAACACTCTGGTGGCCATCAGTCCAGAGTAATCCTTGACGAAACCCTGGCCGATCATACTGGCCGACCATGCAACCATGATGAATGTCAACCAGATCGAGGGTCGGATCCGCTTCATCATCATGTTGGAGGGGATCTCGGCGGCGATGTAGAAGGGGAAGAGGATAGCAAGGCAGTCATTGTACTGAATTCCCTGAAGCTTCAAGTCCTGCTCAAGATGATCGAGGCGCGCGTTTCCGATATTCGTTCGGTCGAGGAAACAAAGCCTAAGAAGTCGTCAGCAGATGAAGCACACCCAATCCAATAGCAAACCTACAGGTAAATCAGACTCATGAATGGGATCAAATGCCAGTCCAATTTTCTGAGGAGTCGTTTTGTCTCATGTTGATCAAAACCCTGGGCTTCAGTGATGCGCACTGATACCGAGTCGGAGGACTTCTCGTGCTTGGTCTCTGTCTGACTCTGCACCACGAGGGTGTCGTCTCCCACGGCGTCGGCCATATCGGAATGCAGCGGCTTGATTGAAGAAGATAAGCACTGCTTAAAAGTTTAAAGTCGAGGCCCCTGCCGACGTGAAATGTGACTTGTTGGCAGCTCGCGCACTCGTTGTGAAGATTTGGCGGAACTCCGAGCTACTATTACTCGCGTGCGGAAGCCATGGGCAACGCCACTACACGGGGAAATGCGGACTTCTTATATTATCATATCTTTACCCCCTTCAGACCCAAGTGCTGACGTTTCCATGCAACTGAATCTCTAGTCTAGAATTATGTTCTCTGAGCTCCAGCAACAGAAGCTGGAAGGTGCAATATCAATCTTGGCTGTAACTGTGCCATGCATGTCAGACCCATGCGGCATGGCAGGTAGGGACTCTTCACCAATCATCTCGGCAATCAAGATGTTGACTGTCTAGTTTTGCAATGTTTGTAAGACAGAAGAGACGTTTTCGTCCGGGATTGACAGACTAAGGGCTTGTGGCTGCATCAGCCACCCGGCCATTTGTCCTTACACGATGGAGAGTACAAAAGTACTGATACGGACGTTTGAGGACGCCTTTCCCATTGGAACACATGTCGAAGGGCCTAGATCTCCTCGCGTAAGAAGGCCCTTGTCCTACGTACCAAGCTTGACCCTGCCGGCTGGCTGGCTGGCTGGTTGGCTGGCTACGGGCGTACGCACGCGGGACCCCTCACTTTCGCCGGGTTAGGCATATCAGTTGGACTGCTAACTACCGTACATGTCAACTTACAGGAGAAAGCGAGTCCAGGATGGAGCGCCCACAAAGCCACAAACGCAGAAAATATAACGGCAGTGGCTTCAACGGTTCGAGGTTGCCAAGGAGTTAAGCAAAGACAAGCATTGTGGAGGCAAGCCGCCTGGAAGGGATGGCCCGCCTCCACACTCTCCCCGTGTATTCAGCTCCCCGACGACCCCTGCTTATTGTCGAATTAGAGTTCTAGCCGCCTAGGGCTGGTCCCACTCGAGGTCCACCGCCTTTCGGACAGTCTAACCCGCAAGCAAGACAACCACCACGGCTGTAATATATTGCGGGATCTCGCCGGAAATCGAAGCGATGTGTAGGCTGAAGTTCTTTTTCTTCACTCGCTAGTTGGGTAGCATAGCATGAGTGCGTAAGGGAAGCGGCGGCGCCAAGGCCAGGTGTTTATACCATCAGAGAACCACCTCCTCGTGCCAGCCCATACCCGATACGTGAGAACGTGATAGATTGCAGGTCTATCTCAGAGTAGGTTTCAGGTTAGCAAAACTATGATATGCTTCAATGTTGAGTATGGTTGAGACTAGAAGACATTTTCTGTTGCTGCGGCTGACGACCCCCACTGCCATGGTATAACGAGGGAATGCAACACAAGTGGTGCAGCGGCTGGGCTAGTGGGAGGGAGGTACCGTGTCCAGTGAAGAGTGGGTGGAGCTGGCAGATGCCGGGCAAATGAAGCAAGATGACGAGAGGCAGAGTCTCCTTCAGCTTTTGCGTCTGACCCGTCAAATTGGCATATTTGCTGACATGATCCTACAGGTTCTGGGCGTCAATGGCGATCGCATCATTGGCTCAAGCACCCACAAGCTCCACTACGCTGTGCGGCACAGTCGCCAGTCCCCTGAGATCGGGTTTCACAAATCTTGGGTTGCTTTGCAGGACCCCATGGAGCTCTCGTTCTCTTTTTAATGTATTTCGCATCTGTGTGTTCTTCGCGATCGCTCGATTATGCTGGAGTGAAGAGACGGCAGCCATTGCCATGTTTGCCCACCCAGCTGCTCCCTTAACCCTAATCCTCCTGGCGCAGGCGCTGGTGGGAGTCGCTCAGTCTACTCGGCAATGCTACGATCCCGCAGGATATCGCTTCGACGATATTCCTTGCTCCAATGACACCAGTCAACACAGCCTGTGTTGCGGCCCCGGTTGGACGTGTCTAGACAACAAGGTCTGCCGTTACACAGGTACCACGCAGCCCGCGCTGGTCTATAACACGCTGGTCCGAGGCACGTGCACCGACGAGACATTCCAGTCTGACGCCTGCCCCCAGTTCTGCCTGGCAGGAGACGCGAACAAGAACGGCAACTTCATTCAGAACTGCAACAACGGGACCGGCTGCTGCATGATCGGCGGCGCTGCTTGCAGCTGCTTGCCCGGGGCGCCAGATGCTTTGGATTTCGGGACAACCAACATCCTCCAGTCTCAGTCGGTGATTCCGCTGGTGGAGAAGGATGTGTCTTCGTCGGCGAGCCCAAGCACCACCAGCACGACAAGCGCGGCGACGAGCCCGTCCACGCTGGTGGCAGATCCAGTAAACACGTCAGTCTCTAGCTCTCCCTCTCAACCTGGGGGACTGTCTGTGGGTGCGGTGGCAGGCATCTCCGTAGCGATTGGCCTCGTGGCCATCGTTGCGGCGGGTTTCTCGATCAGATATTGTCTGCTCCGGCGCCGGAGGGATTCGAAGGACGGAAAGCCCCTGGCAGAGAATGGGTCCTGGATTGGAGGGTCGGATCACAAACCGTTCATGCAGCAAACTTGGAAGTCCGAGGCGGACGGAGAGAGCTGGGTCAGGGAGCTTCCAGCCGAGAGGCGGCTTGAAGAACTGTCCGGAGAGAGCCGGCTGGTGGAGGTTCCCGCAACAAATGCCAGGAGAGCCGAGCTAGAATGAGAAGGGAGCCGCTCCCAGGAGCTAATGAACGAATATGATGAGAAAGCCGCAGACCTGATGCACTGGCTTGACTGGTTTCTCATAATGCACAAACGCACCTACCTAACTTGTATATACAGAGCATACTCGTACTGATGCTTCACAACGGGCACTAAGTACCGAGGTGGTCGGGCTATAGGAAACTTTATGTGAAGGCGATCTAGAATGTACCGACTCCATGGCAATTTCATCGCATCTCGGAGGAAGTCAGAAACCATCAGACCTCCGGGACAACGACCGTCCACGTGATCGGAGGCCAGGTATAGCTACCCGTCACCGGGGTGTCATGACCTCCTTTTGGAGCACTACTCTGTGCGTAGATCGCGCCCCGCCATCACCACCTGGGAAGTGAGAAGTCGCAAGACACAAGTTACACCCCCCGTTCTGTCCCGAAGCTCGGAAGGGTAGCTTTGATGATCAGGTACAAGCCTACGACACCGACCATGACGTGTCGAGCTGCTTCCCAGATGAGGGCCAAGGTGAACATATAGTACTATAGTACCACTAGGTGGGACGAAGCCTCTACAGTGACCAGTCAATAGTAGCTGACCGCTTTACCGTCCGTTGCCATTCGGCGTGTTTCTTGGTCGAGTCAGGCCCTTGGCCCTTCGCCCACTTCGGCGGGTTTTCCCAGCCCACCTGCGACGAGGAGCAGTCCAGCCAGCGCTGTGCACGCTCTCACCTTGATGGTCCGGTCCGCTAGCCGACGTCGCACCTTGGCGCTGAAGACCCTGTACCAGCACCCTGTACTAGCCGTCGCTCCAGTGGTGCCGCCTATGCCGCTAGCCCCTCCCTGGCGATCTAGCACCCCGCCATCCGGATCCCGCCAGCTTTAGCTCCAGAGGATTTTTCTGCTGTGCCTCCGATCGACCATATTTTTCTTGCTTCTGGGCTGCCGGTCTTCTCCTCCTCCTCCTCCTCCTCCTCCTCCTCCGTCGACCTTTTCTGTTCTACACATCTCCCCCGGCCACCTGTGTAAACCCAAGCATTACAAGGCAGACAGACAGACAGACAGACGACACATCAACCACAATGGCTGCTAACGGTTCCACGTATGCTCTCTCCAACGAGCACAAGGAGGTAGGACGCTCTCGCCCACCCGACATTACCCCTCCATCGTCGGACGATACGCTGGGACGGCCACGCTGACACACCGCCAGATGTTGGAGAGGTCGCTCGTCGACTCTGACCCCGAGGTTGCTGAGATCATGGTATGTGCACCCACCCGAGTCCACCCTCTCCGTCCGGCCCTGGCCGCTCACAACTGCTACAGAAGAAGGAGATCCAGCGCCAGCGCGAGTCCATCATCCTGATCGCCTCGGAGAATGTCACGTCCCGTGCCGTCTTCGATGCCCTCGGCTCGCCCATGTCCAACAAGTACTCCGAGGGTCTGCCCGGTGCCCGCTACTACGGCGGCAACCAGCACATTGACGAGATCGAGCTCCTGTGCCAGCAGCGTGCCCTCAATGCCTTCAACCTCGACCCGGCCCAGTGGGGTGTCAACGTCCAGGCCCTCAGCGGCAGCCCGGCCAACCTGCAGGTCTACCAGGCCCTGATGCCTCCCCACGGCCGCCTCATGGGTCTCGACCTCCCCCACGGTGGCCACTTGAGCCACGGCTACCAGACCCCGGCCAAGAAGATCTCGGCCATCTCGACCTACTTCGAGACCATGCCCTACCGCGTCAACATCGACACCGGCATCATCGACTACGACAGACTCGAGGAGAACGCCCAGGTCTTCCGCCCCAAGATCCTCGTCGCCGGTACCTCGGCCTACTGCCGTGAGATCGACTACGCCCGCATGCGCAAGATTGCCGACTCGGTCGGTGCCTACCTCGTCGTCGACATGGCCCACATCTCCGGTCTCATCTCGGCCGGCGTCATCAAGACCCCCTTCGACTACGCCGATGTCGTCACCACCACCACCCACAAGTCGCTCCGTGGCCCCCGTGGTGCCATGATCTTCTTCCGCAAGGGTGTCCGCAGCACCGACGCCAAGACCGGCAAGGAGGTCCTGTACGACCTGGAGGACAAGATCAACTTCTCCGTCTTCCCCGGTCACCAGGGTGGCCCCCACAACCACACCATCACTGCCCTGACCGTTGCCCTGAAGCAGGCTGCCTCGCCCGAGTTCAAGGCCTACCAGAAGCAGGTGGTTGACAACGCCAAGGCTCTCGAGGCCAGACTGAAGCAGCTTGGCTACAAGCTGGTCTCCGACGGCACCGACTCGCACATGGTCCTCGTCGACCTGCGACCCCAGGCCCTGGACGGTGCCCGTCTCGAGGGTGTTCTCGAGCAGATCAACATTGCCTGCAACAAGAACAGCATCCCCGGTGACAAGTCTGCTCTTACCCCCTGTGGTATCCGCATTGGCACTCCGGCCATGACCTCGCGTGGCTTCGGCACCAAGGACTTCGAGCGTGTCGGTGATTACATCGACCAGAGCATCAAGCTCTGCAAGGAGATCCAGGGAGCTCTGCCCAAGGAGGCCAACAAGCTCAAGGACTTCAAGGCCAAGATCGCCTCGGGCGAGATCGCCAAGATCAACGACCTGAAGAAGGAGATCTCGGCCTGGTCCCTGACCTTCCCCCTCCCCGTTGAGGGCTGGAGAGTAGACGCTGGCATCTAAACATGCTGGCTTTGTTGAAGTATGAAGTGACGATGAGGTTCAACAGGAAATGAGAGATGAAATTTAAGGGCGACTCAACATTCTCGGCGCTCAGCAAGAAAAGGGTCAGGTTTTAACATCTGAAAACAAGGGATTGATGACACGTTTATGCATTCGATGGCGTTGCTGCTCAACTGCGGCTTGGGAGTCTGGAAGCCGTTTGGCGATTGGTTTTGCACTGCTTCAACGCAGTATATGTTGCTTTATTCAACATACCATGTAGAACTACAATGACAGAAACGAAGAGCACTGTATCTGCTCTGAAGTCAAGTTTCGCATCCATCTTGTTTTGCTGCTGTGATTGGTTGCTACATGATGTAAGCATCCCGGCAACTGTGTGCGGGCCCATCCGCCATCACGTCATGCACCTGCACGTTGACTATATGTCCCTTCGGGCGGCATTTCAAGACCGTGATTCAATAATTTCGACTGCATGAAATCGATCGTAAAAATAGACGTGAAGTCTCTCATACTCGATTGCCATAAACTTTTCCTTAAACATGCCTCCGCCTGATGCAGATCTTCATCCCGTGGCCACCGGCCTGGCGAAGAAAACGGTAGATGTACGTTACTGACTGAGCTTGGTAGCAATACTATTGTGGTGTTACTGACCTTGGATAGAAACATCAAGATGACCAGCCCCTGAAACTATTCTCCGGGTGGTTCTGCCCCTTTGTGTAAAGGGTGTGGCTCGCTCTCGAGGAAAAGGGCATTCCGTACCAATACATTGAAGGCAAGTCCGTAACTATACATCCGTACACGACAACCGGAAACCCCCCGTTGACACATAGTCCAGTGAACCCGTACCACAAGGGCGAGGACCTGCTCCGCTCCAACCCGCGCGGCCTGGTCCCCACCCTCGAGGTCGCCCCGGGCAAGTCCCTCTACGAGAGCATCGTGCTGCTCGAGTACCTGGAGGACGCCTTCCCGGACCACCGGCCCCTGCGGCCCGCCGACGACTACCAGCGGGCGCGCGCCCGCATCTGGTCCGACTTCGTCACCAGCCGCGTCATCCCGGCCTTCCACCGGCTGCTGCAGTTCCAGCCATCGCGGGTTGAGGGCGGCGGCGGCGGCGGCGAGGACCGTCTGGACGCGCTGCGGGCCGAGTACCGGGCCAAGCTGCTCGAGTTCGCGCGCGACATGGATCCGGCCGGCCCGTTCTTCCTGGGCCCCGAGCTCACGACCGTCGACCTGGTCATGGTGCCCTGGGCGCTGCGCCACTGGGTCTTCGACCGGTTCAAGGGTGGGTTGCGCATCCCGGAGCCCGGGGCCGGCGGCCGCGACGAGGAGGCGTGGGCCAGGTGGAGGACGTGGCTCGATGCCATGCAGCAGAGGGACAGCGTGCGCAACACGACCAGCGAGGAGCAGTACTACCTGCCCATCTACAAGAGATATGCGGATGACGAGGCGCAGAGCGAGCTGGCCAAGGCTACAAGGGAGGGGCGGGGTGTGCCATAGAAGATGCACTCAGAACGGGTGTCCAAAACGGCATTTCATTGATGTGGAGTGACCCGGCCTGATTTTTATATTCGCACTTCATAGGCCAAAGCCGTTACTAAAGAAGACGGGGGTATGCCCTCCCTTTTGACGCCCAACACAGAAGTAAGCTTGGGAGCTTGATCTCCCCCCAATCTCCAAAAGACTACCACCGAGGATCATAGAGAACAACTCAGCTTTGGAGCATCTTGTCTCTTCACATCAGATGTGACAAGAGCTAGAAAGATGAGGGCCGTCCAGCACAGTGGCTTCCCATTGTGCCTCCCGTTCAATGTCGTAATGTCATAGTCTTGAAGACTCAGCTGTATAAACCACAGGTTCACGTATTTCTCTCTGAAGAGAGATCAGTTTATGAGACCTGTTGATACAAGATAGAATGGTGTCGCTGAGGGCAAAAAACATACAACACCAGGGATTCGCTGGTGGTCACCCACCCAACTACTAATCTGGCACTTCCCAGTTTATCTATGGGAGAGCGGACGGGATCCCGAGTTCTCTAGGAGTTATGGTCGTATGTGAAAGAACAGTGGTTAGTTGATAATTATGTAGATGTAATGGCACCCGGATCGCGTGGCACGCAGCAAAATACTGTGGCTCCGCACCGAAAAGGACAGGCCCGAAGCTCCCCGACAGCGCCACACACGACGCCTAAAAGGTAAAAGAAATAGATATGCAAGATTAGATCCGGCGGTGAAAACGAGGCGAACGGTATACAATTACGGAGGTGCACATAAGCGTATCGTAAGGAATCACTTTTGCCTTAGTATATAGTGATGGCATTGCAGGCATGCATGCAATGTCACCATGGCCTGAACAGATATATTTGGCGTCGCTGGATCTGACGCGGACTATGACAATCCTGGATGGTGCCGTAAATTCATTGGCTTGGCGAATCCAATTCAATGCTACTATGTAGTGGCATGACCAGGTCTTATTAACTAGTCATACTTGTAAGGCTGCTTTATCCCCACTCCGGACGGGTATTTGTCTTTGAGCAGTTGCAGCTGCATGTGTTGGCTTGCTGGTGTGGGGACGGTTTCATGGCCGGAAATGCTACATGCTTTTCCGAGATCGCTTTTCCGACCGCCGACGGCATGCGTTCTGACTCGAGGAACTGTGACTGAACGGTTACTAGTTAGTCAACGTAGATCCTAGGTTGGGAACTGCTTGTGGGTTCGCATCAAATTGGCGGAAGTATTTTAGCGGCATCGGCCACGACCCCGACATTGAATGGTGCGTGCGTGATGAAAAGGGATAATTCTCACATGTATCTTGTCAAGATCACATACACACCAGGAAGGACACAGCCACTACTACCAAAAGGCCGGCCTCACACATACATTCTACGCAATGGGGATACCAACTGTACCGCCCAGCGGTGTCTGGGCTCCCACCATCACCTTCTTTGACAACGAAACTGACACCCTTGAACTCGAGGCGCAATCAGCTTACTACAGCTATCTGTCCAAGACGGGGTTAGCTGGACTCGTCGTACTCGGCACCAATGCTGAAACTTTTCTCCTCACCCGAGAGGAGAGGAAGACCCTCCTCCAAACCGCCCGAAAGGCAGTCGGACCCTCGTTTCCTATCATGGCGGGCGTGGGAGGGCACTCAACCCGCCAAGTAGTAGAGCATATAGAGGATGCAGCAGAGGCGGGCGCCAACTACGCGCTCGTCTTGCCCCCAGGCTACTTCGGCAAGCAGACCACGCCGGCGGTGATTGATAACTTCTTCAACGAGGTTGCCAAAAAGAGTACGCTACCCATTGTCATCTACAACTTTCCTGCTGTTGTCAATGGGATAGACCTGGACTCGGCAACCATTGCCCGTTTAGTCAAAGCCCACCCGGGCAAGATTGTAGGCGTCAAGCTCACATGCGGTGCTGTCGCCAAGATCACACGTTTATCCGCCGAGCTTCCGTCCGATCAGTTCTCAATCTATGCGGGGCAGTCTGACTTTATAATCGGAGGCCTTGCCTCGGGAGGTTCAGGTACAATCGCGGGATTCGCGAACGTGTTCCCAAGGACCATTGTGCAGATATACAATCTTTACACCCAGGGCAAGATCGTCGAAGCGCTGGAGCTTCACAGAAAGGCTGCGCTCGCCGAACAGCCGTGCAAAGCTGGCATCGCGGCTGTGAAGTACGCTGTTTCCATTAGGACAGCCAAAGAAGCGGGTATCGACAATGCCGGCGCAAAGCTGAAACCTAGACATCCGTATATCGAGGTTTCCGACGCGGCGAAAGCGGAAATCGAGAAGCTTACTGCTCCATTGGTTGACATAGAAGCGAGCCTCAAGTAACAGGTAGTCCCAGATCAGGTAGACGAATAATAGACTACAACTGCAAAATTTCATTCTATTAAGATCACCAAATAGATTCATGAAAAGCCTACTCTGGTCTTCTAAGAGTCAAATAAGGATACATAACGCACGTGACAATCAAGTTTTGTGGCATGTTTCTACTAGGGTTCAAATCACGCATTGCTGTTATCAGAGTGCACAAACATACTTTGTCGCAATTCAGGAGAGAAACATTGTTCAGTAGCTCACGATTATTGTCAGCGTAGTTTCAAATTGATACATTCCGGCCAGCTACGGTTATGTATGTCAAAGTCGGCAGACCCAACGCTTCAAAATATTGCTTCGACTTGTCTCGTTCAGACATTACAGAACATACTTGAACAGTGGTGATGTGTCTCCCATGTCCGACAGCTCCGATTCGGTGTACCGGGCTTGAATTTCTTCCACACTCAGCTTATCCTTCTTCGCATTTCCTCTCTTGTAGGTCATCTCGAGCACAAATGACATAATCAATCCGGTGACTCCTAGGGCAAGACCGAGGCCAAATCCAGTGTGGTACTTCGGCTTCTCAGCCTCGATGTACATGAAACTACCTAGGATGCCGCCAATGTTTCCTACACAGTTGTTGAGCGCAATGGCCATGGCTCGTCGCGCCTCAGGGGCAACGTTGTTGGCGTTCCAGGATGCGGCTGCCGGCTGGATAGGGTAGATACCGACACAGCAGAGCACCACGGCAAAGTATGCGAGACCGCGCTGAGTTGAAAGCGCTCCATCTAGACCAAGGAATATGGCGAAAGACACAGTGACAATCACCATGGGGGCGGCCACGAACGGCATTCTCCAGTAGAAACGATCTGAGACCTTTGCGAACACAACGGCCGAGATCGCGGCCGCAACATATGGAGGAGCAGATGTGAGCTGGGCAACGGTATCGCTGAAGCCCATTGCTTTGGTGATGGTGGGGAGGGTGAACTTGGTACCTAGATGATATGAATCAGTTGAACATTCCCTGTGTGACGACGACTGGGAATTGTCTTACCGTAAGAGAGAGCTGACTGGACAAAAAGGAAATACGCCTGCATGTAGATTCTCCAGTTCGACAGAACCATCTTGAGGTCCTTCCAGCGGAAACGACGCTCTTCCTGAAACATGCCGCCTTGCTTGATGAACATGGAGAGCTCCAAGTGACGGATCTCGTCCGGCTCTAGCCACCTAGTTGACAAAGCAGGCGAATCAATCAGCAGGAAGAAGCATGAGATGCCAATCATGACAGTAACAAGTCCCTCCAGGATGAAGATCCACCGCCATCCGGCGTAGCCACCGACTCCGTCCATCTCGGCGATGGCGGCAGCAAGCAAACCAGAGAATGCACCAGATAGTGCACTAGCTGTGTAGAAGTACGAGATTCGGGTAGCGAGATCTTTGGGCATGTACCAATATGTGCAGAGGTAAATAGCGGCGGGGAAGAATCCAGCCCTGAGCAGCGAAACGGTTAGCGAGGACGAAGGCAAATAGAAAGACTCGGATATCATACTCGAAAATCCCAAGCAAAACCCGAACAGCCATGAGTCCACCAAAGTTGGTGACCAAACCAGTTGTCGTCATAATGATGCCCCACCCCGTAGTGAGAATTCCCAAGAACATGGACGGTCGCTTGAACTTTTTCAGAAGGATGTTGCTAGGAACTTCGAGGAGAACGTAGGGGACGAAGACTAGTATGACAGATCGGTCAGCATCGTTGCAAATATGGCCCCATCTGAGTTGCTGCAGATATTTAACACTGTATTCACGAAAAGGAACTCACAGATTGATAGCACGGTATTGTACTGCACACCAGTCATGCCCAGGTCTTCCACCATGCCCTCAATTTTCGCATTGCCAATGTTGGCACGATCGATGTGACAAATCAAGTACAAGAGAGCTAGCATGGGTACAAGTCGAACATCAACCTTAAGTCCATGTTATTCGCTGATTCCTCACGAGCGTGCAGTAGGTAGGGATCATAAGTACCTTCCTTGTGGTCTTCCGCCGCTTCTCCTCTGAATAGTTATTGTAGAACTCTGCATCTTCCGGGTCAAGGCCCAAGACGCGAAAGGTGTCGATCTCGACGACGACTGGCGCTTCTTCTACATGGTTGTGAGATGCCTTGAAGTCTGCGTCCTCCTTGTGGTCTACTGACGACTTGCGAGACATAGCTGTGAAGTGGAATGATACGAAAGAGTTGTGTACGCAGCGAGGGGGAATGCGAACTAGGCTTCTGGGATCGCTGCTTATATGAAAGACAGACCAAGAGTCATATAGCACGATTTTGCATTTCCGAACCCAACTCGCCTTTCTCTCCCGCCTCCCATATTTCCCCCTAGACTCATCCTTACCCCATACCCCGTACCCCGGACCCATTTACCCCAGGTTCTTGTCATCACCCTAGTTTCCCCTCAAAAGATCCGCATCGACCCATCGAACGGCAGCTCCATCACAAGGCAGAGCCAAGACAAGCTTATCCATGAGGGGAAAGGGCGGGGATACCGTGGTCGCACGCGGTCGCATTGCATTTCCGTCACCGTCGCACCAGTTAGGCCGAGTATAGCAAAGAGGCCACGCCAGAATGCGGGGGCACCAACTAGACTGGGTCCGTCGCCTGACGGAAAAGCACCGGACTATCGTACGACAGCTTCCTTGTGCATGGTTTTCCGTCGGGGAGAATCCCGATCGATAGTATTGGAGGTTCAGGATTGAAAGTCGCCTGACTCGCAGCCGGTCCACTTGATTGGGTCCCCTATGCGAAACATGGCCGGGCTCACGTGAAATCATCTTATTAGTTGTTTGGTTGACGATTGATAGGTAGCAGATTTCTTGTCAATGATTGATTGTTTTCAAAGGAATTCCTTATCCGTTCTACCACAGAGAGGCTTCAAAATGTCGAAAAGCGCAGTGATAACGAATATCACTATCACGCCGGTGGCATTCCATGACATGCCCCTGCTGAACAGCGTCGGCGTTCACGAGCCATTTGCACTACGTAGCATTATCGAAGTCATCACAGACGCTGGTGTCTATGGTCTGGGAGAGTCTTACGGCGACGACACACATCTCGAGCGTCTGGGCCGTGCAGCGAAGAACATCAAAGCGCTGAAGCCCTCGGTCTATGATCTCAACGCAATCTATAGCGCATGCGCTGGGTCTCTCAAGGGCGACAGCACGCATGGCGGTGATGGCATGGCCGGCATGGTGACCACAGCCTCCACTGAAGACAAGATCTTTAGTCCGTTCGAGGTGGCATGTCTCGATATTCAGGGAAAGCTGGCGGGTGTTCCCGTAAGCGATTTGCTTGGCGGCCGTGTGCGGGACTCTGTCGCTTACTCGGCATATCTATTCTATAAGTGGGCCGGCCACCCCGGCGAGCCGGACGATGAGTACGGGGCAGCACTTGACCCGGAAGGCCTAGTCAAGCAGGCAAAGAAAATTATAGATGAGTATGGCTTCACAGCAATAAAGCTCAAAGGCGGTGTTTTCGAGCCCGCGCAGGAGGTTGCTGCCATCAAGGCGCTACATGCCGCGTTTCCTGGAATCCCATTACGCCTAGACCCCAACGCCGCGTGGACTGTTGAAACGTCCAAATGGGTGGCGAAGGAGCTCGCCGGTATCGTCGAGTACCTCGAGGACCCGGCAGGAGGCATCGACGGGATGGCAGCGGTGGCCAACAGCACAGAGGCAAGCATGCCGCTGGCGACAAACATGGCTGTGGTCGCCTTCAACCAGCTACCTTCATCCATCGCGCAGAACGCGGTGCAGGTGGTTCTCTCGGACCACCATTTCTGGGGCGGACTACGCAAGTCTCAACTGCTGGCGGGTATTTGCCATACGTGGGGAATGCGACTCAGCATGCATTCCAACAGCCATCTGGGCATCTCCCTCGCAGCCATGACACACCTGGCTGGCGCTACTCGTAATTTGGACTACGCGTGCGACACGCACTGGCCGTGGAAGCGGCGGGAAGAGGATGTCATTGCGGACGGTGCCTTGCGATGGGTACCAGGCGGTGCGGTGGAGGTGCCAACGAAGCCCGGATTGGGTATTGAGCTTGACAGGGGAAAACTTGCAAAGCTCCATGAGCAGTATCTCACCTGTGGACTAAGGAAGCGGGATGATACGACGTATATGCAGAAGTTTCAGCCAGAGTTCTCAGCCACGATTCCGAAGTGGTGAGGCGGACTGCCAGGGAAGGTAGTGATGTATGAATTAGATTATATATCTGTATTGTCGCAACGTGAAAGTCGCTTTCAATAAAAACCAAATATTTCTTCACATTATTCAACCGTCCCCCAGGGAATATCACCTTTAGCGGAAATCAATACAAAGGGGCATGCGGCCAGATTAGACAACGTGTGGATGTTCCTATTTCACCTGTATACTTGGTGTGACAATCTCGTTGGGAATACTAACACAACTGCAGCTTCAGTAACTCACCTTTCATGGCTGACATTATGGAAGTCCTTCTTGGCTCATCCCTTCGTTGATTCCCATGGCTCCATCAACGTCTGCAAGTGTTTTACGTTGAAACTACAGGGCTTTCAAACTGGTGGGCAGCATCACATTTTTTGTCGTTACTAAGACATGCCCGTGAATTAAACTTGTTGAATGAAGAAGCACCGAAGTTATTGATATGTTTCCTGACAGGCTCCCCATATCGCTTTCTTTGGCTGCGTCTGGGTTTATTCGCTTTGTCGGGTAATTTTTCCGGTTCAGTCTTGAGTAATGGGGGCGACGTTTTGTTCCTCAGGAAGTAAGAATTGCACAAAGGCCAAATCCTATCTCCCGGTCTGGTGTTGTCCTAACGCCGTAGGACAAGGACGAGAACCAGCGACTTATGTGCCAAGGAGGAGGAGCTGCAGCGTTGATTCAAAGACAGTGGCGGGAAGGTTAGCAGGCACTTTTGTATCTCAGCACTGTCCCTGGCATCTTTGTGGTCTATTCCTTGAGAGAAACCACAGTCCAACAGCATGGAATGTGATTTCAGACTTGAGATAGTCGTGGTATCAAGAGAGACAGCTCGGCAGCGACGAGCTGTCGAAGGACCTACACCGACAGAACTTCTTGGTTCTTTTCAGGATCACAACAGCGTGACACATTGTATACCGAGCTTTGCCCCTTCGAGCAAAGGAATCAATTCTTCTTGTCTTATCACTTCCACCAGTTTACTGTCGAATGAATGGATAAGAACGTACATCTATTTATTATAGATTTCAAAACTAGACACGTGATTTGTAGGATATGCAGTAACAACGCAAAATCATTGCCTACAACTAAATCTGACAGCGAAGCCTTTACTCATTTTTAAAGACCCGTATTACTCTGCCCATTGGAATGAAATCAATACAACCCAGATTCAACGGTGTGTGGAAAACGACACAGGCAACCTCAATATTTTTCGAAGCCAACCGTTAACATGTGACATAGTGCTTCTGGGATTAGACACCTTTGCCCCCTACAGTGCGAGAACGGCAGTTACGCAGTGTCACAGGTAACATGCAAACACGAGGCACCAGTCATCCGTCATGACGATTAGGCCCCACCGCCTTTGCCCGAGTACGGCACAGCAAGCAGATGATCCTTCCACTCGATTGGTTGATTGATAGGACAACCCAACGAAACTATTATGCAATACTACCAAACATGTTCCCTCAGTATGGAGTTGCCGAGATGCTGAAATACCGAGAAGGCCTGACCTGGCCTGTGACGACTTGCAGGCTGAGTTCCTGATTGGTTCTGTCGTAAAATCCGAACCACGCTAACCTGATACACCTAGAGCCCGATGAGCTTAGCCACGGACCACGGGGTACCTGGATAGTTTCTACCTAGTCACCGCTGACGCCCCTATAAGCAACATAGATTAGCGTAGCACTATGAGGCAAGGTGGGTCTGGATTGGGACTTACGAGATGGCGCAGCTGGATCGTTGCATGGATGTTTTGTGAGTCCCTTCACGAGTCAAAAGGTGGATGCTGGTTACAAATCTCGTGAAGCAGTGGAGCCAACGAGCCGTACCTAGGTAGGCTTCCAGACTAGGTGTGTTGGATTGGGTATGGCCGAGCTGGGTTGGAAGACTTTTCTGTCTAGCCTTCACAACGTCGGCTAGAACGAGCCTCGGGTTCAACGAGGCCAAAATAAAACGGCTCTATAGCTTACTGACCGGGCGGCCGACGTTTGAGTCTCCCATAGATCTTGCGGATCGAGCATGTGATACTGAATCCATTGAAAAGCCACTGGTTGGCGTGGCGTCCATAGTAAAAGCTGGGTTTGGAAGTACGGCGACAATTATGCGCCATCTCGTCAGCGGTTCTTCTCCGCGGGGAGGCTGAAGCAGGGGCGGGCATGATACCATAAGTAGAATCTGACAAACAAACAAGATGGACAAGATCCATGCAAGGCCCTTTAACATGAGGTGGGATAACGGTTCATATACCGCAGTGCTAGGCCTAGGGACTTTGCAGCGCAGACTCCACTAGTTATTGTGAGGTTCTTGACTCTACCAAACATAGTAGGTCTTCGAAGAAGAACCAACACAATGTGATCAGGTCCCATAGCAAAACCCGAGTAGCAATAACTTGGTCTTAGAGATCTGTGTCCGACCCGCTGCACTGAATCCGAACGCTGTGCTCAACCCGCAGGTCTTTTACGGCACAGCCAATCAAATGTCTCCATCATTCGACCCTTTCGCCTCTCCAAGCCACCGGTACGCGAATCGAAATTCTAGTGTAATCACATTTAACTCGTCGGCATATCCTGATTCTGCAGTGGTACTGTAATGACTACAGCTCATGATGGCACCTCTTTCTTACGCGCTAGATCTTGGAGCCGAGTACTTGGCAAAATATTCAGATGGGTCTGACCAAAAGACTCTCAGCTCATTCCATCCCCTATCACCAACAGAGGTCCTCTCGATTGAGCGTCCGATATCGACAACTTACCTCCTTGCACTTTCAAAAGCTGCCGATGATCACTTCTCTCTAGAACGCCCGGCAGGGCCTTCTCGCAGCTTGCAAGATAGTACCATAATTCCGCCACCTGTGTCCCCATTCCACTGCGACATGCAGGCTGGCACAGCGAACTCAACTATTGTATCTATCACAAAGCAAGATGGTATCATGGTCATGGCTCTTCTAATCCTTGCCATGGCTGTCGTGCTCATAGTGGAGATTCGGACGGCGTTAAGACCACAATTTCTGGAACGACACGGGTAGGGTTTAATTGACCACATGAGTCTATGTTATCATGGGCTAATTGAACATAGCACCCTTGTTTCGACCGAAGAGACATTTGGCGAATCAAACAAAAGTAAGACTAATTCTTCACCACCGACCATAGTCTAATTTTCTTGTCTACGAAGGGGTACTATGATGGATAATGGAATAATGTACGAGCTTCGTTATGGTTCAAGAGAGCTTCTGGTAGAAGCTTTCAATATAATTGCAGCATATTAGAATAGCGGGTCGGGTGAAAGGAATACCTCTTTTAATCTAGCCTATCTGTAAAGCTAATTCGACAATGGAGTTCGTTGGCGAAATGCATGAGATATCCAAAGATCGAAGGGACTTCGCAATCGACAATACGTCCTTGGAAACTCCATTGATTGGCCACCCGTGACACTTCTGCGCGATGATGGATGCTTCGAACACCTCCGCCAGGTCTTTGCTATCCCAAACGCCTTCTCTGCGGTCTAGTGCTCTGAGCGCTATGACAACCCTTTGAAGTAGTTCCATGTCTTTTGTGAAACAGCCAACCAAAGATAGCGGGGGTATGATTGCGGCATCAAAGGAAAAGAGGGCCCTTGGTGATGGAGGCAAAGATCTGATTATAAGTTCAACCTCATCAACAATGGGGCGCAGGTCGCCCTCTTCAAAGTCATCTTCCTGGCTTGGCGACCAGGGCTCTTCATCCAGTAGTGCGATCCATGTTTTCTGATGAAGACGGGTCGTGAAAGCTTCGCACAAGTCCTTTGCCGATGCGGATTGACCCAGGAAGGTACCCATGAATAGGTCGAATCGGGCACTCCATCTCATAAATTGTTGATATATACCTCGATAAGACTGTAAATCTTTCTCTGAGAAGTTTGGCGGTGGTAGCTCGCTGCACGTCAGGCCCTTCTGTTCTGGTCTAGTCTGCCAGATGTCACAAGGATACATAATCTCGTAGAAAATGTCATGAGTGATTTCGATCTGGTGGAGCTCTTTCCTAGCTGCGTTCAAGCTTGAAAAGGGCACGATGGGACCAAATGTTTCCACAGCGGCTGGTATGCTGGATTGACCACACAATTGTCGCTGCGAGACGACCTCATCCTCGACGAGCATCGACGTATCTAGCCCGAGACAGGAGAACAGAGTGACAATAGAGTCCATCCCATCTTCTGGTTCGCAAGCATATCTTTGCTCCGTTTCTTCGTTTAGGGAACAGGGTTGCCTGGAATTTGGCATGATTGGCATCGAACCTGATTCGGAAGACAGTACGGATGCAAGTAAACGTGATCCGGATTTCAAATGCTTCATGGACTCCAAGTATTGTCCACGAACATTCTCAAAGCAGATGAACAAGATGCAACAGATCAGGCTTATTTGAATGTTGGCCGCTGTAGGGTTAGACATGAGCGGTTGGATATAACGGATGGCGAGGTTATAATGGAGAATGATAAAGCGGTCCATATCGCCTTGAGGTCTCCAAGCCACCTGACTCTTCTGCAGCAGGAAGTTATGATGAGCCGCGCCGAGTGCTACCAAAGCATAGCATATCCCTTCGTTTTGGAGGCTCAAATGAGGCATCCGCTCGATCCAGAAGTTACCGTGTACGGTTGAGCCAGCGCCAAGGTCCTTCATCGTATAGCAGAGTGCGTGATGGAAAAACCGGCTCTCAAGATTGGTCAGATTCGGAAGAGCACGAAAACCTGAGCGCAAGGTGGTCGTCGTGGCATGGATCTGCTTGCAACTTTGCCGCGATTCCAGGGTTGTTGATGGGAGCTCGTCGTATCCGTCACAGACAACGTGATCTTTCCGACATCGATGACATGTTGGTTTCGCTTCGTCGCATTTGAGGTGGCGGATTCTGTACCAAGCGCGCCGTGAGTAACTAGACAGTCAAGTTTGCCAAGGCAGCGGAAACGTACTTGCTGGAAGTTGGTGGCGTGTTAGTACTCCGTGGCTATTGAGTAGAAGAACATATGTGTCTCCTGTGCAATGAACGGGCAACCAACCAGGTCTTGCATCCTGTCCTGACTTTTGGTACTCTAGCTCGAGCCCGCTTGGCGCGAGGTACACACGCTGACGATCCGCCTTTGAGGTTAGACTCCGCCAAATCCTTCATTGTCTTTGCATCGAAATGACTATGGCCAAGGCCAATCATCAGCGAAGGTTCTGCCGGTAGTTTATGGAAATTGGAAAGCTTGACCTCCAGATTCTTGCGGCGGGACTTTTCAAACCTGGCTGGGACGGGACGCCTTACTGCCAGGCTAATTCAGTGGGGTCACCGCTGAAGCCTCTTTTTTGGGTAACTACCGGTAGCGTCTCAATCGATCTGGCGGGTCTGGCATCCCCTGCCGAGCCCTGCATACTCCGCCTCGGCCCCAGCCCCAGACCGAACCTAGACCGCACCAAGCCTGTGCCAAGAGCCACAGGCCTAGCCGTAAAAGACATGAACCCAAGTGGCTCACTTATTCGTGAATCTGCCGAACTCCCGCTCTCGTTTGGGTAGAGGGCGAGTAGGGTCATGTTTGTTTCTGGGACACTTCCGATCTCTAGTGTTAATCATCATTGAAGGATGTGGCTACTCGGATGTAGGACTCGGTTGTTGACATTTATTCCTGGTCCTGCAATGGCCTAGGCCACTCACCCTCCTGCCATCCTCCCCTCTTTCCCGTTCTTTTTCTTCTTGCACTTGAAGCTGGCGCGGAAAATGACACAACAGTCTTAGGCTTTTGGTTATAGTGGAACCTTCATACTCTGCCGCATTTGTCGTGATTTTACTTGACAGGCAACACCAGAATAAACCAATCAAGGTGTATACAGCACGAAATGGGGTTTCCGGGTATTTGATATCTAACTGCATTATCGTTCATGCTTCGCCATGACATTAGGTCCTATTCCAGTCTCTGCATCGTTGCAAACGCTACCATGGTCATGAGAGCGACGTCCCCCATGGTTTCCGGGTGACCCTTGAAATATTTCATCGCTGTAACGGCAAAGAACGCTGAATGGTGATACTACGTGGCCAGGCAGAAGCCGGCACCAGCAAAGACACCAATAGCACTCAGAATGAACTGCCAATTATCCGACCTTCGGCTGCCGATAGTTCCGGCATCAAAGTAGAACACCATAGTACATATACCGGCCAGTGCAATCTGCAGAAGATAAACCATCGCGGCAAACAACTTGCTGCTGAAGAATACAGCCCATATGTGCGACCTCACTTCCTTGGCTTCGGTATTATGTTCTGCCGGGTCGATAAAGATTCCCAGAAGAGACTTGTACTTCTTCATCTGAGCTTTTTTCAGGGATGTTGAGACGTTGGGTTTACCTGCGGAGGAGTCAGTCCAGCTGGCCTCCTCGTTAATGCCCTGCTCTGGCTTGTCACGAGACCATAGAAACTCAAACACGACACCCAGAGGTTGTGCGAGTAGAATGAGCGGAACCAACTGTCCAAAGCCCCACGAACTCTCTGTAGATCCTGTATAAGGGAGCATCTGCGCTCTTGGAACAAGAATCTGAATGGTGCCATAAACCAGACTTGTGACTGACAGCCAGATGGAAGCAGCGAATGATGACGCAAACTCGAGGCAGGCCAGCATCGGAAATACAGCGGCGAAAAAGAGACGAAATATCCATAGCCAAATTGGATGTCCACTGCGATGCAGTCTCATCGCCAAAGCCTTGAGAAGCCTGAACGAGATGTCTTCGAAAGGATTTCGAAGGTAGCGACGGTATGCCCTAGTGGGCCAGTCGAAAATACCGCCTATCTTCCAGGCGTAGGTAACGGCCAGAATAATGAACCCGAGCGGTGCGTCTGGGCCAACGCCATCGCCCCAAAGCTTCAGCCAGAAGCATTTTGCGGGGACGGCCCAGCCAGTTCGCCCGTCCAATACGCCCTCCCACCAGAAAACCCCCCAGTCGTTACTAACGGTAGGGACGAGGCCGATAATTAGCATAATAAGTAGTGTCATCATGCCAGAGAGTCGCCAAATCAAGATACCTCGGCGTTTGTGCAGATACGACTGAAGCAGAGTGATAGCCGAGAGGTGCACACTGCTTGACATCCATGCTAGATAAAGCACGACCTGGAAATGGTATACGGATATAGAGCCAGTTCGTAAGCCCTGGAAACCGGCGCCCATGATTGCAACACCTGTGACAATCTGTTGGTCACTGAGCGCCAGTACGCCTTTGCGGAGGTATTTTTGTGCTCGAGACCAATTAGATGGTCGATGTGGCATAAAAGGTGTAATGCAGAAGATAATGCAGAAGACTTCGGTGTCGATAGGTCCAAGCAGCGAGCGATCTACCAGACCGCTGATATACGCTGTGAGAACAGCGAAAAATGTGACATAGGCGCTGACAATGAAAGCCAGAACCACGCCAATACCAGAAACGTCCGCATCCCCGGCCGGGACCCCGCCGTTGATTACTTGGTATTCGCAAGTTTCTGTAGCCATGTAATCGAAAGTAGAGCGTTCAAGGCACAGGCTTGAGAGAGAAGGAATGGCGACGCGTTGAAGTGTTCACTTGGTGTATACTGCGGAGAGAGACTGATCTTCTGTTCCCCCTTTTGGATGCATGCCGAAGAGACGAATCACCCTGTTTGCGGGTCCGCTCAGCAGGAAGTCATGAAGAATGAAATTTGGCGGACTGAACTACGTAGGTACCTTTGAAACTAAGCAATCTAGAACGGATCAACATTGGCCAAGTAATACGGCATGTCCAATCAAATGGAGCAAAACTCCCCCACACACTACTCTGGTAGAACTGTCTCTACCTCCCTCGCTGTTATCAACGTGCACATACAAACAAGTACGGGTCAGTGCTTTTAAGCTCTATGTGGGAGTTGGTCTATGTAGACCCGTGCCAGGTTGCTGAGATTTGACGATAATGTTGCTTCCTCTGCCTGCATCGGCACTTCAATACTTGAGCATATCCGGGCAATGGCTTCGCTGACTCCACAGTTTATCATGGTCAACTCTAGTGCAGTCACAATCGCGAGTGGAGAGTCACAGTGCGCAGCGCCTGACTTACGTCGGATGCAGAACCCATAAGTCATGATTTCTGCACAGCTAGCTACCTCGCAGCAAAGTAAGTCCTGGCATCCCGGTGTGGGTGGCGCCGAGGGGACCAAGTTGAGAAAAGCTGCGAAAGTGTAACTTGAATCCGATATTGCCATGTTTGATCAGTAACAAGTCATTGAGAACATGAACGCTACTGCTTCAACGGTGCAGACGGCCACCCCATCAACAGGCTCGATAAGACGCTTTTCAATCAATACTGAAGATTTAAATCAAAGCCATTGACGCACGTTGTCTCACTATGCATGCCATAATTAATACGCGATGCGAGTCAAGATTGAGAGATTGCCGATAGACGAGTGCTTAAGACGTAACATATGCTCTATATTACTCTAATCTTTACGGCGCTGCAAAATCGTCTTCAACGTTCATGTGCGCATAGTTCTCCACTAGGTTTGCCAAGATTACCGAATCAAGTTCCTCCTCCTTCTTGACAACTTTCACTGGCCAGTGGCTTCGCACAGTCTGCATCGGTGCTTTGTCCTCTTCTGCGTCCGTCTTTTCAAGATTCAATATGCCTCGTAGTATGGCAGCCTCGTGCGGGCGCATTCGCCCTCGAATCACTCGAAAAAGCGCTTGTGCTAAGTGATGATTACGGCGCTGGCTGTACAGCCCTGTTGCGATGAGCATAAGGGTGGATCGCAAGGCTTCGAGCTTGGGCACTGGTGTTTCCTCGCTGATGGCTTCGATGCACTTAAAACCGGCGAGGACGAGCGGTATGACGATGAACAGGTCCATGGATTCAAACCCGTGACGGAGATAATACAGTCGAACAAGGGTCTGGATGTACTTGGTGGCTTCGGCAACGATCTGATGGGGCGAGGGTTCTTGAGCTGTCTTGACATCGAGTAAGGGCTCATAAAGGGCCAGAATGAGGTTTTGGTAGTACATGCTGCGAGCGTTGATTAGAAAAATGAGCCGATAGACAGAATAGGCGGTCTAAGTATAATTGCGAAGCGTTCATCCTCCGCCGGAGCGCATGAGCCGCAGATATGGGGGGTGCTTACTGAAGTTGCAAGTGGTTAGGAAGTACGATTGTCTTTGCCCGGAGCGGGTGAGGCAAGTCGTTATACCAGCCTCTGAGTCGCGATAAAAGCTTGTTAGCTTTGCTGAGCGTTACGTTCGAGCCTTTCGAATAGGCCAGATGACAAAACTCGTTCATGATGATTCGAAACTGGCACTTTGCTCGAAAGACTTGACCAAAGTATGACGGTGAAAGAGTCTGATTGAGAGGATACCTGACCCAGATTTCTCCGTACCATTGTTCATCTTCTGACGGGTCGGGGAGTGGCTCATGAGGAGGCTCCCGAAGTAGTGGAGGAAACATGAAAGAAAAGCCGACCAGTCTATCAATAATCAGAAGTCGTCTGGATTTCAATTTTCGAAGAACTTACGCTTCCCAACTATACAGCGACCATGCTGTGAACAGCCGACCATGCCGTATTCTGCTACTCTGGCCCAATATTCTGCCGTCGAACAGGCGAAGCTCGTGCGCTAGAGAGATTGCATGGATCCTGTAGGCCTGCCCGATCTCGTCTAGACCGCAAAGGTTGTAGAAGACATTGAGAAGCATACCGGTTTGAATAGTGGTGATGCGCGGCTCACTACATTCCAGCTCCAGAGGCGTTTGGCTTCAGCAAGAAAGCGATACTGGAGTGTATTGGGATTCCAATACTCTGCACGGTTCGAGAATTGTGGCCAGCAGACCTGGAGCTCGATCAGACACCACTATTGAAAATGCGTTTGGGAGTGACCATACACAAGAATAGGCAAGAATCATGTTGACAAGTAGCGAGGAGCAGAAGTCTTCCCGCTTGGCAGCCATATCCTCCAAAAATAAATCTTTCTGAAATGCCGCGGTGAATTGGTACTCGCAACGTAACCATACTCCAATCAGCTCACGCATGAGCACATCGTCATCACAGACAGCGGTCCACAGTGATGGCTTTGCCTCGGAAAGCCGAGCGTCAACAACATGTGCTGCATGGAATGGTCTCTGATAGAGGCTATGATATTCATCAACGGCGGAAACGGAGGACGAGTTCGAAGGGCTTGGAGATTGGTCCACAGGGTATAAGGATGCCACATCATAGATAAACGAGTCTAGGTAAGGGTTATTTGGAATATAATCCTCGGGCATGTCAGACCTGTACGGAAACTTATACCGAAATCTTGTCTCGGGCAAGACAGACATCTGAAGCAAGAGATCCCCAGCCTTGATGTGGCTGAGTATCGATGTGATGTCGGTCCCGGCTCTGATTTTCTGCAGCACGTGGTGGGCCTCCTGGTCTGGCAGACTCTTCAAGAGCTCAACGATCTCCTCATGGGCGGTTGCTCGATTTCTCAGATCATCGTAATTCCGTCTGAGGGCCTGCGAAGATGTCTCTCCAGGCGCCGCGGCATAGCGACACCGAATGCGTCGCTGGACACATCGCCGACATGCAGGCCGTTCGCCGAAGCACTGGCAAGAGTTGTCAGGTCCCACTACTCACGGACGATTTGACAGGGTGCCTTAAGCCCGGGATGGAGATACCTTGCACTTCTGCTTGCGACATGCGTCACAGGCTGCCGGAACTTGAGCCTGCGAGCCGCGTCCAGGTTTAGAGGGCCTTGGTGGCGGCTGCGGCCGCCTCGTCGGGGCGGGCAGTAGCGGGCGTAGATGCCGCGGGGTATCACTGGCTGGGACCTGCTCAGACATGTGGAGTCCTCACGAGCGACATAACGACGGCTTCTTCAAAGCGAAGTGAGTACAGATGAAGGAGAAGATACAGACAAAGTTGTAGTCCGGAGCTGGGTGGCAATCTCCAGCCAGTTACCAGTCACGCGGAAGTGGTGGTCCGGCGTGCCCCGCGGGAGAGGGCGGTCCCTATGATTGGTGGCGTCGGCGTCGCAAGTTCAGCTCCAGCACAGAATAAGCAGCCTTGCCCGCTACAGGTCCCGCTAACTCGGTTAGTGGCTTAGCCACCTTATTGCACGTCACAGAAAGAAACATCGTCCCTTAGGTCAGCTGTCAAGCGTACGGAGGTGGTCAAGTATTTAGTCAAAAACCTTGGTAACGACATATCTCAATGACAACGCCCTGTATCCTAGGACGGACCGGAGAGGTATGCAAGGGACCGCGGAGGCCATCTCGGCTACAGAGCACATGAAACAGAACAGAAGACCGACCTTGTGTTCTTCAGGTATCGCATTGTCGCAATATCCCATACTTCAGCACAAGGAATTCATTCTTTCATTCGCTTTGCTCAGAGTACAATTCGAACCGTTTCGGAAGAGGTGGGAACTGTGTTTGTCCCATGTTCCCGAAGACAATAGTTACACGACAGTCATGCCTCAGATTCCCGTCGTTCCATCGTTCTCGCCACCCACACTTCACCGCATGAGATTGACTACATAAGTCCATTGTGCCCACTGAGCCGGATTTTCATAGGCAGCGGGCATCAAACATGGCGCCCAAGTCTCCCTATACCCTAGCTTCCACATCCTATGGCTTCCAAGGCTGCCACCATGTAGAGAAGCAAGAGCACTTTCTCCAACCCATTTCACAGCTTAGAAAGCTCGGTCTCTTGCCCGAGCAATTGATCGTACACACTTCGCTTCCATGTGTCGCCTGCAAGCACGACATTGATCCCAATAGCCTCTATCCCGCGGTACTGCTCTGGGCTCGACACTCTTACAATAACGGGACCTGGCAAACGAACTTGCCGTACAGTCGCATCAATGCAACGCGACTAGCTGAGGTCGTCTGGATCTGGGTGTGGTTAATCGAATGGTTCAAAGCGCGCACGAAAGCAGAATGCGATGCAGTACGGCCGGTAGGGATGAAGATGGCCCGACTCTGCATGTATGTCGGCATGCATATACTCGACTTGGAGCAGTTTCACACTCTATGTGCCACGGTAGAGGGAGCGTCGGAACCGCCAATTTATTCCCTCATCTGTACGGACTTGGCAACGAAGGAGCAACGAGAGACCAGGGACCAGCTGCGAAATCCCGAGGTCGCCTATTACAGGCAAGAGTACGAGTGGCTGCTCAAGGCATTCGACAATGTTGACCAGGTCTTATCACGGTGGTCCAGGACGGGAACTCCTGACCAAGAAGGGCTGAGGACCTCTGTCGCCTACATGGATTCCATCATCACGTTTTGGACCAACAAACTTTGGAGCAACCACTGGCTTGGCTGGGACCAAAGCGATCTGGCGTTGATGTGCGAGCCTCTGCCCGATGACCACCCTCAGCTAGACACTATGAAGGTAATGATGAGGGCAGTGAGAGGAGAAGACGGCATCCTCCTCGCGAACAGGGAGCTGGCTGGCTTGTCAAAGTTGCTTGATACGGCAGTTCGGTCATTTCTGGACCTGACGCACAGGCAAGTGGGAAAGATTCTGGATCATCTGAGAAACGAGGCGCGATGCCTGAACTCGCGGGCTAGTAACCTGGAGCTAACCCTCAAGAATCTCGTTACTCTGGAGGAGGAAGCTCGCGTTGGCATCATCAATAGTATCTGAGAATCCGTAGGGCTAGTTTCGAAAGCGAAACCCTCGTCCTAGACATAAATCGATAGAGAAGACGGATATCTTTCGTCTAAATACTCCTACAAAGCCAAGTGACAAACCCAGTGTCCGGCCTGTGTATTATTCGACTGTGCCCTAGCTCTTTTTGGCTCGCCAAAGAAAAAACATTTGTTGATATATGATTGTCCCTGATGGCCAATACCTGGTCGCAAGCCGGCATACTACCTAAGAGTGTGAGAAGACCACCACCGGCACTTTCAAGCGGGAAGTCCCATTGTTTCTGAGTGGCTGACTGGTGAAGACGGGTACGGCCGTCTCGATTATTGCCGGGTCATCTCCGAAATGCGGCGACACGCCGCCTCGCCGAATGAATCGTTCACCAGTCCCCGTCCGTACTCCACTGTGGAGCTTTGATAGGGATCACTTTTGCTTGACCGTTGGTAATCGTGAAACTAGGCGCGTTAGTAACTGGCTACAATTTTACAAAACTTTCACCCGCCCGCCCCATATCAGTTACTGGACTCCATAAGGCCTGGTTCCTTATCTCGAGCCCTCCATCATGGACACCCGACCTCATCTACCGTCTATTCGTCCGTTCCTGGAATCCGAGCCGACTTGGAAAAGCTACGCCGTTATATAGCTTGCATTCCTCGAGATTGTCACTTCTGGATAGCTAGTTGAAAGCAGGATCTCCAGGCATGCAATCCTTTCTCCAGTCAAGACGCATCGGTCTCGCAGTGCAAGCTCAAATTGAGCGAGACCGCGAGAGAGCAGCACTGATAACACATAACAGTGGCGTGCGAGAACATGGCGCTCAGGTCTCCAATGGACAGCAAGCTGCTGATCCGGAATTCTCAGAGAAGATAGAGTCGCCTGAAGCACCGCCAGAGAGTCAAGTACGGGATGATATCGACATCGAGCTTCAGCGCCAGGTAACGTCCTCGACATCGGCCAGCGATGACTCATCAGAGTCGTACACCGCAGCCCACCGCGTCCAGACCGCGGCGACGCAGTACACGGCACGCGCCGCCCTCGGCCATTCACTGACCGGTGTTCTGGCACGGGACCGGCGGACACACGAAGGCAAAGGCGAGAAGGTTTTCGTCGTCGGCTGGGAAGGACCTGACGACCCCCTGAACCCACGCAACTGGAGCATTGCCAAGCGGGCGGGCTGTACCCTTCAGATCTCACTCATCGCAGCAGCTGTCGGTTGCGCGTCTGGCATCGATGCCACGATCCTGCCGCAGGCGGCTGCTGATTTGGGTGTGAGTGACGTAGCGGAATCTCTAGATACAGGTAAGGCACATCAAGATCATCATATCCGGCACTGTTGCTAACGATGTTATAGGGATGTATCTACTCGGTCAGGGCCTCGGGTCCCTGGTAGCGGGCCCCTTTTCGGAGACCTTTGGACGAAACTATGTTTATGCTGCTTCTATGGTGGTCTTCATGCTATGGATCATGGCCTGCGGGTTGGCCCCGAACTTTGGGGCTCAGATTGTGTTTCGTTTCCTAGCCGGTTGCGCAGCGTCGACGCCGCTCGTGTGCTCTGGCGGTTCTGTGTCGGACATGTTCAACAGTCTTGAGAAGACATGGGGCTTTCCTCTCTATGCCATCGCAGCCTTCGGCGGTCCTATGATCGGTGCGGTTATGGGAGCATACATTGGCCCCTCGACTCTTGTCTCTTGGCGGTGGACTGAATGGACCATGCTGATCCTATCGGCAGTCGTGGTCGTCTTGGTATTACTCTTCATGCCAGAAACGTATGCGCCTTTGTTGCTTCAATGGAAGGCAGAACACCTGCGAAGAATTACTGGTGATAACCGATACCGCTCTGAGCACGAGATCGTTGAGGCCACATTGTTCAGCCGACTTAAGGTCAGCATGACCCGGCCTTTCATCATGCTCACGGAGCCTATCATTATGGCAATGACACTCTACCTGTCCGTGGTGTACATTGTTCTCTTCACGTTTCTGATCGGCTGGCCCTGGATCTTCGAATACCCCTACGAGATCGGACAGGGACTTAGCAATATCATCTTCATTTCCATGTTCGTCGGGCTTCAGTTCACCTTTTTTCTTGTTCCAGTCGTCTATCGCATGACAGTCAAGCAAATGAAGTTGGCCGAGTCGAGGGGCGAAGGGACTCAATTTAACCCCGAAGTCCGCCTATGGTATGCCATGCTAGGCTCTGCCCCAGCCATCCCCATTTCACTTTACTGGATGGGTTGGACCTCTTCGCCCGACATATCCATCTGGTCGCCGATCTTGGCTGTCGCACTGTTCGGCTACGGAGTCATGGGGATCTTTATCTGCGCTTACATGTATATCATCGACTCGTACGAGATATATTCGGCATCGGCCTTATCATTCGTGTCGCTCGTGCGGTACGTCTGTGCAGGAGGGATGACGGTGGTGGGCATACCGTTCTACAAGAACATGGGCACACACTATACCCTCACCATCTTGGCGAGCATCTCTTGTCTACTCGCTCCAATTCCGTATGTGCTGTACAAATGGGGCCACTTACTGCGAAAGAGGAGCAAATACGCAGTATCGAGAGAAATTTGAATGGGAGTCAAACTGGTAATAGAATTAGCGGAATCCAACTGACAGTAGAGACAAATGACATTTACGCCCAAACTACTATCTGTTTTTCCCAAATTCTACTTGCTTTTAGAATTTACGGGATGTTGCCCACCCACTGGAATTCAAGGACGTTTCAACTCTTGGACTACAGAATGTCGGATGTCCGTCGAATACACTTGTTGTTACAACCGTATTTCCCGTTACATCTTCACATGATAATTACCGCATTTTGCAGCTAGAAGTCGAACCAAGAAAAACCCGTGCGAATGGCTAGCAGAATGCCAGTGATTCTCCGTTATTGCATTCAGTACCGCTAGCTGCATGTTGCGCAACTAACTTGGAAACGTCATCACTAGTTGAGTAAACAAGGCTGCTCATTGCTCGGCCCGAGTAGTAACGGAAAGCTGCACCGCAGTTTCTGGACATCCGAACTGGTCAACGAATATGAGCCTGCCATTGGTTGGGTTGATGCATGCATCCCCTGCGCAACTTGAGGCGTGAGCGGGGTGCTGTGCCGCCTCTTGCCGGTGGTATCGCAGCTATTTTTTCGTCTGCACTCTTCGACTCCTGCGAGGGCTTTATCGCATTACGCTCCCCTTTTTGTTGTACTTGCTAGTTTGTCTACGTGTGCCGTCGCTCTGATTCGTCGAGTGGTTCTGGGACTTATATCATCCCCGTTTGAAGCTGTATTATACCCATCCAGCAACCCGGTCCCTTGTTAGCTCTACTCTCTGTGACTATGGAGGCCTTCGCAGCGATTGGCCTCACGGGCAATCTAATCCAGTTCGTGGATTATGCGTCAAGGCCATGTCTCGAGTTCATGAGCTCTATACTTCAGCAAGCGGCGCGACCCGTGCGAATCAGGACATAGAGTTCCTCACTCGCTCGATGAAAGACCTCACCTCTGGTCTTAGTATCAACAAGCCACTCGATCAACTGAGCGAAACCGAGGAATCATTAAACCGGCTTGTTATGGAATGTCGCAAATGGACAGATGACCTCCTGGCGCTTCTGGATAAGATCAAAACGCGGCATTCACGCAGCAGCTTGGAAGCTGTGAAGGCTATGATCCGGAATATAAGAAAGAATCACGACAAGATGAGGCTGTAAAAAGGCCTTGCTAGTTGCCAGCAACAGTTGGATGTACATCTGGCACATTTGGCAAGGTACGCTTCTTCACTTTCTTGCCAGTGGCGTATTCTGATGATCCGCCAGAATAGAAACCTCCGCAAAGTTGGACGAGATTATCAAACTTAGCGAGTCACGCGAGAAGAGTATGGAAGCTCTGATGCAAAATACTTGCAATCTTCGTGCTGCTGTAAATGCAACAAGTCTTTCCGGCAATGCTTTAAACGACATCAATTCTGTGTTCACGGCCACTGATGACATTGTCCTGCAGTTCTGGCAGCGGAAAGTGCTAGACGCTTTGCAGTCAAACGCCACAAATGAAAGATACATTGCCGTAGAGCCCGCTCATGCAAAAACATTCGAGTGGCTATTTGACGATACACAGGATACATGCACTACGGAGCTCGCTCAAGGCAGAGAGGACGAGGCTTTAAGTGCTCCAGTAACACCGAATCATGACGCTGGTTCGAGCCGACATCGCCATCCTTACTTCAGTTCGACCTTCGTGAGGTGGCTGCGACAGGGGCAGGGTATATTCCACATAAGTGGGAAGCCTGGGGCTGGTAAATCCACCCTGGTGAAATTCGCCTGTGAACACACCATGGCTAAGAAGCATCTGAAATATTGGGCGAAAGACGACAAACTGCTGTTCGCCAAAGCGTTTTTCTGGAAGCTCGGCACTGCGCCTCAGATGAATCTTCGCGGAATGCTATGTTCTATATTATACGAGATTGTACAACAAGCTCCCGAGCTCGCTGCAGCGGCATTCCTGAGGCCCAACGACGTCAAAGACGCGTATGCCAAGCTCGACTTCTCCACTGCTGAACTGGAGGAGGCCTTCGCATCTATGATCGTCCAGGCAAACAAAGATGAGACGCACAAGTTTGCGGTGTTCATCGACGCCTTGGATGAGTACAGTGGGGATCATGCCCACACAACTGAGAAGCTGATCCACTGGGCCGAGCTTGGTAACGCACAAATCAAGATTCTCATCTCCAGTCGGGAATGGCCAGTCTTCACAACTAAGTTAGAGAAATACCCGAAGTTTCGAGTTCAGGAGCTCACACATGGCGACATCTCAATGTTCATCAGAGATCGGTCCGCTACGTGGTCGACAACATTCGATACAATTCGTTCGGATGAGGTCTCCCAACTCTCAGAGATGATTGCGAACAAAGCAGAGGGAGTTTTTCTTTGGGTGAAACTGGTACTCCAGGAAATTGAGTCCGGCCTCTTCAACGGAGACGGGTTTCGAGATTCGGCGCGGAAGCTCGCAAGCCTCCCGACGGAACTACAAGATCTCTTTCAGCATTTATTTGATTCTATACCTGAATCAGATCGCCTGAAGGCGTCTACATCATTTCAAATCTGCATTGCCGCACGCAGGTTGTATTCATATTTCAACGAGGTTAATGACCAGTATTTGTATTCGGGCTCCGCCTCATTACCCCTTCTTCGCTTTTGGTTCATTGATGAGCTCCTCGACAATGAGAATTTCACAATACGCTCGCATGGCACAGAATCAACTCAAACCACAATAAACCGGTATGTCAACATAACACGAAGACAGATCATTGGGCGGTGCAAAAGGTTTTTGGATTTACATGAAGACAAACACACTCTTTTAAATGAAGGTGCTGTTGGTTTCATGCACGCAACCGTGGTGGAGTTCCTGCATCAAAAACATATAGCGAGCTCACTCATCTCCACGATTCGACACGACCGAGTTTTGGGACTTTTCAGACAGTCACTCTTGGCTGACATCAAATATCTTCCTCGAGCCGAGTATAATAGCAGCGACCCTGGTATACAGAGAGAACCAAACTTTATCGCGGAGCTCAAGAGCACCATCAACGAGTGCGTAAGGCATTTCGATTCGGAATCCCCCGAGACACACAAGAAAACTCAGAAGACCAAACTGAACAGCTTTCTTTCACAAATGGACATGTTCATGGCAAAACGTTATGCAGATTTACAAGTTCCTCGATCCTGGTACGTCATGCTTGGCTACGGGCAAGATAAGTCCATACATGTCGGCATCAGCAGCAGGAAAGAGGAAAGAGTCTCCAATGCCGCTTTGATTACGTGTTTAGCTGCCTATTGTCGACTCTGGGAATACTTGGACCACAAAAGGCACTGTCTGCTGTTCATGCGGCGCTGCGATCAGCGAAGTGTCCTTGTTTGCGTTCTTTTCAGCCTCGTACCTCAGCAAAGACACTATCGAAACCATATCCGCACAGCAAGTGCCTTTGAAGTTTGCTTCCAAAGCGGTATGTCACTGAATGGTCCACTCGGGCATGAAGATGAAGCCCAAGGGGACGAGAAATACAGCCTATTTGATCGGCTTTTACTCGTGCTGGCATGTGACATTGAATCTATTGATAAATTGTCACTTGATAGTTTCGAAACAAATGATAGCGACCCTAAATTCTATCGTCCGATGGAGCTGATAGCGCTCTTCTTACGGTATGGGGCTGTCTCAAGCATGCGAATCGAGTTTGAACGGGTCGAAGAACTCGATAGTACGGAAGAGGGCGCAAGACAAATGAAACGTAACCCCAAGCTATATCCTTTCAAAAATGTTCAGGATAGTGTTGTGGTCACGTTCTATCCTGTAATCCGACGCGCTGGACTGCATGAGACCAAGAAGCTGTATCGGGTCATGTCCGACTCGTCAACAAAGTTTGTACAATATGCACTAAGAAGAGGCGGCAAGCTATCATTTCAAGATCTTCTGAAGTTCTGGTTTCCCCGTAACTACGCAGCTATGCTCGCGATGTTAGAGACGAACGAGAAAGTCACCAGCAGCGAGGTGCGGGGAACACAGATATATCCACTGCCCTTCCAGCCTGAAGCTGAGCCTTTTGGTGTACTATTTCCCAGCGCATCTCATCGGATGTTCCCAAAGAACACCGTGACGTGGGATATGAACCCGCCTTGGTAGTCTCCGAGGCACAGCAACCAAGATATGACCTGCGGGAAAGATGATGAACGTGTATGACGGTGACAATGGAGCTGACCCTCTGAAAGGGAGGGGCCTCCTACTTCACAGCACCGTAGTACACGTTGTGGCAGGTTCTCGGCAATTTTTTTTTCTTTTTTCCCTGCAGAATTTCTCAACATACGAGTTCTGGGAGATACAGCTAGTTTTTACGTTATAAATACCGGGACTGCGTTATCAGCACCATGGATTTTATTGAATGGTACGTATGATCCATTGCATTAATTAGTTGGCTAGAGGATTCAGTTTCGCGGAACTCGGGGAATATAGATATGGCAGTGAGTCAGTACCAGGCACCGTATTTGATCAGATTTTAACGCAACTGAGTTATGCACGAGTATTCTGTTTTCCTATATGACATAGTCTGGCCCGGGGGTATATATGTACAAGTGCGGTGCACCCACCCACTCACCCACCTACCCACACGTCATGTCAACGTCCGGCCCTCCCTCGTCGTGAAATCCCCCCTCTCCCTTTCCGTTTCCGTACTCCCTGCGCGAATCCTGTCTAGCTCGTACACCAAGAATATCAACCGCCGTATTTGCGACGCAATAAAGAGAAAGCTGCGCCTAGTGGGCTATCCATTCCCTCGACAGGCAAGTTTTTTGTTTCGTGTCTGCCCAGGACCGGTTTCGTATAGTAGGACACTCGCGTTTTCGCCTTACAACTCCGCCCCTTCCTCCGACCACGCCTCAATATAATGCAATCGCCGCCAGATCCGAAGAGAATTAGAGTCGTACTCTGGACTGGACGGCAGTGATAGACAGTAGGGAAATGGGAACGCCGATGCCAGGTTGTGCGGCACAATCGAATAATACGGAATCAGTCAAGTCGCGTTGTCGGAGGCAAGTTTTTCGTTTCCCAGGACGCGTCCTGATTCTGTGTGCTCGCGATCAAAGCAGAAAAACGAAACAAAAAGTAAAAAACGTCAACACTGTCCAGGCCCATCATTGGGGGTATAAGCGTGAATCAAAAGAAAACATGCAAAGTAAATTTTCTGAAATCAAAAAAACATGCCGACTAATGTTGTCCAGGGGGCATGGGATAGCTGACTAGCAGTTTGGCCGTCCCGACTGGGACGCGATGCCCCTACGGCGAAGACGAGAGGTTCATAGGCTCTGAGCCTTCAGAGCACACTGAAGAGGCACGGTTCTTTTCCTAGCGTTCCATGCTCTCGGGGCTCATCATGCCAGTATCGGTCTTGTCGGCCTGGCTGTTGCCTCCTTGGCTCTGCGTGCTCTCGACACGGGACATCTCGGGGGCTGACGGTCGCGAGAGAACCAAGCCATTGGGCACAGGAACCGGACTGGGCTTGACAGGCTTCTTATCCTTGCCCTTTTCGGGGCTGCTGTTGGTGGCGTTCGCCTTCTCCGCAGCAGCGGCGGCCTCCATCTTCTTCTTTTTCTTGTTAATCGCATTCTGCTCCTTGGGTGGTCGCTTCTGGGGTGATACAATCTTGCCGGTAGCGCCGAGGCGTGGCCGAGGACGCTGCTGCTTGACTGGCAAGTCTGCATCTTCCACCAAGGGTTGATCGCCATTAGCGTGCAACTTGGCGAGGAAGAAGTTCTTAACAAGGCCAATCTCGTTGTGAATGTTATCCTTCGTAACTGCCTCGGGAGCCGGCAAGTCATCGAACATCTGTTCATCGACGGGCCCAGCGACCTGGTTCTGGCTGGCGAAGTTCGTTCGTACCCGCGAGTGGAGAAGATGTAGAGGCACAGATAACATGCCGCCCAGTTCACCTGCGAGGCCGAGCTCACGGAAACCAAAGTAGTCCTCGCCGAGGTCGTCTGCAAAGTCGCCGCTGACGAACTGTTCGCTGCCTTCGTTGAATGAAGACGCGCCACCATCTACACCGTTCTCAGTAAGGGCAGGCCGCAATAGGTCACTTAGATGCTGCTTCATGCGATCATGAATGGATCCGAGCTTGTTGCTCAGCCGCTCAACCTCGTCCTTTGCATAAGACTCCAGATCCTCAACGCTATAGCCATGTTCATGGAGGGTATGCAAAAGAACCTCCTCGTCGGTGAACCGAGGCTGTACCTTGGCGCCACCTTGTGCGTAGAGCGCGGAAGGGTCCATCCTGTCAGCTTCAAAGTACGTCTTGAACGTCATGCCGATTTTGTGAAAGTAATCAGCCGCGACGTCAGTCACGGCGTCAAGAGCCGATGGCTGCATCTCTTCGAATCCTGCGTGGTAGAATAACTTGGCGACCGATCTCTGCAGCGCAGCCCTGTTGACGCGAGGGTCCATGACCATGTTGTCGTCGCTGCAGATGACGTGGGGCTCGATATCGTGCTCGACGAAAGGCTCAGGATCGTACTTGGGAAACTGGTTTTGGTACATCTAATACGGGTGAGCAGAGGTCTTGGAGAGCAAATGGTGTACATCTTACCTGGGTCTGGATCTGCATTTGCTTGACGACGGCGATCTTTGCACAAGTTTTGCGTGTCTCCTGCATCTGACGTAGGTTGGAGTCGAGCTTGTCTGACAAGTAACTCTTCGGAGCGGTGTACAGGCCGGCTGGGACGGTCCTCAAGAATTCCTCGTGTTGGTTGATCACTTGCCCTTCATTGTCCTCGACCCATTGGAGCTTGGGGTGGATGTCGGGGATCATGCTCTGCGGGTCGTACCAGTCAGGGACAACGCGCTCGACGTCTTCTTCCATGCCCTCGGCAAGAGTCTCGGATGCCTTGGAGGCGTCTTTGGCGCCTGCAGCTGACCCATCGGCCAGGGTAGGACTGGACACTCCAATGGCGTCTGCCTGCTGTTGATGACGGAGAAACCGGCGCATCGAGGCCTTGCTGCGGAGGAGTGCAGGCTCATCAACGTTGAGTTTATTGCCACCAAACAGCTGATAGCGTTGCTTGGCAACATGGGCTCGGTCTTTCTTCGTGATCTGCTTGTAGACCTTGTACTCCTCGTCTTCAAAGGCCTGCTCCTGAGCCTCGTTCAGGGCACGATCGAGTGCCATTCCGTTCAGAGAAGGGCCGTCAATGTCCATCGCATCTGCATTGCTGCCGATACCTGACATGCCATGGATGCCGCTGGGTGTGTTCGAGCCACCGACAGGGGGTGTCCCGAAGCCATTGCTCCCCTCGAGCTCTGATCCCTCCCTGCCCGTTTTGGCCAGGAGGCCATTCAGCTGCAGCACTGGTTTCTGATCGACATTGGGGGTTCCCTCCTTCTGATCAGACGGAGCCTTGCGTGACTTTGTGCCTTTAGCCCCCCCTGTGACACGTCCGCGAGAAGACATGATGGGCTCATCGTCTGAGTCTTCGCCTGCGTCCTCGTCACCACCATTCTGCTTGCGCCGTTCCTCAGCCTCCACCTCAGCGCGCGGCCGAATAACGAGGTCGGGGATCAAGGGGATCAGCTTCTCGGCCTCCCTACGCATGCCATTTGCCATGCGCCGCAGCGGGTGGTTGAGATCCTGGTTGTATCGGAGACAGTTATCCCAGATCAGGTTGAGATCCACGACAAAATCTGACTTGGACTTGTACTGCGCAGACTTGAGCTTCTTCGTCATGGTTCCGAGATCCATGGGCTTGTTGATGACTAGGGGTGGCAATGGTGAGCAGGGCTGGTCGAATATTGCAATGGTTCACACAATGGACTCACGGTTATAGTAATCAGGCGCGTCTCGCTTGTTCACCTTCTGTAGGAAAGGCGTTGAGTACTCCGTGTGCGCCTTCAGCTCTGTCAAGACCTTTTCAATGGCCTCGTACAGTTCTTCCTGGTTGACAAACTCTTCGCTCGCCCACTTGCTTCGGTTTTTCCGCACCTCGTTCATAAGGGAGCGCAGCTCGGCATCCGAGGCGCGGACCATGTCGCGCTTCATGTCTATGCGCGCGATGAGGTGCTTGAGGGTGAGGCTCGACGCGCCGAGGTTCGCGCTGCTGAGCGAGCCATGGTTCTCGCCAGAAGCGCCGCTGGTGGGTTGGCCGTTATTGTTCTTATCCATCTCGGCCTGGAGCTGCTTCTCGGACTCCTCGAGCTGTTGCTGTTCCAGCATGGCCGTGCGGTCATTCTCGAGGGTGTAGATGAGGGTGTGGAAGCTGCGCTTGGCGGCGTCCTCGGTGGCCACGCGATCCTCCTCCAACTTCTTGCGCGCATCCTCAGACGACTTGCTCCGGTCTTGCGACCCTTGCGAGGTGTCGTCCTTGGACTTGTCGGCCTGCTTCTCGGGGGTGGTCACGGACTGGACCGGGGAGCTCCCGGACTTGGACGGGGAGAGCAGGCCCCTGGAGGCCTGGGCGCTTTTGGACTTGGACGGCGAGGCGTCCCGGGTGTCATCTTGGTCGTCCTCGTCGTCCTCGTCGTCGTCGCCGTAGTCATCTTCGTCAATGACGCGCTTGACTCGCTTGACGGGGCGCTCCTCGATGGGGGTGTGGTCGGTGGTCGGGGGCAGAAGGGGTGCGCCGAGGGTGACGGGGCGGCGGAGAGAGTCTATGCCGGACCAGTTGTAGGAACCGTCCTCGGCGAAGAGATGGGCGATCTTGGCCTCGGCCTGGTGATAGAGGTCGCGAAAAAAGGCGCGCTGCCGGTCGTCGTCCGGGTTATCAGATGAAGTTGATGCCTCAGGCATCGACATCTGGGATTGGGACTGGGACTGGGACAGGGAGGCGTTGTCGATGGGGGTCTGGGTGCGGGCGGTGCCATCGTCGGAGAAGTGGAAGGAGCGGTTGCCATTGAGGTGATGGGCGGACGAGGGCGTCCATTGCTGATTGCCGTTCATGATGGGCGCGATGGCGGATGCGCTGCGCGTGCTATAGGGATGGCAGGCGTGCGGGCGCCATGCGGGTCTCTTGCGTGGTGCGGTCGCGCGGGCTCAGGGGCGTTTGGGGCGCCTAAAAGTAGATGGACGGAACGAGCGACATCGAGAGAGATGGCAGACGGGGTTTGGCGGCGAGATCGATGGGGATGGCGGTGCGACGATGGGATGCGGTCGAGGCGATTCGCGTGTCGTTGATGGATGTGGTTAACTCAGAAACGCCGAAAAGGGTACAGGCGAGTTTTCCCTCAGGCGGCGTATGACCGCATTTGGCTCTGGGGATACCTGGGGCCGGCGGCCAGTCCTCGAGCCGGCAGGGCCACACGGTTTTTCTATCGCGACCCTGAACACAGAATCGGATTTGCAGCTCTCTCTAGAGTGCAAGGCCAATTTTTCGCATTTTCCCAATTGCCCTGGACGCTGTCGACGGCCAGCATGCCCGCGTCCGATGGGTGTACCTCCCTCCACAAAGGCCGTCTGCTGCACTGGTGCTGGGGCTAAGGTAGGGGAATCACGTGTCGGTACAAAGCCGCGTGCGTAGGTTTTGGTTTCCAGGCTGGTCTGCCAGCAGCACCAATGGAAGCCAGGATCGCGATGGAATATGCGAGGGGGAGTGGATTGGATTTCATTCAATGGTCAAAGAATGTCTTTGATGCGTAGTCTTGATCCCGTCCACCAACGACTCCCTTGTGAATGCTGTCCCTTGACCAACAGCAGTTCGTAGACTGCCTGCCTGCCTGCCTGCCTGTCCGCCTGTCCGCCCGCCCTTCTCTGCCATAGTACTCTGACCAGATCCTGGTCTTGGCACCAGAGCCCCACACTTCACTTGGGGGAATCATAAGCAGAAAGATGAGCTGATCTGAGGCTATGTTTGAAGATTTGCGACGACACGTCGTAAGCACAGGAGACCGTCTGGACGCTGCTGTTCGTCTACGGAATCTACAGCAGTTGTTACGGGCGTCTCAGGCGGGGCTCAGCCATTGGGACATCAGATCAACAATACCAGTTGGCACCTCCATCCGAGACTGAGGAGAATGCCATTCTGTCCCTGGGCAAGCCTGGGTAAGGGAAGGGAAAATAGCGAGGTCCATAGCGTGATGCTTCGCCAGGCGGCTCCAGGGCCCAAAAGCCCCCCGGTCCCCAGTAACGCTACCCCACTGTGGGAGCCTCCCCCCCAGCCACGCGGATCGCTACAGGGCCCCAAGCCGGGCAGCCTGTCAGTGGAGCTGAAAGCTGCTTCAGTTGGTCCCAGTGGAGGCGTGGGCTAGGTTGGGCGTGGGAGCTGTCCGTTTCCAGCAGACGGCATCTCACGGAACACGAGGAGCAAACAAGACACCTCTTCTCTCTCCCATCTTCTCTGTCATATCCACACGAGACCCTGAAAGATGCTCCTCATACAATAATACCCTTGAAAGCACTTTGCTGAGTCGAGTCTCACCATCTGAACCATGCGCATCCGATTGCCATTTGCAGGTCAGTTCCCACCCAGGCACGGCCAGAGCTGGAGCTGGAGCTGGAGCTGGAGCTGGCAGCCTAGAGCAGCTCGAGAGCGAGAGCGAAAGGCGAGGGCGAGGGCGACAGCTGGAGAGCCATTACAAGGACTTGTAACCACGTACTGACACTTTGAGTATCCAGGCGTCTTCTTCCTGCTCTGCCTCCTCGCAGGGTACGTCGGCCTCTCGTCCCTGCAGCTCGGCGCATATGTCAACGACAAGGTGCTGCACTTCCTGACCTTCTTCATCCTCACCATCGTCTTCTACTGGATCATCGACACCAACCGCCGCCGCACCCTCAACCTGACCCTCGTCGTCTGCACCCTGGTCGGCGGCGTCGGCTCCGAGTTCGTCCAGGGCTGGCTGCCCAACGGCCGCGAGTTTGACCTCTATGACATCGTCGCCAACGTCGCCGGCAGCCTCGGCGCCCTCGGCCTGTGCTCCTGGTACCACAAGCGCATGCTGGAGAGGAAGAGGGGCCGCAGGACATACGATGCGGTGCCCGGCGAGGACGAGGCCGACCTGGAGCTAGGGGAGGAGGTCGGCGCCCACGAGGAGGGCGTCATGTCGGCCGCGGGCAACGAGAGGTCGACGACCTTGGAGGAAGAGGTCGACAACTGGGACGAGAACGCTGTGGACGCCTGGGACGAGGAGGACGGCGATGGCGACATCGGGGCCTCGTCCAGCAAACCCAAGGAGACCGAGCACAATGGGGTTGATGCCGCAGATGCGAAGAAACGAGTGGACTGAAGAACCCATGGAACCGACATTCTTTTACGGGACCCAACGGCGTTATGATACCTTTCTCATCTGGCGTTCAGGTAAGGCATGTGGACTTTTCTACGGCTGCGGATCGAGGCCGTAGCCTCGCACGTGTATGAGTTAGATGAGCATTATGAGATCAAGATCGGTTTGAAATCGCACAAGCACAGTGTCTCATGAAACGTGATAGGGCAGCCTCAAAACCCATAGCAGGACAAGTTTGGAATGTGACCAAACTGTGGCGGTTAGAGTGGGAAAGCTGTGCTCGAGCTTGTTCAATGACGCTTGTTTGCACTCCTCCGTAACAAGAATCTGCCAAAAGACAATTGAGCCAGTTTCCATAGGGTTAATTCGAATGGGTTCCCGGTCTACATTGACATGGCTGGAATAGACCAAACATCACAGAAGCTCCATAGAGAAACTTGCTTTTTTCGACCTGCCCACCAATCCCTGCTCACCGGATCCTCAGGGTCTAAGGTCTGTGCGACGAGACATGTATACTCCTGTATAAAGCCAACGTTCATACAATGCCGACAACCTAAGAACAACCAAGGATACAGCATCACAAGATGACGAAAAACAGGCAGCCCGAGACTAATCCCACCCGAAGCACCACCCAGCTCGCTCCAGGGCCATTTTCAATTAGTCCAGAGAGCTTCCTCGGCAAAGGCTCGGGACATTCCGACTGACGAAATCGGCTCTAAAGCAACGCAACAAGTAATGCGGCAGAGAATTTTCTGTAGGATGGCAACGGAATCCTGGGCGACCGCTTTTGAAGTATAGCTATTGATGCTTGGTTCCCGTTGATTATAGAGTTATACACCTCAGCCAGACTCTCTCTAATTCGTTGCCGCTTTGTCCTTTTTTTCCTTTAGCACCATGGCGATCCCTCCAACCGCTACCAACGGCCTGAACGGTGTGGCCACCCCCAAAACGACCCTAAACCGAGCAGCCGAAGTAGAAGATGTGATTAGGACCCTGGCCATGTGGATATTCAATACTCCAGCTAACCTGCATGCTAGCTCATCGACGCGGTCAAGTCTCTCATCACACCCTATATACAGGCGGCAGACGACGCAGCATCAACGAGGGCCACGGGGAGTAACACCTCCTCCGCTGAGACTAACGGCGCTACGTCTCGCAATGTTCTGGTCGAAGCTCACTCGCCCAAGGCTCTTGTAGAGCGTCTAGCCTTTTCACTGCCACAGAAGGAGGGAAGGGGACGTTCTGGATTACTGGAAACCATTGAAGGAGTTCTCAAGTACAGTGTCAACACCTGGGACCAAGGGTTCTTGGACAAGCTGTACTCGAGCACCAACGCTGTATGGTCTTTCACCACATCTGGCTTTCTAATAAACGTAGCTAACGGTCCTTTCTACCTTTCTAGGTCGGAGTGGTTTCAGAACTCCTTCTTTCTGTTCTCAATACCAATGCAAGTACCCCCCTGACACGTTTTTCCCGTTGCCCCTGGTGCCTTACCCCAGCCAGACTCACTTACACAGATGCCAGGTCCACATCTACACCGTGTCGCCGGCCCTGACGCTGATCGAGAAGAGCACCGCCAAAAGCCTGGCGCAGCTCTTCGGCTTCACCGGTCCGCGCGCCGGGGGCGTGACCTGCCAGGGCGGCTCGTCGTCCAACCTGACGTCGCTGGTGATCGCGCGCAACACGCTGTACCCAGCGACCAAGACGGACGGCAACGGCGCCCACGCCTTTGTCGCCTTCACGAGCGCCCACGGGCACTACAGCGTCGAGAAGGCCGCCACCACCATCGGCCTGGGCTCGAAATCCGTCGTGACGATCCCCGTTGATGCCTCGGGCCGCATGATCCCGTCCGCGCTGCGGAACGCCATCGTCACGGCGCGAGACGCTGGCAAGACGCCGCTGTACGTCAACGCGACGGCCGGCACGACGGTGCTGGGGTCGTACGACCCGTTCGAGGACATATCGGCCATCTGCAGGGAATTCGGCCTCTGGATGCACGTCGACGCGTCGTGGGGTGGCTCGGCCGTCTTCTCGACGGCGCAGCGGCACAAGCTCGGGGGAGCCGGGCTCGCGGACTCGATCACCGTCAACCCGCACAAGATGATGAACGTGCCGCTGACATGCTCGTTCCTGCTGACCAACGACGTGTCCGTCTTCCACCGCGCCAACACCCTTCCCGCGGGCTACCTGTTTCACGAGAACGGCGAGGACGAGGGCGCCGAGGAGAAGGAGTTCTGGGACCTGGCGGACCTCACGCTGCAGTGCGGCCGCCGGGGCGACGCCCTGAAGCTGGCTCTGGCGTGGATCTACTACGGTGCAACAGGGTTCGAACAGCAGGTCGACCACGCGTTTGCAATGGCGAGCCACCTGGCGACGCTCATCCAAGAGCATCCCGAGTTTGAGCTCGTGTCGTCCAACCCGCCGCCGTGTCTGCAGGTGTGTTTCTACTACGCGCCGGGTGGACAGGTGGCAGAGGACAAGGCGGAAAACACGAGGAGAACGAGTGAGATGGTGAGGAGGCTGGTTGCTCGGGGGTTCATGGTTGATTATTCGCCAGGGGAGAGAGGCAGTTTCTTCCGAGTGGTGGTCAACTGCCAGACATTGCCAGGGACGGTGGAGGGATTAGTCAAGGCATTGGAAGGTGTTGGCAAAGATCTTGTGTCTCGGGAATGATAGAAGGTTTTGAGCGAAGAGCGCGGAAGCAAATACAGGCAATTAGGCATGGCAGTGTATTCGTCGCCTTGTGCAAAAGGGATAGAAAAATACATACGGTCTCGTGTCTGTAGTTATTGAAACACTGGTATATTCTTCTTGGCAGGCAATATTGAGACTTGAATGTCCGTACGAATTACTACAGTTGGTCAATCATACGTTGACGCTCCTCTAGAGCTTGAAGTCACGGTCTGAAAACATGAAGTCCAGTGAATGTAAAGTAAAGTAATGAAACCCCTTTTTAACCAGCGCGTGGACTAAATCGACTTTCAGAAAAATCTCAGCAGGAATTCAGTGTACCACAAACCCGACAACCTGAAGCGTCGAGATATTGTATGAAATATGAAATGCGATCTGAACCATCGCTGGAAGGCTTTTCATCAAGTCCAGTCACCCATGTTCGAGGTAGGTGTCGTGCTGTCTGAAGCTGGTGACTTTTCCTTGATAATAAAGGCCCTATTGTCAGCTGCCACTGGCTCGATGAGGAAACATCTCTGAATTTCGGAAATTGAAGCAAAGAATTGTGTCAAATTGCTCCAGCGTCTTCGGCGCCCACCAGTCCTGCCACTGCGACTTGGAGGCATAGGCAAAAGTTTGCGAAACGAGACATGTTGCAGCCCCGGCTAAAAAAAGCGCATTATTTGTCCCAAAAATTCGGGAAAAGAAAGGTCGAAGTACTCTGGTAACCAGAGTGCATCGGGAATTGAGCCCGATGCGGGGGTCGAACCCGCAGCCTTGAGATTAAGAGTCTCACGCTCTACCGATTGAGCTAACCAGGCCGATTGGGGATTCCAACCGGGCACACCAGACGGTGCTGCTGTTGTTGGGTCGGTGAGGCTTGTCGGTGTCCATGAAGCGTGGAGAGGCCGTCTGGAGTGTTTGTGGGTCCTCGAGGGAGGCCTAGCCAGCAGGGATGGAGTCTGCATGCAAGCGGCAGGCTTGGCAGGCAAGGGTGTGCTCTGGTCATTGGCTGGCAGGCCGGGAAATAGTGTCAACGGCGAGCCCAGAGCGGAGTGGCTGAACTGTATGGGATGTGGTCCATGCGCAGGATGGGCGACAGCGGCGATTGTACGGTGTCGTGTGGGCGACGCGTGCGTGAAGGCGCACCCTGGAAACAGAGAGGTTCTTGATGACGAAGACGCCTCGAGAGGATTGCACGCCGTAGGACCTGTTGTGTTTCGTGACAGAGGCCCTGTGCTGAAGGGTTGACTTGGAATGATCGCGAGAACTGGTGCAGATCAGGTTCTGAGAGGACTCAAACGATCAAGTCCAGACGACAACCAGCAAAGACGCCAGCGTATGCAATATACCGTAGCCCAAGACTAAGGCGAGCTTCGCTTCGAAGCCATCTATTATGTTCGGTCTGCATGATTTGGACGTCTTTGAGGTTCAATCGCGACAGCAGAGACTGCAAGCAAGTCGAACGTCTGATGTCCTTGGGTGCTGGAAATACTAGTAATTCTATGGTCGGCAGTTTGTGCTTGTCTGCCTCGATGGGCTTTTCGCGACTTGTTCGAGGATTGAATTCGATGAGCCGTGTACTTGGCATGGTCTAGGCGTGCCAACCATGTTGAAATCTGCGGATCATCATGACTTCGGGTTGCGCAACAGCGGCTCGCTGACGTTGGCGAATCGTCCAGTGGCTGAACCCAATTCGACCAATGCCGGTGCGAAAGGTCGGGCACGCTGGCGGCCATGCATGAGACTTTCGAGGAGAAGCTGGCAGGTAAAGCTCAAAGTCCAGGTTTGCTGTGCCGTCTGTCATGGAGAGGTCATGGGAGCAATGTACCCGCGTTACCGCATTGTGACGAGTTATGAAGTCAGCTTTCACAACATAGGAAGTTTCGTCCAGCTATGGCTGGAAGTGGTAGGGTGGAAGAGCTGAAGTTGAAGTTGAGACAAAATCGGCGTGACATGACGTGGTGCGCGGTTGTTCGCGCGTTCCTTCCTGGGTTGCGCGTCAGAGGAAGGAGCGCGTCCGCGGCAGGCATCAGACACCTGAGCGTACATTGAGGCCAGACAGGTAGTGATGCCGTAACAAACAAACCACTGACTGTATCCTCTTGCCCTCCATAAACGACCTTGGATGGAGGTGTCGTATCAATCTCTTACCGACTTGGACCCTCGTTGATTGCCCGAGCCCTTTTTCAAAAAGGAAATACATGTGCTACCCCTTCATATATACTTTGTTTGCTGACTCTCCCTCTTTATACTACGCAATCATGATAGCTTCTCATCACCGCAGATGCCTACCAACAAGACTTTTAACGTTCTTGCTTATTCCATCCGTGCGCTTAAACAGATTGTTCTAGCTATCTTAGACTTATTCTTGTTAGGTAATGATCTCTTAGAAGAGTTGAAGGTCAAGCACCCTATGCCGGGTATGATGACCCCTCCCTGGTCATCGGCTCTACCAATATAGTGTAGCCTTTGATTCCCTCATCGCTCAAGGAAAAATGAACTCTGAATCACGGGCCGATCCCTTGCTTGTCATACCACACCCCCTTCCGCGCAATCAACAAATTGTACTCTGGTTCGTGATTCAATTTCCGAGAAGGCCGGAAGTTCGCGTGGGTTCGTGAGGGCTTCTGGATATCTTCTGGGTGGAGCATGTTGCTTACGTGGGTAGTTATGGAGGTAGAATTCCATTCGATAGAGAGGAAGACCGCAACTGCAAGGTCTGCCACAGCGCTATAGGCGATGGCGCTGCAATGATCCAAACGTACTGCAAATTGTGAGCTACATCTACGCCTTAACTGAAGAGCGATGGCAAAGACGCGCGGGATTATGGATATAAACACAAAGGGAGGCAATAGACTTGCTCATAACTGCAACGCGTAGTTTGGGAAGTGTCTACTACCTATCTCCTAGAAATGTGTAAATCACTCTTTTAAACGCTACTCACTGACATCTAATCAATATTTATAGACTTGTCATAGCCTTCAATCTTCCCACATATGCTCTTTTCGTGATGCCGATGTTGGCAGCACTTTCGAATCCGTGGGGCACACCACTGAACATGTGAAACTCGACATCCACATCGGCAGCTGCCAATCTCGCGGCAAACATGGCACACTCGTCCCGAAACAAGTCCAGGTTTCCAACGTCAATATAGGTAGCGGGCAAGTCACTGAGGTCCGTTGCGCGACTGGGAGCGGCGTATGGGCTCACTTGCGCATCGGCCTTCCCTGCTTTGTCCTTTCCCACGTACGCCTCCCAGCATAGCACGAGGCTTTCGTAAGGAACTGTAGCAAAAGATGCTAGTGCGCTTTGAGGCGTCATGGCTAGGAGTGATCGGTCATCCAGCATCGGGTAGATCAGGATCTGTCGAGCCAAGGGCGGGTTGAGTCCTCGATCTCGGGCCAAGAGCGAGGTTCCTGCTGCTAGTCCACCGCCGGCGCTGTCGCCCATGAGCCCGAGCCTTTTGGGGTCAACTTTCAGCTCGGCTGCGTTTTCAGAGATCCATTTCAATGCTGCATAGCAGTCTTCGACTGGCGTCGGGTCTGGATGCTCCGGCGCGAGACGGTACTCGACACCGAAGAGCTGCACACCTGAGTCCGCAGCCAGCTTGGCGATTTGCGGTGCGAAAATATCGACACTCGCAGCCACCATGCCACCGCCGTGGAAATACAACCATGCGGGCAGAGGGTCCTGGCTCGCCGTCTGCTCAGCCGTTGCAAAGCGGGTGATATCAATCTCCACGCCGTCATGCGAGGCTACTTTATGCACCGTCCGCTGGATCGTAGGCTGCTCTGGTAGCTGAGACCACACGGCGCGCAGCATGGTGTCACTGAAATGGCGAAACTCTAGGACCGTATTGTACACCGGCACACGGGTCATGTCGCCGAAGGGTCGCCGCCATTCGGCATACTCAGGATCCCAATCCAGCTGTCGGGCTGTGTGACTGTTGTTAACCATGTCTTCGGTTTTCAAATATAGCTGATAACCTGCAAAACAGGTGTGATGTTCTCAGGTGCTGGCAACGTGGTCTTATGACTTGGCCACCTCACCTCGTTCCGCTTCTTCCAGTTATGATCAGCCGCAGTCACGGATGATCAGACACCTCCTGTGCGGCCGTGTCTCAGTAGGTTACTTCGCGAGAAAACTCAACAATCAATCATTCATGCGTTGGTCTCAGTTAAATGCAAGTTCTAACAGAACACCGTGAGTGCGGTACTCCGAATTTCAACGTCGTCGGTGCCTAAATCCTACCTGTCAGCCACTCCGGAGCATTGCCCATTTGGGCGTCCCGACTCCACAAAATACCGAGGTCGGAATTGGGCCGAGTGGCCAAGATTACACATTCGGCATCGGTAGTTCGACTTCATAGATGCCAAAGAACGGCAAACGGTTCTTTCTATAATGGTTTCACTTTACTATAAGCGCAGTCACCAGGAAAATGGCTGGAAACAAGAGGGGTGGGTCACGGCCCAGCGCGACCGGTTGATCGCGTACGTGGACATTGGCCAGCGAATACCGGGAGGCCGTGTTCTTGTCCTTTCTCTCGCCAAAGTTCAGCCCCTACATATCTATCTACCAGATCAATTAATGCAACCATCTATATTTTTTGGAACCCAAGTTACTCCACAAGACAGCTACTCTCAATCCGCGAGCTGCCAAATGAACATGCGAGTCCAACAAGACCGCGGCAGATACATACATCACTGGCTCAGTATCATGCGTAGAAACTTCTCATGGCACCAGGGGAGATGACTTGCAATCGTTTGAGTAGTAGGATCCAAGTTACTTAAAGCCGTCCAGTTGGTCCACAATAGACGCCTTACAAAATAATCTGCCTGCTGATGTCATATCAGTTGCAACAGTTCCCCAATCGACTAGGTTGAATGGATATAATTTGAAGTATCATGGTCTTGGCTATCGAGTTTACCAGTGAAGTGGTTTGTAGCTGATGGAATAACCACGAGATAGCCAATCGATACCAGTCAATCGACTACCGTGTCTAGCATATTTGAGGTCCGTCTTGGTGCCAGTCCTTAAGATACAGTATACTGGGCTCGAAACAGACTACAGGCCTTAAGCCAGACTTTACTTCGCGTGTGATATCAGCAACTTGAGTCACAGGAAGAAAGGCGTCCAACTGGAAATTAAATTAAAAAAGGCTATGATTACGATCTCTCGGCGCTACTTTCCCTCGAAGCAAATTGGCCGTGACCGTCAAGATGAATCGTACAGGCCATCGCGGTGTCCATTCTACCTTTGCCCGTGGTTTCCTTATGGACGGTAAGTCTGCCGTTTCTCAGCATCTGCCACAGCACCTTGTGCATTAGCTCGGAATTACTGCAGTTTGCATGCTGTCCAGTATCTCCTCGCACGCCTGCGTCATCAGCTCCTGTCCAGTGGCATCGTCCTTCAGGTCTGGATGCATCGATTCCCAATCGCCCGGAACGCTACCTCTTCGTAGCCGTTGCACTAGCCTACGCCTCTGACGACAGTACAGAACCTACGCTCTCCTGATATGTGCAGTCGTCCCTCAGCCGCCCTCTCAAAGCCGCGGCCGTGGCCTCAAAGCTTTTCAATAATCTTCAAGGGATTCAACCGCCAAGGTTTAATCTCATCTGGAACGCTGCAGATCCTCGATGCGGCCCGAGGCGTAGCGTCGGAAACATCGGCGATGGCTAGCCCCCCCGGCCCACCCCAGACATCGTGTATTGGGCGACATCACACTAAGACCATTTCCCGATGCTAACGAGGTAATTGTCAGCTCAACATAACGATTTTTGGCGGCAATCGTCGCGTGGGAAAAGACTCATGACGTTGACTGCCAGTTGATCTGTGACTGGCCAAATATAAGCTCCAGCGCGAAACGGCTATCGCACGAGTACGTATCGGAGTGTACAGAGTGGCATGATTACCCCTTCCCGATCCATTATGTCTTCGAAAGAATGCATCTATGCTAGGATCAACTACAATGAAGAGCCCAATTGACCACGCTCTCGGGGTTAAGTGCGCAGCTTCCGTCTAAGGGTGCCTACGAGTCCCTCCTGATCGATTCAAAGCTTGGCCATGCCGTTCGATCTGCCTTATCGCGCAAAATAAAAGCGCATCTTCTTGGTAGTATTCCACTTTATCATAGCCGCCAGCGATATCTAGGTCATAAAATCAAATTTTGCGAAAGTCGGCAATATTACTTGGGTTGTAAGGCCTGGGCGATTGACCAAATGCAGCTCAGTGATACCAGCGTGTCTTCCAGTATCACTCTATCTGGGAGCTGTATGTAAGAGAATTGCCAGTGAACCTGGTAGTTACTCAGGAGTAAGTTCGCCAATGGTGGCAACGATCCGAACGTCGGCTACAGCCCCATCTCGACGACGCGGCACAAAGCCGTCTCGAGTGGGGCGCCGTCAAAACGACTATCATCCGCAGGGCATTGTCGATAGCTTTGTTTGAGCCACCGAGAAAGAGAGAAAGGTTGGTCATAGAGAATGATAATGGGCACACATTGGGCGGAAGGCAACCAGCAATTAGAAATGAAGTCTAGTCCTGTTGGGACGGACATCTCGCTGGCCAACAGGACAACACTATCACTGGTATTGAAAGGGTAATGCGACACTGGGAAGCCGAGTGAAATTGTATTGGCAGAGTGTCTGGTTTAGCCAGGTGCATATTATCAGGGAAGCTGGTAGCCCCAGGGAGTTTTTAGGTTTTGCTTAGCTTCGCAATAGTGGCCTATTCGAGTGATCCTTCTAATGAAGAGGCATGCGTGCCGCGGTACCTCGTGATTACCACCGCACGCAGCATTTGATTCTGAAATGTTACTAAATAATATGCTTGAAGCTCTCCTTGGTCACAGTGTCAGTCACTAGCTGGTGGTTGATGGCGAATTTGAGCTCGGAAGAAAATTTAACAGAGTCGCAGATGTACCGCACCAGGCATGCTTATAGCTACTACGCACTCGAGCATATATGCAAGCTAAGGCCGTTCCTACTGGCGTGAACGCTCATTTGCTGTCACACTCTTGGATTAATAATCTCTTCGGCTGGCCGAGAGGCGTCAGGAACCGTGTCTCGGCGTTTAGCGATCTGTATGAAGCGTGATAGGCAGTTCTCTTCCCTGAGATCTCAGATATCCCCAGGCTACACAAGACTATTTGCGGCATATTTGGTATGGATTTCAGTCAATAGGCAATTTTAGTCAGCTCGGCAAAGGCGATCGAAATAGGAGCTCAATCTTTTGCTAAAGATAAGCGAATAAGATAAGGCCAAAGGAGCAAAAGGTACTTTGCGACCGCAGTGTACTCCGTACGCCAATCACTGCCATGTTTCGGAAATAGCACGGTTTGGAGATGGTAACTCTACACAAGTTGAGGCCGGCATCTGGAGTAAAAGGCCAGAACCTCAGGAGCCGGAGCTCCCTCCGCGAATCATGTCTTTGGGTATGCCATGGAAAACGTGGGAAGACGAGTGGCCGAACTACACCCATAGGAGATAGCTCGGGTTGCCGGGCCACATTACGTTGCACATAGTAAACGGAGGCGAATAATCTCATCGCGATGTCATACCACGCACGAGCCACATCAAAATGCCATGTTCTCAATCATGGGATTTCGAGAGAACCAGACCTGGCAGATGTGCTGGCTAATCTTCCTTCGGAAACGATCGGCACAATAGCCTTGGGCCCGCCCGCACCATTTCCTAACAATGCCCGCCCTCCAAAGCTTGGCATACTTGAGGATGCCAAAATTTGAGATGAACACAGTAACACTGTCGACATGTTTAACGTGCCCTCACGGTTGCGATCCAATTGGCTTCCACACACAAAGATACAGCAATAAGAAAGGCCGAGGGGCAATCCTCCTCCAGAGACCCCGAGATTTACGCCAGTATCAACGCCGAAGGGAATTGAGAAAATTGGAAAATTGTTAAGAGGTCATGTACTCCTGGAGTTTCGGAGTGCGAGAGATGGGGTAACGGACAGAATGCTCCGTCGACGCTAGTGCGACGACAGGCGGTAGCAAGGATAACGACAGGGCTTAGGCCACGCTGGGTCTTCCTGCTGTGCAGTAGTTCCGCACTGCAGAAAGTGATGTCAGAAATCGAGTTTCCCGAGGCGATCGGGAGTTCTGTCTTGTCAAGGAGCGCCCAGAAACAATGACATTCGCACTAACGACCCAGATATCAGGCACCGTCGGATGGTCGGCTGCTGTTTCTGTGTCGGACCACGTTCCTGTCCCACAGGAACGTGGTCCCACCTGTCTGGAAATCCCCCAATGTCCATTTTGGGAGCCACTTACGAGTTACGGCCAGGCCAATCTGATCTGATTCCCCCTGGGCTACGCATTGGACGCGCTCGCGGCGGTGCGCGAGGATGGCCTGGCAGCCTGGTCAAACCCGGTACCTATAACCTAGCGAAGCTCTGGAGCGGGAGCAGTTGGCAGTCTCAGAAAGGTGAACTACCAATCTCCACAATTTGATGAGAGCAGGCAAGCCCCCAGCCCTGCCCCAGCAACCTGGTTCAGTCCATCGTCAAATCACGAAATGGCGACTTCAATTCGACGTCGATAGCACCTTCTGGGGTCCTTGAAGCTGAACCAACAAGCACTTGCATATGTCCTTGACTCTTGAATCTACGTAGACGACGCATATAGACTGCTAGGCCCTGGAGCTGAACTCGCAGGCCCTGCGGCTCCAAAGCATGGCCGAATCATCAGTATTCCGTCATTCAATACGACGAGAGGCAGCGCGTTCCCTTAGACACAGCAAAATGAAGTGAGCCCTAACCCAGGTAGCTTGATAAGTAGGGTTCAACGGTATCTTGGCAAATAGATCGGTTTTGTTTCCGTCTCCCATGCTGCCGAGGGGAGAAGCAGGCCAGCGCGCAGGGGGACTAAAAACCCGGAAGTCAAATGCCACTCACTCACTTGCTATATGGGCCTCGCTGCCACAGCGTCCAGGTAGAGGAATAGACTTTTGGCTATGCGTCGGCCATCCTTGCAAACAAAAGGTGGGCAGTCGCGTCCTAATGTCAAAGCTACATCGGTACGGGGCCTGCGTCTGCGAAAGCTTCTATGCGTAGGCGGCCGCTTGGGATCCTATTCGACGCTGCAACCAGACCGATTTCTGTTACACGAAAGGCACACAGGTTACAGGGAGCCTGGCGACTCGGCAATCGAGGAATGGACTGCCAATCGATGAATGTGTAGTTATCGGGGATAAGAGGCGGGCCCCTCACTGCAGGAGAAAAGGGCGGCGCATGGGGTAGATTTGTACTGGAGGAGCATCACAGCACAATTGCCAGAAACGGTAAGCATTTCAGCGTGTCTAAGCTCGAACGAGAAGGCCGGCGAAGCAGAGGCTGAACTCGGGAGCGACCGACAGTGAGTGGGAACTCAGCTCTCGTTGGGAAACGTGGTCACAATGCATGTAGAAATCAAGTGGGACAAGTCGAAGAGGAGAAGCACCACAAAATGAGGTAACTGTTACAGCTTTTCTACGTTTGTTCTGCGGAGGGCCTCTTGTGCCCTGTGTGAGCAGGAGTGAATTCTATGCATGTGGGGAAGACATACTCGAGCCTGACCAAGCAGCCAAGGTACTGTAGTTGCCAGCCCAAAATGCTGCCACCGGCCATTTGTGTCCTTGCTTCTGAGGGGGAACTATCGCTTCTTAGACTTCAGGACTAATAGCACCGGGTGGTGCGGAAGACTTGGGGTTGGTCAACCATTGGATGCCCACGACTGTGACCTAGGCAATTATTGGGGGTTAGTCATGCAGTCGAGGGTAGAAGGTACCTTGCTGCTTCGGGTCTCGCGGCGACAACACCACGCGGCCTGCCACCCTCCCGGAAGTATAGGCGACCTCTGGCTTTGTCTGGATGCACCACCGCACCACGACTGCGCCCGCATATCCAAGGCCCCGGCCTAACTTTTTTGGAGGTAGGGCTTGGCTTCTCCAAAAAATGCAAAGCAAAAGCAAGATGCCGCTAGACTGGGTTGGGCGGCACCCAGGCGAGCCAGCTAGGTCGGCAGCTTTGGCCAGGCTGCGGTGCCGCAGCGCAGCGCTGCCTACTACGGTACTAGCAGTACCTAGGCCGCTATCTGCCATGGGGGACGTGGGACTGCCTCTTTCGCTGGCGGCACCTCAGACTGCTAGCGCCGCGCAGCCGGTCTCCGAGCGAGCCTATGCTTCTTGATCGCGATCGATCGCCACCGCCAGCATTCCCGCATCGAACTACCTGGGATCAGCTCAGCACATGGTTGATCGATGAAAATGGTTGCTGAGTACTTGCAGACGCATGCCGTTCTGTCAACCCAGGCCCGGAAACCTATGGCATTCTGACCCCTCTTTGCTTGTACCTCCCCTAACACCAATGTGTCTTTCCATGGGGTTGTGTCTTGGGCCTGCACTGATATATATTGTTTTGCGCCCCGTCTGCTCCGCGCGTACATGTCCCGTCGTTCTTGTTCGCATTCTCCAAAACCACTTGACCCTTGTCACTCCCAACTATAGCATCTTAAGCATCTGGACAACTCAGGTTCACCACCCCCTTCCATAGGCCATTTCAAACAAAGCCCACCAGCCATTCGGGACTGCCAGTTTACCATACATAGTGTGCGAAGCTCGCCAGGTTAACGACACACACTACCCGCGCCTCAACCACACGCCAATAGCTGGCTGCATGTTTTGCGAATCTGCCGCCGCCAGCCACCTACAGGACGTCTCACTGGGCTTATAGCCAACCACTGAATCAGACGACAGCACAGCCATACCAAACGCTGTTGCCATCTGGAACATCCGGATACCCCGCTGTCTCTAGCACCGAAGGTTCCTAGACCTCGAGAGACTGCGGAATCGATCGACATATATACCCAGACACAAGAAACTTCCGCACAAGCAGTTTGAGGCCGTTCCATTACCTCATACACAGCACAAACGACCACCGATCGCGTTTGCACCCCAATTATTCTTTCGATCTCGTTCGTCATCGCGCATTTTCGATGGGTAAACGATCTTTGTCCACCAAAGAAGCCATGCCTGCCAGCGAGCGAATCCCGCCGGTTAAGGTGCAGAAGGCAAGTTTGCATTCCTATTCTTCCCGGTCTCCGCGCTGGGACGGACCACTTTGGGTCCGGCTTCGTTTCTAACCGATCAAAATTAGACCGAGCGATCTCATGAAGAGAACCAGGAGAGAGCATACATCGCAGCGTCGAGACGCGCCGACCGAAGCCTGGAGGCCAGAGTCCAGTCCGCCAGGATGGCATCCGAGATCCACCGCAGGCGGACGGGCCGGGGTCTCAAGGTCACCGAAGAGATTGTCATCAAGGAGGAGATGTACGAGGAGGAAGAGGATGATCTGCCGAGACAGTTCAGGTATTTGACGCAGCACCTCCAAACCAACTCGCCCGCCATGAACCAACGGGTCAATGCCTACGTTACGACGCAGGCTGCCATGGCGACAATGGCAAGGTACAACGAGGTCAACCGTTTGTTCAGCGAATCGTTCCCAACAGCTGCGGCGTACCAGCAGCAACTCAACTCGTCCGTCTACATGACACCCTTGATGGACAACAACAACAATAACGCCCAATTCAGTCCTACCTCCCCAACCATGCCTTCGCCAACCACCCACGGTGACAGTTCAGTCTTCGGCATGGACAGACGCATTTCCACGGCTACCAATGCCAGCTCAACGACGACTGCGCGCGGCACCTCAGTATCATCCCCACCGGCCTTGTCTCCCGGTTCCGCCACATTGGAGACGCCAGAGTCGAGATCTACGCCGTACCAGGCTCCAGCCCAGGCGTTCCCCAATTTTGATCCTCAACTGAACCAGAACACATCGTCTTTCACGTCCGAGCTTCCGAATGAAATCAAGATGCTCGGTATGGCCAACGTCGACCCAAGCGACCCAATGGCGCCGTTCTTTTTCGGCGGCAACCCCTCGGCTTACCAGATGTTTGGGCAGCACCCAGAGAGGACGAAGCCCGAGCTGAGCCTGCACACCTCTACTATCCCCGAGCCTGCTGGCGACCTCGCCTCGCCCCAAGACTCCCTTGAGCCATTCGACGAGTCTCTGTTCTCCCCAGTGGAGTCGTTCACGGGTCATTTTGACAACTTCTCCACCATGGGCACCCCTGCTGGCGGGATGAACGAGAACACCTGGGATAATCTGATTGATTTTGGTTCGGAGCAATGATTTCTATTTTGCCCCCAAGCATATGAGGGAATGATTTTGAAAAGTCCGTTTCTTGATGATACCACGCATTAGCGACCTATTAGGGTTTGATGCATTTGCGCGGGCATATGGAATTTTTGGTCGTTTGGCGTTCTCGTTTTGCTCAGTCTCGCTTCACTACTCACTCAAAACCAAGTGGCTTTCCAGGGATCTACGAGATTCGTTATTCTTGTTTCACGGGTGCCGGCCCTGTCGCCGGTATGAGCACACTTGGTAATGTCTGGAAGACGATATGAAACGGGAATTTGTTTGCCTTTTTTTTATTGTTATTATCTAATCCTAGTGCTCCCTCTCTGCCCACGGTGCTTGGAAGTCTAGGAGTCGTAGCCAGCTGTTTTGAGACAGACACGGTACGACCGAAGGCAACTCTACGGGATATTTTTATGAAGCCCGGAGACCTTCGAAGAGTTGGGGAACCTGAGCGGTATTAGCTGTTCAGGTGGGGAGGGTCCTACACTGTTGAGATCTGCAGACCTGGAACATGGCTGTACAGAGCACCAGTGATGGTTGACCCGGGCGTGAGAGATAGGCAGCATACATGCCACGAAAAATGGGAAAAGCCAGAATGGCAAATTCCCATGGTCAAATGCGCCACTTCTAACCACGGTCTTTCGGTGGCATGTGGATGGCAGATGAAAAAAAAATTCGATAATACGAAAAATAATTGCGAACTACTCCCAATATCTTCTTAATGCCCATAATCGTGTTTTACTATTGTCAGAAAAACGTAGCATTTGATCAGTATCTGCTCTCCTCGACCCGCGAAGTGACATACCACAGCACTGTTCCACGCCACCTAGGACGAGTCTCCGAAATCACTTTTTAAATTGGGCTTACCGACATTTGGGGGTCACTCAACACTGCAACCTACATCCTGAGCGGATGGCCCCTTGCCACCCAATCGCATCTCCTCCGCCCCGCGGGGTGAGCTCCTCCCTATTAGCTATGCGGCCTTACACGGTCCTCGAAGGAACGTCGTCCTTCGTGTGACTCGCAACACTTCCCTGCCAGACGTCCAACTTGTCAGCCCGAAGATTGCCGGATGAATGAATGAATGATCCCCGCATGCCCACTACGCCTAATCGACCACATCGCCGGAGCGTGCTCCGTATCCTGGTCGATAGAAGCAGCTGTCGAGGGACGTGGCGAGGAGTCGAGGACAACCTTCACGGATGGGCTCAATTTGGAGGCACTTGTATGGTCGTCGGCCTTCGAGGCCGTTGCATGCTGATTGGCCAGGTGCCATCTCGCATCGAATCTGGCCTACCACCCACACCACGACCAGGATGGGATTGCCATGCCAGGGGGCCCGTGGCCTCGCTCGCTTGGCTCGGAGGGTCTTGAGCACCGACTCCCGAGCTGGGGAGATCACCAATGGAAGCAAGCCCCATGCTTGCTTGCAACGTCAGAGTTCACACGTACATGCGGTGCTATATTTGCTTTTCCCACCTACTCTAACTAGCCTCTCTGGCGTGCGGCCTGTGGCACCCCTTCCAAGCCAGTCAGGGGTAGAGGGTAAAATGGGATGAACCAGCTCGCTTTCGGATCTGCGTTTCAATCGAGCGTGGTTCCAGATCTCGCAGCTCGTCTATCTGGCTTAGGTCAAGGGCGCCACCCCTGTCGTCAGTTTTCACTTTCTGTTTTCATTTCTCCAACGTTTTGGACAGGGATGAAGCTACCAGAAGCAATGCGGCAATGCGGGAGTCAATTTTGGGTCGACACCTGTGATAAGGGAACCTCCGGATACCTACCACCATCGAGCACTGGCAGGCCGGTGCAGGTTTACTCATGCTTACACATGTATACTGTAATGATACCAAGAGATTTTTGTTCACCCTAGGCGGACTGAAGCGTTCCGACCTTGTGGCAAGCCAAGTTCCGAGCGACATTGCTGGAGAGGTCTAAAGGAAGTAGAGCATACTGTCGTTGACACATGCTCGGAATGCCAGAAGAGAGCAATTACCGTGTGCCATTGCCTGCCTCTGGACAGGGGAGCGGCCTGAACCTAGTTGGAATTTCTCGCTACTATCCGATTACTGAGCAACTCTATCTCCGCCCGCTAGCCAACGCTCTAGCTTCGAGATATCGCGTCGTCCCGGTGTGAACTTAGTGCCCCAAGTGCCCAGCTTTGGTTTTCTCCGTGTTCAGGCAGCAGCATCCGTAAAAGGCTTGTACTAGAGACGAGGGGGTCAATTTGACGTCACAGGCACGGCAGACCAAGCTCGGGGATAGCACCGATTGGGTGGCCGCGTTTCTCGCTCCTGACGGTTTGGGCGTGCAGTTTGCAGTTGCATGGAGCTTCGAAGAGGCATGCATACTTCCAATGCAATGCAACTGTTAATAACAGAAGCACACGAAATTTCAATTTTTGAGGACTAGCAGTGTGTGTGTGATATCCGATAGAGTAAAACCGTGGTATACACTAGGTTCTGTCGAACGCCAGGATTGGGATATCTGGTAACATGTTTGTCACGAAGTAAAAGTCAAGCCCCACTCCTGCAAGTGTAGTAATCTGGCCTATATTTTGCGACTATATTCGATAAGCGTGATGTCTAGCCAGCAACTGAGTGAGAAGTTATGTGATCTAGGTCTGATGCTTCTGTGTAGATCGAAGGTCACGAGCAGATGGCCTGGTGATCCAAACCACATAGGAATACGGGCAAAGGCGCCGGAAGGATGAATGTGGTCTCGCGCATCACCATGCCTTTCAGCGATCCCATTTAGCTTTACTCATGATCAAGACAATACTTCGACGGTGTGGAGAACCTTTTAGCAACATCTTATAATGCGGAGCTTACTGAGCAAGGCCAATTTCTTCAAGTACATCAGCCTTCATTGTTTCAACAGTAATGACCATGAGATATATAGCGAGGAGCTAAATCAAGCCAGAAATTGTGGAAAGGAACGTGTCAACTGTCTTCTTTGCCTCCAAGTATACCATGATAAGGCATGCCTGAGCGGCAGGATTGGCCATGATGCTCGAACTTCTTGATCTTGACCCACCTGAAAATTAGAAAATCTATCTGCCATCTGGGCGAAGACTCAGTGGTTCGTTCCATTCTCATAAGTGGTCTCGGCGCGCGGTTAAAGTGAAGGGCCGTTGACCACGATACTTTCTTGTTGTCCTCTAGCTGAATAAGGTCTTGTCCAGCGAAGGGTATGTCAAAGGGATTGTGGGGTCAGGTATAATCAGAAGTCCAAACGTATGGTTCAATTCATGAAGATACTGAATCTTGTTCCTTTTCAAGGAGAAGGGAAAAGATGGGGATTATATAGCGGACACTGTTCACTGTCTCACCGGGCCTTCTGTAAACCTAATGCACTGCCGTGACAGAGTAGAAGCCAATATACCATCCTAGCCAAGCATTATATCGTCGCTGGCGTCAAATAGACAGGTAGCCATATCCTCTATGACAAGGGTGACTTCGAGAATAGATTCCATGTCTGCAGGAATACTAGCGAGACTTTGCGAAATATGACACTGGTTCGCTCCGTAATAGCTGGTGTCAAAGCACATGGTACTTGGGTCTTCATCAACATAGACGAAGGCCTCTCCGTGTATCATGAATGCATGAGCAATCGAAAAGACGCAGGTGTAACTAGGAACAATGGCTCCATCCCATCGTTGAACACCAGCTAGCTTGCTGCAAGTTCGAGAGCCGATGTGCCCTAAGTTGTCAGACAAACTTGGCTCCTTGGAGTAGGTCGCCGGTACGATTCACAATTATTTTTTTTTCTCATAAAGGCTCCGGCGCTTGCGGGATTGCTGACATTAAGCACCTCAGCAAGATAACATAGCTGCTTTCCCGCTACGATCGGTGTACTGTACCAGATAACTCTCGAATTCTGGGCGGTGGCCATCGCGAGACTTCAGGAATGAGATGCGGAGAGTATAGACCCCGACCGTCTGGATAGCCATTTATATGAGGCACCAGACGTGAGGAGCAACAATTCAAAATATCGAAGATAAACAGTTCAGCACTATAGCGTGTAATTATTATTATTTTTTTTTTTCGATCTGGAAGCCCGCCAGTGCTTGCCAGTCCAGTATTCTCCCTCTTCTTATCTGAGGCGTTGACAAGCCGAGCACGACCGTAAATCCTCACGGTTGGCGTTTTTCGTGATTCTGATGAAAAACGGATTGCCTTAGGTGATCCTGATACTTGCTGGGTAACTTCAAGCAGAGCCTCAGCCAGTCAAACTGTCTGTAATGCTTGCTCTCTATTCACCCATGAGGAGTTATCATACTTGTTCGATAAAATGAAGTCGACTTGGTTGTGAATATCCAATCTACGGCGGAGGTCTCATCACATGAATGCGACTGTGATGGGATCTCTTCAACTTTTGCACCCGAGAGCCGAGTGGCATGATCGTGATGAGGTGGTCGAGACGTGCGACCCCGCCCATCGTCGAAGGGGACCTGCTTCTTTCCTCCGTCCACGACGCAAACGCTTCTAGTTTATAGGTTAGATTCTGTTGGGGCAAGGTGCTGTTGGCCATGGACTGCCAGATATGCCCCCATTCCACCCTGACGAGAGACACGAAATGTTGAATTTAGACCTCAGTTGCCCTGTACCATACCTCGCAGCACATTGCCGGCGTCTTTCTTAGCATCGGGAGCTGATACTCGCTCTCTCACCCTGGAACACTGCCATCGAGCTAGGCTTCGTAGCCTTCACATTCCATGTGTATGTAACATATAAAACAATTGTCAATCCCCTCTACTTAAACACGTACGACATTCGTCAAAGTTGGCGGGTTTAGTAGCTGTGGTGCTTCCGTAGCAGCTTTAATGAGGTCACCAAGACATTCCATTTGGATTTTCGGTTGCCAGGGCCGACATATTGTTCTGGAATGGGGTAGCTGGAGTGGCTGAGGGCAACACGAACTCCATTATAAACCAGCTGACTGCATGCTAAGATGTGTCAAGACCCCAATCACAAACAAACCCTCACCCACGAGTCTCACGCTGGAGAAGTCGATTGAGGCTAAGCCGCCTGCTTTGGGCTGCGCTTCGAGGATTTCCCAGTTCGTTTCATCCCAAGCAACGACCTGAGTCACCTGTTGAACTCTTGTAGTCAACACTCGTAACATTCGAAAAAGACCTCTTGGGGAGGCCGGTCTAATCATCGTATATACAGAAAGCCCACCCATCCATCGCTTATTCGTCTAAATTCGTCGCTCGTACCCCGTCCACAAAAAAGCCCATTAACCAACGTGGCGCGTATGTATTCAAACCCAAGCAAAGCCACCCGACGACCCTGTCGTCTGCCATGCCCACCGGCGAGGACCTTTCATGGGGCACCTCTCCTTCCATTTGCCCGCCGCCCGTTGGGGAGGCTGGGCATGTTTATGAACTGCTTTCCGTACGGGTAGATGCCCAGCGGACGCTTCTTCGCCGGCAACGAGTTCAGGGCGTCCCACATCTGTATGATGTCGGCCCGCTTGGCCGGGAGCATGCTGTATTGCAGTGAATAGAGCACCTTGCGATGGATGGGAGGGACGAATCGGCCAGTTATGAGGCAGAACAGTACGCGCGGCGACAAGTAGTGCTTCCGTATACGGTTTCCCATCTGGAAATACTGGTGAAACATGGCAGTGAATGAGAGCGGTATGGGCTACATAGTCGGTCAGCACGTTTCGTATGCCACAGGTGCCTGTCCTCATTGACTAACCTTGAGGTAAATGACTGACGTCGGGGGGTGTGAAGAGAATGCAATGGAGGAATTAGAATCAAGTTTAAGTCTATCTTGGGTATCACGAAGTTCAAAACGAATGCCACCTGGATCAGGTAAGCGTCTGTGCAGGTCAGAGGCGATGACTAGTAACATACCTGGGAGACGCCGGGGATCCTTGACCCGGAGCATCAAGGCGAACAGTGGGAAATGATTTAGGCAAGAGAGCATCGTATCGAAAACAGCCTTGAGGGAGATGATGGCCATGCGTGCGACTGCAAAGTTCAAATAGAAGACCACGACCGTCGGGAGGAGGAAAAACAGCAGTGTGAACAGAATGGTACCCACGAGGAGCTGATCCAGGTCGTAGTCGCACGAGTCGACACGGTTCCGAAGCACGTTGTACTTCTTGCCGCGGAAGAGTTGGAAGAGGGACAGCAGGATGGTGAGCTGCCAGTGGTATATACGGGCGGAAGCAAGGTAGAAAGAGTATATGTGGATGGTGAGGATTGAGACCAGGTCTGAAAACATGGCAATGGGCATGCTGGCGCCGGCGAAACTGGAAAAGCCAATGAACCAGATGATGTGCGGCAAAAGGGGCTGGAGCGTAGTAATGCAGCTCGACCAGTACTCGATAACCCATAGGAAGAGATCTCCCAAGAAAAGAGCGAGCTCCTTGTTGAGCTTGAGGCCAGCAGGCCATCCCATGAGCCATTCTATGCTGCTATGCAGTGCTTCCACAGTGTACTGCCGGAGCAGAAGGCCAATCTGGTCGGCGACCCAGCCGGCATTGTCGATGATGTATGAACCTATAGCGATACCGATTATAACATCGTTCGCCACGAGCCAGAGGCTGTTATAAAAGCGGATGTAGTCAGGATGACTCGTGGTCACACTGGCCCAGTCGTTCTTCCGCAGGCGGAGCTTGACATATTGCATGGGCCAGTAGCAGAACTGCTGCAGGCGTATCTCGATCTGTTGTGCGGTGGCCGAGATGTCTTTCAGTGCGGGCGAGCTCGGCCTCAGGCGCCATTCCAGGATCATCAAGAAGATCTCGGCAGCGGCCCGGTGGCTGACGAGCGTGAGGATGAAGATGCGCCTAACGATGGGAAACACGTAGAGGATAATCTTGTCCCACACCCACAAGATGGCATCGTCACGCATCGTCGTGGCCTGCTCGACCACCCGTTCCGACACACTAAGCGTTCTCTTGGGTCGAGTGCCAATCAGGGAGACGTTCTTCTGCAGCAGGTGCTCCAGCTCCCAGGCCCAGTTTACCTGGTTGACGATCCTGGACAAGGCCTTGTCCTTCATCGACGGGGCGTGTTTGACGACCGAATGCAGCTTGAGCTTATCCACCAGCTGGCGCCGCTTCTGCCGGTGCCGTCGTTCTTGCTTTTCATCCTCAGCATCGGAGCCGTCGGACACTGAGAGCAGGGAGGGGTCCCCCTTGTCGGCGAGGGCCAGGGCCATGGGGTCGAGCGAGATGTACTGCATGCGGTTCGGGATCGGGCGCTCGAAGGAGATGGTCTGCACGCTCGAGGCTACCTGGCACTTGACTTTGGGTACCCGGAGCGAGGGGCCGGTCGTTGCAAGCACCCACGATGGCTCGATGATGAACTTGCCCTCGGGTGCGGACTCGGGGTTGGTGACACCCAGGACGTGCATGGAGCTGTGGCCGCACAACCTCTCGATTCGGTCCAGGTCATGAGGGGCGCCGCGGAGGAGGATGCCAGCCTTCAGAGCACCCTCGACACTCTTGGGCTGGCGAGGGAAAGTTGTCAGATCACAGGGCTCTGGTTGCAACAGGTCGAGAGGATGGGCGGAGGATAAGAGGCGTAGGTCTCAACTTACATCGACATGATCCAGCACGGCGACGACGACGACATCGAGCCCCGAATTCCTCCAGCCGACAATGACGCCAGGCAGATCGGATGTCGCGATGTCGGTCGGCCAGAACACTCGCATCAAACCATCATGCTCTGGCATGTCATAGAGGCCTCAGAAGACTCCTGGTCAGAAGGAGCCTCTGCGCCTGAGTTGTTCGCGGGCTGATACTCCGGCGCTGGGAGAGCGGGGATGCTGCAACATGGGAGAGTCCTTGGTCAGCTGTTTTGTAATGTGGGAAGGTGGAAGGTGTCTCAGTCGAGGCAAGGGGAGAGCAGTCGGGGTCGTACCAGTTCGGCTTCTTGTCGGGCGAGATGTTGCACGGGCAGAAGAACTACCAGAAACAGCAGGGTCAGGAGACCGAATCCTTGAGCGCTGCGGCACTGCGGAAGACGAAGGAGCGTCAGTCGAAGAACGAGGTGAATGTTGGGGGGGTCATTGGGGTGCGGCGACTCACGATGACGCCCTTATCCCATGCAAAGAGAGCGAGTTCGTAGAGGCGCGTCACAAGATCCCATCGAGCAGTACCGTAGCCAGCTACAAATATCGCAAGGGTGACGACGGAGAAGGGGTGCATAGATTAATCGACGGCGGGAGGAGGCGCAGAGGCATGCCCGGGGCCGTGCCGGTCGGTGATGGTCGCGTTCGTTGGAAGGGGGCACGAGGTTGGTGGTGGGCGGCCGGCCAACTCCTCGTGGCAATTGGGGTCGTGGATGGTGGTGGTGATGGTGGTGGTGGTACGGAGGAGAGCAGAGCAGGAGTAACCTCCAAGTATCCAGTATCCAGTATGGATGTCGACAATACAGTGTACCTTGGCTTCGGTAGCGTGTATGGCTGGCAAGACCGGTGGGCTTGCGTGGTCTAGATCGACGAGGTGAGGTACTTCCAAGGTTCCAAGGGGGACTGGAGCTTAGCGAAGCGCCCTAGTTGCAAGTGCCGCTTGCTAACCAGCCCACTGTTGTGTTCTGTTCTGCCCCGTTCGAGGTCCTGTCCGACTGACCGTCGACCTGGCTTTTTCTTCCTGTGATAAGCGACCGGCTTTTGTTTCTCAGCATTCAACGTGTCTCAGATCAGATAGTCGACACCGCATCCAGATAGCAGAAGCAGGGCTGCACAAACAAGCGAGCCGCTTCTAGAATGGAAGCTGGCGAGGTGACACCGGTGGGATGGCTCCGTGTCTGGCGTACAATAGTCCGTAGTCCTGGACAGCTCCCTGCACGAAGGCTCCCGGGGGTTGCTGTAGAGGGGGGAAAAAAAGAGCGCGGCTCGGGGGGATTGAGCGGGATTGGATTGGGTGGGATGGAATGAGATGGATGGCTATAGCGATGGGGGTGGTGGTGTGATTAGCGCCCCTTGCAGATGCGTTGCATAATGGCGCCGCCTTCTGCTGCTACTAACAGCCCACTGCTCTGCCTCCTGCAGTAATGTCTCGTAGCGAATTGGCCAGAACGCGGGTTACGCGTCCAATGTTATTTTCCAGCTAACTCTCGCCAGCTGTGCTGTTCTCGAATCTCCCCCCCGGGTGGTCCGATGGGAACGAGACTTGGGGATGCCGGGGGCCACGTGGGGGAAAGCCATGGTCGCAGTCCGCAAGTCCACAGTCAGGGGCGGCGTCGGGCTCTGCGGTCCGCCCGGGCTACCGTCGGGAGGCTGCGAGGCTCACTCACACGACAAGCTGGAGAGATGAGAGGAGCAAGTGTGAACGGAGGCAGGTGAGATTCCGCCCACCCATTTTATCAGCTGGAGAGGACAAGTGCGGCTCTGCGTAGATCGCGGGGGCCTGTCGGAGCAGAGACAACTAAATACGAGATTCCTGAACGCCAACCCATGCAAGCCCAGTCAGGACCAGACCAGACCTCAATGCGGATTACCTAACTCGTCGACCTCTCTCTTGCCGTGTGCCGAACGGAGGCAGCAGCCCACGCAGCAGCCCAAGGTCGGTCCACGCCCACGACCCGTCCAACCGTCCCTATGATGATGTACACGCCAAGGCAAGCCATGATAGGATTACTGTACCTACAGTACATGGTACAGACCTCCCAAGAACTATTCACAGTAGCCTACTGGGGGAAAGCGGCCACCAGCAGCACCAGCCGGGAAGCCGAACCAGGACTTCACTTTCGTTTTATATACAGAGCATCGTTCTCCTTGGTATCCTCTCTCGCCTCATCAATAAGCTTGTCGATGCCCTTCTCCTTGAGCACAACCTTGGGCCGTAGTTAGAGACACAGCCTAGCAGCAGATACGTGATGTAGATGGGTAGGCTGCCCATACCTTGAGACACTTCTGGTAGTCCTTGAACAGGTTGGCGCACTCGTTGTCGTCGGTCTTGCCGTTGCTCCGCAGATATTCTACGGGAGCAGTCGTGTGTTACTATGACATATGCCAACCCAACAACGGTCAAAAAGCTACTTACTCTCGCTGTACCACTTAAGGAAGCAAGTGTCATACCGCCTAGGCATGTCAGCGGGTGGCGCCACGATCATCCGGGCAGAACTGATACTCACTCCTTGACCTCGTTGCATTCTGGTGCTAATGAGGCCGACATGGCGAACGATCTCGGCGTCGTCTAAGGAGGGGAGAGGAGAAGAAGCTTGTGGCGGACTGCCGGAAGGGCTGGAAGTTGGAGCTGGAGCTGGAGCTGGAGCTGAATCTGGAGTGAACGTCTTCTCTAAGCTCTCCAGGGCTGCTGCCGGTGATAGCCACCCGCACGTCACGGAGAGCAGCGCCCAGCTGTCTGTCGGGGTGATGGGCAGCCTGGGCCGGCCTTATCGTTTATCTTAGCGCGTCTTCAGGGGACCCGCCTCCCGCCGTGAACCCCTGCCAGGCCTACCAGGCCTGCCGGAGCCTGCAGCTAGCACCTAATCGGGGGCCTTGACGCCGGCCGCGTCCTGAAATTTTGTTCGAACGTCGATACGCCTGAGGGACAGCCCAAACCGTCGGCCGACCAAGATCCAACACACGACGATTCCCCAGCATCGCGGCGTGTCCCCCCCGGCAAGCATCGCGATCATGGACTCCTCCCAGGACTTCAAGTCCCTGCAGGAGAAGATCCAGGCCGCCCTGGTCAAGGCCACGCGCTCCAGCAACCAGCTCGCCGCCGAGGATCTCAACTTCCAGCGCAGGAGCAACCCCGCCGCCGCCGAGCAGCTCGACGACGCCAGCGAGCGCCTCCTGGCCCTGTCCACCTCTCTGCTCAGGTCGGCCACCAAGGGGACCAGCGCGAAGCACCCGGATCTCGAGGATGCCGACGATGTCGACGTCCACTGGTCCAAGATCGTCGACGTGATCGACACCCTGCTGGAGAAGGCCGACACCTGCCTGGACGAGTACACAGGCTTGGTCAAGAGGAAGACGGCGCCGACGGAGGAAGTGGTCAGCATGAACCCAACCCAATCCCTTCGACTGTATACTGGCCTTGAGACTAACCTTTTATTGCGCGATAGGGATCACTGCCCAAGAAGACCAAGACCTTTGACGCCCTCGACCCGTCCATGCGCCGCGCCAACATCCTGAAGCCGCAGAATGCCTTCCAAGTGAAGCCCGACAACATCGATAACTCTCCCTGGAAACCGTTTCTGACCAAGAAGCCACACGCCACGCTGCCGCTGGACAAGAGCCTCGGCACGTTTAATAATGAGGAGGACAGCGTACAGTACGACTACCACATTTTCTTGCGTCACCTTGACAGACCCACTCTCTCGGAAGCGCGAGTGCCTTCCAGCCAGGAGGAATCAATGAAGCGGCTGCGAAGGAGACGGCGAAGTGTCCGCTCCTCGATGAGGAACCTAAGCGCGGTATGGGGTGCTGACAGCCAATTTAGATATAAACATCCTTACGAGACCGAGATCTTGAACCTCCAGTATCCGGTCTCCGTCTACCAGACTGCTGAGCCTATCCACTACCAGCCCGTCGAGTCTACCGCGGCTACCTTTGTCGACACATTTGAGGGCGTCCTGGACATGCTGGCCGAACTCAAGAAGGCCAAGGAGATTGCCATTGACACAGAACATCATGACTTTAGGACCTACACCGGATTACTCTCACTCATGCAGATCAGCACGCGAGACAAGGACTGGATAGTGGACACGCTGCAGCCCTGGCGACACAAGCTCGAAGTCCTCAACGAGGTCTTTGCCGACCCCAACATCATCAAGGTCAGTATCCTCGGGGACTGCCTAATTCAGGAACAAAAACTTACCATGACCAGGTGCTTCACGGAGCTTATATGGACATCATATGGCTTCAGAGAGACTGCGGTCTGTACATTGTGGGGCTCTTCGACACATTTCATGCAGCCGAGACGCTGGGATATCCCGGAAGAAGTCTCGCCTACCTTCTCAAGCGGTTTGCCAATTTCGATGCTGACAAGAAGTATCAACTTGCCGACTGGAGAATACGGCATGTGCCCCCCCGCCTTTCGATGCACTGACGCATTACTAACGAAACACAGACCCATCCCCGAGGAGATGTATTACTATGCGCGTTCGGATACCCATTACCTGCTCTACGTCTATGACTGCATGCGAAATGAGCTTGTTTCGCAGTCCAAGCAAGACAACCCTGACGAGAACTACATCGAACATGTCCTAGAGCGCTCAAAGGCGACGTCGTTACGTCGACATGAAAAGTTCATCTACGACGCTGAAGGCGGACAGGGCATCTTCGGCTGGTTCAACATGCTCATGAAGCAATCATCGGGCAACTTCAGTCGCGAACAATTCGCTGTGTTCAGAGCCGTTCACAAGTGGAGGGATGACTTGGCCCGCAAAGAAGACGAGAGCCCGGCTTTTATCATGAGCAATCCTGCCGTTTTCGATATTGCCAGACGACTTCCCCCGGACCCCAAGGCCCTGCATAGCCTCATACCCCACATATCATACGTAGTGAAACAGAGGATCTCAGAGCTGTTCAAGCTTGTCGAGCAAGCGAAAGCAGACGGCGCCAATGGACCCAGCCTGTCCGAGTTCTTCAGCCGCAATGCTGGAACTCCCACTCTAGGTATCGGGGCAGTGGCGCAACAGGTTTTCCCTGACCTGAGGAAGTCAGGCGGGGCTGGCGAGACGATAATCGACACCAAGGACTTGGTCTCCGAGAGCTCACTGCTATGGGGCGAGGTGCCGATCAGCACGCGATGGGAGGCAGATTCTCACGTCAACGAGACTGCCAAAACCATGGAGTTTGCCCTTCCCTGGGCCAGCTTTATGGAGAATGCGTCAGTCTCTGAGCCCTTGCCGTCTGTCCAGAAGCCTCCCACGGAGCCTGCCAAAAAGCTGGATCAAAAGCCCAGTGGCTCAAGCACCTACGATGACGAGTTCACTCTCAAGGCTGGTACGAAGCGAAAGGCACCGGAGCCGGAACCTGAGCAGGAGGAATCCGAAGACGACGACGAGAGCGAAGCCACACCGTTGAAATCCGGGTCGAAACCTGCACCCATCGAAGGCGACGAGATCTCCGTCAACAGCACGGACGAGGAGGAAGAGAAGGCGAAGCGAAAAGCGGCAAAGAAGGCGCGCAAGGAGCGCCAGAAAGCCAAGAGAGAGGCCAAGCTGGCCGCCGAGGCCGCTACTGAGAACGACGAAGAAGAACAACCTTTTGACTACAGCAATGCCGAGTCTGTCCTCAAGGCCCGACGGGGAGCCAAACCAGCAGAAAACGGCGGCAAGGGTGGGAAGGGTAAGGTCTTCAACCCGTACTCGTCGTTATCTGCCGAGGGTCCCAAGGGCGCCAGGAGGATGCACGGCGAGAAACCCGGCAAGACTGCTATTTTCAAAAAATTGTGAGGGCAGTCCACTATACATGCGAGGAGGGAGCGATTCTATGAACGGCCAGTTTCTGAGAGGGAAAGATAGAGAACTAGATCCAGCGCGATACCGCACACACTCGGGTGGTTTCCTGGGCATTCTGCATGGAAGGAAAAAGCATGGTAAATGCCCCCCGTCAGGGCAGAACTACTTGCATGGACATGGCGTTGCGGTTTGCAGTGTAGACTTGGAAGATACCATGAATGCATTTGATTCACTGTCATGGGCAGATGGATCATTTTGATAGTGCAACATTGAACGATTGTCATTGTGTTTTGAGTTTCCAGGTGCTGTGAAATCTCGCCTGCCCTGAAAGATGTTGGATAACGTGGACCATGTGAAGCCGTATGACGAAACAGAGGCATCCAGCTGGCGTGTGTAGCTAACACCGACCCATATGCTTGTAATAGGGGTGGGCAATGCGTGCAGCTGGACAAGAACTCATAATTCCGCGTACTTGGGACCCCTTGACTCCTACCGTAACCTCGTTTCCATAGGATACAGCATTCTCTTCGAAACGCCAACCAAGTGTTACGAATTCCGAAGGGCTTCCTGCGCCTCGAGCAGCTGGAGATAGACACCTACGGCAACATTCTCAATTAGCATCCCACTGACAAGAATGGGAGAGGAAGGAAAAGCCTCAACAAATCTTACCTGCGACATTCCACCGCACATCAATCGCCCGCAGCCCGCCCCTCAGCCTCTCCACGACGATCTCGGCCAGCCCCGCCCGGTCCCCGGCCCCGTCCCGGCACCGCTCCCGCATGTGGTACCCGCAGATGCGGTACGCGAAGAACAGCCCCCACGGCGACATGCCGGCCGGCGCGCGCCCCAGGAAGCAGTCGCGCTCCACGAGGTTCTGCCCGACGACGCCCGTGATCTCCTCCATGACCTCGCGGCCGCGCGCGGCGCGCTCCGCGTCGACGGGGTGGCCTGCCGCGGCGGAGGAAGGAGAAAAGAGCCGTGGCGGGTATAGGGCCACGAGGACGCTGTGAACAAGCGCGAGTCAGATACGATGGCGGCTTTCTTTCGCTTTACCCCCAATGAGCCTTGTACACGGGGCAACGACGAACCTGTAGATGAAGGCGATCTGGTCGTCGTCCGGCGTGTCCGTGCTCAGCGCCGCCGCCAGCATCGAGTTCAGCGTCCGGTCCAGCTGCCTCCAGACCGTGTCGTGCGCCGGCGCGGCGCCGGAGGCGTGCTGGAGCACCTGGCCCAGCAGCCGCGCCGCTTGGCAGAGCAGCGCGAACTTGCTCATGTGGTCCGTCAGCGGCGAGGCCAGCGGGATCGAGTGCTCAGATCGGACGATCTCGAGAGGCGCAGGTCAGCGTGCGGTACGGAAGACAAGCGGAGGCCGGTGTGATGTGGTGCAGCGAAATCACTTACCCCCTGGTCCCATAACGCATCGTCGGCGGGCAGAAGGTCGTCCAGGCTGGGGTCGGCGGTAGCCAGTGGTCTCCCGGGGCAGCCGATACTGACGAATCTACATGAATGTCAGAAAACAGTGGGCCAACTTGATAGAGAGCTCGAAAGGGAGGCACGCAGATGTACCGATCCATGATCACGATCGCCCACCAGACCCGACGCCTCTCCTCAACCTCGACCATGGTAAGGACACGCCTCCCACCGGTGGTGTTCTGGTTCGTGTTGATGCCTAAAGCATGGGCGTAGCGGGCACAGGCGCCGATCGACAGGTAAGCCGCAGGAAATATGCCGTGGCCAAGCTCGTAGAGAGCCAAGAGCACACCGGCCTGCATGACCGGGAGGGACAGTACTTCTGAACCTTCAACCGTCAGATAGAAGTGCTTGGCCGCATGATACAGTGCCGTTTGGGGATTGCGTGGCTTGCTGGGTGGTAAGGTGGTTATCAATTCGAGGCACAACAGTAGAAGCGCGACGTCAGGCTGGGACTGGAACGACGAGCGCAAGTGAACCTCATAGAAGCGCTTCTTGGATATAAAAGGCATCCACTTGTGAATGTGGCTAAAGAAGTTTCCGCCGGTCGATTGGATCTCATCTATCGTCCCCAAAAGTTTCAGGACATGAGAGGGAACGGGAGAAGAAGCCCGTAAGAAGTCAACTTGCCCGTGATGCAGCAGGCTCGGATCCAGGAACAGCACCGTCGGGAAGTCGACAGCTTGGACATCCACAGTATCGTCATTGTCATCGCTAACGTAGGGACTGGCCTGTAAATGCTCGTACGCCTGAAAAGGCGGTACTAAAGTGCGGATTTGCTCGGGTTTTAGGTATACACACTTGAGGTTCCTCCTACGTACGATGATGTGAGCCGACCTACGAACACGTCGTAGCAGAACGATGCGGGCGCATATCCAGCACCGTACGCATGACTGACCTGGAGCAGGAGAGACACTTGGGAAGTGCTTTGTTGCACTTCCTCTTTCGTGCCTTGCATGAAGTGCATACCTGTCTTGCCTGGTCCGCCGTAGTATTGTCACTCCCAGGTTTGTGCATAATGTAGAACATAAACCGGCGATACAGACACTTCTCCGCACCGTCTGTTTTCTGCGATAGGTGATGTTTTTGATGAAGGCGATGGTGGAGGTCAATACGGGTTACTACGCCGCAACGGCGGCCGTCGAATAGGGGGTGTCAGCGGCCGAGCTGCGGCCGCCGCTAGCCCGGATCCTGCGGAATTATAGCACAGGTACGAGTTACCTAAGACTTGAGTTGCGCCATATTGACTGGGGACCAATCAGGGTTATTGCTGGTCAATTGTAAGGCAGCAGCCAATCTCTGGCACAACTAACTATCCCAAAGTCGGCAGTGGGCATTGCAATGGAGTTTGGGACCGCGTCTCTGTGGGCTGTTTTCATCAATGCTGTTCTTACCACTATAAATATATGAGTCCCATTGACCAGAAGTCTATCCCTCCTACAGCTCATCCATAGCAGTAGCAATCTTCGTATACTTTCTTTTGCTTTTACCTGGACCACGACGTTTGCATGATCTGATCAACTGAATCGATATGAGTCGATACGCCGCTGTCCATGCCCATCCTCAGGGAGTAGGAGATGCCCGTCCCACGGCCATCCAAATAATACGTGACGAGGGCCTTGAAGGCAAACTCGTTGGAAAAGTAATCGTCATCACCGGCGCGAGTTCTGGGATCGGCCTCGAGACCGCGCGAGCATTGTCGGCCACCGGTGCGACCTTGTTCCTCCCCGCTCGAAATGTGACCACGGCCAAGGCTTCTCTTGCCGGAATTCTAGAGCCAGGAAGGGTCACCCTGATCGAAATGGACAATGCATCCTTTGCTAGCATTCGAGCCGGCGCCGCAGCCATTCTTGCGCAATCGAACAACCACGTCAACGTGCTCATCAACAACGCGGCCGTGATGGGACTGCAGGAGCTGACGTTTACCGAGGACGGACACGAGACACACTTTGCGACCAACCATCTAGGCCACTTTCTGCTATTCCAGCTCCTTAAGTCCGCCTTGCTCCGCAGCTCGACCCCTGAATTCCGGTCTCGGGTAGTCGTTGTAGCCTCGTCGGGACAGCGCGCCTGCGACCTCAGCGAAAGCGACAATTACAATTTCCAAAAGAGTGAATACAACCACTCACAGGCGTACTCAAATTCGAAACTGGCAAACGTTTACATGGCCAACGAGCTGGACCGTCGTTATGGTCCCATAGGCTTGCACGCAACGAGTGTCCATCCTGGGGGAATCCACACCAACATAGGCCGAAATCTCAGCAAGGAGGTCGTGGAGCAGATCATGAGCAACAAGGCATTCGCGCCAATGTTGAAATCGCCCGAACAGGGTGCTGCCACAACTGTCGTTGCCGCTGTCGGTCACGAGTGGGAGGGCAAGGGAGGCAGGTATCTAGAGGACTGCGCAGAAGCCAAGCGTGGTGAAGACGATGGTAGTCCTTTCAGTATTGGTTATGTACGTCAGACTTATGACCCGGTGAAAGAGGGACGCCTGTGGAGAGACTCGCTTGCAATAGTCGGGATTCAGGATGACCTGTAACTGGACGAAGACTCAACTTCAAACAATGGCATGCCGTAGCTCTCTGCTGCGGGCAATCCGTGGCAGTTGCTTCTTACCTTTCCTGGAAAATCAAAGCCTAGACGCTAGTTCACGGTTTCCTAGAGTGTTTATGCGTGTGATTGGACATCGCCGCAATTAGTAACGTTCAGACTTAAAAAGGCAAGTGGGGATATGAGTCAGACTAAGAGCAGTGTTAAATAAACGACTAGTTAAACAATTCCGCATGGAGCCAATGGATAATTAAGGCTGCAAAAACATCACTCGAAAATTTCTACCACGACCCAAATTATGAGAGCTTCATCATGGAACATAAGGCTTTTCATTCAGAGCAGTCAACAATTCCCTATCGCCGAATTGGTGCTGGCTTTTGTGGTTCCGTCTGGAGCCAGCCAGACCACGACAAGATCGACTCCGCATCCACCGCAATCAAACGCGAGGACGGCGGCCCAGGCCGTTCCTTACACAATGACTTCACAATGCACAAAATAATTCTCCAAGCTTATGAAGAGTGCCCAGATCAGATTCGAGACTGCTTCTTGGTTCCAAAATGCTACGATTTCATACCGGCAACATACAGCGGATGGGGCGCAACAAACGTCATCAAGCGGTTTCCAGATAACTATCTCCCATGCAACACCTTGATCACACAGAGAATCCCACCGATTCCCAAGATTGGACGAGACGTACTCATCAATAAGTACTGCTCGCCATCCCTCGCCGATAACATTAGTGCCGACGTCAAGAACAGTGATTGTCTGGTCCGGCCATACCTAGGCCGTCACAAGTTTGGCCAGCGAGAATCCAAAGTGCACTTCTTCAGTCTTCGCAACTACCCGCTCCATATTGACCAAATGTCCGATCTTGACCTGGATCCTCCCCAATATGCCACTGGCATGGCGAAGGCCCTGGCGTTCATGCACTGGTCAGCAGGCGTGGATGCTAATGACGTGGAATTTGTTCTTGCACCGGCGCCGAGCCCCGCCACGCCTCGATTTCATTCGCAACAACTCGGTAGCCACAACTTGTGGATCCTTGACTTTGATTGCTGCAGAAGGATGCGGATGGATCAGGACGGGGTTATGCAAGCTGCTCAAGCCTTTCTACGGAATGATCCCTTCTACCCGCGGCCCGGCAGGGAGAATACTGAGGACAAGGAACTGTGGAATCATTTCAGAAACACTTTCCTCGAAGTAAGCTCGTTTATCTTGCAAACCGGCAACAAGCCATATGAAGAGCTACCTTTGCTTCTGATGGACACAATCGAGTCCCTCGTGCAGAAACGCACCGAAAATCCATGAAGAAGTGGAAGTTGAATTAACACTAAGCGGTTTGAAGCGAGGCTTTAGAAGATAGATTAAGAAATCCAAAGATTCCCACACTAACCTTGAAGTCAACCTCATTGGTTTTCAGTGAATTCACTAGACAGCACAGCAGAATGCGGGTACATGATATCTCCTTACTCACGTCTTTCACCGAGGCTCTATATACGAACCCTTCAAAGCGCTCTTTGATACCCACGTCAACTTTTTCGCATGTAACAAGGCTCAAGGCAGGTGCCATGCCTGACCTGCGATAGCGTGGCATAGCTCAAAGTGCCCTTACTATAAGCCACGCAGTTGATTGAAGAGATGTGACTGTCGATTCACGTGGTTTCATAGGCCCCACGTATTCGTCTCAGCTGCAATTGCCCAAATCTGTTTTCTCTAGACATGATTTGATGCGGCTGAACCGTGTGTACTGGATTTGATCGAGAGACTAGCTTAATGATGGAAGAGGCTTGGTTTGCAGTCGGATTCTGCTTTTGTTTGCCTCAATATGGGTACTGGACACCCATGAGATCGGTGAAGCTATTTACGGGATTTTGTTGGGCTTGAGAGAGGCTCTGGGACAGGACAAACAAACGAGGTGGCGGTGGACCCAGTCAAAACGGACTTTCTGTGAGTCCCAAGGAGCGTTTCCATGGAATGCGTCGGATAGCTAGTGAGGGGCTCAAGTCTATTTGGAACGGAAAGCATGTCATAAAATCAAAATTACAATTCACGCACGGGACGGATGATCTCTATGCACGAGTGCCACCTTGCATAAGTACTTGGGTGGTGTTGGCCATCAAGGGGCTGTAGGCAGCGACTAGGCAAGAACGCCCCTGCTCTACGAGTACTGTGGATAGGAGTGAAGGACGGACATTACAGGGGTTGCGAGCATCTTGAGCGGGAAGCTTCAGCTGCTTAGGTGTTGTGCACAAGTTACATAGGAGAAGCCATTGCCTCCTTTATCGCTACAAAATTGTCAAGAATGCCATCCTTTTTCAGTTCTGGGGTTCACAAAGCATCGATCCTGGCTGCTGTCTCTGGGCTTAGGGGACCCTTTTGTATCGCGGCAAGGTTGCTCTTCCACTGCTCTATTGTCGTTGCCCCAATGACCATGCCATCATCCGTCGTCAGCGCAGAGTTGTAAGCTACCCAGCGGTAGGCCATCTCTTCACCTGAGATGCCCTCGGCCGCGGCGATCTTGTTCCACTTATCCAGTGCTTCCAGCGCTGGAGGCTTGTTGTAGAGGAAGTGGTATACCTTGCCGAGGAATCCTGCTCTATTCCAACGACCGTGGAAGGATTCGGGCTGGTCGCGGAATTGCTGGGATGTTTTCGCAAGGAATCCACCAGCCATGGGACTGTACGCGATGAAAGAGATCTTGTGCTTACGCAGAACGGGTAGCAAGCTCTCTTCGGGAAGACGAGCTATAGGGTTATAACTGCCTTGAAAAACTGATGGAAGTACGAATTGTTTTTCTTTGCAAACCTTGATCACTTCCTCGACCTGTTCGGAGGTGTGGTTGGTGAGCCCGAAGTCCTTGAAAACGCCGTCTTTGTAGAGGGCATCGAATCCAGAGAGCGTTTCCTCGACAGGAACACGGGGATCCGGGGCGTGTAGATAAAGAGTTCCGAACTAGGTATCGACGGACATTATTAGCCTGCGACATGTCTGCGATCCCCGCCAAGAAGGAGTCAAGCCGCCCAGACGCCTAGAATTGAATGCTGGAGGCGTCGCAAGGCTAGGATGACCAAATAAACGGCGAGTGGGCATCGGGGTTCGTGATCTCCATTCGACACTCACCTGCTTGGCGCCAGTCTTGCTCAAGCTCTCCCTAGCCTGAGCGATGACGTTGACCTTGGTCGCGACCAGGGCTGGGTGGACACCACCAGTCAGCTTGGTGTCGATAGGGAAGCCGGATTGCGTGTCGACCTTGAGCTGGCCCAGCCACTCTTCACATTCACGGTAGGCTACAGCGGTATCGATGCTGCTGATGATGTTTTTGCTTTCAGAGAGGACAGCGAGCCATGGCTTGATTTCTTCGGCAGAGTTGTAGCCCTGGTCCTTACTAAAAAGACCGGCGCCGAAATAGATCTTTGGTGCGCTCATGGTCATCAGCAAAAGAGATTGGAGTCAAGGTAGTAGGGATCCCGCGTGTCCGTCGCAGACATTTGCGAAAGAAGAGAAAGCATCTCGGAAATATCTATTTGTAATAACATCCGCCAACGAACATAAACACGTCTTTCATTTCCAAGCTGTGCTGCTCAGCGTTGGTAGTACAGAGCCGGATGTTGGAAATTTGACCCCAGTCTGAGCACCAGTAAACACTTCAAAACTTCCCAGGTGGTCCGTAATGGGACATCAAAACACACTGTCAGAGGGGTGCACGTATTGGTGTGGGAGGGAGGAAGCAAGGGCGGGGGGAGGGGATGAGTGCGAGTTACTCAGACGTAACCGGAGACAAGTCTTCGTAACTATACAATATTCCTTCTGAAGTACAGTGCTTTCGCGTACATTCAAAGTACACTGGGGTTGGAGGCAAGGGGGGATGGGGGATGGTGTCGGTTGGCAGTTTCGCCGCGGCACAGCGCTAAGCGACATAGACAGTCTTGAAGAAACCGAAAGAAGGTAGGTAGGTGCCTGCGTATAGGTAGAACTCAACTCGAAAGCTGGACGAGGTAGTGAGAAGGTAATGATCACTACGCTATAAGGAGGCTGCATGATGCATGATGTATGAAAAGGCTGCAAGCTACGGCACGGCATGCGATGGAGGGTAGGCCACGGAGAGAGAAGGATGGGGTTTGACGACGCACAACTGATGCTCAGTGTAATAACTGCATCGTAGCAAAACCCAGCCGCTGGCGTTTCCTAATTAGCTATGTGCGAAGAAGCTCCCTTCAAGACTACCGACCCTTGCCATCACCGCATTCATTTACCCCCTTCCCACGAAGAGAACTCCGAAACTCGAACTCGCCTTCCACTAAATACTTAGTGACTATCCGTTACTAACATTTTCTGCCAAAATTCAGTCACCAACCAACGTCTACGGCGCTTGACCTCGCCCAAGACCTGGGCGGCACGATCATTGAGTCATAGCCGTTTTCACTTGTCTGGCCGTGCTCTGCTTCCGTATTCATCTCACCTCGAGGAGAGCACAGGCGCCGGTACGGAACTCGAGCACTATCTTTCTGTTGGTGCTACAGTGAATGGCCTGTTATGGTGGCGGACCGTCTCGGATGACGACTTGGATGACTGAATCTAAATTTAGATACTCTTGATTGGGATCCACGTCTGTGTTGGCATTAGTGCGTGGAGAAGTTTTTGGACCGAATGAGACGGTCGCGTTGAACGGCATACTAACACGTCGACTTAGTGACGGTAAACGGATTAGGACATCATGTCTCCTGACCCGCGGAATATCCTACATCTATGACCCACCCCGGGAAAGATATGCTCACGTTACTATATCCACCATCATCAGATAGCCTTCTCATTCTCCAATTTACCTCAATGTCTGCTCTCACAACGTTCATTAGGCCCAGCTCGCGTTTTCCTCCATATCGCGCCTGCCAGTTCTTCGCCAAGGCCTCTGTCATTGCACTCCTGTCACGGATACTTACTCTCAATGATCCCTTCTTGCGATTAGGGGAGAGGTAAACGTTGACTATTTAGCCGTCAGTCACTTGATCAAAGCTAGCGCGGTCCATGCAAAGTCGCATAGCCGTACGTTTGCTCCCCAGATGGTGGCTTCGGGGAGTGGCTACGCCAAGAAGTTTGATCGTGGAGAAGAATAGAAGAATATTCAAAAATTTATTACTGTATTATGACACAAGTGTCCGATCACCCCTTGGAAACATGGCATAGCAAAAGCCTACGTTCTGAAGACTATTGAGCAGAACATTGGTACCCAAGATACTCCTCTGGCACAGCAGGCATGTCATCAGTGCCGTCCTGGATAGCCATACTCATCCCACCCTGGAGATGCGACTGGATGTGACAGTGTATGAGCCACACCCCAGGGTTATCGCTTGGTCGTCTCAACACAAGCCAGCTCGGAGCGGTTGCCGCCGCCGGTGTGGGGTACGTATCGCGCAGTGGCGGGTTGACCAGGTTGAAGGCCTCGGGCATAGCGGCCGCTGCCTCCGCTGTGGTGGACCAGTTGAATGAACCAGAGCCTTGACCAAGGACGTAGAAGTGCCTCCCGTGGATGTGCACCGGGTGAGGCGGCTGACCTGTGGAGACTTGCATCACGTAGTCGACCCAGGACATCTCGGAGGGCACTGTGATCGTGTGGTTATCCTGCAGTCCTGAGACGGGGCTAAAGAGCAAAGGCGACACATCATCAAGGTATTGCGGTCGCTTGGTAGTATTGAACGCCCACATGTTGAGGGTCTGGTCAACCTGCATCTTGACCTTGTATGTGGCATCTACATCCTGTGGTATGGGGCTAGGAGGATATGGAATCACCCCCTTTAAGCCATCGAAATAGACAACATCAGCCGTGAGGTTGGTGCCACGCTCGTTTATGAAAGGAACGGATGCTGTGGTATCTTGCTCCTGTCCTTCGACCTGAAAGTCTATGATGGAGGTCCCGAACATGATTTGAGGGTCGATAACACTGCTGATGCGCAGAGTGTACTTCTTGGGCTTGTCAAGCTTAGTGACCACGGTATAGCGCTGGCCATTGGTCATCAAGATGGAGTTGGCTTTGATCGGTTCGATAAAGTTTGCGTCGACAGCGATGACTGTCAGGTCCAGCTCGTCAATCGAGACTTGGACTGTGTAAAGTCCAAAGGCGGCAATGAGGTCAAACATGACCCACTTTTCAGCATCGCATTTCTTTTTCGTAACGGTGATGACATCCGCCGGCGCATCAGTCGGGGTGCACTCGTTGAACAGATCATCCGGAATAACACCCAGGTCTGCAGGTGGTGAACCAGGTGGAGCGATCGCTGCTAGGACCTTGGGAGGCAAACACCTGCCGAAAGAGTTAGAGAAGTAGTTTATACGTTAAAATATGCGGTATGCTTACGCTTTATCTGTCAGATGAGAACCATTCACGAGACTTAGGAACTGAGCTTGAGCAGGGGTTGTCAAAGGCTTCATCTGCTCCTGAGTAAGACAGTTGACCTTGCCCTTCCCATTGACTAAGATGGAGTCAAAGCAGATGTGCTCGAGTCTTGACTTGAGAGAGATTTCCCATTCGACATCCGAAGTGATGTGACGCCAATCAGATAGGACCATGGGGACCCGATGTCTCTCGGCTTGCTCGATGGCATGGAGAGATACTGGATCTTGTGTAATGAGACTGTACGGTGTCACATTGCTGGCTTTCGGGTGGATAGTAATTGGGCCGTAGAGGCCGTCGTTGATCTGACTTTCCGAGTGGGAATGGTAAAAGAACGAGCCATGTTGGGTGGCAGTCCACTTGTAGGTGAATGCACATCCTGGCTGAATGTGACTTTGGGTTAGGCCAGGGACGCCATCGGACCAAGGCGTGTCCAGCATCTCAATACCTGCAAGCGTGTTAGATTTGTTACCCTCCCCTGTAGTGCTCACACAGATAACGCACCATGGTAATGTATGGTCGTATTGTATGGAGACTCGTTCTTCACAAAAATCACGACATTATCTCCCTGATCAACCTCCAACAAAGGTCCTGGGAACTGCCCGTTGATCTTGAACATGTCTCGTTCATATCCATCAGGAGCTCCCTTTTCCCATGTCAGCGTTAGTTCGAAATTACGCGTATTGCCGTGGGGCGAAGGGAGGGCATTGACAATTAAAGGTAAGAATGTTGAAGCCCATACAGAGGCTTTGAAACTGGAGAAGAGACCCATCTCCAAGACAGTTGCAAGACAGGTGCACGAAGCAAACAAGGAACTACATACTGATATTGCCAAGTCCACTCCTAGGAGTGTCAGGTTTATATGCATGCCCTGTTGCGATCATGATGTAATAGGTTCACGGCCTAGTACTAGAACTTCGAACTAGCTGCATTGGTAGAAAGAGATCTTCGTTATCAGAGCTTGCCGGTACGACAGAGCGGCCGCTGTGCAACTTCTGAACGGTCATCGCGTAGCCGATGCTGGTTGGCGCACTGGCTGAGTAGTTGAAATGAAGGAATCCATCGCTCTGCAAGCTGAATTGCAGCACTGCCAGATTTGGTTTGGCAGTAAGCACCGGTCCTGCCCAGCGGCCACTCATACCAGCTGGTCGGTACAGCGGCATGCGTGGCTTGGATTACATGCGTGTGGTTGGGGGTTTTTAGGGCGAAATAGCCTACTGAAGATCGACGGCTCCGCCGCATTGAGCTATGGATAGCTTCCTGGCAGGCTGCTATTGGTCGCCGCAAGGTTGCCAAATTAGCGCCAGCCTAACCCTGTGTAAGCGCGTCTGTGCGCCAAGACGGGACCCACCGGCCCCGGTTCTCGGCGTATCCTTTCCTCATTGACACAGGTATGGATCGTAGCAACTTGGCGCTATCTATCGCAAGTTGCTGTAAATAGATAGCCAAATGCTGGCATCATTCCCTGCTAATCCCGCCCACGCATCACGAGCGGCTGAGATTGAGATTGCGGCGATTGGAGACCGACATGGGTTGCTGTAGCATGCGGCCGCGGGTTATGAAGCTAGTCGGAAGAGACATACTGCAAACAGACATTGACTGTTCAGTTGTACGTGGTCAGCGTGGGGAGGCGAACCGGTGTCCAAGCCGGCCTAATAATACAGGGTGTACCTATTCGGAACCTACGAGAATGCTTATAGTAATGACTGCAAAGGCCCGTCACTAAATGGATTCAAAACGCGTGTTATACTCCTTACACACGGCGAGCTGCCGACCTAGCCTCTTAGCCATGTGGTACGCTGATTGCGACCGATTAAGAGGACCCGCATCGATAAGTGTCCCTGCGTTGTGCGATGCGTTACTACGCAATATATGTGTTTCCTTTCATGTCACAGCACCTCCCGAAGACGTAGTAGCACCACGTAAGTTTTCGTCTACATTATACGCAAACTTGATCTTTCCAGTCTCGAGTCTTGGGGCTACCGTACGCGCAATCTACAGACCACAGAGCGCGGCCAAAGCTAGATCTGCCGAGCCATGCAGAACTTTCCAAGTTACGGCTGACGCAACGCGCAAGCAATTCATAAATTTAGTTAAAGAGTAAGGAGAGGAGACATTCTTGTAGTGGCCGAAATAACCTGGCGCATGCTTGGTTTTCTAGGACGCACAACAGCTCGGCGATGTCATTGCAAGGTACTGGGTGCCTTCCCACCACTCGTCATAGCTGAAAACGCCTTCTGGCAGGACCACGTGCCCGAGGTAGTCAGGGACGTAGAATAGAAAAAAGCACGCTGATTAGCAAAAGTGTGCAATATTTGGCTTTTGCAGGAGCCCACCACCTAAATACGGATGATATATCTAATATATCAGTAGGCATAAAACCGTTCCATCCGTGATAATGCTGGAAATTCTGTTCGCCAAGAAAAATCGTAGTGGGAGGTGCAATGGCCAGAAAGTCATGAACGGGCCGAATACCTTTCCAACGGGCCCTGCACTGAGATGCGGCTACGAGTACAATAGGAAGCCACCAAAACAATACTTCTGATACAGAAACGATCGCTACTTTGTTCATCATACGTGTAGGGAAAATGCGCGAATACATGGCCAGAATGCTCATTTTCGTTATGGCAACCAGAGTCGCATATAATCATTCGCTGGCGAAGAAGAGCTGCAAAGCCAACAGAGAGGTCAGAACACGTTTGTGATGAGGTACGCTTGCCTGTCGCCGGAGGGGCTTGCCCTTTGAATGACCACAAGCCGCTGCGGGTCGATTGACATGTTGACCGCAATTGATCGGCCCAAGCCACCGAGATCGACAAATATGACACCCAAAGCGTAGGTAGCCCAAGAAAGCATCTTCTACGATTTAATATTAGTATTTGAGCGTTGCAAGTCGATCTTCTGAATATTCCGAGTTTGGGACAGCACTGTTAAGTATATGGACAATGGGTCCCTTTCAAGGCAAACTCATAAGAGCAAACAAAATTAGCTAGTCATCAATACCGACACCGACACAACGTTGGATCCTAATCGTGATGCGAAGACCAACAATTAAAGTCGTGACCGCGCCTACCTAGCTAGCAATTCGAATCAGCCTTGAACCGTCGTTGATCGAAAATATCGAAGCTGGGAGATACAGTATGAACTCAAGATGTCTGCAATTGGTCTTGCTGCAAGTATCAGAAAACGATTGCGGGCTTGAAGAGTAAAGAAGCAGCGGAACTGGAGAGGTTGCCAAAGGTGCTGTCCCGACAGTTGTTATTACAGCAGGCTGTTGGATCTGGAGGACCTCAGAGGTGCATGGATCCCGCAGTATCATGAATCCTCCTGCAAGTGGTCAATGGGGTCCAAATCTATCATGGATATCTCTCATTAAACAATGTTGGTAAGATATCGAGGCACTTGGCCCATGTCGTGTAACGCGACCCCCCGCTCGAGCCTTGTTGGCTGCAAACAGTGGTATCCCTGCAGCACTGGGGGCATAACAACAGACTGCCCATCGCATGGTGGTTTCTTATTCTAAATCGTCCTTGCGTTTCTTGTTGTTCTACACCTTCTTCTCCTCACTGCAAAGATGACAGAGAAACACAAGCCTGTCCTGCTTCTCGCACACGGAGCATGGCATCCACCTCACCTCTATAACCCCCTTTAAGAGGCACTAGCCAATCGCGGCTACTGGTTGATCGTGCCGGCCCTGCCATCCATGGGCAAGACTTCGACCGATATCGGTTGGGATTCGGATTTAGCAGCGTTGTTAGCAGTTGCAGAACCTCTGTCTGCCTAAGGCGAGGAGATAGTGCTGTTGGCCATTCATACGGTGGCATTCCAGCATGTATTGCAACACGTGGCAAGGGAGTTGAAGAGCGCTCTGCAGCCGGAAAGTCTGGAGGCTTCCGCTACATTATTTTCTTGAGCGCATTCGCCATCCCCTCCAAGGGGCTCAGCAACTTGACAGCCATCCCTGGGGCCAGTTCGATACCATGGCATGAGATCATTGAGAAGGAAGAAGGCTTCAAACAGCTCTTTGTAAACGAGCAAGCAATAGACCTTTTGTACCATGGTCTCCCCACTGAAGTTACGTCGAGCTACTTTGATGCGCTGGTCCCGCAGTTGTATGCTGCGACTATACAGCTAGTCGATTTCGCTGTGCCCGACATCACCATTCCCAAGACTTACATAGTCTGCGAGGGGGATCGCGCTTTTCCGACCGCATTGTAACGTCATCTGGCCGCTGAACTACAATCTGACAAGCGTACTGTCAGTGGAGGGCCCTCGTCTTTTGCAAGCATCCCGGAGGAAGTGACTGAGGTTTTGGTGCAGATTTGCGAGTCCAACTCAGGGTCTGTCTGACGTTGCATTCATAATTGAATGTTCTGGTAGAATACCCGTATTAATCCATAATATGGCCATGTCCTTTCTCTTTTACATTTTCCAACGCAGATAGAAATACAGTAATTGGTATCTTTGCTGTTCCACTGCCACCGTCTCTCAATTCGGCGACTAATGTGTAGTAAAGCACATTTCAGGATCGTTGCATGACTTTATTGGCTTTTATAATCAAGCAGTCTTTACATTGTGCAATTGTGCAAAGCTTAGATTAGAAGGCAACAGGTGGATGAATACTCACTGATATCGTGTTGCGTACACAACTTGATAATCATGCGGAAACGAGACAACTCCAATCCTGGTCAGGTCGCTTGCTCATGCTACTTTGTTGTGGCAATTTCCTTTGCTAATGAGGCACGCACTCTCTTTTCCTGGTCGCTATTTCTTTACTAGGAAGTACAGTAGGCTAACTTTGGTCACTGTGTATACTATCGCAGGTTGAACCACAGCTGTGGGAGTAGTCGAGGCCGGTTGGGGCCTGTCATAATTGAATTGCCTGATATCAAGTTCATATCCTCGGTCGCGACTATTCAATGAATCCCACCCTGGTGGCAATTGGTCCCATCAATGTCAAAGGGGACTTACTATCACGGTACTTCCCGATACTTCTCACGGCCTCGGGGCTTGGCAAGCATTTCATGCGTTGGGTACTGGGCGGGGTAGCAGAACGAGAGATGCCTCAAACTCTTCCTCCACCCATGTTACCACCGACTTCCGACATTTGAACGCAACAGAGCAAGCTTCGATCTGATCAACACAAACACACATCTCGCATTGGCCTAGATAAGCGCTGCCTTAAAGGACAATTATGGCGAATGAGTAGTGCGACGATAGAGCCATTAAAAAAAAAGTCGCGCATAGGGCCTGTTCGATGAGTAACGAGAGCACGGGGATTTCTCAAGCCAGATCTGCCAGATCTAAGCCAAATATCTCTGCACACTTAACGTATGAAAACTTTCGATTGTTTCGGAAAGCGAAATAGTGATGTCTGCCGAGGTCATGGCCTCCGCACCTTGTACAGTATGTCCGAGATGCGCAGACATAAGCATATCCAAGCTTTTCGAGACTTTGCAACAGATACGGGGAATCTATCACACGGACTCTGCCTTCCTCCCTTGTATATCAGTTGCTGACGTTGGCACACGATTCTGAGGTCTAGCAGGCACAAGCTGCCAATTCTGCCTGGAGATATTCGACCACAGGCTATATAGCGGGTGTGAGAGCCAAAATATCGAACCGCCGATCGATGAAACTCATTTCGACGACTTTATTGTAGCCTGCCCGTTCTTGGAATGCTTCCAAATGAGTAATGGGTACGAGTCCAGCATACGAGCGGATGTGGCAACCAATGCGGGCGCACTTTTCTTAGTCCCAATCCTGGCCAAGAGACGTCAAATTCACGGCCATGACAGTGTCACGACTTTCAACAAAAATGGTATATAGAAGGAGGCATTTCTCTCTACCAATGCCGCACACTGCATGATACTGGGCTTCATCGGGACGACATAATATAGTATGAGTGAGGATGCCCAGCACAGTTGGATCACTCTGCTGGGGTAGGCTATCAGTGCAGAGTAGTCGAAGTGCTCCCGCCTGCCGTTTACACTGAACCGCATGACGAGAAAGACCAACACGACATGCAGATTAGTGATGACATTGGCAAGCGCTCAGTTCAATTCATCAGTCCCATGTTTGTGGGCCAAAAACAGGGGGTTGAGGGTGAAGGGAATTTGCCTTTGGCGCAACGGAGTGACTCGAAACTGGGTTCAAGGCTGAACGGCAACTAAATGAGTTTCCCAAAGTTGCGAGGAAGGTGTCACTCAGAGTAAATAAAGTGGTATCAACTACTTGCAACTTCAACGTGAGCTGGTGTTCTAATGTCTAATTTGGTTAGTGTAGTCTTCAGTTACCACAGACTCACCAAAGATCGTTCTCGTTACTTAGGAGTGCACTGCATATACCAGCAGCTATTAGGAAGAAGCTCGCTACCTCCGACACGCCTCAAAGTCCGAAGGTAACGCCTTTCATTCGTTATAAAACTTGAGCATAGTCTGGTCGGGCCATGAGTAGCCTAGCCCAGCCCATGGGCGTCAGCTGACAAGGTAAGGGCGAGCAAGATGCCCGTCGCTGTAGTGGTCTTTCCTGCGGTGTCGGAGACTGTGGTGCTAGATAGTGTGCCACGGAATTGTCCAGCCTATGCTTTCAATCATGTGGTGTCGAGGCTGGAGGTACGAAATTCCAGAAAATCGCAAAGAATAGCTACTGAGACGCACGCAGCACCCGGATCACAATGACGGAGCCTCAGACCATTTACTTACTGATTGCCTGATTTATCCAGTTGCTGAACACGTGAGGCTGGGATCTCAGAAGTGTGAGGAGTCGCCGAGTCCTCATCTAGGAAATCAGCAATGAAGCAATTCTGGAAGGATTACAGGTTACCGGTGGTTAGGTTGGGCGCACTTGGTGGGGTTGTCCACGAAGGTTATGTGCTGGCTGGTCATAACCTTGACGGTGCCACATTTTCCCACGCGAGCCCCCGGTGGTGGTGCGCGCTAGCCACAAGGCGGTCGTTACTTGATTACGCTAGGAATAGTCAACCTCGTTGAGGTAACCTTTGCATAAGATATAGATCACATTTGCAGTAGCTGGACTTTTCAGTTTGTAATCATGTGTTCGCACTTATCAAGATAGGACAGTGACGTGCTTGATTTAGATTGCCATCACCTATACGGGCACGACGGATAGTGATACCGTGGAACATCTGCCACACCGGCTCGCAGCGCCTCGCGTCGCCAAGTGATTCACCATTCCATGCTTGTGCACGCAGATCCTTGCACAAGCCGCATGGACAGGTCTTGGTTTTTGCACAATCGCATCCAGTACAACTTTATTGATGTAGGAAAGCGCTTTGGGATTAGCATGCTTCAACATGGCGGCATAAACCCCACTCCTCATTGGTTACTGCTTCCGAACGCCGTTCACACCGTCACACCGTCACACCGGGATACGGAAAAGAAGTGTCCCCGCGGCTTGCGACGCTGGACAAGGGCTTAGCTGTTATTACGAGAGGCTATCCCTTTACCGTGCGGGGGCAAATTCACAATTTCTGGGCTCCAAAATTGACGCCGCTACGCAATAGCATGCATCGACTTCAGAATAACGATCATATCGTCATTGTTGGTGGCGGGTCCATTGGTCTTTGTACTGCGTACAATCTTGCCAAGCGGTCTTCTGACTCCTCACCCCAGATTCGAATAACGGTCATCGAGGTTGGCACCGAGCCTTTCAATGCTGCATCATCGTCATGCACAGGATGTTTCCATTATGGATTTACAGAGCCACAGCTTCATTCGCTTTTGCCCCTCGGGAGGTACTCTTTCGACCTCTGGGAAGACGAGGCTAAGAATGTCAAGTTCAGGGAAGATACTGGTTATAGAGCGCAGTCCTCATTCGGGTTAAACTCAGGGAGCGGCCAAGGGCTTGACAAGCTGCCAGATTGGGTCCGCAAAGAGATGTCTTGGGACGTCAATTCCTCTGTTCTCGGAGACCGAACTGCAACAGTGTGGGTTTATTTTATTTTTTGTTCCTTTTTTTTCTTCAAGCCACATTATTAACGACTCTTTACAGCAATCCACCTGGTGTCGGAAAATGGCTGCGAAGTGAATGCCTTCGAAACGGTGTGGAGATCCGGACAGACCTCAAGGTCGTTGGTGCAAAACTGTTGAATGACAATGAGGTACAGGAGGTGGTTTGCTTGAAAAATGGCCAACACACAATTCGCATTGAATGCAAGCAATTACTCCTCGCCTGTGGACCGTGGACCCCAACTGTTTACGAAATGCTTTTCCCATCTTCACCCATTCGTTTGCAGTGGACTACGGATGCCGGAGACTGGATCTCTTTTGAGAATCCATGCCCTACTACGCGAGACACGACTGCATTTGTTTCTTTTGCCAACCTCGTTGGCGAGAAACTAGAGTTTGCCGCTCGCAACGACGGAACTATCTGGGCGTGTGGGCGACGAAACTTTACGGCTACTCTTCCACCACCAAATCAACACAATGAACCGGACCTTAAGCTGATAGAGGAGTTGTCTGATTACGCCAAAGATTGGCTGAACTGGAATTGCGATTGTGACAAAACGCACGACATTGATTTTCAGCTACGTAGCACAGGTCGAGCGTTCAGACCAGCGACCAAATCTGGACTTCCCATCATCTCGGAGGTTTCTCCATTGGATTTAGGTTGTCATACAAATGATCGTCATGTACAGGAAAAAACTCCGTCAAGTGGGATTTTCATATGTTGGGGGCATGGTTCATATGGACTAACCCTTGGTATGGGTAGTGGGCGACTTATGAGCCAAGTCATGCTTGGGGAGACGCCGGACATTGATATATCCTCATTTCATGTACATCAACACTGTAGCCGCATACATGCTATGGTTCCATCAATCCGGAGGCAAGCGAATTTTTCTCCTTGGACTTGGATAAGGTCGCTATGTGGTTCCAACTAATTTCCCTAGGCGTCGAGCATGTCAAACATCTCGCATGCTCATCGGTCACAATTACAAAGAGTTTTATTGATCACAACTGACTCTCAATTAAAATTTTCTACCTGTCCTTATATTTACTTCTGCTATTCGCTTACGGTTCTCAACTCGTGACTACCTTCATCTTCTCTCCTTCTCATTAGTTATCCCAATTGGAAGTGAGCCCGGAAGCAGATTTTGCGCAAGATCGTGACACCATCAAGGGCCCACGTGTCTTCTTGCTCTTATTTGAATGAGTAAGTGCGCCCTGTAACTAATAACCAAGAGATTCGGGGCTTGAGGTCCTAGATTTGATTCATATCTCTCAAGTAATGACCTGCAGCATAACCACAGTGCCAATTGAAGTTATATGTCCTTCGTTATTGGTCCCAGTAAAACATGACTGATGTGTAATCCATGTCGCTATCTTCCCGAGATCCACGTATTCCATGGCTCCGCTGCCTCAAGGCCCATGCGTTCTCAAAACACTTCTCCGCATCATCTAATCTTCCTTCCATTTCAAATGTCTTGCCCAACATCCGTACAGCTCGTGCGTATGCTTTCACAGTGTAGTACGGAGACTCCTGCTTCGCGTAGATCTTCATGGCTTTGCGTATGTACCTCCTATAATCTATTAGTTTCTGCTCTTGATAATGTGCAAATATTATGTAGTAAACAGAATTCCAACCTTGATGTCCTAGGATCTCCCTTGTTCAAAAGTAGTATCTCTCCTACTTTGTACGCACATCTGCCAACTAAGGCATGCTGATCACCAAACATTTCGAGGTATATTTCAAGCCCTTTCAGATGTACAGCTATAGCATCTTCAATGAGCCCTTTCGCTAGCAAAGTGTTTCCGAGGGCGTACATAGCGGGCGAAGTCCTCGGGCTTGCCTCGAGGGTAGCTCTTAGAATTTGCTCGGCGTTGTTCAAGTCGCCCCGACGGTACAGCAAAAATCCTAAATTTAGCTGAATGATAGTAATAGCGTCCGATTGTTCTGGCGGCACATCACCACACAGTCGTTTGGCTGTGAGCTGGGCCTTCAACGCGTCATCAAACTGGCCGAGTTGGCTTAGGGAGTTTCCTAGCCCCGTCAATATACGTGGAATGCGCTGGTCATCTTCGTGAATATATCCCTTTGACTTAGCTGCCAATGCGTACTTGTATGCTTCGCGGTTACTTTCTGCCGCTTCAACAGGCTGTCCAGACTCGTTGAACATACGGCCCTCCATCCTGTAGCAGTCAGAGAGGTACAATTCCTCTGGATCGGATGCTAATCCAATGACTTTTCGGGCAAGCGCAAAGGTCTCGGTAGCAGCTTGGTGGTGAAAGCGCTCAAATTGGTAACTTATCATATTCATTTCAGTCAAGTATATTCTTCACATACAGATGCTGAAGTAGACTCTGACTTACGAGGCGCACTCGAAAATAAGCTTTCCAAGCTTATTTTCCAAGCCCACAAATATTTCCGAAGACTCCAGAAAACGTGTAGTCAGTCGTTTGATATGTGGTAAACACAGTTCAGAGTCTGCAAACAGGCCAGGAGACCAGTGCTGTGCGACATTGGGAAATTCAGGCTGATAATTCGAAAGTAGGAAAAGAGACTTTTCGAACGCAGCCCGTCGGCGGTTTGGCTCATTGCAAAGGTGCTGAAATGCTTGGTCTTGGAGAAAGCGATGTATCGAGATGCTTCTCAATTCTGAATTTGTCCTGATCAACGATTGGGCTCCCAATCCTTGGAGTGCATCCCATAGTGCAACCGGGTCAGTCATATAACTCAGATCCGATAGTTCATTACCACCAGGGGTTTTGTTTATACAGCCATTCTCCAAAAGTTTGTAGGGCACACTATCTGGATCGAAGTATACCAGCATCTCTAGTATCTGCCGAGATCTACTGTCTAAGGAACGAAAGGACAAGTCCCAGACAGTAAATAGCGTTGCATGATAGTTGCTAACAGGTATAGCTGCTATTGCGTTCGAGTGCCTTTGATTTCTGAATATGTTAAGAAAATCGGTCAGGGGGCAACCGCCATTTCGAATGAATGCGGCAGCCTGGGCTAGCGCAAGTGGATATCCATGAAACGTGGTACTGATGCTTTCAAGGGAGGCCTTGTTTTCCGGTTTAGACTCATCTGTGTCTGGAAGCAATGAGCTCAAGAATTTGCATCCTTCAGATATAGAGAACTCTGGTACTACTAGCCGGTCGCCTAGTACCTCTCCTGTCTTAACAGAGTCGCGACTTGTGACTAATATCGAGCCAATGTTGTCACGCGGCAGATAGTCCATTATGAGAGACACATCATCAGCGTTATCGAAACACAATAGGTAAGGCTCGTCTAGGCCAGGATTAGCCACTGAGAGATGGAAAGAAATCATAGGAACCATACTTGTAGCCGATAATCGTTGAAATACGAAGGCTCTCACTTCATTGCCACTTTGAGATCCTTGTGGAATTCCCAAGATTTCTGCAGCATCGCCGAAACCCTGGTTGATTTTCTCCGAGCTGTCTGCAAGTATCCATATAACTACCTTGTAGTCATCTAGATGTCGGTATGTGTATTCTAGGGCAATCTGTGTTTTACCAGATCCTCCTAAGCCAGACAAGGCGAACCTATGTTGCTTGCGTGACTTTGATGATAGTTTCTTCGTTTTAGAAGGCGTAAGCTTTTCGCGAACCCGGTCAAGAATATCCTGCCTTCCATAGAATCGATCATTGCGTGAATGGGGAATGATGCGGATGGTTGGTAACTCTAAGTATCTAGGAGTAGGTGAAGCATCGACAAGCGAACCAATTGCAGCTAGTTGAGTCTGGACAAATCGCATATGTGCTAAATCTACTTCAGCTTGAACGCGAGACGTATATCGCTGCAACATAACCTCATGCTTGCGCAGGTCACGCTCCATATTGGAGCTAAAAAGTGTGTACAGCACATTCTCTGAATATTTCGTCAGTATGCACACGGTTACAGTCGTCATACGGGGCTACCTGCTTATGGGATTTCGTCGAAGATGACGGACTGCAGTCGCGCAGAAGTCGATGATTTCACAATATGCATCTTTGATTGCATCGCCGACTTCTGTGAAAGACTTGTGGGGAAAGAGTCGATGCCAACGGGAGAAGAGAGCAAGGCGAGGGCTCAACTCAGAGAGAATATCGATTATACGTTCTAGCGTCTCCTGTGTTTTGCCGGCCACCTGGTATCATAATATGAGCACATGCCTGATGGCGTCAACTCGGTTTTACATACGACGAGAACAAGGTGAATGCTGCCCCAGACGATGCCGGCACCCGTTGGGTCTGCATTAGCAAGCACATTAAGCGCCCCAGCAAAGGATCGGATATGTGACACGATGGGATCGATCTGTGTGAGGAATCTCTGCGCAGGATGATTGACATATTTCTTCTCGTAGGGGCGGATGACGTCGATGATTTGCGTGCTTGTAAAGGGCTTCTGGTTTTGCACATTCGCAAGCCATTGGGAATCCTGGGGTGGGAGTTTCTGTAGCACTCTTTGTAAGGCCTGGGTCCACAAATTGTTTAATACATGCTCTTCTTCACTGATGGAAGCAGAGCTGGCACACCCTAGATCGGAAGATGTGCAATTTTTCGATCTCGAGGTCGGCTCTAATTGCTGCGACATAATGTTCCGAGTGTGGGCGAGTAGGAAAAGGGCAAGCCTGACTCCAAGTCGACGGCAGGCCTGTGGGGTTTTCAACGCAAGCGAAGTTGGAACGCCCTTGAACATCCTGGCCTCAAGTTTCGGCCCTCATTTAACAAGGCTCGGTCGACGAATGCACTGCAGCGGGGATGACGCAGAGTGATCTAGGTATTCACCTAGACACGGCTTGCCTTGCAGCAATTGGACATGTATCCACGGAAATTTTGACGTTCGCCCAATGTCTTGAAGCGTCCCTTTGCTTTTTTTCTGTCACCACCCTAGAAGTAACAAATCAGCCCATCAAATTGCTGGTTAACGTCACCAAGGCTTTGGTGCACACTCTCGTTGGCTCATAGCTAGATAGGCCAACAGCCATGGGGCGACGAAGAGTGCTGTAATTGTGTTGGCAATCCATTAGGTCGTAGCGCATGCTTACGCTAACTCCTTTCGAGACTTTGGCTGTCACCCTGCGACTGATTGGCCGGGTTGCTGTACAAGGAGCAGGGAAGCGCTCTAGAACGAGTGCGGGCCGTGACTGATCGCGCCCGGTCAGCTGCTAAATTAATGATGGTGTCGGGCTGGCCCGGCTATCCATGCGGGGCATTGGCGTGAGCAGCAAGGTCCCCCAACTCGAAGTTGAAATGGCACAGCCTCAGCCAGCCCATGATCATTGACTGCCTTTCGACACAACCGCGAAAAATGAATGAGGCTGGCTAATAGGCAAATTCATGATCAACGAGAGTTCTTCCGCTAAAAATAAGGCAGGAAAGGATAAGGCCATGGAGGCTCTATTTTGTAGGATCACTGCATAATCTCGACTGTGTAGGAAGGCATAGCACAATTAAATCTACCGATGCCACCTCTCAAAGGACTTGGGGAAGCACCGCTTAGTTATATTGCTTTCGCGGATTGACCTCTTCCCAAATTGGTGCCAATTCCTTCATGATTTGCTGAGCATCGTCATATTGCTCGCTCCAGCATTTGGTAATCACACCTCTGACTTCTGGTAGCTCTATAACGTTGAGATCCGGATACTCTCTGCGCGTTGCATGGCGGCGGATTTGATCATAATTTTCGTCTTTGTAAAGCTGTGCAGCTGTGAAAATTTCGTACAGAACAGTGCCAAGTGCGAATGTATCAATTTTTCTGGTAGGTATTCTCCAAGTCTCTGTGGGGCAATCAACGCCTGTAATAGGAAACCGCCATGAATGAGGGCGGTGGTACCGAGGGGAGCATTCAACCTGCATCTCTGCCCCATCGATGCTGGAGCCACCGAAGTCTGTGAGTTTCAGGTTATAGTTATCCGCAACAAGAATGTTGTGAATGCCGATGTCACCATGAATCACATCGAGGGTATGAATCTTAATGAGCGCATCGACAACCTGTGATGTCCATCTACAACAAGTTACTCTCAAGCAGACGCCCATCCTGACTTTTTACTTACTGGAGCTGCTGCTTCCGGCTGCTTCGAACTTCAATCGAAACAGGCTGGCCCAGGAAGTCTTTCAGGGTACCAAGTGGGTAATATTCGAAGAGGAGACCACTTTTCCCATCCTCGCTTCTCCCCACTTGCGCGACGCCGAGGTAACGCGCAATCACCCCGCTACCCCCCAGTCTTTCGAGGCATTTCCTCTCGCTCTCAAACAACCCCTTTCCACCATCTTTTGCTACTTTAACGACAATTTTCTCGTTTTTTACTCGAAATACTGTGCCCCAAAGGCCGCTTGCCAGTACTTCCGTCTGTTCAACTGGTATGTAGAATAGCTGCGAACTCATAGTGTTATGCGTCCAAAGGAGAAGTGCCGGAAAGGCAACGAACGAAAAATGAGAGAGCGTGACTGCCATAATGCAAAATGACGTGGGTTTGAGCACACCGAAACGGCAAGTGATACGGGTAGTCGCCACTTGATCAGGTGGGAAAAAGCAACATCAGATTGACGAGGCTCGCCGATCCATAAAACGTGCCAAGAAACAGTGTAGTAGCAGCGCCTAACTTGAGCCTATGAAAATTCAATCCTGCACACCTTCGACTTGACCTGTGACAGTAAACCTGCAGGCTGATATGCAGCAATCTAGATCGGGAAGTCAACTCAAACCATGGATGCTGAAAGCTCTTATTGTAGAGATAATCCTTTTCAGGCGGTCTTTGACGAGGTTGTAGACTGCTTGACTTTGTTCAACTACAAGATACCAGTTTGAACCTAGTACTAGAGCATTGAACTTCGAAGAGCCGGTAATACTTGATCTTTCCGTAAGCCGTTTGCCATAAATCAATCGTAAATTAGCTCACAGAAACTTCTAGAATCCAGCAACATGTCCGTCCATACCGCACCAGTGTTCATCGAATCAAAGATCCAGCCTTGGAAAAGCTTCTCCTCTCTAAACAGTGGAAATGCTTTGACTGAGACTTTGTACGTCGACTGCGCCAATGCGAACGCCCTGGAGAGACAATGGATGCAGGAAGAGGACTGCTTGCTCATGACTAGCCATGGACCTGGAATTGCAACTAGTGGAGTGGGTGAAGCACATTCGACCTGGGGAGGGATCATTGCCACCAGTGGAGCGGGTGGTTCACATTCGACCTTGGGAAGGATCATTGCTACCAGTGGAGCGGGTGGTTCACATTCCTCATGAACCTTGCACCGTGGACAGTATGCTCTTATTACACCCTGTGCTGTAAATTGGAATTATATATGCCCCGGCTCTTACATGTAGCTTAACGGAATCCAGCAAAACGTGAGACTTTACGAGTAATTAAAACTTGATAAGTAGGTATAATATTTTCTACCACTCTTGAAAGTTTAACTATCAACATACATGCAATAGGATAAAGCCTGGCCTCGCCGTGGGGAATAAGGTTCGTATACAGAACGATACGTGTTGGTAGTAACCCCGCACTGCTGTGTTTCTCTTCTTCTGCAAGGTGGATTCGATGAGGCAATTCTACCAAACTCTCGGAGAATCGGATTCTCGAGGCAGGCTTGGTTTACGTGCAGGTGGTGCGGGGAACTTGAGTAATACCTAGGCACTTGGGCAGCTGTATTTTGGAGTCACTGGCGCTGCCAAACATTTCTGAACAAGTTGGGGACCTGAACATCATCGAACCACTACATATTGCCGCAAGTCCCCAAATTTCATAAGATACTCAAAAGAGTATTCTCAACAGCCATGGGATTGGAAGGTACTTTGTGGTATCTTAAGAACCTTCCACTATATCGTGACACGAAGCCATATGTTATCAATCTTCCATTGTCACATGTGCCTCAAGGCCAACGGACCAACCAAGAATGTCATGCCTACTCAGGGATCGAGATCAAGGACATTCGACAAGCTGAAGAGCCGTTGACATTAGACCGCCATGGCTTCACACTCTCGAGGTCAATTCCGATGTGTCTTCGGTATGAAGACTTCCGCGACCCGATAAAGGTAAGGGGGGTCTATTGCGAGAATGCAAGGAAAGCCTTGCTAGATTTGACTGGGGCTGAATCAGGCCACATTCTACACCAAGCAGTAAGTGCCGTTAACTTCTTCACTCCAATAGAGATACTCAGCAATACTCGCATTGATTGCCAGGTTCGCCGTCGTCACATAAGCTTTCCCAAAAAGCCCCGTGGAAACGAGGAAGCTGAGACAGATCAGCCTATCCAAGGCGTCCATTGCGGTAAATTGAAACGTACTATGCACGATGGGTACGAGGCACTAAACGCATGGGACAGACTATACGCCAATGCAAGCGTACGAGAGTCTTCGGAAAGTTGTTGGCAACGAGAGCGCGATCGAAATTTGGAACCACCAACGAGTCGAGATTATCCAGTACCTGCCCATTTGATTATATTTATCTATACTACACTAACAACATTTGCCAGAGTCTGGAGACCTCTTCAGGGTCCTGTCATTGACTGGCCTCTGGGCGTTTGCGATTTCACCTCCGTTGATGTGGGATCAGACCTTGTAGCGACAGACAACGTTTGGTCGTACACGGCCTCAGAGACTTACAACCTTCTGCATAATCCAAATCACACTTGGTACTATGTCAGTAACCAAACCAGTGAAGACGTATTGCTGTTCAAAGGCTTTGATAACGCAAAAGGTTGTGCGACTTGTCAGTAGATCATCCTAAATACCGCTACTGAGGCTATGAGCTTACGAGAGAGTAGTGTGCCCGCATGCAGCATTCCAGCTCGGAGAAGTTCAGGATCATACAAAGATGCGAGAAAGTGTAGAGTGTGCCATACTTCTCGTATACCCCAAGTAGATTCGCTATGTGAACAAGGTCAGAAAGAAGCCCGAGTGCAAGACTTCTGTTGAATGAGGGAGGCTCATACGGGGTTCATAATGAGGTAAAAATGGATCACATGTAATCAGATACGTAGTCAAGTGAGCATGGGATCTTTATTCTGGATCCTACCAAGTTGCGCACTGCGATAGTCTCAAGGTGACAGAAGGGTCATTGCCATTCCAGTTGTCCAGCTGGCAAGAAACAGAAAAGGAGGTAAAAAGAGAATAAAAATTCTTGTTTCTGACAATAAATTCATCATGATTCCCGGACCCGCAAACTCTAAACAGGCTGCTCTATGTCTCCTACTCTATTCTTTCATATATAACAGTAATAGGTGACCGTTCCTATAAGCGAAAATGAGCTAGGACCAACATGAGCAATGCAACAATGCCTGCGCAAACAAAAAAGGGTAAACCGGGCCACAGTCCTCCTAGCTCTATGCCTTTCGAAAATAGAGCAGCAAGGACCGGACTTCCTATCATGAAGCCAACTGTATCAAATACTCCAATCAGTGTGTTTAACCTCGCGTGGTTATGCTTATCAACGACGCTAATCAACAAACTTCTTAGAAAAGACCAAAGTCCCCAGCCAAGGGCGTTCAACACTAAAGCCGTGACAAGCAGAGGCAAGTTAGGTGCTAGACCCACCCCAAGGTTAGTAAGAGAGATGAGTGCTGCACTGATTCGAGATAGAATCAGATCAGAGCGCGTTGATCCTAGTCGCTTTCTGGAATAAAAAGTGATAATTGGGAGAATTATGACACAAAGTATGACGACGAGACCTGATCGAATGGATATCAGTGCTGCGGATTGTGCGAGGGACACATCGTAGCGGGTTGAGATGTATTGAAGTAGTACGTCCCGGTTCAAGAAGAGCATATGAATGATGAACATTGGTACAAGCAAGAGGACCCGGATGTCAGCAATGAGAAAAGATATGGCGCTGTGACACCGAGAAATAAGTCTGCGCCAACACGATTGCTGATCTTGTGTTGGGATGGCTGAAATTAAGCTTGTGTCCAGTACCAGCGAGATTGGATTGTTGTAGTTCAGTGTTTCGGGGACGAAAAGGAGCGTTGCTACGCCGATGAGTTCTACCACTAGGCCTAAAAGCATGGGTATCCACGGGCTCCAGACCATAAGTGCAGCGCTGATAAGAGAACCAAGGAATTGTGTGATGATGGTTGCTGCCATCACTCTGAAGAATACAGTCACTCTATCACTTCAGTTAGTGCTGGTTGTTTTATTGTTGGACAGCAGAGCGTACCTTTCATGTTCAGGAATTACATCCGAGATCATTGTATATAAGAGCGCAGTGGCAACAGTGACACTACCACCCAAAGTCGTATGCAAGGCGGATAGCCAGGTTAACTGAAGGGGTGCCGCCCCATCTAGGTAGCAAATAAACTGAATGTATACGTATTTGATGAAAAGCCCTGCAGTCACAAGCAGCAGGACCGGTTTGCGACCATACGTGTCTGCGACATATGCCCACGGTACAGAGAACACCAGCACTGAAGAAGAAACAGTCAGCCCCAAATGAATACGAAGACCCCAGATATATACCGTTGCCTTTTCCATCAAATTGAAGGGATCAATAAATCTCTAAACTCACTACCGATGCTATCAAATGTGATTTGCCAGCCTTTCAGCGTAATTACTTCTTTTTGGATTGCCGCCACTTTACACCACTTCTCATCGATTCTATCTTTACCACTATTCCCTACAAGAAAGGGATCATCATGGTTCTGATAGTATATTCTGCAGAAGATCTGTTCGAACACGCGGGTTTGAGCCGGTTGTATTAACTCGTAGCCGAGGTCCAGGAAGATAAGGTAGAGAAGAAGAAGGATGACGATTTTGGCAGGGGAAAATTTTCCTTGGCGGAGATTGCCTGGATTCGATTCCAAAGAAGCAGAATCAGTTGGAGGCGGCAAAAGTGAGGACGTCTCGGACGATTCCAAGCGGGGAGAAGCCATGTCTTGATGGCAGAAGACATGAAAGTTCTTCTCACTGATGATACTGCTGGGATGACGCGTGTGTCTAGTGGTTCGACGTGAATGGACTCACGTGACGAGCACTGACCATCAATCTCCGCGTTGTCGGATAATCGGAGAATGCTAACCATCGACGATGTGCTGCAGTTGAATAGACATTGCGAGTATTCATCGCGAAGCAACCTAGTTGATCTGTGGCCTTATAAGTTAAGATTGAGGAAAATCCAGGGCATCCTCTTAGTGAATAATGCGGGTTTTGTGCTTAGGCGATTGCGCTATTCTCAGTACATGGTAGTGTTGCGTAAGCGCACCACAAGCCAGGAGCTTGAAGCTGGTGAGCTCTGCTCCACTCTCTTCTAGTTCAATTTTATCTCTCATTAGTGTCCTTCCACTTGTGCTTCACCCTGTTGGAGTAGTATAGGCGAAATCACAGCGGTAAGGTAAATCCAAGCCCTAAATATACGTGTGGAATCAATTTGGTACAGTATATTCTGCCCCAAGATCCATCTACATCTATATATATAAAGGGATTTGGCTACTTTTTCCCACCTTGGGCGACGCCCCGTAACACCTACACCGTTAGAATCCTCTCGCCGAAAAACTCGGAACCCAGCTGTTTTCGAGCCCGTACGACCGCCCTACGTCGAGATATCGGACCTCGAATTTGTTATTTTTCGACCTCTTAGCGCCCTTTTTCACGAATTTGGGGTGCTACGCCACGAAAGGCGTAGATCGTGTGGCTCAAATAAGGCCCGTACGTCGAGATATACCGGTACCGTAATACTCTTCGAACGTAGGAAGCGGAGCGACCGTAATGAGGAGAGTGTTAAAGGTGCCGGGAATAAAGGAAAAGAGATACCCCTATAAGTTATAGAGGGCGGAGTAGCGCGAAGCGCTACGTAGCTCTCGTGGAGATGGTTGCCTATCCCCAGAGTCTAGAAGCAGCCTGAGATGTTACAATCAAAGCAGCTCGTACTGGCTTTTGCGTCGTTTTAGCTGCACTGTACCTCATGTGTGCGCCGATGCTTCTATTAGCCCGGTTTGTTCGCGAGACAGGATTGTAAATCGATTGCTCAATGGTCTAATTAAAGGTACCGCAAGGCTTTCATAAGACTACACCGCGCCCCTTGTAAATTTCATTCTACAAGTTGCTTTTTCTCAATCGCACCTCGTACTACTTAACTAGCTTTGACGCGGCTAAGATCTATTCAACAGGAGGAATAGGCTTAAAGGGACCGTTATAACAAGGAGGTTTCAAGTTTAGCTGATTCACGTTTCAGATGTGCTGTCTTGTGTCTGTACTTTCAGGTATATCGCACATTTCGCTGTACCACGGGAAGGTCGATGAGTCTCTTGACCGCACCCTCTATACTCCACCGTGTCTGGCAGTCCTGATTGAAAGTTTTCTGGACAGTAAATGATTGCACCGTGGCTAGACATTGTAAAAATGTATAAACGTTTAATGTATAGACAGACCTGTTACTGTTTGTTGAAATCTGTTTGCGATGGAAGGTGTGTCGCGTACAAAGAGCGAAAGTGGTATTCTAGAACCATACAATCCCAGGAAGTCAAAGCCAGCCAAGGCAGCCTGTTTCGCCACTAACAACAGATCCAACGTGCTCTGTTTAAATATGATATGGCTTGCCAGATAAGTAATATATTGCGAGTTTGTATAAAAGCGGTTGCCAGTCGCCAGAGCGCGGGAACCACTCGAAGAGGTGAAAGGAAAGTTTTTGGTTTCTTTCAAAAAAAATAATAATAAAGAAATCTTTAACAAAGAAAAAGTACATGCTTAATAGTGAAAATTGTGTGGGCTATACAACGCAAAACCACACGAAGCCACACCACACGAGCCCACTAACACATAGGCTTTATAACGAGACGGCCTAATTACCGTGAGTCGTCTGGGCTCGCGACAACTCCTCACTGGACATGACCATTGTTTCGTCTTTCCTTCTTACAGCCCGCCATTTCCGATCGGTTTTGTATGCTGCACTCTCGGCCTCATCAAGCCATGCCCTGTGAGCCTCTTGGTTAGCTTCTACTTAATGAGGTGAATGTTGAAGTATTTTCAAAAGAAAAATGTAGCTGAGAAGCCTTGCACAGGAAGATAGATCAAAACAACATAGCAATGGTCCTACAGAGCAGCATAACATGTAGGATATGATAGGAACCGAAAAGGCTTACCTCCACTGCGGAGTACTCGGTGCTGATCCACTGCGCACTACCCACTGCAAGTTTGAGACTTAGCATCTGTTTCTTTTGAAGCATACACAATAAGAAAGGAAAAGCATATTTAGAAAGCTTGAGCGCTGTTGAACGTATGCGTCACATGGCAGCTGAGATATAACCTCAAAACTTGCTTACCGCGGTCCTCTTCGTCTCACGAATGACAAACCACAAGGTCCTTGTGAAAGATCGCATACCCTCATGTGGATCATTCTCATCTGTGACTGTGTGGGCGTTACGGGCGTCGTCTGGTGTGATATCCTCAACTGTGTATCTCTGTAACCTGTAGTCAGAATTCGAATTCACCCAACTCATGGCCCTTCTGACAGCAACATCGCATAGCACTCATGCGTAGTCAAAGTATGAGCAGATGGTTCAGAAATCAGGCACTAAACTAGCGTAGCGAAGGGCATTAGAACTTACGCTTAAATCCCAGTGATAACGCCTAGGTAGGATACCAATCAACCAGTAGACGAGGTTCAAAATCATATACGACGCTCCGACCAGGATCTGCATGTTAAAAGTACAATTGCCAAATAGAACTACCGCTGGCATAATGCATAGAGCGCCGATCATCATAAAAATGCGGTATGCGCGAGCCTGTATTCGATGATGGCACTCTTGGATCCCAGCGTAGAGCTCGCGCGCGATTGCTTCGGAGCACTTGACCAGAATAAACGCACCTTCGCGTGATCTTATGACCACGTCCCCATCAGGGACCTTGGAAAAAGACCGCCGAGATCTGATATTGGTGCGCCACCATCCGGCCCATCCAATGATACTGGTGGATAGACTAATCAATGCCATGCCGAGCAACGCAGTTCCATCATTCCAGTAGGCTGCGGCGCCGACGAGGCCAATGGTGAGCAGAAAACTAGAAAACGCAACAATGTTCAACGGCGAGTACAGGACTGCTCCAACATCCTTGTTCGCACTTTCAAATAAAGGGGAGTTTGACGTAAAGTTTGACAACGCCCCGTGGACTGTCTTCGCGCGACGGAGTCTGGGGGTTTCGCCGCCGTTGTCCAGGTCGTCGACGGCTTCTCCTCGCCTTACTGGCACTAGGTCCGCAGTGTAAACAATTCTCAGAACCTTGAAAGAGAATGGCGCCAACTCATCCAGTGGGTGTATGAGATTGGCGAAAAAGCCCAGTGTATCCATCGTGACGCCTGAGTATACGCCGCAGACCTTGGCAGTCTCAGATTCCAGCGCCACAGGCCGGCGTGCTCTCATAAGCGCTTGGGGGGCCGGCATCAGACGAGGAAGAAGACATGTCGCAGAGGACGTAATGGCCTCGGCCTGATCATGTATGAAAGATTCGCCAGTAACAGCTAGCAGACCGACAATGTCGAGACGCCAGCCGCCAGAATCGTCTGGCCCAATGGGAAACTATACACGTTCAGCTGTGACGGTGAGTTTTGGGTGTGGTGGCTAGGTACCCAGCTCATTCTCGATCTGTTTTGACACGCTTCAAGTTCTTTAGATGAAGCCTCGTCTGCGAGCTTACGTCAACACATATGTCAATGAATAGCAAAAGCTACAGGCCTGTAGTAAGATGACGACAAACCTGTCGCAAATGGATGTGCTGATAATCCCTGACTACACGATGAGATCAACAGGCTTCAATGACGATGTGAAGGACTAAACTTTGGGGTTAAAGGGCACATGCATCTTCGTGATAGAATGCCTTGAACTGAAATTTTGGTTGTGCGGCTGAAGCGACTTCTTGTGAGATAGTATTGGTCAAGCGCTAACTGAGCTGGCTGAGCCGAGGTTGAGCCAGGTCCCCATTGTGATCCAGAAACGGAATAGAGCTTAGCCAGGAGGATTCTCCAAAGGCCGCTCCACATACCTAAGATTTGAAATATAGAATTGCTTCTATATTAAGTTGTTTTAATCCACACTGCTAAAAGTTGACTTATACAATTTATTAGTCATGTTAAATACGGTATAACCTTAAAATTTCGTTCTAACTTGCTTAAGTGTTAGCTTTGCGGAGTCTCGTTAATGGGGCACTATATTTTTAGGCAGACTTGCGACCACATAGCCTAGAGCTTGGTGATGGTGAGCGCATCTCCATTCAAGTTCTCCAACTTTTGATGTCCCATTACTGTCCCGGTAATCTGCTTGTGTGTCATTGCACGCCTACTCTCTAGGTAATACCGCCGTTGGGAATGCCGGAGGACCTTCGCCCTGACCCCAAACGGCGCTGACAGTGGCCGTGGCACCGAACGATTCAGCATCTCAGGCTAGCCACGCGCTATTTGCGTGCTACTTCATGAACTGTTCTCACCCTGAACTTGAACAGATCATCCAACCTCATAATTGCCCACGGCTGCTACAACGCGCACTCTCGCGTTTAGTATTGGCCGGCTGCCTTCCATCCCTCGGTCGCCGAATATATTGTTACGGGCTACCCAGACCTCGACGACGGTATTCTCTACTCGGGCATTGAGCCTTTGCCACCTCTAAGACTTGAACCATCAACCAAAATACGGTTGGCAAGGAGCTCATTACGAATTACATGGCAGTGAAGAAAGTCTCGATCCAAATAACAGAATAGTATCAGCTAATTGCAAATTTCAATATAACCTGGTGTTTAATCATGCTGCCGTTTCTATGGGTATACTGGCTCTACCATATTATGGCCTACCCTGTCCTTCCGCGTGTGCGCTCTATTGACGGCTCTATTGATGTTTAGTTTACTTTGAATACCGGCCCGCCTCTATGTCATTGGCAGCCGCGCATATCTTCACTGTAATGGCTGCAATCTAGTCCGCTGTTAGCAGTGGACTCCTTTCGAGGGATCGAAAACCTACATTTTCGTCTGCGAAAACCGAAAAGTGATGACCTTCTATGTCGACAACAGTGCGGATAAAGTTGCCATTCTCTTCGCTGTACGGGCCCCAGCCGAGCATCCGATCATGGCGGGTGACGTCGACGAATTTCTGGTCAGCGTGATCCACCGTTTCCTTTGCGCGTAGCAAGACGGTCGGAGGGGCCTTGCTGTTGGTCCACTGCGGCTTGTCCCAGTGCGGCACCATGATCCGGGCGTGTGCCATGTTGAGAGCGACCTTCTCCTTCAGCTTCATTGCCTTCATCTCCTCGTCCGTCTTGACGATCTGCTGCGGTGGGGGTATCTTGGCGGCGGCTGGAAGATCTGCCGTACGCCTGGGGCAGATACTGTCTATCATGATGATTCCAAGCACGGTAAAGCGAGGCCGCATCTCAGTGTCAGTGGCTATCTGGTGCGCCATCTCAAGCGACAGTATACCGCCGAGTGACCAACCTTCACTGAGGTCAGAAACGGGAATTCCAGACCAGGGGTGATGAGACTTACCACCCAAGATAATGTTTCCCCCAGCTGGTATGGACCTGGCAATGAGCTGAATGTAATGCTTCGCCATCTCCTGGATCCCGCCTTCCCAATAGCCGCCCTGGTGCAGATGCGCATTCTCAATACCGTACAGCGCCCGGTTGGTCGGGTCCAGGCAATGGTAGCTGAAGGTGGTGCCGCCGCCGTCGTGGGCCAGTACCAAGGGGGCCCGTGGCACGGGTAACCAGTCCGGGCTCTCGTAGATCAGGGCCGGATTGCTCAGGAAATCGTCCGAGCCCATGGTCTCGTTTCAAGCGGGTATGCTCGCAAATGTGACACCCGGAGACCAAGTTATCGATGCTCAAAGTACCCTAGATGTGTGCGTCTTGCGCCCAATTCCATAATCTGAACTGCCTTGCCTTGCACTCTGGTATGTATCGCGGCTTGTGGCAATTGAGGGTTCCTGGGTATCCAGTGCGTAACGAGTTGCTTACCCAGGCAATGCAGTGAGTGGGTTTCGTTTGCGCCGCTTCGGAGGCACGTGCGCCATCGAATTGATTGGAAAGTTGTGGGATCATCTGGCTCGCAGGTGGCGTTGGTCATCTGCCAGATGGCCTGAGAGACAGGTGCACATCAATCCCGTCAGGAGAGGAGAAATCAAGCAAGCATTGCTCGCAGGTACCTGGGAGAGAATGACCCGAAACCCAATAAATTCATTTACAATCAATGCCTCTAGCTGTAAAATCAGTTGAAGACCGCCGGGAGAGACGTTGCTCGGCTTGCACCCACCCAAACTTTGTTTGCCCCAGTCTTCCTCCAGAGTGCACCTGCGCGAATGGCATCAGCCGGCTCGCGGCCGGTAGAGAAATACCCAGTTGGTTGAGTCTTGGATATATAATCTATCTACCCGATCCGTTAAGTTTACTATGTCAGTCGTCCTGGCGTATAAAAATTGACAATTCCCCGAATGTTGAATCTTCCTGTACCGTAAGGAATATTTCCTTGTAATTCTCTCTTTCCAGCTTTATTGTTCTCGGGGAACCGCTATCAGTCGTCCAGGGGCTTTTTCGGTTCCTTAGTGCAGGCCCTCTCCAGTGTCTGACTTTCTCCTTTGGGGATAGAGAAAAGAAAGGCGAGCAAAAGGAAAAGGAGGGATATTAGACTTACGCTATCCACATCGGAGGACCGGAATCCGTGATGACCTTTGTCCACTTTCCGTTATTGACCTCGGCAGGGTTTGTCGGACCACATATCATGGCGGCAGGCCTCGCCAGATCGAACACGATTTGCTTGACGGGCACGTTGCATGAGACTGTGAAGACTAGACTGTGTTCGTCGACCTCTAAGAACCCCAGGCCGCCATGCCCCTCCACAATCTGGAAGCCCTCCTGTTGCAAAACGTGTAGATGCAGGTGACGAGCATCTTCTACATTGCTCACGGTCTCGTGGGCATGCACTTCATCATACGTTGGTCCCACTCTTTGACAATCAGTCTGGCCGTCTGAGACACGGTTTTCCTTTGTCGAGCTATCATCCAGTGCCTTGTACAGAGACAGGTATGTTGTGTGGTTCTGAGGGAATACTCTAAAATGTAGTTACCCAAAGTGAACCTGACAGAGTCTGCCCCGTTGCGCACTCATATATCTCTGATTCTTTGCACATAACGCTATATGATCCCTTCTGTAACAGTCCTATACACATAATTAGCGCCAACATATCTTGTGGTTCACGCTTACCCGACTCAACTTATGGTAGCCGCTATCACTTCGAGAGATCTCCCTTTAGTGGGACTTCTGCTGTGACAGAGAAACTATTCCAAGTAGGGCATTTAAAGTACTTTTATTAGCAAGAACGGCATTGGATGCTGAAACTTGCTGCTCTGGGCTTCGAAGGGTCGTTGTTACGTATCCAAGCCGCAAAGTCGTGCGCACTGTAGTCAACTCTCGTGTCAAGGGGTAACGTGATATAATTACAGGTCAAACGCTGTCTACCCATACTCCCAAGACTCCCACGGAAAAGACTTAACAGGCAGCATTCGGATCCAGAGGATTTCCAGTGCTAATACCGAAATAGCTCAAATGAGCAGCATTGATTCCAATCCCCCCGTTGCCTATGCCATAACCCGGCCCGCTCTGGTTACAGTCGGATGGCTCCTGCCCTTGGCATTGGAAAGTATTCTCGATAGTGGGTGGATCGTCGCTCTGCCAGTACTCTCTGCTGTGGTGTCGATATCCATCACTTTGCGCTGGGATTTGGGGTACGCCGTCGTTTGTGTGGGTGAGTCGATACATGGTGCCGTTAAAGGCCGAATCGATCAAGTTGGCATATGCTTGGTTTCCCGTACGCGGTTGACCATAGGTATAAGCGATAAGAGGTAGTCCTTGCCCGTCGAGTGAAGCGGCAGCTAGGGAGGCTAGCGCGCCACCCATACTATGCCCAGTAACCACAAGGCTATAGCCGGGATATTGTAGCAATCCCGCATCAATGGCGCTTTTGACAGTATTGGCGACAGCGTTATATTGAATTAGATAGCCTTGCCAGCACTATGGTCGCAAGTCAGTGCTCATTGTCGAGCCGTAGCGAGTAATGGTATTACCAAGCAAGTTGGGCACTGGATCCCTTGCGCAACACAGGGAACAAGGACTTGGTCCAGGTCAGTCACGAAATCTTGAATGTCTGAAGTCCCCCGGAATGAGATGATGAACTGCTGTGCGATATCATCTCGGAAGAGAGTGGCTTGGGTGTCCGTAGGTACATCGTTGATATACCGTACTACAGTACTGTTGAACGGTGGATTGGCGCAATCGGAACTATAAGCTGCAGACGCGAAGGCAGCATATCGTTCAAAATTTGCAAGCAACAAAGGAGTTACAGGCGTCTTCTCGGCGAGAACCGTAGCAGCCAGAGCCGCCATAACCAACTTTGAGAAGAACATCGGAATTGGCGTTCATGCGAGTGGAGGAGATCGTATACACTGTGAAGCCAGAACACTGATGGTGTTTGAAATCCTTTTTCGTCGCCTCCAAGGGTTCATCTTCAGAAAATGTGACAATTTCACAAGCCTACTAACCTCGGAGCTTCGATCGCTTGCAAGCCTCGGTCGGTATTGATTTAAGTTCGATAGCCCAGAACCCTCTTCCTATGCAGCATACGCGTTTGATAGAGAAGTACCCTAGACCGGCGAAGTGGAGAAGAACATGCGCATGATCATCATCCCCGTTGTCTCTTGCACTGACTATTCCAAGTATGGGCTGAAAAGTGTGACTGCGCTTTGACTGGTCTACAATTAGCGTAATTCTGATCGGCAGCGCTGAAAGTAGTTCAAGCCGGCAAACACTTCCTCGCCCATAACATATAATCTGGCTGAATTTCTGCGTTCCGCTATATACGGGTGATGACTAACTCGTATGTTGAGTATGTTGCTGAGTAGCGGGTTTGGAGACGCGCCGTGGTACTCCGCCAATATCAAGGGTATGCGCAATTTCATGTCCCCAGTCAAGGCCTGATGGCGGCGATACTGTTGCTCCTGGTGGGGCAACCGCGCCATAGTGACAAAGTGCCTCCTGATGTGGTCTAATGATGGTATGTTGCGTTCTATGACCCAAACTTTATATTTTCAAACGAACTTCATATGTTTATGTTTATACAGGATCCGCCCCATTCTGTGCGGACCCATATTCTGCGCGATGCTGCACATACCAAAAGGGACGTACGGCGCTAGGTGCCATTTGAGATTTAATTAGCTGCTGCGATGTTAATCAACTGCCAAGAGATATGAGCAAACTTCTGCAATATTCTTGTCATGGCTTCAACTGTTAATTGTGTTGGCATATTTGAGACCATTCCTTGAATGGAACGTAACCATCGAGGAATGCATATGATCGCATCGCTATTACAGGTTGGCTGTGTGCGCGGTTCTTGTGACGGTGGAGTACCCCGAACTCGGGATACCTATAACAGTTGGTTTTTTTTCTCTGAACAACGCACAAGGGGGCTCGTTTTATGGATATTCCAAAAACAGGTTCGGCTTAAACGCAGCTGATGAGGATTCGTTATGTTGCTCTCGGGTTTGTGGGTACGTTCTTTGTCCTAACGTTGGCTGTGCTCCGTGTTTGCCTGTCACCCACGATCTTACCCACAAAATTCCTTTGTCTAGATGTCATGTTGGCCGGCAGATCTCAAATAACCAAATGTGGATATATCTTCATGTCTAAACAAGAAGAATGAGATAAATGGGCTTTGGGGGAGGTTCTGTCAGGTTTTTTTCCGGGTGACTACAGTTCAGAGTATTCCCTTAGATCTGAACACATACCTGACTCTCTGTTTGAGCCACTGGATTATAGTTTCTATAACACTCTTTTATACGCAAATCTAACGCCAGACTACCTCGTCGATCAATGAGTGAGTCTCTGGTTAATTTGCCAGTCCACCTATAATGGCTGCTGTTACTTTGAGTAATCTCCCCCGGGTGAGAGTCGATACAACACTTCCCGTAGTAGATAAACTTACCAAAGCTATCTATGATGATCAAAAGCGAACTGTACGACTGCTTCAACCTTCGGATTTCGTCGAATGCTCTGCTCTCCTGCAAGATAGGACGACTTCTGTGGGCCACTTCAGCCCAGACATCTATCGCGATGACACCCCAGAGGGACGAAAACACTTCGAGCAAGCATTAAATGATCCGGATAGTCTGCACTATGGGCTATTCGTTATACAGAGTGGGGACCAAAGTCTTCTTGAAGGGGTGGGCGGAGTGGTTGTGACTACATCGTCATGGCCTTCATACTATTACACGATTAGAAAGATCGAAGACGACGACACTAAAGAGTTTCATAACAATTGGGAAATTTTCTTTCATGGAGTGTATAGACATTGGTGGGAACTTCCTCGTAAAGAGGCCAAGCTTGAAGTTTTCGGTTTCTCTGTTCCGAAAGATCCTATCGGCGTACTGAAGCCCCTCGAGTGTCTTTGCACCACGGTCAAACAGGGGGATTACCAAAACGAGAAACGCATACAAAGAAGTGACTTTGCAAAATGCAAGACTTTACCCGACGGCGACGTCTATTGGAGATTTACTCGCCCGATCTCCGTTTCCACAACTGTTCCAGATTTGCAGAATCTCCGGATGTCTTTTCAGCCTTTTACCACTGAGAAGTATGGGCTAATTCTCCGGTTGCTTAATTTGTCGGATACCGAAGCGCTTCATCGGCTACGGAGCGAAGAACAACCTATGAATGACTTTGGAACTGGGCCAGACGTGAATATGGAGGCAACTCAAAGGCACATGAATACTGTTCTACAGAACGAAAGCAACAATAATAGATTGGAGCTTGGCATTTTCTTAGAGAGGAATGGCGAAGAGGGAGAGCTGATCGGTTGCATAGGGACAGACTTGTGGGAGACTGATTGGCCCTCGATATTTTTTGTCTTAAAAGGGGAGCACCAACGCCATAAGTACGGAAGGGACTTCATCAAGGCATATACAACGTTCTGGTGGAACTTAAAACGCAAGGAGGTAGAGATCCCAGGGATCAGGGCCACGACAATTGACTATGACGTTGCGCCCAACTTCAAAGCCGCAGTGAAGGCAACAGAACTTCTATGCGCTGTAGTTGACAAGAATAATGTGGCTAGTGAGGGTTTACTGAAGGCTGGTGGATTTGAGAACAACGGGGATTTCACTGACACAGAGACATATTGGCGATTGAAAAAACCTGACGCGTAAGGGTATGGCATAATGAATGCCACGCAGGCAGAGTCAAAAACATTCAGGTGCGGGTTTCGTAAGAACACCAGTGGAGGTCGGCGTTTCTTGGTTTCCTCATGACACAAGTTTTCATTCCTATCTAATGATAGTAATGTAATTCCAGAACCCGTACGTTTGTGAGTAGCTAATAGAGGTTGGTTATCCGACCATTTCTGACAAGACTACTAACCTGAAGACATCGGAGGCTATAGTACGAGGAATAGAGGGGCTTCTGAACTAATACGAAAACCTTGCGCTGAAACGACTACTGATTTGCTTCTTCGCTATCGCTCATCATCATTGATAACGGAGCCTAAGTCAATAAGTACACATACAGTTTCGAGACGTTTGATCAAAAGTATTTCCCGTCATTCAGTGAGATGTGAGTCCTAATGCAATACAAATCTCTCGGTGCTTTGTAGTTAATGTATTGTCCTATAAACCATCTTCATTCCGTTAGAGTAATGCCTCCCACTCTAGATAAGGATGCAGATGACTCCAACGAACGAAAGGGGGATAATTGACTTTATCCTATGCTCGAGAAGGCCCAGAGTATTTGGCCTTGGTCTATCAAATGGATGGTTTCAAGGTCAAGATCACATCAAACAGTGTGCCTATGTATTTATCACGTGGTTATTAGGCGCGCATATTCTTGTTTACTTAGTTAAAGCTATGTCACGTCTACAACGACTTTTCACTGTCACATTTGTGAGCTGCTTTGACGAAGAGATCGCCAACATAACCCCGTTCCTTTTCAATGGCAACTAAATTAGGCGAGGTCCGAAGGTCATGGAGTAGAGCTTCTTGAAATTGTTGGTAGTTCTTTGTATATGCTGTCCTGTGTCCTGTTAGCAGCCACATCAGACAACTTCCTTTTTGATAGTGGCAAATTAAATCTCCAACACACAAAGTTGGCTTGATATTTGGTCATTTTCAATGGCACCTGACCTTTCAATGACAGTATGACTGTGTATAAGTATGAGTGCCTGTTCCGGTAGTGCTTCTGTGACGGTGACTCGTTATCATATGGAGTTGATGATCCGTTGTTATTCAGTTTACGTGGCTAAACTTGTAGGCATAATGGCATCTCAATCAGACAAGCAGCCTCTTCCAGCAGTAACATATTCGGACTCTCAGATATGTTACGCAAAGTGTGGTCATTTCCGGGGTCAGATGAAAACTGATAATGGCCCTTGCTACACAATGCCTGGCATAGATATGAGGATGACAATAGAAGTGGAGAGTGGTTATACACGCCGCAACACTTGGCCGCATATATACGGAAACTCCGATAAGAACAAAGCCTTCTGCGAAAGATGTCAGGACTTGGAACCGCCCAGCTATGAAGAATTCATAGAATCGACAGAATCGTGCGCGAAAGATCGAGCATATGAGGCAACACCCATGGGACCCCCAAACGAGCCAAAATTTGCGCCAGAAACTATATCTCATTCAACGACAAAAGTTTGGAAAGAGTTTGCATTTGCTGTCATAACAAACAGTACAATGCACCGCCAATGCAGGCCTCTGTGCCTATATATCGAGCAGTTGAATGCTTTTACGCATAGCTTGCGTGAATTCACCGACTCGGTAAAAACTCAGAATAACAAACCTTTTGATAAGGCCATGGTTCTAGGCTTTGTTGTTCCCGCAGTCCTACTTTGGCTCGAACAGGGAAGATTCGAATTAATCGGGAGAAAGGTTCTGGTGACGCCTCCAAAGGCTCCGGAGACTCCTCCGAAGGCTCCAAAGCAGGCCAGCTCGGAGCCGGAAGTCTACAGAAAAGTGGGATTAGTAGCCTATCCCAATCCCCCGCATCGCGTTTATGAAGAACTTTTCAACAAGATAGTAAAAAAGCTGGTTTACAACGCCTGCCAGAACCTATCCATAGAGCTGCCCTCTGCGCCCGGACAGCCGCTACCTAAGAAGTTTTCAAATCTTATAGAGATGCTATGGAGGAGGGACATTGAACCAATTCGCAAGGAAATTGAACTCAAGATTTATTAATGCTAGAAGTTTTCCGAAGGAGAACGAAATTGACGCATGTCAAGGTTGTCTTTTAATGTTCACGTTGGTTTCCTTGGTTGGGTAGTGTGTAGTGGCGTTTTGATTAAAGATGATTGCATCTAAATGTTGTCTACTAGGCATAGAATCGTCCGACATTTGACGTACGAAAATGGAGGTATTAAGCTCGGGTGGTGTGGCTTACCCGGTGGCGTAGTGTGGTTTTGCGTTTTGTTTCCTATATAACTATTTTTGTTACGTGTAGATTTTAAAAAGACAACGCTCCTTTCACTTTTATAATTAAACCTTACGTTTTAACGACCGATAACCCTTATTATATACGTTATAAAAGGAATTATCACTTTAATTAATTAAGTTTTATTAAATAAAATACGTTAAATTCGTCGTTAAAAATGTTAAAAATTATTTTAATTATTATAAACGTTTTAAATTAATTTTATTTTAAAACACCACTTTAATTTAATATATACGTTAAATACAAACCTTTTAAATAACGTTTGATTTTATATTACTTTTAATAAAACTTATAAGTCTTTCGCATTTACTATGCTAAACCGATGTTTCTAACACTTTACAGTGTGACCTGCGCCTGTCTTACCACTGTACGACACTGGTATAAGTCATTCTTGGCAAATGTGCCCTTTTAGCATCTCTACGACTGTTACCCGCCCCCAGTCGGAACTTGTCCACAGCAATATCGAAACACGCAACATTTGTAGCATTCTAGCAAATTGGCCAAGTCTTCTTTTGGTCCATGTCGCAATATATTCCCTCAGCAAGTGACACAAACTCGGGCCCCCAAGATGTGATGCTTCCGCAGAGCTCAGTCGCCTTGTGCTGCCGTATCCGGCTCTTGATGAGTTGTCCTGTGTGCTTGGCACTCTGCTTGGGTGATGTTTGGGTTCCGGCGTGATGGGAGTTGGTCCAGTTCGTACATGTCAAACTAGACTTTCGATCGCGACTCCCAACCCCTTGGAGTGGGGTTCTGTCCACGGGTGCAGTGGCCCAGTTGGCCGGATCAAGTGTGTGGGCCGGGTCAAAGTCGATCAGAGTTCCCAGATCAAAGGGCGGGGAAACAAAATGCGGGATTGGGTTCTTCGACTGCAAGTTGATCGTATAACTTGAAGCGTGGGTCTACCTTGCATATGACATCGTTGTTCGCGTTGTATTGGTCAACTCGGGCTTGATTTGCAAGGAAATATGGCAGGTGATTGCCCAGGGCCTTGGTGTGGAGCCCATCATGCGAAGGGGGTCACTTCGGCGAGTTGATATATCTCATCACCGCTGAACGTGTATACTGGCCTTGCTGGAGGCGCTTGCCGGGCTATATACCCATCCTTAGGGATGAACGGACCGCTAGTTTGTCAATAGAAGAGCGCGATTCGATCCCATAGGTTGTGGCCGTTCCCGGAAGATACGGCGAGCTCGGCCACTTCACCGGCGACCCTTATCCTTGTGGGCGGATCAATGTTTATGGCAAGATTTACGACAGACGTGGCTATATAGCCGCTCTCGAGGCTGGTGGCTACAGCCAAGGTCCATATCCAGATCTTGAGCCAGAGCGAACCAAGGCCCGCTCAGTGACGTCATCTTGGGAATGCAATTACTTTGGTCGATTGTCCAAATCGCCTCTGACAGTTCGGCGGTTGGCCTTCATTCGCGCACCATACTGGGACCAGGAGTTACAGTCTTTCGTGGGCGGTTACTTCTGCCGGGGCTGTATTGGCCGCAAGAACTTCCATTTCCGCTACCACTACAACGAAGAGTGGGAGTTTCCTGCAGCAATCCTGGCATGAGCCTTGGCGGCGGTATACCAGGGAGGGCTTCTGGGCACACGTCGAGAAGTATGGGCGAATACTGAAAACTGATGATGGAACCTTTTCCCACGATTCGCCGCGCAGAGAAAGACAGACGCCAGACGATGTGCAGGCCGAGATGTACCGGTTCGAGGATGCCTTGTTTGCCGAGGGAATGGACTTGCCCGATGACAAGCCTATGCTTCAGCTGGATATACCGCACAACTGCCAATAGGTTTAAAACAGTTAGTACTGACAGGGGGTGAATCTGGCTATTGCCGAGGTAAGACTAGTTAGTTCTTGGCGAGACGAAGCAATAAGAGATTTCGATATCTATACTGATACTCTGCACTTATGTAAACGTGTCTGATACTATGAGTCGATGGCTCTCCTATCAACTGTCCACCTGTCACACTCATCTTTGTATCATTTTATGTAGTTGGTTTAAACATGGTCAAACATATAAACTAGCTATTTCACAAGGGCCCATATTCTGCGCGATGCCGTACATACCAACTTGCCTTGACTGGGTCCCCGAAGCTCTCCACCATCGGCCGAAATTGTAACCCGTCTGGCCCTCGCACCTCCTCGCCTTTAATGTTCCGCGTGTACCAGATTCGCTCGCCGTTGATAGCTTCCTCCCAATCAAGAAAATCGGCCACGTCGTCGATGTCACGGCTTTTGTCTATGGGAGCCAGGTTCATCCTGTTCCCGTCAGAATCAGGACACCACAGTGCCGATAATCGCAGCTTCTCTAATGACCTTGCCTCACATCTAAGGAGGTCAAACACGGGGTTCCATGAACCCGAGTTGAGAGTGATGTTTTCGAGCCCCAGAATACGGAGCTGTGGAATATGCCTAGCGAGGATGTCATATAGGTCTTGCTGGCTCGCCTGGAGGCCGCGCAGCGTAAGCTGGGACAACCTACGGAAAACCCAGCCTCCCAAGAAGATGGTCGAGAGAAAGTGTTGATAGTAACCGCGGACGAGAATGCCATTGACAGTCGTACACAGGTGGATATGGAGGGATTCCAGATTCGGCATCGCTTGGAGCAGGCGGGCGACACCTTCCATGTCGGCCAACGCATCGACATGACCATCGCTGGCATGGAGGTTTGACCCGTGAGAAATGTCGAAAGCTCCGTAAGGATCAAGATCTATCATTTCTTCCCAGGAAGCGTGGGTGCCAGGACGTGGCCTGACAGGTAGAGTTGTAGTAGCGAGGCTGATAGAGAAATCTTTCAAGTGGGCTGCAAAGTTGGCAAAGTTTTCCCTTTCGGCCGCTGAGAACAGTGACAAAGGCTCGACTATTTCGTGCGTAGGTATGCTGCATTTCTTGGTCAACTGATAAATGTGAAGGCTGTCGAGCAAGGCCCCAGAGCGTGCAATGGCCATCAACAAGATGCGATACCCCTGGATGGCACCAGTCCAGAGCTCACGCCAGCGCAATGATGCCACTTCCTCCGGCACCTTTATTAAGTCGGCGCCGTGCACAACTGAAGCCTCGAGGCTCACATGACGAACGTTCTTCAGGTGTCTCAGACAGTCTGCTAGCATGCATAGCATATCCTCGCCCATGAAGAGGTTCTGCTCGTCGCGCTGTTCTGCAATCCATTCCCGGTTCCTCCGGCAAAGGCGGGCGTACTCAGAAGCCGCTGCACGTGGGTCTTGGAAAGACGGGTTTTGAAGAGCCGCGAGATGTTTTTGGTCGTACCACGGGTCATTGTGATAGTAAAGGCAAACGAGTGTCAGCGAGGAGACCGCTGATCTTAGAGCCGGGCTACTAGCCAGTCCGCAGAGCCGCTTCAGTCCTGATCTTGTAAGGTCTACTCGTTGACTTCGGAAGTACTGCAAGAAGACTGGCGAGAACAGGCTGTTCGTTAATTTTGACGCCTGTCGAAGAGAACCTAGGGAGACGATGTCCAGGTCCACCGCTATTATCGATGCCAACTCTAGCGGTAGCTTGTTCATAATGAGTATCTGACGTATTTGAACAGTGAGAGTCGTCCGATACCAACTTCACGTCTCCTTGGTTAATTAAATGTGCCGGTCAGCCATGATCCGCGAAATCAACTTCATGATGAGCTTCATATGGAGGCATATGTTGTTCCCGACCAAAGCGCGCATGTCTAGACATATCTCAAAAGTGGAGTCTGGATGGTCTCAGGTGGAAGGTCGATGGGAATTTGAGTTACGCTCCACAACGAGGTCGGATTGGGAGGTGTATGATCGTTGGAATTGGTTGTATCTGGAACGGAAGGTGGACCTCGAGAGAGCAAGAAGCCAATCAGATCTCGCTGTTTATTTGATTGCGCTGACGACGCCAACTCGTCTCTTATCGGCGATGAAACAACACGACATAATCGGACAGATGGCTGTCGACGCTTGATTGTGCAAGATGCCACCACTAGAACACGTCAAGGTTGCAGTGATTACGCATGCTCACGATAAGAGAACGCATTAGAAGTTGGCGCTGCGCTTAAATGTAGCCTGAGGACAATGCATTTCGTAGCAAAGGACCTCGATTGTGCAACCCCCAACAACTGGCGCAGCTATCACCGTGCATACACCCTTACCGAAACCCTGTTCAAGTGGCCGAGAGCGTCAATTAGCATCAGGTTGTCGACTGGGCTGCCAATGCGAGGCTACTGGCAGCCAGCCTAGACAATATCTGATCATGTGATCCTTGGAATAGTCGCTCTTTCCTGTCGACAGAGCCTGCCAGTCCGTACATAGTCTCAGGAACGCCCCGCCAGAATTGTAACAGTAGAACTGACACGGACCGCCAACACCACCCGCCCTCCTGCCCGTGACATTAACTGTGTTTTAGCTGAAGTCCCTCGCCTGTTGCAATTAAGCCGTAGTAAGGTAGCAGGTGCAAGTGCAGTATATGAATCCAAAGTCCAAATCCGATACTAAGCAACCTTCCTCGGAAATAAAGGAATAAAACATGCTATCCCTTGTGCCAAATATCTCGGTTGTTGACTAACTCCAACATCGTCAGAGCTAGTGTGTTAGTGATTTCAATAGGTCAACTTGGTCCGTGCTGACCTTCCGAATGTTCCGACCGAAAGCGTTTCTTAATCACCTAGACCTTGGAATGCTCGTGTAGCAGGTGCCCAGCCAACTTGTGGGGGGCCACTGGCTACGACGTCGATGGGGATTTACAACATTCATCCATCCATACATGATTCTAGTCAGAACTTGATCTTTCACGATCACATGTGCGGCTCTTTGTCGTATTTTCAGTCAAAGTTCTTCGTCTGTCGTCAGTCTTCACAAGAACGCAATCTCTATCCTGGATTAAACTTGGTCATGTGTCGTGGTATGCTGCTGTTACATGTTGGTACGGCCGGAATGCAGTGTCCATCATGCCATGCAAACGTGAGCGGTCGCCATTTGCGGCTTCCAAGTACTCTGATATGATCGTGCTTCAACATCTCTTCTGGCGCCCATCGAACAAGTCACCTGACTTCATTCTCTTCTTTGATATCAACCACAATTTGACTTTAGTTTCATGCTGCCTTGTAATTTTTGCATTACAAACTCAGCCAATCAGTGAGCCTTTCCAAGGCTAATTAAGGTCTCTACTATAACTATTAACAGTTGTGTGCACGTTGACCAACTATTATTACAAATGCGGGTGCTGGAGGAACAAAGAGGAACTGGCATGCTCTTCAGTCTTGGATGGCGGAAGCTGTACGGGGAAACACCTTCCCAATCGCACCTGCGACATAGATTACCCATTACACAATGCAAAAAGAAGATGATCTAATGCTATTTACGTTCGTAAATGGCGCTATCCGGGGAGGAAATATTGTTCACTCATTACATCATAAATCATTTGGCAGACAGCTCTGTTTTCGCACGAAACTTAATTTTTCTATTTGGCTTTATAGTTATTTTGAAATTTTGCGGCGTTGTACTTAAAGTGCTCAGTTTTATGTCAAACATCCGGTGTTACACGCTCGTTCTTTGTTTAGAGTTTTAGTTTTATTTATTTAAGCAGTTGTTTAATGGAAAGGCCCTTTCGTGGGTATAGGCCTACAATCAAAGGCACTTCTTTGTTTAAGATGGCACTCGGTTAAGAGCTGACGCGTGATTTATCGGCTGACGAGGCTTCAGGAGGGTAAAAGGCTTGAAGGAGTGGGGCTGATATTTTAAGTGTCAGCAGGGATTCAAGCTTTAATACTGTCAAGATCTTCAAGAGCTACCTTTGAGGCTGTGATCAAATGTTGTAGGAAGACAAAGGTGGGGTTCTTGCAGACCCAGTACAATTAACGGAAACATTTCCTTTTCACTTGTCTTGTGAAATCTCCGCCTCGTCGAACCCAAGTACCATTAATCTCAACTATTAACTGTTCCCAATTCCCTAACTCTATCGAATCGCCTCAGTAATGTTCACGAAGGAGTCAACCCACATAGAAGCCTAAACTCGAACATTGCCTTGTTGATGTGCCATACTGTCTGTTCAATTGACGAACTTGATGACATCAACCCAAGCCTTCTATGGTACTCTATCAAGTTATGGGTATCAAAATCTGGTACCAAAAGACTGTCCACAGACTAAGACATCAAACAATTGCAGGAGCGAGCGGCAGCTGCGTTGTATACGGATGTGACCCTGCCTGCTTGCAGCTTGTCCTGTATTTATGTAGTTTTATGTGCCATGCACCTTCTGTACCGAGCTGGTTTGTCCCTGTTCCGCAAGTTTTACCATATGTTATCCCGAGAGCCTCATAACCTCTATTCTCAGGTCTCTCACTTGCACATATTCGCACCTAGCTCCAGATTGAGATCGTGGATACGAGATAGATATTAGCATAACCACCCTCCTGCGCCTAAAGGGTTTTGTGGGCCAAATTTTCTGTGGCAATGATCCCGGCGACTTCGAGGGCCTCCATGTACGAATGCGGTAGTGGCGTAATCTACCCGACATCCCAAACAATGAAGAACTTGTGGATAATCTAAAGCGCTGCATGACACTATAGTATCTAAGTAGGTACCATGGTAATAATAAACCTGTTTGGTTTGACTGAGCATAGAGCCCCAGGTTAGCTTGATAAATAAGGCTCCGTCTGAATGATTGCGGATGGTTGAAAAGTGGTATATGTTGACGACTCCCCAGTGAAGCAACGATATGGCATCACGGGCGGCCTGTCAAACAGAAAGAACCGGCTATGACAGCGGCTGCGTGCTCGGAGCTTTCCGGGTTACAGGAAGGCCATGGTCAAATGATCAGAACGACTCTGATATTGCCTACGTTCACACCTAGTGAACTTTGTCCAGTGCAGCATTGATCAGGCCTCAAAATGGTTGCTGAAGCAGAAAAAGGTGAATTATTTCTTTTGGACGAGGAGCTGGCTGCTGAAGAGTACAGAAAGGAAAACCCGCAGCCAAATGACTCCTTAAGGGAGATATACGATGATGGCGTCCGTCTTTTCACCAAAGAGGGGATCCAGGATTTGGAAAGACAACTTGCCAAGGTACCGCAGCCGACTGCCTTTCGGTTGCGCTCACTCACAGGACGCATGGTTACGTCTGACGAAAAGGGTGCATTAGATTCGCAACCCATGTTTTGGTAAATCACGCCTGGATTCCAGTTATGTCGGTCGAAACTCCACTGTCTCCGATCAAGCCTTTGGCAGCTTTGCTCTTGAATGGGCGTAGCAGTGATCAAAGCAGATGCTATAGCCGCTTAGAAAGACTTCCAGGAAGAGAGATTGACTGACATATTCACAGCGAACTTATGATAGGGTTTAAAATGTATCAAGACTTTTTCTGGAGCGCCAAGTCACAGAATACGCTGCAGTATGCCTGTCCACTGCATGTCGCGGTCATCGGCGGTCGGGAGCTCACAGCAGACATAAACCCACAGCGACTGCAGAAATTTTACCAAGAGCAGAAAAAAGGGTGGGACGCCAGCACGAAATGCACCGAGCTGAAGCAGAAGCTCATAGAAGCGCACATCCCCCAGAATATAAACAAGATCATCTGTTTCGGTTTAGGCACCCTCACGAATGACCTTGCCTGTGACGAGGTTAACCCAGAGGGTCATGCTTTCAGGGCTACAACGCAACACGCTACAGCGGTGACAATGGCAGAGATCATGAGGCATAAGTTCGGACACGCAATCAAGCTGTTGGCGCAGGATCCGGCATATGACAGCTCATCCAAGCACTGCATCCATCTTGGGCCAATCATGCGGGGCCCACCAACTGTCCTTGACGTTCCAGTTCGAGCGCAAACATTCCACTGCCATACGGACTGAGCAGTCAGATTGTCACTGATCCGATCGCATGCAGCATTTTTGAAAGTGCATGGATGTTTGCCTCAGCAATGCACATTCTCGAATGTACCAACAAGACCAACACTACCAACATCCAACATCCAACATCACGATCAAGAGGTAGCAGAAGTTTGTTCATGAGTCAATTCATTGACGTCGTATCTACCAATTCAAATATCTAAAGACGCCTAGCGCCGTACGACCCTTTTCCATGCCCATTGAAGAAAAATCACAGTAGACATGCTCTGACTCTCGTACAGTTGATTTGAAACCCAAAGCAATCAAGCCATCTATCGGCAGGTGTAGCCACCGTCGATGACGATGTCGGCGCCAGTGGTGTAGGTGCTGGCGTCGGAGACGAGGTAGACGTAGGCGCCCTTGAGCTCCTTGGCGTCGCCGTTGCGGTTCATGGGGATCATGGACCGCCACAGGGCCTGAGTCTTCTCGTCAATGAAGTCGGACAGACCGGTGTCGATGTAGCCGGGCGAGATGCTGTTGACGCGGGCAAAGTCGCGCCACTCGTTAGCCAGCGACTTGGCCATGTGGATGCAGCCGGCCTTGGCCACGTTGTACGAGGTCTGCTCCTGGGGGAAGTTGGCGACGTGGCCGGACATGGAGGCGGTGATGACGAAAGAGCCGGTGCCGCGCTCCTTGAAGTGGGAGCCGACTGCCTTGGCGCAGTACTGAGAAGGAACGAGTTAGCATCGACTTCACTGCGTGCCGGGACAGAATCGAGTCAACTTACAGCAGTGCCGTTCAGGTCGGTGTGGATGACCTTGTCCCAAGACTCCTTGGGGCACTCGAGGACACCACCGTCGGCGGTAGCACCGGCGTTGGCAATGAAGCCGTCGATCTGGCCGAACTCCTTGATGACATCGGCAACAAGCTTCTCGCACTCGGAGAACTCGCCAACGTTGCACTTGTAGGCCTTGGCCTTGATGCCGTAGTCCTTGGTCAACTCCTCGACGTTCTTCTCGGCGCCCTCCTTGCGGCTGGAGTAGGTGATGGCGACGTTGGCGCCCATCTCGGCACAGCCGCGAGCGGCCTCAATGCCCATACCCCGGGGTCCGGAAGCGCCGGTGACGACGACGACCTTGCCCTTCAGGGAGAAGAGGTCCAGGAGCTTGGAGGCGGTGGGGATACGCTGAGGCATGATGGCGGTTTGGTTGGTAAAGGGGGGTTTTGGTTGGGTATTGGTATAGTTCGGTTCGGGAGTATGGTAGAGAGATGAGTGGAAGAGATGGATATAGTTTGGCCAGCAGAATCGGGAGAGGAGTGCGGCCTCTTTAAGCAACGGGATCGAGAACAATTCAGCCCCGTTCCCGCCAACCTGCTCACTCACTCACACACATACTCCCTCTCTGCCCTGCGTGAATTGTATTCAGTGGGTATACGAGGTGTTAGTGATGTCATGGCCTGCATGGCCATGACAAAGGCCCCGTCCAATCCGTCCCCCCAATCGATAGCAACGCGGGGCACTCGGTTTCCATGCAGTAAAAACTACTGGAGAAAGAGCCGATAGTGTGTCCGAGGGGCAATCGATCGCAGTCTTGCCCTGAGGACCTTGCCGTCCATCGTGGCAGTCTACCGGTATCTGCTCAATCTGCCGACTGTTGCAGGGGCCGTCATGCTGCGGGGAGCGCCAGAGAAGCTGGCCACCAAGGTACACCCGAGAGCATACAGAAATCGCGAAGAGCGCTGAGCTCTCGGCGCCCGCCAGTCCCCGCCATCAAGCCATCAGGCGGTTCTTCCGACGGTTCTTCCGCCGTGCCGTGTCCTCCGGCTCTCTCGTCGAGGAGAACCCCTCCCATCCGATGCTGTCGCATTAAACTACAGATCGGCAATCCAATCCAGGCCCGCGGGCTCCCAGGAACAGCCCAATTCCACGGCGGAGGAACAGGTCGGGCTGGGCTCAATACCGGGCCCATGTCTGCTCCCCCATGACGTTTTGTTCTCCAGTGCAGGGCCCCACGCAAGCGGGCGCCATGACATTGGCAGCTCTCTAGCGGCCGAGTCCCACCGGCCGAGAGGCTGGCCACGATGTCATCTCTTGAGCGCGAATGGCAGGTATCCGGGGGCAACGATGGAGTAGAACTCGATAATGGAGCGGGAAAGGTCGTAGTTGAGCTCCCCACGTCCTGTCAGATCTACATTTCCTACGGCGGGGGGCCGGACCATTTGCTGCGCGCCTACGCAGAACCTCCTGGAACGCCGTGATGCAAGGGCGTCAGGGCGTGGCCTGACGTTTCAGCGCCGGTTTCCCGGAGTGTCGGACCCACTCTGCATCGATCGATTCCCGCTGACGTAGAGCTGAGGTCCCTCCGTAGAGCGTGCCTGTCTTTCGCCTGGCCTGTACTCGGCCCTGCGGATCTTGGCTCGGACATTGTCGGCGAGCATTGTGTGTTCGCGATGCCGGCGCCTCCGTGGAAGATTTGGGCTTCTCCAGACGAAGCAGCCCACCCACTCTTGCTATGCATGCACTACTCTCATCGTTGCAATGAGGCTCTGAATGTGATGCGATTTCCTTGCAAAACAAGAATTGAATTCTAATATGGTATGCAACGTCGCTAGATACAAGATTTGTTGGTTCATGAAGTGTATAAAGTTCCCCCCTCACGTCCTCTAAGCTAAGCAACCCTCTTTCTCCTTGTCGAGGCGGGCAAGCAACGCTGGTTGCATGGAATGAGCGAGTCTCTAGGGTATTAGCTCATCCTGCCATGCGGTACGCCCCTCTGTGAACGGCCATCGAGTCCGAGGTCAAGTAATCTACAGGCTTCGGCGAACCAGTAGACGACTTTGTTCTGGATATTAGACACATCGCTCTGCAGTCAACGTGATTGCTCCCAGAGCACAGACACCGCAAGAGCACGAAGCAGGTAAAAAGTCTAGAAGTTTTCTTTGCCCCAGACAAAGGAGAAACTAGTCAATGGTTAGCAGAGGGGCACATGTAACGATTACTGCAGATGCAATACTTACCCAGGTTCACTGTACTTGTTACAGAAGATATGCAGCGCACTACCTAGACCCTTCGGTCCGCAGAAGAACACGCCGGCCTCGGCGGGTGCGTGCAGCTTCCGGATACCGCGGAAGATCATGTCCCAGTTGGGGCGGCCGAAGTTGGTCGGACTCCTCAGGCCGGTAATGGTGTCCTTGTCGGCGTTGGCGTCGTTGATCATGATGTTGGTGGCATCGTCGGCCTTGATCTTGGCCGTCAGGTACGTGTGGATCTCGATGCGGCCGTCGACGTCCTGGGCCTCGATGGCCAGCAGGAGCGAGCGGAACCACTCGAAGGAGCCAAAGTCTCGGCAGATCCAGAAGAAGTAGACCTTGGCCAGGCGCGTCTTCTTCTGCGGGTAGTTCATGCGGTACCAGATCGACTTCAGAATCGAGGCGAAGGGCGTGACACCAATACCAGCACCGCACAGAACGGCAACCTCGTACTTGAACACGTCCTCGGAGGCGGAACCAAAGGGCCCATCAACGTAGACTCGAGGAAGGACTCGCTTCAGGGCCGGGTCGACATCGCTGCTCTGCCCGTCCACACCGACGACCTTTGAGGTATCCTTGCCCTTCTTGCCAAAGTCGCAGCCAAGAGTGGTGGCCACGGCCGTCGTGAAGTCACCGGCGACACGCATGTGGATCGAGATGTAGTCTTCCTCCGGTGCGCTGGTGAGGGTGAAAGGGTGGTATTGCCACAGCGACACCTCGGGGCAGCAGAAGAAGATGTACTGTCCGGCCCTCGTCTTGGTGTTCTCCTTCTTGATCTGGATCTCGCAGACGTTGCTGGGATGCTGGATGACCTTGGAGATGTAGGTCTTGTGTCGTCCTCGAACCTCGCGCGCAACACGCTCAGCCAGGTAAATGAAACCACCATACATCCAGTACTGCCAGAAGACACCGATGGCTGTCGTTCCGACAGAAATGCAGAACGGTGCGGTGTCGGGCTGGATCATGCAAAAGGCTCCGTGGAAGGACCAGAACAGGAAGAAAACGATGAACATGTGGTGAGTGTACCAGAATCGTTCGTAGTTGGCTCGTCGGGGCTTCTCATACGAGGTCAGCACCATGCCGGTCAGCGCAATCAACATGATATATCCCGTCCAGCCAGGTCCGGATACAAAGTTGGCAAGAAGCCAGCCGTAGATACCCAGGTTGTTCTTGGCCGCGATCTGTGCAAAGTTGTTCCAGTGAGCAATCGTGTGGACCCACGAGAAGAAGAAGATGGACCACGCCGTAGTAATATGGAAGGTGATGTTCTTGTCGAACTGGATAATGCCGTTCAGGGGCGTCTGTCTGGCGATGGAGATAAACGTCCTGCACACCGGCAGCAGAACCAGAGCAACGTCGATATGGAGCACCAGAGCGGCGGATCTGGCAATCATGTAGGTCGGACCAAAGGTGTCTCGCGCAACTTGCAGGTTATCCTTGACGGCATAGTTGACGAAACCAAATGCGAAAACCATGGCGTGCAGAGCCATGAAAACGAAGACAAAACTGCAAGGGCGAGTCAGCACCGTCTCCCGATAGAGATACTCACGGGTTTTGCCACATACAATCTTCGGTAACCCTCGTTAATCATCCATCGGTCGAACTTCTCCGCCATGGACAAATCCTTCTGTTTCTCCTGTGTCATCTCTCCAGACAACAACATCCTGTTCAACGGCGTCCATCTTGACCGCTCCGTCGGTTTCTCCCCGTAGTCCGAGTACGCGTACGACGACATGGCGGCTGCGTGAATTTGGCGGTGTCGTGGAAATTGTCGGTATCCAAATGCGACCGAGTCCACGGGCTCCTCCAAAGCCCACCAGAACCCTCTTCTAAAGTCCCAAGCTCTGACGCGAGGCGATTTACCCCCTCTTGATTATATATCCCTGATTACGAGCTGTAAGATTGATGGAGCTTTCGAGTTCTTCAGAGCCGGCTGAGATGCTGTCCGTCCATCTAAATGAGAGTCGACGAGTTCCAGAGTGCGTGCGATATCAGGCACCTCCCACCCAAAAGTATTATTGAAAGAATGTAATGTGGACTGAAGCCTGCAATCGCAACTGAGTTGGAAAAGCCGCGCCGGTCAGCCAACGAACTATAACGCACCAGCGGGACCGACAGGAAGAAAAACAACAGAACAAAAAGGGTAGTCTGAAGTGGTTGGGACGGTCGAAGGAAGGGAAGCGAAGGGAAGGGAAGGACGCAGGGCAGAAGAGGATCATGCATAGGGCGGGAAGTGGGAGGGCGACAGATGTTAAGGAAAATCGCCAAGCATTAAGAAACAGAGGATCGCTCGCCCGTAGATCATACCTTACGATGCCTGCACCTGGCGGCTGCTTCGATGGCGCGTCCTGTTTTAGAATGCCGAATGGCAGAGACGCTGCTGGGGAATGGGAAGAAAATCAAAGCAGGTGAAGGCGAGTAAAAGAGATACCCATGGCATTTGGGGGGAGGATGGGGGTTAGAAACCCAGGGTCGCAGTAGGGCAATAGGCTTATCCCATCTCGTACGGTATCTGTGACATTGCGGCTACAGAGCTAGGCACGAGGTGACGCCTGAGCGGCCCTGACATCTGCAGCGAGGGACCGTTTACCCAATGGCCAAGCCCATGGCAAAAAGATAGTGGACGCAGACCCGGGAGATGTGTCGGGACCGGGGGATGCTTACAACGGTGCGAATAGTGCATAGACCCCATCAATCTGGCGACCACGATGGGTCTCATTGGCCAAGACGGGGGGGCGCAAGCTGGACCGTGGACACGCAGAGTGGAAAGACATCAGCAGAGTCTCGAAACGAAATGGTCTCGATCAAGTCTAGGGACGGTTACAGTGTGGTTCAGGATGTCGAAGGGGGCCAAGCTTGACGGTTGGACGGCTAGATGTGGTGGAGCCCCAAGAGCTTGTTCCTGGGCTTGGGTGCCGGGATTATTGCTGCAAGCATATCCCGGGAGGCATCGTCTCTATCAACGTTGTTCTGACTTCAGCCGTGATCTCTGATACCGTGTTTCCATCCATGGTCAATGATTCCCGAGTTCTCAGCGCTTGCTGAGTACAAGGCTCTCTCCTATGGAGGTAGTTATTCTACCAACTTCGCCCCTCAACAAGTCCTTCGCACTCCGCGTTCCGTAAGTCGCCTTCTCCCACACCGCCGCCAACTATTGGATCGTGTCTACTGTTCGTCAACGGCTCGCTCGCGAAGCTGCACAGACAGAGAGATTCGCAAGCACAGGGGACGGCCAGAGAAACGTGGGAGAAGAGTGGGGAATGGCACCACTTTGCCCTCGGGCGGCTACCCTTGTGACGAGCTTCCGACGACAAGAAGCCAAGCAGGCCCTTTCATCCATCGACGACACGGCGAAGCAGGTGGATAAAAACATACGCAAGAAAGAAGCAAGCACCTGAAGAGGTTAGGGGAGTCGTGGTTGGATGGGCTGGTCGGCGTCAATGCGGGTGGCCCGCCCAGCACCTCCTGGGCCCCAGTCCCTGGAGGGGGCGGCGGCCGGGTCGCGCGGGGCTCGATTGGCTGGCGCCCCCCAGCGCATCCGGGGTAGGGCGTGTCGCAGGCGGTTTCGTCAGGGGTCTGCGACACTGGCAAGCGGCCTTGGCGACCCGAGGCGTTGCAGGGCCCGTCGCCGGGCGCTCGCATGCTGCATTGGTCAGGCCAACAGACGGACATGATGCTGCGCGCCGCTGGGCTCTTGGGTCGTGCCATAGTCCAGCTTGTACTATATGCATTCTGCCTGCAAGGCAAATCTTCCTTGGCTTCTTCCTGGCTTGAGATGAACCACGGAGAGAGGAACTTGGTGTGCGCAACCGGCGTTGTGTCATCGGTAGGTGGTCGTCCTCTGGGCTATACCTTCAATTATGCCCCGTCCCAGAGGTTTCTGTGTACCATAACTAGTCGTTTTTTTTTCCAACCACCACCAAAGTTGGCACCCGCTTGCGAGGCCGTCCCGGACTTCAGACGAATCCTCACGCTTGCCCCGGGTGTCTCACCACCACAGACAGCCGCCGGCGAATCGCAAGCCGCCATTCGCCTCGCTATCTCGACTCGACATGCACATGTACATGGTGACGGTGACGGACCTTCGGACCTTTGCATACGTCCCGCTGCATCCATCCCTGGAGCAGATCGCTCTAATGATAGCACCCAGGGGATTGCGTGGGATCGAGTCACCTCATCGTACGTCTGGCAAAGTCTGGCCCCTCCTCTGAAGTTGTGCTGTGTAAGCATCCCACGCTGGATTTGTCCCCCTTCCGGAGACCTGGTTTCGTTTCACTCGGGCAGCTGCTGTCCCAAGGATGGTTCTCCAATCATCCGTCATGGTACGACCCACGCGTGGCTTGCTGCTCTCAGGACGTGCGTTGGGGGTTTGAGGGAGAGGATGCATGTCGCGATGACAAACAAGAGCATATGCGTCTCGCAACGATGAGGTAAGCGGCAAATGAGGCAAGCCCAGCTGGCTGGAGTCGATGAGGCTCTGCTGCCTCATCCCTGTTTCTCCAGGTGCTAGTGCGCAAGCATGGCACTTGCTATACTTCTTGTACGAGACCCGTTTGCTTCGCCCTATCCCTACTTTAGGTCGTCAGACGTAGCCAACTCCCTTGTTCCCTGGCCCTTCTCCTTTCTTCATTCGTGTCGTCTGGCCATGCCACTTGGCATATCGCATGGCATGGCAAGTCAGTCCATGAGCGCATTGACTGAAGGGTCATGATGCATTATACCCTCAAAGGGGAGCAATTTGCGTCCGACCTGGCACAAGCTATTGCACCTAATCACAGCCCTCCGACCAACGCCAGACTTCCGTTGTTCTGGAGTGAATCCTTTGCCAGAAGGGCAGACCACATTGCGTAGGTGAAGTAATGGACATCAAAATAGCCCGAGAAATTTGACCTGTGATCATCGCCACCGCCGGCTCTTCCGTTTCTGGGCCATGTTTCGTTTGGTCTGATCAGCAGAATCCAGCCATGTCCGGATGCCGAGACGGAGAACAAAGTAGGTATTATATGATTGGTGCACAACGATACTGAGGTGATGAGATATCTGCCTGGGTCTGCGTCTTGTACTTATGACGAGCACGTTTTCCTGAATAGCCGCCTGATGCCGAGTTCATAGTCTAGTTCATCAAATTAAGGCATTGATCACCTGATGGAAGTGGAAGAATTCGTGAATGTTGCGTTTCTTCCAGGCACTGACACGTGATTATGCCAAGAAATTGACACAGCATCACCATGAATGGACCAAAGCAACGGTTGTCTCATGAGCCTTCATTCTTGCTCAATGCGAGCGTCGTCTACAACCTAACTAGCAAAGCATGTCGCCATCCGAAATGATGCCAACCCCATAAGTCATGCGTGGAGCGTTCTTCACAAAAGAGACCCAAAACCAGAAAAAGGAATATGTATCGATGGGGACGCCGGCATAAAACTTTCCGTGACATTGACTGACAGTCGAATGCTGAGCTGTATCTCTGTTGGTCGTCCCTTTGCCTTGACCACAACCGAAGACCCTGATTAGGCTTCACAGTGAACCCCACTCACATCCGCGTCGTCCCCCCTCTTCCCTTAAATGGCGTATTTGCGAGTCCACTCTCGGGCGGTCGCCTCGTATCTGGGGCGGTCTGTCTTGTAGACATGTGCGATCTCGGGTACCAGCGGGTCGTCAGGGTTGGGGTCTGTCAGCATGGAGCAGATGGAGAGCAGGACTGCCACACAAGGTAAGTGAGTACTCGCAGAGGTGGGCAAGGGGTGTTGGGAGGGACATACCCTTGCTGATGGTCAGAGCGGGGCTCCATTGGTCACGGAGGATGTCGAGGCAGATGCTGCCGTTTGAGTTGATGTTGGGGTGATAGATGCGGGTGGTGAAGTTGACCTTCGGGGGCTTGAAGGGGTAGTCTGTGGGGAAGTGAATGGCGAGGAAGAAGACGCCTCCCGAGTAGGGCGAGTCGCTCTGTCAGTCACATAGTCAGCATCGCGATGGCCGGAGTGCCAGGGCTAGAGACAGCGTTGCGCTGCCACATATTGAGCACGGGAGCGCTCGCGCCGTTTGTGGCAACGAGGCGTCCCAGTGTCGCACGTGTCTGAGCCAAGAGGGAGATGAGTGGTGAACTTACGGGACCCATGATGGTTGCTTGCCAGTGGAACTACAGAACACCACAGTCAGTAAAAGTCCATCGCGACGACGATGATGCCTCTGGCGAATGGTCGTGTGCCCAAGCGAGTCGTGGGGACCCGGCGGGCGCACGCTTATCGCTTCGGCGGGGGTCGGCAGGCCGTAGCGAGAGGGGAGGGGCGTACCAGGTCTTCACCGACGGGACCGGCGGAGCATGACGACGGAGGGTCACTGCGATGAGCATGTTAGCACGGCCGTGACACCACGAGAGGGACAGGCACGGCCGGCGAGGCGAGGAAGGGTCAGCGAGGTGAGGTTATCGTGAACGATAATGACCACCCCGCTCCCAGCCTGGCGCCCCACCTTGGGCCAGCGAAAAGCAAAGTGGGATGGATGACTTGTCGCAAGGCTCTGGGCAGCGAAAGCCAGGGGAGGGGTGAGCGTCAAAACGTACCGGCCCAGGTCTGTGAGTTCCTTGTTGATGCGCTTCAAAGCCATTGTGAGATGTGGGGTGTGTGATGCGTCGGACGTGAGTTCGTCGTCGCGAGGTGGGTTGGGGGCTGCGAAGGCTATTTATCAGTCAGCCCAAGATGGAATGAGGGAGAAAAGAATCGACGGTCGAGGGGCCAACGCCCACGGCGCAGGCGACAAAGGACGCAGCGGCGGGGGATGCGGGACGGACGGCGGGCGCGGGCGAACGTACCAGAGGAGGGTATCAAGAGCGTCGTCGAAGGGGGGCAGAGGCGCGGGGGCGGCGTCGAAGTGGTGGATTGTTGTTTGGGAAGAAAAAGAGTTTTATGGCAGCGAAGGGCGGGCTGGCGATGATGATGATTCCGACCTATCGGTGAATGGAAAGATGGGAACGGAAGGGGGGGAAAGGATCAATGGGCGACGGACGGTGGGACCGTGGGACGGTGCCCCAGTGGGTGGACGGTGGGTGGGATGGGCACCGGCGGCTGGGGGCTCCAGTTTTGCCAGGTGTTGGCTCGGGCCCCAGGGTGTCAGATTGGGGGGGGGGGGGGGGGGGG